TAAGGTTGTTGAGGTGCCATCCCAACCAGCTGTACAATTTGTACAAGTGCCCAGTGAGCCGCAAATACAATTTGTTCCAAGCAAAGCTGTGGTTAAACACGTTTATCGGAAACCGAAAAAACCACCTTTGGTTAAAAAAGTCCATGTAAGACGCATTCCAAAATCCGACACCACTTTAAAAGCTGCTATAGAATACGCTCCAACTCCACCTAGTGTTCCGATAGTTGAATTTCCAGTTGATGGTGTGTTAGAATATCAAATACCTGACAGTGGAGCTGTTCCGGCTTTAGAAAATAACCAGCTAGCTATTGAAGGGTCAAAAGCGAAAAGTGGCCGTCAAACTAAAACTGTAAACAAGCTCCGTCGAAAGGAAAAGATCAACAACCTTGCTATTGAAGGTTCGAAAACCGTGTACAATTAAGCCGAAAACGTTCAACAAGCAAAAGTTGTAAGGCACAAAACACCAAAAGCAAGCAGCAATTGCGTTCAAATCACAGGCTTTAGCAATTGAAGTCCGGTGGGCAAGCAGACAATTATTACCGAGCACGACAAGCTAGTTAAAAGCTGCTAACATAGCAAAGCCAGAGCAGTTACCGATGCAGTGGCGTTAAAAGCTCTAACATATAAACCTGAAAGTTCAAGTCAGGCCAAAACCCAATTGAGGAAACGTAATAAAACTTCAGAACCTCCCGCTAAAAGACACAAAGGGGTATACAAAGAGGCGGGTGGCTCTCCTACACATGATGAAGCCCACTTTAGATGATTTGTATTTGAATCCTGCTTCTCAAGGCAGTTTAGGTGGTATAGACCGCTTGTACAAAGAAGCTAGAAAACATGGATATACACGAAAGCAAGTTAAAGCTTACTTAGAAACCAAAGATGCATATACACAACACAAACCCTTTCGCTCTAAGTTTAAGCGTCGAAAGATTATTTCTGTTAATGTGGGCGACCAACATCAAATTGATCTTGTGGACTTTCAGAAATTTGCAAGTTATAACAATGGCTTTAAGTATATTCTTATGTGCATCGACTGCTTTTCTCGTTATGCATGGGCTGAGCCGGTTAAATCAAAACGACCAGCTGATATTCGCGAAGCGCTTTTAAAAATATACAAGAGTGATTATCCTCCATTACGTGTTCAAAGCGATAATGGTAAGGAATTTGTTAGTAAAGACATGCGTAAGTTTTTTGAAGAGTGTAACGTTACATTTTTTACAACGAAAAACGATGACGTAAAGTGTGCGATGGTTGAACGTCTAAATCGCACAATCGAAGAGCGGTTATATGTGTTCATGACCGAAAACAACACGTATCGGTTCATAGATGTCTTTCCTAAGATTTTATCCGCTTACAACTCTACAAAACACTCTGCTACAGGTATAGCCCCTAAAGATGTAGGTCCTGAGGAAGCTGAGCAAATTCTCCAGAAGATGATTGATCAACAGAAAGAGAGGAAAAATTCAAAACCAACATTTGCTGTTGGCGATCATGTACGTTTGACAAAAAAGAAACAGACTTTTGAGAAAGGGTACGAGACTCGTTTCACAGAAGAAATCTTTAAAATAACTCACACTACACGGAGTGGAAGCCATTACCTTTACACTGTCGAAGATTTAGCTGGCGAGCCCGTGGATGGTAAGTTTTATCCGGAAGAGTTATCTAAAGCCATATCATAGGATCTCCAGGATATTAAGGGAAAGGAAACATAAAGGAAAAGTACAATACTTAGTACGTTGGTATGGATACGGTCCTGCTTATGACTCTTGGGAAAACAAAGAAGATTTGAAATGAGTTTTTACATGACATTGCCGTCTTCGGCGTCAGAGGGGTTATACTCTGAAAACTGCCCTGGTAAATTTACAACGCTGCTCGCTAGACCTATAGATTTAGACGGTGCGTGGGAAGTAGGTCTTTCGGAAATTATTCTACCGCCTATGCGGATAAAGTTTAATACCGGATTATCCATTGCTGTCTCGCGTGACGGTATGCCGTCTAGAACTCATAGATTCGTCGATCAACATGCTTTTGAGGATGAAAATCATTTAATTCGTACGGTTAACAAACTGTTGAGGGAAAACGTAGATGATAGGGACTCGAAAACCTTCGGCCAGATAATAGTGAGTGGTCAAGCAGCTCAGTTAAACATTACACCAGGCCTCGCTTTAACTTTTACCGGTTCCGAATACGCGCGCGCACTAGGTATACTACACCAGTACACATATCACACCAGAGATGCTGTCTCATATGTTATATCCGGGACAGCATAATCGTCTCGTCCATGTGTATTGTGACGTGATTACACATGGGTTGGTAGGTGACTCAATGGTGCCTTTACTACGCACCTTATCGACTCAAGCGAATTCATTTCGAGAGACAGTAATTCGTTTTGAAAATCCGCATTATATGCCGCTAGCCTACCATACGTTTCAAAGTATAGAAATAGCGATGCGCGATGATTTAGGGAAGGAAGTACTCTTTCATCCAGGTACATCAGTAATTAAATTACACTTTCGACCAAAGAAGCATTAAAATGGTTCTACAGGAGTTAAAATTTGACGAGCACCGCTACACCCAGATCTTTACCAAACAGCATGGGTACGGTATGCCATATTATCGTGGCGCACCCATGAAAGGTGGTAGTTTCTGGGGACGTGTGATTGGATTTGCAAAGGGTTTGTTCAGCAAAGCTGCGCCGCATATAAACAATTTAATTGCGACGGCCCAACCTCACATGAAAACAATGGCCAGCAAAGCTGTGGAATCCGTAATCGATAAAGCTGTTGAGCGTGTTAGCGAGAAATTACGCAACACGGCTCAACAACAGGGTCGGGTATTAAGGGTCGTCGTCGAAAGAGAATGATCAAAACCACGAAACGTCAACGCGCAATAGACGCTATAAAAGACAAACTGTAACGATGGCTCTTATTGAAGCTGGCTCAGAACCCTCCATGCTGTTGGAAAGTCACTTGTTTTATCTTCCAGCTACGCTAACGGAAAGGTGGAATACACATGACTATGACTTGGGGCCGTCTCAAGCCGTAACCGACGATTCAAATGATATTGTATTTACAATTTCACCGTGTCAAACCGAGCTGATCAGCTTAGCTGACATTAGATTTTCATGTGATTTACACGTTACTAATTCTGCTGGTACTGTTCCAACAGAAAAAGACTGTCTTGCACCAATTAACAATATTTTGCATAGTTTATTTCAATCAGTTACGGTTTCATTGGGAGGTCGCAACATAACCGATAACAGTCCTTTGTATCACATTCGAGCGTACATTGAATCCCTTCTGGGTTTCACTGTTCAGGCTCAGAACAGTCAGTTGAGCCTGTGTGGATTTGCGTTGGACACTGACCTTGACAAAGACCCGTTATACATGAATGAGATAAATGGGGCAACAACATTTCATAGTAAGGGTGCCGAAACGCGAAGAACATGGTTGCAGACTTTCCGTCCGTTGCAGTTGTCTGGTAAACTACACTGCGATTTGTTCCAGCAAGACCGTCCACTAATTCCTGGTGTAGAGTTGAGCATTAAACTAATACGAAACAGGGCTAACCTTTGTTTTCTTACTGATAATGATCTAGCGGCTCCAAAGGCTTTTGCTATTCGAAACCCCAAGTTAAAAGTTCGAAAGTATGAACCATCTCCAGACTTTTTAGCAGCCATGACAAAGCAACTAGTCACAACTAATGCAAAATATCACATCGAGCGGGTTGCTTTAAGACAAACCACAATGCAATCAGGTCAGCAGCAACTATCCTGGGCAAATATTGTTATTGGACAGTTACCCAAGGTAATGTTCTTTGCAATGTCACCCAATCGCTCGTTCGTTGGCGATTTTAAGTCAACTCCGTTCAATTTTCATCATTTCAACATATCTAACTTAAGTGCTGAAATTGATGGACAGCTTTTTCCTACGCGGGGGTACAACTTAGATTTCCAGAACGGTGCGTCAATTGAGGGTTATGAAGGGTTGTTAGATACTCTAGAGCGGCTGCATGAAGGTCATGGTGAACTACCGTTTGACAGGTCCGTATTTAACAAGGGTGGTTTCAATATTTTTGGGTTTGACTTCACTCGCGGCCACACGGGCAGAGGAGCCTTGTCGCTGATAAGGCAAGGTAATTTAAACATCAATGTTAAATTTGCAAAACCGCTACCTGAAGGTATAGTTTGCCTAGCTATGATGGTCTTCGATAACATTATCGAAATTAACAACAATCGCCAAGTACTTTTCGACTTTGCACCATGAACAACCTACAAATAGAAACCGCGCTGAAGCAAGATCCCAACGTTCGCGATATTTTTGTTGGGGTATTCGCCAGCGATACATTACCAGTAAAAGAATTTCCAGGTGCATATATATCAAATACTCAACCGTCAGGCGCGACGGGTGAACACTGGCTAGCATTTTATTGTACAAAACCCGGTACGATAGAAGTTTTTGATTCATACGGGAAAAATCCCGGAGACTATTCAGATGACATTAAAAAATGGATAAATGATGACTTTGTCATAATGTCAAACACTGAACGCCAAAACACTGACAGTACTGTATGCGGTCAATATTGCATGTTTTTTGTTCTATTACGTTGCTACGGGTTTTCATATAAAGATGTCATGTCAGCTCTCACTAAGCATAAAGGGGTGAACGATAAATCTGTATGCAAATTCATCAACAAGTTCTTCCGACTAAGGACAGTAGTCCGTGACGCAACATTTATACGCGACCTTGTAAGAAATGGTTAAGCCGATAGCTAAAAAAGCAGCATCAGTATTCTTTGCAGTACTGGTGACCATGCTACTGTTAGTTTTCAATACTTTAGAAATTGTTTCCTATTTTGTAAAGTCCTCCAACCGTACACAGTTGGAGGAATCTAAAAAAATTACGAAAGAAGTGTTGGATGTGATGGTGAGTGACGAAGCGACACAAACCGAGTGATTTTTCCCCTTTCTTTTATTCACTTTTCCCCACCACCTCTTTTTTCTACCGCGTGCCAAAGGGCAGCGTTGTGAAATCATCTAACATGATGCGTTTATCGTACACAAGCTTCAACTTTTTAGCTAATTGAACAGTATTAATTTCTTGCGTTTTCCCATTCCGCTTGATGTATTCCGGATACACGACCTGCACATGTTCATCCACACCCTCCAGCAACCGCTTGAGCTGGTTGAAATCCAACGCCTTGCCGGTCCTTGTCAGCTCCTTCGTAACCGAGTCCCAATCCAGAATATCTTCCGTGAACCCGTTCTGCGTCATTCCTTTCACTTTCATTTCAATGCGCCCCGTATCTGTTTCGTAGCTGTAGACTTTCGGACCGCAGGAGACGAATTTGACAATATGGTTTTCACCAGCTTCTAGCTGGTTATCCCAGTCACCAAGGATACTACCAGTTTCAGGGAGCCAGTCGCCGGGGCGGTGCACGAAAATCACAGAGTCCGTATCGTAGTAGAGAAGTCGCTCACCTAACTTTTCCATGAGGTCCAACAGGATGAGACGTGCGTGGCTTGTGGTGAAAGCGGCAACAACAACATTCGTTCCATTGCTACCTTCGTTGTAGTCATCCACTTTCGAATGTGTTACCATCAGACACGTTGGACTCACACCATACACATCATGAATTTCAATAGCTTTTGAACGACACAGATCAGAATATCGTTTGGGATCGTACACAAATTCCGTGGAATTCATATCGCAGCTCTGGCCAGTCTTACCCCAAAGACTATTCAGCGCGACTTTGGAGGTGCTCTTCCTTCCGGCATCAAAAACCATGGCGTCAGGGTCCAGGATGATACCTTCACGGTCTTTGACCATCTGAATGAAATTTGCCTTCTTCTCATCCGTATCGCACCACGCTGGCCAACCGCTTGCTTCCATTTTCACTTTCAGAAACTTATTCGTGTACGCCGCAAAGAGTTTGGTGTCCGTCTGCGCCCAGTGCCAGACTTCGTACATTTCGACAACCCGGTACCCTACAACCACCGCATGATGTAGCTCAGGTGTGCACCAGATCCCTTCGAAAGACCGCTCTTCATCGGAATGGACACAGCGACTGGTCGCTTTCTCCATTGCGCATTTTTTGCATAGAACATACATCAATTTGTCGTTGATCGTCAACGGTAAGACTGGATACAGGCACTCATCCGGTGCAGCGACTTTACAGTAAACAAGCCCAAAATAATCTTTGACATCCTTGAAATTGGCTATGATTATTTCAGGCTGACCAACTGGATACGCCTTTGTTTTGTTCACAAAAGGATAAAGGCTGACAACGTCAAAGTGTCTAATTTCTTCCCCGTTCTGTACTTCGTAAAACAGACGACTTGCGTTTGTTCTTCCGCCTTTGAAGGCGTCACGTGGATTCATTGGCTCCCGAATGTTCGTGTGCTGCAAAAATCCGGCAATGAATGGATCCTCCCGTTCTCTGAGCCACTCACAGCCCCATTTCACTTCCACGGTGTACCCCTGGCTCTCGAGGAAGCGCTCACGTTCTAGGTATTTTTCGTAGACTTCGCGCATTTTCTTCTTGGAGTACGGGACCACATCGTTTTCGTCGGTGCAAGCGGGATGCCCATGGAAAACACAGCCGTTGTACTCGTAAACGGTTTGGGTTTCCTCGTCGAGGCCGTCTACAAAGTATCGACCAATTTTGACTTCTTTTCCGTTTCGACCATGGCGTATGCGCCCATTAGCACTCATATTCTCCCATTCCAGCCATTGCGCGGCCTGGATACTGGTGCGTCGGTTTCTGTGAGGACCATGGCTGGCTAAGGCAGCGACTTTGTTTTCAGGAAGGTGAAAGGTTTTCCAGTAGCGATAGCAGGCGGCGGGCACTGGTTATGCTCTCCATGGGATGCAACGAAGTGAGTGTACGGTAGTCGTTGATAAACTTCAACGCACAGAGCCGCAAGACCGTAACATCGTTCGAGCAATACGTCATCATTTGCTCCCGAAAATTGAATACTCCATTAGCGGCGGCTTTTGCTTCAGCGTGCCACTTAAGGAACTCGGCTTTCTGCTGCTTCCGCATCCCATCAATCATATACTGATCCGGCTCAGGCCAAGGCAAATCGACTTTATCCCAGTTCTCGGGTTTATTAAACCGATGAGGGAAATCACCTTTCTGCACTTCAAGCTCCAAACCAACCGCCTTCGGTAGTTGACTCAACCGCAGTGCCAGAAAGTTGAGTGTATCGCGGGATTGGATGCCCAGTTTGCGGTACTTTAGTTCCAGCAGTTGCGTACCCCGTTTGATGACCTCCACCCCTTTCAATCCATTATCCAACATATACTTCAGGACAAAATGCCCATCGTAGCCCCGAAAATTGTGCGCGATAATGGTAAACCCACGATGCTTCTCTTGAAGCAACCAACGACCAAAAGCATCACCAACTTCCGTGTTCATCGGCTGACCGTCTTCTGGAAAGCGGACTTCGGAACCGTCAGCGTACTGCGCCACAATACACGAGGGTACGTGTCCGTTCACAGGATCATTGTAGGTTTCGTAGTCAAAGAAAATATATTTCATATCTTCTTCGCCCAGCCAGGGTGTTGTTGGTGCCTTCAGCGGTTTTATATAGCAGAAATGATTGGCTTGGAGGAAATAGCCGTAGCATGTGTTGCAGTAAATTTCACCGCACTGATGCTTTGCGTCCTTACCACGAGTGGAAAGATTCACAAACACTCCGCATTTCTGGCAGATGAACATGGTCTGGCAGTAGGTTTTCCCGTTTTTCCTTGTTCTTTTATGGATGTCGAAACACTGCTGGTTGAGAAAGCGGCGGTGACAGTCAGTGCAGTTGACGGGATTATCCACCAGGCAATTGCTCTTGGCACGGTAACACAATCTACACTTGCCTCCACAGCGGTGACGTTCTTTATGATGGTACGGTCGATCGCAATCATTGCAGAAGTAGGGAGAACAGTAGAACCCAGTAGCCGTGGTGACAAGGTTAAAATGGTCATTGTCCAGCAACAAAAAAATTTCCTGCATATCATGGGTTTTACGCTCTGGTACCCGTGCAATAATCATATCACCCTGGTTGGCTGAAATGACTTTGATTTGGAACTCTGGGAAGGCTTCCTTCTGCAACACTTCGAGGTCATCAAGGTCACAGTAACGACCCGAGGGTAGAAGGCACTCTTCCATTATCTTTACAGCTTCGTATTCCAGATTGGCTGTGCGGTCAGCGCGTATATAATTGCTCCATTTATATATATGCTGTGGCACTTGTAAATCATGCGTCAGGCGAAATTTTCCCAGAAACAGAGCGGCGGGTAAGCATAGGTTATTGTTTACGCGGACGGATACAATGGAAGACTTGAAACGATTCTTGTCGTGCTTAACGTACTGATGTCTGAGAAACCAGGATCCACCAGCCGGCATAAGAGAGCGCCAGATACGTATGTTGAACGAATCGTCAATGACCAACTTCTGCCCAGAGTTCAACAGCTCAATACGAAGCAAAAACGCGGGTATGCTGAAATCAGAGAGCTTCCGCATGGTTAAGTAGAACGCTCTTTTGAGACCGTCGGATTTCAGAGCCACAACAACACGATCCGTAGGAGCGAACTCTTTGAAACACATGTCCATTATGACGCGTAAGATTTCTGGCATAATGAGCATGGTCTCTTCTTTTTGGAAAATTCGAGGCAGGGGGGCAATTTCGACGCGGTACTTCTGTTCGGTGCTGTTGAAAGTTTTGAAAACGCGCTCCGATTCTTTGACAAGTTGGAAGAGGCCTGTAAAATCCGGGAGCGACTCATCCCTAGCTACGCTACCGCCAGCTTGTGGTGGATCCTCATACTGCCAGTCATCCATGTGTGCAAGAGCAAGGGCGGCAGCTAGGGAATCTGGACTTAACTGATTAACCTCGTCGTGATGTAGTAAGGCGGTTACGAGAGTCTGCTCATCATGTTCATTGAATTCATTGGGATTAGCCAGCATATGGTTAATGGCGGCCTGATCCTCAGTGGTTAAGCGATACGTATTAGCATGATCATCATCAACATCCATCCACGGATCGTTAAGCATAGCCGCGATAGCCTCATGATCAGAAGCGGACAACTGGTAAGCCATTTTCGACAGAATGAAGAGAAAAACACGTGCCGCGTGGCTTTTATAGATGAGATGAGAAAGCGTAGATTGTGCTCATTGGTTTGTCGTTTTCTGCAATGTGACGTAATTGGTCAGCAGTGTTTCTAGGCCCCACCTTTGGGCGTTCCAGTGGGCGCGAGTGGATACTTACCGGCGCTAGCAGCGCCGGTAAGTAACCACTCCCCCTTTCATGTTTAAACGTGAAAAATGTATGACGGTAATTGTATGTTTTTGATAAGTTACCTATTAAACACACCGAAAAAAGCGCAGCGTTGTATTATTCAGCTACATCATTACGGCCCGGGTAATATGATTCCGTCACCCCATCATAATAATACATATCATAAAACACAGTTGAATGGAAACGCTGATAACAGATACAGCAAACAAATGAGACTGCATTATCGAAAAAAAACACGTTTTGTACTAATAAGCTAAATTCAACCAGCAAATATGGGCCATAAAAAACAATCGTTACAAACAGCATTCAAAAAAACAATACGGGCCGAGAAAAAATGCACTGATGGAACCATTTTTTAATCAATAGTAATCACCTCGATCTCCTGCTTCTTCGTTGGCGGTTCGTTGTTGTCGCCTTCGTCGTCGTCGTCGTCGCTGTCCACCTCCGAATGACCACGCTTCTCGCCACTGACGTACGCAATCAGCTCCTCTCGTTCAGCCAAGTCAAGTTCCTCCAGCAGCAAAGTAGCCTCCAGCTCGTCCTCAGTTTCCGGCACGAATTCGCTCTCCACGTCTGATGGTGGATCGTCAAAAGTGTCGTCAGCTAGGACGGCCACACCTCCTTCGTCGTTCTCGTCGCCAACGTCACTGTCAGCTTCGTCTGAATCGTGCTCCAAGAAACCAGAGTCCATAGAGTTGTCAGGATCAGCCTTTATACGATTATTGTAGAAGTCGACAAGGTCGATCTACCAAAAAATATTCAAATAAACGATGTGCGACAACTAATATCGAAAAAACCAAACGTATTATTGCTGTACTGTTTACTGGAGTGAGAACCATTACACTACATACAATCGCAATAAAACTTTTTACAATGGCTTTGAATCTTTGATATTTAAAAACTCTAATTGCTTATTAAAAACTATCACATTTTTGATTTATTTACTAACTGCTAAAAAAACCGATGGCGCTTACCTTAAACCAAGACACCCGATAAAACGCAGCAAGTCCTCCTTCACAACAGACCAACCACGAGAGTTCATTCCACAGAAGGACAGCTTCAATGTATGAGTGGAAGTACGTCAGGATTTTCTCGGCAAGAGTATAACCTTTCCATTCCGCAATGAGGTTATCCGCTTTCTCTACGGAAAAAACTTTTCTAGTCTCGATGAATTGTTAAGAAACTTCTTGAATTTTATCGAAATACAGAATAATAGGTTATAACATGCATTGCACTACCGTATATAAAACGCTACGGCAAGACTAAATTGAAAAAAAGTAGTATTTAAAGGTGCGAAAATAGATTAAAAAATAATCATGATCCAAAAAATTGTCATTGACTTACCAATCAATCCCGGAAGCTCCTCTGAAGTTGTGGGCATAGGATCCGGCAAAGCCATGAGTACACTCACAATCACACGATAATCAAACACAAACTATTCTGACCAAAATGATGTAACAGCAGAAAATGATGGATCTGCTTGAAAAACATGGGTTTATATTCACCGCGTGCAACTTGGAAGATTTTTTCGAATAACTCCTATTGGCTAGAACGATCCACGTGCCGTTTTTCTCTAGTGCAGTCGTGCTGCCCTGAAGGTTGTATGAATAAAGACAACCCCAGTCCTTTACTAGACCAAGAAATACCAGTAAAGGGGTTGCTCGGTCTCGTAGGCAGCCATTCCCTTTAGTAGGAGGTGGAAACATACGGTGGGTGGAGGGTACGATGGAAAATTCTTACTTATCAAAGAGCCAAGGGAGAACCATTGTTAGAACCCGGAAAAACCGTGCTCCATTAGGTTTTCTTGGACAATGGAAACTAGACTAATGTCGCGACAAAGTCCGGATTCCAGAGACTGAGAAAAGACCAAATGAATGGGAGTTTGACCCAGAAAAACAAGTTCTAATTAGTTTTACTCACAAAAGAATCTAGACACTGTCGCGACTAATCTCGGATACATGATACGTAACAGGGTACCTCAATAAGACGCTTAAAACAAAGACGAGCCAGTTTTGAATAATAGAATCTAGTCTGCTGTCGCGACAGGATCCAAGATTAACGGTGAATCAACAAGTCGCTTGACCCAGAAAAACAAGACACAATGGATGTTTTTCCTCAGAACTCTGACAATTGTTCTGACAAAGCCTCTCGTACCTTGTTCATCTTGTGGAATCTCCCGACATCATAAGCAGGAGGCGTGAGTTTGCAACGTTGGTTAGGAGCAAGGCAGGACCCGAGTAACGCCCACTTGGTTTCTCTCTGATATTAGCGCGTTCCAGTCACTTATTGTTCTGAATTGGATTTGTTCTGAATTGGATTTTGGTTGGTTCTTGGTCTAAACACTAAAAATCAGTCTAGTCAACGGCGCTCTGTTAACATTACGTCAGCGTACAATGAATTCAGACAATAGATCGTACGGTTCGTGGACATCAAAAGATGAAACTCCATGTTATTTCGGGTTATATAAGCAGCGCGCCCAAGCATTTTTCCTTCATTCCAACAGTTTTCTTATTCCTTCTGGACTATTACCGCCTGGATCAGTTGGATTCGTTAGTTTGTTGGATCGTTCACAGTTACTTTTACCGTACGTTCTTTACCAGTTCAGTTTTACTAGCTTTCAGTTAGTTCTGTGACCTTTCACGATGTCTACCCGATCCGAATCCGCTTCTTCCAATTCCTCCTGGGAGTCCGTGTCCGTTGATGATGTTGCCATTGCTGATGTTGCCGATGTTGTTGATGTTATGGAGGATTATCCCGGGTTGGAGTTGGAGGATCCGTTGAGTCAGTTTGCTGAAGAGGCCATGGAGGTGGATAGGTTCGTTTGGTTGTGGAACCAAGGGACTTATGAAGAGCGGGTTGCGTATGCTGATCAAGCTGCTGGTAAGTAGGATTTGTAAAAGATTGAATAAAGAAATATTTAAAAAGGTTGCAAAAAACAAGAGATAAAACGTTTCAATTTTTGATAGAAATTATACAGAGAATTCGCCGGGATTTGCTTAACAGTCCGGCCGTTCGGAATCAAGCGTGGTATTCGGCTATTAACGGGACATGCCAGCTTTTGGTAAGTTTATCAATTCTTACGATAAGTAAAATTAATTGACATACCATAAACCAGTAAACTGAAATAAAAACATTTTTTCTATATAAGTTACATTATTTGTTTTCTGTAGGGTGCCTTGCAATTTCTTCGTGATGCCAATGCCATCGTCTTCATTGACCCTCCCCCCACGTATGCTCAGCTCTTCCCATTTGTTGCTGAAGCCCCGCCGCCCTACCAGTTGCAGCCCACGTATCCAACCAACTACTCACCCCCACCACCGTTCCCGAACAGCCCTGCATTACCTTCCCCAGGCGACGTCATATTCACTAACATGGATGACGATGTGGAGGAGGAACTAGCCTTTTCCGTGTCACGGGGACCTGCTACCCCACTGCCGGAGGTAGCTCCCATGGTGTACACCCCTCGCTCTCCATCCCCAACCCCATCGCTGCCACAACTCGTAGGGTACAGCCCTCGCTCCCCTTCTCCATCGCTGTCACCTGTGTCGATGAATTTGGAGCGACGCCTTTCTAGCCCAGCGCCTCAAAATCGTTGGGCTGTGGATCGTGTGGTTAGAATGCGGGTGCCTCCACCATCTCCGCGACAGCCTTCCACTTCCAACCTGATTCGCCTAACTACTCCTGACCTGTCTCCACTTCGCAGCCGCCCGTCGGTAGCCCGTCACCCACGCCCCGACGCCGTTCTCCACGCCAGCCTTCCACTGATACGCTCCACCGTCGACGCCGCCGCCCATCAACTCCACACCGTCGACGCCGCCGCCCATCAACTCCCCACCATTCGGCGCACGCTGTCTCGCCTGCGACCATTTCGCGGTTGGTTGTCGACGACATCAGTCTGTGTCGCTACATCCTTGACCCCGATTCGCCAACTGTTTTCGATCGAATCCAGCGCATCCAGGACTCGCCAACCGACCACTTCTACGAAGAAATCTACGCTCCGAAGCGTTCGGCTGATCCAGGTAACGATTCGGCTCCTCGCCGCTTCCGCCGCCACTAAACCTTGTCGGATCATTTCACTTTTTTAAAAAAAATTCGCCGCATTGTTTTTTTTTTTTTTTTGGTTATTTGTTTTGTAAGTTCGCCGCAATGTTTTGTCAGTTATTAATTTTTTGTTGTTTGCATGGTACAGTATGTACTTTGACACTGGGGCTCTCTGTTTAGTGTCTTTATCGTACAGGTTTAGCCTGAAACTGTATAAATGAACCGTGTTTGCTTTGTACTAGTACGAATGTTGTGTGTAATCAACTGTGCATGCTTGAGTGTATTGGGATTAGCATTAAACTGTGTTTGTCATCAGTTCTGAGTAAGTTCTGTCTAATTTGTGTCTAGTACAATAGTTTAGCCTGTTTTCAGTGTATGAGCTTATTCAGTGATAGAGTCCGAAACAATTAGGTAAAGTTATTTTTCCTTAGAAATTATTCTGCATTGAGTAAAGGTAGAATGTCGTTGAGTGTTTCAACCATCTTTTGTTATCCACTGGGTACAAAAGAAGAGCCAGATATTAATCCTGGTTTACTAGGTCAAACATTCTTTGGATTTTTGTTTCGTAGATAATGTCATCCTGGTTCGTCGCGACAGTGTTAGCCCGGGTTTTTGTTTTCGTCTAGACACATTAGTCTGGGTTCTATTGTCTGTCGAGAAATACAATACTTGTTTTTCTAGGTCAACATATAATAAGGTATTATATCAACATTTCTTTCAATTGGTAATCATTCAGGACGATTTTTATTGGTAGTTGCTTGCCTAGATACGCCTACCTCGGTTTCTGTCTGATATTAGCGCGTTTCAGTCTTTCATTGTTTTCGAGATGGTTTTTGGTTGGTTCTTGGTCTGCACGCTAAAAGTTAATCTAGTTAACTGTATTCAGTTAACATAACGTCATCATACAACGATATCAGACAATAGATAGTACGATTTTCTGGATATCGAAAGTTGAAACTTCGTTTGGTTTCGGGTTATATAAACGCCGCGACCGGGCATTTTTACTTCATTCCAACAGTTTACTTTTCTCCATTGGATTACCACCATTGCCTGGATTATTCAACCGCTTTGCCTGCTTTTTTCAGTTAGTCTTTTAGTTGTTTAGCAGTTCCTCGGATCCTTTACCATGCCTCGTCTCAGTTATGCCAAGCGTGCAGCCCTTTTGGCCCACCCCATGCCTCCTCACATGTTCCTATTTGTCAACCGGCAGCACTACGTCAACTGGTCCATCAAGCAAGCTGGTAAGTTGACCTTTAATCTAATTCTTCTTTTGAAATAAATTTAAAAAAATAAAAATTAAAAATATTTATTTTCTTAGATGAAATTATGCAATACCTTAAGATATGGCAGTCGAGATCGGATGAAGAAAATGTTAAACAGATGAAGAGAATGTCTCCGCCTGGCCTCGCTCCGCTCGGCCGCGGCTTCGACTTGGCGCGCGCGCGCCTCGTCTTAAACTTTTCCTTTTTTTCCTTTTTTTTTTTTTTTTTTTTTTTGCTCTCTCTCTTTTTCTTTAACTTTTCTCTCTAACCTGACTACTATATCAAAGACATAATAGCTATTTTTTCAACGACATTTATTCCCATGTAAAATCCCATAAGAACACAGAAAAGTCCATCACAAAAAACAAACAGTTTTTTATCATACAATGTTCTAAAAAAGTCCATCACACAAAACAAACAGTTTTTTATCATACAATGTTCTAAAAAAAAGTCCATCACACAAAACGAAAACACAGTTTTATTGTTGAACTCAGCTTAAAGAAGCAGAAAAACATACGCAATAACCACACGTACATTCTAATTGAACTTAAAGTTAACAGATGGCATCCAAGTGTCATTGAAATCAAAAGAATGCAGTGAGACAGGTCCGTCATCCAGTACCATCTCCTCCAACTCCGCAGTCAACTGTTGAACAGGCGTATGCTTACCCCAAATGCTGCTGAAGTCCATGGTGTGCTCACCCTCCGCAATAGAGTCGTCCAGTGTGATGACCTCGGAGCAGCTAGGGAAGACGAGGCGAGGCGTAGGCGGGTCAAGGGTGATGACTTCGGAGCAGCTGGGGAAAGTGAGGCGAGGCATGGGTGGAATCACAGGCTTAGCCTTCGGCTTCACCAAAGGCTTAGCCTTCGGCTTCACCAACGACTTAGCCTTCGGCTTAGACACGGGCTTAGCCTTCGGCTTAACCACGCGCTTCACCTGAGGCTTGGCCTTTGGTTGAGCCTTACGCTGAGCCTTTGGTTTAGCCTTACGATACGACAGGGGTGGTTCTGGTAACTCAGCAACGTAATTCCAGGCACGCACGTTAACAAACAAACCAGGGCACAAAGCGTCAATCAGATTCTAAAGATAAAAAATCTATAATAGGTTTTCAAAAAATGTTTATCTAATTTATTAAATATTACCTCTAGCAGCTGCAACCAATCCATCAGGTCACGGTGATCCTGACCAATGCCCTTAACCCACGTGTACTCAGCCTTCAACGCCACACGAAGTACAGTGCTTACAATATCTAATGAAAATAAAATAAAAATTAGAAATATAATCAAACTTAAAAAACAATAATTAAAACATACCCTTGAAATGCTGAGCTTGTTTAACATTCTCTTCATCCGATCTCGACTGCCATATCTTAAGGTATTGCATAATTTCATCTAAGAAAATAAATATTTTTAATTTTTATTTTTTTAAATTTATTTCAAAAGAAGAATTAGATTAAAGGTCAACTTACCAGCTTGCTTGATGGACCAGTTGACGTAGTGCTGCCGGTTGACAAATAGGAACATGTGAGGAGGCATGGGGTGGGCCAAAAGGGCTGCACGCTTGGCATAACTGAGACGAGGCATGGTAAAGGATCCGAGGAACTGCTAAACAACTAAAAGACTAACTGAAAAAAGCAGGCAAAGCGGTTGAATAATCCAGGCAATGGTGGTAATCCAATGGAGAAAAGTAAACTGTTGGAATGAAGTAAAAATGCCCGGTCGCGGCGTTTATATAACCCGAAACCAAACGAAGTTTCAACTTTCGATATCCAGAAAATCGTACTATCTATTGTCTGATATCGTTGTATGATGACGTTATGTTAACTGAATACAGTTAACTAGATTAACTTTTAGCGTGCAGACCAAGAACCAACCAAAAACCATCTCGAAAACAATGAAAGACTGAAACGCGCTAATATCAGACAGAAACCGAGGTAGGCGTATCTAGGCAAGCAACTACCAATAAAAATCGTCCCGAAGACAATGATTGACCGAAACGCGCTAATATCAGACAGAAATCCAAACTACCAATAAAAATCAAGCCGAAAACAATGAAAGACTGAAACGAGCTAATATCAGACAGAAACCAAATGGGCATTACTAGATACCTCCTCCTCCCTATGCGACTGTATCTAACTCCCTCCCACATACGCCCTAACTACACTTACTCAGCCTGGCCTCACTCCGCTCGGCCACGGCAGGAGACCTCCCGCGCACACGCCGAGAGAACAGTGACATAGGGGCGGTCCTCGCTACGCTCGGACCGCTGCCTTGTTTAGTTAGCTAACTGAATTGCATAGTAGTGATTGTTCTACCAATTGAAAGTTTTGTTGATATAATACCTTATTATATGTTGACCTAGAAAAACAAGTATTGTATTTCTCGACAGACAATAGAACCCAGACTAATGTGTCTAGACGAAAACAAAAACCCGGGCTAACACTGTCGCGACGAACCAGGATGACATTATCTACGAAACAAAAATCCAAAGAATGTTTGACCTAGTAAACCAGGATTAATATCTGGCTCTTCTTTTGTACCCAGTGGATAACAAAAGATGGTTGAAACACTCAACGACATTCTACCTTTACTCAATGCAGAATAATTTCTAAGGAAAAATAACTTTACCTAATTGTTTCGGACTCTATCACTGAATAAGCTCATACACTGAAAACAGGCTAAACTATTGTCATCCATAAAGGTTTGTATAAATCTAAATACATAAGTACAAATAAAATAAACCTCAGTGATTGAGAGTTTTGATTCTTTTGCGGAGAAAAAGAGAGGAGATCAGCGTTAAAGGTCATTGCTTTTAAATACACCGGTGTTCACAGAAATTTAATGACGTGGCCTTGCCCTCACCAGAATTGCGTATAATAGGTAACTTTCAACACGGTAAGCATTATGGTGAAATTCCCCGTTTTTGAAACGACTCTTACCAAAATTCACAAATGTTTAAGACTTTCATAAATTAATGTCGACATATTTTTTTGAAAATTACGCGATTCATGAACTTTATTGTAGACCAAAGATTCTGGCAAGCTTAGTCAAATCAACATCCAAGCACTAAAACACTTTTGCACCAGGTGGAGTTGAGTTAGTACGTCAAGACCAAAAACGACATTGGATTGCTAACCATTGTTTTATGCCTGAAACGGTCACTAGGTTTTCAACACCATGGTAAGTAAATATGAGTTACTCGACCGTTTTGTTCCAGAATAAAATCAACCGAATTAAACTGAAAGACATAAAAAAACATGGTACCCTTTACCCAAGAAAGTGATCCAGTTGGGAATCGTTACTGCGTTATTGTTACCTACGAGCTACTGCCCCAGACATCGAATAAGCTCTTGAAACGATAAATCGTTTGCGTAATAAATCAAGCCAAACCAAGCTTTACGAAAAACATTTTCGTCTCTAAAACAGAAATCTGCGCCGGCGCTTCTCAGATCCTGTGTGGTTACATCGGCATACGCGGTTTGTGTAAATAAGTGTGCCAATTTATTCGCAGCTAAGACAATCTTTCCGTAAATTTGAAAATACTGAAATTTAAATGGCTTCCATGCGCCTAACAACTTGAAAGCAATGACCGGCATCCTAAAGTAAAGAATTTGGTGCGAAATTGGCGGCAATGTGCGGTATGGTATTTATATTAGTAGTGCCGCGTCGCAGTTGCTTGCTTGGTCACATCTGATCATATAGCAGTCCATTTGTATCACCGGCGGGGTCGTTATTATCATTTATATCAGTATTATCATCATTGTCACGGAATGAGATGTCCCGAGGTGGCGGCATGCTCGTATCGCGTTGCGCCGCGTGCGGGAGTATGGAGAGACTACCGCTATCCACCAGTCTGCTAAACTCGTGCCAGTCAATCACGCCGAATTTCCACTCAGCATTAAACTATTATAAGTAACCGCTTAAGCTGCTTATCGGCCAAAAAATCGGCTCTACAATGTCGAGCGTAACCGCAAACAATATTTTGGCCAATACACAGATCAGTAATTCCTTAGGCTTAGTTAGCTCATGGTTAGCCATCGTTTATTTTTTTTCACGCAATTTTCAGCCAACAATAAACCATTTCATCTTACAAAATTCTGAATATAGTTTCTTGGAGCGCATGCACCAGCACGAAGCTCAAATAATATTATACTTTTTTTAACGGAATCAAAAATAGAAAACATTCAAAAATATATTGTATCGGCATAATTCCGAAAAACGGCATAAAACTAATGATATCATATCGGCATCGTAGCGGTGGCAAAACTGATTTGAGCAGCTCTGCTCATAAGCCTTCCCAACGCGGTTCTCTAGGGGCTGTATTGTATTTCATACAATACAGACTACAGGCGGGGCCCCATCGTCCAGGTCTGATTTTGGAAGGAGTCTGCGTTGAAAGAGAACAGAGAGAACGTCTATGTTAAAGCGCCGTAGGCATCTCGATACTTCATCTTTTTTGGCTTGCAGTTTGAAAAGTTGAGGCAATCATCAACATTCTGAGCCGACAGTTTTGTTGTAAATTCAATTCTCTTTTGAATGGTATAAAAAGCGGCTTCATGTTACAAAGAAAAACAGAATCTGTTGCGAGTTGACTGAGGCGAGGTGAACATCTGTCGACTGGGCTGGTCAGGGCACTAATGGTTGCCACTTGTTCAGAGCGCCCATTGACTGAGCTGGTCAACCCATTCATGGTTGCCGCTTGGTTAAAGCACAGAGACCGCATGCCTATTTTAAACCACTAGCCCATTTCCGCTGGTCATGTGGTTGATTTCTTTAAACGGCTCTGTAAACCTCCTAGTAACACGTTTTTGAAGAGAGAGACACCAGTCTGTCGGCACAAACGTTCTCTACACAATGGGATAGGGTTCAATGCAACCGAAGTAGCACAGGTTCGTTTAAGGGACAGAAAGGAGTTTTGTCTCGTAGACTTCTATGTTAACAAACTCCTTCCATTTGCACGCACACCGAACCTTTTATGATGTTTAGCCTGGCCTGTATCTTCACTGTATACAATACAGTGAAGCCCCTTGAGTAGGGCAGTGGTCTTCCACAGCATATGAAACAGCTACAAAAAGCGTTTAGACTCTCAACTACTACTGTTGCAGTCTTACCCAACCGCGTCTTTACAAGAAAAAAGTTTACACGCTCGCTCGCTTGCACTAAGGGCGGTTACGACCTTTATACTAGTATATAATATAATACAATACTACAATACAGCACCCACCAGTATTAATTTCTACTAGTTAACTGTAAAACTTGTCATTTTCCCCGCACGCCCGGTCTGATTGGTGCCGCCATAATAAGGGTTGCATACATATGCAGGTACGCATTCATTCTGTTATCGATTCAAGGAGCTCATACAGAAATTTATTTTTCTTCGTCTGTCTATTCTTTTGAATACAAATTATTGTAATACTAGCATAACCATTTTCTGAACATTTACTCGTACTTACCATTAGGTATAGTATAGTATGTACATGACGTCTCGCATAAACTTCAATCGATTATCAATCATTTAACCATCGACTGGAGACGAAGCGTTGTAAGACGGTAAAGCATTGTCATGGGACTGCTCGAAAAAACTCGAAGTACTGCACGGCGCACGCCCAAAGTACCATACATATACAGACCATCAGTTTGACGTTCCAAAGAAATAATACAATTATTAAAAGCCAATTGCATATACGGCAAAGAAAAATAAATGGTAATGCTAAAGTTGACTCGATTAGCATAAGAATTTTCGATTGACCTATAGCGGCTATAGGTTGACTTGGTTTATTGATTTAATGCAGAAGAGTGATGCTGATTTGCTAAACGAATATATTGGGTTGCAACGCAGAAAAGTGCAATAATGATGAATCAAAATGCACGTACGGCTACATAACTGCGTGCTTATCAACTAAAAATATGATCGACTTATTTTTTATAAGGTTGCGGTAGATCATTTGCACCTTCATCCAGCTGTTCGGCTTCGTCATGAATGTCCATCTTTTGTATGATCAAACGCAAAAGATTGCTCTGTTGATCCAATTTGCCATGGACATCCCGCAGTCTGTTGAAAAACCGAAAAAGGTAGTCTCTAATCTAATATAAATAAACGCGTGAAGTCTGATCAAAGCAGTTCCTGACACCAGCTTTAAATTATTTATTGGCAAAGGCTCGTGAAGGTCACGATACGTAATCTCCATGGCTTACTTGCGTCGCTGTTTCTCCAGTTCGCACTGCATTCGCTTCTCGCATGGCGTGGGTGTGTTGAAGCCGGTGTAGTTAGCAACCGGATTGCTACCGGAAATGCAGAAGAGCTGTAAAAATAATGGAAGTTTATTGTCCTTGCACGGAGCTAGCAGTTAAACTATCAGCCATTGCGACGTCTGCCGTTGCGCTTACTGTCCTGTGTAGTCACGAAAAAGTGATACTACTGGAAACACTGACTCATTATTGCTTTTAATCGTATGATTTCTTTTACGTTAGATACATTTGCCAGGAGTATTACAGAGTACAGACACATAACGGTGTTCCTGTACAGTGACCTTTTGCATTATTCCCTTGGTGCAACCATTAGGGTAGTAGGTGTTTTCTTTAAAGGTAACCCGTTTCAAAAACTATTTCGGTAAGTTCTCCTCCAGTCCAGTATGGAGATCAACCTGCATGGCCATGCGCTGTAGCGTAGCACTGCGCTGAACCGATTCGATGTCACCAACCGCTAAACCAATCTACAGCATATGATAGACCGGTTTGTACGCATTTTTGCAGAGTTGAGCAGATCGTTAATCATAATATCTTTTGGAATATGCAACTCAAAAAGGTTGACGGTTTTACCAAACGTCATTTAATGGCAGTTTGCTACATTATTTATTGCTTAATTATCTATTAGGAATATTTGCACTGTTGGAATTTCGAATCGCATATTACCAGTAAATTCATAACAAGCACGAACAGTCCAATGAATGCAACGATGAAGATAAAGGTCAAGTGAGGGAACTGCACCATGCCCTCCTGCATCGGAGTGATGTAATTGGCCACAGCATCAATCTCTCCTGAAGGAACATAGTTTTTTTGCAAAGTTGTGCAAAAGCACAAATTCACTCATGCTTCGCAGAACCGTAAGAAACATTTGGGCTTTCAGCTTAAATCAGTCGAAACGACTGGCCAAGGAATAGCTGCTGCTGGAGAGTGCAGGCAACCAAACAAAGGTTTATATAAGTATGCAAAAATGCTTTATTAAGTTGGCCTTACCCAAAAGCATATTTATAATTCGCAAAACTGAGTATCCGAATTTCCGATGCGGTGTCGTCAAAGTGCTTACGTCGATGACAAGACCGGGTTTCTGTAATTCCCGAATTAACATTATCACTAGAAGAATACAGTGATGTATCAGTCAATTTGAAACAGCACGGTGCCCTTTACCAAGTAATAATCCTGGTCGTTTGGAAATATGAACGACGGCAGCAGAATCTGGAATGCCAGCACGAACCCCACAAGCAAAAATGCGAAGACGAAGAAAGCGCGTAAAAGTGAACGGAGTATATGCAGAAACATAACCACGTAGACACCAATATGTAGTACCGAACCTGTAAATCGTGCCGTTGAATCGATGCGTGAGGTCACTATTTGAATATAACATATTTGACAGTATGAATAATAGTTAAGGTATGAGTTATGATTAAATAAAAATATGATGACCGGTAGTACGAAAGTATGATTATGAATATGAGAGCCATTAATATTATAAGTATGAATTGTGAATTAGGAGTAGGATTATGAGTATGAGGTCCGTTATGAGTATTAGGTACATACCTAGCCGATGCGGCATGAATGGCAGTCAGTTTGCTAAAGCAGCCAAAATTAATTTTGGCTCCATAAGCCACTAGCAGTTTAAAGCATTCCAGATAATCCTGTACAGCCGCAATATGGAGTGGCGTACGTCCGTGCCAGCCAGGGATGTTGATGTCACGAGTACTGGTACGAAGAAGCGCCTACGAAAAACAAATACTGTATTTACAATAATTTTCCAGTATCATTTATAGTTTCTGCATACATAGAGCAAACATACTGTATACACTTTTAAAATTTGCATTACAGATCGGCTGTGCAGTACCTCCAAGGCGTCCAATGCATCGAAGCGAACGGCTTCATGTAACGGCGTTTCCAACATGGCGTTTTTGGCGTAAAGGTCAGCGTTGAGGGCAATTAGCGTTTCCACTACTTTCATGTTATTATTCATGGCCGCCATGTGGAGGCTAGTTTCACCTTCACCATCTTTCACATCCACAGCTAAATACGAGTAATATTCGAGCAAAAAATTACGGTTACGGTAATACAACTTCTTTTAATATGTTCCTTTAACTGTTATTTGGTATGACTCTGTTATTTGGTATTTGGTTATTTAGTATTATAAAATGTTATTTGATATTACTCCTTTTTGGGATAATTTTTTCGTTGTTTATGAATCCGTTACTGCCGTTAGTACTGTTGCAGGTAACACGCGGAATGCCACCCGTATGGCTCAACATCCATTCCCGATTCAAGCGGCTAACACAACCTTTTGTGGCACAACGTTAACTGTACCGACAAATGAAAACGAATTTTCGAACCGGACCGCCAAACTATGGAATGAGCTCAACTTGGATGAAAGCGCTTATCGGTCGTTACCGACGTTTGATAAGGCACTGGACACTGAGTGGACAGGTTTCATGGGAGCATATTCCTTGGATCAAAGAGCTGTTACCTTGTTAATATACATGCATTCCTTCTTTCTCGTCTCTGTTTTTAATCAGCGACATATTTCATTGGAGAATATGTGTTTTGAATTTCATTGTTTCTGATTTGGTTGTCTGTAGATCTCGATAAGGAGCGATTCCTTGTCTCTAGAGACGTTAAGCAATAAACCTAAACCTAAACTCACTTTTGAGTTCTATACTCTTACTACGTACATATATACATAGTAATGGTGCTTACGAAGTACATATCGTTTACATAGTAATGGTACTTACGAATTCCTTTCTGAACTAGCAAATCGATCACCAGCGGCTTTCCATGCTCTGCAGCTACGTGCAGGAGGCTTTTGCCGGCCTCGTTTTTGATGTACACCAAATTTCGTTGTTTATTAAAAATTTGCTCCAGTTGTTCGACATTGTCTGTCACTGCAAGCTGGAAAAAATACCAAATAAGTAATAACAACATTTAATTCAAATAATAATCTATTCAAGACCACATTTGTTGACTTTTCTCGGTTGTGCTGCAGAAATTAATCTTTGCAAGCATGAGTGGTGCTTGCACACTCTACGGTGCCTTGTGTATACTTTACGGCTATATCCTAATCGACAATCCCCAGCTTGTACTTGTAGCGTATCACATTGCAGTAAAGGTTGTCTTTACAAATCATCGACAAAAATTTGGGCAAATCTTTCGTCTGTCGATCATGCCGCTCAGAATGAATTAACAAAAAATATGTATAAGTTATTAACTAGAATAAGATATTAGAATAGGTTAAAGGTTTAGGTTTAGGAATAGGTTTAGAATAAGTTAACAGGAAATGCACTTCTTGTTGAAGTGTATCCTAATTCAGATCTATATTGCCACGAATGGGATACACCAGAGCCGACAAACCAGAAAAGACTGACCAAAACCAGTATTATATTCTGAAAGCCCGTAGTAGAAAACCCGGCCAGATAGCATTCATTCCTTTCAAAACCTCTCCCGCTTTGAACGCCAAAGCGGAAGAGTTTTGACAACCTCTACCAAATGCAACTAAATTATTGAAATAATACGAACATTTTCGAGTATATAATACGAGTATTCATCGTGGTATTTTTAACCCGGCAATGTTGCCACGTTGACCAACTAAAATATAGATAAAAAATGAAAGTCATTTCTACTATTTAAATTATCAGAATGAATTTAATTAGAAAACCGTTATTACGACAAGAATGACTACGTGATATGTCATCGAGTCAAGAACGACTACGTTGTCATCGAGGACAATTTCTGCACGAGTGCCGGCCGACCAAGTTACCGGTACTGCCCAGCGCAAATAACCCGTTAGGCAAACCAGCTAGCGGGTGACCGATCTAGCGCGTGCACAGAGCCCATTATGGGAACGGGTAAGCAAGCTGGCGTTACTGTTCAGTGTGCCGGACCCGTTAGGTGAGCGGGTGACCGAGCTACCGGTACTGTCCAGTGCACAGATCCCGTTAGGCGAACGAGTGACCAATCTCCCTCTTCAGTCCAGCTAGTTTGCGGGACCCGTTAGGTGAGCGGGTAACCCAGCTCTCGGTATTATCCAGTGTACGGGCCCCGTTAGGCGAACGAGTGGCCAAGATACCGAGCTATAGGTACGGAGCGGGTGACTGAGCTATAGGTACTGTTCACTGCACAAAGCCCGTTAGGTGAGCGGTGACCGAGCAACCGGTACTGTCCAGGGTACGGGACCCTTTAGGTGAGTGGGTGACCGAGCTACGGGTACTGTTCACTGCACAAAGCCCGTTAAGTGAGCGCGTTTTCTTACAGATCGTCTTAGTGGAAGGGGACCGAGAAGCTTCCCGTTTATCGGCAACCGCATACCGAGTAACGTTGGAATCATCCGACTGAACGCTGGATACGACGGATGATGCACGGGAAGCCGACTCCGACTGAGCCGACTCCGACTGAGCAGATGGAGATGAGCGTGTAGCACGAGGCATATTGCACGCAACTCACAGATAATTATGGTACCGACCGTAAGCAAACGCCAGTACCAAAGGTCACCCAACAAAATCACTATACGAAGATACAATTTAGATACGATTTGACATTACGCTCAGGAAACCACAGAAATCACTAGACATTGAACTGACATGTGCATCCATGCGAACAGTTTGCTTTATATGCAGCGGCAACTAAGCCCGCGCTTGCGGGGCGCTTGTCCTGTTGACCACTGTCCAACGGGAGACATCGTACCGCCTCTTCTTCCTCTGCTGCCTTAACTGGAATTAGCTCCGCTAATTCTATTTAGCGTAAAATCCGCTTTTTTGAGCTAATACGATGTACCGATTATGCTTCGACGAAATATGTTATTTTAATAAATATTCATTGAAAACTAAATAAAGTGGCCGTTGACCACAAGAAACGCGGAGGCGAAGCCGAGGCTGTTTCTTGTATCTAATAAGAGAGCATTTAAAACGTTATGCGTATAAAAAGTTAAAAACCAGCGCGAAACTTTATGTATACAATAAAAATGTATAGATATATTACCATTGTTTATCGTTAGTTTAATATACCAGTGCAAGAAACAGTTTAAATAAACTTTAATCTACCGGGTGGCCCAACAAAATGGCGGTCTCAGTTTTTTGTTTGCTGTTCGTGAACCAGTCGTCGTACAGCAATGGTTTTAGATTCATTAAATTACAAATTTTGTTAGCTACTGAACGTACAAAAATTTTTTTGGAAAAGCTGTGACACGCTCGCGAAAAGCTGCGCCGACTGAAATCGTGCAGAAGCGTATTGTGACCCAGCTTTTGAACCATAAAATTTTGTGTCATTTATTATCCATATGAACTATTTTAATTTTTTAAACTGTTTCATGTAAAGAATGACGTACTCTATCAGCATACAAAAATTGGTTTCCATAGTGCTCGCAATAGAGGAGCAATGCACTCGACTCACTTTTGGAAAAAATGCCGATTTTTTTATTAATTTTTGAGCATTTGTAATAATATTTTTATGTTCCATGGCAGGCTGCAACAAAAAAGGCTAATTTAGCTGTTATGTGTAGCTGAGATATTGCTCTTATAAAAGCAAGATTGATTTAGATCCACTTTTGCAGCGTTGGTGAGAAACTGATTTTTGAAAATGCTGGTGGAGGATTGCACGAAAATCAGATGTCCGGCGCTCCAGCTCATCAGTGTCTGGACCGAACGCGGTGACCGGAATATCGTATCTCTTTACAGTAAAACAACAAGAACCAATCCCTCTACCCGAAATGACAAAGCGACAGATTTTAATCTACCAAGCTGAATAATAGCCAATTTTAATTTGCTAAGAGGGAAATTCAAATTATCGATTCTGGGTCACCGTCAAATTCTACCTATTTTATTAAAATAATTCGCTAAAAAGTTAAATGTTTGTTTACGGTTAATATGATTAAGCAGTTCTATGTTTGAAAAACTGCTCTTTCGAATGAAATTAATATGAAGTCAATCGGACGTTGGGCGGGGCCAGTTCACAATTAAAAGCTAGCCCGCCATTTTGTTGAGCCACCCGGTACATGGGAGGCAACATTTAATAAGTACGAGTACCACGAAACCAGTAAAAACTAAGTACCATGCAGAACAAATTCATACCAGAAAAAGTTCCTCTATGCTATCCTGCTCGGAAATTGTACCCATCACACAAATTGCAGTAATCTACAGTGAACAGACGTACCTTGAACAAGCGCTTGGGACTATGTTCAGTTGCGCAAACCTCTTCATTATTGACGACTTCTGTGCCTGTAAAGGACTCAATTCGCAGCATCGTTGGGGCGTACTTATCCAAGGGATAGCCGCGCCGCTGTTCTTTAAATCTGTATGAAAGCAAAACCTACTTATCCCACCATTCTGTTTTAACTACTTTGCTGCTTAGTTTGTATAATCGAAGGCTGTGCACAATTGCACATTATCTTCATTCCTGCACAGATTGCACCGCTTACTGATAACGTACGCGACTTACGGTCACTTACCGGCTAATTACATTGGTTAACAGTCCGCGGCTGCGCGGCGTCAACACTGGCGATGACCTTTCTACGGTCAAATCCATATGTACAGGCAAATATGAATTGAGTAATGTAATACTAATATCAGTCGAAATGCTATGCGCAATTTGCATATACCGTAATTATCGAATTTGTGGCCCTGGGGTACAAATTGTTCGAAGGCTATGGCGGAGGGGGGCTTATTTCGGGGAGGGGGCGCAATTTCGGGGGGTGGCATTATTTTTCGAACGGTATTTTTTGGGATGGGGCATTATATTTCAAACAACTTCACATCCAGTTCTAGTGGAACTGAACGCAATAGTTACCGGTATACGCAACAGCGCAACCTTCCCTGCAACATTTTCGAGCGTATACTGAGGTCCCCGTACACCTTTTTGCCGACGAATACCGCATTATATAGATGTGCGTTTAATGCTTGCTCATAAGCACAACATTTTTTAAAAAAACATTTGCGGTACACCGATCATTTTGCAGCGCTAGACATGTAATAACGGCCCCCTGGGGCGTAATTTCGGGGGGTGGCCTTATTTTTCAAACAGGGTCGGGGAGGGGGGCTTATTACAGGGGGGGGGGCTCTTATTGCGGGGGGAGCCACAAATTCGATAATTACGGTAGTTCTCAGTTTATATGTAATTTATCCCTACCGTTAATAGACTAATATGCTGCGTTCAAATAACGATCAAACATACAAAAACGTGAGCAAAGTGTTACACTTCTCAGCAAACCACTCCAACATGTCCCCGTGCTCCTAAACTGAAAAGGTCAACAGGATTGGTAAACATGACACTCAGCGGGCTGATGACGACCAGGTCGACCAAATAATGTATGGCTTCGGTGCTGCTACTCAATATTTCCCGGGAAGAGGAACAATATGCTGCGTCCGGATTCAGCAAAGTGATCAAGCACTTCCTGTCCTTGTGTGTTAATGGTGAACTCATAATGAAAATGAGATTCTGGTACGCCAGTCGAGGACTGTTCAGCAATTCAGCAATACCTCTCCAGGAATTGTAGCCCTTTAATAATTCAAAATATTACGCGGCACAGTATACTAGATCATCATACGAGTGCATGCAGTTTGATAGGAAAACACCAGCTAGGTTGTCTCACACGGGTTGATTAATAATACTAGTCGAACTTAAAGCACATTAGCTAATTGTAAGGGCTAAACCTTCTGGATGTCAGACGTTTTGAAAGTTATTTAATCGTCAAAAACAATCAGCATCGTTAATCGTCAAAAACAATCAATCGTCAAAAACATCAGCATTTTTACAACATCAAAATTTCATTAAGCTTTGCTATTCCTTTCATCGTTCCCATGACTGATGCCGCGTTACCGCGCTGTATCTCCAGTATCAGTAATTAAATTTACCACAACTTCGTCAATGAAAAAAAAGTCCACGTTGTTTGGAGCGGTAAGTTGACAAACAATGCTTTAGGATTAATGTTGTCGACTTAACAACCGTTGAAATCGGTTTTCTGCACTAGCCAATTATTTTGCATAAATCAACATAGTAAAAGAAGAAAAACTTGTGTAATAGATTTCGAAAATGTCGAATTCGAAAAAGTGTTTGATGGGATCATAAAAAACAACACGCCACGTAGTCATCGTACCGGCGAATATAAAAATATCTAATGCTGCATTGTTATGTACTGCGAAAATGTACAGAGTACGAACGGCCACCGAAGGATTACTTACATGCACATACTGTCATACAGTAGTATCGCAAAACGTGGCCTTGCCAATAAAACATCAATTATTTATATCGGTTAAAAATGTCGTGCCGCTAGCGAGAATACTGATAATAATTTTAAGTTCTGTAGTATACAGTCTGTAGTATTGTAGAAGATTTGTACGTACGAGGTACGTATCGTACATATCAAACTCGTATTAATAAGTACATTGTGGAATTTGTAGTCCAGTAAAGTACCGTACTTGTTACTAAACTTAAAAACAAAACTACTGTAAGTAAATCCATAACCCATTTTTAGTAAATACAATCATGATCCCTACAAATTCATACGATCAGAAGCGCAGTAATTAATTAGATTGTGCAGGTAAGTAATGTTTGTTAAACTTAATTAGACGTCTATGTTTCATTAACTTATTCTGTTTATTCATTTAGAAAATGATTCAGGCAAATAAATGAAGTACGGTTATTGTTGAAAATCTACCCATAGTAATATCTATATGAACAAGATGCATGCGAATGATAACTAAATGCTTCCTTACTTTTACATCCTTAATTTTCCTTCCCTTCCCTTATTTTTAATCTAATTATTTTGATATCCTCTTTTATTCGACACCATCAATTTTATTCAACCGATCCAAACGCTGACTGTTCTGCTCACTGCATTGGAGGGTTTTATTCTTAAAGTAAATTTCACTTTATAATTCGCCGTGCGCATGAGCGGGCACAACCAGAACCCGTGGCTAATCTCAAGTTAATCGCGAAAGAGGCACTGAAACAGCGAAAAACAGATGAAACCGGTTAAAACAAGCTCCAAAATGAAGGCTCCTTCTGCTGCAGGAGAACGGGTGAGCGGCGGTAGAGTCAACTCGGTTGATAATAATAAAGCGCTGGCTGATTCGATGAGTTTCTTGGCCTTGAAGAAGCGGCGCACGTATTGCCGGTTGTGCTTAAAAACACCTTGAACGCTAAATTATTATTGTATGCCTTAGCGCTTTTGTTGATGGCTTTCTTATGTAAATGCGCCATTGAGGGCCTGACATGAAAATTTCGCCCGATTTTACCACAGTTTCTGCCGTCAAAACAACCGTTGTAAGAGCAGCGTGCATGCACTTATTCAAAAATACGAAAGGTGTACTTTTGAATAAGCGGGACACCTTCTCACGTACAAATTAAACAAAAGCATTTCTGCAAATAATTAATACACTTAAAATACTAGAATAATTTTGTCGAATTTAGATACTAGAGCTATTTACTATCACGGCGACGAAAAGGTGGCAGTGAAGGTTATAGGACCGGGCACCATCACATGTTACGCAATAACTGTTTGGCTAATTATAACGACAGCATTCTTAATTTAAGTTAAAACACTTCCCACCAACAGTAGGCAACCATAAATAAACAGGACAATTTTACACAAATAATTTGCGACCGAAACCGCGTTTGTCATATACGTAGTGCCTTGTATGGTGTAGTTGTTATTTTCTGACATTCCAACAACGGTGATGTAAACTTCCACTAATGGTAAGTCGCTGCTGCTTCCTGCTGAATCCAATCTGGATGCTGACGTAGTTCTAGCTTTATGATAAGGAATCACAGTGATCCCGTCGATTTTCCCATCATTTACCGCATCCGAGGGGTTCGTCTCCGTATAGGAATAATAAGCAGCTATTTTACCGGCAGTGGTCGAAATTCTTATGTGGATACCTTCTTCTCTCACGGGATACCTGCAGAAAAGTTGCATTTCTTATTATGCATTATTGGCGACTAGCTTAACTATGTAAAATCTGTACCGAAAATATCGTCTTTCTGCTCGGATAAGAGAATCACTGATTGTATCGTTAATTCGCGGAGTCTGTGGTATTTCGCACGTTTCCCGGTTCAGTTGTCGGAAAAATTCGGCAAGATCCTGGAAATTATCCAGGTAATGTACACGATCTCGATTATTGTCGGTTATTTGCAGCAGCTCCGACAGTACCACTTCCGAACCCACACCGACAGCAAAAGATGTTATACCGACAGCCGCCGCCAAGGGTGCTGTATTTGCCACTGTGTCGTCGGTAATAACCAGGTTAATTTTGGGTACTCCAGGAATGGAGGGCGTGCTGTTGAACATGTCGATACAATATTTAATAGCAGCGGCCGTGTGTGTGTTATCCCGTAAGTGCGGTGTGAGTTTTGTATCGAGCGCCGCTAGCCGTTTCTCGCTCCACGTCATGTTGGTGTCCAGTGGAAAGGTCAAGTGGACTGTACTGGAAAATACCACTAACGCTGCTCGCGCCTAAAAATTGTACGGATTCGCAATATGTTCTAGTAAAGAATATTGTTGTTCTAGTAAAAAATATCGGAGAAATTAGGTATTGGTAAGGATTGTCGGATGGAGATGTGAATTAAAATTTTGCAGGTTCAAACGTTTGTGCTAACACAGTTTTATTTTGCCTACCGATCCTCCTTCAAATGAACCAAGCAGATCCTTGAGAAACACACGAGCTAGGAAGAAATTCAGGAAACCAATACTCCCCGATGAGTCCATCATAATACAGATGTCCAGACGTCCTAGACATTGAGATTCGCAAGCGTTCGATGTGGCGGCCGTCTGGAACGCGGGCAATGAACCCAGTGGATTGTAGTATGCCTGCCAATAACCGGCCTGAGCAGATATCAGTACCGGGATCGGCTTGTTCTCAGCAATTTCTGTCAGTGTGAGCACTAGACGGGCTACTAATCCCGAGTAAAAAGGTTTCAGCAGGTCACGGCGGTCGAGACTATTCCATTGTATATTCCATAGAGTTTTTATGTTGTCGTGTAAATGCACGAGGTGAGGATATCGTCCCGTATTTTGCGTCCTCTCGAAGTCTGCGGCAGTTACCTACAGCGCAAAAAAAGTTGTACCAATATTTCTCTTGTAATGCTCACTATCTGAAACCTAATCATTTCATAAAACGCATTATACTTTTCAGTCTAAATATATAGCAATAGCTGTGAACATGTTTTTATAACTTGTAATGTAAACGTGAATAATCACTTTTCGCACCTGCCAGATGCCGCCCCAGTTGCTCTCGGTGAAAGTTATAGCGTTTTGTCCATATTGCGTTTCCGCACAAGCAATTCGGCGCAGAATGTTCCTGTCGTCTGGAAAAATACTGGCGCGATCAAGGCATTTTATGACGGCGTCCACTACAGATTTCCCGGCTGCACGATTGTCCATCGTTGCATCTTGTTGAGCAAAGTTAGTAGGTGAGTGCACCACGAATAATAACAGCATTAGCACAGACTGAGCTGCTTCCATCATGGTTGTACAATCTGCAGATGCGGTTGTCGCTCAACAATTAAGAACACGAATAACCGTTCGTTAGAGGCAATAACGCCAAATTTCGAGCGACGGGTCGAGATGTAAATTCTCTGTTCGTCAATAACTCCTTTATGGTATTAAAAAAACGATTGCTGTAGTATGTGATAAATGTGCGATCGGTAGTACTCGTAATATTTTAGTCAATATACTCCTGGTTGTCGAAAACAGGAAATTCTCTGCGAAACCAAAATCCATTATTATTACTATGGCATTGAAGTACAGTCTGCTGTCGGTCATATTCATTGTTGCTGGAATCCTTGTAAAGTATAAAGTTCGGACAATAAACCAAATTTCATCTTATGATTCATTTAATTTGTAGATCAAATATGCGTCTAGTGCGCCGGTAGTGTATGCATAATGCAGCAATATGCAGGAGGCATCGCTGGTGGTAGTGCACTTTACGAAGCGGCTAAACTTATCATATCTTGAAGTAAGTGATAAAACAGAAAAATGAGTGATTCGAACATACGCTAATTTTGTGAATCACTGGACAAAAATGCGGATCTTAAATAATACAATGGCATGGCCAATATACGTATATTGATGAGCATATAGTTCTTTGCAAGTCAACACCGGCCGATCAACGCTTCTTTGTAATCAAAATTACTTCAAGCTTAAAATACGATAATTTTAATTCTAAAACTCGGAAACCTTGATTAGTAGCAAAGCTGCCTACAGTATAGCGAACATTAATTCCACAGAATATTTGACCATGGATGATATGATTATGGTTGTTGGATGGCTTTTATCGAATAAGCAGCAGAAGGAAACAAAGGATGATATACATAATATAACGTGAACATTTGCTGTGTAGCTGCTAATAAAAGCAGACGCTAATTGCTAACATCTCGTTCCCACAAAACGGACCAATATTAATGCCATGCGGCAACCACAATACAGTATCACTAAACCTTCTGGTTCACATTGTTTTGCTTAATGAGAGGTGGTCCCACATTGGATTCCTGCTGCGTAGGCGCTGTTGGTCCAGCTGATGGAGTCAGCACAACATACACCGGCTGTCCGTCTTGACCGCAGAATAGGGCCTGTACTCCGGGACAAGTGCTTGATGGACGGACGATGATCTGTTGCGGTCCTTTCAATGTCGTGGTCAACTTGCACAGATTGATCCCCGCCACGGTCGACTGTCCCAGGTTAGCCAGAAACATGACGATATGCAGACCGAACTGCACTGAAGGTCCCAGTGTAACAACCGACAGCGCAATCAACACCACTGAGCCTACCGCACCCAGGATGCTCATAACGATATCGATAGACGCAATCAGAAGGGCCATTCGGGATGACGGCGGAGTGCCGACCGGCAAGCGCTCACCGGCCTTGATGCCTAACATTCCGATGATAACGAAGAAGCTGCCCATGACTAAGAACACCGAGCCCACGGCGCTGTATGGCAAGGATCCCTGGCTGATGAGGCGACTCGTAATACGAGTAACCGAGCTTGACTGAGAGCTTCCGGTTTCACGGTGGGAGACGCTCTCCCACTGGTTGTACGACGGAAAAATGATGAACCCTAAGTTTGACAATGTGGTACAAGAGCACTACCTAGCTGTTGGTCATGAAACGCTGCGCCCCGTAAACTTAAATCAACCATACCGGAAAAACACTACTGCGTCCCATAATTACCGATAATGTCGTTGATCATCAGCGCCAGTCCGACCAAAATCTGGATGATCCCGAAAACCACCATGGGAATGCGGTTCCACAGGCGAGTGGGCTTTGGAGACGATGTAACGACCAGTTCCGGCTTTATGATCAGCTAACTATAAAAGTATATTAGAATTAGAACATTTCCGTTAACAAAGCTCTCCTTACATTAGCAAACACTGTTTGTGGAGACACAACGCGGCTGCAATCGACTGGGTCAAACAATCAGAGTTCACGCGGTTACGATCGGGTGACCTTTAAGGTATAGCATGTAAGCGCTGGCGAAGTCGTTTAATATCATAAAATATTGGTTTGTAAATGCAGAATAATTTTCCGAAGCATATTGCCAGAAGCAAAGTATGAAAATATCACCATGTATCCGTTTGCTAGTGCGTACTCTTTCACAATCTCCGCCAACATTTTTTTGTTATCAGCACTACTCTCAAGCATTCCATTTCCACCAAGACTTTCGGCAGACTTCTCTTGACTTCGATTGTTTATGAAAGTTAGTGGTATACATATATACTCACATGAATATGCTGCATGATCCACAGCTACAGCTACAAGATTCACAGTTTCCCACGTTGAGAGCGCGGCCAAAGGCACTCAGTCCGCCGGCATTACTCTGTACTGCAACATGAATCTGACAGCATCTTGAAAATGGCTGTTCCAGTCATGTGAACGCGAGCGATTACCGCAGCGATCGAAATCAACATCCCCGCCAGTATAAAGTTTATCAGAAAGACAATGTTAAATAATAACTGTTACTCTCTGTAACACGCACAATGACGATGAATTTTGATAAAGAGCTGCGCTCCCCGGCATTCTTTGCGCCAAATATGAACCGGTGTGTCGGATCGCAGGACAATTGGCTGAACAACCTGTGCGCACAGTTACCTAGAGGATATTTTGGTTAATACTGGTCAGACGTAAATGATTACGCAGCGACGCTTTATACGTGGCGGCTCTTTATTGTTTTTTTCTAAAATAGGAAGCTGGTCGGGGTCACGATATGTCGATGATTTGCCATATATATTAGCTGGTCCAACAAAAGCTTTGCTGCAGATACCACGAAAGCCTAACAAATTCACGGCAATGAAGTGTGCGCTGTTTTTGTAATTTCCTCACGTAGTCAACCACAGCACAGGTTGTCAGGAATCGAAAATAACAGTTGCTAGAATAAATCTCTTGAAAATCTTATTTATCACTTTGTACGAATTTGTACGACCTATGAATTAGAAGTGTGTTTTTTGTTTATCTACAGGCACAGATCAGTCAACATATAGACATACGGAAATCATCAAAAACATGATAATCGTAAAATCCATACAATATGTCCAGCATTTTTAACAGTCAACTTCGGTTCAGATTAAGCTGACAACCGACGGATGATAAGATTTGTTAGGCAAACGAGCAATGCGACAAACACTGCATTTCTGTGCGGATTATTACAATCGATGCACCATTGCCGGGCAAGAATATCCTGGCCTCGATCGTGTAATTATTCCGGTCGGAGAGACCAGTAACACTTAGATAAACCTCCAATTCGGGATCAGTGCTGTTTCCGGTCCGGAAAAGGTCACCGCGGACCGACTCTGTGGGAGGCGGCGCAGTAGTTGTGGTGGGTAAACGGTACGGAATGACTCCTGACCCTTCAATTTTCCCATCGTACAACGCCGCCGACGGGGTTGTTTCCGTGTACGAATAGTACACCGCGGTCTGTCCGGCAGTAGTGGAAACGGTTATTTGCAGACCTTCTACGCCAAGTGTGTATCTACGAGGAAAACTTCGTAATACTACTGGTAAAAACTGGAAATTACAATACAAAATTATCTTAGAAAAATTAATGTGGATATGCGATGGCACATTAAGCCGTCTAATGATATAACGTTGCTAAATGTATACGTCATCAATATCCTACATATAAATGGCAACATATATTTTGATCTACATTCTGGGTATGTATTCATCTTGGATTATTACCGCAATACACTTATAGCTGGAAATTTCACCGTTACGATTCTGCTTACTTAAAGTAGCGCCGTTCGCCTTTGATGAGCGAATCCGTGGTGGTATCATTGACACGGGGCGTTTGTGGTATTTCGCACGTTTCCTGGTTGAGCTGCTGGAAAAACTGTGCCAGTTCCGCAAAATTAGATAAGTCGTGTACGCGATCCCGATTATTATTGGCAATGGTCAGTAATTCCGAATATACACAGCTCCCGACCCGATACCAACGGCGAAGGACGTAATACCGGCAGCCTCCGCGAGCGGTGCCACCATCGGCACCTTAAGGGGTCCTGGATCATTGGATTTCCCATCGGTCAGGATCACATTGATTTTCGGAATGCCTTCCACTACCGCAGGCGTACTGTTGAACATATCGATACAATACTTGATGGCCTCAGCTGTGTGCGTGTTGTGCTGAAAGTGAGGGGTCTGTACAGGATCGAGAACCGCTTGCTTCTTCTGCGCCCAGGTCATATTCGTATCCAGAGCAAAGGTCACGTGGAGGCGGTTGGAGTACACTACCAAAGCTGCACGAGACTAAAAGCAAAAACAGAACATCTAAAATTATTTTGTCTAGCTGTAATTAAGCGATCACGCTTACGGAGCCGGTTTCGAATGACGTCAGTAGCTGGTGCACGAAGTAACGTGAGATGTTAAAGTCCGTAGCGATTACACTAGCGGAGGCATCCAAAGCGATGCAAATGTCCAGCCGTCCCGGACAGTTTGTTTCGCACGTCTCCGATGTGGCGGCCGCCTCGAATGCCTGCAGCGAGCCGGCAGGATTATAAAAATTTTTCCAGTAATTAGCCTGCTCAACGATAATTCCCGGGATAGGTCGGCGACTTCCGACTTCGGTCAGGCTCAGTAAAAGACGAGCGGCCAATCCGGAGTAAAATGGCTTCAGAAGCTCAGAGTGTCCCAGAGTTTTCCATCGAACTCCCCACATTTTCTGTTGCTCTGTTACATAACTTTGCACTTTCGGCCGCCGAAAATGCGGCAAGTTCGTATAAAGCGTTAACTATATTCATATTGTCAGATGGTGCGTACTATGAATTAGCAGAATGTCCGTTAATAATTTTATGTAGAAAGTTGTGTGAAAACGCAATCAAAACGGTATCAACAACAATGTGAAATACGAGTATTGGAATTTAATGACTTAATGAGAACGTCCGGTTTCAAATTATGTGGAAATGGGTTACGGGCCAATTCGGAGCCATTAATTACAGTGATTGTTTGGAATGTTTTCTATTGTAAAAGTCTTCAGATTAACACGAAATGAACACTAAATAGGAACCTCAAGTGGTTCCTATACGTCTTTAACTATTGTGTCTACGGAGCCGACCAAAAGGTACCTTTTGATAGCAAAACCGGCAAAACACTGTTCAGGCTGCATTGTGCTATCTATCAATTAAGTGCTAGGTACAATTAACGTTAGCATAGGTGTACTGCGTGAATTTTGGAACTTAATGCAATTAGGTGGTTGTCCCCGGTTGAACTCAAATCTTGCTAAGCAACTAAGATAGATAGGTGTATGCCAGAACGGGGCCATATGACTCCAGGACGCGCTTCTAGGGAAATGCACGGCGGAACGGGAGGAAAAGCATGGCAGCAAGGAGCAGCATAAACCCCGCAATGTCATGATCAATCACAAACACTGACAGCAGATAAATACTCCTACAGAACAGATGCTGCCAGACAACACTAATTGTATAAGATGCAAATTGAAACTGGGTAACAGCGAAACGCTTTTTGCAGTTCACTGCCTTTTTGCAATTTTGCTGGCATTGCAACGGGTACATCGAACATGACATTGTGATGATGTGTTGGGCTGTCGCCTCGGGGCGGTACCGGTTCTCGGACATTGGAGAACGATTATGTAACGTGGAAAATTATCAAAATGACAACACAATTTTTAACGAGTATTTCAATGTTTCGAATACTTTTTTTAAATTAATTTATGAAACAACTATTTGAAAATATGTTTTAAACTTTATCCGGCCGTTTTAAAGTTACAGTAATAGGATTAGGATTCAAAGACATACGTAATTATAGTAATTTTTGGAATGGTCGACAAAATTTTAAGCAATATATGCATTATGCACATCTACGATTAATTACAACAAGGAGCTGCCGTTGGCGCCGGGACTGAAGTTTGATTTTTAGAGTTTTATTATTATTCTTGCCGGAAATTTACGTACACTTTTTTCCGATTCACAGTAGCAATTGCAATTCCATTGCTTTGCTGGAAGCGGAGCCGGAAGTAATTCTGCAGTATATTACAGTATTCAGCAATGCTAATTCCATTCCATTTAGTGACTGATAAGTGTAAACTGTAAACGTAAATGCTGTAAAACCGCGTCATCTAGCTGCTTATCAAAGCAGTGAAAACACCGCAGTCAGATAGATTTTTAAAAAATTTTCCTTCCTACTTCAGCTCCTTTGGTTAAATCCTGTGATTTTTACCTACGTATTTGGAGTGTGAGGAACGAAGAGTTAACGTTTTCCTGGTTTTGCAGTCTACAGTAGAAGAGCAGCCGGAATTGCCGCCAGTCTGTCGCAAGCGCCTGCCATCCACCGGCTGGCAATGCAGTGGCTACACGACTTCTTCATAAACTAAACTGAGTAAACTGTAAACTCATAATAATTTATTTTATGCATTTCCATTTTCCAGCGGATTTATACAGAACTGTGATAATCTGCAATAATCAGTACTCGTAATTCTAGACTTAAATGTTAAATCACTCAATAGTCAATACTAATTTTTCAACATGTTCAAAGCATTTTTAAGGGACGGTCAGAGCTGTAGTATTGAGTATTGTAAGTACTTGTAATTGCAAACAGCTATCGTCATCGCTATTCAATTCAGCATCGTTGTTACTGTACTTTGTAAGATCTGTTTGTTATTTTTTGCGTTAGCCAGTGTTCTGCGGCTGTCTTGATCAGAGTTGCAGTTGCTTACAGTTTAGGAGGAATAGACTGGCAGTGGATAATGTGGATTAATATTTAAGAAGGTTTAGTGAAGTTCAGTCGTGTTTAAGTTAAACGTCGTTGTGGAGTAACTGGTACCAGTATACGTAGTACGTAACTACAGTACGAGTACGGAGTAGCTGATGTCAGCCAGTCAGCCGATGATGTTGGAACTGGAGAACCAGCGTAATTACGTGGCAGGCAGCGGGAATGGTGTGCAGTTTGCAGTTTGCCTGGATCAGGGCGGCCAGAAGACGATGGAGGACTGCCACAGTGCCGTGACGGCCCTGGATGAGCCCTTCAGCTGCTGGTCCTTCTTCGCCGTGTACGATGGGCACGAGGGGAATGCGGTCAGTCAGTGGTCCGCTGTGCAGCTGCCGCGCTTTTTCCTGGCCAGTCACGAGATGTCTCAGCTGTACAAGGAGCACCTGCCTGCCTCGGAGAGAGATGGCTTGATTAGGCGAGGACTGCTCAAAGGCTTTCTGCAAGTAAGACTAAGTTAGCGGACCGTACGGCGTACGCGCGCGTATAAGACGTACGGACGGTACGGTCTACAGATATTTAATATGCCTGGAAAATTAATATAGTATACATAGGTAAGTTACTTAAGTTACCGTAAGTACTGTAAATATAATTATATACGGTAGCGGGTAGCTACAGTGCACACTGACACTGTGACTGTGCAATAAAAACACGTACTTACAACGTTGTCAAAACCGCTGGGCTTCGAGACATAGGGAACATTGCACTTGAATCCACCCGGATGGTAAACGTACACATACTAGGAAGTAGGAAGGATGATCCAGCAGGTAACAGGAGAAGTACGAGCAACCGTGTTTCTGAGTCAAAGGATCAGCATCATCGAAACCCAGCGAAGACACGCAGCTTGTGTAATGGGAACAGGCGAACAGCACCACCGGCGGCGAATTTAGAAGAAAACTATTTTCTGTTATTCGACCGTTTTTCTTACATGTGACTGTGTAGCAGTCGCTGTGTTCGTTTTTAATGATGAGATAAGTACTTCGAAAAATTTGTTACCGAAAATTCACAGTAACGTCAGTCAGTCAGTTGCCAAAAGGGGCTGTACACTGTACAGTACAGTGAGTACAGTACGCTGCGTTGGTTGGATCGTAAGGCGGCATCCATAAATTACGTCACGCAGGTTGGGGGAGGGGGGAGGTCCTGAAAGCGTTACTATTGTTACAAAGGGGGAGGGGGGTATTGGAAACTTTGTTACGATTCTGACGTCACCGACACCATGCTATATCTATGGAGGGGTTCTAAATTTATTACGTAGCGCTCAGGGGAGGGGATCTGAGTTTGTTAGCACTGGTGACATAGGGGGAGGGGGGTATCAAAATGTCGAATTTTTGCGTTACGTAATTTATGGATGCCGCCTAATGTCTTTATACAATACGATCCAACTTCAACGCAGCGTATCTTTATATGTAAATTATGTAATAATCATTATAAGCTCGCTGTCTGTACATCCCGTTTTGAGTCATGAATTACGTACATAAGGTACTTACCAGTTACCATAAATCCATAAATTGCATACGTATAAGTCTTGTTAATCCTGCAAAATTACGTACGCAACGATCAGGATTGAGGGAGGGGATAAACATATGTGACACGCTGGCGTACCGTACCCAAGGGGAGGGGGTGGTCAGGTCCATGTATTACGCGTGGGCGAACCAGGTGGAAGTGTCAAGCAAACGTGACGGACCGCTACGAAGGGGGAGGGAGGGGTGAAAAAAATGGTCTTCTTTCTTCATTCATGCCTATGTCAAGAGCAGGCAACCCGGTTAGCGGGACTTCATTGTCTGGTCGGTAACAGAAGGTTAAATGTTAACAAAAAGAGATTATTCAAACAGATCAACCGTTTTCAGAGCAGACTTAGAAAAGTCAACACCGCTAACACAGTAACACTGAGTATCTCCATAGTTCATAACTTCATATTAACGTTTGGAATCCGCTCGAAAACGTTCTTCAGAACTTCCGCGCACTCCCAGACGCTTTTTTGCTTTTATAATGACATTCTACATAAATCAAGATGATTTGTATACAGTGGCGTGAAGACTGTCTGTGCGCGCAACATCCTGTTCGGATCTACAAATATTAATGCAAAAAAATTATGAAGAAATTCAGTGGGCTGTGTGCATGTTCATCATGTGCATTTTCATTGTACAGATGGACGAGGAGCTGCGAGGACTGCCGGAAATGCAGGCTGATGGCGGCAGTGGTCCGCGTGGCGGATCTACGGCCAGCTGCGCGCTGATAACACCGGAATGGATCTACTTGGTCAACTGCGGCGACAGCCGCGGTGTGTTGGTGTCCCGGCGCACCGTGGTCTTGGCCAGTCGCGACCACAAGCCCAGTCTGCCGGCTGAACGGCAGCGGATTGAGCGGGCCGGTTTCTGCGTGCAGCGTCAGCGGCTGGACGGTCGTCTGGCCATGTCACGGAGTCTGGGCGATTTCCGCTACAAAGCCGTCGCCACGCTGGACGCGCTGCAACAGGCCGTCAGTCCCGAGCCGGACATTTTCCGCTGGGAGCGGACCGTGCAGGATGAGTTCATCCTGCTGGCCAGCGACGGAATCTGGGACGTGATGGAGACGGAGGCGCTGTGCGAGGATGTGGGCCAGTGGTTGGAGCACACCAATGATCTGCAGAGTGTCTGCGCCAGGGCCATCGATGAGGCCGTTATGCGAGTAAGCACTGCGGCACAGCCGATACTGTACTGTACACAGGGGATACCGCAACTAACAATTGTAAGCTAATGCATTTTTTTCGCATACTCGTATGTCGTATGTATGTTATACTCATACGTCTTCTGTATTAACAAATACCTTGGTTATCGAATTTGCTGTCCCTGGGCTACCAGTTATTTCATTGCTACGGAGAAGGGGCATTAATTTCGGGGTGTGTCACTGTCATTCAGGACCGCGCTGGCGTGGGTGCGGCCGTGCTGTGATAAAAAAGTGCTGCAGCCGCACAGGCGTGCTGGTAACCACTGCTATTTTCGTATAGTACACTAGCTCGCGCGGCGTGGTTAAATTTTGCCGCAAGTTTCTTTAGAACATCAATAACTTGATAAGGTTCAACCGATTTCAAAGTTTTCAAGTACAGTACTTTGTAACGCAGTAATTGAGCTTTAATTCGGGTGTGGGGGATGACGTTTTTCAAACACGATGGGGGATCCGGAGCGGCCCTTACTTCAATGGTGCCTTCAATCTAAACGGCAGATCGCGAGTAATAGTTTTCTTGAGTTTTTCTTCTATGTGGTGTATTGTAGTACCTACTAAACAACTTCTACGTTACACTAGTTGCCGTATACATGTATGTATGTGCTAATGCAGTCTTCTAAGTGGCAGGCTCGGCAGGGAAGCAAAACTTGCAAGCTCAGTTAATGACACTGTCATTTCTACATGTACAAGCCTGTCCGGATGATGAGCACGATAGAGAACAGTGAAAATGTAAATTCATGGGTTACGCCAAACAACATGCTAAGCCCCGCCACGCCACGCTGTTTATACACGTAGCATGCGTTTGGCTGACTGGTGGATTGGTGCCCGTCATATTTTTTATTGAGTATAATCGTAACTGCCTGGTGAAAAGTGGTTAGAAAACGGTTGGTGCAGTAAGGGGCAATCTAACCGCGAAAGCCATTTACGCACTGTGATAAACGTAGTGTAGTGGCCATCGTGCTAAGCGGGCATATTATGCATTAGTATAAGGGTTTTATTTGGCAAAGGCCATCAATATGGCAAAATATGCATTCGCGTGATACTACTTAAAATGATCCAAATTTAAACGTTAAAGAAACAACCAAAATCGTTATTGCCATCAGACATTCTAGGACGCATATTCATAATTTCATAGTGCCCAACACAGCAGCGGCGTTTCCTTTCACCACAGCTAGACTTAATCTGCTTCAAAAACGCAGTAGAACGAGGTTCACCTGTCACGTCGCGAATCTTTCTGCCAGCGAAACGAATGAGCTCCATAAAATCCGAACCGAATGTGCCAAAAGTTTCGACTGGCAGGGCGTAAAACAGGTAACCCATCCTTTCTACGTAGGCGTATTTACGGCGTTTAACGTCTTCGGCCATATGCGCAACACTACCAGATGCGCTCGCACTTGCCCGGACATGCGATGCGGCTACCGTGTCCCAGCATGTAGCGTCCCATACCAGCGCCTTACCATCCCGTACCGGCACTAGGGTCATGCCGTCTGGCCGCGTGTTATCTTTGCCTGACAGTCCGAGTGGCTCGCTTTGACATGGATACCCAGCATGTTCCAAAGCCCGCTTTGTTTCGGCATTTAGTTCGGTATGTCTAGACCATCTGCCTCTGCTGCTGGAACAAGAAAGGCCGTGGTGGCCGTTCGTTTCTGCATGGCTTAGCTTTAGTTGTTCTACATGGTTATGCATTAGTAATTTAGTTGTACCTTTACGTGCTCATTATCCGGACAGGCTTGTATTTACATACTTCGCTTGGTCCAATATTTTAATCAGTACCGCTTTAGGGATCAATATATTAATCACTTCTACTGCATAGATGCATTGCTGGTCTTTACTGCATAGATTGCACACTGATAAGCGCGTAGGCTGCATAGACTGAATGGTGATATGCATGCATAGACTGCATTTCAGTCAGCCGTGGTTGTTCATGTGGCCGCCCGCCACAGAGGCTCTCGATTCGGTAAAGTGATTAATATATTGATCCCTAAAGCGGTACTGATTGAAATAATGGGCAAGGCGAAGTATGTACGATGCTGTTTATATTCTGTGTCCTCCGGTAGCGGTTTCACTTAATAGGCCTACCATACACGTACGTACTTGTTCCGGTATATAGATATGAAGATGAGCTTGTGCTGGTTTTGTGCAGGATTCGCGGGACAACGCAACGGTGGCCATGATTGCCTTCCCGGCGTCTGTTCGAATGTCACCTGAGAAACTGCAGATGGAGACGGCCCTGGACAAAATCATAGAATTGGTCGTAACCGGTTAGTGCTACCCGTATGATCGCTCGGTAACACTCACAATCCGCACTCGTGAATTACACTTCCCACAAACCGATTTCCTTCCGGTTAAAGTACATGAACCTGCGGTATTACTACTTTCAAAATCAAGAAATTTTCGGAAATTGAATACGTCTAGTTTAGACGGCTGACCCTGGCAGTCTAGTTTAAAACAATTAACGAATGAAATCGAAATACAGAATCTGATAAAAATCACCAGCGTGATGGTGGTCCGTTATTACTAATGCTGATGTCTTGGGTAGATGTCGTGCACTGGTTAGAAAACAAGTCTGATGAAGATGATGTGCATGTGCCGGATTTACAAGAGCTGCTGTGCTGTACGCGGACGATAATGGACGAGAACGGAGTGTCGGTCCCTAACAACAGCGGTATTGGTGGCAAGTGCGTTGCATGCATTGAGCTTAAACACTGAAACCAGCATCCCGAGTACCCGACTACTGAATTGGCGGCCTTCTGCTTGTTCTGCAGGCGCCACCTGATCGAGCGCACATGGAACCGAATGCGCTCCGAGCGCCTTAGCGTGCGTTGCGCCATGCCCAGCTGGTGTCTGAGCCTAATGTCGCGTATCAAGCCCAGGCTGGCGGGCCGGCCACCCTTGCCGCGCACCATCGATGCCGACGCACTGGCCGCTTACGTGCAGGCACGCGACGCTGACGCAGACCGGCAGCGCGGCGGTTAGCGTCTGGCAAAGGGCGATTTCTACCTTGTGTGTCCTGCCGCTGCGCATCCGTATCCTGAATTTGTTCCGAAAGAAAGAAGCGAAGCGCTACGGCCTACGATCAGTCAGCCGCGGATGGATGATCGTTGGTCATGAGCAGTTTGCCATATATTTCCTTCACACGGCAACGTCTACTTGATGGAGAAACCACCAGTAAAGTTGGCCAGTTTTTACAGCGTCAGGACTGTCGTTATAATTGGAATAACATATATACTTTATAGTTTATACATTAAACAGTGCGAAGATGCCGTAACTCTTTGCACAGTGCTTTTTTGTTTTTCGGTCAAGCACGCCATAACAACGACAAACTGCTTAAAAACAGTGAAAAAATAAAGTGGATTTCTACGTAGTGTATGTACATATATCGGCTGTTAGAACAGAAATCTGGGATATATTAATGATAACTTCATGTGAGTACGTACTGTACGTATCTATATCTCACAGTTTCAGCATTATAAAAAATTGTACAGCTCTTCTGTGAATTTTTAAAACTGGAATTTTGAAAACAGCTGGTGAAATTCTACCGTTTGGGCGTTGAATGGCGTAGAACACCATCGTGCTGCCTGAACAGGCAGAGTGATCAGAGGCCAGAGCTACCCATCTGACCGGCAGCGAGGGTCACAGGATCACGGTGACCTGCGGGATCCGGCTGCCCCTCCCGGAAGGCGTCTTCACCAACTGGCTGAACCACGGTCCACCTCATGTGGCGCCACAACGGCCGCGTCGTCTTCGGCCCCTCATTGCCGCCAAGGGCACCGTCCAGGCCAGCGTGAGGCCCACCCATCCCAACGACACCCGCCCCACCAACCGTTCCGGACAGCTGACCGATGATTCATACACTTGTGGGCCGGTCACGCTGGCCAAAACATGCCCGGTGGAGTGCTGGTTCCGGCCGCACCAATGTGTCCACGAGTGGATCTTGCACAGCACGACGCTGACGGTGTTCGCCAAGAATTAACCATTAACTAGGAGACCCCGCGCAAATTGCGCGGAATAATTAATGATAGTTAAATCACTAAAATTAAACTCAAGCCTGCAGGTAAAGTGTAGATTTTATGGGCGAAACGTACACCTGAATGCATTTGGTACACCTGAATGCATTTAAACTTTTTGGAATTTTCTAACAGCCATAACTTTCGAACCGGATGTTACGCGCGCAAACGGTTTTCACGCCAGTGTATACAAATCTTCTGGCTACAGGATGTCATGAACCGCAACAAAAATGTGTTGGGAGTGCGCGAAAGTGAAAGATTTCGTGCATGTACACGAATTTGGTACCATGTACCGGGCCACTTCCCTTAAGGGAAGTGGCCCTTAAGGGAAGTGGTTCCATGTACCGGGCCACTTCCTATAAGGGAAGTGGTTCCATGTACCGGGCCACTTCCTATAAGGGAAGTGGCCCTTAAGGGAAGTGGTACCATGTACCGGGCCACTTCCCTTAAGGGAAGTGGCCCTTAAGGGAAGTGGTTCCATGTACCGGGCCACTTCCTATAAGGGAAGTGGCCCTTAAGGGAAGTGGTTCCATGTACCGGGCCACTTCCTATAAGGAAGTGGCCCTTAAAAATGGTACCATGTACACGTGGCCAAACTTTCACTTTTAAAGTGGCCTATACATGGTACCATACACTTCGTGTATATGCAGAAATTTTCAGGTTTAAAAGTCATTATGGACCGATCTTTTTCAGATTTTCCACGTAATTGCACATGGCCATGAAGATCGTTTTTACACCGATCCAGACTTCCATGATTTTTTTCAAATTTTAAAATGAACTTTTAAATTTTTAAAATTCATTTTAAAATTTGAAAAACATGCTGGAACAGTGTATCGGTGTAAAAACGATCTTCTTGGCCATGTGCAATTACGTGCAAAATTTGAAGGAGATCGGTCCATAATGAGACTTTTGGTACACCGGAATGCAGTTAAACTTTTTGGAATTTTCTAACAGCCATAACTCTTGAACCGGATGTTACGCGCACAAATGGTTTTCACGCCAGTGTATACGACTCATTTGGCTGCCCGCGGCCATTTTTGTTTTGTTTTATTTTCTTTCTCAAAACTAACTTTTCCTTCTCAATTTTGGAGAGAAACATACATTAAAACGATGGAATATTATCTGTTATGGAACGTACAGTTCCATCCAGGTGCAGCGAAATTCAAAAAAAGCGAGTTGGCTGTTGAGACAGTGATGTAGTGGTCGGTTTAACACTGGTGGGTTCTTAGATTTTACCATAGACTTTGTATGTTAACGTCTTTGAAAGTTTTCTTTCAAACTGATTTTTTTCTTTGAAAACTGATTTGTGATGGCAAATCTAAACTATAAGGGCTATCGAATGATCTATAAGGGCTATCGAATGATACATAGTCATAGCAGTTCGATTCACTGCGTCGAGCCGACGGACTCAACAAAGATTAAGGCTTACGCGATTATTATATAGTGATACTAGGAGACACCGCGCAAATTGCGCGGAATAAATAAGAAATGAATAATTCAATGCAAAAAATTAACTTTTTTTAACTACTTCTAAAACTATAAACATGAGGAAATCATAGAATTTACTATAATGTCAGTGGACTCCCAGGAAAACCCTATATAGAGGGGGCTCGTGAGAATATGGGAAATTTTCAGTTTTTCTTCCCGGAAATGAACCGGCTTTCGACTTAGCTCTACAGAACTAATCCTTCGCACCATAACAGTAAACAACTAATTAACTCGTATCCTTCAAAAATTTCAGATTATTTGCCCAGTTGCAAAATAGTAGCTCTGTAATTTAGATACGGCTTACCTATCTGCTCATTTTTACCATCGCGATTCGCGCGCTTAGAATTTCAAAGTAAGTAAAGTAATGTAAAGTAGTAGTCACGTTGCGCAAACGCGCTTCTGGTGGCAGTTGCTGGTTGCTCGTAGCTTTTAACGCCTTTTATCCTTTCTGTGCTCTATCTACGATAAACAGAGGATAGACAGGATTAAGGGCATTAAAAGCTACGAGCTACAAGCAACTGCCACCCGAAGCGCGTTTGCGCAACGTGACTAGTATGTAGGTTGCCTCGTTTGCTGCTCCGCGAGCTCCGCGTGTACAGATATACTACCAGTGCACCACATCATGATTGCGCAATAAAATTCGTGACGGTGAAGATTTGACTCTGGCCCATAGACACATATGCTATAACTTAAATTTTCAAAAATTCATAACTTTGTAAAATTTCACGTTAGTTTTTTGTGAATATGCTTGAAAAATACGAATAATATCTACTATTAGGCAAAACAATTTTTTTTCTGTTTCCGTCTTAAGGTTTGGCACTGAGAGCATACGTGGTTATCATAGCCGCCTACGAGAAATCTTTAAATCAAATTAAATGACTTCTCCATAGACAGCCATGCTAATTACATAGGCACATAGTGCGCAACCGTAAACGAAAATCGAAAAAACATTTGTTATGCCTACTAGTATATATTATTCTGTATTTTTCAAGCATATTCACAAAAAACTAACGCGAAAATCAACAAAGTTATGAATTTTTGAAAATTTAAGTTATAGCATATGTGTCTATGGGCCAGCGTCAAATCTTAACCGTCACGAATTTTATTGCGCAATCATGATGTGGTGCACTGGTAGTAGTCACGTTGCGCAAACGCGCTTCTGGTGGCAGTTGCTGGTTGCTCGTAGCTTTTACGCCTTTTATCCTTTCTGTGCTCTATCTACGATAAACAGAGGATATATTTCTGTACACGCTCCGCTCGCGCCGCAGCTCGGCGTCGCCTGCGGCACCGCCTTCCATAAGAAACCGACGAAATCAATTCTGGTTTCGCAAAATCTGTCGCTCTCAAGAATGTAGCATTCCACCCAGGATGATGCGCGTAACGACCGCTAAGCAATCACTCAACAAAAATTTGTTAGGTGTAAAGCTCTGCTGCAGTTAATATAAAACTAACTTTAGCTCAAGTGGGATATGTTGCTGCCAGCTTGCTGTCCCTAAACCCTAAACATGCAATGCCACCTTTCTCGGACATAATTTTCCACAGAAAACAAATTAACTCGCAACTTGCTCAAGTCGTCGCAAATTTTTGCGACGAATATCAGTTCCAATGGCAACCGCCGGTGGAAACGATGCAACTTCAAACTGGTCAAACAATTGCAATTCACAACTCCTTTAGAAACAGCTTTGAGCGGTTCCATACTTACTCGTAGACAGGTCTTCCTTTGTCAGGTCTTCTTTCCAAATCTTACCATTTCTGATGCCATTTGCCGATGGAAAATTTATAATTTCATTCAAGAATTAAAACTATGGAATCGTACGTGGGCACGATTCAAGAACGTCCCAGCAAAGCTGGCCAAAACGCGTTTCAGCTGTCGAAACAGTGGTGGGGTGGTCAGTTTTGCAGTGGTGGATTCTCAACTTTTCTCATTGGCTTTCTACGTTAAGTTTTTTTTAAGTTTGCTTTCAACTGTTTGCTTTTCAATAAAAAGTGAGTTGCGATGGCAAATCTACCTAATTTGGGCTATCGAATGAGACTTAGACATGAACGTTTGATTCAGTGGATCTGGCTGGCGAACTCGACAGAGTGGGAATTTCGTTAAGGCTTACGCGATTATTATATAGTGATGATGATGATGATAATGATATAACCACCGCCTACGTATTCAATTCCTCTACGGAGGAATTGTCACGAATGTGTTTTGACTCCAGCCTCCAGGTAAAAGGCATAAGACTGAAACCGAAATGTAAAAAACTGGGCAGAGGGTAACCGTGCAATTACCCAGCAATTTGCATTAATAATTGCTACTGAATGTTAGAATGTCGCTCAATGAAGCGTTGAATAGTGTTATAAAAACATATCGTTCACGCGTCGATCGATAAGTATCCTTAATTACTAGTATTTGCACTCCCTAACAAAAAAGCTACACACTTTGCAACTGATAGCCAATAACAGATAGTAATGACCGCAGGGCATTTGGGCACCGATGCATGTTAACGAGGTTTGCATAACTGCAAACCGGTATACAAAAATTATTAATGCAATTGTTTGTAATCCCCATTTCGATAGGTCTAGGTGCAGAAGTATGCAGACTAGAAAAGGATTTCCTCATCCGTTTATAAACCTTTGCGTTGATGGCAGTTATTGTTGTTGATAGTCGTTTTAATTTTTGTTGGCAGTTTTTGATTGGCAATCTGTATATACCCACAATTTTCTAAGTATTTTATGTTCTGAAAAAAACTGTGCTGCACACTTGCACGTTAATGCGCATCATCGATATTACGCAGTTATTGTGCAACTATAAATTTGTAGCTACTATGTCTTCACGTTAAAATAATTGGGAGGCTCTTCGGAATCTGCCGAATTTATTATTTTTGCAGTCCTCCCGAGCTGAATGCCTAGTTATGTGGTTGCAGTATATTTTTTATTTTCTGTGAAACGTTAAAACTACCGACAGGGCCTCTTTAGTTGTATGTTAGTGGCAACAAACTATCATGTTACCGATCACGGTCAACGTTTCCATTTTGTGGTCAACATTACAATCCGGGGTTATGCTTTTCTGTTTCTTTATTGTGATTCCAAGGATCCATTCGGCTCCTTGTGAGACTGCACAACTTAATGTTCCTAGTCAATCAGGTACCCAGAAACAACAGAGCTGTTTCTATAAAGTACGGTACAGTCCTAAAACTGCAACATATATTTTAAATAATTATACGTCTTTAGTTTGTATAATTATAAAAATAGCGGTATAACAAATTTTTTCACCATTTTGATGTTCAATTAAACTGAGCGTAGCAGCACTCATTGTAAATGACTTTTCAGTACATAATTAATTTGACTTTTTTCAGTACATAACATACTACATATAACACACGATCTGCAAAAATCTACCACGCCCAAGTGTTATAAATAAACCGCATGCTTATCATTCACATCTGTAGAACAAGAATCGCGGTAAATCCTTAATGTCGAAAAATGTAAATTTTTAATAAGTACTGATATCAGATACGCATTTTGTAACTGTAATATACTGTTGGAACATCAGTTCTTTCAGCACAAGTATTGTTTTAATAAACGGATCCACCGCAGTATAAACTACTGCAACGTGTGCGCATTTGTATAGTACATTTTTATTTGTTAACTGACAGAAGTGCAAGAATATATGAAAGCCAATCCACCAAATCCCAATGACCGGGCCTTCTTTTCTAAAGGACTGTTCCAGGAGATATTACCAAATACCGATACAACAATTTCATCAAAGAGAAGGAACAAATAAACACGGTAATTATGGGGCCGGCGCGCGCATGCATGAAAGTACTTACAAGCATGATTAGGGGGGATCCATAAATTACGTACGCAGCGAACCAGGGAGGGACGGGTCAGAAAAACGTGACAAACTGTGACGGCCCCGGCGAACCCAGGGGGGAGGGGGTGGTCAGCTCCATGTATTACGACTGAGCGAACCAGGGGGGAGGGGTCAAGCAGACGTGACGGACCGCTACGAAGGGGGAGGGAGGGGTGAAAAAACCGTGGTTTTCTGCGTACGTAATTTATGGATGCCCCCTTAGCGAAATGTGCACGGTCATTTCCGTCACGTACGCATGCAAGATCTTGGCGAGATTTGACCTTACGGTTGGTAAACTCATATTTACCGTGTTTTGTGAATTAAATTCGTAGAGTGAAACCGTTAACGCTGAAGCAATTCGATGGCCAAATAAATTGATTCCGTACAAGTTTTACGAGAGAACAGGTTGGTAAGTGTATACTTCTACATAAAAATTAATAAAGTACGCATCCAACTTGTCACTGAAATCGCGACTTGTGTGCGATCGGAAGTTTAACATGAACAATTCTAATTACTGAACTGATTAGATCCCATTACCAAGAAATTCGCCGAAGATGCGATGGAGGACATTGAATCCAAGACCTGTGTGCGCTTCGTACCGCTCACCTACGAAGAAGACTACATTAAAATTTCCCCGGGCGCTTCGTTAGTCTGCTAATTATTGTGATTTATACCTACATTTACCAGTAACCATAATTTTTTCTGCTTAATTAAGGTGTGCTGCATCCGTTGGTTATCAAAAGGGTGAACAGATTGTCTCTCTGAATCCCGGATGTCAGGATGATATCGGTGCCACACAACACGAATTCCTGCACGCACTGGGCATGATCCACGAGCAAGCCCGACCTGACCGGAATTCTTACGTTTACATCAATTACAGCAACATGCTCCCAGGTGATTAATTATTTATTCAAATTTTTTTATTGTATTCAGTAGTGTTTTTAAAACGGTTGTTTTATCTGTAATTGGCGATTTGATCATGTACACATATAGATACTTGCAATTGTAACTAAAACGAAAATATTTCAGTGCTAGAGACACGGAAAAACATTATCTGTGATAAATATTCAGGATAATTTTGTCTTGTAATATTTTAGTTACAGTATACAGCCTGTACAAACCCGATCATTTTGACCATTTGTGGATTCTTAATTAATTTTGTAGAAGCGGGTATCCGCGAGCAGTTTTACATTTTCTCCAACGCTGAGGTCACCGATCTCGGTATCCCGTACGATTATGACTCGGTGATGCATTACCCCGTTAACGCCTTCGCCATTGACAACAACCATCCCACCGTGATCCCCCGACAGCGCGACAAGAGGATCGGCAACCGTGTGAAACTCAGCAAACTGGACATCCGCCGGATAAATAGACTGTACCGGTGCGACGATAATCCCTTGGATTATCAGGAAAAGCCGATACCCCCGGAGGTGGATGCCAAGTACCGGGCGACTTTTAAGAACTACAGTAAGCTGTGTGATGGTGTCAAGGATACTCCGGAAGGCTGGGATGAGCGACCAGGTGTGTGTTTGCGCATGTGCAGCCGCTTGGATGCGGTCACGCTGGGCCCGGATGGGAGAAATTTGTTTAACATGCAAGGAACAAAACGATGCCGCGCGAAGAATACGCTATGTACCGGTAAAGATGATACATCGCAACCGGATTGTGCAAGGTGAGCTTAATTTCGTTGCTTCGTTTCGGTTTCCTGCGTATATGAAACTGCAATCGTTAGCTGCATATATAGAAGTATAGATACTTATAGGTAGATAATAACATACAGCCCTGCCAAGCCAAGTTGGGGCAGTTAAAAAAATTCCTCCACTTCTACCAGTGAAGTGGAAAATTTTTATCAAATTTTTGCACGATTGTTCTTGGTCTATAGCACCTACAGTGATTTTGTTTCCATGCAAAAAACCGAGGGTCAGGGAATGGGATCCAAATTTATAATTTAATTTTTGGTGCAAAAATGGCAATGTTTACTAAGAAATAATCAAGTTTATTCGACAACTATTTAAAAATTGGAGGAGGCTGAGGAGTTTTAGTGGATAGCGTAGTTGCCTAACGGAACCTTCCTAGCATTTGTTTAAGCATTGACATCTTGTCTAGAAGGATCAGTGCTCTAGGCAATCACATTTTCCTAAAGGTTTTTTTTAACATACAAGTCTATGGGAGATGGAACTTGTTTCGAGGTTACCTCGAGCAATGATGGCATAACGTCCCTATTTTGACGCCTCACGGACACCTCCTGGGTCACTCAACAGGTTTCAAACATGTTCAAAAAAAAGTATCTGTTGGCGTATTTTCCAGAGGTGCAGTTATAAACCTCCGAAAAATGACCACTCCCCATTCCCATAATTCCTAGTCTCGCCCTTTACTGTCACGGCACGGTCACGTCACGGTCTGTCACGGCAAACGATTTTAACTTTGACACTGCTGGATTTCAAGAAAAAGTTTAGCTAGAAAAATGCATAAATAAAAACAGAACTGCGTACGGCAAATTTTTAAATTTAATTTTACGCAACTGCCCCAACTTGGCTTGGCACCCCTTGGCACCCCGTATTAACACTTATATATTACTGATACATTACTATGTTCTGCGAAGAACTAGAATTTTACATAGTCGGACTTCCTGTTAATATTTTTACATGGTATCATGGTATTGGTATTAGGTACTGAGTTTTGTATTAATAGTCAGTCTTACGATCGATTCGATTACATTATTATGCGGTAATTCATTGAATTTTATAAAGACCTGCAATTTTACGTAGTTGCTTTTACTCTTTATACATGTCGCGTCATTTTGTGTTTCAACTGCTTTAGTAATTTTACGAGATTGATTCAACTTAACTGCGGTAACTGATCGAATTTAATAATGCCAAAAATGGAATTTTGCACTTGAAGGTACTGCCGGCTTGGTGGTTATTTTACAATGCCGGACACTGGGCAGTGCTTGCATGTGTCCAAGTTATGTGATGGAAAGAATGATACGAAAAACGGCATGGATGAAAATGCAACGTTATGCCGTGATCTATGCCTGTCAAAAAGTACCGGTTTAAGTGGAGATTTATTTTCCTTCCCTGAAGACGGCAACCGGTGCATGTCTAAAACGAAGCTGTGCAACGCGTTATATCCGGGACCGTTATCCAATACAACTAACTGCGCAAAATACTGCAAAGGAAACGGCTACGCTCCGGTCGGGAAAACAATGCAGTGTTTACACTGGAGTAAGTCAGTTAATGAAGCCTTTCTGGTTTTTATCTAAGAAATCTTTCCATATTTGCATTCTTTAAAGAAACATTCTAAATTAATCATGAAGCCTTCAGGTATAAGATTGTCTATAGTAACCCTGTAAGTAAGACCATATGCAGAAAAAAGTGTCTGTGAACTCGTATGCCACTTTTCACGTTACTTTGTAGACCAGCTTTGCGATGGTCACGTCGATATTCCCACAGCGGAAGACGAAGATCCAGCCATTTGTAAATCTGATTGTGAGGCTGCCATGAAAGAAAGCGATGGTGAACTGTATATTGCTCCAAAAACTTCCCGGTGCATGAGCAAAAGGTCACTGTGCGATGGGGAGCAATTTGATGCGCAAGATACATCGGAAGAAACAGAAACGTGCCTGGCACAGTGTCACGGTTCTGGTTACATTAATACGGTAGACACTGATCAGTGCATCCGCTTGACCGATCTCTGCGATGGGAAAATGGATAGTCGCACTGGATGGGATGAGCGCAGTGATAATTGCCGGGAGTACTGTAAAAATGCACCGGATTGGCCTCCGGAAGGACAGACGTTGCAGGTCAATCCGGACACGTGGCGGTGTGAACTGGTTAACGGAAGCAGAAATGCCGGTAAATTTTAAAGGCTTCTTTCTAGTACCTAAGTTTATTTTTTCTACTACTAAGTTCGTACTTGTTCCGTGATACTTGTTAAAGGTATTTTTCTTTTTATAGATAGGTAATATTAATGATGGAAAAATGATAGAAAAATTATTTTTAGAGGTTACACCGGCCCCGGCTACGACTGATCCTAACAAGGACAAACGGATCACAATTTTATCGCGGGGGCATAAAATTATGGGTTGTTCGGAAGACACTCAGAGGATAAAAATTGTTTCGGCGAAATATACTGCGGATGAACCGGATCCGGCGTGTCCCGACACCGACGAGTTCCGGCAAGTGGCGGATAAATGTGACCAGATGCAGTTGTGCGGATTCGATCCGCTCGATCCATCGAAAACGCCGGGCTGCATGGAACGCGCCATGGAAGTTGTTTACCGCTGTACAGGTAATTCAATTTTATTTGAAGAACGGGGTTATAAATAACTATTCGTACTAAGATACGGAAATATGCAGTAAGAAATGTTGTTTTACAGCTTTTTTAATGTGCTCTTATTAAAATATTTTGCTTTATACCTCGTAATTGCAGAGGCGAAATTCACCTTCGAAATTGATCCAGGAACAGCCAAATTAACCGGAGGCGGTCCGGACAAGTAAACCCGAATTGTGCAGAAAAGTATCTGCCTAATACACGCGGATATAGTTATCAAGTTGTCAGTTTTCAGTTTTGACAGAAATGAATTTCCAGGCCGTTTCTTAAGCATGTGTATTGCGAGTAATTTGTACGTTCATAATAAAGTGTTTGTAAATTATACATTCTTGACTGCGTTTTGTCCCCCTAAACCACTTTATAAGTTTGCGTCACCTCTTTCACAACAAGAACGAAGAATTTTAGATACATAATTTGCAACAGTTTAATTACGTAACCTCATCAATCCAACCATAGTACGAACCTGCCGAACCATAGTTTGCCAGATTTCTTGCAGAAATGGTAAAACTACATGTACTCTTGTAGGAATTTTTAGTCCATGGCAGCGCGGCACTAACTGAGAAACAAATTTTTGATTTGTACCAGTTGTGCATACAAATACGTATTTTTACGTTACCGAATACAAGAGCTAAAATTTAAAGCCCTTTGCAATAACTGATGTAAACTAAAATGACAACTAAAATGACAACTGATGTAAACTAAACTAAACTGCCGGTCTGGCAATGGATGCCGATGTTTTTGGATGCAGATGACGATGGGCCAACTACCTTGGAAGAAGTTGCATTTTGTGCCGTATGAATAGTCGTTCCGTTCTCCACTGTGGTGCCCTTCCCGGTTATTAGCGACGGGGATTTGATACCAGTCGTTGCATTTTTTGCTGATCTTGTAAAGCCACGGTGATAAGAAGTATAACACACTGCGGAGTATGAAACATCATCCTATCTCCTGGCACTACCGGTTAAATATTAAAGCCGATTTTTCTGCAGCTGATAAGGTTAACTTAATATCAAAAGTATTCGCCTATAGGTTTTGCCACGATCGCACCGAATGTTACTGGGAACGCAATGGTGGCAGTGCCGACTACCAATTACCATGCAAGATGGGAGATATTCGTTCCTTGCGCAGTCGTGGTATTTTGCCATGAGCATTGAACATGTAATATTTCAATAGCCATTATAAATGCATAGCGCATTAAAAGACTGAGTAAGTCTTTTAATGCGATCCGATGATTCATATAATACAGTGCAGTAATTAATGCGTTTAGATTTGTACTACACTTGCACAATACAAGTGCGAGTACTTACGAGCTCTACACGTGCATATCTGTCCTCGGGGATTTAAGAAACGTGGCTCAATGATTTGAGGTGACCCGAACTTTTACCACGTGAGGATTATATATGTGCCAAATTATTGTTAAGTATTTCAACTAATTTAACTAATACGCCGGCCGAATGCCGCAGTGCATGAAAATGAAATGCGCAGAAAAATTATCCAGCACCGTCTAATGCGTCCGAGCTAGAATAACTTTCGGTTACCTTGCAAATTGGGTGCTACCAGCTGGAAATGTCTAAATCGGCGGGCCATATACAGTCTGTACATATATCTGTATTATAACTGAGTCAAGGAAAACAGTGCCTATCTTCTGAGCTTGTCCTATGTTATATCAGCGACCGGGCACCAGTTACGCTGCGCTACCGACACGGGGCCGTTAAAAAGCAACAGCCGCAAAGGTCACTCATTTACACTGTATGTATTTCTAGCATACCAGTAAAACCATGATATTGTTATAAGTTATTTTGTGTACACTGTTGCAACACGGCAACCCTAATTATGCAGTCCGTAAGATCCGGGTTGGACATCAATGCGACGGTGGTACGTCGGGCTTTGATTCAAAAACAAAAACCAGGCAACTGTAGACAGACAAAAACATTTGCAATATTATCAATCTGCCACTTTAATACACGTTAGTCCGCCGTACACGTGATATACTACAAAAACACAGCCGTATTTTGCGATTGCTTTGTTCGCCTACGAGTAGTTGTTTCGAAACGATCCCGTGCAGTACATGTGCAGTGCAGGTGATAGTGCGTTTACCCATAAATAATTACTCGTAACATTCCCAGGCACGCAGTTGTGGGAGCTCAGTACAAGGAGAAGTACGAGTACGTACCCGCTTGCAGCACATCCGGCTGAGTTGTCTGTCACAAACACCCTACAAAAACAGCATTTAACGCTGTACAGTGGAGAAGAGGTGATAGCCAGACGTGGTAATCGCCATTTCGTTGCGGCGTGTTTGCAAATACTGCATTGTATACCGTTGCCACAATGCTGAGCGTCAGTGTGTTTTTAGGGAGTGCAGCTTTCTTTGCGGTAATTATGTACATACTGCAACGCTGGAGCAAATCGCATCCGGGTCATGCCATCAGACGGCCGGGAAGAACAGGAGTATTGCCGCCGCAGCCAGCGGGATGGCCGCTATTGGGTCATCTGATGCTGCTTCTGAAAGGTCACCGACACCGACGCATACAAAGCGTTGGCCGGGAGATGGGCGGGTGTATGACCCTTAAACTCGGGCCCAGGTAAACCATCCGTGCAAGGGTTTCTTTAGAATTTATTTCACAATTCCATAGAATTAATTCTGTCTTATTCTACACTGTGTTTATGCAGTTCGTGTACGAGGATAGGTATTTAATCGAGCCGGTAGCGGATCCGTTGCATCAAGCTAGACAAGCTGGCTATAGCGTACCCATCGTAGCAGTCTACCGTGGACGGTTGCACTAACCCACAGTGTGTAACCAACCGAGGATGGGTGTAGCGTGCATGCACTAAACAATCGCACATGTTAGATAGCGCAACCAACCATGGTTAACCGTCAAGTTACTGCTAACCATCTACATTCTACAGTAATTTGGATTTGCTAACCAGCTTGACATACAGATACGCAAGAAATTCGCTACCGGCTTGATTGTACTCCACCTCGTAGCGACATTAATGAGGTGACAGATTCAACATAATGACCCTGAAGATCAGCTGAATTTCACTGCAGCTTTTTCTCGAACACGCTACGGGCACCTTAATTTCGTTAGGAAAAGTAACGATGATCACGTGTTATGCGTATTTCGGGTAGTGGCAAAATTGCTGAAGGCTTATTTATCCACGCCTTTCAGCAATCAACACAACATGCACATTATACAGAAATCATTTATTTTCATCGAATCACAACTGGTCACGAAGCCAGAGAAATACGGAGTACACGTGCAACTGTCTCTGTAGGAAATCGGTATGGATTACATCGTACGGGTACTTTCGAGATGCAGTGATCAACCATGCCTGGGAGTTTGCCGGTCGACCACCGGAGGTGACTAACTCGGACTTCAGCAGTGAACACGGTACCTGGAAATTGTATTAAACAGTCAGTAACTGTGCAATCAGTACTGCAACACGGCTGCGGTACGTAATATCTATATTTAATATTGCTGGCAATTTTGGCCATATGCCGGATTATCGGTACGTTTACAACTACCTGTTTGTTATATTTTACTCATGAGCTGTAATTATTTTGTGTAACGTCTGAAATGCGCAGGAATCGCGGCCAGCGGCGTTAGTGAGCCGGAGCGGGAAATCCGGAAATTCACACTGATCAGCCTGCGCAGCTTCGGATTCGGCAAATCCACAATGCAGGACACGATGCTGCATGAGGTTAACGAGTTGGTCAAGACCTTTCGGCAGCACTGCCCCACCCACGACCGGCCGCTTCCGTTACCTTTCAATCCTCGCAACAGTCTGGCTAACGCCGCCGCCAACGTCATCTCTTCGGTACTGATGGGAAAAAGATTTCAGCCGGACGACCCCAACTTCATCCGGTTGAGCGACGACCTAACGGAAGCCATAAAAAAGGTGATGATATCACAGCAGGCGCGTTCGTTTCCCCTTCTACGGCTGCTCTTCCTCAACCGGGGCATCAAATCCGCGCATGATGCATTTCGCCGCGCCCATGACTTTGTCACTGAAATCGTGCAGGAACATGTGCACCAGAACCAGCCGCGGATGCCACGGGATTTTGCCGATGACTGGCTGGACAAGGCGGCCGACGAAGCAGCCAAGGGGAAAACGACCTTTGCTGTCGAACATCTGCCGGCTAAATTATTGGACCTGTTTATCGGCGGCTTCGAGACCACCGCGACCGCCATTCAGTGGTAAGCGCGCCGGTGACCTTAGAGATACCAGTAATATTTGCAGTGTGTTACAGGATCTTGCTCATGCTGCTGCACCATCCACACGTTCAGATCAATGTACACGACGAGATAGACCGCGTCATCGGACCATGCTGCGACGGCCAACAGATCACTCTGGAGCACCGCGAGCATTTGGTATATACCGAAGCAGTCATTTTGGAAACGCTGCGCAAGTACCCATTAGCACCTTATGCAGTGCCACACATGTGCGTCAAGGAGACACAACTGGGTGATTACATTATTCCCGAAGGTATGCATTACTAGTACTATTGTTTAGCTGTCGGATTCGTGGACTTCATTTGTTAGTTAGCGATGATACGTCATATGGCATGGAATTTCATTAAATCTCTCACTACAGATACAGTAGGATAGCACAGCGAGCGGCATTAACGTTACCGTCGAGCCGGGTGACGGCAGGTTACCTTAATACGTTGACCCAGCTAACAATATTTAGGCCGCCCATTTCCGCTGCCGGCTGAAGCTGCGTATTACAGCGACGATGTTATGTAAATTATTTCCCTTGATGTAAATTACGATCCACCACTTCATGCTGCGCTCTGGTCTACTACCAGTGCACGCAGTAGAGAATTTTCCTAGTGTTTAAAAAGTCAGTTTTATAAAGGTGGTAATGGTTCCACCCACAGCCGGTAGCGCCTTGCAAACGGATGGGTATGTGTTACCACCGGCACCACCTTCAAGAAGTCCTCTGTAGAATACAGTCAGTATATAAATATATGCAATACTAACGATCGTACTAGTACTGTACCTACGCTACTGGTACTGTACTTTTTGCCCACACTGACGAAACAGTTAGTTGAAGCGCTTACATAGAAGTACAGTACAGATACCGTAAATGGGCAAATATTTGATGAAGACTACTTCGTATATTTAATGACCGTGCTTAAAGATTATGTTGACTGCGCAGGCACGCAGGTAATGCTGCATCTGTACTCTATCCTCCACGATCCGCAAATTTTCCCTGAGCCAGAGAATTTCCGTCCCGAACGCTTCATCAGCCCCGAGGGTCGACTAAGCATACCGGAACAGTTCGTGCCCTTTTCGGCCGGCCGGCGTGCCTGCATCGGCGAACAGCTGGCCCGCAAGGAGCTCTTTGTCTTCTTTGCCAACATTATGCACAGTTTCACGGTATCTGCACGTGATCCCGCTCAGCTGCCTTCGCTGAACGAGAACGAGGGCTCGGTCATGTATCCAGATCCATATGAAATCATCTTGCATGAACGCTGATTTCTTCGCTGATCTTGAATCACAATCACGAGTGGCAAACAACAATTTACGAGTTGTTCCTCCAAAATAACGGAAGACTGTCCGAACACCACATTGGTGTCGCAGGCTATTGAGAAAGATTGCATTCTGTGTATTTTCGACCGAATGTTATCCAGCCTTTTTCAGTTTTTCAGGGCATCTTATTTTACTGTATTATCTATGTAGAATACTGAAGGACATAATCGTTTTTATTACGCCATGGGCCCCATTACTTCAGTTCTGATAGAACACCAGTCATGATATGAAACAAATGAGCCTGAATTCGTATCCTGATGAAACGATTTCAATCCGTGTTCGTATTCGGTTCCGTATTCGTAGTGTTCAGATTACTTCCTGTTTGTAGTTAGTTATGAGCAGCCGATTTGTAATTTATAGTATCTCATAACAGCCTGCAAAGTGCAAACAAAAGCGCATAAATACACACATTTTAATAACAGAAATTAACAAAACTGAAAACACGTTTAGGGTTAAGTTAGCTTCACAGTGTTACTCTGCATAAGGTAATATATAAGGTAAAATAAAAATAACCGCACCAAAACGAATAATTTATGCTTGTAATTTGGTGTACAATCCGATGTAAGGCTGCAGACTGCAGTAGCAATTGCAACCAAACTGAATAAAGGTCAAATCGTACAGAATAACGGATGGTCACCATGGCCACCATGCCTTCTTCGTTTTAATCCCCTTGGCCCCATGGTGTAGCGTTATGTTGGTCGCCGGTTTGTCTTTTAATGCCGAGATTTTGGGTGCTGACGGTAACGGCGATGGTGTAGATACCTGGGATGAAGTTGAGTTTTGTGCCGTATAAATTGTCGTGCCGTTCACTACTGCAGCGTTCTTTCCGGGCACTAGCGACGGGGATTTTATAACAGCCGGAGCATTTGTCGCCGTTATTGTACAGCTGCGTGTTATAAGCATACACAATACGGCAAAGTAAGGGAAAATCATTTTATCGTTTATCAAGAGACGTTAATGAATATCAAAACTAAACTTTTCTAATTACAGGCAATAAACAGTTAATCTAAATATCAAAGCGCAGGATTCTCGCGCAGTCAGGGTGCAAAATCGCAGATGCTCCGTTATCGCCTTTTCGGTGCAGTTTTATGGTAAATATTTTAGCCATGGGCGTCCCATACATATAAACTTGATATTTAGTGATGGTTCAATAGCTCCAGTTAATTGTTAAACACAGCGTAACGCATGATGCTATAATGGTTTTATGACAGACAACTAAGGCGCATGTGCTGCAAGCGTATCTGCAGTTCTCCTTATACAAGTTTCCCGTTTCCGTTTTACTGCCAAGTTTCCAGCTTTCCTCAGCTGAAATATTGCGAGTAAGCAAGATTTTACAGGTAAATGCACTACTCGTATCCTGGTACCTAGATTGCGCATGTGCCGCTCTTGTCAAATTAACGATCTCATTCATTGACTGTCAAAAACAGCAATAGCAGAGTAAACCTGCGTTTTTTCAGCTCGCTTGTGAGCAGTCCATACCGCGAACTCGGAAGTAATTGTGGCAGATTGGTAGAACAGTTTTTAAGCAATTATGGAATTCGGTGCATCAGTTACTCACCATAAATTAGCAGAAAACCACATCGTTATAATAATAACTACACCTCATGTTGTAGCCAGTCCTGTAGCATCATTCGCGCTTGTTGGTATAGTTTCCATATGTTTGTACTATGTAGGGATAGTTACGATAATACCGACATATACATAATCGTACAATGCCGGGAGAAGAGCGGTTGTATATCCCTCAAACTCGAACCCAGGCAAGGCAGCTGCATAAACGCTACTCGAGTAGCGGTTCTCAGTACATCCTTGCAACTGGCGCAATGAAATTATGTCAGACTCAGCATAATATACATAACCACGGGGACCAGCAGTCGCCAACGAAGCTACCAAGATAAAAGTGGCCTTGGTTGTCGAACATTTGCCGGCTGATTTTTCGAACCTGTTGTCGGCGGCTTCGAGACCATCACGACCGCATTTCAGTAATAAGCGCGCCTGTGACCTTAGTGATACAAAATATTTTTGCAGTATTTACAGGATCTTCCTCATGCTGCTGCACCATCCACACGTTCAAATAAATATGCCCGCAGAGATAAACCGTGTCGTCGGACCATGTTGCGATGGCCGAAAAATCATTCTGGAACACCGCGAACATTTGGTGTACGATAAACTTAGATCCCGTTCGCAAGCCAAGCTTATGCTTAGCACCCCGTACCGTGACGTAGGCTATAGCGTGTTTTTACGGTAACAGAAGACCGTCTCGAACTTGGTAAAATGAACAGTCAAAACTGCGCTGCATCCTGTATAGTTCCATTTCATTTTGGACGAAACATTTCCTGATTTTATTCTAGTATGGTAATTTTTAAGATATTGTTATTCTGTGGTGTTAAATTGGCACCGCACAGCATTATGGTGTTGTTACTGCTGCGTATTGTCACTGTCACCGTGACACGTCGGAAGCGAAACGCAAATTTTGCAAACAGCAGAACTACTCGGAAGGCGAATAATCTACAATCGCCTTCATGACCTAATAATCTCATAGATCATTTACTTCCACGAGTTTCACTTTTAAATTAATGCCACACATCGTAAAAAAGACCCTTAAGATTCGCTGTTAGTGGCCGATCTGTATAACGTCGCACTTGTACATAAACTCAAATACTCTGTAAAGTATTTAACGATGTATTCGAGAAACGCCGACATGGGTTTTTTGGGGCATATGGCCAGCCTCGGCTCGGCCTCGGAGTCTCGTGGAAAACGTCAGAACATGCTCGGCCACCGGAAGGAGCGTATACGTGTTATCGCGAGCAGTGCCACCTGGTGCGTGGCCAGGTGACCCCTGATTCGTGCCAGGGGGTCGAAGACACCTGATTCGTGGCCAGGGAGTGAGATGGATCCTGATACGAGGTCAGGATGTTGCGGCTGCCTTCCGGTGCGGTTCTGTGCGTACCATAGCGAGAGAGCAGCGCGAGTGAGGAATGACCTTTAATGAGTTACACAACAGTGCTCATATAACTGACGAAGCCAGCAAAAACAAAACTTGATTGCTTAAGGGTTGGGAAGGCGGGTAACAGGAAAATTACCAACGTCAACTTTCAATGATCAACATCCAATTCTGACAACACAAAAAATGAGGATAACATGCAAAAAGCTCGCACATACCGAAAAACACAAATTCGATAAATGCAAGTAGGCTAGCATGAGATGGAACTGACGGTTAGGTAGTCCGTAGGTGAAATGGCAGTTTGCACACCGTACGCAAACAGGAAAGGCAGGCGATTCGCTGGCAGACATGCCGGTGGTATATTCCAGGAAGGAGGAGAAAGCATCCGTCGGCTCGCTCAAAGTCCGGCGGCTAATCATTGAAATCCTGTGCAGAAAGAGAGAGCAGCTCTTCCCGGCGTTTCTCTCGCATCGTTAAAACAAGTTAGCGAGTAAACGCAAACTTCAATTATTAAGCAAAATATAAATTTATGAGTAGAGTATTCGTAAACGAATCTCTAAAGTCTTTTTCACTTTTTTAAATGTCATTACTTTTCTTTAAATCTCAGTGAATCCGGTTCCGGATATGGGGGACAGAAATATGGGCAGTATCTGACTGAATCCGAAGGCCACCATGTGTCGTTCTTCGCTTGGATGACACGGGCTTCCTGGTGCATTACAATTGTGCGGACCACCGGTGTACTGCTGGATAGCCTTGCACTGGACGCATTCATTACCGTCGTGTTCGGTTTGGAACCCATCGTTGTTGCCGATAACAATGGCTTCGATGTGGTCAGATTCGCTGGTGCAATTTGCGCTGCTGTCACAGATAGGGTAGCGTTTGATACAGCTGCGATAAACGCTTGTCTCTGTGCTTTTGCTGAGGTTCCCTTTGTCTTGTCCGTTTTGTTGCCGGTCTCTGTTCTGTGGAACGCAGGCACCGATGATTTGGTGGTATTAGAGGTTATGCTCATAGTGGTAGCTGTTGTGGGGCACTCGCCGATAATCGACCAACAGAAAATAGCAAAACATAATATGCGGAACATTCTGATGATATACGCAACAATACCTGTAGCCTGTAGGTATGAATTTTGTCGGAAACAAAAACCATGCAAAACGCAAAAACTACCCACAATATCTGTACATTATTGTTCTAATAAATACACGAGAAGCAAAAACCCTGTCACTAACAGCTACAGCAGCCACTAGTCAGACGTATTATTTAAGTACTATTCGAGTAGGTAATGATGCGAACGCACCTGATATAAACATATTAAATATTTCTTTCTCTGAGATGATAATTATGTTGCATTCATGTTGTATTTATGCACCGCTTTTATCTATGGGCGGTAAATTATCATTTTATCGCCATTGATGTTGGGCTTTACTTTTGCCACTCCGAGTATTACTCATGTGATTAATGTACTACTGTATTTTATGTGCATCGCAGGTTATGTAATACAAATGTTTCTCTAAAGATATATAGTTAATTAAGTATACGATTATATTATTCAACCGCCTACCTGAAGCCTGAAGGTCATCCGTTATATAACTGTTTCATTATAGAAGGACCAACAAGGGCATCCTAATATATGTATATATTTATATGTAAAAAATAAATGAAAAGGACACGCTCCACTACACTTGCAGTCGAGCACTCCCGCTAAGTTTTAAAAGATTTAACTCCCAACGAATCGAGATTTAAAAATACCTAGTGTTTGTCCTTTAATTTTAGCCAGTTTACTGCAGATGCAGTGTTATTTGCGGCTCTGGCAGTTTACTTCCGCAACGTTTGTTATAAAATCCATTATGCATTTGAAAGTGTCCATGGTTTTGATATGCTGTACACTCCATGTACATAGATATGCCGTTTTTTTATGATTCACTCAATTTTATTGTTACTTTTAGCACAAGTACTATTTAAAGTGCATGCTCGAACCGCAAACAGAAAGTGTGCCGGTGTTTGTTGTACCTAACTATTAGCTGTCTGCCCAAGCGCACTAACTTATACTCTTCGTGTGCGCCATCAAATAATTAAACTAAGGCATCGACCGATATGGCATCTTGTAAATCTTTTATGCCTTGTTGCTTTTTTTCATCTTTCATAATACAACTTACCTCACTTTCGGAAAAGTGTCAAGAGACAAGTCGACATGGACAAAGGATGTACGACATTCACTGTCACACATGTTGGCTAATTCTGCGTTCAGATGTTTGTTCGATAAACGGTTTGCACAGCAACAACGTTATGCAGAAATGTTTCCGGAAATTACGCTATGGATCACTCGTTTTTATGTATTGGTAACCGCTGTCTCGGGAGTTCTGGGTCGACCGCAGGATAATGGATTCGGTTACAGTGACCGGGATGGTGGACAGTACGAAGGGAATATTTACCACGGGAATTCCTACACTAGTAATGTGCAAGCCGCAGAGGTAGATCCAACACAAGTTAGCAAACGGACGACGAGTAGTCCATTCGATCTGAAGCAGTTTGATAAAACCTGCGATCTGCCAAAAGAACAAGAGGTTACAGAAAGAGGTAAGTGCACGCTGGACCTACACGATCTGAAATGCAGCGGATCTGTAGACAAATTAAAGCATTCAAGTTTAAGTACTTTATTGTTCAATCACTTTAGCGAGACAGTCGTACCGTCGATATTTATACTCAACTTACTTGTGTGATAAACTGATAATTAATTCCGTTTCGCACCTAACCAGTAAGCCGATACTAATTATCCAAGCACAAGGTCGTATTATGTTAAGTGATTAACTACTGCATTCAGTCGCGCATTTCAGTTATGGATTACTTTACTGTGATCAATATCCTACGAGTAGTGCACCGACGTTGATGTGCATAAAAATGAAGGCTCTTAAATTAACCAGGTTTTGCTATGAACAGGGATAAATCTGAAAAAAATTTACTTTTTTTAATACCGAATGTTGCGCAAAGGCGCCATCCGGCAACAATGTATTTATACTGTAGACAGACTGTATTATTGCTTCGACTTGCTGCATAGGTATCTATACTTGATTTAATTTCCAGCAGAAAATTCATGAGTGTACATTTACTCCTACTTGTAATTTCCTTCACTTGTGATTAATGAATTACGATGAGGATTCGTTATAACCCGATAATAATTGTAATTTACAGACATAAGAGAATTTCTGGATTTAAATCCACCTGTTCCCTTGAAACCTGACACCACAGAATCGAAAGGGATATTCGAAGGAGATATGACCGCTATGAATGTTCTCGCTGATTCAGCCAATAAACATATTATTACGGTAGGTACTAACCACCCTAAATATCATCTATAAACTACGAGTATATTTGCACGTTTGAGTTGTGGTTTTTTTGCAACCGGCATAATCTATCGCTGTTTACAGTAATTAAATTTATTACACAATAATTGTTCAGTGGAATTTGCATGCTATGGCTGGTCGCAGAAATTTTTGTGCTAGTTAATTAATCAAGAAACGTTACACATGTTTTCCGTCTCTTTTAGCCGACGGCACTCGTCGCAGAGGCCATGCGTTGGCCGAATAAGATCATTCCTTATGCATTTTATGAAAAGACTGGTAAGTGTGCGGATCAGCACAATCTGTCAAACGTTGACTAATTTTTGTAATCAGTCATTGTACATGACAAGAGGACCTAATAATATGTCAGAACAGCTTTATGTCGAATCCGATCACCTTTTTGAACTTGAGGATCCCCGCACGGTTTCGGCAATTTTTCAATAGAATCATTACATAGCATAATAATTGGCTGTTTGCTACTCCTATCAGTCCTATGCATTTGCACAACAGATACGACAGTTCGGACTTCGTTTACACCCACCAACGGGACGATTCCGACATTTCATAATATGCAGAAAAAATCCACTATCTCGAGACTGCAGCTTGAAAACACTGTAACCCACTCTTTTGCACGAATTTTCAACCACAAACTACGGAAAAATGATCTTTTATGAAAAGATTAGTTGGACTCTGTAGCGGGAGTCAACAAAGAACAAACCCGACGAAATCCAGCTGCCGCCACGGTTGGGGGTCGTCCATCAACAAACTCTTCAAATTCTTCATCTTCTACAAAATGCGCATGAACATGGCATTGCTAGGTGCAGCGATCGTCTATGTGGCGCGACTCAGTGGCTTTACTGCCTGGCTCTGACCACCGGTGGCGGACGGTGGTTACCCAGGCGCGATATATTGTCGAAATGTAAAGCGTCAAAAAAATTGCACCAGCCCTCATCGGGCATAAGAAACAAAAGAAAGGGGGATATTTCGGGGTGGTCGGGAGCTCGAAGTTGTGCATCGCGGAAACAGTATTGTGGTGAAACAGTAAATTTCTGTTGTCCTACTGTTATGTAAACTATTCCTGTAGTATTCCTGTAGTACTTATATGCCGATAAGTTGTCCAAAGCTTTATTACTAATAAGTATTAAGAAGTAACAACCTAATGGTACGAATTTATACGTAAGCCTGACATGAATCGAAAAACTCGTATCCAGGACAGGATTAAAAGTTTATTTAGGCGAATGCGTATTATTACAAGGAAAGTAGATGCCTTTAATTACATGTTCCAGATAGAAAGACCATCCTGATTGTGATGGACGCCATGGCGGATCTGGAACGCAAAACCTGCATCCGCTTCTTACCGCGGACACACGAGGAGGACTATTTGAAGATTTCGCCGGGAAAAGCGTAAGCGGAAAATCGTTTCAATCTATTGCGCGGAGGCAACAGTACTGCATTGTGCAGACCGGATACGTTTACACAGGTGTGCATCGGATGTTGGATACCGGAAAGGACAACACTTGCTATCCGTAAATCCGGGATGTTTAGACGACTTGGGCGCTATTCAGCACGAAATTCTCCATGCACTGGGATTTATCCACGAACAGTCTCGACTAGATCGGGATGAATATGTTTTTATCAACTTCAAAAACGTCAAACCAGGTAACACATAAAAGCTTTTCATTTAGTCAGTTGTATGAAGCATATTCTGATGACTAAATTGTCATTTTTAGAAATAGTTTTTGAAAACTGGACTCAAATAATGAATAGTATTCATTCTGTAATACTACTTCTAGCAATGCCGCTCTTAACAAATCCAGTAATCAGGTTTTGTGAAAATATATTTATGTGCAAATGAATCACATTATAATTTTATTTTACAACGTGGCGGATAAATTTGTCAAATAATTCTGGATGTCGCCGCATAATTCGTGGTTCGTGTTTCCGACAACGCGTTTTATGTAATTTGTTGTCAGGTAATTTTGGTAATAAGTTCTAATTCTAATTTACCCGACAGATCCGGTTAGTCAAGCGCAGTTTTACATCTTCAAAAATCCCGAAATCACGGATCTGGGCATTCCCTACGACTACCTCTCCGTGATGCACTACCCCATGAACGCTTTCGCAATTGACCGCGACCACCCATCCATCGTGCCGCGTCAAAAAGACAAATACATCGGCAACCGGGTGGAGCTGAGCCCGCTGGACATTCGCCGGCTGAACCGTTTGTACCGCTGCGACGACAATCCGCTCGACGAGAAACGCAACTCGATTCCGCGCGCCGCTGCCGAGACGTACACCCGCACCTTCAAAGACTGGACCAAATTGTGCGATTTGAATAAGGACACCCCGGAAGCCTGGGATGAGGATGCGGATGTGTGCATCAAGATGTGCCGGAAGTTGGATACGCGTGCTATGGGACCGGATGGGGATAATCTGTTTAATCGCGCGGCTAGCAAACAGTGCATGCACAAGCGGCAGTTGTGTGCCGGTCAGTGGGATGCCAGTTATGAAAAGATGGAACAGCCGGGATACTGTCGCAAGTACTGCCGGTTGGGCGGGTATGTGGCCATGCCGGGTAGTGCGCAGTGTGTGCATTATTCCAAGCTGTGCAACGGGAAGAGCGATACCAATAGTGGAGAAGATGAGGATCAACAGATTTGCCAGGTTTGCAGACTTTCTTACTGTCGAATAACATTTGTGACGTGTCCTGTTTAGTGTTTGAATAATTCCTCCATAATTTGCTTCCCTGATAACTGCAGCAGCACATATGCAAGCACACCTGTTGGTGCAGCAGCACATAGTTACTTCTGGAACTACAGCTAGTACAATACACCATCAGTTGCATGATGCGTAGCCAAACGCATGTGACAGTTTACTGATTCTTGAAATAACTAACCTGTATTTTAGATTAAAATAATTTGTTATCCAAAATCATGAATTTTTGAATGTTCCAAGACCCTGCAAATTTTCACTTCACAAGAAATTACCGTAGACAGCAACATGGAAATGAAAATTTGGCACTGATCTTCGGAGCAGTGTCAGGTTGTAGTGAGTTTGAACTTTGTTTGTAGTAGGATGGCACTTTAGCTGACAATTCGAGTCTACATAATTGCTGAAGTACAGTACATTGCTGAAGATGGCAGTTTCTGCGGTTGAAATGTTATTCATCTTTTCCCTTTCCCAAATAGAAAAGTGCCTAACATGTGAATGACCCCTTCAAAATCTTGCAAATTTTTTTGCGAACAAAAGTCTTGCTGGAAAACAGTGTAAAACAATGTACGACAAAAAGAGGTTGAACCGATCAGTCGGTCCGCGGTTCAAAATAACCTCGCAACGACACGCCACCACTAAAACTTGGACGCTTACTCACTACTTTCAGAGTTCAGACGCTCGCGCTCCGTGAATATCAAAGTGCAGCTATACTAGTTGCATATCAAAAGGTGTAGAAAAAAATTTTAAAAAAAAATTTTGTTTTCCCATAGACTTAAGCATTGATGGCAAGCCAAACGGTTATGCGATTGCGCACAGATCCTATGCTGTGCATACGAGAAAGCAAAATGGCTAGAATTTGTGCTGTTCGCCATAAACAGCCACAGTTTTAGTATCAAAAAGTTTAAAATTTTTTTCTACACCTTTTGATATGCAACTAGTATAGCTGCACTTTGATATTCACGGAGCGCGAGCGTCTGAAAGTAGTGAGTAAGCGTCCAAGTTTTAGTGGTGGCGTGTCGTTGCGAGGTTATTTCAAACCGCGGACCGACTGATCGGTTCAACCTCTTTTTGTCGTACATTGTACTTCTATCTGTTCACTAAATTTGCAAGACTAGCAAAGACTCACCAAGCAGTTCTGGTCTGCTGTAAAACGGTTTGCGGCCTTAAAGCATACATATCTGTAGCTGTATAGCCACAGGCCTAAAACCCTAAAATTTAATAAACTGTTGAACTATAAAAATTTGTCCCTGTTGCAGTTGTAGCATTTTAAAAATTAATGTTATGTAACAACTTACCATAGTCGTAATGTGTTTTTTTCAGGACCTATGCCAGTCCGAGTCAAGCGGTTTTGCCGGTCAGCTGTTCAGCTCCGAAGAAGCGGGAATGCGTTGTTTTAAGAAGGAATGGCTGTGTGACGGACAGCACAGCGGTCCAATGGGTGACCCCGACTACTGTGTCAAATACTGCAAAGGCGGTGGCTACTTCCCGGTCGGTGACGAAAAACGCTGCCTGCATTGGCGGAAATTGTGCGACGGCTACAAGGACACGGTTAGCGGTGACGACGAATCACCAGCCGTCTGCCAAGCGATTTGCGCCCTGGCCAGTGACGAAGCCAGTGGACAGCTGTTCCAACTGCCGTCTGGACAGTGTGTCGATAAGCGCTGGTTGTGTGACGGGGCGCAGCACGACAGTGCGGATCTCATGGAGAACATGACGTTCTGTCGGGAGCAGTGCCAGGGCAATGGGTTTATTACCACGACGAATAGTGCGCAGTGCCTGCATGTGACGGATTTGTGTGATGGGAAGTTTGATACACGGAACGGATGGGATGAGAGTGTGATTAATTGTCAGAATTTCTGCCAGAATACCAAGGACTGGCCGCCCCAGGGGGTGAGATTGGAGACTGAAGCCAAGACTAATCGGTGTGTGCTGGTGGATGGACCGCGACGCCGTCGGAAGGGCGGACGGAAAAAGAGCCAGATAGGTACTACCGTTCTAGTACTAATTAAATGTCGCAGTCAGTCGTTTGGATATGGATGAGAGCATGAACAGCTGCAGTTGGCGAACAGTACGACTGGTATTTTGATTCCTTGCATTTTTACAAAATTATTAATGACATATGTAACGAAGTATGTACTGGATTTTTTATAAGATCGAGAAATATTTCTAATAGTCATGTCTGGAAAGAACAGATACGCATATACAAACCGAATGCTTAGATATTATTGTTCAACATTTTTTCGCCGCTTCGTTCATGCGTTCATATATTTGCGTACTTATGCTTTATTTACGTGCAACAGCAAAGTGTGGCTTGTACCTTTTCTTCTATAATGCGGCTATGCTGCACGCATAATGTAGTTGATTTTCGTTTTAAAGGCTCGTAAGTTTTCAGTTTGGTGCTTTTGTTATAGCATATGGTCGCATTATTTTAGTGCAATTACCGATGTGCATTACTCTATTCCAGTTGGTGATGATACTGGTTCTGCTCTGTTCGACATAACCCTTGGTGGACAAGTATCGGACAACAACATACTACTGCAAGGCATGTCCAACTTCGCCGCCAACCAGACCAACGAGACCATACCGGGTTTGCGTTCGCCTCCGTCAACGTCACTGGACTTCGTATTTGGCAACGCAACTCCTCATCAGGTAGCCGGAACGGCCAACCAATGGGAAATTACAATACCCCATAAGACGCATCTGCTGCTTACTTGCTCGGGAGAGGATGTGATGACTGTCGAATCAGCCATGTACACGGCCGAGGGCGGTGCGCAGAACTGCCCGGCCTTGTCGAATAAGCGAGGGGTGGCCAGAAAATGTGACCAGTTACCGGCTTGTGGGTTTATTGCCCGTGATCCTTCGAAAGTGGAGGGATGTAGGGAAAGGTCACTTATAGTGAGATACTCATGCGGAGGTAAGTGGTGTTTCATGATTTTTGCAACCTAGAAGTTTCACTTATCTGAAGAGCTTGGTTGTTGACCGTCGTGTTGTTAGAAATTTGGTGATTAATTGCCATTCGGCATACACCGTAGAGTTTCCAAATCATTACATAATATCATTCACTGAAGTGTACAATACATACTTTGTATTACGCATGTACAACACATGTGCTAGAATAGTTCTGTTTTGAAGATTATATAATGTGTTATGAATAGTTGTATTGTGATGATTATCTATTGATAACCGATTAAAATTATCATTGTACAATTTGCTAGTCATTTTAATTTTGTTGTCGACTACGTAATATTTTTTCTGCATATTTTGATATCTCTTGCAGCACCCGTTGAAGTGTTCCGCACGGATCCAACCGCTGATAAACTGTGTAACCAGAACTCGACCGACGATGCGGATGAAACGGTCCAGTGTAACATGTCAGCAATATCTTTGATTCCGTAGCCAAAAATTTTTTATACATTTTTATGTTTAAGTTCCGACTATTGCGGTAGCTGTTTGTGGTCAACTGGAAGGGAAGCATATCCTCGCAGGAAACGGGATAAGAACGCAATGACTTTGAATTGTTTTACCTACCTGTGTCAGTGTAATGTATCGTAATAGTCTCATTCAAAGTTCCTGACAGTGAGTGGGGCATGAAGCACCTCAAATTCATATTTTGTATCAGTCTGCAATGCAATAGGCATCCGGTGCCCTTCGTATACAGAAATCGGCACTGCTCTTGTAGGTCTTGGTGGCAGTTGAACTAACAACAGCCGGAATTCTCAGTATACTGCATTGAAAGCTGAAACATATAGGAAGCACTTATCGAGTCTTATTTGATGCCATCAGGTGTCACTAAACACATACAGATACTGCTTAAAATGCACTTGTAGAAAAAGCAGCGCCGCACATCTTTAGTCCCTATCCCATCGTATCATCACGGTCCCGAGAATTTTCAGACATTATTATATTGCAGGCTGCACAGCGTTACGATGCATAATTCTTCTGAAGATTTAAAAATTTACCTGGCCAATATATCGTTTGCCCTTATAGACAGAGGAGACTACCTCAAAGCATCCTTTTCTATAATTCTGTCCGTGATTCCTTTAATCCTTAACACTGGTCTGCTGTCAGTTTATATTATTCATCGTGACCTTTGGGTGCCGTATGATATGTACTTTCTCTCCCTGCTCATCGCCAACATTCTTTTCCATGGGATCGAGGCTCCGTTCAACGTTCTCATGGACATACACCCGGGTTACCCGTTGGGTGTCACCGGGTGTATGGTGTTCATCTACGGAGTGTGTGGTATTGCCGCCGTGCAGATGCTGACGCACGCTGCGATCGCTCTCAACCGCATATGGGCACTCTGGATGCCAATATCATTCCATCGCCAGCACAGCTTCAAAACCGCCATCATCATCAACGGTGTCGTTTGGTTTATAGCGCATGCCATTGACTTGCCGGCAGCAGTTATGGACATTGTGTTTTATCGACGTCCGCTGGAGATTATTGACTGCTTCTGGTTTGAAGCGGGAGCAGCGCACGCGGCTGAGAAAATCTCCATGGCGATTAATGAGATTCTGGCTTCGATATGTTTTTTAATTACGCTGTTGTCTTTTCCGCTGATACTGTGGAAACAACGCGAAAGGTCACTGTGGCGGAAACAAATCGGTGTGCGGGCCACTTTACAGAAAGGTCACGGAGTGGCTGTGCGGAAGGCCAGCAGCGATTCTATGGAAAGGCATTCGTGCATCTTCATGGCGGCTTTGACGCTAAGTTTATCGGTGTTTTGGGGACCTTTTATCATCTATCTGGCCTTTGCGATTTCACATGGTCATGAATATCCAGAAGTCGAAGAGATAGCAGCAAGGATTTTTAATTGTCAGTCGATCGCCGATCCGGTGCTCATTATATATGCACTGCCTAATTGGAGAAAGCGTGTAAAAGAAACTTTCTGTAAACGTTTTGGATAGTGCAGCTACTCTACTTTGTATACTGTATACTCTCCACAATATGAAAGGGGAATATTATAGTTTGGATTACAAATCCCTGTCCGGCTCCGTGCACACACGAAGTGGAGTATTACAAGTGATGTAACTCTAATCTGAAGCAAGTTCTAGAGTCAACGAGATTTTTTTCATTAAGAAAGTACTAACCATAAATAATGTGGTTTGTATGATCGTTCGAGATATTCCGATTCAGCACTGATTTCTTCACCGAGTTGAGCAACAACACATACCTTTACGACTATTCTTACTACTGCAAACGCTTTAATAAGGCTAAGAAATATACAGATCTGTATAGTCATAATTGCGTAGTATTTTAAGCTGTATCCTTAAATATTGAATTTTATATACATGTATTTCTCGCGCCATATTCATAGTACTTTGGATTTTTGCTTACCGGATCAGTGAAAAGGTCACAAGGGATATGTCTACATCTCCATTTCTGGCTTCACAATTTTCAACGCTCCTCGTTAGACAACATTTCCAGATATTGCAAATTACGTTTAACGTCTTGAAATTCTCGTGAAATTTGGATGAGTCCGTAGTAAAACCCCAAACAATTAAATTCGCACCTTCAAAGTGTACAAAAGGACATGGTCAACTGTCGAAAGGGAGTTTTTTTCTATAAAAACTGTGCGAGTACTGTGCTGACTAGTTTCTGTCGGTTTGTATTTGCATAGGGCATAAATTTACCAGCAAAACTTTAGATGACATCTATTCTGTAAATACGGCAGACATTTACAAAACCAGTTCAAGATTCCACATTGAAGAAATACTACAGCCAGAAATTCTTACAGTGGAAACTAATCTCTGCTGCCTTACTAAATTGTGATCAAAAGCGTAATTCGTAATTCTGAAACCTTGCAGACCTCGTTACTGCGGTCATCGAGATTTACCCATAGGGTCTCCGGTTTTTACACGTGGTCGGTCAAAAACTGGGCGCAGCTAGTGAACACAGCTGCATGTCTATTGAACTTTACTATTCTGCAAGCGCGTTTCCGGTAATTTTTGGTGCTCTTGGACAAACGTTTCCCCGGAGTTATCTTTAATGTTTCGGTTATTACCGAAGATTCGTTTTATGTAATACTGGAAGCAAACAAAAACAAATGTTTTATGTAATGTTTTATGTAATTACTGTAATTATTGAATTCTATTTACGGAAGCAAACAAAAACAACAAGCAGTCTGTAATTTTTGGTTCTAGGAGAGCAAAGTTAGAGATGTAAAATTCCGTTGCGACATGTGGAAAAATTATCGTACTTATAACACACAAAAATTGCTGAAAACATAGTGATTATAAAAGAAGAGCGCCGTTTTAACGCGTAATACATATGTGTTTTGCTATACATTTACAGATAAATAAACATGATTACATCGAAAAATAGCTTCCTTAATTCGAAGAATTGCCGTTACTCTACCCTAGGAGTGCGAGACGAATGAATGAACATAGTTTTCTTTTGGTAATCCAGTCGTTTCTACTAACATCTCCAATTATTCACACAGCCCACATCAAAACAAACTGCGGCCATAAAAGCCGAAATATTAATATGATATGTGTTAATTATTTCACTGTAATGCTGAAATTCAAAAGGCCGTTTCACATTTCGTGAGAAAGCGCATTACGGGCATTCAGTACTGTGGCGGATATAATCAAAACCACAACAGGCTGTATCTATGTATATTGAACTTATTATTTATGCGACTGTCCAGATTCGTTGTCCTGAATGACTCCAGCCGGCATAAATGTCGTTTACAGCATTAAATATTTTTTCCGTCCATCAAGGTGGGAATCATGGCCATAAACCTGACAATAAGAACGTGTTTAGGAGCTGCATAGTGGTGAAAGTTAAAGCTCTTTAAGACCGTTAATGGGCGTCGGTTATGTGAAATAAAATGGTAATATGTGCATCTACCGTTGCAAGGGACCGCACACAAACAGCCCCGCGCAAAACAAAGCATAATTTTTTAATATATTGCGATCGTTTGGATTACAACCCGGCGGCAAGACAAAATTTAAGAAGTGTACAAAAATGCAGCTGTGCATGCGTTGAGGTCGGAAATGCTATCTGAGCGCATATCGAACTGGAATATTGTGCTCATGTATAATAAAGTAAAGTGAAGTTTTAATTACGGATTCGCAGTTAATCGGCGGTTTCTTAAGGTTTTTTTCAAAATGAGTTGAAAAATCTGTCCAGGATGTTCTTTACAATATTGTAATATGTCCAATGATTTTCCAGAGGATGATATTACCCATTTTGAATTTAAACTGATACGAGTGATGAAATTTCGCTTTTTAGCGTATCTGTACATTAGTTAACATGTTTAACCGGTGGATTACACGCAGCTGGGATGCGTTTTTCTGTACTTTAGTACTGTTATTTTTATTATGTGGAATTGCTGTGTATGTTGAATCTGCCGGTTTTGACCCGTCCGATCGGACATTCTATCAGCCGAAAGCCCAGCCGACGACAACAAAAGCACCGGCGCCGAAAGAGAAATGGTCCAAAGATGACTTTGGTGATCTCACGTTTTATCGACGAAATACCAAACGACCAACAGTGGACACAACGACGATTACCACAGTCGCTCCCACAACAAAAAGGACACCAAAACCAAAGATATCTTGCGATAAGAAGCCAAAACCGCCATCACCAGAAGGTATACCATTACACGAGTACGATAACTATAAAATCGTAAGTTAAGTCACAATCGTATTAATTATAAAGCTTTAAAAATACAGCACATAAAATCCTTTGGTAGGTTTTACGTATTAGCGTAGCAAGTGAGCAACTACAGAGTAGGCTGCACTACGAGTCTACGCGTTAATTTATACATACATTTTTCTTTCTCACGTAGGAGCAGCTATTTTATATACCACTGCCATTCATAATTTCCATGTTCAAAATTCTGAGATGTATATTTATAAGGAATACTTATAAAGTGCAAGCAAAGTACTGTACTCAAATTTAGAGGTGCCTACACTTTAAAAGAGCGATAATACGCAAGTTCTACGGATAACGATTACGCATGCGAACACAGCAGCCAGCATTACCATTAGCAGCAAGATTTGTTTACATAGCATTCGATACAATGCCATTATGTGGTTACTTTATGATTGTACATGATGACTGAATGCTTTCGACACTTGCGCGCTATTTTCCGGCAATATGATTGATTTCACTTCAACTAGTGCTCTTCCGACGCAACAGAAAAAAATTGCATGCGTATATGTGTATTGTATTCATATACCCAATTCCCAAATACTCTCTTCGTGAGATTATTTATTTGAGATTTAAATTTATTCAAAATTTTCTGGTAAAAATCGTAAAATGTCAAGTTGTCAACAATAAAAGTGGTAAATATGCAGGTTTAATTAAACAGATTGCACCGATTTCCACCTGATCATATATGTAAAACCAATAATCACTTCTTTTTGTACAGATATCCAAGAGTTTTTGAAGCTTAACCCTCCTGCTGCCAAAGACGTGTATGAATCCAATGGAATTTTTGAAGGCGATATGACTGGGATGAAAGTAAACGTGGATGTGGGCGCACAAAAAATTTTGACGGTAACAAAAGAAACATGACAAGACATGTAAATTACAAGTTGTAAGATTTGTAGTTGCTGCTTTGTCACAGCTACATATGCCATTCGTATGTGCACGTGCATTTTTTCACTGTCCGCTTTGTTTCGCTGCTGAAAATTAGCATGTAACAATTACCTAGGCAATTACTACGGTAACTAAAGCCATTGTTAATTCTGTTTTTAGCCTAAAGAAATCGATCAGGAGACGCTACGTTGGCCTAACAAGGTTATTCCGTATGCGTTTTACGAAAAGATTCGTAAGTTTCACATCTCTGCATTAAAATACAGTAGTTTTTGCAAAATACAGTAGTCTGTATCTGTAGTTTTTGCAAAACTATGCAAATTCATGGTTAAGATGTGTCACAAATATATACCAGCTGTGGTGTTTTATTAAGCTAACCTTTCCGACAGTCGTGTCCGGTACTGGCGAAGAGATACAGAGTGTTCTGTTTGTGCGGAACTACATACACGGTTTTAATTACTAGTAACTCTTATTAAGCTTATCGAGCGAACGAACAGACGCACTCCTACTGGTAGCTGGTTAAGCCTTTACATAACCTTGGAATATTAAAACTTTTAACAATGACCTCTTTGATTTATTAACTGATAGTCTAGTTAAGACGTTTGATTGAGTGTGAAATGGTAACAAACACTGTCGACCTTGCGCTCCGCGGACCATGCGAATTTTGCCGCTGCGTTGCATAGTAGTTTAATATGGTAAAAAGCACGCCTTTCTACTTCTGAATTTATAATCTCCAACAAATCGCCGCCGGGCGTGCCGTTTGATTGCACAAGGGTGTCGATGTTAAATATTGTCTTACTAAAAAATAATTATTAATTTTGTTGTCTGCAGTCCTGTCAGCAAGAGCACTCACAATGTGATTATCCGATTACAATGGCTGTCCTTACCATTAGTCTGACCATAATAATAGCGTACAAGAAATAAAATTACTAATTATAAAGATAGCTCAATAAACACGTAAATAAAGAGACAGCGAATCGAAGGAGGCATGTACCCATACAGCACACGTAAAACTACATGAAATGCCCTGATGTACACTGTTTTTAATAATAAATCATTTTCATAATACTAATAAATGCATGCTTCCAACAATTTTTAATAAGAGATGATTGCCAGGAAAAGAATGCGATATTAATTTTATTATCAAGAAACTTTGTAAATATTTCAACAAATGCATCTGGAATATCTTTACTGACAGCACGAAAAGTTATGATGACGGTTATGGACGCCATGGCTGACATGGAAATGAAGACCTGTATCCGTTTTACACCGTGGACATTTGAGGACAGTTATCTGAAAATATCACCTGGAAGAGCGTAAGTCCTTTGAGCTCTCGGAAAACATTGTGTGGCGCCATACATAGTTTCTTCAATCCTCAGTAACGTGGCGTCTTGCGTCCGTAATGCTGACTGCTAAGAACTACGAGAACATGCACGCGTTAGGCACACGTAATACAAATTTCCGGTCAATTTTAATTACTGGTAATGATTGATTTTCACCGATAGAAAATGGCTGCAAGGTTAACGTTCCTATAAATCGTGAAGCCTAAGTATTCACTATACATATACTGTAATATATCACGTTTTTATATGCAAGTGCAGTGGCGTCTTACGTAATCATGTTTTCGCCAGCGTTAGTAGTGATTAATGCACACATCTACCGGTTATTTTACCGGTTAATGCAGCTCATTTTATGCGTTAATTTAATTACCTCTGGCTATGTATCATTACAAACAGATGCGCTTCCGATGTCGGTTACTCCAAAGGCGAGCACATCTTGTCCGTTAATCCTGGCTGCTTGGATGACCTCGGCGCCATCCAGCATGAAATCATGCACGCACTGGGCATTATCCATGAACAATCCCGTCCTGATCGAGACCAGTATGTTTTTGTCAACTTCGCCAATATTCAGCCAGGTATACATGGATGTATTTTATTATTTACTATGGTCAAATTTTACACCATATTTGCCAGCAATATGCTTTGAGACAATATGCAAAAGGAAAAATAAAAGTTAGATTCACCACTCGAAAATGTGACCTTTTCCAGACAGAGCAAGTCAAGCACAGTTTTACACCTTTTCCAACCCAATGGTCATCGACCTGGGCGTACCCTACGACTATTTATCTGTGATGCATTATCCAATGAACGCTTTTGCCGTTGACAAGAATACGCCCTCCATTATGCCAATCAAGAAAGACGTCATCATCGGCAACCGCGTGGAAATGAGTTCGCTGGACATTAAGCGCATCAACCGTTTATACCGCTGTAGTGACAATCCGCTAGATGACCAGCGGGATCCCATTCCCAAAAATATTGCTCAGGGATACGTCAAGAATTTCAAAGACTGGAAGAAACTGTGTGACGGTAACCGCGACACACCGGAAGGGTGGGACGAGGATCCCGATGTGTGCCTGCGCATGTGTCGCCGCCTGGATAGTCCTGAGCTGGGACCGGATGGGAATAATCTGTTTAATAAAGGGTTTAGTAAACAGTGTCTGCATAAGAATCAGCTGTGCGATGGACAGAGTGCGCTGAGTGCGGATGTCCTACAGCAGCCAGACACGTGCCGCCGATACTGCCGTTTGGGTGGGTATGTGGCGATGCCGGCCTCAGCACAGTGTATTCACTATTCGTTGTTGTGCGACGGGCAAGTGGATACCGTTTCTGGGGAAGATGAAGATCCGGGGGTCTGTCAGAAACTCTGCCAATCGAATTCGACCGGCTTCCAGGGTAAATCAAGCTTTTCAGATTGCAGCACATAAGCACACAAAGACTGTATCATCCCTGTTATGAATAATAATGTTTCGACTTGTCTGATGATGCGACGCTTAATTTGGCGTTAATGTTTACTGCTTAGCAGTTTGGGACACAGTTTCGACTGCAACAGAATTACCTGCACAGATTTGACTTCATAGATTTCATTTTATAAATTTACGTTACGTTTTGACTTCACAATGTACGAGTATATTTCCTATTTCGTGTTCTATGTTTTTCATGGATGTACTTAATACAAACTGTTTATCTTTTGTGTTCCAGGGCAACTTTTTAATTCCGAAGAAGCCGGGATGATGTGCTTACGAAAAGACTGGTTGTGCGATGGTAAGCACAAAGGTCCGCTCGGCGAACCGGCTTATTGTGCTAAATACTGTAAGGATGGCGGTTATATCCCCGTCGGTGATGAATACCAGTGCATTCATTGGCGGAAGCTATGCGATGGACGTGTTGACACGGTCACCAAGCTGGACGAGGACACAACGACGTGCCAGCTGCTATGCGAAAAGGCCAATGATGACACAGGTGGCGAACTATTCAACCTGCCGGGCAATATGCAGTGCGTCAGTAAACGCTGGTTATGCGACGGTACACAGCATGATCCCGATGGGGTCATGGAACAGGAGGATTTCTGCCGTGGACACTGTACGGGCGGTGGATTTATTCCGACCGAAAACAACGGACAGTGTCTGCAAATGACAAATCTGTGCAATGGGAAGTTCGATGTACGCAACGGATGGGATGAGAATCAAGCTAACTGTGTGCGCTTTTGTAAGCCGACTGCGGATTATCCGCCCAGAGGGTTTAGACTGCAGATTAATAATGTCACGAAGCAGTGCACGGTTGTGGAAGCTGAAACGGACACCGCCCAAAGTGTCACCAGTGAAAGGTCAGATGTGGACTGGAATGACCTTTCAGTTTCACCTAACAGCCTTAAAGCTGCTGGTAAGTGTAACTCTGAGAAATCTGTACATGGAGCGTATAGGCAAACGCTGCTGGTAAACCGCGGTGAGGGTTGTGGTGTTTAAAGGCTAAGGGACGGGGCGAGCCATGCAAATTGTGATCGTGATGACTGACAGTAATTAATAAGATGGAACTGTATCGCCAAACGCAAGTAACATGCAAACGGGATCGCGGCTAGCTTCTGTAATTATTTTTCATCGTACAGTACTTGATCTTTTTAACGCCGCTGATCTTTGAAGCTTAGAGCTTATTTGTATGATCTTCTTTAACGTGATGGATGCATATCAAGTATTTCGCTTATCAAGTATTTCGTATTATGCATTCAACAAGTTGTTGTTGGTGCATTTTTGCCTTTCTTCCGAATAGTTGCACGAGCATCGCGCGATCCCGTTTGCTCTCCCGATCACAAGGGAACAAATGGGTGCAGCTGTCCTGCTGGATGGCAGAAAGCCGGCATGCCAGCACGTTGTGTAGACATTGATGAATGCAGCATGAGCAATCCTTGTAAAACTGGGCAGTGCGTCAACACAAAGGGGAGTTACACGTGCAAGTGCCCCCAAGGGTATTTGCTTGCTAATGGCCGTTGCATTGGTTCAGGGAAAACCGTTTGTAAGTCTTATTCAATTAATATCCTGGCGTTATAGGTATGCGGTTTCGAAGGTCAAATGTGAGATAATATAATAATAATAATAAAATCAGGCATGTAACTACGGCAGGAGCGGCATGTAACTACGGCAGGAGCGGCATGTAAACACCCATACTAGGAACCGGCAGAGGTCACGCTTTAATGGATTTAATATCGTTGCAGCACAAAGCGCATGCGTCGGGCCCAAACAGCCGTGCGCACCGGGCATGTGTTTGAGTCGCGACACCGGATACGAATGTTTCTGCCCATCTGGATATCAGTCCAAATCCGGAGGATGCGTTAGCGTTGGTAAGTTGTGGCGAAGATTGCTACCAGTCGTATTATGTCACATTTGTGTGTACTGCGTGTAAATTAACTTACAGGGTCACCTTCGTCTAACGGCAAACCACAGCCTCTTCAAATATCCAAACAGTTTTCCGATACATTGTCGAAAATCGGCATTTCAGGTACAGTAACACGTTGTTCATCTTTATGTAAAATAAAAGGCACCATTAAAAACTTTTTAGCAAACATAAGAATTAAGTGCTGTAAAAAAAATTTAGGGTTACTGTTATTCGTTTTCCTTCGAGAGTTGGCAAGGAAGCGACAATACATTTTTTGCAAATTTATTCTGTATAACATTACATTTTAAGGTAAAAACTTTCTGTGATGAACACATTTTATCAGGAAATAACTTTCTATTTTCAACAGTCGGCAATCAGCCAGCGCAGTCCCAGTCATCCGTTTCGCGATCTGGCAAAGCCGTTGATGTCGCTGGATCGGCATCCAGTTCGTCCTCGAACACTTCTTCCAGTTCATCGCCAAAATCCGGCATGAATGAGAACATACGTACGGAATTCGGTTACGTCTTGGGTACGGCGGAGCCGCGTTCCACCGGCAACCGCAACACCTTCGAACTGCACATACCCGATCGCACCCACTTGCTCTTATACTGCAAGGACAACCAGGTCATCACCACTCTGTCGGCGGAATATGCGGGCAAGGGTGCGGGATGTTCCGCCCTTTCGCAGTCCAGCGTTGTCGCGCGCAAATGCGACGACCTACCGGTATGTGGTTTCATTGCCCGGGATCCGTCGCATATGCCGGGATGTGGAGAACGAGAACTGGTTATTCGGTATTCCTGTGCCGGTAATTAATCATACAAAACTTATTTTTGTGCAGAGTAACAGAATATATGACTACCAATTTGAACGCTTGCAGCGCCCGCTAATTCCTTCAATATTGACCTGAAGACCGAAAACATGTGCAATCCCAATTCGACATCGGACGATGTGAAAGAGACAGTGCAGTGCAATATGTCGGCTATATCGTTGATTCCGTAGTCGTTTTTTAATTTGGTGAGCATTACCTGAATGGACAATTTTCATATTATTTTGACTTGAAACTTTAATAAAATCACCCGGGAACTGGTGGAGAGCACGAAAAACGCCTGAATAATAACTTAGGTTAGAAAACAATTATAGTTATGCATTGTTAGTGATATCTGCGCAGGCGTAATAATGTGTGTACAGATTACCTCTATATAGCTGAATAAAATATCGTTGGGTACAATACCACAATCCTAGCATCACCAGGCGATCCATTTATAAAAAACCGGCCATAAACAAACTTACAGCACAATCAGTTGTTTATCTTGCTTGCTTTTGAGTGTGCCCCACATCCCCGACCCAGAAAAGAGCAAAAATTAATATATATACCACTTGCACTGAAATCAACATGGTTTTCTTACGGCATCGTATGCTGTCGACAAAAACTGGAGTTATTGATGGACAAACAGTTACACTGTATTCCGTACAATATTAAACCACATTTTTACGAGTAATATAAACGGATCACACTGTATCTATGTACAGATATACATTATCTATATTGAGTACATCAGAACTGCATGCACGGACACAGTAATCGTGAATACGTACTTTTGTATACTTATAGTTTATACAGTACGAAGTGCATTAACGATAAATATTTTTAGCTAAACCACGAGAGAAAGACAGCACGTGTTTACGTTCAACAAATCGATAAGCTTACGGAAACGCTGTTACTGACTGTTACTATGGGTGGTCAAAATCTCTGTGTATTCTTTACGCGGCAGTTTGCGCGGCAGTTGGGTAAAAAGCGTGAGTCAACGGCGCGTAAACAAGCAAACGTGCTCATTCGTAAACAAGAATTCTGGGATGGGTTATCAGCTTACTCTTCCATGTAAGCGTTGCGCTTCGATATCGAAGCGCAACCATTACTTACCCAGACTTACACACGTATATGTCAGCCAGCAGAGTTCTTTGTTGTCAACATTTTGCCAACCATTGTATACAATGGAGTTGTATAATTTCATATGTAATGATCTGATATGTCGCTTGCGTGATTAATTACGGAATTACCAGCATATTTTGCATTTTAGTCTGTTTGACTTTCACTTTGCATTTGTTGCCGGCTTAAATAACGACGGCTCTGGAGACACACTTTAAATTTCAACATGAACTCAACACCGTCGTCTTCTGATTCAAGCGCATCAAAATCGCTATCGCTGGTGCTTTCGGAATCGCTTTCTAACAAGGCTTGCTCCGTTTCATCATTGATTAACTCTTCGATCTTTAAACTGATAATCTTTTTGTCGCATAGATTAAGAAATTTCTGCCTTTTAGATGGTGGTGCCATTACAGAAATCACAACAGTTATTGCCACTACTGTAATTTATACACGTGTAATTAATTTTTGAACGCCTCGCAAATAAAGAATAGCTGCAGCGTGACAGGCGCAGCGATGTCTTCGTTATGCCGGGACATGATGCAGACTACTTCATGTGGCGCCGCATTTTGCATTAAAAGTAACTTTTGTTTTCACTTTGGTGGTCAGTTTCTTTCCTGGCACGCAGACATACTCGTCTTATCATTTGTTGACAGCTTTTTGGCTGATTCATCGGGTTGTTTTTACTTGTTCTGGCCTTTACGCTACATGCATCGATTACACAGAAGATTTTGACCACCCATACTGTACATGAATGGATTTGGCGGATGCATGGTTGTACCGTATGAGTGTTTACAAGTTAACCACACTCGCGACTCATCTCATCGTCAGCTGTTCCGCAGACATTCGGAAGCCGCACGACAGTGCACAGTCCGCACTGTAGTCGCGAGCGCTTTGCTCTAGCAGACTCTGCCATATGTAGAACTACAGATTTGTACAGATTGTAGAGGTTCGCATGATGATCTGCTCCTGAGAAAATTCATGAAAAGTTTCCGGTGAGACAAGTTTAGGTATCTCCATTTGCTTTGTACCTGCCTTGAAGAGTTTATATATAATTATAAACGCCACCGCCGTCAGTTAACGCACGCGCTTGAATAGTGTGCATCAGCGTATTCTTATCGTTAAAAGTCAGATCAAAATATAGTTCTCCTAAAGTCATTCTTCCCGAAGTATTAAACCATGTCGACACAAACTGAAATTCCGGAAGAGGATAAGCATCGATATGTGTCTCCTGGTGTATCGCTACCCAAGTTGTCGCTTACAGCGCGATCTTTTCTCCGTGTAATTTCGTGCGCAGCGCTGTATTTTCCGGTGACATATTACTTTCCCGCATGGTACCATAAAACCATTTTTCTTTACATTTGTTGGTATTTTTGTTACGATACTGCAAAAACAGGCGGTCGTGCCAGTCCCTGGGTTCGCCAGTGGACGATCTTCCGCCGCATCGCCGGATATTTTCCGGCTCTGCTGGAGAAAACGTGCGACCTGGACCCGAATGAGAAGTACGTTCTTGGGTGTCACCCGCATGGAATTTGCATTGGAGCGGCACTTAATTTTGCAACCGAAGCCACAGGATTTTCGCAGATATTCCCCGACATTAAACCACATCTGGTCACGCTCAGCGGCAATCACCGGATGCCCGGTGCCCGCGAGTTGCTGCGCTATTTCGGTACATCGGATGCCAGTCCCGAAAATATCGACTATATTTTACAAAACAGAGGGAATATGGTAATAATTGTGGTCGGTGGTACAAAAGAGACCTTTTTTATGGGTAAGTGTTTTCTGAGCAGCTCTTAATTGACCTTTTGATTACAATGCAACAACGACCCGTTTTGCTGCACAGACCACAAGGCTGTGAATTTGGTGCTTAACAAGCGCAAAGGATTCGTCAGGATGGCAATCAAACACGGGTATGCAACGCTAGAAAAGCTTAACACGCATTTTCCCAACAAAAAAGTTGGTTTCCTATAAATTCGCCGTTTGCGGTTTAGTGCGCATCTCGTTCCATGTTTTACGTTTGGAGAAACCTTCGTGTACAAAGTGCATCATGACGTATTCCCAGGTTGGTTTAGTCGTTGGTTTAAGCGGATATCGGGACACACGCCGAAGGTCTTCTCTGGCCTTTATGGGTTCATACCATTCAAAACACCTCTGAACACTGTGGGCAAGTTACAGCATTATTAGTCGTGTGAAGGCAGTATACTGTTTGAACAAAGGTGAATGTCTTATGTATGTATTCCCATGCAAACTGGTATCCTACTTGTAGTTGGAAGACCAATAAGCGTAGTTCAAGATTCCAATCCATCACGGGAGAAAATCGACGCTCTGCATGCGGTGTATGTGGAACAGTTACGTGACCTTTACGACAAACATAAAGAACGATTTGGGATGGAAAATATTCCGTTGACACTGGTTGATTAATTTAGTAAAATATTTCCTTACTTCAATGCTTTCTGTATGATCTAAAATTAACCTTATGGTTTTGCATTGAAATATTCTGATCAAGCCAGAATTAGTAGAGACGTTTGTTTTCAGAGACGAGAATAATAAATCACCATTAATTCTGGCGTACTGTACGATACCACGGTAGTGCGTCACTGCGCCACTAAAAACAAATGAATGCACATAAATTGTTTTTTTGTAGACTGGTTAAGATTATGCATGAGTGTTTTACACTAGAATAATTATGCTCATAATTATGTATTGTACAAGACCACAAGTACGTACATTGTACATATTCTGTGGATATCCGGCCACCAATTGTTTGTATGTACCTATATTTTGACACTTTTACAATTTGATAACGGTTTAAAACTGATATCGACATTCACCCGCGTTCCAAAGTTTTACATCCGGTTCACTCTTACAATGGCAAATCGCTCAGTAAAGTTGTCAAAAACTGGAGAAAAGACGATGTCTAATAATCCTGGCAAATAGTTGCGATGAGAGATGGTTATTGTTGTAATAACTTCGGTTTAGGTTTAAATTAAGGGCCAAGGCTGATTCAATCATAAGCTGATTGAATCATAACAAAAATTTATGCGCAATACGTTTATGTAGTACCGTTTTGTGGTTAGCGTGATCTGTAACATTACCAATACGTATGCATGCAACCGCAGTATTATTATTATGCTGGAAACAACAACCGTATCTTTATTTTCTTATGCTATATTAAAGCAGAGACAATTGTGACCATATACCTCGTACCATATTTTAATATTATTGTACGGAAGCACTCTTCCATACAAAGATTTAATAATTTACCTGTTGACCACGATTACGACATAAATGCGCAAACATGAAAGAAGCGTGTTCACGTGCAATAAATCGATAAGCGTATGGAAGCACTGTCACCGGCTGTTGAACATCACGGCATGAGGGGCTGTCAGATAACACGCTCACAGATTCACCACCGTCAGCTGTTCGGAGAACATCCGGAAGCCGCACAACACTGCTTGCAACGGTAGTCGCGTGCATTCTCGTTTCTAGTCTCCGCCGTGCGCAGCAGATCAAAGTCATCAAACAACGTGTCCACAGTTTACATTTTACACGAAGACCCATTCACAAAAGTTTCAACAGAACATCTCAACCGCAAAGTGCGTATATCGTACTTATTCACTTGTCACGACACGGCCGTTTAGTGTGCCTGATCACTGTCTGTCAACGAATCCCTGGAACATAAGCGGTTTCTTGAACTACACAGTCTTTAATTTAGCAAATATGTCGCCACAAACAGAAGTTGCTGGAGACAACGAGCAGCAAAATATATCTCCCAGTGTATCCAGATTTTCGCCTACTGCACGATCTCTTCTCCGTGTAATCCCGTACGCGGTGCTGTATTTCCTGGTTACATCGTATTTTTCCGCATGGTACTATAAAATAACTTTTCTCTATATTTGTTGGTACTTCTGTTACGACACTGCGAAAACAGGCGGTCGTGCCAGTTCCTGGGTTCGTCATTGGACAATCTTCCGACGCATCGCCGGATATTTTCCTACTCAACTTGAAAAAACTTGCGACCTGGATCCCAATGAGAAGTACGTTCTCGGATGTCACCCGCACGGTATTTGCATTGGAGCGGCTCTCAATTTCGCTACGGAAGCTACAGGATTTTCGCAGATATTCCTCGGCATTAAACCACATCTTCTGACTTTGCGCGGTTGTCACTGGACGCCGATTTACCGCGAGTTGCTTCGCTATTGTGGTGCATCGGATGCCAGTCCGGAGAATATCGCTTATATTTTACAGAAGAAGGGGAATATGGTGATCCTTGTGGTCGGTGGCTCTAAAGAATCGTTCCATACGGGTGCGACTTTAACTTTGAATAAAATACCCAGACTGTAAAAAAAAACAGCTTTGTTGCGCAGATCCTGAATCGGTAAATCTGGTGCTCCGAAATCGTAAAGGGTTCGTCCGGATGGCGCTTAAACACGGGTACAATGCAACAATATTCACTCATACAAAGAAGTCAGTTTTGGATAAGCCTGCAGAATTTATTTCTTTGGTTTAGGGCGCACCTCGTTCCATGCTTCACTTTTGGAGAAAGTTGTCTATTCAAAGTTCATCACGATGCTCTGCCAGATTGGTTTTGCCGTTGGTTCAAGAACAAAACTGGACATATACCAAAACTTTTTTCTGGCCGTTATGGTCTAATGCCACTCAAAATCCCTTTACATGCTGTAGGCAAGTCAGGCATTGGTTGTACAAAGGGGATGGCAAATTGCCGCAAATTTTCTGAATTTCCACTGACCTGCTCTTAATCTGTTTCTAGTTGGAAAGCCAATACCCGTAACCCAAGATCCCAACCCATCACCGGAGAAAATCGACGCCCTCCATGCGGTGTACGTGGAACAGTTGCGTGACCTTTACGACCAACATAAGAAACGATTTGGAATGGAAAATATTCCGCTGACGCTGGTTGATTAGCGTCGGACATGCACTCCAGTATTAAATTTTGTTGGTTTTGTTTTCGTACGAGTATGATTTCCGTACTTTACCTCGTGTCAATCGCATTGCAGTCAGGAAATGTGTTGTTAGAATTAATTTATTAAAAAATCTAGTCAGTCCCGCTTGTTTTTTTCTGATTACGATACCGCTGTGTCAGAATCACTACATTTTTTATCAAAAGAACAGGAAGAGGTTTATTTTAGTTTTTTTCGAATTCAGCTACATATTCAGTACTACACAATCGGGTTTTCATGCAAACCCTTAACCAATCACCCTGCAAGATATTACAACTGATTTGATTTTTCAGCGTCTTTCGGTTATTAGGTAAGTCTGCTATGTCTGTATAAGTACGGTATTTTTCTAAAATAAGAAAACAAGATCTCGGCCCAGGGCTTTTTCAGTCTCTGCTCAAGCCACCCATGCCCCGTAACTGTGGCTATTATTATGTTAAGTGCTCATAAAAATTTACTACGCGCATGTGATTGTAGCGAAACTCTTTTCGAATTTGAAACGCGTTATCGACGACAGGGTATTGTTATGCTTCTCGCACCACCTTTACTATTAATTTTTGCAGCGGTACCCCGCGCCTCTATGTGTTGCCGGACAGTGCATACGACAACCGCAAACGCGACGACCTTGCACATTTTTCCATTTACACAGAAACCCCACCTGTTCGTCTTTGTTGTGAATATTTTAAACTTAACAAACGTACGTGTACGCGTACGTGCGCTAGGCATCTAGAAGTACTTGCGTTTCACAAGTCAGTATAATATCGTATATGCCGGCTTCTTTTGGTGTTATGTACTCTATTTTTGCATTCGCTTTAAATAGTCCGCCGCTTGCCGTACCTGTACTAACTGAAAGTTTTATTACCAACGTGTCCGGATGCAAAAATTTCTTCAGAATGCCAAAGTTCGGTTGTCCTTATCGGAAGTGCAAAGGCGCAAAAGCAAACACTGGCAGTCCTGGACTCCTTGCATACAAACAAAAGCACTATGATCTTTGTGATGCTGTATTGAAATTTCGCATAATCCATACAGTGTTTTCTTCTTCGATACTTGGGAGGTGGATCGAAAAGTGTGCTCGTACACAAATTAACCACTGTCCACTCGCTGGCGTATTGTTCCTGTAAATATTATACGTAGTATTTCATGCAGCTGCATTTACGTAAGACCGATTTTCGCCTCTTTCTGCTGCGGGAGTTTAGCGGAATAGACAACACGGTTTCGGAATAGGTGCTTCCGCAATACAAATGCCATATACTGCTGCTCGTAATGGTACGTAATAATTTTTAGTTTTGTCTAAGTTTGTTCTAAATGTTGAGCCGCTAACTTGTTCAGGTACATTTTTAATATCAGTGTGTTCTTCGAAAGGTGTGCCATGGCAGCTGCGCTCTGTCAAATATTAATTTCTGCGTCAATCGATGTACATGTTGCAAACTTTCTAATGTAATCGTAATTCACAGAATTTGCATTAATATGTAGGATCATTACGCCGTTCTGTCAATTAGTAATCATACATCACACCGCAACAACAAAAGCTGCGCTGACATTTCCATATAATCCGCGGAGAGTGTAGCATTTCCCATGCATGAAATTATGGAGAGAAACCGGCAGGTCTTCATTATTCTGTTGGCAACCGGAACTAAACAGATATCCCGCTGTTGTAAATCACAGCTTTCACCACCGTTTTGCAGGGATTCATTGTTACTTAATTTTATTGTTCGGGTCCATGATAGCGAATACGAAGAAAATTTTTGGTTATAAAACTGTCATACAGCCTAGTCGACCAGTAAAACCGGCGTTAGAGGTTTCTTGAGCGTGACGGCTATTGTTTGTCTATGCGGTAATTGTGAAAATATGTCATGAGTTTTTTACGAATAATCATTATCGAATATACCGCATTGGAATTACGAATTGAACAGGTTTTATTGCGCCATTGCCCGTGAATAATGAGGCTCAACAAAATCAAATGTCCACGATACAACATAGTTAAGGATGAAAAGAAACAACCGCCATTAGTCATATTGCAATTCATGACACATACTTAATATTCAGTACCATAATTGCAAATTTTTCTTATGTGCAACGATACTGCATACTTAGTACGTTTAACGATAAACAAGACGTATCAGTATCAGTTACAGTATACACGATGCCACTTTATGTTTTTATAACAGTGACACAGTTCTATAATTAAAGAAAACATAAATCGATAAACGGTTTACTAGCGTGTTTTCTTTTCTGTGTGTAATTCGACAAGCTCACGTATACGAAATTCCGGGCCTATTGTACGTACAACTTACGAGTATCATAATGGCAAGTTGTCAATGCAGTATTAATGCGTATGCATATTAATAATTGCTGTCCGGTTATGAAAATACAAAAATCAAACTTAGAATTCTATGGCAATATGGTTTATGTATCATGCCGGTGGTACGTACGTCTGGAAAACATTAATCGTAAGTGTATACCGTACATACGTGCCAAAGAAATGCACGCGCATAGTCATACTCATTTTTCTCCTGAAGCTATTTTTTTGCAGTCAATGGATGCAAGTTCTACCGTTGAAAATCATCAGGTAATAAGAAAATTATGTTTTTCAAGACGATTTTCTCGTACGACACGAGTGGATATCCTACATTCACACCCAAAATTTTGCCATTTTGTCGCAGCTGACCCTTGCGGCTATCGAACTAGATTATCATTATTTCGGTTTTCGTGGCTTTGTTTACAACTTTACTGAGTTTACTTGGTACGTATACACGCGCTGCCGGTGATTGACGATTGTATATCCACTGGCGTTTAATAAATTGTGCATATTCTGACTATTAATGGCTCTCTAAATATAGCCTTTGCGATTCTGCCTGCAACTTTTTAATTATTGTGTTGTGTCCTTAACTTTCTACGTGTAGCCCGGTTTATTCCGTCACACCGCTGTTGCATGTTGCTGCAAGTGGCGTAGAACTAATCGAAGTAACGTAGCAATTAATGGTTTAATTATATATATCTGCAACACGAACATTTGACTGGACAATTGATATATATTTACAAACCTATTGGTATACGTATACATTTCATCTGCATGTTGTTTGCCGTATAGTCTGACCGTGTGAGGTTATAAACTTCGGATAAAGGGATGTACGATATGGCAGCGGAACTGCTCAACAGTACACTTTCATCGTTGCTGGCGGACAACAATTCTCTGGATGCTAATGCAACTGCAGCGTCCGTGGCAGCAGCTCCCGTAAATGACGGTGGACTGAGTGTTTACTATCCCTACACGGTGGCGCAAGTCCGGAAAGCGTATTATGTCATATATATTTGCTATCCCTTTCTGTTGGCGTTGTGTACGGTGGGAAATGTTCTCACGATATTTGTACTTGCTCACACCAAACACAAAGGTAGCACCAACACATATATGATGGCGGTTGCTGTGGCCAATTTATTTATCTTGTAAGTCGATGCGTACATAACGAATAAGACAACAAAGCGCCCAAAAGTTAATTTTTTGACGCTGAAAGTTTGAGCTTAAGCTTTTTGCGCATATTTTTAATTTAAATGGCTATTAAAATATTTTAGACGTAAGTTGGTTTTTTTGTTTCGTTTAATATAAGATGATGATACATAATCGAACGTTTGGCTATATGGCTTCCTTTGCTGAAGCAGTGGAAGCAGTCCGGCCTTTGATTATAGTATCTTCGGCTTATTCAATAAAAAGCTAAGCGTGCGACTAACAACAGATTCTTCCAAGCTGAATATTTTGGAATTCAAAATTATAACTTACGCTTAAACATTTTAGGTTTTTAACTGGCTTTCGAGTGGCGCGTATCTGTACTTATGAATAACTTTATAGAAGATTTGTTATTGTTTGGTTTACAGATGGCTCTACATGCCCACCTATATTTATAATATTGTCAAAAATCTCCCGTACCCATGGGTGGCAAATTTTTTGTTTCACTTTTTCCAATTTTTCGGACTTGAAAACTGGTGGAACGACATCTTCGTTCATTTATCGGATTGGTAAGGATATAATATTGTGCACAATAAGTATTTCACATATTATTTCCCCATATTATTATGATATTGTTTTACCGCAGCCTACTCTTCCTCATTAACATTATTACAATAGGCACAGAATATCTATACAAGTATTATGATAATCATGGCCTGCAGCAAGCTCTGCTACATGTGCTAATATTAAAGTAGAATGGGAATCCACAGCCAAAATTTACCGGCATATCCCGAGATAGAAGCAAGTTTGCAACGTAAAATTAATCAATATCGACAGTATTACGCTTATTGTACTATCGGTACACCGCATTTCACCAATCTAACAAATTGACCAGTTGATAACCAGTATAGTGTACAGAGTACTAGTACTTCTACTAGAAGTACATAAATATCGCTTATACTGTAGTTAGACGGTGTACTCGGAAACTGGCGGAAACTGCCTTTACAAAAAAAAATAAAAATAATTGTTTTTTTCTAGGACTTTAATAATATTTTCCCTGGAGCGTTTACTGGCCGTCACCAATCCATTTCTCTTCCAAAAGCTGAAAGGCAATGTTTATCCTAGAGTGATTGTCGTGATTCTGTTCATACTGTCCGCCACGGCATCCATCTACGTTGTTTACGATTACTATGCCTTTTATTATCCCAATAAGGAGTGGGATCGGACAAGTGTGCCGATCTATAAGCGCTCGTCGAGTTACATGGAATGGAACAGGGTCCAGAAAACATCGGAGGTGTGCGATCATACATTTGTATTTTACGGCACAAATTTAATAAAAATAATTTCACATAAAAAACAAATTCTTCAAACAAATTTTTATGGAAAAAGTGTACATGTACTCGTACTGTCGTACAGTGAATGCGCCGCAATTACAGACCGGTCGTGAAGGACATTAACTAACGCTAATATTCAAGCGTGATCGCTCGCTTTCTCGATTTAGCACTACAGTCAAATTTGCCTTGAGTTTTTGAATACTTCTTATTTATAATTATTTCTTATATCTTAGGTTTCGATTTTTATTGGTCAGTTTTTCGCCCTGTTGATCATCAACTCCTTTATCGCTGTGGTGGTAGTGCGCATCTCCCGTGGTGTGCACGTGGGCAACGACAAACTGACCGTTGTCGCCAAGTCTGGTGACAAGAAGCGCGCCGCTCAGAAGCAGCGCAACAGTGTCTACCTTCTCCTGGGCAGTGTCGTCCTGTATCTTATAACGCAATTCCCGACACTGATCCACAACATCTTGGCCATTGCCGACGATCAATTCCAGACTTATGATTATAAACTCGGCGCGCGCTTAGTCGCCCAGCCATGCGTATTGATGGCGCAGTATATCAACTACGCGGCCAATTTCCTCATTTACATGACAGTCAGTCAGCAGTTTCGCGCGCAAGTCGCCGACGTCTTCGGACAGTACCGATGTGGACGCTGGATGCAAACGCAGAAAAAGAGATTTTTCCCACCCAAACCACCGGTTCCCAAACCCATAAAATCCCAAACGACAATGAAGACGATGACGTTGTCGGAGCGACTGAGTGGACTGAAACGCGCTGAGAAGCATGATGAAGGACGTCGCGGCAGTATCGACAGCCTGGAATCGACAATCTCCGACGTGGACATGGCGTCGCGGCCCGCCTCTGTCCTCCCCTCGCGGCGTGGGACCAATACGGTGAAGAAGCGCCCCAATGACGTCACAGCCGTTGTGTTGACGGAGAGCGCTCGTAAACTAGAAACGGGCGAAGCATCCGCGATCCAGATGCAAACCCTGGCTCCAGGAAATTTCCAGTTGAAGAAGACCATGTCGGCGCCCCGTCCCGATTACGGCCACAGCACAGCCCCCACCTCACCCACCACCAAGTCACCGGCCAAACTCGGCGCACTGCTGCGCTCGTTCTCATTAACCGATCAGACACCACCCGCGGGATTCATCGTGGAGAGACCGGATTCGCGGCGCGGCAGTGTGGACAGCGCCGAATCCGATCGCACCAACGTGGACATGCTGTCGCAGCCGGCATCCGCGTCAAATTCCCGTCGTGGGACCAACACTATGAAAGTCAGTCCGCAGACGACGGTTATCGGGCTAGCGGAGTATGTGCGCCGCCTGGAGGAGCAGCGTGTATCGTCGGAATCGACGGCGAGCACCGTATCGGGTGCTGAAATGGAGATGGAAGAGAATATGGCGTATGGGGAAATGCCGCATAAATCAGACATTCGCATTACACTGTCGGAAGATCGCGGTGAAAATGACATACGCCGAGCAAGCATTCCTCCAGGCGAGTTCACTTTTAATTGTTGTAATATTACACATAGACGGTACAACCGTACTCACTGGTCAGTTGAACCATGACTTCAAAATTTTTAAAAATAATTCTGCATTCTGATTTAATTAATTCATTTAACTCTGTAACACATTATTGACCTTTCTAAGTAATGGATCACGTTATACGTAATATGAGTGTGGAATCATCCGAACGTATAAAATACTTCTAGTACCTGTTGTTATATCTATATTTGAACTTTGTTTGTACTTGTAAAATCGTAATTAATTATAAAGTAGTTAATCAAGGAATATTAATAAGTGGTCGATTTGGGTTTATAGATGTCGTTGTATTGCAAGATACAGTTAACAGTGGTGATCATGATCCGGAAAGGCCACCAAGACCGGATGTAGTGCGCAACATCGAAAACCTCGTGACCGACGACAAAAATTCTTTAAAGGAAGTTCGACGACTACCCGCCGACTCCGTCGCTATAGTCAATGAAAATTATGAACCGGACCATGTGAAGAGGCCGCTACATCAAATCCCGTCCAATCACAAACGGCGGGATTCCCACGTGACCTTTAACACACAGGCCCACATTAAAGATGAGACGCTCGACCCGGAACACCGCGTAACTGTGGTGGATATCAGCCACAATTCTGCAAACGCTGATTTGAATTCCCATGTAAGGAAAGAAAATGTACCGCCGCGAGACTCCAAAGCGTTAAATTTTCGTCCGGTTTCTTCTGGCGAAATGATCACGCAGTTGTGAATAGGCATTATATTGTACATGTGCTGGTTGTGAACCAAGTGAAGAGTGGATAACGATTCCGTTTTGAAGATTATTCCTAGAAGTAAATGTGGTGTTTACATAAATTTTATATAGCAAGCATGAATCGACGATTTTTCCTGGGAAAAGCTATGTTTTTATATTTGTACGCGCACGCAAGTTCTTCTGCAGTGCCAGGAATTAATACTCTGTGGTCTGTACTAGTCTGTAGTTCCGAAAAATACGATAGTTAGGTACGGTACAATCATGATAAATTGACAACGCCACTGGTGTACCTGTGACATTTTAAATCTTATCATTGTCAGCTTAAGGAGTGTGGGGCTACATAAGTACTACATAAGCGCTACATAAATACGCACTCGATTTTTTGAGCTCTACAACTCCATGTTTATGCTTTCGAGTTTCGGGATTTACTAGGCCTCACAATACCGAGTACCGGACGTGCTGACTGCTGAGTGCCTTTTTTGACTTGTCCTCAGTGACTCCTCACATGCCGGATTGGGGCTTAAAGATTCGAAAGTACAGTTTACAAATATAAATTTAATAATGCACCTCTATGCCGGTTCATACACACTTTTGTCACTGCTATAAATATAACAATCGCACCTGAGTTTGTTATAAAACTATCTCAAAAGCAAATATTATAATCACTACAAACGGTTGCAATTAATAATAAATGGTAAAGTAAAGCTGTCAGAGCTCGGTAAACACTTAAAACTTCGATAATGCTTGGCCGACGGCATATGTATTATACCCGTAAATACTGAGCATCTTATCGAAAACAGTTTATGTCAAATTTGTTATGCCAACATCCAAATAACCGACTTTCATAGACTGCGGCAATTCACTAAAACGGCTAACAGCTATAAAAAGTAACAATTTCACCAAGCTCATTAGCAAAGAGAGACGAACCGACTCAATTAACAATACAAAAATTTACTTAGCCAACAGCACCAAAAAACGGGTCCAAAACGCATTAAGCAGGAGCAAAACCAGCCGCTCCTCCACTTTACGGTGTCAATCGTTTCGGATCACGCGGGAACATCGACGTCTTACGAATATTATCCAACCCCAGATAGAGCATCACCACCCGCTCCATACCGATTCCGCCGCCACCGTGCGGGAAACATCCAAATTTAAAGGCATCAATGTACGACTGGATGGTGTCCAGTTTGATGCCATGGTGCTTCGATCGTTCCACCAGCAGCTCTGGATCGTGGATGCGCTGCGCACCCGATAGAATCTCCTCACCGCGGATGAACATATCGTATGAATTGGAGTAGCGCGGGTTGTTGGGGTCAGGCATGGTGTAGAAGGGCCGTACCGCCAAGGGATACTTGTCCAGGATGAAGAAATCGGTGTCGTATTTCGCCCGCACCAGTTTCCCGAGGAGTTTCTCACTGGGGGTGCTCAAATCGTCCTCATCGCCCATCTCCACACCGTTCTCGCGCAGCAGTTGGACGGCTTCGCGGTATTCCAGACGAAGGGACGGTTCCAAGAATTTAAACGGTTCCGCGGGGTACTGCTGATTGACTGTGGCGATTTCGTCTGCGTAGTGATCACGTAAACCCTGAAACCATTATACCGAGCTTGAGACTCATTTAAACGGTAGTTAATCGTAATTTGTTCAACGCAAACATGCTATCGAACAGACTTGGTGAAATCATAAACCAGTTTATATGAGACACTGTAGAGTAATGGCGCTACCTGGCTCAAAATACAGGGAATAACAGAAGACTTCTAAAATTGGTTTAAGAAAATCTGGTGCAAAGTGTAAACCATCTGCGAACGTTTTTTGTCATTTGACATTCCAAGTTCACATTTTATCTGTCGGAACTCATTAATACGAGTAAAAAGAAGGATGAGATCTATGCTCATTATGCATACAAATCGCTACGGTAATGGATGAAAATTATCGCAGAGGTTAAATTCGTTTTGGCTGCCGCACTTATCAAAATCTACCGGCCTACTGCTTTATATTTCTATTCATTTGAAAATTTTTTACTGAAATTTTAGTTTACCAAAGTTCAAGGCGGCAAGTTTATTCACAAAGACAGATGATATTGTTGGCTAGTTAAGATAACTGAACAGCCCTACCTTGAAAATCTCCACAAAGAGATTCCCAATCGTATCAGTGACTTCGTGATAGTGATAATTAAATGCCATCTCCAAATCCAACCCAATAAATTCCGTCAGATGGCGGTGTGTGTTGGAGTCTTCCGCACGAAAGACCGATCCGACCGTGTAGACCCGGTTGAAATCGGAAGCGATGGCCATTTGCTTGTAGAATTGCGGACTCTGCGCCAGGTAGGCGCTGTTCTTGAAATAGCTAACCGCGAACACATTGGCACCGCCCTCGCTGGCCGCCGAGATAATCTTGGGCGTATGGATTTCCACAAAACCGAATTTGTCCAGAGTATCACGGAAGAGCTTGCACACACCGGCTTCCAAGCGGAACACCGCCTGATTGGTCGTGGTACGGAGATCCAGGACACGGTTGTTTAATCGCGTATCCTACAAAAAAAACAAACCTGCATTAGAATTAATCATATACAGCCGCAGGCGCCATTCTGTCAACATTTAATATTTTTGTGGCGACTGTTTACTGTCAATGCCGAACAAAAAAACTACGATACATAAACCACCATTTTCTGAATGAAACGGTAAGTTCGTAGTAGTTCATACTGACTTAACTTTTGTACTACATTGTGGCACACACTGCAGTGTAAGTAATTGAGAGTTGAGACAAAGCGAAACAATCGTCGACAGTCAAATAAAAAAAAACAGCTTATGAAACGATGTTAAAGAATCGCAGTAATTTAGGATTTAATTTAGAATCGCAACAATTTAGGGTTTAATAATTATTTATTAAATATTTTGAGTAATTACCTTTTGTAACGAATAAAACGTAAAGTACTAGTATTTCAAAGAAAACTGATGATTTTTAACAAAAATTAAGATTATTTTCGAATTTCGAATAATTATTCGTACAGGTATCTCCTCCAACAAAATGTCAAGTGTTTTGGCTTTACCTGATTAACAGTAATCTGCGGACCGTCCTCAGCATTCTCACTGCGCATCGCGTCCTCAATCAGTAGCGGCAACTGCGGCTCAGCCGCCGACACCACATACAGCTCCTCCACGTGGACCTCCACGTCCTGCTGCGAGCAGCTCTCGATTTTCGGATCGGCCTTCTTAACTATTCCCTTAATATCTACAATCGACTCCTTACTGATTCCCGCGGCAAATTTCACCATCTGTTTACTGATTTTCTCCCCTACGGCCAGATAGGCTTGCACGGTGAACTGCTGCTGACGTAGGACGAAGAAACACTGCTTTCCTTTGGCACGACTGGTTTGGACGCGCGCACGAACCCATAAGGACTGATCGGCCAAGGCCACGCCGAGATCTTTCAGTTTCGTGAGGGTGCGATCCGGTTTGGATGTCGACTGGATCAGGGGGAGTTTACCGTAGAGATCTTTGGAGATGTCTTCGCCGTCGGGGCCGTCCGTGGCGGCCGCATTATCGCCGGCGGCTTGTTTCTTCTCCTGGATCAGTTCGGCTTTTTTGGCTGCCTTCTCGGCCTTCTTCTGGGCCTTCTTCGAGGGCTGCTGGTTTTCCGCGTTCTGTGCGTCAGACATTTTCAGGCGTGAGATAAACAAACTGTAAAACTGGGACAAATGCGCAGTTTTAAATCAGAATGCCTTATCGCACGGTTCCGCTTTGCTGTCAAATCCGGTACGTGACGATTAATCATGACCGTAAAAATTTGAACTGGTTTTGCGAAATTGGGCAGCATCAACATTGCATCAGCCACGCATTCGCTGATATTTGGCCAAAGCCTGGCTCGCATATTTGGCAGACGTATTGTGTGATGTGATTTCCATTAATTTATATAGCTTACCGTATCTATCATTGTTGAAACCACAGACTTTTTTAATTGTTCTTCTGTTTTTTTTAACAGTTAGCTTTTCCTTCAAGAATTATTTATTTCTACGAAAACGATGCTCTAGTCTCTAGACTTTAAATAAACATAAACAGGATTATTATACTGTATACAAGTTATAATTAGTTACTAGCATGGCCTACAGGCGGGCATACAGCTTTGTATGTTAGAGCGATTTATTATCACTGGAAGTGCAGATTGTCGAAGTGAAGATGCCAATACAAATTAATGCTTCCGGTGGTCTGCCGGAAGTCGGACAAGAACTTGGAAACAGCAAAATCTTGCATTGCAGTTATCTGTGTTTGAATTTTTTTTGATAAAAATTGGCAGTCACTGAATGTCAGAACTTGCAATCTGAAAGAGTTTTACAGTTCGCTTTTACGTCTACCACAATTCGTCAGAATGCGGATTGTCCGATCGCGGGACTAATAATCAAGGACAAAGTTGGAGTGCGAGCACCAAGTTGGAGTGCGAGCACGGGATTGCCTGTTCCAATAAACTTAATCACCGCATAACCGCCATTGCGACACTCTCCGGAATCCGATTGACGCAACTGTTCGCCAGCAATTAGGCTCTAACAACGCGCACTGTTGTCTTCCTGTGTTTCCATCGACAACTGATTATCACTTAAATGGCTGTAATGGAAACGAAAAGCTCGAAATCGCGCAGAAGATCAAAATCCCGTAGACTAGGTATGATTTCTTTGTCATTCTGATTTTGCACATCGCTAGTTTGGAACACCCTTGGTTGTACAGATCCTAGCATTGCTGAGTTACTGGAGAGCTTCATTGGAAATCTCCGAATGGAGGTGCAGTCCATAACCGAGGAGGGAATGCAGATGGAGTTTGATTTGATTGGCACGGTCCCTTCGATTGCTAATGCAGTTCGCCGCGTTCTTCTGGTCGAGGTAATTGGTTCTATCTTTAACAAACTGTTATACATCCCGCTTTTTGCTGACTTCAAGCCAGCTTTTTGCATTTTAATGTCTGATTTATGTTGCTTGTACAGTACAACGTAATTATCGATAAAACGTTGCGAGCCTGGAGCAATGATATAATTTTTGTTTTGATTTTTTAATCGGACTCCCTGTACGATGCTCGTACTTGGCAGGGGGTGCTATAATAATTTTGCACAATTTGCGACGTAAATTAAATTTTTCCTTTTTTGTTACAGTATTGCTTAATGCCTTGCTGATTGATAAGTGCATCGTTGTGTAAACGAAGATGGTTTCATCTGTTTTTGTTCCCGCTTGTTTATATTTGTGTTATTTTATCAGATCCCCTCAATGGCGCCGGAAACCGTCCTCCTAGAGCAGAACAACACCGCCATGCAGGACGAGGTGCTGGGCCACCGTATCGGCCTGATCCCTTTCCGCGCCGATCCCCGCAAATTCAAATTCCGCGAACTGAAATCCCGCTCCGATCATCCGGACTACGCCCTGATCTTCGGCCTGAAAGTGACAGCCCCCAAGCAGCCCCTCGACACGGACAAGCGCTTCATCAGCACCAAAGTGTACTCCAAAGACTTCTTCTGGATTCGTGATTCCCTGCTACACGATCCCTCCGAGAGTGATGAGCACCGTCGGCCGGTGCATGACGATATTCTGATCAATGTGTTGAGGCCGAATCAGGAGATGGATCTGAAAATCCATGTGGTGAAGGGCATCGGGAAGGATCACATTAAATTCTCACCGGTCTCCTTGGCTTCCTACAGGCATTTGCCGGTGATCAAGTTGAAGGACAAGACTGTTGTGGACGGAGAGGATGCGGAATTGCTACAACAGTGTTTTTCCAAAGGTGTGATTGATATTGTGGAAGACAGAAAGGGTGAGTTAGATTGCGCTGAAGCGGTGTATTGGAATCAGTAAGAGATTTGATTGGGATATTGAGCGATTGTTTATCTGCTGATAGTTGCGTCTCTTTTTAATGTCGTCTCTTGAATTTCATCCCAGTTTGGCTAAAGCCAAACCGGAAACTCACATTTTTACTATCTTAAATCTGATTTGTATTTTGTTTTCTATCTCGATACAGGCACGTTCTTTCGCTATAGTCTACTGATTTCTTTCGCCCGTCCGATTTTTATGCGTTGATAAATTGTTAAATAGATTGAATGAAAATGAGAATTCAGAGCAAACTATTGAATCGTTCTAATTAGCTGCAGTAAAGTGAATTTTTTTAATACTTTATCTACTGAAGTTTTAACGGGTTTTTAAGCCAGAGCGCAAGCGAATTCCATCTTATGGCGACGGTGTGATTAATAAGTTTTTGTGGTGCAGGTAGGAGAAAGGCGAAAGTGATTAATCCGCGGTTGGATTGTGGAAGTCGCAATGTGCTGCGGTATCCGGAAATCTGCAAAAATTTGGAACTGGGTTCCGCTAAGGATCATTTTATTTTCTCCGTGGAATCTATTGGTGCCTTGCCGGCTGCTGTTTTAGTTAAGGAAGCTTGTCGGATTCTTAGAGAACGCTGTGAATATCATTTTCTTAGCATTGGCTGTGGTCAGCAAGACGCAGATGCTTAGCGGCAGAAATTATTTTCCAAAGGCCACAATAAAAGCGACAAAAACCTACATACGAGTACAGTTTGTATGAGCAACGAGCATACATGTTTCCAGTTTTGTGGGCCGTGAACGTAAACGCGTTTTTTACGTATGTAAATTCAGTATGACTGTTTCTGCAGTTTTCACTCCGCACAACTCACTGTCATTTAATTTTGTTGTTATGAGAACCTAAAAGTGATAGATCCAGACACATCTGTAAACTGACAAAATTTACCCAGAAGAGATAAAAAACGCAACCGCTTTCGTTAGACAAGAATTACACAAAATGTTACGAGTGTAATCGTTCCGCACCGGAAAACGTTCTCTTACATGCGCTTGACATGTTGGTCTTTACGTTTTATCTACACAGCAAAACTGGACGCAAAAAAATGAAAATAATATGGTTAATTTGCTGAAATTGCCAGTCAATGTTCTCGACATTGAGCCACACCATTATCCAGCGAAAATGAAAAGTGCAGCAACTGCTTTCTGCCGAATCAGTTTTTACTGACGGGTGAGCTGTCGGCACGTGCCAATCAACAAGCGTTCTAACCGAATAAATTAACAATAAATACCGGCAGACAAGGGTCGGTTGTGATAAAAAAATGGAGTAGCTTGCTGGCACACATTCTCCTGCTTTAGCAACGTCCTCGTCTACGGCACAATTTATGTCAGTCGATATATGAAGAGATGCCGTGTTAATTTATGACAGTTCCTGGCCAAGAGGTGCCCCAAGGAATTATAAAAGGAGCACAGACGTCGTATAAAGTTATGCAACTATGGCAGTTTATTCTCAGCTGCTGTACTAGTACTGTAATTAAAAGCGGTCCACGCAGAATTACTGTTTCCAGTCGACATAGAGAATGATTAAGCCCATTGCTGTACTATGCGTGGTGTTAAGCGCTCAGTGTCAAGCCCAGCAATATGTGTGGGATTTGCTGAAACCACCGCTCACCGCCGGCGAAGTGCGAGCCATCGCGTTTAACGCTTATGCAGCAGACACCTTTCCCATGTATGCCAGCATTCCCCAGACAAACTTCCGGTGTAAAAAAAAGAAACAGCCGGGATTCTACGCCGACACGGAAGCCCAGTGTCAAGTCTTCCACCGATGCGATGTCAACGGAAACCAGACTAGTTACCTGTGCGTCAACAGCACGGTGTTCAATCAGGTCACTCTCGTGTGCGACTACTTTTACAATGTCGACTGCGAAAAGTAAGTAATATTAATATAATATTATTCATAATATCGAGTAATATGTACAGCTTTTTTTGTCATTACAATCTTTTTATTTGGTTGAATTTGTCGCAATCCAATATATTCCGATGTAGATTTGCCACATACGAAGACTTCGCCAATTCCCGTCTGTACACTGACCGACCACTGTTCGATACGCCGCCTTCTAATTATGTACCACCCGGTGCACGGCTTCCGGGATTCAGTTTCGCATCCAGCGAGAGGCCCGCGAAACAGCGCTCAACGCCCATCACAACCATCGAGCGACTGAAAATGCTGCAAAACACACCATTCGGCAACAAAATGGCGTAGATTGCGCACACCTACAGTGGATTGTGGTCCCCACTACGCTGCGTAGCCGGCGTAAGAATAGATCAAATCAATACGTCATTAACACGTACCAAATCCAGTTGACGCGTCATTTTGTACAAAATAAACAGTGTGTGCTATCTTGGATCATGCTTGTTCGGAATCTGCATGGAAATGAATATTTTGTAAGCACTTGCAGGATTTGGGGCTAATCGAAGAGTAACTAAGAGTCGGCGAGAAACCAGCTAAATTACTGTGTACCGCAAGTGCGGTTGGTCAAGCACATCTTTTTATGGTTTTACTAGAAAATTCAGATTGTGCCCTCGACTGGGTAGTGTGCCGGTACATAGCAATAAATTCATAAAAATTCGTGTAAAAACGATATCATACATAAGTACTTTAACGTGCAAAACTACAAGACGTTCGGCCCATAACAGAACATTTGCGCACCTGTTTGTATTGGAAACCGCTTGGAATTTTTTTCACCAGTTACCCGACAACCGGATGCTAAGCGCACAAACGGGTTCACACCAATGTACGTAATCCTTTTCGCTACAAGATACCATAAATCAATAGATCTTAACATAGTTTCCGAGGGCTTCTTAAATATACAGTAGAGAGTGACGCATTCTATGTAATTCGTATTAGTTTTTGTGTCAAATCCAATTGTATACAATCCCCGAACAGGATAGCGTAGAGGAAGTGTTTTTGTTATGAATTCTATTTTTGTACTCAGTTTGTACTTGTATGTGTTACTTATTTAAATTACCACCCTCGTTTTTTACATGCACTTGACAGTTTTTAAAAAAACTGACCTTTCTTTTATATAGCGTCGTATTCAGTCAGAGAAATCGAAATAATTATCGTTGCTTTTAAAATCAAGCCAAAGAAAAAACTGTAAGCATACCTTGACGTACACATTCTGGAAGTTAAAGGAAATGATAGCCACCATATGCAATAGACATAATAATACCTAATAATTCTTAAGATCCAGGGGAAATCATTCTGTTTATGCGTGTTTATGGGTTGTCGTTCGCCTGTACCGATTCAAATATGTACAGTACATGCGCAAACGGTACGGGAATGTCGACGATACAAAAAATTTACTGTATTCACAATAATATTATGCATTCATACCTTATGGTCTAACAATGGTACTCGCAGTAATCATAGCAAAAAAGAGTTATTGCGCATAAAAAATGGAAACTACGACGTACTGTATTTCTTTGCATATTCAAAAGCTTCCTGTTCGTTAAAGAAAGCAATATCTACCTCGTATCATAGTTTGGCAATAAAGGTTAGGTAATATTATATTCTTTTCAACCAAATCATTCTTCAGTCAGGAAGTCAAGCACTTGTAAGAGTCCATTAAACCATTGCCAACACATGATCATGACGATATTTACTACGTCTTATGTCAACCAAATAAATCAGATTTAATTAGATCGAACTGATAAAATAATTGTTTCGGAATGTTTAAATCGAAAGACATACTCGCAGATCGGCTGGAAATAGCAATATAATAAAGGTTAAAAAATGGCTCCGTAATTTGGATGTGTACTCAGTATAAAACACAACACGGGAATTTCAAATACGCACAGTACAACCGCAAATGCAGCAATATTTATATCTAAAAAAAGGTAGACTGTAAAACTATATGAGCAAACTAATTTCCACAACATGTCTGTTAAACAATAAATAACATTTAAAAGCAAAGTTAAGCTCGTGTAAAAAAATAACTGCGGTGAAAAATGCGATCTGCAGCTTGGAGTGCAGTTACCATTGTTTCGCATTGGGAAATCACAAGCAAAAATGTAATATCATCCATTATTTATGTACATAAACCAAAACTTTATACGAGCAATTTGATTTTCCGACGCAAGAACAATTTCGAAAGAACATGGACGGATAGCTCACATAAGTGACATAACTGATACATAAGATCGGAATGTTGCCCTCGAAAACTGAGCTGCCACACCTGGCTGTTACACATTTTACGTGCTCACAAAATTAATATCAGAATATATTCTAGCATATTGATTAATGCGTACGTACAGCATTATCATCTAGCGCCAACGCAATCGTTCATTTCCTACCTTGTTCCTACTCTATTCAACCGGCGCTTCGGGCAGTCGATCATGGTTATTAGAACGAACGGAAATTAGTATAAAAGAAACTGCAGCTAATTAAGAAGATTTATCATTAACTCTATCTAATACATATACACAGGACCTATCATAACCCTGTTTTATTCCCTAGTTGAAAACATGTTAAAAGCCGTCGTCCTACTTTGTTTGGTCGGGGTCAGTGTCGCGCAGACGCAATATGTGTGGGATTTACTGAAACCGGCTCTGAATGTGGCGGAAGTGCAGGCCATCTTAGCCAACAGGGATGCCAATCAGTTTCCCACATATGCCAGCGTCCCGCAAACCGGCTTCCGGTGTGACAGCAAGAAACAGCCAGGATTCTACGCCGACACGGAAGCCCAGTGTCAGGTCTTCCACCGATGCGATTTCAACGGAAACCAGACTAGTTATCTGTGCGTCAACAGCACGGTGTTCAATCAGGTCACTCTCGTGTGCGACTATTTTTACAACGTCGACTGCCAAAAGTAAGTTTTATGAGAGGAAATCATAAGCATTTTCGAATTCCGCCAATACCGTACACATCGTTTGCACTTTGCACATTAAATAAGTGCATATTATGCATGTAATAATCCGAAGTTGTGGTGGTGCTTTTATAATTAATTTTTATTAACATGCCCTGCAAAATGTGTGTGGCCTTACGTCGCGCAAATTATGGCTACGTATATACCGTCGGCATCTTGTCGAACCCCTTCTTTTATACAGATTCGCCTCGTACGAAAACTTTGCCAATTCCCGTCTGTATACTGACCAACCGCTCTTCGATACTCCCCCTTCCAGCTACGTACAGCCCGGAGCTGGAGCTGCTCAGATTCTCACAAATGACAAACCATCAAAAAACCGATCCTTCAAGCCGAGTCAGCGCCTAAAGGTTTTACAGAATACTCCATTCGGGAATAAGATGAAATAAGATGTGGAGACGTCATGCCGACAGCGATGACCAATATCGGACTTGGGAAAGCTGGAAATAACAGGATGATTTTTTATACAGTTCGCATGTCTGCTGATGTTCTTGCGGTCGCACTTATTACGTTTATTGTATGTGTGCATATGCAAAACGTTTTTCGTTGTACAGCGACACGACAGAGTTTCGATATATTAACTTCTACAGATGGTTTGTGAAATTAAAGTCGGTTATAGATGTACTATTGTTTTATTCCACATCGCGCAATGATAAAAGGACGCGGTTTTTATTTTTTAGTAACAACGCAAGATGATATAGGATCTGTTGTAAAATTTATGTATTGCCACCTACGATAACTTTGTTTTGCGATATTTGAAGTAAACATAAAAGGGCAATAAAGTAAAGCTTTTACTATCTTAAACAGTAGGCCAACCTGTTGCTTTATGTCGTTGTTACGAAGAATAAAAAATGTTCTCTACCTTTACAGCGGTAAATTATCTATATGTACAAGTACACTACTCGTACAAAAATGCACCTTTGCGTGCTTTAGCAGACCGAAGAGAAGCGGCTCAGCGTGCAAACGAGATTATCTAAGCATACAAAACGAATTTTCTCTATTTTGTGCTGTCAGTGCGGATACTCTCCTGTAATGTCACAGAAAGGTTTCCGCAACGGACAGACACCCGTACTACAGAGTACATACACTGCTGTCTGTACAGAGTGTAAAGAGCTAGATGACGTCACGTGGGATACGCTGGATGACGTCGCCGGCGCACTTCCGTAAAAGACAGGCATCTAAGATTGCGTTTTGGCAGAGTCGAAGTAGACCTTCGCCGCACTCCGGTCAATTGTTTTAATAATAATTTAAATTTGTCGAGAATGAACTACCTATTAATGACAATCATGAGACCGTATAACCACAGTGGTATAACGTACACACTACAGTACATGGCAAGCATTGTTCGGTGCAATAAGTATATACATCCTTTCGATCGAAGCTATGTTCTGGTGATAAATTTCAGACTGTTATGTTGTACGAGTAAGTGCTCCAGCGCTCGACTAGGCTGCATGTATGTAATTCTTTTAATAACGTCGGGTAATTGGCAACTTTTACACAGCCACGAGATATTTTGTTACTCGACTGTTTCTTAACCTCACTTCCTTTCCTGCAGTATGCGTCGCGGCACATTTTCGTCGGAATTTATGGTGATTTTCTGCATTATTAATTAGTCTAACCATCCGCCACCCGATCATAAAGCCAATGCTGAAGTATGGTATTGCGGCTTGTTGGGAACAAAATCTCCGTTTGGTTCGTAATATTCGCAATTTTGCATTACTGTTAGCGGTCATGTCTCGTAAAACCCGGCATTATATAGCACTGCGCGGTTTTGGCGCCGAAACCTTTATTCATTTGATTGCGAGAAATTTGGAGACCTAGGTTAAGAAAATTAGAATAATGAGGTTGTGACAATTAAGGGGAAAAGGTCACCGGAAATTCTGTGCGGTTTGCATGACGAAGATGCTGTCATCGGTGTCTTGCATTATGTCATCTTGGGAAAATCAACGTTTTCCAAACAGATTTGGGTGGTTCTTAATGCAGACATTCACGAGTTACGATTATTAAAGACGCTTGGTAATCGCAGCAAACGGTCATTGCAAAATCGTAAAATCTCAGATTTAGAGCACTGTTTTTGACGTCTGTCTAACGACTTCTGTACAACTCTTCGTCGGTTAAAAATAGCTAACAACAACTGCTAATACAGTGACAAAGCTAACCGCAGAATGAGCTTTGTCTAGAGCTAGGTTCCGGTGTTCCGGTGTCGCTAAAAGGCACATGCAGCAATTAATCTGATTAGCAAATGGTAGACCACAGTAATTCGGCAAGTGTCAATGGCAACAAGCGGCTAAATCAGTAAACGAACGGATTAACGAACGATATTTTATAAACGAAGGTTTCCGACAATTAGCGCACAACGAAAAGAAAGCATAAGTATATCTAACACAAATAACACGCAACCGATCACGCTTTTAATTAATACACCGGTTACCCAGGTTAATCCACAAAATTTGCTTTTAAAATAAGGGAGCCTTAGAATAATTTATCTGTGTACTAAGGGATTAAAAACAAAGCAAAACGATATGTCAGTATTACTGTTAATGTTAACTAGTGTGAGTGAAAACGTTTATAATAAGCTGCGATAAACGGTTGTTGTGTAAATATTAATTATGTTAGGTTTTTCAGTTTTTTGGTTAGTACAACTTCAAAATTTAATGGCTCGAGCTAAATCTTCACATAAACCAGCATTTTACATATACTGGTAACTCCCCATGTGCAATTAAAAACGAACATACACGCACGCCCCAGATTTTATGTAGCAGTTTATCCTAATCAATAACATTAGAATAATACTCTGGTCACACCAAATACGCCCTAGTTTTCGAACGTGCGATCGTGTAACTATGTCGGAGCAGTTATTTCCTGCCAAAAACCGATTAAATAACTGATGCCTCGAGGATTAATATAGATCTGCACAATTAAACGGAAGAAATTAGAATCCAACATAGCGATACAGTATAAGATTAGACATTCTTTAACTTCGTTGGCTGTTAACCACACCCAGTCGAAATTCGGCATTGTTCAGCATCGGCTTTGATTTTTTTCAAAGTATCGATTTAGCTGCGGCAGTAAACTATCCCAATGATAAAGGTCATCACTATTGTCTGCCTTATAGGCACCAGCGTCGCACAGACGCAGTATGTATGGGATTTATTGAAGCCGGCTCTGAATGCAGCGGAAGTGCAAGCCATTTTAGCCAATAAAGATGCTGGTCAGTTTCCTACGTATGATACCATCCCACAGACCAGTTTTAATTGTGCTAGCAAAAAGCAGCCGGGATTTTACGCGGACACAGAAGCTCAGTGTCAGGTCTTCCATCGATGCGATATCAACGGAAATCAGACTAGCTATATGTGTGTGAACAGCACTCTCTTCAATCAAGTGACCCTTGTTTGTGATTATTTCTTCAACGTTGATTGCGCTAGGTAGGTCGATGCCCATCTTTTAAAAGCCACGGTCAACACAGTTAAGCATGCAACACGCTAATCAAACTTCTTAAAGAAGGATATAAGATTGAGATTCATCCATGACTTTATTTAGCCAAACTTTTTTACCAAAAACCTGAGTTACCATTAATGGATTCACTAAGCACTTTGGGGGTAAACGTGCATATTTTTTATTGCAGTGACCTTTTTGTCAATTTGCACCGCGTAAACAAATGTGTTACGGTTGTGTGTTTTGCTGTTATCAGGGTCAATAGTCGATGAGTGCGTCAAAAATTCTGACTTCGGCAGTTTAGTTACTTTCAAAACATTGATGAATTATTACTACTCTTTTTATTCCTCTCGGAAAGCTGTTATTGATATGCGTCTGTTACAGCAACATCACGCTTGTTTCTGATATGCATCTGATTTTCTTTATAACCAAAAAAATCCTTAAAAAAATATGGCAGAATGTCGTCATTGCGTTGACTGACTTTTAGGTTTGCCGGGTACGAAGATTTCGCCAATTCCCGACTCTACACCGATCAGCCTCTGTTCGATACTCCGCCCGATTCGTACGTACCACCCGGTGTCGGAGCTGCCCAAATCCTGACCGCTAAGCCCGTCGTACCTGCCGTACCAAAGCCGGCGCCCAAACCCGCCGCGAAGCCAAAACCGGTCGCCCCAGTGGTGCCGGCGAAACCACAGCCCGCCGCCGTCGCACCGAAGCTGTCCGCCCGCTACACCAACGTAGCACCGGAACCACGTCTGGCGTTGCCAAGCTTCCCTGTACCGGCTAAGTCAGGAAGTAAACCCCTGGGGCGAGCCGACACGGCTGGTAAAGTGACAGCCGGTGTGGTTAAATCCAGGTTTACTAATGCCCAAAGCGAGCCGCGATTGATTATGCCGAGACCGTTTATACCCAGTGCCGATAATCGAGCGGGAAAAGTTTTGTCCGGTAAAGGCAAAGCCTTGCCAAGAAAGAGTGCAAGAAAATTGCGTTTTGATAAGCTCTAATCTTAGCCGACTGATCCATTTTTTATATGGACGAAAAAGGGAAAACTTTCTTCCTAATCCCGTGCGGAAAGATTATAATTGTAAATGTAAAATGCTGATTTTTATTTATGAGGACGATACGTCTAACGGATGATTAAGTGTCTGATGTACATTATCGTTTAAATATAACGCATCTGGTCAATTGTAGCCGGAAGGCAGCGATGATGTGTCGTATTAAGAATTGTAAAACTATGAGAATTAAAGTAGAAGTGGTCTGTAATTAAATCACCCACTTGAAAAGCAAGCCTTAAACAAAATTAATACGTTATACGACGGATAGTTTTAAGTGAACAGATTTTGTAAAAAACCGCATTGTATTGTAATCGTATTTGGCGGTTAATAAATTTAACTGCACAGCATTATCACTATGGCTGTACAGCAATAATAATAATAACATAAGTCAGCATAATCATTTCTCTCATTAATGGTGCAAAGAAGCAAAAAGCTTGAAGTATAATTACGTTATTTCTACGATTTTTTTGTTTAAATCTGGCAGTACGCACCAGAATTTATTACCGGCCCTCGTATTGGATAATTGTTTTCGTCATAAGCCATTCAAAACTTGCTGCTGAACGAAAAGTGTTTCTCATAAAACTACGCATAAATATCAATAACTGATAAGCTAATGTGCTAGTTACCATTTGAAACGGACTGTTGCACTGTCGGATGGAGACTTGTACCTGCCGGGCAACAAGTTCGGAATTTTTCTAATAAGAGCGATATCACTGCAAAACATCATTTTTAATTTACTACTACAGTTTTAATCAGTTCAACTTCCAATCTAAGACAGGAAATACCATCCACAACCGGAAATACCGTAACAAAGATTCCAGATTCAACTGTTTATCAGTGCCATAGCCATTCTTTAGTTCTTATCATAGTATTATGAGACAGATAGTATATTTCTGACCCCCGTAATCTTACCAGTGCATACGCGAAGAGCGTGATCCACAACTACTCTCCGGTATTTGCTCCGTACGAGTATATATATACGGCATTGCTTAATCAAAATTTTTGGTTTGTTGGGTGTATCGAAAAATTTTATTAGCGTACGACAATCAGGCGCGTTGTGAGATTTCCGTTCACAGATATTTTGAGTTACGGTACATACCTAAATAAACTGCAGCAAAATGTCGACCAATGTTGAATATTCCTCAAAAACCACCTTGATCGAAAAAGATCATCATCACAAGTAAGTTTATTTGTTAAGACGTTTGGATCATATGTCGACTACGTTTTTAATCAAATAATTTATAACCGGCATTCGTTGTTAAAGGTCACAGAATGCATTCTGGTGCAAGATCTGTGGAGTTGTGGCCGTCCTGATGACGATTCTGGCTGTTGTTTTCATTGCTTTATATGCCGTGGAAGCTACCAGAAGTAAGTTAAAATAGTATTGCTTTGCAATTCACTTACCTAAAAAATATTGACTTAAAGTACTTGAAGAAACCTTCAGTGCCTCTTAACGATTCCCGATAAAACCAAGAGTCACATTTTGCAAAAGCAAAAGCGTTGCATTTTAATTTTTTGTATTAATAATTTATTATGTACAATTTTATAAGCTACCCTAATTCGTCAGCAAATACGAGTCGTATCTCTAAACATCCTTATAAAATGATATTTCCTTCTTTGTCATTTTAAAATTAACTGGTATTGGTTATTTCCAGAACATCATCACCATACAACACCGATCTTCATCCCTACCACAATGAACCCCAACGAGACGACCACTCTCAGTCCTAACATGACCACTCCCTTCTTTAATACCACCTTCAACCCCAATATCACCACCTCCTTGCCGTTTAACACGACATTCAATCCCAACATGACCACACCCTTCAATACCACATTCAATCCTAATGTGACCACTTCCATGCCGCTCAACACCACGTTTAACCCCAACATGACCACAGCTGAGCCCATGAACATGACCACAACGCATTTTCTACCCAACGTTACTACAGTAACACCCAACGTTACCATGCCCGCGCGCGTTACGACTGAAACGCCAATGGTACCAAGCGTAACCACTGGCGCCACCACGAAACGCATCGAAGTGGAAGTAACCGAGCCCGTCGTCGAGACCAACCCGACACTGGATCCCAACCAGTGGCCCACGCTGCCCCATGGCACCCATGGTCCTTTGGTTTCGTTACGGCCACATCGCCGAACGACCACAGATGGTCCCTGGAATCACGGGATTGCTAAGCGGTCGCTAAAACTCAAGGAGAAGGTGCCCAAGAAAGAGCACGAACATAAGCCTGAATCTGTTCTTCTGGGAGCCAAATTCTAAAGGTCACCTTATATGTTTTTTTCAATACACCATTGGATCTGTCAAATTGTGGCGTTAGCCTGCTTGTAAAGCTAAGCTTTTCGCACAGTTTATCGTTTTGTTTTGTAATACCGCACGGTGCGGCTTGAAGTTTTTATGGTTGATAACTACCGTGCCGTATGAAGATTGCCTAACAATGCAAAGGTCAATACATAGCGTGTTATCGAGAAATTCCCTTTAATAACTGGATAACATATCAATCAATAAACCGGCATAATACTCAACAATCTCTGCTTGCGAGTGAAACTTCCGCTCTTTGACAATATACTCGTATTACACGATCATAATTTTATCACCAGATAATCAAGCTTAATTGTTAGCCGCTGCATTCGTTGGTAAAACGATAAACTATATTCTGCGAAATATCGCAGGAAATATGGAATGTTCGATTTCGCGCTGATGTTATATGTTGGTATTATCCATAATTCTAGTTACTACCTACGATTACATTTGTCCACACAGTATACTCGTATTGTATCTGTACGGTAAATTAATTTTATATACAACAATGTATCCGAGTCATCCCTTTAAGGGTTTGCTGTGCTTAAAATTATACTCATATAATCGCGTTCACATTATTTACAATTAGAATTATACATACATGGTCCAATTACGTATTTTTTGCGTTGTATTAGCAACTTAAAATACATGCGCTAAATGCGTCAAAAAAAGAACTTCATAAAGCCAAGGTAGCACACTATGAATAAATTATTAGGGGAGAGCATTGTCTGAAAATATGTAGATGTATGCTATGCAAGAAAAAGCAGCCACAGAAGCTATCGACCGAAGGATGGGTTACACAGCCACCTTTTGTTATGCTCTTCTTAAAGAATTGCCAAAATGGCAAAAATATCCTAGCGCAAAGGAGCGTAAATCATTTGCAGTACCATAAAGAATGTCAGAGCAGACACATTTACGTATAATTTCATTCCAGTGTAAAACTGTATATAACATAAGAAAATAAAAATCAGCGTTTGCACAACTTTCGACAACAAACACCGTTTAATTCCATGTCACGATGATTATCCCCGCCCGGGTTGTTTTAGCGTATTTTTGTTTTGCCTCGTTCTGTCACCGCAACGCCTACTCATATCGTCGAGCAACAAAAAAACCGGAAACTCAAATCCAGCCACTGACAATGTGCATCATGATGGAGAGGAATACAACGGGACTGATTTATGATTATGATCGCATGCAGGCTGCGGTAGACATGGCCGTGCAGTACGTTAACGAAGTGGTGGTGGCACCCTATTTCTATATCCAGATAGTCTACGTTGACCTTGGGCCAGTGTGTCTGCCGGCTAGCCTAAGCAGTGCTCCAGCTTACGCGTTGCGCTTATGGGAGAAACAAATTCAATGCAAAGTATATCTTGGACCAGGTAAAAACATTATATATTATATATCTTATCCGTGGCTTCAAAATAGATTGATTTTTTTAAATAAACACTGACGTGTAAGTTTTCAGTACCTGTACTGATATGCAACAGCGTTTCATGCGAGTTGTCCGCACGTCAATATATTAAATTAGGCGATTGCAAATTTGCAATGTACAGAGTACAACTAAGTTTTACAACAAATTAGGTACAGTATACATATATGAAATGGACTGGAGGTTTTTAAATAATATTTTAAGGTCTTGCAGTTTTCATGAGCACCTTTTTTGCTTTAGTTACTTCATCTTTCTTAGCAGAATAATAGTTTTTTCGAGATATGGTGTTCGCCACTGATTTAACCCTTTGCAACCAACTGTACGCGTGGTCAAGCTAATATTAAGGCGCACTTATATGTAAGATCTCTTCACTCGGTAAGATGCTTTTCGAGAGAACACAGGAGAAACGGTGCACCCAATTTCTGAAGCAGCGAATCAGTGTTGCTTTAATGCGAGGTATAACGCTGTTTGTGTTCAGGAAACATTTTGTATCGGAAAAAGACTGGATGAAGTGTATTATGTGCTGAAATGATAAACTGCGTAATTTTGCTGTTAACCTATGTTAATGTGAATGATATAAAATAATAAACTGATATTCATGCGCTAATACGAGTAAAATGAAAGGTTGCGGCTACGCTGCTGAGGCGCTTAGTGATATCGCGGAGCCACTGGACATTGCCATCATCGGTCTGCCAGCCGCCACCGTGGGAATAACTGCTGATGTGTCGCAGTTCGAGGTGCTGACGAGAATGTCCATCACATTCCCCACCGTGCAAGTGGCCCTAGTGAAGTTTCTGAAATATTTCCGCTACACTAGCGTGGCCTTTTTTATTGACGCGGATCTTATATTCTACAAAGAAATGGGCGCGTTAATCGAAGCAGCGATGCGCGACGGACAAAACCGACTATCGTCGTCATTTGACGAATTTCATAGCCGCGAATACGATGAACCGTTGATCCGGAGCTTTCTTGAACGCGTGTCGACAGCTGCCACGGGTAAGTACGTAAGCGGAACATTGTTTTAAATCAAAAAGTATCTGGTTCGTTTTGTTAGTTATTGTCGTTCTTACGGACTCGATTGGACTGCGGACATTTATGGTTGGTCTCGTCTATTGATAGTGCAAGTTTTGCCACAATAATCGTATATGTAGTTTTAACACAATAAGTTTGTAATGAATGCAGCTCACGGCCCACGAAATGCATCTCACACGTGGAAGGCATGTACGTATATCGCGATATGTAATGCCGAGTTGACCTTTCGCAGAACTGTGATTTCTAGCACATAAATAGTTAGTTCTGATGCACAGATATTTATTGCGGTGGAGTTATACGATAGCCAGATATGGGGAAAGTTCACGTGGAAAACAGGACAACCGGATGACGAAGTGCGAGTTTATGCGTATGGCTAAGTCGATAATTAAGGTATAGCCATTTCGACCTTTAAATCGTTTCACAGGTGATCCGCGAAGCATACCGAGCGGTTTTCCTGTTAAGTTTACAACTGGAAGACAGTGGAACGAAAGAAAAAGATTTAGTCCTTTTCTGGAAGGAGGTTATACGACGATCGAAAATGATATTTGGGTACAACGGATTCACCCAGTTCGATCAAGTAAGTACATATGTACAGTAGACTGGTGATCATTATCCGTGGACTATATGCAACCTCCTTTTAAAACTGATACACATGTAAAAGCAGTTAATACCTAAATACCTAAAAACAAACCTATGAGTTTTGTTTTTAGAAAAATGTCGATCCAGTTGTGGTGCATGCATACGAAGCAGTTCTAATGTAAGTAAACATCATTACTACTACGTTTTGCACGTGAAGGTCCGAATTGCGGTTTTCAGTTTGCATAATGGTGTAGTGATTTTCTAAATTTCAATATCGCAGGTATGGCCTACTCGTGGCACAAATGCACAGGGAAGGTGCCGATTATTCTAGCGGAGCACTGCTCTCGAATTACACTATGAACTTTACCTTCGAGAGCCCCATAACCGGAAAAGTGTATCTGGATGATAATAGTGATCGTGAAATACCTTATATCATGCGGGCGTTTAGCGAGCAGTCTCAAAAACACGAGGTGATTTTACTAGCATACATTTCTCGTATTCTTTTGCTATTAAATATCATGCGCTGCAGTAGACCACCAATTCCAAAATTCTAAATATCAAAATATTTGACTTTTATTCTGGTGCTTAAAATAGTTTATAATAATGTTTTGCCTGTTTCAGACATTATTAGGATTTCCGCTGGATCAATCCACCTTAGTGCAACTGGGAACGATACGCTTCGTTAACCGTCCATCGTTACCGCCCAACATCGTTCTCTGTCTGGACCGGGCACATTGTACTACAACTGCAAATTCTAGCACCAAAGACATTGTCATAGCTATTGTCGTTACTTTTGTCTGCGTACTGGCTCTCGGCGCGTTTGTGGCTGCCTGGTATCTTAAAAGGCACGTCACTCTTTCCGGCTGTAGCATTATTTATAAATGCGTATAACTGTGTTAATAAGGGCCGCTTTCATCCTACAGGAAGCACAGGAGTGACCTTGACCCGTACTGGTGGCGTATATTGATTACCGACTTGCAGCCGTATATGCATCACTCATCCGATGATTTGCAGCCTGTGTCCAGTCAGGTATTGTACTCGATTGTGTCACATTCAGTTTTCGTGCTTACCGGGTTCCTAAACGAACAATCATTGTTAGCATGTTGATGTGAATAACATTGTTAGTAAGTACGTTTATGCAGATCAAAATAGTAACTGGTGTTCAGCTGCACACATAAACGCATCATCTAAATTCTTTCAGATAACCGATATAGGTAGCCAAACTGGAAACAAGGTCAGCTTCGAATTTTGGGATAGTGCTTATGCGTTTTTTGTGTCTCGCTGCAAATCGATAAAAAATTGTGGCATTGTGCGTACTACCGTTGATGTTTTGATTACATGATAGGACTCGGAAGTCACCAAGCAGAAACATGACACAGCAAATGACAAGAACACAGGGAACGGTGGGATGAACCGTACGATGTCGTTCCACGGTCAACCTATTACTTTGTTAGAATGTGCTCCGCCTCACAAGCGAGTACCATTCCAGATGATCAAGGAGGCTTTTGATGTAAGAGCACAGATTACAATTTATGCAACATACTCGTATTTGTCGGGATAATTAAAAATCTAACATTTATTTCCACTGAGTCGTTGCAAAGTAGGCGCATTCTCATTGCCCACCTCGCAAAGATTTCATACAAGATGGAACTGTACGAATAAGTGTTTGACAGGTTAAAAATCTACTCCACCCGAATGTGCAAAAATTTAGCGGGGTCGTGGTTAACGATGACAACATTTGTGACTATGTGGCTATGGAATACTGCCAGCGAGGTAGTCTGGGAAAATTAATTGCGGAGGACACCTTAGATTTGGACTGGCAGTTCAAACAGTCCTTAATCATGGATCTTATTCAGGTCAGCGAGTTAGTCTTGCACTCGTAAAATAGGTAAAATAAATTCGCTGACACACATAATTTACCCACTAAGTATTTCATCACCTTAAAAAATTAATCCTAGGGTGATTGTTGCAGGGCTTGGCGTACTTGCACACCACCGTATTGGCGTCCCATGGCTTTCTTAGCGATACTGCATGCCAAGTCGACAGCCGTTTTGTCCTTAAAATATCCGACTACGGCTTACCTTCTCTTCGACATGAATTCGACCTGCAACCTGTCACATTTGAAGAGGAATACGAAGATCCGCGCCGAAACTACAGAATGCTGTTGTGGCGTGCGCCTGAACTTTTAAGAAGAAGAATGCCGGAAAATGGAACACAAAAAGGTCACATCTAGCTTGAACGTGTGCACAAAAACGAATTTTTGCCGGTCACGGTATTTTTGGGTTTAGGAGACGTATACAGTTTTGCCATCCTTCTTCAGCAGATAATCCTGCAAAGTCTGCCCTTTCAGCTGGGAAAATACGGCAAAGCACGTGTACGAGAGGAACACAGCCTGAAAGACATCATCCTTGAAGTGCGTTCCAAAAATAAATTCACAAGCGGTTTATTAGCACCTAAATGTTTGTCTTTCATAAGGTCAAAAGAGGTCTTCAGCCGCCGTTGCGGCCGCCCGTGCCCACATCAGCTTGCGTACGGGAGCTCCATGACCTTTTGGAAGAGTGCTGGGAGGAGGATCCATCGCTTCGATGGACTTTTATCAGAATAAGACAGGCCGTGGGAAAAATCTTTGGAAAATCAGAGAGAAACCTAGTTGGTCATTTGATTAACCGAATGGAACAGTACGCTTCCAGTCTGGAGCATCAGGTGGAGCAGAAAACCAAGCAGTTCATGGAGGAACGCCAACGCTCGGCTGATGTGCTTGAGCACATTTTACCACCGTACGTTGAACCACTTGAAAAAAAATGTTTAAAAAATCAGTCAGTTTGCGAAAGTGAGTGGTGTGTTACGTTTGGAGAATGGTAATGTGTCATCTCGCGCCATTGCACTACGCCTATTGAGTATTGTACCGGTAGTCCAGTACTTTGGAAGGACTACCGGTACCTTTGGAAGGTTATTAAACATGATCCCGTTTTGCACAATCGATACCGGTAGCGCTTGCATATCTGTCCTTTAGCAGACACTAAAAAGAATAATTGATCCAGGTCATTGGATAATATTATGTATTTTTGTAGCTCCATTGCTCAAGCTCTTAGCAGAGGGATTCACATACAACCGGAAACATTTAGCGAGACAACCGTGTATTTTGGCGATGTGACCGGATATGCGGAAGCCGTAGAGAAATGCAATTCTCCTTTGGAAACCGTCTCGTTGCTAAACGACCTGTACAATGTCTGTGATAGCGTAGTGTTTGAGTACGACGTCTACAAGGTCGAAGCCGTCAATGATGCCTACCTGGTAATATTCTCAAAAAAGCTAACGTGGATTTTCAAATGTAGAAAAGTGTTGTAGGTTGTCAGCGGATTACCGGTTCGGAATGGAAAAAAGCACGTAGAGCAGATTGCTAATATGGCACTCACCTTGCGGAAAAGGATCAGTGATATGAAACTGACATCTGAACGAACAAAGAATTTTAAATTAAGAGCGGGAATTCACTCTGGTAATTTTTAAAGGCGTCCGTAGTGTCGTCGTCTTGCAGTAATTATTTAATAAGCTGATTTGCTAATTTTACGTGGAACTGTTATGCTAGTTGCTTGTTTACAGGACCGTGCGTAGCCGGAATAATTGGCAGTAAACTACCGAGATACTGTTTGTAAGTACAAAAAATGAGCGCTTGTACAAATACTCATGCATGTAATTTGCTGCCAGCTGGTACGTGGAAATTGTAGTGTAACAAAAAAACATTAGAAAACATATTGGCCGGGCCGTTTTTTTTTGGATTCTAAAGCCAGTCGTGGAACTGGCCATGGATGCATTGATGTTTTGTATATTACTATCTATTATTATAATTTTAAATTATTTTGCTTTTGTGTTTTAAATTGCCAGATTTGGGGATACTGTCAATACAGCCAGTCGAATGGAATCTCACGGAGAAGGTAGCAGCTGGAATATAACCGTTAACCACCCTGGATTCCCTAACCGGCTCTTTTCCAGGCGGGAAGCTTCATTGTAGTGAAGCAGCCAGAAATCTGTTGAAGGAATTTCCGGAATTTATCCTCGTAGAGCGGGGAGTAATTCCCATCAAGGTAAAGAAACCTGACAGCGTGGCTTAAATTTAAACACGTCAGAGCTATTAAGACCAATGCATGTCTTTTAGGGAAAAGGACCAATGCAAACGTTTTGGTTGATTGGGAATTGATTTACAATAATTATTCAAAACCAACTGTATCTTTAATACTATGCATGCGCAACGCAAAATATGGTTTACTGTTTACAGCACATACTCGGCTAGTGGCTTGCTTCCCTGGATACCAGCAAGTTATTTGTTAGGAACCCAAGATGACCTGTACAATTAGGAGTGTAACTGCATAGTGTAGTGTTTAATTTGCTTAGGATAATAGATTAATTTTATAGATATTATGAATAGATAATAGATGTATTTCATAATACTTGTATTATTGTAAAACCTTGTTGTAACTGTACTTTTAAATCCGTGCATGCACAATGGAATCATGGCGCCTAAATTAGCGTCGCGCTTTTTTGACTTGCGTTTATTATAACAGATGGTTTTTATTTAAGAAACGTGATGCGTCATTTTATTGCAGTAGTTTCTGTCTTGAATAAAATACAGGTGTGTCAGTTTTATCGACAGCCCATCTTTGTTCGTTGCCGGTTAACAAAAACTTCAATACATTATTTCAGCGATATCTGCCATAGGGCGATATTCAGCGGTCAAAGCGCGTTCGTTCGTCACTTTAGCGTTCGATATCATAATACGACTAGGTTTTATGGTTTAAAGAGACAATGGTATGCAAAAGCACAAATGTGAGTTTCTTTTATTGACCGACTCCACTACACAAAAAATCACTATCCTCTAATCAATGGGGATGTAAACCTACAATACGTATACTGAGCAGTCGGAGCCTCGAAGGTGCGCTACGCTTCTATCATTGGTTTGGATGTCCATTCAAAGAATTGCCGACTAATAAGCGTGATTCAGATGGGTTTAAAAGCAAATTGCGTTTGGTCGAAAATATCGCTCAATAAAACACATACAATAAGACGGAACTGGATCTACCAAGAGCAAAACCAAGTGATTTGTACAGTAGATGTGGTGGGAACATTTCTCAAAAATAACAGCAAGAACTGGTCTTAATTTGATAATAATTATTTGAAAGTTTATACCGAAGTTAATTATTATTAATTAATTGGGTAAATTAGTTTAGTAGTATTATCGTCTCAAGTGAATATTTTCGCGCTGTTAATATCAAAGACTATATTGTTTTCAAGGATGCTCTCTGCAGCGATTGCATACTACAATTACGTAAGTCCCCGTTTTGAATCCCAAGTGTCCTGTTTCCTTATAAACACACGGGAGAGTTCACAATTACGTTGTGCCTGCTCGTGGGTTAATTTAAAATCAATAACAATCATCTTGCATGTCCGCATAAATTATTTAAAAAAATTATAACTTTTGGTGGGAAATCAGCATATGCAAGTACTTAAATGGGAAATGTACGTCGAGAATAGCGAGTGGTTCGTGACGTAACGACTATCTGTAGCTTGCCTTTATAGCTTCCCTCGGAACAAGAAATGGTGTGGTCGTAAATTCTGGCACACGCATAACAGCTGTTGACATTTTACTGCCACTACCAGTGTCGCAAGCAAATGCAGTCCAGTAATTAAAATAATCAACACAATGCACGGAATTTGCTAAATACTAAACCAACAGGTGTTGTTTTCGTTTTGACGGTTTCATGAAAATCTTGCTTCTTTTGGTTCCAGGGGAATCGTATGGCCAAGCCTCTTTTTGTTGCAATTGTTTTTTGCTCGATAATGTCTGCTGCCCAATATCCTCTGGATCAGACAATAAATGTCACAATCTGCGTCATGTATGAACGAAACACTGTCGGCCTGCTGTATGACTTCAATCGAGCACAACCGGCTTTGGACATGGCGCTGACCTATGTGAACGAAGCGGTGGTGGCACCGGACATGTACGTTAATGCCATCTACCGGGACATCGGACCCTATTGCACCGATCCCGGTCTGACAAATGCGGCCCAGCATGCATTGTATCTCCATGATCAAGGAATTCACTGTGATGTCTATTTGGGGCCAGGTTGGTACAGGTCACCGGGTTTTACATCTGTTTGCTTCGGTACGATACAATACAGTCTGTCATTAATCGATAATAATAATAATAGTATTATCGACGGTAAATTAATTAAAGAAGCAACAAAATCCGGCAAATTTTCTGTTATCAGGACCATTCAATGTCCGCAAAATATTCAAAATACTGTACATTATCTTTGATTTTGGGCCGAGGGCAGGGATTTTTGTATGGCTTAGATCTGCACAACTGCGCGTTGGATATATCTGTTTCTCCCGAAATTGTGGTCATTTTCAGGGTGCGGTTCTGCAGCCGAACCATTGTATGATCTGGCAGTAACGTGGGACAAACCCGTGATTGGTTTACCGTCAGCCAGTGTCGGACTGCTGATAACACCGTATTATTATGACCATCTGACCAGGATGTCATTTGCTTTTCCTACATTGAATGCCGCCATTGTGTCGTTCTTGAACTATTTCAACTACACAACTCCAGCCTTCTTCTACGATACCTCGCTGAATTTCTTTTCGGAAGCTGGCCAACTGATTATGGCATCGCTACAGCAAAATTACACTAAATTATATTTGGCCAGTAAAGTGTTTCCCTTTAACAGCTCGTTAGCTACGGATGCTTCCCTGACTGAATTGTTACAAACCGCATCCAGAACATCACGAGGTGCGCCATTGTACCATTTTTAAAGTTCCCATCTTCCAACACCATACATTACTGTACTTGTGTACATTACTGATTATGGGGTATTTTGGTGTTCAATTGCAGTTTTTTTCATCTTGATGGATGCCGGAGACACGCGGAAGCTTATGGTAAAAGGTTTAGTCTGAACCGCCAGCGAACGACAATTTTAACCTAATTTTGCGAAAACTGCTCTATTTATTTGATCATCCATTTGAACGTTAACTAACACCTGTTGGTGTGTTGCATAAATTGTTAAATACAAATTCCGTATAATTATCGATCTTGTCGGGTTTCTTATTTTCATTCTCAGTCTCAGATCTATGCAAGATCGTGAACCCAGGTTTCAATAATAGATGTTGGCGCGTCAGCTGGGCATGGTCGGAGGCGATTATGTAAGTACGATGTTTGAAACTTAACATTATTTCTGTAAAGCTTTACTACACACGTATCAGATCGAGGACGGGGCAAATACCAACTGTTGTACATAATCAGTATACAAAGTAAATTTGTTGTCGGAAAAAGATTGGTAATTTTAACTTACCCGGGAATCGCTCGACATGCATACTGCTGACTGTTTCAACATCAGTAGCTAACTATAGCCCCTGTACTACGAATACTTAATATTAAAGTGTTCACACATTGGTTGCGGTGGTACAATGGGTGCTGTATTCTGGACACGATTCCGTCTAATAGTGCGAACAGGAAATAATTTTCCAGTTAGACTGTTGTCACTTCATATCGATGCGGACCGTGCCTACTGTCCTTAACGCTGCAGTTATGAAAGTTATGGCGATCGAATATTATGGTGAATGGTCATCGGTTTATGTTTCGTGCAGGTATTCATTGCGGTTGAGTTATTTGACAGCGAGGTATGGGGAACTTTTACTTGGAGAAATAACGACGCAAATGATCAGGTGCGTATTACTGAATGGAGTAATAAATTAAAAATAGACATGATAACCCTGGAAATAATTACTCGTTGATTGTAGTCCAGAGCCAAACCTAGAAAAAAATAATTTTGTGTATTGTAATGCTTTTCTTATTTGCTTCGTCTTATAGGCTGCACGGGAAGCATACCGAGCTCTTTTAATAATATCACTTGACATAAACAACAAAAACGATGAAAGTGCCGATAATCTCCGGACATTTTGGAAAGAAGTAGTCAATTTATCGAAGACGAAGTACAACTATACCTTCCCGCAGATATATACAGTGAGTTAAAATACTAATACAGTAAAAAAATTTATTATTACTGTGGCAAATAAATTCAACTTTTCTCCTAGATAAAATAACGGAAATCCTAATAAAACTTCAATAAAAGTACCAAATGGTTTGAATATTTTTGCATTTTTAGTCCCGTGTTGATCCGGTCGTAGCTCACTTCTACGAAGCTGTGGTGATGTACGCGTCGCAAGCGTACGTAATGCATCAGCAGAATATGTCCTACCAAAGCGGCGAGGCTTTCTGCTCGTTCGTGTCTTATAAACAATTCTCAAGCCCTCTGACTGGAACATACTCGTTGGACGAAAACAGCGAACGGCGCAGTCCTTACGTGGTGAAGATCATGGATGACCAGACAGGCCAATATGTGGTGAGAGTACAAATTAAACCGCTGGTGTAGTTGCGCTCCATTTGTATCCCAGTGTACTGTTTCTTTGCAGATAATGGTGCAAATTGATCCGGACGCTGTTCTGACGGTAGTAGGGGCGTTCTCCTTCGTCGGCCACCCTAAGCTACCACCTAATGAGCCGCGATGTGGTTTCCGAGACGATAATCCAATCTGTATTGCTGAAAGGTCAGCGCTGCCGAAGGGAACCATTGAATCATCCGTCAGCGTGCCGCTTTTGGTGTTTTTCGGTGCGGCTCTCGGTGTAGCGTACGCCATAAGACGGTATGTAAAAAATATTTTGCTAAGAAAATATCGGCAAAATTTTGATGCAATTGTTATATGTATGTTCATATAGTTCGTTGCAAGATGATTCCGATCCGTTCTGGTGGCGCATAATATTGGCGGACATTGATATTTCGAACACGTCCACTACCTCGCATCGCTCGTCAGTAAGTCCAGAAACTTGTGATTTCGGGTTTTAGAGGTTAACAAAACCTTAAAATTCACACCAGATGCGAAGTACTATTCAAGGACAAACAGCTGAACTTCCAGAGGAAGACGAGGTTTATAATATTCTTTTTAATGACGGAGAGGTACGCTAACGTCACTTTGTAAATTTGTCGCAGGACCTCCCTGAAAAAGATCTCACCCATATTCACCAGCAAAAGCAGATGATTCGTTCCGCTAATGTTGCCGGTGTCAGCGTTACGCTAGTGGAACTTCCACCGCCCAAACATCGCGTACCCAGCGATACTTTCAAAGCAGCCGGTTTGGTCAGCATATAATTAAATTGCACAAGGAAAACAGTTTCGTTTACCTGAGAAAGTCATTCTTCAGGCAAAAACTTTAACGCATCGCAACATACAAAAGTTCATTGGCATCGCCGTTAACGAAGACAACCAGTGTGACTCCATTGTTGGCGAGGTTTGCCAAAAGGGCACACTGCGAGACCTTATTAATGATGGAGCGATCAACTTGGACTGGGAATTTAAAAGCGCCTTAATGAAAGATTTAGTCAATGTAGGTATTATGTACTATGTAATATTCATATTAATTCAACTAAACAAACTTCCCTTTTTGCAAGAGCCATTCGTAAATTGCAGGGCATGGCTTACCTGCATTTATCACGACTTCGCTCGCATGGCTTTCTCAACGATCAGGCCTGTCTGATTGATAACCGCTTCATATTGAAAATTTGTTCGTACGGGTTTCCTACGCTGCGCAACGACGACGACTTACAAGCGGTTACCGTAGCAGCCCAAGATCGCAATTATAATCTACTCCTGTGGCGATCACCGGAGTTATTACGACGAAACGTGCCGCCAAATGGCACGCAGCCTGGTAAAACGAATCTTACCGCTTCCAATCCAAATAATCAGGATTTAACGAAATTCACCACGCAAATTACATACATGACCTTTTGCATGGCAGGAGACGTTTACAGTGTTGGCATCTTGCTGCAGCAAATTATTCTCCGCTGTGCGCCATACCAAATCGGAGATGGCGGGCACATAAAGACAAAGAGAAGATCAGATCGCGAACAGACCAGTGATCGTGATATCGTACAAGATGTTCGACGCGGATTGGTCCCGCCAATGCGGCCGGCAGTGCCCCTTTCTGCATGCAAAACGGAGCTTTATGAGCTGATGACGTTGTGCTGGGACGAAGAGCCGCTTCTTCGACCGCCCTTTGTGAGAATAAAGGCGGTTGTGGCAAAAGTAGTTGGCAGAGCGGGTGAAAATATAGTGGATCATTTGATCAAACGGTAATGCAATATTCAGCCAATACTTCAATCCTAAATCTTAGGATTGATTATTTGGCAGAATGGAGCAATACGCGGCGGGATTGGAACACGAAGTGGAAGTAAAAATGAAGCAGTTCATGGAAGAACGCCAACGCTCAGCCGCTTTTCTGGCACAGCTTTTACCTAAGTAAGCAAAATTAATAGCCTTTGTGGAAAAAAATACTGCGCTTGATCCATACGCGACCAGTTACGCTTTTCATTAGATCTGTCGCGGACGCCCTCGGCCGCGGCATCCACGTGGTCCCCGAAACCTTTGAGCATACAACAGTATATTTTGGTGATGTACCCGGTTTTACCGAAGCTATTGAAGAGTGCGAGAGTGCCTTAGATACAGTGGAATTGCTGAACAAACTGTATGGTGTTTGTGATGCTGTGGTGGCTGCGCACGATGTATATAAAGTGGAAACGGTTATTGATGCATACCTGGTAAGTGAGTAACTGTTGTCGATACGGATGGTGGTGACAATAGCTCGCACGACACATCATTCGCCGCGTGATGTGCGTAAAGGTGGCCAGTGGAGTTCCAGTCCGGAATGGCAATAAACATGCTGAGCAAGTGGCCTCTATGGCTCTGGGCATCAGAAGAGAGATCAGTAATTTGCGTGCAACGATGGACAAGGCCAAAAACTTTAAACTCCGAGCTGGACTGCACTCAGGTACGCAGTTATATTGTAGCTACCGCATCGTTAACGGTGACAAACCTGCAATGTTTACAAAAACATTAAAGGGAATGCCCTTATATCATAAAATCGGGGTGATATTAAACAATGTGGGTACAGTACCAAAATTGGTAATTGGTTGTTAAAACTGGTATAACCAAATGTTAGCCTAATTGTTAATCGTTTAAATTTTTAATAAGCATTGAGCAGACCTAATAAAGCTAATGCCTTTCAGGATCTTGTGTGGCGGGTGTAGTTGGACTAAAAATGCCGAAATATTGCTTGTACGTATAAGCACCAAGGTACCACTGTTTATTAGATATATAACTGGCTTCTAGTAATCTGGTCCACCCATTCGCGTAAAATATTGCAAATAGGTAATAAACTATGAAACGCCGTATGATAACAAAGTTGACAGCTCCGTTAATGCAGGTTTGGGGATACTGTAAACACTGCCAGCCGAATGGAATCTCACGGCGAAGGTGCGAATGAATTTCGATCTAAGCATACATCAGCGGCATTTCCATTGTACTTACATTACACTATCATTACAGCTGGAAAAATTCACATTAGCGCCTCCACTAAGCTGATTTTAGACAGATTCGATGACTTTATCGTAAGCGAACGGGGAACCATCGACATAAAGGTACCAAAAAAACCATAATACAATACAAGTACCTATATTTGGGGTCAGCCAATGAACGTACTTAATACTTTAGGGCAAAGGTCCCATGCTGACCTACTGGCTTATCGGACGCAACTGATTGTGAATGCGCAATTAATAAAATTCGCCATGGATTCATACTTGTAGTACCTGCACGCTGTGCTGTACCGACAAATCTGGATCTGCTGGAGCGCTCGTGTTATATGTACAAGCATTTTTTGCTACGTCGTGTTACTCCCAATCAGCAGCATGGTTGTCGTCATGTAGGAATGTTACAGTAGTTATTCTGACGGTTTGCACCAGCATTAATCCTTCACGGTTTGTTAGCACGTTAATTAGCACTATCTTGTGATGTACACCCGCATTGACAAGCCATGTCTACTATACCGATTCAACAATTAAACCCAAATGTAATAATCATTGTGTATAGAAGTACGCATCCTGGCTGATTTTAAAACGAGACCGTACCTGCGGGTTAACTCGAGGTAAACCGATACCAGATGGAGTGTTAAAGTTATTCAATTAAAAAAATTCCTATCATACTTTACAGAAAAACAAATCAAATACAATATTGATCAGATTGGGTAATAAAGCAAAGTGAGCCTGTGCAATGAGCCGGACAGTGTACTATATCATAAAAGTGGGAAACCTCAATGGAAAACCGATACCCACATTACATGAGCGAATGCTGCCGGCCGGGAGAAATTATGACATTGTACGAAAGCCAGTTTTGCTAGGAAAATCCTAGTTGCAACCTTTCAACCCGCGTCTGGAATAAAGTTTTGATTGTTGCGAGAGTGTACGTAGAATGTGCATTAAGCTTGTATGGCACAATGTATTTATTGACTGACTACCCTTTTCGAAACTTTGAAAAACGGAAAAGCGCTATAAAGCTTTTTTGTTGTTATGATAATATCAAATCGAACAACCAAACAATAACAAGGCCATAACAATAGCTACAGGCTTAATAAAGTCCAAAGGATGGATATGGCGCAATTTATTGCTAAAAGCTTTGGATTTAATTTACGGACTCTATAGCCCTCAATAGTATTTTGATGGTAAAATGCAAATGATTTTATTCATGTATTTTCCTCATAGCGTTATTTGCTGCTTTCGGTTTCGGCTGTCTTCGATTGCCATGCCAAATGATTATGACAATATCCTCCACTGCTATGATGGTGAGCCACGTAAGTTAAAATTCTTTAGCTTCTTGAAGTTTTATTTACATTGTATACAATTTTTGCGGTTGCCGCTCATCTGACTTAAAGTTTTGCCTATAACACTACTCGCTAATGGAAATAATGTGGTGGTTCAGTATATATTGCTCAAAAGCTTGCGATCAGGCATGCACATTGGATTGTTTTTTAATAACGATTACTGTATATTGGCCGCTTCCGTATTCTATAATTAGGCGAAATACGGAAAATTTTAATTCCAATTGCGTATTAAATATGAATTATTGTGTGTATCGTGTATAGGGTGATCTAGTACAAAGTTACATATTGTACGAATCGTACGAAACATCTAATACATTATTAAGAATGCTTATTAAATGTGTCTGTTTTTGTAATGCTTACGTTTTGTAGTGCGGAAACGATTTATAAAAATCAGTTTGAACAATGGAGAGCTAAGCAAAACGCAATAATTACAACTTTCTTATCTGCATTTTTACTCTCCTATCTTATAGTAGCAAATATAAAACTGATATGTACATCTGTGTTTGAAAATTTTCATAATGCATTATGAAAATTTTTAAATACAGATGCACAAGTATCACATTTTATCTAACGGCTGACAATACTGACATGTGAGGGGCTGAAATTGATACCATGGCGTAAACACGTCAATATATTTTGTATGTACAATACTAGTACCGGTTTCAAATGCAGAAATCTAGCAACCCGCTATCACAAGCGATATAAATATTCCTTTACTCAGTACAAAATTAATGGTAAACTGCCCATGGCCAGTCAGGTTCTTCATGGCGAAATATTAATCGGTTTGATTAAATTAAGTAAGAGTATGTACTGAATTTTCTGGCGAAGAACTTGAGACATGTTGCGTGATAATGGAAGTGGCACAAGTTGTACACAATTAATTTACTGTCTCGGCGTCCGGATGCTACTCGTATGTCGTGCACGCGAGCCACAGATCACTGCACTCATCGGAACGGGAAGTATGTGATTGTGAGGCAGCCAAATTGTCAGGGCGTTAACGTTTAGCTGCTTCTGTTGCCACAACAAACATCTCAAGGCACTGCAACATTTCAGCACAAAACTATATTTAGCAGAATCAGGAGCAGGAAACTAGCGTTGATCTTTGGTTGTTTAGGAACAGCTTATGGCCCAGACGCTTCTTATGGCGACAATGTTTTGGACAATATCTGCACAGATATCCCAGTCTGATGATAGGGTCAACGTGACCATGTGCGTCATGTATGAGCGGGACACGGTCGGTCTGCTGTATGACTTCAATCGAGCACAGCCTGCCTTGGACCTGGCGTTGACCTATGTCAACGAAGCGGTGGTGGCGCCGGACATGTTCATTCGTGCTATCTACCGAAATATTGGAACCAGTTGCACTGATCCCGGTTTGACCTATGCGGCCCAACATGCGCTATACCTACATGATCAGGGGATCAACTGTGACGTCTATTTAGGACCGGGTTCGTCTTACACTAACAGCACGTCTGCTATCATAACTGCAAACCATCTTTAATAAGAATTTCATGAAGAGTGTGCTTGTTTTAAAAGAATATTTGGTAACACGTTAGCACACTTCAAAGTTTTGGTACACTACAAATAGTTGACAGTTAACGATTCTGTCGTGGGTTATTTACTGGCTTTTATAATTTGACCTGACACTCATTGGCAACATCATTATAATTGCTCATTATGTCATCATTATAAGCATTCATTATAATTTCAGGATGCGGCTCTGCTGCCGATGCATTGTACGATTTGGCATTAACATGGCACAAACCCGTGATTGGATTACCGTCAGCCAGTGTCGGACTGCTGATAACACCGTATTATTACGATCACTTGACCAGAATGTCGTTTACCTTTCCTACATTAAACGCCGCTGTTGTGTCGTTTTTAAACTACTTCAATTACACGTCACCGGCATTTTTTTATGACAACTCCCAGAATTTCTTTTCGGAAGCCGGTCGCCTAATTCTAGCATCGCTGCAGCAGAATTACACAAAGCTGTTTGCGGCTAGCAAACTGACTCCTTTCGACAGCGATTTGGCAACCGATGACAGCTTGGTTGGACTCTTACAAAGCGCATCGAAAGTATCAAGAGGTATTGTTTCTGTGCTTTCTGCGAGATTACTTGTACGTGTTTTCGTTAATGTTTATTTTGTCTTCTTGTTCTTTTGGCAGTATTTTTTATTCTTACGGATGCTGAAAACACCAGGAGAATCATGGTAATAATAATATTGATATGGTGGTTATTCGGCATATTACAGCGCATCAGGGCCGTCGCGAGCTCGGAGGGTAGACGACAGACCGCGCACCGGGCCGGGCGCGCGGCCTAAAAAATGGCCCAAAATTTAGGAAAAATCCTAAAAAAGAGGCTTTTTTGAGCCACGTTTTTATAATTTTTCTGTTGTTCTTGCCGATTGTGCGCCGGCGTGTCATTTTCCATTTTCTCCTTCGGAAATGGCGAAAAGACGCTGGCGCACCTCGCGACGGCCCTGCAGAGCACTAGCATAAGTAATACTTATTGCTGCTGCGGAATGAATATCCCGATATTTTACATTACCCAAAATCGTCACATGTTAACCACTGCCGTGCTTCAGTAATACAGAATGAATTTTACATAATCTGTGGGAATGAATTAACAATTCATTCTGTACTACTGGAGCCCCGTATTGGACAAACTATGGTACTGGCTTCAACCCTTCGAAGGAACGGCGCAGGTAAATACTTTATCTGCGCCGCAAGTACGGTATTTCAAAGGGACCTTGTTATTTGCATATGCAGTACTATTTGAATATTTTCGACGTATACGAATACTTATTGCACTACAAGCTCCTTTCAACCTTTCAACAAAATACGAGTAATGTGGCATTTGCTTCCAGTTACTGGCGCGTCAACTCGGCATGGTCGGAGGGGATTACGTGAGTACTTTAAGCCTTTAACGTCGCTCAGACCAAAGTACAATATTATACTAAAAGAGGGACAAATAACGTTCTGGTCATACCATGTGAAAAATATGGCATCGAAGACAAAAACTAAATACTCTGTTTTTTGCATTAAGTTTTAGTGTTGCATTAATGGGCACTGGAGCCCCGGCTGCTGGGAGGCTGGTGCTCTCTGTGATCGGCTGTGTGCGGTGACCGTGGGTCAGCGAGAAGCCGGCCGACCGGGGGTCGGCGGAAGAGAGCGACCAGTGCCCTGCGCAACCGAAGGCCCCTTTATTGAGCAAGTGCGAAATAACAGCAGAAGAAAACAGCAGGGTGTGGCGGGTGGTAAAAGAACAGAGATCACTCGCGCGCACACGATATCGAAGGAGCAAAGACAGACAGCAGTGAGAACTGCAGAACCATGCAATGCGAGCACACGAACAGTACCAAGTGCAAACAGCATGCCCGTGCATGACGGCGGCCGCTTTGATCTAAGCGCCACGGCGACGCGCAGCGCCACCAACAGACTCACGTAACTCGCAACACACGGCGAAAGGAGACAGAGCGGAAGCGCATGTCCTCCAGCTAACATTAACATCAATTAACTCGTTAATTGTCATTTTATGCATAAAAAAACGTTAACAGCTAATACTGGTTAATACGCTTACAGATAATAATTATGCTCTGTTCAGTTATACTAACCATGGTGCTATGTATAAAGATGAGCACCAACAATTTGCAAAGGTCAAATTAATGTGTTCATGTGCAGGTATTCATCGCTATAGAGCTGTATAGCAGCGATGTCTGGGGAACGTTTACGTGGCAAAGTAATGACGCCAATGATGCGGTAGGTATACAAATGGCGAAATTAGTAATAAGTGCAGTCGTATTAGTCTTCAGTCGTAACCGTCATGTACGTAGTAATGGGTAGTAATCCTGTGTGCGAACTGCGAACTCGAAGTGTAAAACACCAATAAAAATATAGACGTAATAAGTGCAGCATTTGCGTTTGTACAGCACATTGGAGAACTTCTTGGTTTTATTTGGTTACAGGCAGCACGGGAAGCTTATCGAGCTCTTCTGATCTTTTCGCTTGATATTAACAATAAGAATGACGAAAGTGCGGACAATCTTCGAACATTTTGGAAAGAGATCATCGAGATATCCAAAACCAAATTCAATTACACCTTTCCTAAGATATATACCGTAAGCAAACAGCAGAACTTGCCACCAGGCAGACCCGTATTTCGGAGAACTGGGTTTCGTGATCGTCGGAGGCGATTACAAACATACATTAAAATAATGCATTGTGGTATTTTTACCTCCTGATTAGGACCGAGTCGACCCTATAATAGCTCACTTTTACGAGGCAGTCGTCTTATATGCATCGCAAGCCTATGCAATGTACCAACAAAACTTGACCTATCAAAACGGTGCGGCGTTTACATCATATGTGGCTCAGAAACTATTTCCCAGTCCTCTTACGGGATCATTCTATTTGGACGAGAATAGCGAACGCCGAAGTCCTTATGTAATGAAAATCATGGACGATCACACAGGCCAATACGGGGTTAAAGATACTCGATCTGTTGTGCATCATCATAATACTAGCGCGAAAAACACCTATTTTGCAGATCATGGTCCAAATTGATGCAAGCGCCCATTTAACCGTAGTTGGAGCATTTACATTTGTTGGTCAACCTGGCTTGCCACCGAATGAGCCACGTTGCGGCTTCAAAGACGACAATCCGGTATGCATTGCCGAAAGGTCAGCGCTGCCAAAGGGAACCATCGAAGCTGCGGTCAGCGTGCCGCTTATTGTCTTCTTTGCATTGGTTGCGGGCGCTGCATATGTCCTAAAACGGTATGGCATTACCGGTATACTTAAAATACTGAAATGTTGATGCAGTCTGAATCGTAGCGCATTATCAGACGATTCGGATCCTTTCTGGTGGCGCATTATATTAGCAGACATCGATATCGCGACGGCGACCACGACATCTTATCGCTCCTCAGTAAATTTTCTCAACATTCTTTTCGCTGTCCTCCATTCGTTCTAACGATAAGTTCTGCCATAGATGCGAAGCTCGTTAACACACCACACCGCCCACGCCGATGAGGTCAAGAACGTCAACACATGAACATATCCTGCCCACGATGATAAATTCAGTATTGCAGGAGAAAGAAGATCTAAAGAAGGAACAAGAAGTGAAAGCGACTCGCACAGCTAATATATCGGGGGTTAGCGTTACTCTGGTGGAACTTCCATCGCCCAAACATCGCGTGCCCAGCGATACATTCAAAGCAGCCGGTTTGGTCAGTAACTACCCACGCAAACGTTTATTTGTTACTAAAATTGAAATCATCAACTGCAAATGTGCCTAGGACTGTGCTAAGAACTATTTTCTTTTCTAGGCCAAGACCTTAGTTCATCGGAATATTCAAAAGTTCATCGGAATCGCCGTCAACGAAGATAATCAGTGCGATTCCATTGTTGGTGAAGTTTGTCAAAAGGGCACACTGCGAGATCTCGTTAGCGATGCAGCGATCAACTTGGACTGGGAATTCAAAAGCGCCATAATGAAAGATCTAGTTAATGTAAGTACTGAATTCTGCTTCTCCAAATGCTTGAAAATTTCACCTCGGCGCACCACGCTGCTATAGGGTATGGTGTACCTGCATACGTCGAAACTTCGTTCACACGGCTTCCTCAACGACCAAAACTGTCTGATCGATAACCGCTTTATACTGAAAATTTGTTCATATGGATTCCCTTCGCTTCGCAGTGAAGATGACTTGCAGGCCGTCAGTGTTGCACCCGAAGAGCGCAATTACAACATATTACTATGGAGAGCGCCGGAGTTGTTGCGGAGAACAATGCCTCCCAATGGCACGCAACAAGGTACATACTCATACGTAATGCGAAATGGCTCGGATTTAGTTCGTGTATTTTTTTTTAAAAGCATCACCGACGTGTGTAAAATTGTAAATGCTTTTTTCCAGGGGACATCTACAGCTTTGGCATTCTTCTCCAGCAAATTATACTCCGTAGTGCACCGTACCAGATCGGTGACAGCGGACAAGGGAAGAATGCAGTCAAAAGACGATCCGACCGAGAGCAAATCAGTGATCGTGATATCGTACAAGATGTTCGACGCGGATTGGTCCCACCACTGCGGCCTGCAGTGCCAATCTCTGCATGCCCTATGGAGTTGTATGAACTGATGACGATGTGCTGGGATGAAGACCCGCTACTCCGCCAACCTTTTGTCCGAGTGAAAGCTGTCGTGGCTAAAGTAGTTGGCAGGGCGGGAGAGAACATTGTTGACCATCTAATCAAACGGTACGACAATCAACTGCCAAAGTCCCACTTTTGATATTAATAAAATGGCAACAAACCGTTGCATAGCAATGTGCGCATTCCATAGAATGGAGCAATATGCCGCTGGATTGGAGCATGAAGTGGAAGTAAAGATGAAGCAGTTCATGGAGGAACGACAGCGTTCAGCAGCTTTTCTTGGCCAGCTTTTACCAAAGTATTGCAATATTTACTTTTTTTATACGGATACTCTTATCAGGGCAGTATTTCCGCCTCCAAATTCAAACAAAATCTCATTTTTTTTAAAAAAGGTAGTAGACTACCTAGGTATATTTAAAAAAATATTTTCATCTGCAAAGGTCGATTGGGCGTGGTCTAATATAAATTAAATGAGTACATAGTACTGCATACTATTATTATGCAGTACTGGCATTTACCATAATAATATTAGACTAATTCTGCGGCCACTGGACCAGATCTAATAGTATGTGTACTCGGTACTCATTCAATTCATGTTAGACCATGCCCAAGTGACCTTTGCAGATGAAACTATTTTTTTAAATATACCACTACCTTGTAGTCTACTACCTTTTTACAAAAAAAAAGAGATTTGTTTGAATTTGGAGGCGGAAATACTGCCCTGGTTAGTAACGTGTGCATGACTGCAGTTTAAGAAGTGGCGTCTTGTAGCGGATGACCGCTAGATCGTGTTCGTTGTAGGCCTGTCGCGGACGCTCTTGGTCGGGGTATTCAAGTTGTTCCGGAGACATTCGAGCACACAACAGTGTACTTCGGAGACGTGCCCGGTTTTGCCGAAGCCATCGAGCAATGCGAGAGCGCTTTGGACACCGTGGAGCTGCTTAATAAGCTGTACAGTGTATGCGATGCTGTGGTGGCTTCGCATGATGTGTATAAAGTGGAAACAATAACTGATGCCTACTTGGTAAGTACGGTAAATTATACCATAATACCGTGTCCGCTGATCGTCTTGAACCATGGGATAAAGGTGGCAAGCGGAGTACCAGTTCGAAACGGCAATAAACATGCCGAACAAGTAGCGTCCATGGCTCTGGGTATCCGAAGAGAAATTAGCAGTTTGCGAGCAACAATGGATAAGGCCAAGAATTTCAAACTGCGAGCTGGCTTGCATTCGGGTAAAACTGAATAACTGACTTTAATTGACCTTTCCTTACTTTACTTACCTCACTTTAATGATGGCTTAATCGATCTTTTATCACACAATTTTAAAGAGCTAATGTGAGTTATTGTCTAGGGAGAAAACAGTATTGTATTACACAGATTTAGATCTTATCAGCGTTCAGGCAACAAGCTTTGCTTGCAACTTAATATTTTTGCAGATTTGTTGTTTACTATTTATGATTTTTAACGATTGATATTGGTGGAACATTTGTAGGCTCTTGCGTCGCTGGCGTAATTGGACTGAAAATGCCAAAATATTGCCTGTAAGTACGAGTTAAGCGGGCAGGAAAGCACAATGCGCAGTTGCGCACGTAGATATGAACATATTTTCATATATAAATTACTGAACGCTTTCAATTGTTAGTATGTATACCCCGTGCGCCAAACGCCATGGCAGTTTTGTTTTGCATTGTCACAGGTTCGGGGATACAGTTAATACTGCAAGCAGAATGGAATCGCACGGTGAAGGTGTGTGTTATTAGAGTCCATACAATGCATTTCACTCTGCATTATAGGATATCTTTTGCACAGCTGGAAAAATTCACATCAGCGCAGCAACCAAAACCATTCTGGACAGATTCGATGACTTCATAGTGAGCGAAAGAGGCATCATTGACATCAAGGTAAACCGGACACAACTGCACAAGGTGCACAAGTTGCCAAAAACAAAAAATCGCCATACTAAAAAGAATGGTCCGTACGAGAAGTTATTTTATTAGGGCAAAGGTCCCATGCAGACATACTGGCTTATCGGTCGCAACTGACCGAGATGTTTCAAGAATACTCCGTCTCCTCCAAAGCACCACAACGTCAACTGCATTAAACAGCATCACGACATCGTCTGTTGCTGAAATGCTTTTCTCTAGCTGCGAAATGTACGGGGTCTTATGCCTGATTCTCTGTGCACAAGTGTATCTCCGAGATTCCGACTAATACTGTGGAATCCTGTGAGCGGCTTTTGCGCACAATCTTTTCAATTGGTGATGTAGCCGTCATGTACCTCGTACATTACGCTCCTACCCGTTAACCTAAAGTTTCCATGCCTACGAGCGGTCTTCGTAAGTTAAATTCATGTTAATCATTTTACTGTAGGACCTCGCGGTCAGTCATCTCGCGACCCAGAGTACCAGTGTACATATTGTAACGAGTATCTAAGAAGGCTTGCAGCAAGTACGTACCATGGTAGAATTATGGCGCTCTGACATGAAAAGCAATGCAAAGGCATACCTAACGTATGTAATTACTAATTTTATAGTAATTTACTACGACAATACCACAATTTACAGCCATAATTTATTGTTTTTGTTTTGCTGTAATTTGGCAGGTCGGTTGCGTGATGTGCACTGGGGCAAAGCAGCCTTAACAATGTTGGAAAGCGTACAAACTACAAAATTAATGTAGAAACATTATTATTAGAAATGCGTGACCTTCATTTGTTACTTGATCTGGGATTAGGGCTGATCCGTTTTCTCCGCTTTCCGCTGACAAGTGCCACATTCCGTTCACCCTGCAGCGCTAATCCCACCTAATAAAGTAGTCACACATGCAATATTTCTGCATCTTGCGATATAGAATTACGAGTACAATAATATGTGTGTCAGGTTCCGGCGTACGCAGCTTTTACTTTTGCACAGATACGGCTATTACTGCCGGTATCGATGTGATTACTTCAATTTACTGGTATCCGATCCATTTGCAAATGGGCTGTCTGGTGGAAAATGATTGAACGCGTTCTTGGCGAGTCAGTACTGCGGCGCCTGCACAGTTTCCCAGACTCTCCACACCAGTTGGGGAAAGTTTACCTGAACTATACCCTCGGGAGTATTGACACTGAATGCGGAAAAAGTCAAACAGTCTGTGAGTTATACCCAAAAAACTTCGATTATTTGATGATCCCAATGGGCGTGCGTGCCATTTTCCCTGGATGCTCTTGATAGCGATTATACAAATTCCATATTTCCATTAATGTCATGGTCTCGGTACTGGTAAACCGGGCTAATGATTTATTTAATCAATCCATTTATTCGATAATGGGACTGATATGACGCGGTATGGCTTGATTAACGCTGGAGTGCCCCGCGTCAAAATGCACGAAGTATCTTTGGCCGATACTAGAAATTCAGCGCTTTAATACGAGTATGAGTACAATAATGCCGCATGGTATTGCTAATGTCGGGATATCCTGTAAGCTTTTCCGTTTATGCTGGAGTTTTGCTGCGTTGTTGTTACATGACTAAATGACGCCGCATAAAAATCCTCGAAATGCGCTGGTCCAATCTGAACATAACTTTTGTGTGTTGACCATTCATTAACTCACAATGTCAGCTGGACACACGTGTATTTCATCGTTGGTCGAAAGCACCATGCGACACATCGGAGTCATGCTGAGTATTGTCACGTTGCTTAGCACGATGCGGTCGGTCGTATCGGCTATCGAAGTAGTCCAAATGTGTACGCTCTTGGAGCGAAATACCGGCGGTCAGCTGCTGTACGATTACAACCGCGCCGAGGCGGCTATCATCATGGCCGTCGATTATGTCAACGAGGTCATCCTGGCACCGACACACCGGATTAATATTACGTACCGGAATATTGGCCGGACGTGTCCCGCAGAGGGAGGATTAACTCTGGCCACGCAACAAGCGTTGGCGCTGAACGATGCCGGGATAAACTGCGATGCATACCTTGGACCAGGTAAATTTAATCTGGCCACACGCGACAGACGTCTGTAGAGTGTTAAGACGCAAAGTAGTGTTTCCGATTGTGGCGTGGGTGTGTCTTGATGCATTTAAATGCATTAGTACCATTGTGCGCATGGGGGTTGACTGTAAATATCACGGGACACGGAAGTGTGCAAGACAAATATAAATCTACAATAACCTCAGTTACCGGTGTTACTGACTCTGCGCGTCGCATTTATTTTGTTATTAGGTGGTAATGTTATTTTATTTGCTGTATATCTGCTCTGCTGTTTTGCTCTTACGTAAGTAAATTTGGCGACAGCATAATCCCTTCGCATTACGAAGCTTGTTCTTTCAGTTTATAAAATATATTGTTTCACCCTCTCGGGATTCGAAAAACAATCATATCAATAAAATAAAGAATTGACTTAAGAATTTATAACTACCTTTGGGAACCATTGGTTAATTTACTCACTGTTACTGTCTTAGTTGTCAGTAGAAGTATTTATGGTCTGACTAACGAAAAGAATTAACTGCTGACGACTTACAAGTGGATAAAATTAATACTGTATCATTTTTTGCTCGCATTGTTAGCACATTCTAAGATTAATCACGCTCAATCAGCAACAGTATTCTAACTTTACAAAAATTCTTATAAAGTCTAATCTTTGAAATACACATAACACACATTTAGCGAACGTGAACAGGGTTGGCAAAAATCGATGTTTTAATTATACGCAACCTTGTCAAGCTAGTACACATCCTGACGAGCGATCGTGTCACGCGAACGAAACGGTTATTTATTATTTATACGTTGGGATAAAGGTTGTACGCCTTGTCATCCCTTATTTCTGAAATAGTTGTAAATTTGTAATACAATCTACACGCTGGCTCGTTGCAATGACTGATTTCGTAAACTAGAAAGCCAGCAGTCCCGTGCAAATTCGCGAAGTACTCGTACTAATGAAACAGGCGAGCGAATGTAATTAAGGAACGGTATTACCTTACACTGCTCCAAACAAGGACGTTAAATGTGATGTTCATGTTTGTTGCCTGTCATCCGCTTGCCTACCCTAGTGGTATATGCGTGACATATTAGCGTGAAATGAGGCACAGCAGCAAAAACGAAGTTAGTTCTAAAACGAACCGGTTATAAACTATCCCAATTTGGCGTTTTTACACTATAAGAAAATTACTTGCATGTACAATACGTGAGCGCATGCATGTTAGCCGTAAAGTTTATTGGAAAATCAAGAATGGATGGGGAAAAAAGCTAATAAAAAACCTGAAAATGCTGCTAACATCAATCAAAATTCGTACCGAACACATGAACCACTACCTACTCTGCATCTGCGCTCCGGACAATAATTTGAACATATATCATTAATGCAGCGCCAAGATTTCATATAGAGTATTCATATTGGTTCATGTTTGGAACAAGCTTTTCAGTTTAATTCTTTCAGGGTGTGGCGCGGCAGCTGATTCCTTGTACGACCTGGCCGTGGCATGGGAGACTCCCGTACTTGGGTGTCCAGCGGCTAGTGTTGGCTTGTTGACATCCCCGGACTACTACAGTCGACTGACTCGCACGTCCTTCACTTATCCATCCCTAAAGGGCATCCTTATACGCTTTCTGTTAAATTTCAATTATACGACACCGGTGTTTTTTGTCGACAAAGACAATCCTTTCTTCTACGAGATGGGAACGCTTATTCGATCTGCTATGCAGTATGACAATCCTGAATACTACCAAGCTAGTAAATTTGTCGAATTCCAGAGCTCAAAGACCAATTTTGCCCGGCTAAAAGAACTGCTCAGTACGGCAGCGTTGAATTCCCGAGGTATGGTAACTGCAGAGCGAAAACTAAATACATTTCTAATTTACCTAACTTATTTGCAATGTTTGTAGTATACTTTTTATTCATGGATGCCAACTCAACCAGGCGGTTTTTGGTAACACATTGTGCTTTATATCTGTACTGTATTGAGTTTTTCCCAAGTTTTGTAAAATTTCAAGCATGAGCATGTTGACAAGTTTTTGTTTAAACGGGTAATTAATTTTTAAAAAAATAAAGAAAGACGTTTGCACAGTACTTCAATTATCATAAATGTGGAAACACGGAAATTTTTAGCGCGATGGACTTCCTCTTATTCACTCTACCATTTACTGAAGTAATTTTTATAGGAATTTGCCTGTTTTCCAAACTTATAAATAAAATTGCTATGTACTCCTTAACTGACAGTTCTGTTTTCTTTAGCTAGGGGCTCATCGATTGGGATATACTAATGGAGAATTTGTACGTAGCAGGTTCATAACTTTATACAGTGCGATTGCGAAACCCACCGTAATTGATAACGTGTATGCTTTTGAAAGACGAAAATTTGATGTTTATTTTACTCAGTTAAATATTTTCCTGGTCCTTTACTTGTTATCAAATCAGCCTTGCAACAGCGAAAACTATGCGCATGATTTTATAACTTTTCAGGTATTTATTGCTATCGAGCTATACGAAAACAGGTTGTGGGGGCATTACACATGGCAGTCAAATGATGAAAATGATGAGGTACGAGTGGTATCTGACCTTGCAACCAATAGTTTAAAGTTTATAATACAGTAGAATCTGTATGATATGCTTCTACATATCTATATAATTATATTATGATATGCTTATTTTTTGTTTTATGGCTTGATTTAATTTGCTTTCAAGACCATGCGACAAGCATTCGAAGCCCTTCTGATACTCTCACTACAACTGAGTCCTGACGCCGACAGCGAAAACAACATTTTAACATTCTGGCAAAGGGTCACCGGTCTGTCGCAGTCCGTGTATAACTACACATTCTCGCCCGACGATCTTGTGCGTAACTAAAACATAACATGACATGCTGCTTTTGTGTTTGCGAACGCTTTCGGTAGAATAGGTACCAGTATACATAATTCCGAGATTACTTGATATTGTCATTTTCCCGTATATACGTACATTGCACAGATACAAAATTAACTCTTTTCTTAAATTACGTATTTGAATTACGAACATGGCGTAATTAGCGTCTTCATTTATAATAATTTATAGAAGAGTCCGGATCCTATAGTAATCCATTTCTACGAAGCCGTGCTCCTGTATGGCACGACGGTACAGCGCATGTACAAAGCTCATCTGAATTATTCCAACGGACTCGATTTCACGGCGTTTGTGGCCAACATCAGCTTTCCGAGTCCACTGACAGGAATGGTGTATCTGGATGGCAACAGTGAACGTCAGAGTGTGTACAACATGCGCAGCTACGATGCCCATAGCGGCAAACATACAGTACGATGCTTTCGAGTCGGACGTCATCTGTTGATTGTAGTTATTTATGCTTTTCGGTCGCTGATTTTTTTCTTATGTTTATGAACTTACTATTAAGGGCGCTTTTATTTTATCCTATCTGTGTTCTTTGTAGCCATTCCTGCAGTTTCCTGTCCGCACCACGGACGTCGTGCCGACTGGCGCGATGACCTTTGTCGATAGCGACAGTCTGCCGCCTAACGAGCCGCGTTGTGGTTTCCGTAATGATAATCCGGTCTGTATTGCGGAACGACAATCCCATTTACCGCCCGGTGCGACGGAAGCGGCGGCCATTGTTCCGACCATCGTTATCATTGCAGCCATTGTGGGCGGAGCATACGCGGTGAAAAAGTACTGTTTTTCCTCTGACATTTCAATTGATTATCATATTTTATGTAATACGTTTAAATATTCTCGCATCGACTACTAAATCCGATATCGGAAGCATGTTTATTATTTACCGGATTGGTTATAGCTCAAGAAAGTTTGCGCAGCAGCAGATAATACATCGATCATTACCGTTAGCTAGGACACAAGGACACAATTTAAAAGCTTTATTACTCGTAATATTCTTTTGACCATAGTTATTGATTACCCTAAAATTCCTTCGATGTTGCAGGATATTCTACGATTTGGCTGATCCATTCTGGTGGCGGATTATTCTGCAGGATATCGAGATACGCACCAACACGACTACGGCACGTTCCTTAGCACGTTCTTCGGTGAGTAGTTTTGCATAAATGGTGAAAATTAAGCAATCCATTATTACATCCATTATTGTACGAGTAGAAGTCGTGATTAAAACTCTCAATGTATTGTACAATCCGCCCTGATTGGCAGCTGCAGTCCATCTGATTTACACTAGTATAGTCCGGCATTAACTTTCACGTGCTTTACATACAGTGCATATTTACCAGTTTTGTGACTGTTACTTTGTCTTTATTTCACGGAAACAAAACTGAAAACTTTAAGCAAATGTATGTATGGCAATATTTTTGTGAATTCTTGTGCAAATAAAATACCACGATGACTTTTGGAGAACGCAATCCACTTGAGTACCGGCACTGTCTGAACAAATTAAAAACGTTAGCAGATGTGTGTATTACTAGAAATGGCATAGACTTTGAATGCATCAGTAAAATGTTTCGCTTTGATGTGGCTACGGAGTTATTAAGCAACACAAATACATTTGGCTATTGTCAATATTTTAGGCTTTAAAAAGCTCCAAAAGTATAACCAGCATCCCAAATGGGATTACGGCTAATGGAAAAGCACCTAGCGAGGTATGTTAAATTACTCAATCAAAAATGCTGCGTTTACGGGATGGTGGCAGCGTGACCGTCACGCTGGTCATGAATTTTGCATCACAAACAACACTTATGCAACTTATTGCAATCGCGTCAGTAAAATTGCTTGCACATAGCGCTTGAAAAATTTCAATAGATATTTTGAAATTCGTATTACAGTATATGGCTACGTAGTGTTGAGGAAATCTTATTTAGTTAAGTGGTGTCATAATTATTTAAGAAAAACGGAACTGAAATTTTTCCTGTACTTGTTGCATGCATAGAAGTATATATATGTGCGTATTAAAATAATTAACCGATGTTACAAATTTTTGTTATTGCTCGATGTTGAGGGCGAGTCATCTGATACAAAGGTCAACTTTAGCGTACGGAATACGGATTAACAGAGCAATTACTATAATTATTTTGTTGTAGCCTCTCAGCACTAAAACGAACTCGGTGACTTCCCTGAAAGACGCCGCAGTCGAGAAACTGTCGACACGTCAGGGAACGTTTGCCGGTGTCAGTTGTTCATTGGTGGAGCTTCCTTCTCCCAAACGGCGCGTTCCCGGCGCTTTGCCCAAAGAGGCTGCTCTGGTGAGAAGGAGAAATAACCATGCTACTAAGTACCAGAGCACTGGGTGTCTGGTATAGCCTTGAAAAATATCATCCATAATCGGAATTATTTGCAGGCCCGGGGCTTAATACACCCAAACGTGCAGAAATTCATCGGCATTGCCGTCAATGAAGAGAACCAGTGTGATTGTGTGGTGGGAGAAGTGTGTCAAAAGGGCACTCTCAAAGACTTAATCGATGATCATAGCATGAATCTGGACTGGGAATTCAAGAATTCCTTGATTAAAGATTTAGCAAATGTACGTACTACCCTTCGGGAGCTTTTTGTGCAGCATTGTGAAATTAATTAACGTGCTGAATAGTGCTTTGTTTTCATATTTAGGGCATCGGCTATATTCATTTGTCCAAAATTCGCTCGCATGGATTTTTGAGCGACGAAAGCTGCTTGATCGACAATCGTTTTATCTTGAAAGTGGCCAATTTTGGTTTCCCAGCGCTTAAAGATGCGCGGGATTTGCAGGCATTGAATCCCGGTCAAGAAGATCGTGACTATAGGATTCTGCTTTGGCGAGCACCCGAATTGTTGCGACGTACAATGCCAGCAAGCGGAACACAGCTAGGTACAGTGTGCTGTACAGAAAAATGCAGCAAATTAGATAGAAGGAATTATTGTTCCCTTTGCCGATGTCCAAGCGAGTTGCGAGCTTATAATGTCTAGTTGATACGCGGCAAAAAAATCTGATTTAGAAAAATTAATTTTCAGAATGATACATACCAGTGATACTGATGTTTTACTCGCACACTTCAGTGCACTGAAGTTGGAAAAATTTTTACATAGTAAAGATAGATAACCGTCATGGTTTGAATTCGCCTTCCGTTAACAAATGCGGATTAAGCACTACGTCCTGCATAGCAAAAGCAATAAAATAAGTTGCTCAAATAAGTAGCGGTTTATCATTTTCAGTTTTTGGGTTCGTTTAAGGTCATTATATTTATATTGTTTCGAATACTAACTTTGTAATCTGGGTATTATGCGAAACTTCCTGTGGGCAGTTCGTTGCGTTTCGCAGGTGATGTCTACAGTTATGCCATTCTCTTGCAACAAATAGTATTACGCAGCGCTCCCTACCACATGGGCAGCGATGCCGGGAAGACGCGCCGAAAAGCGACCGAAGAAATCAGCGACCGCGACATCGTTCAGGATGTTAAACGCGGACTGGTACCGCCATTGCGGCCGGCCGTGCCGGTATCCGCCTGTCCGATGCCCTTGCACGAGTTGATGGGCAATTGCTGGGATGAGGACCCCCTGGAACGACCAAACTTCACCCGTATAAAGACTACCATAACAAAAATCATTGGGAAGTCAGGGGAGAATATCGTCGACCATCTGATAAAAAGGTATAGCACATGCTATAACAAAGTACATTGAATGCTAATCAAAGAAGCGAAAAATGTATTCGTAGTATAAAAGCCTTTAAAACATACAGGTACAGGGTATTTACCCAAACTGATTTACTTGATCCACTATACACTATAATCTACAGCAGGACTTTCCTTTATATATAAGAATTGTTGGGCGATAAAACTCTTTCACCTGAATAATCCGTTTTACTGTTCACTTCCCAGAGGTTTACTTTATTTATTTACTTCGGTTAGCTTTCAGTCCACTGCTTTTATTTTTCAAGGCTCAATTACTTACCAAGTGTACAGAATATTTTGTAAACAGTTTTCTTTCCAAACGCTTTATTTTTCCAGACACATTTTCAAAACACATACACTATACATATATACTTTAAACTACTAACACTATATACTTAAATAAACACTGTATACTTTAAATAAACACTATATACTTAAAAAAAAAAACCATATACTTTAAATATTTTACTTTTTAATTTTTTTAACGGGTATTCTGATTAATTTTGTACATTACATTGAACCATTGGTTTTAGAATGGAGCAATATGCTGCCGGTCTGGAGCACCAGGTCGATATGAAAATGAAACAGTTCATGGAAGAGCGGGCGCGTTCTGCCGGATTTTTATCAGCCATGCTGCCAAAGTACATCGCGTATTTAAAAACTGATAATGTTTGTCCCTAATTAACCACTATGTTATAAAATGCCAATTTACCACAGATCTGTTGCGGAAGCGCTGAGCAAAGGTATCGCTGTGATACCGGAAACCTATGAGAACTGTACGGTGTATTTTGGTGACGTGCCGGGTTTCACCGATGCCATCGAAGAGTGTAAAACAGCTACGGAGACAGTTGACCTTTTAAATAAATTATATACTCTGTGTGATACAACGGTGGCTTCCTTTGATGCCTTTAAAGTGGAATGCATTAACGATGCGTACTTAGTAAGTGTGCTGTTATTAATTAATGAAACATTAACCGGACGACAAGTTATAAACTGCAGTATTATTGCATTCAGCGTATTTAAGATGCATTATTTAATATTATGGGCGTTATGTAATAAAGTGCAATTTTTAACTATTAAGACATATTATCATGGTGACCACTCCGTACACACCCTTTCACACCCTTTCACTCCGTACACAACCTTTTGCACTCCCTTTCATTCCGTGCACAACCTTTTTGCGCTACCTTTCATTCCGTACACAACCTTTTAATTTTTTTAATTTTTTCACAGCCGAGTTATTTCTGGAATAAAAAAACGCGCAATCGCGACCGTTTTTTAGATTGCGCGTTTTTCTTATTTTGATCAGCAACGTTTTTCACCCTAATCTCCGCAAGACTTGCTCCGTAACACTTGTTTATTCAATCTTCACTTGCCACGTGAGTTATTTGCTGACGCTGTCATACACCAGGACGTCTTCGTCGGAACGGTCCCATGATGTTGCAAAAAAGTAGTAATATTTTTTTGTAGTTTTGCTTTTCTGTAGTAATATAGATTACAAGGATTTAAATATAATATATATAAATATATATAAAAGTTTGGTAGTGCACCGAGTGAATGGTAGTGCGCAAAAAGGTTGTGCACGGAATGAAAGGGAGTGCAAAAGGTTGTGTACGGAGTGAAAGGGTGTGAAAGAGTGTGTACGGAGTGGTCACCTATTATTATTGCTCGAATAATTGAATACTGATGATTGTTACTTGTCAGGTTGCTAGCGGCGTGCCGATCCGCAACGGCCATAAACATGCCGAACAACTTGCTTCCATGGCTTTGGTTTTGCGAAAAGACATTCTCAGCCTGAAAAGTATAACCGATAAAGCCAGGAATTTCAAATTACGTGCTGGGTTACATTCGGGTAAGTGTTACCGGAACAGCAGAAGGATAAAATAATTGTATATAATTATATTCTATTTAAAAAGCTACTCTAGACTTGCATAAAATTACTTATACGGAAACAGCACGACGAATAATATATATAACTCTTATTTTTACTAGCATCATTAATTGATACATAGGGATCCAAGTAAAAACACAAAAAGTAAAAACTACAGATAGTACTGTCTGCTTCGCTTTCAGGTTCCTGCGTCGCGGGCGTGATCGGATTGAAAATGCCACGCTACTGTTTGTACGTATATACGGCATGGAATTATTTTATCAAAGCAAACGAAAACAGTTACTACTTACTTTTTACTTTGTATCTGACATACTATGTATGCAGGTTTGGCGACACCGTTAATACCGCCAGTCGCATGGAATCGCATGGCGAAAGTAAGCAAAATTTTAAATACTTCTATGTATGGTTGTACTGGCTAGCCTCAGCTCTCATAAAAATATCGTTAACAGTTAGCAAGCTTGCAACAAACAGCTGCAACTTTTGTATGTTACTCTTTTAGCCGGTAAAATCCACCTTAGCCCAACAACCAAAGCGCTGTTAGACCGGTACGATGACTTCATCGTAATGGAGCGAGGAATTATAGATGTGAAGGTGAGGGTCATGCCAGTCCTTATATCGCTTCCGTTGCTCTTTAACCGTCATGCGCAACCCGTTTTTGTTTCTTTCTCAAGGGTAAAGGTCCCATGACTACCTACTGGCTCGTGGGCCGTGGATAATTCGGATTTCTTCAATCCCAATCCAACTGTTCCGGTCTTACCAAGTCTTTTCGGTCGCGAAACGTCTGAGTTCTTTTTGCCTTATATTAAGTCTAGTCAGTAGATACCATCAGATAAATAATTTTATGAATTAGTTCTTTTCCTGCCCTTCAATCTTCCGTTGTATGGCGTTATTAATATGCCTGTACTTCCATTTCATCGGCTACGAAATTTAATGACTTTTAAGGGCATTACAATACCAAAAAGAAATTACGAAAGCGATGTGCTATGCACACTATCTCAATGGTAACATAATTTTGCCGAATTGAATATTCCAGATATTTATTCTAGAACCCGAAAAGAACAAAACCAAAGAAAACAAATAATGAAACACCATAAAAGCATTAAAAATTTCTCCCACTAAACCATCACCCAGCCGATAATGCATCTCGTATTAGCCGCCGACATTGCATCTCGTATTTGACTGTGAAACAAGTCAACCCTTCAAGAAATCCCTCAATTAAGCATCTGAATAAATAGGTAACTGAAATAATTATCATAATTTAAAAGCATCTGCTCAAAAACACTTCCATCCGAAATTATGCCCTCTTTCCTGGAGCATTAGCATGCAAAACCGAGTTCCAATCAACCGGGACGATTTATACCGACATGTCCAGTACCAGCGAGCATCTCAATGCAATTGGCAATTAAGCCAGTCCATCCAGTTTGATGGCTAAATCACAATGAAAAAAGAAATTTTTAGTCAAGCCTGATTTTAATCACTAACCATAAGTCAACAAACTAATAAAGTACTCTTTACTCACTAACCTGGCTCCACAACCTCGCCCATTGTCACCGTGAAAATATTCATAAAACAGCACCAAATCTTTAAAATTCGGGTCTTTTGCGTACTTCTCCGACAGCCGTAAATCCGTACCTACAGCAAGGACATTCCCCAAACCTAGCTTCGAAACAAAGTAACAGGATTACTACCATGTGCAGGACGGAAGCCCTTTTCATCTGGCAAGAAAATCTTCACCAAGCGCTGACATATTTCATTTGCCGCATCCTTCAAACGCATCCAGTTTCCTGATCTGTAACAAAAATCCGAGTACAGAACCCAAAAATAAATTACTTCGAAGCAGGTGTATATTCGCTTACCGAGTCGGCACTTCAACTTTTAGGTCCTCTCCGTAGTAATAATCGAAGCGAAGCAAACTTTGAACAATCTAATCCAAACCACAGAAGAAAGATAATTAGGCCTCGTCCCGAATTCAAAGCGAATCTCGTTATGGTACGGTTGCTCAACCACACGAGGTGGCTGTTTGCAGTGGCCACGCCTACAGATACGGTACGCGAAGCCACCTCGCGAGGTGGAGTTGCTGTATCGCAACGAGATTCGCTTCGAATTCGGGACAAGGCCTTAGTTTACCATGAGTTCTTCAAATTTTGACAGTAACGCATCCTTACCAAGAAATTCATCGGAAACCAAATTGGACCGCGCCAATTACTGTTGCCACCGAACAGGTATGACGTCGATTCTCCGGGACAGTATTCGGCGCGCAGTTCCTCTCCACACAAATCATAGCTGAACGGGTTCTTCTCGTGGAATTTGGACAGAGAGCGGATTCCATATGGGCTGAGAAATTCCTCTTCATCAAAAACATACGTCAGCAAGCGCTGCAGTTGCGCTTGGGTGGGAATGGCCAAAAGAACTTTCTTCCCGTGTTTCGTGTCTTGGAGAAGAAATGACACCTGCAGAAAAATACCACGTCAAATTACGGATCAATCTTTTCAGCCTAAACAATCAAGTGCATTACGACTTGTCGCCTAACGATAATCTGGTAACCTATATTCCACGTTTCTGCACCACTGTCCCTTACATCGTCCAACTAATTTGTTTCGCTCCTCTACAGTAGCGTTCAAAAGCGAATGATGAGCGGCTCACCGTTTCTTTCAAGTCCTGTCGATTATCTAAAAACCACTTGGTCCGCTTCGCAAACCCTTTCAGCTTCGACATAGTCTCTTCCTCCAACACCAGCACACTAAACAATGGTACCAATCCCACCAACGAACGGATCCGCATCGGCACCGAATGCCCATCGGTAGTCAGATGGTCATAGTAAAACCCATCTGCCTCATGCCACAAACCACACGAACTGAAGTTATTAATCGCGTCGATAATCAGCACGCAGTGCTCGAAGAATTTACTGGCCATATCCTCATACACCGGATCCTTCATGGCCAACTCCACGGCGGCATTCAGCATGGTCACACAGTAGAAGGCCATCCACGCCGTTCCATCGGCCTGCTCCAGCTGCATCCCGGGCGGTAAAGGTTTTGACCGGTCAAACACCCCAATATTATCCAGACCCAGGAAACCGCCGGCAAAGAGGTTTTTCCCGTGGGGATCCTTCCGGTTCACCCACCAAGTGAAGTTGACAATCAGCTTGTGGAAACACGACTCCAGAAAGGCGTAGTCGGTGTCCGAGGGGGTTTTGTTCTGATGTGAGAGAAACAGACGCAGTGCGGCAAAGCAGTGAACAGGTGGATTGACGTCGCCGAAGGCGAATTCGTAGGCCGGGATCTGTCCGTTCGGGTGCATGTACCATTCGCGCAAAAACAGGCACAACTGACTCTTGGCGTATTCGTAATCCACATTGGCCAATGTCAGGGTGTGGAACGCCAAATCCCAACAGGCATACTGAAAATATTCATTCATGTTGTTACGAAACGACATAAAGGCTAATAATCATGGCATTATTGGCAAGCACAGTAATGCAGCGTAGAAGCAAACAAAGCAACAGGAGTACAGCATTTCGTTCCTTTAAAATTCTAGGGGGCGAAAAGCGGGACAGGAGTTAAAAAATTGTTAGTTTCTCATAACAATTTCCGCTAACATTCACTCTTTCGGTAATACAGTATTACATTTTAAATTTTCCCTTAAAGCATGCTGAATTAAAACACATTCCCGAATGGTAGTGCTAAATAAAATCAAATAGAACGGCTAAATAGAAATGCTAAATGATCCCTAAGATATCAAATATTCGAACAGCCTGCACGACATGAAACGACATTTACACAGATGCTGCCGTTGCATTACAATTCATCAGAACTGAAGTGGAAGAGGACTGTATGAGAAACTCGTCAAATCTACGATCATGAAACATAATCTCTAGGATCAACACTCATGTCCCATACTAACTGGAAAACAATGCAACCAAAGTTTTGTTTTACTTTTCTATTCTCAAAAGTAAAACATAAACTTAACATAGCCAAATATCCATATAATGTGTGAAACTTGTGAACTAAACCAGAATTCGCCCAAAATCGGCAAAACCCTGCAAGGTGAACACAACGCAACGCTTACCCAGGGATATTCCCACTTGTCCGGCATCGTGATGATATCCCGGTTGTAGAGATGAACCCAATCGGCGTTTCGTCCATTTAAGCGTGACGCCGGTGGCTTGGGCTGGTCCGGATCTCCATGCAGCCAGTCGGTGATAATGTAATGGTAGAACTGCCGTCCCCACAGCATTCCCGCGTAAGCTTGCCGCTGGATATTTTTCAACTCCTTATCCAACGATTGGGCTTGCACCTGCAGATTGTAAAACCGATTACGGCAATTATTTGCACACAAACCGAGAAACTGATTACCATTCCGTAAAATTCATCGGCCTCCTTTTTACGCAAATCAATCACGGCATCAAAATCCGCAAAAGCTTTGCCCTTTGGAGCATGGTCGTGTTGGTATAACCGCACTCGCACAACTTTCTTTCCACCGGCAGGCACCGTCAGAGCATAATGCGCTGTAACTTTGGTTCCGTAATGTTTCGGATTGACGGCTTCTTTCTCGCCGTCAACCACATAGCGATGGAAGGCATCCTTAACGTACGGTGTATGACTATCCACATCGTACAGTTTCTTCGTGTTGGTCTCGTTGTGCGTGAAGAGCAGTTCCGCAGAACCTGTTGAATCCGAAAGCGTCTCCCATTCGCACACGTACGGTTCCAGAGTGTCGTGTTTCGTGGTCACCTTCCATTCGCCATTCGGTGCCTGACTGATGCGGGGCATGGTAGTGCAGCCTTCGTGCTTGCATCCCCAAATCCATGTGTTGCGGAACCACAGTGTCGGCAGAACGTGGATGGTGGCTTCCTCTGAACCGCGATTGTGAAGAGTTAAACGGCACAGAATATCTTGGGAGGTATTTTTCGCGTACTCGAATTCCACGTCCCAGTAACGATTTTGATCGAAAACACCTATACAGTACACATTTATCAATCAGGCAGCGGTGACTCAAGAATAAGAAAGCTACTGAGTACATTTCCAAAATCAAATCAGTAAGTCTACCGCACACACTATTAAACAAACTAACGTCATTTGTGGTTAAAGTATTTTCAGTTTTTCAATATTACATTAAAATGCTTAGTGTTTTTAATTCCTGTGCGGCGCCATTAAACAGGAAGCACCGAAACTTAGAAAAATGCGCTTTCAGAATCTACATTATACTCGTACTGCAATCGTAATTATGCACAGCGTCAGACTATTATTAAACGGTAAACCTATCAAAACGTGCCGCATATTGGCAGGGTAAACGAAGATAGTACTAATACAAATGCAGCAAAAGAAAACAATCCATAAGCCTTCCCGCTTGCCAAAACTAACAGTCTGACAACATTCTTGTACTGATAGCTGAATCAGCATACTAATGCAAACCGATAAGCGCTTACCATTAGATTAGCCCTGGCTGCGAAGCGGAACAAAAGTTCTTTTACATTAGCGACCGGCGAAATTTTGAACAAATATTGTAACGTACCAGAATCCTCAAGCTCATACTCCAATTCGAATTTCCCACGTCTTCCTCCTTCCACATTAATTTGTTCATAAGGGAAAGCCGACTGGGGATACTTGTACAAGCCCTTCGCATAGGAGGTGGTGGGAGTAGCGTCCAAGTAATAATACAATTCCTTAACATCTTCTCCATGATTGCCCTGCAATTGCCAAAATTAAATAACTACTGAGTAAAAGAAAGCAAAAGAATAACTCAGCAAAAGCAGTAAAAGAATAACTTCATCTTTACCTAAAAACATAACCAAGTATTAACAACTAATTTAACAGCAGTTTATTGACAGATTTTTAAAAGATCAAATTTTCCAATATGTAGTGCGTAACGCTTCTTGTACAATTACTAGGGCTTAATACTGAATAGTTATTCAGAATTTAACGCATCAACGTTAACATGTCTCAAGATCAACAAGACCAATACAAGTATACTATACTCGTGCCGCACGGTACATATCTAGACTAGAGTAGTATAGTGTGGGAAAAAATTAACAACCGAAGAATCTTAGTCCTCACTTGAGATCCTGTCAAACCATACAGTCGCTCCTTGAGAATGGGATCCTTCCCATTCCACAGCGCAAAAGAGAAGCACAATCGACATTCCCGATCACAGATCCCAAGCAGCCCATCCTCGCCCCAGCGGTACGCACGCGAACGGGCTTGGTCATGGGAAAAGTAATCCCAACTATCAAGAAAAGTTGCATTAAACAATTCGTGCAACGGGGATTACTGCACAGCCTGCAGCGCAAAAAAAACACCTACACTCGGAACAATAATAATTATACGGAAATAACTAGCCGCAAGCTTCTTTCCGTCTCAGGGTGCAAATGTAACGCGAAGGTTAAAACCCAAGATAAAAAAATACTCAATTTTTTGTTCTGCTAACAACATTTCTCAAAGGAAGTTACGGAACGTCATAAAAATTAATAAAAATAATCTTAACAATTTATCAACACGACAACTGTTATCTTTTCTGAAACAAAACGCAAACGGTAAAATTTAACAGAAGTTCAACTATCGCTTATTAAAATAAATACAGGAAGCACTGAAAAGGTGCGTTCTACAAAGCTGGTGCAAAAAAACCGAAATCTGTCGCATGCTCGTACCATTCACCGTGGGGACTGTAATCTTCCCGAACAGTTCCCCATTGCCGATCCGACAAGTACGGTCCCCAACGTTTCCAGTTATCCTTACGTTGTAAATCAATCTGCAGCCGTTTCCCCTCAGCACTCTCCGTCTGCGCTGACATTGTACTCACAATCAGTAAATACTACACCAGCACGGCAAGAAAATATTAAGAACAATATCTAGAATAGTAAAACAGGATAATTTATGGGTTGCAAAAATATTTCTTTGACTTCTAATTTCACCTAAAGATTGCTCAGCTGGCTTTCAAGTTTGAAATTTGTGGAAATGTAAACAATCGTAATGCGCAGTCATCGTGCGCGTGCCCACGTGCACACCAAATACGCGCCGTTGCGCATTGCACCGCATTACCAGGCACGTGCTGTCGTCTTCTGCACCTTTAATACGTTGCAGAGCTTGTTTGTTTCCGAAATTTATAAGATATAACCGTTATAACGTCGAGGATTTCAACGAAAGCCTGGTCTATCCTATCGAGGCACTGTTCCTTCTTTGTGCTACTAATTTTAAAAGTCAGTTCTGTGGTAAAATTAACAGTATCATATTGATGCAGTCATCCGGCATATTGTTTCAGGTTCTGACTTGAGTTTCATTATTTTCGAAGTCCCTGCGACGACTGTGAGTATCTTTGAGGTATCCGCATGTGATGTTTCGTGTGCTGCTTGATTGTGGTTATAAAGTGTTGTGGTGCCCCTTTGTCACTAATCTGTGCAGTTTCCTGAATTTTTGAGCTGAGCACAAGAGAAACATGAGTAGCAGTGACTTTGCGAAAAACGCTTTCTCTCAGGTAGGAGGCTGTTCTTCCTTTTGGTGGTGGGCTTTCAAAATTGTTTGATTGTGTAATGACAGTAATGCTGTACAAAGTCCTGCTAAAGGTACTCGTATATCTCTTGAGCCGTGACAGAGGAAGGAAAGTTTTAAATTCTAAACCCTTTCTAATTGACTGTCACGACTCTTTACGACTTCTGGTAATTGGAAGTTAAACAGCAACAGTTGCAAGCAGTAAGACATAATCATTAGTCATTAATGATATAGTCACCTAAAATTTCATCTCACAATGGTTATTTCAAAAATAATTCTCCGTTTGGTGAGAATTTTGATTGGGTTTATAATTTACGGATTTACCTTAAGAAGTTGAAAGTCTACTCTTACTGAAGTATCTTGGTAAATATTCATTTTAAATTTACTTCTAAATTAAACTCAGTTGACTTTTTAATGATGTTTTCCCGTTTTAGCAGATGTATTTTTTGAAAGTTTTCTGACAGTCCAGCTTAATAAATTACTCAACAGTCAACAACATTAGTTCGGAACTTTGGAACTAGTCGCAAGTTCAAGGCTCGTGAAATAATTTTTTTATTTCTGACGTTATCTTTGCCAGGTTACTGGCTGGTTGGCTAAGCCTTCCGTGATTCGCCCAACAGCACCAGCACCTCGGGCAAGTCAGTCCAGTCCGACCACCACGGAAACAACCGCCGTTCCCCCGGGTGTCGATAAGACCGTTGTTATCGAGGAACCCACTGTCCGTCAACCATCTCCCATTCCGCCTGTTGTGGAAAACGAAGTGGCGAAAACATCCATTTCCGAGATGGGTGACAATAACTTCGAAGACATCGCTGACGATGCGGCAGCTACCGCCTTCGATGACGCGTTTTCCAATTTGCTGATGTACACACCAGGCACCGAAGAGGACATCAGTGAGACCTTGGAAGAGCTGGTCGGGACACTGAACGACTGCGTCACGAAGAAAGCCACGGTCGACGAGATGGTGTCCAGTGTTTTTGATACGGCAGCTGCGGGGAAATACGCGCACTATACAGCGGCCGGGTTTCTCGTACAGCTGTGCCTGCACTTCACCAAAGAAATCGAGAATTTCACCTTCAAAGACTCGTTACTTGTAAGTGCTATGTTTCCTTTTTCACTCTTCCAGAGATTCTGTATTCCATGCAGTTTTGAAGAATATTTCAAGGCTGATGTTGAACAGTTGGTTAGGTGTAATTTACCGCAATGTTTGTGGATGTAGTTGAATTTTTTCAATTGCAGAATCACTTACGAAGTTCCCTGGAAACTTCCGAGAACAATCTGAGGACCTTGACACGTGATGGGGACATTGATCCGTCCGTTATGGTCCGAACACGTAATGCCATCATCTTTGCTACCGAGCTGAGCCAGAAACTTTTGCATCTCCCGCAGTTCGAGAAGCGATACCCCGCGCTGATGTACGACATCACCAGTATTGTCAATATGTGCTTCGATACCCGCTCGGCTGTCCGGGTGGAGTACACCGATAACTGCGCCTGTGCCGTGCAAGTACTCAGAATCATCGGGCCGACGTTTGACGAGAAGGTTCGCAATGATCCTTCAGTTGTGACGGTAAGTAAATAGTGTTAATTGGAATCGGTAAAATAAGCAGTATCAATACGTACTACGTTACTGCGTTTCCGTTTTTATTGAGGCATTGTATACTCCCGATTTCTACTTTCTTTTGGTTTTGTTTTTTGGGGTATTTTATTGGCATGCAAATTTATCAGTTTTACCTAAGCACGGTTACCTATTCCGAGCATTAGCGGTATGTTGCTTGTAAAACTGCAATATTTGATTGTGAGTACTGACAATCAGTATTAGTGTATGTATACGATCTTATAATAGTCCTTTACCGGGACGTGTTGTAATTGGTGGGTACCTCTGAAGCTGTTGTGATATTTTGATATGCTACCTGTGATATTTTGATTTTGCTACTGATGGTGCTTTACTTTCGGGTTCTGGCATTTGTTGTCACTTGTCAGTTTGCTTGTTTTTGTTATGTGAATGGTGCTCGTGTTTTCCCTTAGCGCTTCGGTGAAGCGGTTTTGGCTGCAAGCCGAAACAATGCCGGTGATGGGTCGCCGAAAGCGAGCGATAGCGATTATGCGGTAAGGGCTGTTATCGGCTGACTGTTTTGCATTAACCAAGACTAAGAAATATTATAAGCAGAATAGTAGTATTCTGTAATAGTAATCCGTAATAGTATTTGCTTCGTATCGTAAAAATACGGTTACCGTGTGAGCTTTTGTTTTGCTGCATTATCCTGCTATTTCGTTTTTTATCCAAGGTGGATTTGAAAAGTTGTTACCTCACCTGCCTTTCGATTTTTGTTTGTTGTTGGATGTTTATGTTTGTTTGGGTTTATGGAAGTGATTGTTGTGTGCTGTGAACGGTTTCAGATAATTTAAATATTGTGCTGTTTTCCAGAAATTTCGAGGATTGATTCCGGCCGTATACGATAACATTCGTCGTATGCTGATTACGGGCAATGAGTTGACACCCCACATTCGGCAAGACATCATCAAAATCCTGGAATTCCGTGCCAGTCGCTGGGGCGACGTGCCGCCTCCGGACCAGCCGATGCAGAGTCCTGCCGAACAATTGCCCGGGGCTGTGGATGAAGTGGACGTAAACCAGGAGCTCACCAAGGAGGAACTTGAATTCTGCGATCAAGCCTTTGAAGATCTGGAATTGGATGAAATTTTGCATGATGAAGGTCTGCAGTATGGATATGCAGGGGAAGATGGTGGTCAATACCAGGATGAAAACCAGAATTACGGTCAGGAGTATGTCAGCGAGGAGACAGAAGAACCGCCACGGTTTGTATACAACCCGAACGATTTGCCGCCCGAAGTTATGTCCGAGTTTCGCCGTCGATTGAACAAGCCTGACGGATCAGGTGACCGCTCAACGGGAACGAATTGAATACCGGACGTCTCTTCATGAATCTGTTTACTGGTTATGGCATTTCTTGCTTTGTTGTTCTTGCGTATGTCTTATCTGGAATGGGCACGATGGCATGTGATGGATATTGGATATACATTCAGGTGGTTTGAAGGAATGTAGTACGGGTAGTTAATTGGTGGTTTTCTGTTAATTTGTTGCGTAACGCCAGTTTTCCAGTTGACTTGTAATTTTTCGTTGTTAAATATTAGTATGAACTATGAACCGATCAGAATTACCCGGAATAGTATTTGCACGGTTATTATTTTTCCACATTTCAAATTTCACCAGTTGCTTCTTTAATGACTTGAATTAAAAATACGGAATCGGCTGGAAATAAAACACAGAAATTGAGCTCTGACTAAAGTAAAACAAAGAAAATTTACGGCAACAAAAACTGTTAAAAAAAACCCACGCGCTTAAAATTCCACAACGTCACACCAATGTTTCGTTATACAGTCGGTTAATACCAGAAAATGCAAGAGCTATATCAAACAGCTACTCGTATTGAGTTTAATTAAGTTTAAATATGACCAGAGCCTAACGGTAGAAATGAAGGACAAATGTACAGTACTAAAGTTTATCAATAATAATCATTTCCCGAAGGCAGAACGGATGTCATGGCTTCCCAACTGGGTCGGCAAAAGCACCGGATGTACGAGGTGGTCGGACTATCGCCGCCGGTCCTACAATATAATGACAAAACTGTACCCGGCGTTCTCACGGTGTCAGGTACCATCTGCAAACAGCCACGTACAACAGCAGAACAACTGAACTAACAAACGTCAATTCCAGATGGCAAAAACCACAGATTAAGGTACATTATCCAAAAAAGGTTGACAGTTGTCACATGGGGTACTCGTACTGTACATAAAACTGACTGACAATTCAGATGGAAGAAATGCACCCACTCACCGGCAATGATCATGTGAAAACACATTCTGACGTTCGCGCATACAATCCCGCGGTCGCGCCAGAGGATCATCGACGTCTTGGTAGATTTTCTGAGGGGTGGTAGGTACACCGGTTGGCTGGTTCTGACCAGCGCCCACGACCTAAAACCAAACTGCGGCATGAACTTACGACTGGTGCATAAATGGAAAAATTGAGCGATTGAAAGAATTACGACAGACAGTACGGCGTACGCAAACGATTTACAAGAAAGTCACACAATGTTTTTATATGAAAATTTGGCCGTTATAATTATTTTTTAAGGAAAGCAGAAATACGTAACATAACAGTAGCTGCATTAACTAACTGCATTTATAAAAACGTTATTATTTTACAGTCAGTTAATCGTGTGAAGTGTAGCATCTGAATACTGTATATATTGGCGTTTCCAAAAATTTGTAATTTTAAATCTATCTTCGCAAGCCAGATTTCCACAAAAAAGCAATTATCATTTATTTACCAGATTTAAACCTATAAAACATAATAATCTACGTGTACTGCATAGTTGTGTCGATTTTAAGGTGATCCTTCATTTTATTATCAGAAGAAAGCTGATAGCGTTTTTACCGCCTATTCGTAAATAAGGCGCGATGTGCCCAAAGGCGTGGGCGCCATGATTTCCCAGTTCAACTAATATAATCGTACAGGGTTTTTGGCAGTGGCATCGAACATGAATCATTGAACTGGATTAATCAAAGTCACCTTCAAACCACTTCAGTAAATATTGCTAACCTAAAGAGTGTACAATAAGTAAATAATTAAATTTCATGAAAACTTTACCAAAATTGCAATAGAAGAAAACTTTGGTCATAACGGAAGGACACCATAACGGCTAAAACTACTGGTATGTTGTACACAGTACTAAACGGTAAACTGAAAAAGCAGCAAAACTGAAATCGAGACCGTGAAAGTTCGTTCCAATGAATGCGGCGGCATCAAAGAGGCAAGTTCATTTTACAAGAATAACCATGAATGCCAAGCAATTATTGATGAAAATCATTAAAGCATCGTATTATCCTTACCATGTGAGAGTACAAAGTGGCTGGAAGAATGGCATTGTGGCTTGATCGAAAGTCGGATTGGTGCCACTCCTGTTGCGTGCAAAGGCGCTTTGAGCTGCACCCCTGAATACACAAGATTCCTCATCAATCCCATTATCCCCGTATAAAATTAGATAAACCTGAAACCTACCGCGGTAAATTCACTGCAGTCAACATCCATAAGCGGCTCACTGGCATCAAAACTATCAGGGTTCTTTCGTTTGAAGCCACCAGCAAACGGCAGCTGGTCCCACATCTTGCGCGGAGAAACCGGCTGGATCGGCTTATCGAAATTCCCTGGCATGGCTAAATTATAGCAGATATAAGCCAATAACCACTCAAATAAATTACAACGTGAAAACGGGGAAGGAAGGATAAATATTGCAACAAAACAACAAGAAAACATGAGAAATCCGCGCCTATTTCGGATTTTGAGGCTTCTGCTTTCTAAGCTGGGATTCCAGCCACACGAAGTTCCAATGCGACTGTAGCGAAATGCCAAAATCTATCGACGGCTTAGTCAGCGCTCATAACTTCCGGTTCCAATGGAATGTGCAGTAGCTAATGGAATTGGAAAATTCGATGGCACAATGCTTTCTTTTGCTGAAATGTTACAGCTTTTCATAAGTTGACGAATAAAATCCTGTTATTCGCTTCTTATTAGTTTTAATGACAATCTCTGTTGGCAAACTATGTGACTGCTCTGAAAGTGCTCTCATAGTCTCATTATTATTTTTTTATTTATTGCTTATTGTCATTTGTCAGTCACGTCACCAAGTGGAAAGTTGAAACGGATGACGCTGCCTGCTAAAAAACCTACTACAGGTACAGAGTAGTGTTGTGGTTTTGTGTCCAACTGGTTACTGTCCATTTGACATGGAATCTGGTACGCTCCTTATGGTTAGTCATTACGCTGTACAGGGGCGTCATAGAGGGGGTGTCAACCGGCCCCCTTTTGCCGAACCCTGTAGACGCTTTTTTGATTAGTAGCAGTTATTAAGACCGTAAGATGAATATTTATTTTAAAGTTTTTAATTGATATTAAAAGGAAATCACGAATTTCGTTGTGTAGGCGCCCATCGTTAACAGCTACCCGTAGGGCCGTAGCAAATTCAGATGTTCGTTTGACTCCCTACGTAGACTCTGGAGTACAGAGTAGTCCCTATTCATCGGCTTTGCTTATTCGGTTCATATTTGGGTTGCCCAGTGCCCGTCATTCCCACTCCCTTCTTTATTATTTTAAGCGGTGATGGTAGCAATGATTTAATTCGTTAGATGCGTTTTTGTGTAAATATTTCAGTGGCGTTATTACAGTACGTGTTGACAACCCTGTGTACGTTGTACGTGGCCTGAGACGGCGAGTGAACAACAAACAGGACAAGCTGCCGGGAATAATTGGCCATACGATGGTTCCCGCCTGACGTCAAATTCAGCCTATTTCCCCCGCACGGGAACAGGGAATAATCGCAATTATTAGGGGGAAGGAAGACACTCAGATTTCACTGACATGTAAGTACACCTCTCCGATCACATCCCACGCCAGTGCGAGAGGATTTCCAGTTTTGTCGGCTGTGAACATGTGTGATCTGCCTTGTTAGCGCGCACTACACCATCGCGAGTACAGGTACATACTTACTGGTTAGTACATACATACTGTACATTCAGCAGCCGCCATAGCCCCAGTCATCATATTACGTGATCCCGGTATTGCGTGATGTCCACATTATGATCGATGCTCCTGTCGGCGCGGCACGATATTTCGGCTTTTTCTGTGCACCTCTCGGTATTTGCGAAAATTTCCATTTTGACACGCGTTTTATCCGGAGCCAGGCGGCTTTTTTATGAGTTCCGCTGCAAATCAGCACTATTTGTTGCTGGCCTGAGCGTTAATCGGAAATTTCTACCATAAACGACGTTTTATTGCAGAAATCTGAAGAGATGTGGTTTCCGTTTCCAGAGCCGTTGAGTATGAGTATTATTTGAGTATTATTGGTAAGTGTCACCCGGTCTGTCACAAGCTTCGTTCGTTTAGTCGAGTATTTATTTTCTGTTAAATCTTTTTCGTGAAGAGGTTGTGTGTTAGTCAATTGTGTCAGCGAGTACGTGTGTAACATACTCGTTTGACGTAGTTTTGTGGAATGTGTCCGCAAAATGCCGGTTGGGACTGCTGATGAGTGATGACTGCAGGGAAATGCTGGTCTGGACATTGTCAATGACTACACTTCCGTATCGTGTTAAAAGTGGCTATTGATCAATCCATGACCTGCAGACTGCAGTTAGGGATTGTTAAAAGGGTCAGGGAAGTTTGTTGTATCGATTAGTAGTTAACATTACTTTGCGGGACATTAATCGTGTCAGTTATTCCGGCTCCATGAATACGCCGGCTCCGCTGGATAAATTGCTTGCTTTACCCATCTAAAAACGCTCTCCCTGTTTAGCATGCTCGCGGACAGCTGATAAATTCGCGGACAGCTAATGATACTTATGGATGTCTTACTTACTTACTAGCTCGGACATGTACTCGTATAATATTATTATCTAAAATATTTCCTCTGACGGATTTGTGGCAATCGTGAACTTTGCTTTAATCCGTATTAGATCGTTTTTCACCATTTTTTCAAAAGCTCCTCTATCGTTCTAAACGTTAAAGACAGTGACTGCTTTGTTCCTTAATATATTATTTTTAAATTATTGATTATTTTGCCGAAGAGTTCTTTCCGCTCTTTTTAGAGAATTCTGGGATGCAAGACATTTCCAGCATTAGGCAAATGAATAGATTTATTTCCTGTGTGTTCTTAAAATATTTTCATCATCTCCATTGTCAAGATTGCCTACAGCAGTAGAAGCGCATTCGGCCTTTCTTGAGCAGCACTCTAAATGGTAACTGGTCTTGAATAGGAGAAATGCCAGACGTTTTTCTCTTGATTCCATACTATTTATTTTGCCCATTTGCGTTTCCGCTCGATTTCCCAGTGTTATCCGCTATTTAAATGTCCATGCAATCGGAACGAAAAGATTCTCAAAAGTTAACCTAATCTGCACGATCACGCTACACGGGTCAGGATGTGGCAGAGGCCCAAATTTTTCCCTTTGACATAAAAAATTGGCCTTGGCGGTGTTCGCTTTGGGCAGCGAGCGGACCATTTCCGGTAGGCCAGTCCTTTTGATGTGCATTGATCTGATAAAGGTTGTATTATGTTTTGTTTATGAAATGTGATGATACGGTATCTCTTATGTGGATATCGTTTTTCGCTCTGTGACTTGAGTAGGTGATGCTAATGCGATCGGAAGTGACTGTTTTAGTGGTCAAGAAGGTATCCGGTAAAACTTGTTTGTGGGCTTCGGAATTCGCTAACTATTATTTTTGTGCGCCTTATGTACTATTAAAATCGCTGAAAAAGAAGTTTTTCATTTAGCGATAATTGCTCTTGATCTTTGGAACTGTCGATGACATGGTCACAAATTTTCGGTGTTGCAATTAACTATAAGTAAGTATAAATACTCGTATACAAAAATATGAGTACAAATGCGGTGTTGCACACAGCTGTTCTGCCTGTTTATGAGTACCTGTTTCAAGAATACAAGTAGATTTTCTTGCAATCTAATTTGTAATAAACTTTCCAGGACTGTTTAATTTTTATAAAACTTTCGCTGTTCTATCTTTTTATTGCTTTTAATATTTTATAGTCTGTTTGCTGTGCAAACATCGATAGACTGGGTGTGGGTTATACAGGGTTTTATTTTGTTATTGTACGCGTTGAATCAACAATTGAGCGACAGATTAACGATGCAACACCATCCGGAAACTATACCTGACGTTAATGTTGCAAATGTGGAAACTGATGAAGGCTGCGCATCCATGCGGGATATTCGTTTCAACAGGGCTGCCATACATTTTGTTATAAATAGGTGATAAGCGAATTATCTGATTCAGGTCAGAGTTTCCGTTTTGCATTTTTTTGTCATCTCGTGGTGTTTCTGAATAGAAAAATTCCTGGGCTGCGCATTACCTCTTTTTTATTTTAACGCTTTTTAAATTTTCTTTGTAAATTGAATCAGTTTTTTTATAATTTTGTTTTCATACTATATTATTAGTTATTACATATACGTTTTCGCGAACACTTATAACATGTTCGAATACTTCGTAGTGATAATCGGTTAGCGTTTACTGTTGACATGGAATATGATTCATACGAGTGGGCGCTTTTTTGCGAGACAAGTTGAGGTGCAGAGTGATCTAGGTTGCGTCGTTGACTAACGTACAACTACAGACGGCGTAGAAAGTACAAGCTGTCCCGTAGTTTCAACGAATAGTTATTTTAACTCAATTTGAAAAAGCATGAACAGTCCCAGTCCAGCCGGCATGGAAAAACTGTACGGGCGGTATTGTACATGTGTTGCGCTCTTGTACAAGTGTTGCGCTCAAGTGCTGACTTGTGTTCACTGAAATTTCTCAAGCGGTGTCTTGCTCACATATTTTACAAGCTAAACCGGTTTTTGCCTTTTTGAATTGTTTGCTAAAGGGTTGATTCATTTCAACAACGCTTACTTTATTTTCTGACTATTATTTTAAAAAAACGTTTTGCAGCGTGCGCCGGAAATGACGGCACAACATAGACAACATTCGTACTAGGCAAATATACCTGGTTTGAAAGTTCGGGTGTGATTTTTTTTGTGGCGCGGGGTCGTTGAAACACGATCCACATTTCTCCGGCATAAGCAAATAGCCGGTATAGCGCTTATTACGCAAAATATATCCAACTGGCGATCGTGTAGCCGAACATTTGTCTCTTGTGTCATGTTGAAAGGTTTGAAATGTTGAGTCAGGTTATGTTTGTTTGAATTCTCGCATGTGCCGGAATAATATTCTCTAGTGCAAATTGTTTGTTTTTGCCGACTAATACAAGTATTATCCCCCGATTATACACGTTTTGGAATCATTGGAATATTGTTCTGTTTGTTTACCGTGTGTATTATTTCCTTGTAGTTTTGGATTTGATTTAGGAGTTTATTCGTTGTGAGTGCGGCGGTTTATTGTTATCGGATTTGTGTTACTGGTATCTACTGCCAAATTTTATCCGAAAATGGGATGTTTCGGATGTCTGAAATATATTCTCGTTATTTTCTCTATTTTATACATATTTATTGGTTTGGGATTACTGGCTGTGGCGTTATGGATGCGATTCGATTATCTCAAAGAAGAGGAGCAGTCATTCAATCCGGGCACGGATTACTTTGATATTGCGCTGTGAGTATGATTATTACTTTTATCGATTATCTGATGTAATTATTTTTGCATTAACGACTGTTATCCGTAGTCCAAACAGCGGAGATCATAGCCTACCGAGTAGATTAAAAGACACGGAAATATGAGCGCTCTTCCGCACAATTACGTATCATGTGCCGTATTTTGTTATCCTTTAATATTTCTTAAATTACTTATGAGTTTTCGAACGGGTTGTATGCTATGGATTAGCAAATTATTTTTTAATTACCTAGGGGTTGCTTCCTATAATTGCTTTTCAGGAGAGTGGTGTTCTCTTCCTGCAGAATTATCCTCCTGTTCGGGAAATAATTGAACACAGGAATGTTTTAAAGAATATTGCTTATTATGATGATAAACTTTGTTGTTCATCGTTTCGCTTGCGTTTTTACTCCACTTGCTTATTTTTTTGTTGATGTCCATTGGTAATTTAGCAGTGTCTTAATTATGCATTGCAGGCTGTATTTTTGCAGATACATTGCCATGTCCATTGGATGCTTCCTCGTTTTGCTGGGTATTATGGGCTGCGTGGGAGCATTACGGATTAGTTTATGTCTGCTGGGAAATTTTGCCGTGATGATTGTAGCTGCAATCGGCGGCTTAATTGCCGTTGCGGTCCTATCCTACACATATCAAGATGAAGTTATGAAAATAACGGACCGGATGATTCGCGATCTGGTTATGATGTATGGGACCACTCGTGCGGGGTATGTGTTGATAATCAACTGTAGGGTCTCGTTAATTTACCCGCCATCTCCAGACTGACCCAATACCAGTTAGGGACACTATTGGGGCTTGTGCCGCAACGATATCGGTGGCGGTAGGTCGACTAGGCGCATTGATCGAGCGTCGTGATTAACGAGAAGTCACATTATTTCCCGTTTTAATCGGGATCGATTCCTTCTCGATTGTCTGTTGTCGATATATAAGCTGCGCCGATCTGTAGCCAGTTTGGTGGCTAAATTGCAGTCGGATCTTTACATCAGTTTTGGCAGATATTAGAAATACCAAATATGTACTTTGATCCTAAAAGTTTCGGGCGAAAGCGTTCTGTTCAAAAATAAATTGAAAGGTCGTTTTATTATGTATAAACAAATTATTATAAATCGGACTTTCGGGTTTTACCAAAGTTTTCGCTTAATTTTCGGGCTGTTGCAAACGAAAAGTTTACCTAAAGGGTAAAGATTATTAAAGGTAAAATAAACTGCAGAGCTAATAAATTACTGAGCTTGGTTGGCTTGGCTTTCGCTGTGAGATAAAAGTGAGTTCCGCTTTTGCTATGCCTAATTGAAACTTTATTGCCTTGTAATTTTTTCTTAAAATTCAATTCGAAGTTCCTACTAAATGTAGCCGGAGGCCATTTATTACCGAGCCGGCGTTTTTTGGCGGTAATAGCTGACTGAACAAAACCCATGGGGTTCGCTGTGGATGAGCATGATCAAATGTGACAAAACGCCTTCGATCGACTCCATTCATCCCAGCTGTGAAAATTGAGCCGGCGGCTAGACATCGCAGATGGTATTTTGATCATGCCCATTAATGGGTTGTACATTTTCCGAGCGGATCGAATTAATTAGGGAATAGGGAAGAGGATGCCTCTTGGAGCCTCGCGTGATTTGATAAAAATTACTCCGCATGTGTTTTGGGCATCCATAAGTGCCGGCGCGCGGCTTCTATTTGGCGGGCAAATTACGGGGTTCGAATAAACTCCCTGGGCTGCTATTTGTTCGGGAATAATACACTCCTTGAAATTCGATCGCGACACTGAGGGTAATGCGTGTGCTCGAGTTTTTGCAGTGGCCGAACCGAAAAGTAATTGCAACTAATGGGACTACGCACATTGTATCTTGCTTGTGCTTGCTTTCAGCTGTGATCAAGGGTAATTTCAAATTTATTCGCTACTGCTGGATTTTTTCTCAAAAAAAAAATATTTAAAAGTGCGAGCTTTTCGATACAAAAACGTCGCTTAAAATTTTAATAATAATTTGTTTGAACACTTTATTAATCTGCGTATGAAGTCTGCCGTGGAAAATATAGAAAAGTATTGTCGATCAAAATGCTTTATTATAGTAGGAAATAATGCCATGGTTTTTCCCACGAACGTAGCAGCAGACTGGGGCAATAATGTGATTAGTCCTATTTTGTCGCATTTCTAAATTAGTACATTTGCGTCATTCCTTCCCCATCAGAGCTATGCCGTAACAGCAACTACTTCATCAACCAACCATTGCCGCACGTGTCATGTCAACTTATGCATGTAGTCTAAATATAATTTTTGGAACATGCTTTCTGTGAGATTAGATTGCCTAACGATTTCTGATCGAATTTTGCGGCATCAATTGGATAGCCGAGGTTGCCGACCGTCTCAGCCGCGTTTTGCATAATAATAACAATCGTAGCACATGTAACCGTGATATGGATCTTATTGCAGTTAAGAATTTTTCTGGCTAACCGTATAGCTTACTTAACCTGACTGTGTAATCTGTGTCATTTTTAAATTATTAGTCGCTTATTATCATTTGAATTTTTTAGACACTGCACAGCATTGTGACTGCATGGTGATACATTGCATTTAATTCTACCAATAAAATTTGATTTAAGTACAGATAGGTTCACGTGTATAAGATCGCTTATTCGGAAGTGAACAGTTGTAAAACATACCACAAAATTGAAAATACAGAATAGGTTGCGCTTTACTTAATGCGGATGAAGTGCAGATGCTTTTTAATAACCGGAAATCCAAAATAGTACGAGTACAAATGCTTCTACGGCCTTTGTTGCTTCAATTTTTTCTGTATGAAGACGCGAGTTGTTCTTTACAGTTAATCGACATTAAGAGGATACAACACACTAATTGTGGTAATTATGGTTGTCTTTTGACTTGTAGCGGTCGATCGGTCACGATGGATTTGATCCAGCAGACGATGAAGTGTTGCGGAGTGAATTCCTACATGGACTGGACGCAATTGCCAGCAGCTATAAAAGTAAAACGCTCTTCCCGTCGTAAATCCCTTGCATTAATTATTTATAAAGTGTTTTCAACGAGTGGAGTTTTATTTATTTTGCAGGCCATCCCCGTTTCCTGCTGTCGAGATATGGCAATATGCAATCCCAACTTCTTCGTACCAACCGGTACGAATTTTGGAGGGGCGACACCAAATAATTACGTTGTAAGTAGCTAACTTCTGGCTTGCTCTTTTCTGGAAATACTGTACTTGGAACATTGAATTTTGGATTGCGTTTCTTTTTGGTTTCATTTTTGCAGTTTTCAAGTATTTTTATGTACGTGCTAGATCGACTGAATAAATAAAGATTAAACGCTGACAGTCGAGATAATATGCAAAAGTGCTGCCTTACGGGTAGTGTTTTAAACTTTTTTATTGGATTGGCAGGCATACTAATGTCCCTTAATATAATGCGGATGACGATTAGTGCTCGGTATTCGATAGTGTTTGTTTATCCATGCATATCGGCTGTTTGACCTCCGCCGGGTGTAATCCCAGTAGACGGTTTATTTTTATTCTGAATGTGTTTTTCTATCGTTTTTGTAGCCAATGGAGAACCTTCAAATACTACGAGACCAGCTGTTTTCGCAAGGATGTGCCGACAAAATACGGAGTGGCTACGCTGAGGCGATGAAGGTTATCGTGGGGCTTTCAGGTCAGTTGTTGACCGTTTAACAGTCTGCTCAATGGTTTCCGTCGTCATCCTCTGATAAATGCTGCCAGCTGAAAGTGAAAATACGATCTAAGAAAATTAATGATGAGCGCGACGGCAGGGGGCTGTAATGATCAATGCTAATGAATTTGCTTTTATGTTCGTTTTAATTCTTTTCGATAAATACTTTTTGTTTAAGAGCAAATGTCTTGTTAACAGCAGAAAATTACCTGATTGGAAATGTAATGGCTTTTTTCCAACAATCCAACACTGTCACAAAACATCGAGACTTTTTAAGTTATTAATTTCAACGCATTTTGCGCTTTAACTGTATGGACGCGGTATAAAGGTTTTCGGCTTTTTCCTAATAATATTTTCGGACGATAATTTAAACATTCAGTTTGCGCTTATCCGGAAGTCTTCTCAGTTTTTGATTGTAAACATTAGCAGACGGCTAATTGTGACTGTTATTTGGCGAATTGACAGTTGCACTGTTAAATTATAGTATTAAAAATTTGGATATTGATTTAGTTGCTGATATTGATTTTGTTGCACTGTTTCTTCTGTGGTGTAAACTGAATGGTAATACTCGTATGTTGTAATTGCAGGTGGCATTGCCGGTTTCATGCTACTGGGTTTCATATTTTGTGTGGCATTTTGTTGTGTGATGTGAAGCCAATCGTGGCGGATGATCATGATGGCGTTGATTGATGTCTGCATTTGCCCGGTGCAGAATTCTCTCTGTTTCCCACGAAAGAAATCTGACACAACACAACTTTCAGCTTCGTTGGCGGTCAATGGACTGGAACGACAAATCCGAACGGTGGCAAAAGATGATTTTTCTTCTCAAACCGAACGGGACCTTCTTTTTCTTGATCCCTTGTAATTTTTTTCAGTTGTGAATCTCGGCTTCTTGTCGAGCTGTCTCCTGTTTTTTTTTCAGCAAAGTGTTCTCGGTGTTGTGAAGTTGGTCCTTTGTATTTTTTTATGTGCCCAAAGTTTTAACGGAAAATTTTTATTTTCGGGAAATCTCTAATTCACCTTGAGCTGATATATTTTCTTTTTTCTTCGTTATTGAGACAGGAATTTGTTTTATGTGCCAAATAATTTGCTAAGGCGAATATTTGGCCTTTTTGAGTGTAAACTATGCAGTACTGTACTTACTTCTGGAAATGCGCTTTTTAATCTTAACTGGCTGGTTGTAATGCGATTTCCGTCCTAATTGGCACAATTGACACCGATATTTGCCTTAGCTTGTCGAGATAAATTTTCTTATCACAATGGCAAGTGAAAGAATATGTGGCGTGCAAATAAACTGAAATAACACTCTCAGGGCTGTTATAATGGCGATCCACTCAAGAGATTGTCTCGTTGAATGAAAACGTGTGAAAGACGGCGTGTTTGATAGGTTTTTATGATCAGAAATCCACACCGCTGGACTAATCGCACCGGTCAGTGGCCTAAATTGTCTACGCTTGTTAAAAGTGGCTAACTATAGTAGTGCACGCTTGGATAAGAAAATGACAACTCAAAATTTATTGTTATTTTCTTAACAGTAATCGGAATAATCGCTCGAGTAATACCACTCGAAACGGTGAAGACTTGAAGTAGTCCCCATTCCCCAACTTCCACCACATATTATATAAGTATACTTCGAACTCAGTTCGAAGTATATCTGGCATTCTGCGTCCATGTACATCTCTGTGATTTATAGGATCGGAATCAATACCGGAAAGCCAAATAGATGAAACTCCATAAACCAAAAGGAAACAAATTCCACATTATAATATTTTATGTACATTATAATAATCAAATTTTTCAAAATTAATTACGTATTCTGTTTTCGGTTCTCGCATTTATATACTCGTACAGACAACTGATGCAGAGAACAGGCTGCCGCCAAAAAGCAAAAAATTCCAGATACATAACAAAAAAAGGGACTTCTGTGTCAAATTTTTATCAACTTGCAAACAGTTATAAAATGTCATAACGAATGGAGCTCAGTGTAGTTCAAGATGATAAAACTTTGGAAAATCAGAAATTAAAAAACGGACAATGAAATGGGAACGAAAACTCACCGGAAATGATACAGAGCGCAAAAGATCGTTACCCTGTAACGTTTTGAAACGGTGAGCGCGAATATGCGCGCTTGCATTGAGTTGGTTTCCCACTTTTCTGCTCGTTGACAACTTGAGGCTTGCCACTTGGAGTGATTTCAAGGTGGTGATTTTTTAAGTACTTTTTTGACACTTTTTCTGACCTTTCTGCTAACCCTCTTTTCATTCAATTTCTTCCATAAAATATATTGGTGTTGTTTTTATTTTATCAGTCTCTTTGGCGAATCCTGAATATCTTCGATGCACTGAACTTGCGTTGAGTCAATAATCAGTAGCCCACTGTTGAAGGGTTTTAAATTTTAAAAGTGTTTTTCGCATTTTCTGTTGTTTACTGCTCCCTTCGTGTTTCTATGAAGATCGAGGATTTTTGGAGCTGTACGTGATCATGAACACTACGTTCTCTGACCGTGTTCTGCAGGACATCACCATCCTGGGCGATGTGGAACGGACGCGTAAGCCGTGGTCCGTCGTACTGGCTGATCATCTGGAGGGCTTTTTAACTGGCGTCCAGACTCTTAACACCATCAGCTCCGTTTTTGAAAAGGATGGTCAGAACATTGGCCTAACCGATGCGGCTGTCGTCCTGAGTAATATCGGTCATGTCTGGTGTCGTCAGGTGGAAGATACAGCGCATATCGCCCAACGCACCATTGATCTACTCGACAACCTTGATTACCACAAAGAAAGTAAGTACAGTACACATCAGTCAACAGTGTCTTTAGTTAACGTGCTTATTGGTTTTTCGTAATTATATTTTAGCATCGTGTAGATGAGAGAAGTCTGGTTTGTTAATTGTTTGTAATTTGCTTCAAAATGCCGACGGTTTTAATTGTTCCGTTGCATAAGGGATAAAACAAAGAATAAAATTGAATTAGGCTACTCTACAGTGTACACCAGTGAACACCACTAATATTTCAACCAGTTAGTAATCCTCATTTACGGAGGTACCTTATTAGGTGGTTTTTAATTACTTGTAGCTTTATTTTAATCTTTTTGCTGTTACATTTAGCGCTAAATTTTACAGGCGGAATGAAAGTGACTATAAGATGAAATTGTTAATGTTAGAGTTTGAATTTCGAGTTAACCGACTTAAACAGCAGAAAATCGGAGGATTCGTAGTGTAGTGTACGCCAGCGTTTCTTCGTCTTGTTGATTCCCACATGTGGCATTCAGATTTGTGCCATACTGTAGAATCAAAAATTCAATATAATTAGTGAAAAATTTTTTAGCTTCGGTACTGCTTTCAGTTTATGTTCACAAACATGGGCGATGGCTTGATATTTTCATATTTTTTATTGCATATTTTTTGTTCGACGATTGCTGTCAATGTGTGTGACTGTCTGGCGTAGTGTTACCGTTGTTGTAGAAGAAAAAGACCCGAAGGCTTCCAAACCACGCCGCATCAACGTGCACCCTCTGACTCTGCCGATCAGCGATCTGAATTCCGACACGGAAAATGTGTTACCTTTTCATCCCGACCCCAAGATCCCTCCCCATCGTTTTCTGGTTAAAGAAATTCCTAAAATATCTCAAGAAAAGTATCTAGCTCCCAGTGATCCGTGTACGCTGCCCTTAATGGACAGCGAAAAAATCCGCTCGTACTACGATGATCGTGGAAATAAAGGCCGGGATTGGGCGGAATTCAAAGTCAACACGTTACCACTAAATCGCGAGGGATACTATCCATTGGAAAATGCTCCCGGGTGGAGTCAGATACCATTGGCCAAGCGGCGGTACACGTTCAGTGTCATGCCGGAAGTCGTACAGGATCTTGCAAAGGAAGATCTCGAAGAGGTAGTTAATGGTTATTTAAGCAAGCCAGTTTTGTATTAATGTTATTTTCACTTGGGGAATTTATTTTGGTTCACCTTTCTCACATTTCGGTTTTCCTTGGTTTTGAGGTTGCCGAATATAATTTTTGAAGGTTCAGACGCTTAGCTTTTGTGCCATCTTTTCGCACGGTCAATTCTGAATTTCGGTTTTACTTTAAGGGAATGTTTTGAATTTTACTATGCTTTATTTTGAATTGTAGACACTTCTCCAGCAACCAGAAACGCATGACATGGATGCTGATGACGCACCAGTTGATCATACACTTCCGGAGCATGATGCAGGCGTACCTGTAGTTCCTGCTCTGGGCCCCATACTTTTTAAGCAGTTAAAATCGTCCAAGTCTAGCAGTGCCGAGTTTCGACCGATCACAGACCTGCGTGCCTTAAGCAGAACCAAACAGCTGGACGGAATTCCTACGGCACCTGTTGCGTCAAATCCTCAGACACCATATAAATGTCGCAACAAGCGCAAAGCCATTCCGAAACCACTGGAAGCGAGTCAAGTTGAAGTGGAATTCTTTAAATATTTCTGGGATATTTCGACACAGCAGATGAATTTGGAGTTTATTATGCAGCGTGACAATATGCGGCTGCGCAGAGTGGAGGTGACCAAGAGGGAGCCCAGAAAAAAGGCAGTCAAAACAGTACGCTTTGAAAGCGTGACCCCGATGGAGCCAGTTGCTGAAGAAGTCGAGCAGAAAGTAGCCGGTAACGACGGAGAGATTCTGGTGAATGATGAAGCGGGCAACGAAACCCTTACCGGAAAGAATAATTCAGATAATGCGGTAGGTTAAGTGGCCGTTCGATGCCGTATTGTAGCGATTAAATTTACCATATCGTCTGAAAAGAACGAGCCGTATATGGTGCATGGAAAAAAATATGTGTGGAAATAAAAAAGTATTCGAAAACAAGTATGTAGTTTGTTTTGGATTTTGGTTGTGCAGTAGGTCGGATGTTATAATGTGCGTTTGTGAACTCATTTGTCATGCAGCCTATCTTACATTTTGATTTTTTTTTGTGGATAAGGTGGATGAAGTTGCGGAATATGTGGAGACAGCTGAACCGTGCCTGAATGTTACCGAGTTCAATCTTGATGACCTTTACCTGGTCCCCGGCGCGTCAAGAGGTGACGCCTTCAACAAGTTAAATTTTACGCTAATGGCGCGTCCTGCTCATACCACTCAGTTCCTGGAAAATCTCGACGCCAGCCTTTCGCACGAATCATCGCTTTTGGAGCAATGTGAGTTTTTGAACAATGATAATCAGAATTGGGAGGCCCGCTTAGAGGAATTCCTCGAAGAACATGAACCAGCCACGGCTAACTTCAACGTGGAAAGTGTCGGACAGCGGCTTATGGAGGATTATCAGAGAAAAGGCAAGCATTCGACACGAACAACGTTGTCGGATGTGATTAGAGGCCGCGGATCGGTGGGCGAAGTGGGACAGAGATTCTTGTCTTTTTTGGATTTGGTCAATAAGAAGATTGTGGAAGTGGAAACGAAAGAGAAAACGAAGAAAGCGGAAACAGAAATCTCGAAGCTTAGTCAGACCTTGGAACAACTTAGTATTAAAGTGGTGCATAAAGCGGGATGAACTTCTGCCGAGTTGGGGGTGAGTAAATGAAAATCGGTATTGCATTGTGAACGACTACAAGCGTGTAATTTACTCTGTAAATTCACGCTTGGGATGGATTTAGATTCTAAAAAAATGTCTTTTAAAATGTGAGTATTCTGTTCTTCATTGATGCATAAAAGCATTTATGCTTTGTTGAGTTTGTTTTGTTCTATTCGGTACTGTTGAACATATCCTAATTCCCCTAACAACTCGCTAATTGACAGTACGATTATTGTTTATCTTTTTTTGCAGAATCGTGTCGCTGGATGACGAAGGCGGTGAATTTTTCTTCTTGCTTGCATACGCGTCGTTTTTGGGATGCTCAATTGAAATTTTGAATGGGCTGGATTGGGAAGTTGTACAAAAGTTTTTGTTTTCTTTATTTATGCAGTCTGAAAAAGTACTATTTGATATTTCGTTAAGCACCTTTTAAACTTCTGATTTACTGGTATGACCTTGTAGATCCCGTTCGCTTTGACGTGCAGACTGGTGTTTAAATTTGCATACTTGTAGTTTTTTGGCTGCTGTTGTTTGCCTGTTGTGCTTTACCTTTTTCAAAGATGTGCGCGGAATCAGCGTCCTTTTTCAAAGCCGTTACATCATGCTGCACAGGCATATGCCACAGCAATAAAGTTTTGGGATTCGAAGTTGTGATGGCGACCGGCGGAACTGTTTTTAATGTCGTAAATAGTCGTTTGTTAGCCAATCGACAGAAGGCTCAAGACATTAGGGATATGAAAGACGAGATCGCGCTCCTCAATACCCGCATACAGAAGATCGAACACCGCCAGAGGGAAGACGAGGTAGAGATACGTGCGTACCCAATGAACCGACAGTTTTTCATTTTACAAACTTCATGAAAAGCTTTACATATGGACACAGTTTAGTAACTCTTTTTCATAGTATTTTGATTTCACCTATCACTACAAAACATAGTTTCCCGTGTTTCCAGGATTATTTAGGCCGTGCTGTGCCTGTAGTGCCGCACTCGTATTCTAATAATTCTAGAGTAGTGATTGCAGTGAGCGGCTTCCCGTTGAAATGCAAAAAGGCAACCGGCCGGCACGGCCACTGCCTTGCCAGCTAAGCGAACCAATCAAAATTGCGAAACAATTCAACTAACCATTGCGAAGCGGGACAGAAATGAATCGGGCCAGAAGTCCACCCATTTTTTCCTTTCTGAGTCCTGCCGTCAAAGCGTTTCCCAGCATTCGTGATTTTCAGCTTTCCTGTTTCCACATATTTTGGATTTCTAGTTCTAGGTCTGTTCGTTATTTCGTTCCCTGTTTGAATCGTTTTTTAACGTTTTCAAGTTTTTACCCTGTGTTTTACTGTTTACACTGTTGACAATGAACCGACATTCTCCTCGCGGCATCAGAGGACGGCCGTTCAATGGGCGCCTTTCCACGCACCAGGCCCAGCCGAAATCCGACGTGAGTACCTCGCAAGCGGAATACTGATGCGCATCGTGCTAAAATCCCTGTTCGTCATAAGGCAGTTTGCTCTCAAACTACTGTAAATCAATTACTTGAGTCATTATTTTCTTGGTCATTTTCTGTGAACTTTATCCACCTGTTGCCTCTATCGTAATCGGTCGTTTCATCATCCTCCTGCTCCTAGTTAATCCCCAGCACTGTTTTTACGATAGATGGAAGCTCGTCGGATGACGCAGAGCGGTCAGGCGAAACCTCCGTCGCCGTTACTTCAGCCGAACAGCGTCTTCATTGGAAGGCTGCCATCCAGTGTAAGTGAAATACCGTCCGCTCGAACTAGCACAGTAAGTACTTCTTGTCTGTTTCGCGGCCGTCGCTTACGCCTTATGGCACATGATACCTTTTTTATGTCGGTTTTGTTACGTTTGTTGAGATGGTATTATGGTGAGAATAATTGAGTCAGGTATTCATTGGGTATCAGCGATATCATATCGCCGAACATTTGGGCGCTCAGTACTTCATGCTTGGTCAAAATGATGTCATTCTCACACAAGCAGTGCAGAAGGTCAGCTCATGCTCTGAGTCTGCGTTCTTTTGGCGGTTCTCTGGGCGTTCATTTAAAAACATTTTATTGACATTTGGCATTTCAGTTTTTTTAAGCAAGAAACTCCAGCAATTGTCATGCTTAACAGCTTGAGTATGTAACTGTGTATTTTTGACAGACCACGAAGGAACACGTGGAGTCAGCAGTGCGGGAGATCGCCAGTCCCGCCATGGTTGATGTTTATGTCAACCAGCAATGCGGGTACAACGGGGTACGCCGCCGGCACGCCTTCCTGAAGTACGGGTCACCAGCGGAAGCCCAGGATGCGATGAATAAAGTGAGCACTGCAAATACTAATTTAACTGGTCACTAAAATAAAATAATTTTATAAAAATATTGTACCATCAGCGTGCTGATTAGCTGATGAAATACTTATTGGTTGCATATCAGAGAAACGTAGGTACGTAGTGAGTCCGCGCAGTTCGCCATGATACGTGGTTATCCGGGTAAAATGATTGCAGTTTAAGCTTGATGGTGGGAGCACAAAACAAGCTGCTCGATGAAACTTTCATGTCGTTCCGTTAATGCGATTTCTGCTAATTTTTTCCTCAGTGATTTCGAATTTTAATTTTTTGTACAATTTGGCACAGGCATAGTCAAAAAACTTTTAAAATATTAGAAAAGTGGTTGGAAGGCCGAAAATTAAGAGATAAATTATGATAATCGCATGCCGACAGTAGGGAAGCAGGCACGAAATGGGTTTTAAATTGACAATCTTTCATTAATGTTTCGGTGTTACCGTTAGAAATAGTTCTGTAATTAATCTAGCCATTACAGTGTAAGTTTGTCCAACTTCAGAATCTTGAATGGTACTCACGAAATTAGTGGGCGGAAATTAAGTTAGTGCACTAACGTAAAATCTCCGTAAAACTTGCTTGCTTCGTCCACTGACTGCACTCCCTCTATTTTCTAAAATTTCAGTCTTCCTCCACGCATAACCGCTTATCAAGGCGAACTTCGCAGACTCACTTTTGCAGCCGATATCGATGCTTATTGCTTAGTTTCTTAATTCTACCTGAAAAATTTACCGTTTAATTGACACCTTGTGCAGCTGTGCACTGATCACTGTACACCGAACTCCGGTTCCACTCCCCAGTGTGATCTGCCGACTATGATGTCTCATATCGGGCAGTACGGTATACGGGACATCGAAGAAAAACCCCATCATAGTGTGTACTATGACTATCTGTGTGAATGGATGAAATACTGCAGTAATCCCGCCCATGAAACCAAGGAACAGTGCGACTGCGAGTTAGATGAAGAAGACAACGAAGTGCAAGACGAAGAATCTGACGCCAGCGAAGAAATGTGAAATCATACGTAATACCACTGCAAAGAGTATTGGGACAAATTGTTGTTCACCATTTACGTCGCCGAATGCTAGTTTTGAACCCAGTTTTGTTTCAGTTTTATTGTTTTACTGCTTAGCGTATCTTATAACACAGTGAGTACGTAGTATTTGTGACTTGCGCCATATTTTCTGTTTTCGTCTGTAACTCTGAAAGTTTTGAGTTTCCTCAGTCGGGACCAACATTTTTAGATTCAGGAAGAAAAGTTACATATAAAACACTTAAAAGTAGGTCAGTAGGTCGCGCCCGGTATAATAATAGTATATCAAATTAACGCTGCTCTGCTTGCTAAAAACAGAAGTACAAATTAAGTACGATATATTATACGAATAGACGGAATAGTGGTGGCTAGGTGGCTTGTACGATAATATCATGGTTATTATGTTGGCTGATAAACCAGTAAATTCATTTTCTGTATTTTGCTTTCTAGCTGTTACGGAGTAAGCTGGTAATCAACGGAGCCGGAAACCTGCACATTGGTCCGGCCTACCGGAAGGGCGTCTCAACTGGTAAGGTTTTGTCGGTGGCAATATCTCTTAAATACCAAGTTGTATTACTGTTATGTGTACTAACTTTCATGTGAAGTAATCCCACTCTGCGTTTGGCTAACTTTGTCCAATTTTGCTAATGTATGTTTTATCGCCGATATTGAGATTCATGACATAGTTTTCTTCTAGCGGGACAAGGATTTTCCCCGGGATCGTGGTCCAGTGGACACCGCAGCAGCCCTGCTGCACCGCAGTCGCCGACGTCGACCACGCAGGGACTGGCTGGAGAATCGGGTCCGTCCAGTTCGGCGGGTTCGGATGCTGTAAGTTAATTGCCCGATACCAGGACGGCTAATTCGTAGTTATTTTTTATAAGCTCGCCATCTTAGACAAGTTCTTTTGCCCAACTCAACATTCTTGGGATACGAAATCAGTTATGACGATGACTGACATTGACTGTTGACTTTCAGGCAGCATAAGTAAAGCTATGCTTTTAACAGGGTTATTACGCATCGCCGGCTAGTTCATCCAGCGGGATTCCGACCAACTACAGCCACGGTAGCTATTCTCCGCACGCGCCTCCGCTGGTGATGACCACGATGCCCTTCCCGGTGATGGGCGCCAACGGAATGGTTAATGTTCAGCAGTTGGCGCTGAACAATTTCGGTTGCTGGGTTCCGGTCCCGGGTCTGACGGTCAGCTACGTATATGATGTACGTATTGGCGGTTTTACCTTCAAATCGTCCACGTTGAACGGTCTTGCGCGGTTGCCTACTGAGTAGAAATGCGGATTAATAATTATTTCATAACACGCACTAAACGCACGCACTATACGGTACTTAACTGCCAACGATAGCATTAACTGGCATATTGTGTTTTAATCGTATAATTTTGCAGGATTATCGCCGCAATCTGGAGCAGTACGCGCAGCCTGTGTACGCCACATCCCCACCGGTGTATCCGTACTACGGTAACCAGTGGAACCCGGCTCAACAAGTAAGTTATACAGTAGTACAGTAATTGAAGTTTCCAACTTTCCGTTGTATAATTCATGGTACCGGGTACATACATGCCAATGCATAATATTATTAAACACTTGTGGTTTCAAATTTTAAAGATTAATCAGTTGGTGTTAACGACATTTCTTTAAAATAATTCTTGCACGAAAATGTCAGTCAGCTTATAAATCAACACCAGACATTTAGTCTGTCCTGTAGAGTATACCAAAGTGTAAAAGACAGAATTCGGAGGACGCTGATGATAATTTGTTTAATTTACAGGGTGGCGGAGCTGTTCCTGGTGGCATGAGCTACGGTGGCTATTATCAACCTGCGCCTTTCCCGTGCGCTCCACCAGCTGGTTGTGGCTACAGCATGCCGGTTTACGGTGTTCCCGTTGCTGCTTGTTAATGGGTTTTGTCTTCCCCGGTCATGCTGCCGCGGTGTATACTTTTTGTATTATTTTATTGTTTCCATCCTGTGCCATATGACCCTTGCCAAAATTTTGTATTAAAATGATCAATCTACGGTCGTACGTTATCACTTATCAGCTGAGTGGTAACACTAGTAATTATCACAGCAAAACACAGAAAATAGACCAAGACAGAACGCTAAAAAGAAAGCACTAGCATTTTGTGCTTCAAAAACGGCAAACTTCGGAAGTGCGTATTTCGTTTGCCTAAATTCGTAGCTTGATTTGAGTTCTGACCATTGTAAGACGCGCGAAGTGTCGTGCTCTCCAGGTAGTGAATCGTTGCACTAACGTTACTTTGCAGTTGCAAGTGCTCGTACCGGAAATTTACTTAAGTACTAGTAATGTCAGACCGTTCTTATATACGCCATTAAAATCACAGAGCGAAGACTTTCAAGATCGCGGATACCATCGGAATCCCCATTTTTCTTTAACCCGTTGACGGGCATTGGCGTCAGGGCGCAACATGGTTTTCTGAATTTTTTCCCCAGTGATTGCGAACAGTTAATGAATATTAATTAGCATAATTAGCAATTAGAGACTTTAAAGTAGCAGTAAAAACATAATTCAAACTTGCATCTCAAGCCAATCACAAATGACCGTTGCCCGAAAATGGCTAATCTCGGACTTTCCAAGCTCTCGTACGTCTTGCTAATTAACTAATTAGTGGATGAATAATTAAACCGCAGATAAATCAACAAGGTACAATTAACAACGTTCTATCGAAAATTGACTAACACGGGTTCTGTAAGTTGAACAGTGGAAGACCACAGTCCGTCAAAACTTGTGTTGCGTGCCAACACCATTGCCCATGAAGTGTCTCAGATACACAGGCGGGTGCAATTTCGACTGCTTCTCTATATCACGTAGGCAGATCAAGTTAAGTACTGTCGGTTCGTACGCAAAACATGCGTCACGCGATTTTGTTGATCGGAAGCCTGTGAAAACGCTTTCGCGTATCAACACCACGGGCGGTCGGCGAAAACCAAAATCGCCTCTAAATTTGGCTGCTTCAGGAAAACAGAACGCTTAGGGAAACCGAACACGGTAGTCCTGATTGTAAATCTACCGTCACTGCAATAACAATAGTTGTAAAATGGCGGTACAACACCGTGCGCTTTACCGCGTTTCTACATATTGATGGATCGTTTGGACATGCGAGAGCGGCGCAGCTTTGCAGAAAAAATGAGTTTTGATCTATCTCGGGCGGTTGAAAACTACAGTAACTGTACACTGTACGTGCACGTGACGTTGGTGATTTTGACCTTTGCGGCAGCCTAACTAGTTTCTTCCGGTCGCTAATGCGTTCGAAAAGTGCTAGTGACCACTAACTCTCAGTTTACGCCAATGACCACTGCAGCTGGACTATCCGCGCCGCATTTTAGACACTGGCACTTGCGGCCACACCAAAGAAAAATGCAAGCGCGGCAGTATAAAGGCGGCTATGCGTGCCAGAAATGCAGAACAATGCTTCGTGCAGTCTTATAATTATGAGAGTATAATGAAAGTTTTGGGAGAGGAAAATTGTTAGCATTTTTATTTCCTATATTCTATCTGTAATAGTGGTCAAAATACATGGTAACGGAATCTGGAAGTTTTTAATTTTTTGCTGACCAGTGGTCACCTTGTTGACCACTACTATACTCTTGTTTTAAAGTGATTTTTTTGTTCTATTTGGTACAGTTATTGCTTTTAGGTAATTTCCGTTCGTCTAAGTATTACAAAATTAAACGTTTTTATGCTGTAGACTGTCCGTGGGCATTGGCGTTGGCAAACACCCTAGTCACCACGGCTGACCTATGGTCAGCACAAGCTTACAAAAAATTCCCTTTCTTAATTGATTTTTTTCATCGGGAAATCCCGATTTTCAAAAGGAAACCCGCACTCCGTCGGGTACCGCCCGCTGGAGGGTTAAGTGATCTTTTGTCATCACCAAGTAAAACGACAGTCTTCGTCATATAGAAATGAAGCCGTAAAAACTTACACATACGCACAAAAAACCACGCGTTCGTTGTCGTCGCTTCGGCACGCTACCCTACAGCTGTGTTGCGCAATCTTACAAAATACATTAGAGTTTACGCCTCAGTGTAGACAACGTATGTAGCGTTGCGCCTTGCCTTTCTCTACCTGTTCTCGTTTCTAATACAAATTTATCAATGTTTTATTTTTCCTTTTCAGATATCTTGCGAAATATCTCGTAAGTTCCAGATAGTCCATTTGTATCTCATTGCCACTATCGGACTGTATCACACACTGCGATATGGTTTCATTTTCAGACAAACTAGCTGATCGACGGTGATGTTGAGTGTGCTCACCTAGTTGTGAGTCCCATGGGGAACGCTGCGAACGTGACACCATGTCGGAGCAGACAATCACGGCACGGCTAACAGGCCAGTTTAGCCTGTTAGGATCTCGTAAAGTGTACAATGTATACTTAACCGATACCTCCATCAAATATGCCCCGGCGGAGGGGAATGCCAAATGGAAGGAGGTGTTGTTGGATGACGTGGTGGGAGTACACTGTATGCGCGGGAAGAGCGCGGATGATCCGCAGGTGTATCTCTCCTTCTTCGTGTACAAACGCGGACGGACTTTGATGGGCGGCGTGGATCCTGTACGGAAACGCCAGGGTCTGACGTTCGTTGTGGGCGAGGCGGCGGTCTTCGAGGAGAATTTGCTCGTGGCAGACAAATGGCGAAATGCCATATACAGGCTGATGCGGAGTGCAGGTAAGGAATGAGCCTATTACTAATAAATAGTACTTAATACATTATTAATCAGTTGAATAATCACTTGGCCACTTATTATATTTTCCCCTTAATACTGTTTTAAAATTAAAAAACAAACGTTAAAAATATTTCTAAGATGTGCAGAACTGCAGATTTGTGTGTGATAACTTCTTCTATTGATGCGCTGATTTCAGGATGATGTCGTAGTGAACTGGCTACCTAAGGCGTAAACCAATGTTTGTTCGTTGTGTAATGTACAGTTGGTGAAATTATTCCGTAACTAGTGTTTTCTTTGCCAAGATTTAATAAACATGCGCATAAATTTTTGTGTTTTTTGCAGTTTCTGGATTGCGAGATCCCCATTCGGGAGTATGGCTAGTTGTGATTAATCCTGCCGGTGGACCGGGCAAAGCGGAGAAGCTTTTCCGTGAACGCGTCGTTCCGATTTTTGCCGAAGCTGCCATACCATTCGAAGTTATCGTGAGTGGTGAGCATACAGTTTTTCTTTGCCAAAGGCGTATGATTGTAATGTGGAATGTTAGTATTAAATATTACGTCTCGCACAAATAATTGTGTTTTCAGAACGAGCTGGCCATGTCATGGAGATCATGCAGACACTGGATTTGAGTAAATATTCGGCGCTCATTGTAGTAGCAGGCGATGGTAAGTTCTGTCAGCTTCGTTTTTCCTTGGTTAATTAAATTCATATGGCATACTCTGTAAAATTGTGCCAACAGTGACGGCTACACTTTTGAAAACCGGTTTTGCGCAGTAGTTTGTTTGTTTAACAATAAAGTTTGGACTTACGTTAAGTATGTCGTTCTGTTTGGAATTGTTAGATTCATTTTCTTGGGTGAAAGTACATATACCGTATCGGTACCAAAAAAAAGTCAATGATGCAATTCAGTGATTCACCAAAAATCAAGGCGTGCGTTCTGTTGGGTTTGCCAACAGTAATCCTGCACACATCATTACTGAGTATATTGATATTAGTATATTGAGTAGAGTGTAGAAATTTATTTCAGAAAGTTATCTGCGAGATATTATTGGCAAGTGGATATAAGATATTTGATAGGAAAGAAGTTGCGTACATTCTCGATAATGGTGAAATTTTCTAAAACGGCTACGCTAAGCTGCGGTATCAGCGAACAAATGAAGCCCAGTATTGGTGCTTGAAAGAGTTGGTTTTTTGAACTGTTTTCCCATAGGTTTGGTTCACGAAGCGCTCAATGGTTTGATGATGCGCCCAGACTGGGCGGAAGCCGTACGGATACCGATTGGTCACATTCCAGGCGGATCGGGCAATGCCTTGGCCGCCAGTATACATGAGGCTTCAGGGTAAAAAGCGGTGATCTGAACAAATTTGAATAAATACCGTAGTACTTCGAATATGACTTTCTGTGAATGGCGGCACCCACGAGGCCGCAACACTTTGAATATCTTCGCTTCGCAGTGAATATTATCGGGGTGTTCCGTTTCGTGTAGATAAAAAATTTTTTTATTCGGCAATGGCCACTTCACAGAATAAAAAGCCAGCGCTGGTACATACTAATTAAAATTTAAAATGATAGAAATTTAAATGTTAAAAAATCAACCAGGATCATTGTTGTACGAAAATTTATCCCGCGCATTCAGTATTCCCAAAACCGCTGCTGCATTTCTTCTAACAACTGCCAGACATTGTTAAACGCTGTTTGTATGTCGTATAGTTGTAGTTGTTGTATAGGAGTGGTTCGAGTATAAAGTGCTCACCAATGTATGAACCAAATCGGAAAGTGCACTATAGTATCTCCATTAACGCACATGATTTAATTTTTTAGAACAAGACCTTGAACGCGGGACTTTAAGATCAGCTTGGTTTGCGCTTTTCTGGAAATCTTTCCCGTTTTATTCGATTTACTAAGGAAAACAGTTAGATGAAACTGTAGAAACAGTGTGCAGTAGTTTGTTTGATAGAAACCTTTCTCTTGTTGACAGGGAACCATTCCGAACAGAATTCGTTAAACATTCCGCATTGCTGTTAGCCAAAAGTGTTCCCACTCCATTGGATATCGTGTACTTGGAAACTCCGTGGTACAGCCGCTATGGATTTCTGTCGGTTTGTTGGGGCCTCATCGCCGATATTGACATCGAATCGGAGAAGTATCGCAATCTGGGGGAAACCCGGTTTACTGTCCAGGCGGTGCAGCGAATTACTGGTATGAAATCAGTCCATTGTTTTGTTCATACCATTAAAGGCTATAATACTAATTACTTGGAAAATTGAAGCAATACTAATTACTTGGAAAATTGAAGCGATATTTTTCCTTTCATTGGTGTTAACTTTTAATATAACATGTAGACAAGTTGTATTTTACATATTGGCGGTGTACATAGTATGGCATGAGTAAAGTTAATAAGTGCGAAATTTAGGTTTTGTAATAAATTACATCGAGAAGCAACAGCTATCCAGTGTATTTAGTAACAGCTGCTATTGTTGTTTTACTTTTCTGTTGTGAGCTGTATCACCGTACGTAGCATCTGTATTAAATGATGAACTTACAGTCTGGAGAACATGACCTATGTGGGAAACAAAATACCGTCGAAGCGTGTGCCAGGTTTGACAGCATTAAATGCTTTTTGATCTCATTTTTTTAGATCTACGAACATACTCCGGTGTCCTGTCCTATCTACCGGCCGATTCCCCAGCCAGCGGTGATGCTCCCGCCCCCCATTCCTACCTCTCCGATGCTCACCTCCCCAAACCGTCCACCGACCTGCTGGTCCCCCTGTCCGAACCCGTTTCGTCCACGTGGACCACCATTGACGGCGATTTCATCACCGTCTGCCTGGTGGTCATCAGTCGTTTAGCTGCTTCCAGCGCCGGTATTCCCTGGGCGAAGCTAAACGACGGTCTGGGTTATCTGTTCTGGATTAAAGCCGGTGCGCCCAAGATGGCGGTGACATCCTTTCTCCTAAATATGGACAGCGGCAGCCATTTGGCGAACAGTCATGTGCAGAAAGTGGCGGTGCGAGCCTTTCGGTTGGAGCCGCGGGAGAAGGATGGCATTCTGACGATTGACGGGGAGAAAGTACAGTATGGAAGTATTCAGGGACAGATGCTGCCCTCGCTGGCCACGGTGCTAACGAGGAGGAGCGTATAATACGCGTGATTTTTGAATTTAAAGAAAGGAAAATTGCGTTTTGTTTTGTAAATGAAGTTTAATAATTTTTTTTGCCGAAATTCTGTGTTACATTCCCGAAAGTTATTTAAATTGCTTTATAGTAAACTGATGACTGTGCAGCTGCACCGGTGTAGCTACCGTTTGATTCTTTTTATTTTGTTTGACAGTTGGTTAGGAAATGAAATGTTGCAGAGTTTTATTAGATTATTAGATGTGGAATTAAACAGCTGGACAACTGGGGCGTCGCGAAACGGCATTATAATGAAAACCATTTCGCAGGTCAGATATTTTTTGTTTAACTAAAAGCGTGCTTTCAAAAAGCGAACTCAGGTAGAAAAGGAACGCTTTTTAACTCTTAAAATATTTATAAGACACCTCAAAGAAAAACAACTTGGTACTTAGTACCGAGCAGGAACCAAAAAACATGATGGTTTTTCCGGTAGAACCATACGTGAAATGCATTCATAGTCTTCTCGGCGTAATGGCCAACTCGAATCTTCCCGGCACGTTGACCTGCCCAAAAATGACATCATTGGGGGAAATGTGGCAGTCTGGAGCCGCCCTCACGTCAAAATGTTTGAGGATATTAGAGAAAAACAAAAACAATTCCATTCTGGCCAAAGATTCCCCTAGGCACATTCGTTTTCCTGCAAAAAAAGAAACATGAGTGATACTAATGATTTCGCGCACAACAAATAAAATTTAAAAGACACAGTTTGTGTAATTGATTTTTGTTAATTGAGTGACACAATTACCTGAGGCAAAAGGCATAAACGCATCTGGGCGAAATATTCGTCCTTTCTCATCAATGAAACGCTCGGGTCGGAAAGTTTCCGGTTGGGGGAAATACCGCGCATCATGATGGACACCGTACATGTTGACGGCGATATGGGAGCCTTTGGGGATGAGATAGCCATCGTGGATAATGTCGTCGGTGACCCCACGACCTGTTGCCGGGACAGCCGGGGAATTTCGTTGCACTTCCATAATTGTCGCTTCCGTGTATGGGAGATTAACTATGTGAAAATGTATAGATGTTAGATTATGTATTGTAGTAGCAGCACGTAACTAATTATTAAACTTTAATTAGTACTTTATTCGTAAGGGGCTTATAACCTTATACCGTACAATACCTATCAGCTTTAATTTAATTTTCTATAATTCCCAAATGTCTTCATTTATTATTTCTAGTACATCATATTGTATACACATTTAGAGTTTTCAAACGCGCGGACCTTTGTGCTCCATTGTGACTAGCTGGCTGTTTCCCAAAAGTTGGTCAATTTCTTCTTGAACTTTACGCTGAACTTCCGGGTGCTCGATCATATATAGCAGACACCAGCACAGTGTCCCGGCTGTGGTATCCGTGCCGGCTCCAAATAGAGTTCGTACCGAAATAACCAGTTGCTCGTCTGCAATTTAAACTGGAATGTAAGAGAAATTTTCCGCATAATAATACAAAAAAGCAAGATATATGGGTAGTAATTATTTATTGTAAGGACCGTATACATACGAGTATGTACATTTACCGTCGAATGTGCTGTTTGGATTGTTCTTCTCCAACTCCTGCGTCTGCAGAAACGCCGTTACATAATCCCTGACACCATCCGATGTCTCCTTAATCCCATGTTTTTTTATCAGTACTCCAATAAACTCATGCAATTCATTGATATTTCTCATCAGCGCTAAATAGTCTCTCCGAAATTTAGAAAACGGTATTAATCTCAGTATGGGAAAGATTTGCAATGGTCGATTGAAGCCGGCGAGGATATTGTTCTCGGCAAACAATTCCATCAACCGGAGAAAATGTTTGTCGTTATGCTCGAAACGTTGACCAAAGGTCACACTGCAGATGACGTTGGCCAGGCTCTGGCCAAAGAGAATTTTCGGATTGAAGGGTTTGCCGTTGGTATCCGAGAATATCTTCAGCACTTCGGTTACTTGATCTAATATAGTGTCCTGGAGAAAGGTCTTTCCCATGCCCAGATCGCGCAGCGTACTCAATGCGAAACGACGCTGTGTCCGCCAGACATGGCCATTGGATAAACCCAATCCTGCAATTTTTTACTAAGTTCATAAACATCCCTCTAATAACTACTGCATTTGTGGATATCACTACTTATTGGTACTCGCACTGCCGTTCCAATAAGAAATTGCTGTAATAATTTATAATGTACTTTGTATGTATGTATTTATTGTAACGGTAACTTATGCCTTATGTTTTTTCTAAACGATAACGGGTTTTTTTGCATGGTAAATATCAATAATAGCACGCAATTGCATTTACGTATGTTTTGGTGGTATTCTAGAGATTTGCTATATTAAATTAAATTAATGACATATGAAAGTGGAACATTAGCAAGATAAATCTAATGGTAAGCTGTAAAGACTAAGGTATATATATTGCACGTGACTTTTATACTGCTCACGAAGATTTGTCGACGCGTTCTTGACCGGCTAGATATGACTGAACGATAACTGAAGAGCAACAGCATTATTAACCTTTGTTGTTATCGGTCGCCCGAAATAAAAACAGATCTGGTCGATCGGAAGTTCTTTCGTCTGCTAGCAAAGCCTTTATTCCGGGCACATCATTTACGACAACGGTTAAAAAGGGTCCAAAATAACACCCTAAAAGTACAATACAACATACATTGTTAGCATTTCAGACGATAAAATACTCGTATATCATGCTGCCACCCAACAAAGATAGTATGCGATTTAAACGAAATTACGTGGGTGTACTGCATTTCGCACTGACAATACGTAATTACGATTATTAATTATATACATAACCATTTCTTTTAACTCACTATAGATATCTCCATATTGTTGCCACATTTTTTGTAAATTCAGATGGAATGCCGCTTCCATCATGACAATACGTAATTACGATTATTAATTATATACATAACCATTTCTTTTAACTCACTATAGATATCTCCATATTGTTGCCACATTTTTTGTAAATTCAGATGGAATGCCGCTTCCATCATGACAATACGTAATTACGATTATTAATTATATACATAACCATTTCTTTTAACTCACTATAGATATCTCCATATTGTTGCCACATTTTTTGTAAACTCAGATGGAATGCCGCTTCCATCATGTATAAGTCTCCAATAATTGGTAAACCTAAATATTTGTACCAAGGGCAAAATAATATAATTTTTAGGTAAAGTGCAAAACAAAATGGTACGTATTGTATCGGCATAAATTCCATACTGAATGGTCCAGGCGGCAGTTTGGATTTTCCCTTTACAGACACCTGTCGTCTGTGAACCATCATCCCGGTCAAGACACATGCCAATAGTCCTGAAATCCCGGCCACAGCTAGGCTGAGGGTCGAAAAGGATAAAAATTCCAGCATCGTTGCGTAATGATCAGTAATAATGGTCGACTTGCGGCGAATGCTCGTTTACAAAATAAATCTGTTTTACAACAGTAACAAAACCATATGAAACCGTCAGTACTGCATGTAGTACAGAATAACAACCAAGGTCAAGGCTGAAATGTCGAGCCACGAAAACGTCTGGCCTGTGCAGATCTTGTTTTTGAAACGGTGTAAACAATTGCGTACACGCAATGAGCTGGCTACCGGTACCGGTGAATTTTTGATATGCGACGGTTAGAACTCAGATTCCAAACAATTCTCGGAAAGTCTTAAGAAATGGCATTTGAATTCCGCTATAAGGCATATCGAGATGCACACGTGCACGTAGACGTAGAGATGAACTGTGGTGGTATTTATCTGCCCAACGTTGGTGAGTTGTCTAAAGATTACGGCCGATGTCTGTCCTTGAGGAGGTGTGACTTAAACTCGAGGCAATGAACTTTCTTGTCAGCTGTTCACGTAAACCGCGGAATCTGCGCTTTACGTGCAGATACTGAACAAAGTGCACATAGAACTATCTATATGTTACTGCGTGACCAGCACAGGCGTGAAACGGTGGTTTCGTTATTGGATTTAACAAGGTATAACCGTATAAGACTGATTGAAAACCAATCAGATTACCGCGGTAAATGTTAATTTAAAAATTCAAGGAAAATAGACGATCCAGGCTGCAGTTTTATGCTGACTTTGGTTCACGACGAATTCCGATATGCGCATTAGCGTTGTAACATGACCTGATGCCATATATACTCGTAGTTATTATGTTCACTTAAAAAAAGTACGAGTATTGGAAGTTACTCGTTGATCGAATATTTTTACTTTAACCTCTTCTTCAGTGCTGTTTACGTTGTTTAATTTTTATTATTTTTATTATGTCTGCTCAGCTGTGTATTGTAACATTGTTGTGTTTGCTGGACTTTTAATGTATTTACTCGCACAGTTTGATAGATAGATGAACGCTGTAACACTCGCTATACCGATATATACATGCCATGTTACTAATTTAGCCACATGCGAAATATTTGTAATTTAATATGCTATAAACGATTACGGTGACAAAATTAGTGAGATCATGTATCTGTAAAGTACAACAACACGTACAAATGTCATACGCATACGAACAGTAACTTGGACTACCGGTACCGGAAGCGTTTACGCGAAAAGCTTATCAACTCTTTGCATGTTACGTTGGTTTTTCCTGGATTAATTCTAACTTCTAAACAATAAGAACAACTACGCCAACGTTTTGCGGTTTTGGACAATAAGGTGTATCAAAGGTCCACTGTCTTCCACCTGCAGCGATGTGCTGCAGTTAGGACTGAAAGCAGCAGTACACTTTCCCAGTTGCGTTTAAGATCAAATTTGCTTGTCCATGCGTTTTTGGTGTGTGCTTGACCTGCAAGGTTAGGGCAAACAACATAAATAATTACGCAGATCAAATTTACTTCCATATATTTCTGAACGTCCCTTGAGCCGCTTTACTTTCCGTCTACGTCTGCACAAAAGTGCATCCAGCGAATTATCCCGAGTACAGTAATTCTGTGTATCGTATTGCTTGACAGTCCGTACTCCGTAGTTTTTTTTTCGTACTTGAACGTGCCGCACTCATTAACGTAAGTAACGCTCATATATATAACAGCCCATGGCGGTTGATGATACAGAGCGAGTGGCGTACAGGCACATCCTGTACTGTACACCCACACGTCGGGTCAACTGCTATTAAATTTGAAAGGTAATCGATATTAACCTTTAAAGCTTACATCAGATGCTAAAAATGGTAGCTAAACTCACTGAGTGCTGATCGTACATCCAGACGACCTGTCATTTATTATTTATGGTCCAACTAACAATCTGTCTTGTTTTCATAGACCTTTTGTTTCTTACTATTTCTACCCGTAGTTTTCCTAGAATGTTTTCTATGGGAAATTGCAGCGCCTGTCGTCGGTGTAAAACACCGACACCGAAAAACAGAAAATTTCTTTTTACTGTAATATCCCAGACAAAACTGTGAAAGCGGAAGTTGCGGGACTGAATATTGTACATCGTAAACTTGTAAAACCCAGGTGCAGTATATACTTTTGTACAGAAAACAGCATACAAAAATCAAGCCAAGCTTTTCGAGACTAGCTGGAAAAAACTGCACCGTTATCTTAAGCTGCCCCGTGACCTTGTCGTGACCTTTCATTACTTGACTTTCTTCGTTAGGTTGTGCAGTTGTTTTAACTCAACGGTATTACATTCCGATGCCACTGCTTCTTTCCAACATCGTCACAAGAAGATTAACTTGGTCATGTAATCACCAATCATGTAAACGTCCGCACCGGTGTGCGTATATATGTGTACTTTATACGCATTCTCCGACGCGGGATTACTCTCACCGGTAGTGCTTATTTGCCGATAGTTAACCGACAAAGTACACAATGTCGCTTTAAACGTTTCTCTCATAAATCCTGGGAGCGCTAACAAAAGAATCATGGTCGAGGTAATCGATGATAAAACACACTACCACGGAAGCTATTTAATATTGATTTTCTTTCGTTTCTTTCCCTGTACCCAGCTAGATATAATGTACTGTGCAGGCGCAACGCGCATATCTTATTCAAAATCCTTCCAGACGCGTCTCTCTCCCTCCCTGGATAATCAAGAGTGACCGCATCTTCCACGATTCGCACACAGGGAGAAAAATCGCTTTAAGATTTTCCACGACTCATCGAGGCAGTCTTAATGGTACAATACCTGGGATTTGAAAAGGGGAAAAACGGCCTCGAACAGAGTCGGCGTTATTTACATACAGTTGCTCATTGCGCGCGCGCGTTGTCCACATATTGTTATCGAATTATCGATCACACCGGTCGGTCGCCGGGTTTAATAACGCCGGTGACGCCCGAACACCGGGGTTTTATCAAAAGCCGGCGTAATGAAGCCTAATAAATCGATATAATAACCAGAAGGTGATCCCCCGGCCCCGGCGTAACGCTTCTCAATTGGCAACTTTTAACACGTCTCTCTCCACAAAATGCCTATGCCCCGCTTTTTTATACCACCGGAAATGTCCCTCTAAGCGGCCATAACACGCAAATTTTTTCTCCTGCGCATCGTGCCATTATTCCGCCATGCCGCTTTGTATATAATTAAGGCCGTAATGTTTTTCGTCAGGAATCGTTTAAATTCTGCTGTGTCTTCTTATTATCATACTCTTTAGTTTCTTCCTGCATATGATGCCGGTGTGAAATGCTAATGCGGCGCATCGGGTGGCGGTTGATTGTTTTGATTACTGCTATACTGATGCATGGTCAAGCGGCGCGTGCGGCCTATCAGTTCAATGTGTGCCTCATCGTCGAACGCGGTACAAATGGGAAGTTGTTCTACGATTTTGACCGATCCCGTGCCGCGGTGGATCTAGCGGTGGCCTACGCCAATGATGTGATATTACCGCAGAATTTCTCACTCCAGACCATCTTTAAGGATATCGGCTCGACATGCACGCCGAAGAATCACGCCATGACCTATGTTATTCAACTAAGGGACGCCGGCATTGACTGTGATGTTTTTATTGGTCCAGGTGACGTTGTGAATTATGGAACGTGTTATGCATATTATAATTTTTATTTTATTTTTTCGTATTTTTGCATTACAGTACGACAGATTATTAAACTTTAGTTGGTTATTTCAGTTTTTTTGCATATAGCTCAGTTCATTTATTTCAGATTTTAGTACAGCACTTATAAGGTGCCCGAATCCATATAATTATATGCATTTTATACCTTATATGTAGAATACTGCGCAATGCGCATATTACATATCTGTACAGTACTTGGCGAAACAATTTTGGTTGTGTAACAAACTGCTTGGTACAACACCGAACCGAACATGTAACTACACAATTTTAGCGTATAAATATTGCTGTCTAATGTGTTTTGCTGTTTTCGGTAATTAGCTAAATGTACAATGTTGTCCTTACATGCTGTGGTATATCGAGCAGCAATTTCCCGTGGGCATAGCGCCATGACGCATTTGGAGCTTACTTTGCAAATATGTAATATCTATATGTGTAATAATAATGGTATTTGCGGATCACTGAAGTTTACTTAAAAAAGTTCTCTGCAGCTAACAGTACAATGCTAGAAAATTCCCAAGATGGATATACAGCTCGCATATAGCGCATCCCAGGTTCAGACAATCGTTTAAGCTCCACTAAAAGATAATTATTCAGAAAGTCCCTAGTATAAGTAAAAATTTATTCTGAACAAATCCATGTCAAATCAGACAACTACCTCAGTTACAACCGCTGTGCTTCGAATTCGATCTCGAGATAATTTCCCAGAAGTAGCTAATATTTTGCTATCTCAATACTTTGTAATTTGCAAACATAATGATAGTCGCAATACTGGCATGCGAGGCTTTGGTGCAAACCAGCTGATTGGAAAAGCGGAGAACTACTGTGAGGTATTTCCCAAAACTCAGTCAGTGTCCTTAAGTGTAAATTGTGTCCGGTTATTGATTACATTAAATTTTTAATAGTGTTCTCGTTACTAGCACCTTCATTATGGGAAATTTGGAGATATAACGCGAGAATTTCGTCGAATGCTCTTATAGTTAGCACATGAGCTTTCAGCACGTACGCTCCAGTTTAGGACCTTTCATCGACAACCTTCCCAGTTGCAATTAAATAACAATGCTCAACTCATTTATCGTCGTAAACTGCCGACGCAGTCGGCTTTTAACCCCGAAAATGCAGTAACAATTATGGACGCTCAGTTAGCGTACCGAACATGAAGTAAATTAATTATGCATTTTGTTAACTATACACTGCTTCCCGGAAACGGAAACGATTTAGAGTTATATCAAATAGCGGCGATTTCCCTAAATTATACCTCCGTTCGTTGTGACGCAACAATCACACCGACGAGCCTCCCGAAATCTTCAGCAACTGCATAATTACAAAAAACTTTTTCTTGAAGGCATTACTATTACTGGTCTTTTTGCTCGGGCACATACACATTATTTTCTAATTGCCGACATCCCACTAGATGATCCGACAAAATTTCAATTTTTTCCGCAGTCTATAGACGTATGTGTAAATTTAAAAAGCGGTGAAAGATGTGTGGGATCTTCAAAGTTATGCATTGAGAGCCTAATAAACAATTTTGAATGATTTTCTCTCGCATATGCAGCACACGCAAATCGTAATCATGCAGTTTTCTGCGATCATGTTTGACTGCGAATTTGTCCCGATTATTTCGGTGCTCGGCATGTGAAAAATTTACAGACTTACGTATGTAGTACACGTAACAAAGAACCATATCTTTTATCCTGTTGACATTAATAAGTTATAATTTTCATTCACAACAACCAACGTGCAGCTGCTTATAACCGTGCATTTTCTTTCACGATGTACATATGCTCGTAGGTTGTGGATCGGCTGCCGAATCAATATATGATTACGTGGCTTACTACAAAATCCTCATGATCGGCTGTCCATGTAAGTATGCTGCCAATCTTACAATTAATTGTACGATTATATTTAGTACTCCTTTCATCGCTGTCGGATACCGGCATTCGTCACGTTTCGCGAAATCTCAACTAATTATATAGGGGGCAAAACTAAACGTGTTCCACCGTTTCCGGCTACTGCTGCCGTCACCCGGATGGAGTTTTACGTTGTGGCTGAACATGGTGCTTATGTACCGCGCCAGATTTAACCATATGTATTGCCGTAACGTCACACTCCAGGCGGGTGACGGCAGCAATACAGGGGAACCGTGGAACACGCTTAGTTTTGCCCCCTATATTAGTTACGCATTACGTATCCGTACTGGATGTAGAGCACGGCGGTAGGAACGCCAGACATTTAAACTGTACAGAGTACATGTCATGTTTCGCACAGTAGTAATTAGTTTTACTCGTATATGTGGTACAAATATTATAATAATATTATTACAGGTTTTTTTATTGTAAATTGGGTACCGTATTCGCATTTATCAGTGTACGAGAGATATGTACAGAGATATGTACAAGCCTCTTGAGATTCGGCAAAGCTGTTTCGAAGATCGCAGCATTGGTGCATTTTTTTTAAAATTTTAATATTTTGCGTACCGTCAACAGTCACTGTCGAGAAGTTTTCTGGATGTAATACCGAAACCTAAAAACACTGGTAAAAAACTTAAACGAACCGGCCACCAATTTTCTTTGTCCTACTGTTTGGTAGCCTTAATTTGACCAATGCCTAGTTGCAAATTTCACCTCACAATTAGAGCCCCAGGGATATCCAGCAAACTCTAACGGTAGCCGTCACCAGATGGCGGATTCACTGCTTTTGCTGTTTTGGGCATGTGAGTCCGACTTGCGTTCTTCAAGACGAAATTCGTTTGTTATGTTTAAATATGCAATCAAGTATGCACAGTTGCACATCCGTAGGGTCATCGGTTTATGCCTCAACATGAGCCTAATCACCATCCGTTCAGTTTCAGTTGTTTTCATATTTCAGCAGTCTTGATTTGGTTGAGAGGTTTGCATTTGGTATACTATTCTAAGTTTCTAACACCAATCGAATTATCAACGTTGCCCAAAACAGACAACCGCTTTCAAGTTTGTCCTTTCATAATGAACCTCGAGTTCGCGAGGCTGCAGAACATGGCAGATTTCGTGATTCTCCAAGTGTGGTCATTCTTTTGCAGCGGCTGGCGTCGGTATCGCCGCCTCCCTGGACCAGTACCCCTACCTGGCCCGCATCTCCATCACCCACCAGAACACCGCGTCGGTCCTGATCTCCTTCCTCCGTCGGCAGAAGTACACCAGTGCCACGATTCTGGAGGATCAGGATAACAGCTTCTACCAGCAGCTGTCGGCCATCATGGACGGCCAACTGGAGAAGGCGCCGGATCTGTCGCAGAACACCAAGCAGACCGCCATCTACTCCACCACCATCACGGATGACCAGATCAACAATCTGCTCACCAGCAATATCGCCCGCTCCCGAGGTAAACGTCTAGCCGACATTTTGCTGTGTGATGGCGCGGTTATCGCTGTGTAATGATACATCGCGGTGTGAAAATCGATGCACATCGGAATTCTTGTTTATTCTGCAGTTTTCCTGCTGCTGGCGCCGTCCGTCACCGTCCGCAGAATAATGGTAAAACTAATAAACATTTTTTATGTTGCCGTTTTATCGGTAATTAAAGTAGATATCACAATTGTTTTACCAGTGCAGTAGTGTGAAAATTCAACGTAAGCCGCAAAGTGACATTTTTAAAAAAATTTTATTTTTGGTTTGACACTGTATCCGAATAATTGACGCACCGCTTCCTTGGATGACATATTCAGAAACCATTGGAACGAAAGCCGATAGTGCACAATGCTGCAGATTTGTTGACATAAACCGATGTTAAAGTGTCTCGGTAACATTAAATATGACATGTTTACACAGAGAAAATCATGAATGGTGCATAATTATTTATTACAACACAATCGTGTCATTTTTGAAAATACCCGGGATATTGGTCCTGGGTTCCGCCATGATTTGTATACTACTTGATCTTTATGGTCTGCTGCAGATTGCCGCCAGTGGACTGGGAATGACATCCGGTGATTACGTAAGTTATGCATTAAACGATTAACCGGGATTGTTGTGTTAAAAACGTTATCAGGTTTTGAAAAACATTCGAATTGTGTTCCTGTAATTCGGCTAACAGTGGATTTCTAATTTCTGCAGGTCTATCTGTGCGTGAACCTGTTCGACAGTACAACTTGGGGAAATTTTTCGTACGCAGCCGGCGATGGACTGGATGATGTAATTCACCATTCCGGTTAAACAACTGAATTATTTTAATTATTTTGTGTTATTTTTTATTGCAGGTCGCAAAAGCTGCTTTCCAGTCCATGCTGATGGTCTCGTTAGACCTGCCAACCACCGTGCAGTACGATATTTTTGCTCAACAAGTGGTGAAGTTGTCAGCGCAGAACTATGGTTACGTCTACAATTCCTCGCAAGATGTAGGTTCTTACCATAATCATGGAATTTTTTGCCTTTACGAGAATCGATTCACATGACTGTGTCTCTCGTCAAGGTGGACATTATCACCAGCCACTTCTATGATGCCGTGATTATGTATGCCAACATGATGAAATATATAATCAGGAATAATATGGATTATACCGACGGCAGTCTAGCGGCACAGCTGACGAACAACTTCAATTTCACCAGTCCCGTCAGTCAGCTTGTCAGTCTGAATTCAGCCGGTGATCGCAGCAGCAATTACGTCATCAGGAATTTTGATGTTGTCAAGCAGGATTTCGAAGTCAGTCGTCAATGCCGCATTAATAATGCCATTGCTAATTAAATCCTACGCTGTGATATTATTCCAGCTTTTCCTCTCCGTTCTCGCTAACGGTGACCTTTCGCTGCTGGGACAACTCAGCTGGCCGGATGGCCGCCCTAGTCTGCCGCCAAATACACCGTATTGTGGATTTCTGGGAGAAGAACAGAAATGCGTTTACCGTAAGTATTCGATATTTGGAATTTGTATTTGTGATTATGGTAACACTGATACTGTAATAGCAATTAACTTTTCGATCGAGAAGGTAAGATTCCCAAGTACTACTTCTTCTATTATAACCAAAACACGAGTTATTAAGACGGGAGATGGCTATTTAGCATAAGGTTTAAGGATAGCATAAGAGCAAAATTTTGCTTACAAGTAAACATAATTAATTATATACACGAGTATATGAGGAATGATTGATACATATTTTCTACATCATAATTTGTTTTTACTTGATTGTCTTATATAGATATGCCAAAAAGCGCTCTCGCCGCTGCCGTTGCCATTCCCGTCGTGCTGGTACTTGTCGGCAGCATCGCGGGAACCATCCTCGTCCGACGGTAACACTTAAGCAATTGAGAACACGTTAATTTGACTAATTTTCGCTATCTCATTGCTTACCTACAGCTTGTTATTAACCTGGAGTGCGTTGTTTACTTACGTTTTCAGTTAAAGGAGTGTCTCATCTTATATCCAATTTTCTTTTTGAAGTATGGGTTTGCTCAAACGGGAGATTAACGAATCAGTGTTCGCTGCAGGTACCTCAACTCCACTCAAGATCCCTTCTGGTGGAGAATCTTCGAGCACGAGATAACGATTGTCGGTGTGGGCCTGAAATCGGGAGCTAGCAGCCAGTTTGCATCGAACATGCAAAGCAAACCATCGTTAGGCGTAAGTTTCCCAGAAGTACAGGAAGACGTGATGCAGCCAAAACCGTACCCATTGTTTTCAAATGCTGAATATAAAGTCATAAAAATAAACCTATAGCAATTAGCTAATTGCTGATTAGCATACCCATTAGTTTTTGATTTCGTTAACTTAAAACTGTACCTTCTCAAGATTGTTGCGTAATCGGAAGGATAAAATCAAACTATGCACACACCTTCGCATCTTGGGCACGTAACAGTAATTGTGAATTGATGTGATTGTATGCGCAGGCCAATCAAGACGCCGAAACGAAGAGTGTTGATGAGAAAAAGGAAGACGCAATGTCCGTTGCCTCTAATGCTGTGGTCAAACGGGCAACGTACAATGGATCAACGGTGGGATTACGGGAACTACCGGAGCCGAAACAACGTGTTAGCGGAGCACTGGGGAAGAGCCTTTTACCGGTACGCTGCCGTTAAACTTGTCCTTGCGCAGTTTGATGCTTAAATGGTAATTACATCTAAATGTTTTACAGATTAAGCGCATACAACACAACAACGTTCTCAAGTTTTATGGGATCGTTATCAGTGATGACAATACATGCGAAAGCGTCGTCGGAGACTTGTGTTCCAAAGGATCTCTGACGAAACTGCTGTATCGCGACCGGATGCAGTTAGACTGGAATTTCAATTGTGCCTTATTTAAAGATCTTACTGCAGTGAGTGACGATGATTAACGGAAACCTTGTTAGAGACTTTGGCGCTTTCATCACCTTAATTAGTTCGTTGTAAATCACACTGCTTTTCGAACACAAGCTGCTTCTTTATTGGAAGGACCATAGTACGCGTTGAGAAAACTTTTCGCGTTAATGTTGGAAAAAAAGTGTGGGGATATTCAGTTGTGCCCTTTTTATGTAACTGGTACGATAGCATACAGAGTTGGCCAAGTAAAAATTATGTGGCATGTGACCCATTGTAAACCTTGTATGAACTTGGATAACCGATAAATTTTTTTCTGTATTTCATAACGGGCGTTTCCGTTCGTGCTACAAGGTCACATTTATCGGCCGTGCTATAACCAGATCGATATTTTTAACCGCTTATTCAAATACATTAAATCAATTTAAATCTACGGTAGGTCAGAAAACGCTTTGTGTCTCACCATAAAAATGCACCTTGTTTGCTTGAAAAAATCCATCCTTGGTGAATCACGGAGAAGATTAGGACATCTTATTATTTTCATTTCGCACTTGGTTTCGTGCAACTGCAGCACGGTGCTGAGCAGTTGAGTCCGACTAGGTAGATTCTTTATCTTGTATCTGTTCTGTAGCGTTTTTAGTTATTGTGAATTTCTTTGTAAATCTACTCGCAAATACAGTAAAGATCAAGAAAGGGTAGCTAACACCCATAGTTCTTGCTCCGATAGTTATCCCTTTCTTTGTACAGGGTTTTGCACCTCTAGTACACTGCAATTTTATCTGTGATACGTATATATGTTTAAATTAAAGCGCTCTTATTTTTGGTAGTTTTACTTATTTTTGGGTTTCTGTGTATGTGTAAGTTTGGACATATTTTTGTACTTATTGCTTTCTTGCCCATATTGCAGGGAATGAACTATCTTCATCTGTCAAATCTGCAGACACATGGAAATTTATCGTCACATGTGTGCCTTATAGACAGTAACTTTGTTTTAAAAATTGCCGACTACGGCCTGGGGCATTTCCGGACGGACGAAGAACTTATGCCGATATTTGACAGCGATGAAAATCGCGATTTTACCAAGTTATTTTGGAGATCGCCTGAATTGCTCAGAATACGAATGCCTCCACAAGGGACACAAGTAATAAATCCTTTTTATGTTCCTTTTTGCTTGTTAATGACAAATCCGCTCTTTTATTTCCTTGCAGAAAGGTATGAAGATTCCTGCAATCCACTTTTTCTGCAAATCTGAAATTGATGACAGCGATAGTTTCGTGCATTCTTGTATCCTTCATTTGTAAAAATCTTGAAGAACTGTCGTTGCAGGAGACATATACGCTTATGCCATTATCCTGCAACAAATTGTGCTCAGAACCTTGCCATTCAGAAGTCCCGATGCCAGTAAAAACAATCTTACACCTAAAGAAATTTTACTTGAGGTTAGCGAAAACCAAACGTGCAGCCTTGTATGTCGGATTGTCGGCATTTTACATACAGGAAATCCAGTCAAACAGGAAAATTCAATGTTACAATATCTGTAATAGGAAACTGGTTATACTATGTGGCTTTTTGTGATTGGATATTGTTGAAAATATTTCTACAAAGTTTTCCTACTGGATTGTCAAAAAACCATTAATGCATTTGACCGCCCAGTACATAACCGCGCGATTTCTCGTAATTCAGTGCGACGAACACAAAACGCAGTATCGACGCTCTGGATATCATTAACAAACTTGTATCCGGAAATCTCCAGTTCTCAAGTTTAACAGCCCCTCAAGTAGGCCGCCATTGACGCTGTAGTACATAGTAAACGACTTTGGAGGAGTGATCCGCCTGTTTGATCGGGCCTGTCCTTTCTCTACGGACACAAAAGCCAAAAGGCAGAATATGTCCGGGTGTTAATTTGTTGTGTGTTGTAGGTAAAGAAAGGCACAATGCCGCCTTTACGGCCTCGAGTGCCCATCTCCTCCTGTCCGCCGGCCTTTGTCGACCTAATCGAACAGTGCTGGGATGAGAACCCTCTCAGTCGGCCGCCCTTTATCCGGATCCGCGAAACACTCTTGAAGATCCTTGGCCGCTCCGGCGACAATATCGTCGATAATCTTATCCGCTCCATGGAAAAGCATGCTGCGCAGCTGGAGTACGAGGCCGACACGAAGATGCGCGAGTTCATGGAAGAGAAGCGCCGGTCGGACGATATTCTGAGCCAGTTGTTGCCCAAGTAAGTGCTTTCTACTTGTAGCATCACATTCCTATTCTATACGAAGTTCTTACAAAATCAAAGCACGCAACTTACATTACACGCAATACGCACAAAGCTCCTTTCTTGTACATAGATTGTATTTGGTGGGATTAATGTAAACATGTAATCGCAGTTTTATAATTGCGCGGTTGCCTTTCTGATTCGGTTTTTACAATGACTACATTACAATTGTTTTCTAGGTTTGCGTATGTTAATCGTGTTCCACTTGCAGAAACGTGGCTGCTGCTCTGGCTAAAGGTCAAATCCTTCAGCCGGAAACGTTCACCAGTACAACGGTGCACTTTAGTGACGTTGATGGTTTTGGTGATCTGGTGGCTGAAGCCGTCCTACCCAAGGACACCATCGCCATTTTAAATACTTTATACTTGACCTGTGATAGTTGCGTGGAGAAGTACGATGTGTACAAAGTGGAAACCGTTAAGGATGCCTATCTGGTAAGCCTTCAATTTCTCAGACCCTCCGTTAACCTATAGCTTGTTATTAGATATACAATACTGTTAGTATTACCACTAATACCATTATTAGCGGGCTACTCTGCAGTGTTCTCCTACTCGTAGATTGTTAGTGGTCTTCCGAGCCGCAATGGTTTGAAGCATGCCGGAGAAATTGCCACACTGGGACTAGTGATGCGACGGGAAGTGTCAGCCATTAAATTTGCGGGACTGACTTTTGAACCTAAAGCCAAACTGCGCTTGCGAGTTGGTATTCATTCAGGTGAGCGATTTATTTCCAGCCCAAAAGATATACGAACTGGTAACGCAGCGAAGTGAACAGATCAAGGTTAATATGAGAGGAATACTGCTTTAAAAGCCTCACGAACTTGACATGAGCTAAAATTGGTTGCGTAATACGTAGTACATTTTTACGGTAGATGTGTACTGCACGAATTGCGATCTAAATTAGCTTCAGGTTATTGCTTGTACAAAATTGATCGAATATACTCACAGACAACCACTAGCCCTGCACCACTTCCATTTAGCCTTCGATATATTTAACAACTCCATACAACGCGGTCACTTTTGCCGCATTTGACGGGATTAAGCTCTCTCAACTACCGTTGTAGTCCAGTATAAAGCGTCAAGTTTTTTCATTTTCCCTGACACATAATATGGGTCCCAAGCGTCGGTTAAAACATAGCGAACGATATGACTGTCAGGCTAGTCTGTTTGACTTTCAAGGGTGGAAATGACGTAGAGCTGTAGAGTATTGGGAAGATAGGTCACTGTACATATGGTTGCACTTTGACAACTTAAGCATCAGTATCTACACTAAAAGATAATCCAGACGCCTTCAGATTTACTCCATAAAGGCGTACCGCCTCGAAACCGAAAAGCTTTGTTCTAACGGAATAAAGACTTTTTTCAAAAATCTAGATTTCTCGGAAACGAAGCGTAGCTAGGGTTAATTAACTAAGCATGTATTTCCGGTCTCTTATCTGGAACTTTTTTCCCAGATATTGGTGCTTTATGGGTAATACTTGCAAAATGTACAGGGAACAGTTGTTTGTCTGCCCACTGCATTGGTACATACCGATCGAGTCCTGCTCAGGTCTGAACGATTGCTTCCAGTCCTTAATTTCCGCTCGCTTTCTCCGCTTTTTATTGTAATGACAATTTCCGTGAGGTTGGGGTGCCAGGATGGGATTGTTTGATTAACTGCTTGGGAAAGTAGCGGGATTGTGCATTTCTTGTCTCCTTTCAGAAGAATTATAATATCTATATAATTACAGGCTTTACATCGTACAATAGATTTTCAAACTTCTACCGATAGATTAATATTGGTCAGCACTACCATAACAAAAAAGTGATAACCAGAAAAATGCACATTAATTTTGTGCATTGGCAGACCGAAGCGGTGCATTTTTTTAAGAACGTACGAATGCACATACAAGTATGCTGCATCTCCATGCTTATCGGTAAAGCACTGAATAAACTTATACAGTACTTTATTTATTAAGTAACAATGAATTTGTTAAATGACTTTGCAACAAACGCACGTAACCCACTTCCAGCTTTTTTTGGAAATGGCTGTAGTTACTGGGCGTAACAGACGGACATTCATTTTTGCGTTTTCGCTGAATAAGATCTTCGCTGTGCTCCGGCCGAAAATGTGGATTTTATGTGGTGCAACATAATTAAGGAAAACAGTGGTTCTTTTGTTGTTCGTTAATTATTGCAAAACAATTGATCGTCCTTAAACATTAACAACTGATTGTGGCGGCACTGAAACACGATTGGTCGATCGGAGGCTCAGTAGAAGTGTTCATATCGCAACTGATTGACCGACTGATCAATTTGAATATCTTGTTCCATTAGGACCATGTGTTGCTGCGGTCATTGGAACAAAAATGCCCCGTTATTGTCTGTAAGAAAAACCGCTGATGTGCATTTTGCTGTAGATTTTCCTAATATCGAATTGTTTTTTCAGTTTTGGTGATACTGTCAATACGTCCAGCCGAATGGAATCCCATGGAGAACGTATGTGCCGATTCATGTATTGGTGTACAGTATATTTCTGTGTTTTGTTTGGGGAAATTGCTTACCAAACGGTTGTTATCGCAGCCGGAAAAATTCAGTGCAGTTTATCAACAAAAGAAATACTGGATAAACTTGGTGGATACATCTGCTTTTCCAGAGGGGAAATTGAAGTTAAGGTAAATGCGATAATTACCCATCATGCAGTGCAGTTGTCGATTGACCGACGATTAGGTTTTTCCTTCTGGAACGTGTTATCTTATTTTGCATTTTTAATTTTTGGAAGCACTGCTTTGCTGATTTGTTGAGTTATCAGCACCAATGTGGTGCATGCAGTGAGATCTTATTACGTTTTGCCTATATGAAAATCTGATCGCTTTGGCATGGGCAAAACAGTACCCTGGACGTTTCGAACTGTTTTAATGATGCTACCATAATTGTTTTACGAGTATCAATGTTCACTTAAATCAAACTTCTGAAATTTGTTTAGTTTCGTTGATTTGATTTTTGTATTTGATTTTATTGTGTTTATTTTAAGTTTTTATCTTCAGTACGTTACTCTCCGTCGTTTTGGTTAATTTTTGAGTTTCAGTAAGACTTTACATTGCGCACCGACGGTACCGTTTTAATTTAAAATATAAAAATGAAATCTTTTCGCTTTTGCAGGGTAAAGGATTGATGGAGACGTTTTGGATTGTGGGCAAAGATAGCGATTAAAATTTTTTTCGTTCCTTTCTGCACAGTTGGAATAAGAATATCTGTGTAAAATTTTTCGTTCTCTATAAATACGGATAACGGATAATTGGTTCGTTTTACGGATAACGGTAAATGATTTCATCTGGGGTGACTGATACGATTTGATATGTGGATGCTAAATTCGGCTACGGTCAGTGTCGTTGTGGCCTTAATATTCAACCTCTCCGCGCTCTCCACAACTTAAAATCGACTCATGCTTAATGTATTTTTCATAGTGGCCTTAATTTACAATAAAAGATGATAAATTAAAAAAACGTTATGAATACCTTGATGGGAATGTCGATGCTTGAAATGTGGCACAACTTCATCGAACATTGACATTTCTGGCGGAAGGGTTTTCGAAATGTTGCTGGTTCCATTAAAAACAAGCGCGTAAATAATTAAATTTTAAATTACCGTGCCCTTCCGCATTGTAAAGCGATGAAATATGGATTCGATAATTGACCATGAATATTACGAAAGCTGCGGAATGAGTTCACTTTTGGCAAAAAGTCGCTGCGTTAGGTATCGGTGTGTACAACGATATGCAAATGCAATAATGCACTGTTTATATAGAGTGCCGGTATTTGATTATTTAATCAATACCCATGTGCGCACATGATTCCAGTCCCCAACGGGCAATTGTTTCTTTAGGAAAAACTTTGATGGTTTAATTACTTTTTTCGTAAATTTTTTTAAAGATAACCTGTAATTTGTATTTTTCAGAGAAATTGAATTCGCATTTGTATTTTTCACGTGCAAACTCAGGAATACGTATGAGTATCTGTATAAACAATCGATCACGTAAGACTTTGAATTAATTATGTGTCCGCTTTTAGAACAGGAAAGTCAAAAATGACCTAGCAAAAAAAAACTGTTGAAAAATGCAAAACAGCTTTCCCTACTTAGCACATGGTGTCCCTTTCATCTGTGGAAAGGATAATTATCCGGCAGCCCTTTTGGGCATTTGTATACTGCACGCAGCCAATACTGGTCATGCATAATGTAATGGCACTAAGCTGGTGTTGGTTTACAAAACAAACACTACATGCGCGTATAATACAAGAATAACGTTATATCCACCGACGGCTGCTGCAGCTTGTCAATGGTATTTTCATTGTCGAGTAGTCTTAACACTGACAAAGTTTTTTCTCACCCGTTCAATCCGTGGGATCGATACACTGCAGCCCGCCGACAGGTGGGGGGACGTTGTGATGCCAATAAAACGCGGCCGTTTCGTGCCCATTATCATGACAGCGTTTTGGAGTTTTAGCTGGTTACTTATCGCACAACGCGTGTGCTGTATACTTATTGCCATATACTATCCCATTAAATTAAGTGTGCACTCCAATTAAGCAGGGATGGGCCGGTGGGCCGCTAATTACAATGTCGAACACCTATATATACACCATGTCCAGAATGTTAAAGCGTCCTAGACACAATACCAAGCGTGTATTATGCCGTGCCGGTATCATGTTGCGCTGGATGGTTTTGGTATGGTCCACACTGCCACTGGTCAGCATGGAGACGCTGCTGGCGTGTTTTATGTCGGAAGGCGGTAGTGATGATCTGTTTTATAATTATCAGCGGTCCGCCGCGGCCGTGGAGTTGGCGCTGGAGTATACGAATCAGGTTCTGCTGCCGGGAAATATCACTATACAGCGGCTGCACGTGGATCTGGGTCCCACATGCCCCGATAAAGTGCATGTGGTCAGTTATGCCATGCAGCTGATGGAGAGCGGTATCAAGTGCGATGTCTATGTTGGACCGGGTAAATAAATCTAGAAACTTTTGCTGCACGAAATTACTGCTGACTGATTTATAAAAAATTATGAATTTATAAAAAAAATGAATTTAAAATGAATGAATGAATTTATAAAAAACCCGTGATTGTCAGACTTGAATTTCTTGGTGTATCATCTTCATGGAAATTTATCTAGCTGTTTTTTCTAATAATCAAATATTTTTAATATTTTAAAAATCAATCTGACTATATAAATTGCACCCGGATCCGAATGATATTGTACTTTGTATTAATACCGGCATTTAATTATTGGTCGTATGCATACACTACAATTTACAAATCTCCGCATTTCAAAAAATATTTCCTTGAATGGTTCTTTGTGGCATCACAAGTTCACAATTGTAAGGGAGTTGCATTGAACAGAAATTAATTATACCGATGGAGCTTAACGAAGCCGTGCAGTGCAACCGTGCTTTGTCAATAAAATGATTTTATCAGTGGACATATCTGTGCATATCGTGATACGAAAGCCATAACGTTTTAAAATTAATAATGTTGAGTATGCGGCTATCGCGTGGTAGAACGTAGGTCATACAAGAGCAGTGCAGTGGCTAATAGCGGAAATTCACAATAACGTACGTATGTGCATGCTGCGCATATCCCGTTAAAATGCGTCAAGAAATGTAACAAAAAAGGGTTAATTTTTTCCCTTAAAATTTTAACAGTTTTTTCTTCAGTTTATGTAGTGGAATTACGCAGCAGAAAGCTATATTGCGTCATATTATCTGCATCTTGACAAGGTAGTAAATCTGACGAGACATTTTTTCACAGGATGCAGTGCCGCAGCGGAAGCATTATACGATATTGCCACCTACTATAAAACTTTAATCATCGGCATGCCAGGTAGGATAAGTAGAGCCTATTTAGTGTGCGGTGGGGGCACTTTTCCGGCGATTAAGTAACACAAACGCAAAAACTGGCTTATTCTAACCGTTCCCTATTCAACTTCGTATCAGCCGTTTACGGAACTTTTAAAGCGGCAAAAATCAGGTTTAGGATTACTTAATCTTCTTAAATCAAAATTACATATATGACATAATATTAGCTAATTTTTGCACTTATTTTTTAAATTGCACTGACTGAAATTTTCAGCAGATGTAGCTCGAAAATTTAATTGCTCGGAAATATGTATGTTGACAATTTCGGCGCGATTTCTTTATCCTAACCCGATTGCTTAGCCGGTGGAGTGGGGACGCTGGCACCGAAAAAAGACTACTCGTATCTGACACGTATATCCCTGACACATGTCAACACCGCACAAGTCCTTCTCCGGTTTCTCCGCTGGCGCAACTACACCGACATCACCATTATTCAGGATACGGCGACCAATTTTTACCAGCAAATGGGCATGGTCTTCCAGATTATTTACGATTCCGACGCCATGGACTTAGCCGTTACCACTAAATGGCGGATGATTAATTCCAGTAATGTGGACGAGGTTGGCACGAAACAGTTTCTGGAGGAGAATCAGAACCGCTCCAGAGGTGTGGTGTTTATTTGAACGGCTACAGTAGCGTTAGTTAAGAAGTCCATATAATCCAATTTGTTGCAGTGTTTCTCTTATTGATGCCATCGGCGGCACTCCGAAAACACATGGTATACAAACGGAACTATTGATTAACTCTGTACTGCACCTTTTTTACGAATTTCACCTTTTTCTATGCATTGCAGATATGGGCGGATAAGCTGGGAATGACTAATGGGGAATATGTAAGAATAACATCGAGCGGTATTTTTGCTTAAAAGCCGACTGGAAATGGCAAATAAATTACAAAAAAATAATCGAATTAATCTATAGTTTAAAAAAGGTAAAATTAATATTTCTTTCTTTTACAGTCGTCAGTAGTTTCATTTCGAAGTCAACTGGGAATGGCAAATAAATTCCAAAAAAAAATTAATCGAATGAAATCTATAATCAAAAAAGGTTAAAATGGATATTTTCATTTCCAGCCGTAGTAATTGTTTTATGAAATTTAAGGCGGGTGTTGTTGTTTCTGCGAATCGAATATATTTATGTAGGTATACGTCGGAGTTAACATATTCCCGAGCCGGATTTGGGGAAACTTCTCATCCGAAGTCGGCGGCAAAAACGACGAGGTAATAAAATATTGTGCGCGGTTTGTTGTTCCACCTGTGCCTTGTCCAACCGTCACTGCACAAATGTGATGTTTGAAGGTGGCGAAGAATGCTTATCGATCGCTGTTAATGGTTGGCTTATCTCTCACTTCCGGCGGCTCTTACGAAATGTTTTCTTCCGCTGTCAAAAAATTATCCACCACAGTGTACAATTATACATACAAACCGGAGGATGAGGTAGGTTTTTGTTGTTGTATATTGATTTTTAACAGGGTTTTTTGTCGTATATCCAAATAGATTCATTCCATCTGTCGTCATGAATTACCGTTTTTAATGGAAGGTTTCTGTTCCCTATTCGACTTTTATTATTTACCGGCACTCCACATTATGATCATAATGACGATTTATTTGTTATATGGTTGTCTTTGTTATGGCGACAGATGGCGACAGCAAACGAAACAATTTTTTTAAATACTAGCTAGCACTTTGAATTTACGTAGAAACCGTTTTTCTTTTTTACGAGTACATAATTACTGTATTATTCTGTTCAATCACTATTTTTTAAATGTTTGCCTTACCAGGGCACATTTTCCGGGTCCAAATTCAGAAAAATCTGATCTTTGGCAGGAACATAGTATACCATCGTAGTGTATAAAAAAAAGTAATTTCAGCTGCTGACACTCAAAGGGCGTGGCCAAACAAAATTAATTAGTAAGTAATAGTCCATACTATTGCACTGCACTAGTGTAGTACTCAAACAGCTGTTTGTATCAGTGTAATAATAAGTAATAAATCAGGAACTCATCTTCTGCCGAATGACAGTGTACGACTACAGCACGCTTAAAAAATAATGAACTTTAATATTTAACAAGTTTCGGGAGCACACTGCACACAGTGAGGAAATTAGCAAAATCCAGAATCCAAATACAGTGACAGTATGAGGTACGTACTGTTGCACTACCGCAAAGAATCGCAGCCACAGAATGGTTTTTCTACTGTGTCGTCTTAACGTTCGCACATGAAATTTTCCATTAACCATAATGTGGCAAAATGTAACGTTTCTGCAAGAGGTGAAACTTTCCTGATATGCTTATTTTATAAAAATGCTACGTTTCTGCAAGAGGTGAAACTTTCCTGATATGCTTATTTTATAAAAAGCCTGTGCGGGTATTGCGCTAGTGCATTGTAGGAGCATGCAGTATTACTCACTTATTAATTTTGTTTGGCCCCGCCCTTTGGGTGTCAGCAGCTGAAATTATTTTTTTTAATATACTACGATGGTATACTATGTTTCTGCCAAAGATCAGATTTTTCTGAATTTGGACCCGGAAAATGTGCCCTGGTTAGTTTAAAAAAGTTTTGAAGACTTGAGTACTTCACTTTTACATTATTCAAATACGCACTCTAAAGTGTGGTAATTTATTTATGTAAAATGTTAACATTGTTTTATTCGGATCCAGGTGAACATCGTAACCAGCCATTTCTACGACTCAGTTATCTATTATGGATCACTCATTCGTGATGCGGTTAATGCCGGGAATGATTACCGTGTCACCGAAAACCTTATTGCACTGTATCAGGATGGAAATTATTCCTTCCAGAGCCCGGTGAACGATCTGGTCCATATTAACCAAATCGGCGACCGGCAAAGTGCCTACAAAATCCAAACTTACGATTACCTACGTGGTGACTTTGATGTAAATTATATTAATTTTGTATTGCAACTTTCCAATAAAATCTATTTAGTTTTTTTAAATATCGGCTTCGATTTATGCAAATTACAAATATACGGTAAGTGTAAATTTCTTCTGGAATCTTTTTCCCAAAACTATTCTTTCAAATTTTAATTCTTAGAATTCGTAGTCTAGATTCATAAATCTTATTATTGTTTATTTTTTTTTATTTATGTGTTTGTAACACGATTTTGCATTAATTATAAGAAAAATTTTTACGGTTGAAATATATTTTTGCAAAATAGGATTTTGTGACGGTCACACCCAACTTTGACTTCGTTATCCGCGGTGAGATTTTCTGGCCCTCGGGCAACGCATCCCTCCCGGACAACACCCCAACATGCGGCTTCAAGGGCAATAATCCAGCCTGCATCAAGCGTAAGTGTCCAACACTATAATATGACGAATAATTACCATACTTTCACTCCGTTTTATGACAAGTACCACTTTGCATGACCTTTTTGCAGCCGTACCCCCCGCTACTATCGCCGTTAGTGTGGTGATTCCTCTGGCTGTCATTCTCGCGGGAGTGATTGTGGGAATTGTCCGCTTTCGCAAGTGGGTACTTGTGATACCGTCGCAATAACATACATACACGTATTGATTGATTGTTTTAAATATTGCCGGCGATAATTATCGGCTTCACCGGTCATAGTGCGAAAAACAGTACAGATGGATTATTGATTAGAAAAATATGCGCTGCTTAATGGACGCGGAATTGTTGTTGCTCGATGACCTTCCGGGCTGTAGCGGCTGTGTTCTCTATAGATATGTGGAACGGAATTCCGATCCATTCTGGTGGCGGATATTTGTTACGGAGCTGTCGATTCAGGGAAATACGACCAAGTCTATGGCCGGAAGTCAGGTGGCCTCCACAATCAAAAGCCACGTATCCATGGTAAGTCGCCATTGCGTCATGTGTGAACGTGGATTAAAACTTGTGAATGCATGAATATTGCATGCTCAAGTCAGCACCGCATTCCAGAATAAAAAATGAATCCTCCTTCCTCAAAATTTATTTTCACATTAAAATACGGTGCTGGCGCAGTGAACGAAATCTGATGTTAACAAATTATGATGGCATTTGCGTCTCTTCTGCTGCTGCCGGCCGACAGTGCGTTTGTAGACGTCTGTTATAATTAGAAACCGTTAACGTCTGGAGCTGTTGTAGTGCGTTGGCACCTTGGCGAATCACTCGATCCCCTCAAAATTCGTTACTGTACTGAAAACTTTAGACTTGTCTGAACAAAATAAACTAGTACTACTCGTAGATTCTCTCAAATGTAAGTTTGATTTACCAATATTTTTAGAAAAATTGTCGGCATTAAGTACGAAGTTTGATATGTATCGGATGAAAGTAGACACTTAGCCACCGAACTGTGGTACGCTGATACTCGATAGTATGTACTACTACCGAAATTAAGAATTTATTTCGTAAGTAACACAATTAATACATACAATAGATATATAGAATACTGATACATAATAAATATAATATATTTATTTCTCGATATATGCTTATGTATATTTCTAATATACGTATTTTCTGATGTACTGAATAATTTTTATATTGCCGTAGGTGGACAAGCAATCGGTGAAACAGGATGACGACGCGACGACATATGTCAAAGCCGTATCAACACCTGGAGCACCCATTCGTGCTATTTACAACGGAAATGTCGTCCAGCTGAAACAGCTGCCGGAACCGCGGCTAAGAGTTACTCCCGTTCTAGGCAAAAGCCTCCATTTGGTAATTCACGTTTGGTGAAAATACAGCAGCATTCTTTTTTCTGTCTCCTTTAAAGGACAATTATATATCATTAAAAGCTTTATTATCCAAAGCACTGACTGATAAAATTTTGCTGATATCACATCATAATTTAAAAAAAAAATAAATCTGAAGTCGAACAAATATAAGTTAGAATTAACATGCCAAAAAATTAAGTCATGTACGTAATTGAAATAGCTGGTGCACAATCTCGAGCAGCAGTATTACTGTAAATTATTAATCGTTTTAATGACTGCACTGACCGATTAAATAGATTAAACGGATCCAGCATCAAAATGTGCAGAAATTTTCCGGAATTGCGGTTAATGATGACAACCACTGCGAATTCATAGTGGGGGAAATGTGTTCCAAAGGGTCGCTGACGTTCCTCTTACAAGAGAATCATATGAATCTCGACTGGGAATTTAAAGCTGCCTTGTTTAAAGATCTAACAGCGGTAAGTCGCGTTGTTCGAAAAAACAAGCAATGAGAGGAAATGTATAGTAACTAACAGGGACAAGTACCGTATTTATTTAAAAAACCTATCAGTACTACTGTATTACTCCAGTAAAATAACTTGAGATCGAGGGCTAATGTACATTGTACACATCATTGTGACATCAACGATCGTTTAATTCATCGTATTCTTAGTACGGTATTCAAAATTAATGTAATGCCACTAGGGCGGTTATAACGCTAAACTGAATACGCAACAGAATATTGGAAAACTTATTTATTTATAAGATATATTTCATAATAATTCTTAATTCCACTATAAAATGAATGTTTACATACTGTTGCTTACTAGCCTATTTGTTTTTTAATAATCTTCTGACATTTTCTTCCAACAGGGCATGAATTACCTGCATTCCAGCAGCCTGGTATCCGTGGGCAATTTAACCTCGCATACCTGTCTGGTGGATAGTAATTTTGTCCTGAAGATATCCGAATACGGCATGTACTACTTCCGCCAGGAAGAGGATCTGGCGCCGGTGACCGAGCACGATCGGGAGGGCCGCGATTACGAAACGCTCCTCTGGCGTGCACCAGAACTCATGCGCCGCCACATGCCACCGGAAGGGACACCGGTAAGCGGAAACAGCTCCCCAATATTGACAGACCGGGGTCAGATTTCACAATCTGAAGGTCAATGTTACTATGTAATAGACAAATACAAAAAAATAATGCTGTATTTTTTGTTTTTGCAGAAAGGTACAAACATCTCGTAAAAGGAATCGGCATGCATAGCAAAAGAGGATAGCAAAATTTTACATCAAAATTCATACTTTTCAGACGAGAAATATATGTCGTTCATTAACGGGTTATGTAATTGTTGTAGGTGATGTATATAGTTATTCCATAATTGTCCAACAAATATTGCTCAGAGCACCGCCGTTCCGGAATGGATTTCATGATCCCGGTTTGACCACGTTGCTGGACAGAGAAATTATTATGGAGGTTAGTAACTTAGTAGTACACATAAGAGGCATTTACTCAGTCGATTTTATATCAATTAATAATCACTACATGGCCGGATTTCGCAAGTCCTTAGTGGGTATTCAGGCTGCCCGCGAAAATGTTTGCGAATGCGCGCTGTTCACAACTTTTTTTGAATACTGTTTGGCATTCTGTGGCCAGGTGGCCACATCCCTTAATTGCATGCAGGATATACGTAATAAGAGAATCGTAGTTCGGTGACGTTGGCACTAATCAACTTGCATCAACTTGCTTTGTCCATGAAAGCGGAGGCCGCCGCATATCAACAAGCAAATAGAAGAGAATAAATTTTTCTAAAAAAATTAGCTTTAGTATCGTAACTTACTCGCACATTACCAATCGTATAGATTAAACGCGGTACCGTGCCTCCCTTGCGACCACGCATCCCGCTGACAGCCTGTCCGGCGCATTTCCGTGACCTTTTAGAGCAGTGCTGGGATGAAAATCCACTGTTGCGCCCGGCGTTCCAGCGCATCCGAGAAGTCCTGACCAAACTGCTTGGACGAGCGGGCGATAATATTGTTGATTACCTGATCCGCACCATGGAGAAATACGCGTCCAAACTGGAGGCGGAGGCCGAGGAAAAAATGCGTCAGTTTATGGAAGAGAAACGCCGATCGGAAGATATCCTCAGCCAAATATTGCCCAAGTGAGAAGAAGTTTGAATGTATCGTTAGTGAGGAAAATTTGTCAAGTTGTCTGTTGTGCGGAAACGGCAAACCATTCAAGGCTGCTCCTCATATTTATATGTATTTATATATAAATATTATCACCACTACGCATAGTACAAATGGCGATTATTGTGAGCTTCGTAGTGGAATGGATTGCAGAGCCGGATTAACCCACGGGAGTTTATAACAGAGCGTTACAAAATTTCGTTTACTAAATTTCGTTTACAAAATTTCGTTTCGTTTTGCGTTACAAAATTGGTTTCGTTTTTTTTTGTTAAACGCAGAAATTAAGGAAATTTATTTTTGGTCAGATTTTTGTAGTCGTTATTTTCCGCTATAGATCCGTAGCGGAAATAATTATTATTTATCTGTATATACAAATTGTGTACTGTCTGCGTTAAATGTAAAAAACTTCAACGGATTGTAAGTAAAGCAGGTCGAAGCATCTGCTGTTGGTTGTCATTAAATCATTAGATTGAGTACTTAATTAGGTGTTTTTTTACTGTATGTGATGCAGATCAATTGCTGAACGGTTAACCAAAGGTCAAACAGTGATCCCGGAAACGTACGGCAGCACAACGGTGTATTTCAGTGATGTGGACGGTTATTCAGAGCTGACCACTGAAGCCACCACACCTCTGGATGTTGTCCAGATTCTCAACACCTTGTATACTGTCAGCGACACGATTATCGAGAAATTTGATGTGTACAAAGTGGAAACGGTACAGTATGCATGCAGTGCATTTTGCCGAAAAATATGATCTTGCTGTCATTATGCAGGTGCAATGTTTTTTCAGGTTAAAGACTCCTATTTGGTGAGTGTAGAATCTAAGCATTAGTAATGCTTGATATCGCAGCATATTATGCCTTCAAATGTTAAGGATGTTTGAAAAATGGAAGCATGGAATACTGTGTTGCTTTACGAAATTACAGCGTATAGATAATTTATCATTGTACAGACATCTGTGAATACTGTAGGGATCGTGATACTAAATGTTAAACAGAAAACGCTGCGTAGTTGAACGCTTCCTCAAGATACCAGTAATTTTAAAATTCTCGGATATGTTTTTAATTTGTAATGTTTGTATGTTTGTAATGTTCAGTAATTGTGTAATTTGCAGGTTATAAGTGGGCTTCCAGTACGCAACGGCATAAACCATGCTTCTGAAGTGTCTTCCTTGGCTCTGACCCTACGCCGTGAAATAAATTCCCTAAAAATATCGGGTTTAAGTTTTCAGACTAAGCGAAAACTCCTTTTGCGTGTTGGCCTACATTCAGGTACGGCATACACATGCTCGATGCCTGCTCGACGTTTATTCAATTTAAATTAACAAATATTAGTAGGATTATGCTTAGTGCTTTTAATATAAAGAGATCGATAGTAGAATTTTCGTGTAATACCTGCGCTATGTTCCGTTTTGGTGTTGCTGATTAGCATGGCGAGCTTGATTTGATAAACTGCATCGAACAGCCAATCTGTTGAAATTCAACGGATTACGAACAGCTGCAAAAAAAAAATTGCAAAATTGCTGCGGTTTTGCAAATAAAATAGCACCAAATTTAAGCAGCAATATAAAACAGCCAATAATACAGTTAAACCGCCGATGCTTTATCATATTGTGCTTACAGGTCCCTGTGTAGCGGCAGTGATCGGATTAAAAATGCCAAGATATTGCTTGTATGTATGCATTCTATAATGTACGCATAATGCGCAACACCGGCCAAAAAATTTATTAATCTGGGACTTTTATTTTTGAAGATTCGGAGATACAGTGAACACCGCCAGCCGAATGGAGTCCCACGGGGAACGTATGTACCATACTAACAGACCATACTATATATACTAACAGACCATACTACCATACCATTTTCTAGTTGAAGGACAACGTAGTCCTTCAACTACTTAGAAAATGGTATGGTAGTATGGTTTGAAAATGCTACTCGTATAAGTTACGTATACGTAACTTATACGAGTAGCATTTTCAAACCAGTCTGTGTGTGTTACTTATGTTAAGCTTTTATAAACGTTTATTAGAATTTTAACTAACCATCTGTTTTTAAAATGCAGCTGGAAAAATTCAGATGAGCATATCGACAAAAGAGTTACTGGACCAAATTGGCGGCTACATTGTGGTAAGCCGGGGCGTCATTACCGTCAAAGGCAAAGGTCCTATGGAGACATTCTGGCTGGCTGGACGCGATCGGGAATAATATTTGCGATACGCATTCGGTTGTCTTTTTTAAATTGGCCTCAAATTAAAGGCTAGTTAAATTTGTTCTTGTTAAATATTGCATTGTTTCTCAGCTCCGTTCCTCTTGATATACATATTTTTGTCAGATTGGTAGTTAATAGTTATACTGCATTCTGCCGGCACTGAACGCTGTGATGCGAAGTTGTATAAATTTTTGCTATGTTTGAATGGTCATATTTATGAGAAAACAGACAGTTCACACAGATAGAGAAATATTGTATCGGAATTTAAGAAACCGTTTCGAAATGCAGTAGAAGTATGCTTTTTGTTAGTCAAACATTTCTCATCGCACATTTCAATTTAAACTTTAACACGATAAAACTTTAAAAGATTTTGGAGATAAAGAGTACTTTGTACTAAAATAACTACCAAGCACTGTCAGTCGCAGACTGAATGAGGCACGGTTTGGAATATCAAATAATTAAAACCATAAAACTTTAAACCATGAAACATGAAAACGCTCTGCAAGAGCAAAATTAGCACCATCACCCCTTGGGAAAGGGATGACAATCAGCAGTAGTAGGTCAGGACGTTCTCCTGGTTGCCGCGAATCAGCAGTGTTGGCGGCAGACCGGAGGTCATCATATCCAGAATGGCCAAGTACAGGGTAGCCGCGCGGTTCTGTTTGGGCAGCGGCATGGTCAACACGTTCAGCACAGATTCCGATGAGTGTTCCCGCAACAACTCATGCAACCTGAAAATGCAATTCATCCAGTTAAATCTCTGACAGAGAAACCCAGGCAGTTGTAGCCACCGAAAAAATGAAGTTGGAAAGTACCGCGTCGAGTGCGAAAAGTTATTACGCAAACGAAAGTATGCTCCTGTCTCGAACATGGAAAGAAATGGTTTTTGAATTTTCCTACGGTACCTGATGCTGCGTATGGTCCTCTTGCCATACTCGAGCATGTCCGATTCCATAATGGTGGCTGGGCCAGGAGCGCGCGCTCGGGCACTCATGTTCTCGTATTTGTACTTGAAAATCAATTTGTTAAAATCATCCAAGCTGAAACCACACAGCACCGTCAGCTTGACCACTCAAAATATTGCATTTAATAAGTACATGCTGCGGATTTAAGATTAGTGCACATAAAAGCAGATTATAGGAAAGAATGCTGTTCGATAAAAAAATAAATCTACAATGAGGACTTGTAGAATAAACTGAGCCCAACATCGAAAAGCGCTATAGGAAACAGCGAGATCAGTTTAGCCTAAAAAATCAGCAGTCACCTTTCTTGTGAAGGTTGTGTGTCGATATCAATAGCCACCACATCCACTACGGCAATCCGGAATTTTTCCAGCAACTGCAGCATGTTGTATCGAGCACTGTCGGCGTTGTCATCCGGTCCAATCAGGCAGAACACTTTCAATTTGCATCCTGACCACGGGCTTTTTTGTGTCATCAAATACGGAACCAGCAACGTCAAGCCTAAAAAAATGCGCAAATGCAGTATTATTCTTCCCTCACGATACTTTTATAACGGCAATTATACAGATTCACTAAAAACGTTGATAATCACTCAACCGCCGTCATACTACGATAGTCACTATGCTCTGAAATATCGCACACAAAATACGGGAACGAGTTGTTTGAAACACACCTCCATCGTCATACAGCCACCAGACATGGATTTCCCCTACAATTTTCTTCTTCTTTCCGGGCTCCAGTTTTTCGGCCAGTTCCACTCTGGCTTTGAGAATTGGATCATCAGTTGGTTTCACTTCCAGAGGAATAGCCTGAATTTTATCCGGTTCGGTATCATCACTTCCATCCGCTATTTTAAAGAAAGGACTGCCATTACAAATATGTACATAATGGTAATTCGATAGGAATAATACAAATAGAAAAGAAAGAAAAAAAGAAGAAAGGAATAGTTAGAAATAATTATTTCTAACAAAATCATTCATTAATCGAATTAAATTTTTGACACCGAAAATAAACCGGTGCTTAGAATAAAATAAACATACAAGTACCACAAACAAAGAACCAAACACAACAAATTTTACAACAACATTTTACAATAAAACAAACAATAAAGTTTTTATTTGACACAACGCAAAAGGTTTGAATGCCGCTTATGCCACATAATGATAAGTAGAGGAAAATATTAAACTCCCGTACTGGAAGACGCCGAAATGTTGTTGTCATTGACCAGCTGCTCAAAATTGACTACATCGCTTATGTCGAATCCATCACGGGCGTAGCTGAAAATTCGACAGTTATTAAAAAATAATCCGGTGCACGTGGTAGGGCAAAAAGTTCTTATATTAGCCTACAAAAGAATGACTCCGCGCCGTGAATCAAAAGCATAATGGATGACGTTGATGTATTCTTCCATGGAGTCTTCATTCCAGTTCGTCCAATTGCGGTGGTATCCCATCATCACAATATTCGGTCGCAATTTGCCCAATCCCGATGTCTGGATCAGTGCGCGAGTGCCCTCCTCAGTATCTGCCGCCGCATAGATTTCGTAGAAGGCGCGAATTTTCCGCCGGAAAAACCACTTGTAAGTTTCTTGTTCCAGTGTGGAACGATCGGCGATCGGTTCATGCTACATAAAAAGCAAAAGCATAATTTCTTCTTAGCTTACAAAACCAATGCACTACGATTTACGCTTAGACCTATCCGCTGTTCAGCCTGCAAGGAAAGGAGGCAACTACAGACGCATCAACCGTAACTCCGTGCGAGTTAGTCACTAACTCGCAACTGTAGAAGTACTCGTACTCGTACTTCTATGCCAAAGTAAAGCAGTAGAAACAGTTAATTTGCGTTTGTTACATCTGCGTTACATTTGAGTCACATTTGAGTAATTTATTACATTCGAATTTGAGTTCATTAACGCTACCGAAATGTATGATAATTACGTTTTAGCCATCAGTACTGTACTCTTCATTCCCTGAACCAGCTTCTCGGAGTGTTCTAGACGTAATGTAATATCGCTATCAATCCTTACCACCATGACGTGACCGCAAACCAGCAGTCCGGTGCCGCGTGTAATGGCGTTGGCCATGTAGACCAGCGCCGGTCGGACGCATGGCAGACCGGTGAGGACTAGGATCTGTGGACGATAGGTTTTGACGTGCTCCGGTGTTTTTTGCAGCTTATACGTGTCCGTCAGGGCGGCACGGTAGATGTTAGCTTGACCGGAGGTTCCCCAGTTCACTTGTGGTTTTTTGTAAAACACGAAGAGATACACCAGACCTAAACAACAATCGACACAAACACATGCAGCTAAAGTCCAAACGAACAGCTACGAGTAGGCTTCCAACTTCGCTTGTACAGTCTGGCTACGCCAAGTTCGGACAAGTAAAAAAATTCTCCACTGAAGCCACTTTAAAATTTTTTTAATTCTTGGATGATATTAATTTTATTGGTTTGTTAATTATTGTATTACACTTTAAGGCAGATTTACCAACAGCTCCAAGAGCGATAATTGCTGATTTCCAGTCCAGTGCGAACATAAATCCGAAACAGACGATAGCTGTGGCTAAACTTAGCCACATATTGTAATACCTGAATATTGGTCGCCATCCTAAAGTACCAAATTTAAATTTAACACAAATTGTATCGAATACAAAAAGGAAGTGAGACCGAATCCGATCGACTGTTCGTACCTGGCGCTTGAGAAAAGGAAGCATCAAAGGTGGCGTAGTTCACCAGTGCAAACGTGGCCAAATAGCAGTTTGACACCACGTTAGATATAAACTGAAAATCGGCTGCGAAAATTCACCAATTAAACTAATTACGAAGAAAAAGCCATTAAAACAATAAAAAAAGTGACGACTTACAGGGCATCAGGAAGATCACACCAATCAACATTGTCAGCACATATCCGCGGTACGGTTCGTCATGTTTGCCGTAACCTTTCCCAAAGTAATGAATACCCGGTATGATATTATCGCGGCACAATGCCTATAAACGCGGGAGATTTGTCAAAATTACCTGCAGAATTTTTGTATAGGATACCAAACAAAATGCAACACTCCTATTTATTTATTATTGGTTATTATCGTGGTGAATAACACCAGATTCATGTCGAACCTGGAAGACCTTTGGAGCAAAATGGATGCAGCCAACCGATGTGCTGATGGTAGACGCAAAGGCAGCCGCATATATAATCGGTTCCCAGTGCCCGATAACGCCCATAATCTGCATAATCGTATTATTTTATTGACAGTATAGTTGCGATTTGCATCTTTTCTCTTTGTGAGGCACAGGATGGGATCTCTCGTTACCAACCTCCATATTGTTGATCATCCCATCTTTACAGCTCATATCGAAACGGCAGTGCGTTAAATTTCCCAGTTCTAAATCGGCTACACTCCCGCTGGCATGCCGCAGTGTGACCGACGCGGACACCCAACCCAGAATCAAGTAGACAATCGCAGCGACCAATGTGGCTACAATCGTGCCTGTAATACGTTCGTTCTCAGCATAAATGTTTGACGCAAAGAAAAATATATATATTTAACAAACAGTTCCATTAAATTTAAAATAATACGCAACCAAAAATCCCTATAAATACTTCTATACAAACAAGCAAACCATATCGATTTCCTTGTTGTATAGCTAAAATATTCTGACCTTTGGGAATGGCGCCGGCTGGATCCTTCAAGTCACCGGTGATGGATGTACCAGCCAGAATACCACAGAGGGACGGAAAAAACACGGCGAATACTGTCATGAAATCCTGAGCACCGAACTGATCCGGCTGAAACGCCGGCTGGAAGTTTTCCCAGAATAACCCGCTCGAATAACCAACAAAACCCCGAGCTTCATCTTCTTTATTAGGCGGGACAATTGATCCCACTATCCTGTAAATGATACACACAACTGCGTCGCCTGAAATTCAACTGCTCGTATATTTACTATTTGAAATTCAAAATGAGCCTATCAATGCTACGGCACAATTTAGGCATCGGCAGCCGTACTCGTACGAAAAAAACGCATAAATTAAAATTATTAGCTACATAACAATATATTAACAACTATTGTATTGCTTGTTAAAAGCACTAATTTCCAAGATATCGTGCAATTTTTTCGTAGCCTTGTCAATTTTTTTCCTTTGGACTGCGCTATGCCAATAGCAATCGACAAATAACCATGTTTTTGGATCGGTGATTAACACTTCCGCATTGACAACCTGCAGACTTTTTGGAATCTCTATACCTGGCGGCTATTATTAAGATTTCGAAATCATACTGGTTCCTATAAGTAACTAACGCATACTTACACATCACCGACGCCAATCAAGAGCAGCAGCAGACAAAGCCATTTGAGCTGCAAAAGGCCAAAATTTCCCCGGTAGGTATATTAATTAATTCCAACAGGTCCCACGAAAACGGCTAGCAGCCGGATGTGTGTACGTACCCTGGAGGCAATAACCATGCCCAGCAGCGCAAATCCAGTTAACACGACAATGGCCATCACGCTGATGATCCGGGTATCGTCCAAGTGATTAATCATGTGGAGATTGGATTTCTATCAGGATGCAGAAATTACCCAAATGATTACTGCGCTGACGGGCGCCAGTTTACACGGTTATTAACGCAATTTATTTATTTTAATTTGAATTTTAATTTTCGGCTTACACTTAAAAGAGCCGTCACCAGGTCAGCAAAACCCTGCACGTTAAGCGAAACGTTGATGGTGTTGGCCAAAGTGATGATGACTCCTGCAAGGAAATAAATAAATGAAATACTATTTTGCACGAAAAGCAAACCAAACATATCTAGAAAAATAACAGCTAAAACCCCGAGAATCGAGGCAATAAGTACACTTTTCCCAATTTAAGACTTTCAGATCAGCACCATCATACTACTGTCACAACAGTAGTTGGCAGAAAGTACAGTGTGCATAAATTCTGTAACGATGCTTTCCAAAACATAACTGTTTTACGGTACTATTGATTACTGAAGAAGAGTTTATCTTAATTTGTCATTTTACATTTAATTCACCTCACCTATAGCAGCGCCAAATTGCGGCCCCAGACTCCGTGCCATCATATAGTATGTTCCACCAACTAAAAAGAACAATGTTCTTATTTCCACCGTCTTATAAAGCAAACGTCAAAGGCTTGAAGACTTTTTCAGTTTTCATATCTTGTAGAAGCTTCACTGATTACATCGGAAAAAAACAATCTTTACAGCCTCTCTAGTACGAAATTTTCTTACAATGGGCAAATTTACAGCTTTGGTACGAGTATGACATTCATTGGTAAGTATTTTTTCATCCACACCTACCACACCTTATTTCATATTGTTGGGACATACATCCAACACAACTTTTAATTCCAAGAAAAGCAATTCCATTATAACATAAATGAAATGCAGCACAGCTTAAAAAAGGTTTACCGCCGATATCCCCGTTTGTTGTAATGGCAGACATCGATAAGGTGGTCAGCAGAGCAAGAATCAGCGTAATCAACACAATTACCGTATACAAGCCTGTGAAACAAGAAACAAATTGCATATCACTATTCGGTTATGCATCGAGTGTTTTCCTGAAGACAGGAGACCTTCTAAAATATGCAACTAACCCATTCCTGCTTGGGCATTCATCCACGCTAACCGCAAAAACAGCTGTACGGCCCACATGTCTTGCAGTGTCCATAGCTAAAGGGAGTAATTCCACGTAAATACATAAGTACTGAGGAGCACAACCACTTTTAGCAAAAATCGTTTAATATAAAACTAAGCCTTGTATAGTTATGTGGTTTACTATGAAATCAATCAAATTCAGCCAAAACTACACTTTATTTGCAATGTTTTCGACATTTAATAGTTGGCTGGTTAAATTAATTTTAATTTAAACAGCAAAATAGTCCACCACCAGAAGCCGTAGAGTCAAGGGAAGCTGGAAACTGAAAACTCTCTGGATTACTTGAATCTGGACTGGTTTACTTCAAACAAAAAAAAACAAGCAAGCTGAATTTTTTTACGTGTATTTCTTGGGAAAGTAAAGGTAACAATCTAGAAAGTGTCGAAGTTTCCCGTTTAAAAACCAACACCAATTTGCGAAAGTTAACATCCGTCCGACATTCAACGTTCATATGGTTTTACATCTACTGTCTTACTAAAGAAACATTTCATCAATAAAATGTTTAATCATCTATCCTTACCACAACTCCCTGGATCCAGCCCAACTTGCCATCCACATTAACGAAATTTTCATTTCCGGTCTGCCGAACCAGTTCATTCTCCGCGTTTTCCTACACGCATACACGCAGCATGTCATCCATCACCTGCGCGGAAGTAATTGTCAACAACAACCCCCCACCTTTTCCCGTCGTAGATCATCCAGGGTGGCCCGCTGGCCACCACCGGCTTCATCGTAATTCAAGGCCGATGGCAATGTCTCCAGCGGATCAAATCCCATGCTGAAGCGCCGTTGCATATGCGGTGGGAGGGATGCCAGGGAACCGGCACGCGCGGTCATTTGATCGAATACTGACGTCGACGGAATACGGGCTTTACTGCGACGATGGGAACGCCGCACCTGGACAGGATCGTCCATGTCAGGAGCGGGCAGTGCCGGCAAGGAACGATCTTCGTCCAATTCCTCATCCTGTTCACGATATAAGATTATAGCGTGCAAAGAAATCGAATAAACCGCTACAAGTTTAACTTTTGTAAAACTTGAATTGTTGTTACTGCAAATTGTTTATCATATCTTTTAAGCTTATCATACATTTATACGGACGGTGGCGCATTTATGGCTTATTAAAAAAGACTGCTGTCACAACAAATTATACGAAATAGTGTACTTATGCAAAAAAGTGTTGCGGTAGACTAGCGTAGCTGCACAGGTTAAACCGTTAAACCAGCGTAGATTCTGGTGTTTATCGTTTATCATCAATACGGGGAACACTGTACCTTTGTACTAAAATTGTCGATGTATTGTGCACCTATTGCAGCTAGAGTAGTTTAAAAGTGAACATTTATTACAATTATTACTAACAATTATCGTATGGCAGGAAACACTCTAGATCTTGCCTTGCATCAGTATCTACCTATATTAATGATTATGCTTCCTTAATTGATTACTCCAATAAAATCACGCGAGCTGCTGGGTGAAAATGAACAATACAGACCTACAAAAAATGCGATCGAGTCGGTACCGTAAATCATTCCTTTACCTCATCAAAAAGTTCGAAGCAGGGGAAGCTGATGCCCCTCTGCATGGCCGTAGCACGATCCGCCAGCTCATGCTGAACATCCTCCATGCTAATGTGCGACTCTACGGCGAACGAGGCCGTCTTCTTTTTACCATCCAGCCGCGGCGTAGGCGCATCGCGAAAATTAACATGGCTGGAATTGCGGCGGACCCCGTGGCTGGTAATGCTGTCCGTGGAGGTGATACGGCGCAGCGTGTTCATGACCATCTCCACCGGCTTATGCAGAGTGTCCATCATCGTCTCGCTGCCCACATGGAAACGGTGCCGAGCAGCCGGGTCGGCATTTCCATCCAGGTGATGCCGCGATGAACTGATTTTGGACGCTTGCCGGCGAATAGGCGGGAGACGGTCGTGTTCCTCATCCTCTTCCTGCTCAAGAATAAACCCAGTAATAATTACGAGGCTTATGTAACAGGTTTGCAATTTCAGTTAATGGTAAGTACATGGGTATATACACGTATTTTGGTACACAACAATTTGTTATAGTGATAACTGCTTAACAAAAACAAGCCGCAAATCAGAAAAAGAACGAAGCCTTAGCACACGTGCGGGAATTATGCAAAACAGCACAGTAAATGCTTTGCAAGTGTACACGTTGTGGCAATCAATAATTTTTGTTAAGCGAATTTTCTGCATACGAGTACGTTGATTGGAACGAGCTTCGTTTCATCTTCGCATTAGCGGAATGCATTATTTTAGCTGCATAAGGTCCATTTCAGTACGCGTACATTCAGAGGTGTCGCATTTCACTTAAAAGCATCCACATCTGACACTATTGTAAAAACTGGCACCCAAAAGGATACTACCGGCATTCGATATTTTCTGCATGCGTTCAAGTGTGCGCTTCCGATATGCGATGCACTATATATTTTGAAAGCTTACAATCTCGCACAAACTCTGTGGTGTTTCTTCTTGATAAACAAATGCAGACAAAAACAAAGCTACAAGAATGGAACATAGCAATGCTGTTTTCTAACGCTATGTTTATACGAAAGTCCCACACATAATCTATGCGCGCAGTATGCATTATTTGAAATTATGACTTCAAAATGATCTATTGATTTATTAAATTGGAAAATTAGTAAGCAAACAGACAACAAATTAAACCATTCGGCTCCTGAAAAAATGTAATCGATAATGCAGATTGAGTTATATATTTATTTAGAAAATAATCATAATCAAAGCGTAGACATGAGAACTTTACATATACCTGCGTCGAATCATCAGGAACTAGCGTCTCAACAATCTGAATCTGCATCATTCATCCACAGGAAGTAATACCGTAAAAATGCCAATCTCCCAGAATACACACATAAATGTTAATGACATCAAGCAAGCGAAACGATGCAGAAGAGTGTACAGGACTGCAGAGACAACGAATGTCACCCGTTCATTTTCGCGAGATATGGTGTCTTATAAGGAAATGTCGCAATGCGGCAGGCCGCAACAGCCGGACTGAGAAATAAAAAGGATCATCCCGATCGTGACAAATGCCTTCCGGCAGATGCAACGGGACTTCGTTTACTATGATTACGTGTCCAAGTTAGGCTAATCCTGTATCGATCAGAATAATCCACCAACTGTATATACAGTCTAACCCGATTAGAGGCATAATTTCACCGGAAGAGAGAGGAAAAAATATTGAATTATTCTTTTTATGTATTGGGTGCAGTACACCTGCCAAGACTGTCATGATCAGACACAATAGCCTAATCACAGCGTAGCATATGCAGACTTAATAATATATTCTCAATGCAAACGAATGGCACGACATACAATCGGGCGGAAGTGGTCAGCGGAAATGATTTAACATTCTGCAAGAATGTATAGGCCGGCTCATGTGAGCGCCCGGGCTGTGTTGTTGATCAAACTGCCGGAAATGATTGGAAAAAGCTAATCTTGCCTTATGAATCCTTATTGTCAGTACCGATGTACCGGAAGCAAAGTCTAATGAACAATATTTTCATAGTTAAACAATGCGATTTAATTAGTGTTGAACAAAATTAACGTTTTAAATTTTTATTGGTCATCCTTGGGGGCGAACAACCACTCGCGCACCCCAATATTAGGAGGCCAGTTTTCAGGAGTAAACATTTTATCCGACTCATGAGCATAAGAACGTTAGAAACGTTAGAAACTGTAATTATTACATATTGTACAATGTATTGCGAAGTTTTTGACCACATCAACGTTAAGACTTTCAATACAGGTGTGATGTGGTAAAATGTCAGGTAAATGAGAGTTTCGATCAAAATCAAATTTCTCTGTATCTACAGACACACTGTCGATATGTAAAGCGCATTGAAGATTACGATATGCGTCTACAGGAGCCTGCTTGAAAGAACGTTTTAAAATATAACGGCAGCAGCAAAATCTAGATTTTTAATATTCTCGGACACTAACACACATTTATCCTGTAACTGTAAGGTATCTACAACAAGCTTGATTCTGTGTACTTATGCCGCCTTTTGCTAAATCGGTATCATTACAGTCACTGTAATACATTACTGCTTTTGCATTTTGAATGCTGTCCGGTCGACTGCAGTAATGTAAAACGTACTGTTCTTTCTTACACAAAATTTAAATTTGGACCGTAAAACAATCTAGCAAAAAATAGGCCATTTGTAATGATATTATAAAAAAGACTAAATAATACTTCTATCATTAATCCTGGCGACACACCCTACAATCCCTTATTAATATCTGCAGGCATTAATCAAAGCAAACGGGACATTATGATAAATGACATCAAATTAGTAATTACCACTGCTGACTCTTACTTCAGCCATGAAATTGGGATTAACCGCACCAGTGCGCGGCGTCCGCTCCGACACGGCGTCGTCCTGATCGGAGACAATCACGCGCTTCTCCTCATCCGCCTCATCGGCGTCGCTGTGCAATGCAAAGCCCACACGGGACCGTGACCGGTTAACGTTGCCGGCCTCCTTCTTCGGGCTCAACGAATCCACCGAACCGCGATACTCCTGTTGTTGGCCAGAATGGTGCTCGTGTTCGCGGTGTGTGTTCTGCGGCGCATTATGCCCAACAACATTCACCGTAACCTGTCCGTCGTCGTTCTTACGCAGAGGATGGTCCATCGCGCGTATCCAGATTATTTATCAACTGGTTGAAAAATCGCTGACGCTGAGCAAAACGATGGTTTGGACAAACGGCGGTTAAATCAGCGGAAAACTGAAGAAAAATGTTTTCTTAAGGAGACAAGCACGTGATCGTGCTCTCACTTTTTTCACAAATCCGATAGAAAAATTTCCCTTTAGGCATAAGGCTCGCATACAGTAACCTGTCTGTATTTTGACAGGTGTAACAATAACACTTTGGTCTACGCAGAACATGTGCAAAGTGCGCTGCACCGGCGCAAAAAGTTGAAAAACACGAAAACCTGAGAAATAGTGCGAAAACCACCGCGAACCGTAATTTTTATGGGTGAGCCTGTCTACTTACTGTAGACGAAAACTGTGTTACCTACCGAAGGATAGATTTTAACATGAGGAGAGAGAAGTGGCACGGTTGTAGCCGCACAAAACCGTGGATTCAGCGCATTGTCTCCGGTGAACGTGAGGCCTCGTATTGTCTACGGAATGATCCACCCATTCAGTGTCCAGCTGATTAGGCAGCCGCCTAATGAATAACGCGGCTGACCGTGTACATATGGTAAGCTGTTAGCGCCATACACGAAATGCGGAGACAACACGATTTAAGTTATATTAATTACAAATATAAGAACATTTTATGTTTATATGGACTTAAATTTATAGAAATTTATGCATATAAATTGGAAATACCAGCTCAGTACTAGTTGCCAGTTTCGAACTGATTAGATAATTATTTCATTGAATAAAAAAAGCTGTAACAAAAAAATGAAATTGCTATTAAACTTACCACTGTGGAATCAGTGTTCAATAATAACGCACAATACGTGATGTGCGAATGCAGCGCTTGTATTGCAATAATTACAGATTTTTATTATTACGTAACTGAAGCTGGCTAGCGACTCCAACCGGATGCCCGTAAGTTCAGATGTAAAAATTAATATTGTATCGACATATAAATCTACTACTTTGTGAGTGGTGAACAACCGGCAGAAATATTTTCCTTAAATTCAGATTCACATTTGCCGCAAACCATGAAATATCGCACATTTCTCGCAAAGACATACCAAACTGACCGCTTAATCGTGTAAATGTGGTGAAACAAGGCCATTTGTCAAGCATGACTTCTTAAAAGCAAAACATTTCTACTTATTACTGTCATGAAACCATTTAATGTCTACGAAAACATTTTTATGACAACGCAAACGTTCTCATACAGATATAATGATACTAGTGCGTGCTACTCTTCAAAAAATCAAATTGTAATATTTAAAAATTACCGTAGGCGCAAACGCGCTTAATTTTACACTCAACTGGAGCTTCCTTGATTACAAACCGAAAATGTTTTGGAAACTGTGTGCATGAAATTGATCTATATATTACATTTAATGACCAATAAGATTTATGCAGTACAGCTGGGCAAGTCAGTCAAAAAGTTGCAGCCAGCAACCAGTATGCAGTGCCGGCGGCAGACCGGAAGTCATCGATTATCACATGCATATATATTCCAAATTGCTGTAATATGGACGCAAGTACTTGTACAATACATCAGGACCAGAAGACTGCCTGGTTAACGACATTGTTATCACATCCGAGACAGCTGCTGCCGAAGTTACCGGGGATGCCCCCAACATTTGAATAAGGATGAAGAAACTTTACGACCTTTGCGCAATATATGGAAAAACTATTATACATAATTATGTCGTCCAAGCGGCTCTGTTATACCAGCATGATCGCTTAAAGGTTTTCTTGGTTTTGGTGCTCTGCTTTCAGTGTAGAAGAAGTTTACTATCAGGATCAAAATTTAACCCTGAGATGTACATACTTTTTTTCAAATATACCCTCGTCAAAAAGTATTTTCTAAAGTACATCAAAATGATCGAACACCTCCGCAATCTATCACAAAATATATCCCCGGCATAGTTTTGGCAGCCGAGTAGAAATCACGTTTTACATCAACATCAAAATTTGTATCTAAGTTAGCCGTCTATGTTGGCGATAGCAAAAGCAAAATTTTATTTTCTTAACCAATATGAAATTATCACCGTTCGATGCAAATAACAATGTTAAGGTAATTAATCTAAAGCGAAAGCTTTGTCGGTCGACCGACATTGGTCGCCTCGCCACATAACCTAAAAAGCAATTTCGATCCATGTGTGGCCGTTATAGAGTATCAAAGTTTTTCTGCAAACCTTGTTACGTAATCAGTTATGAAACACATAGTTTCTGTGCAAGAACAAGAAGATCGGTCGACCGACAAGAATTATTACCTCCAAAGCTAAAGTCGCAGAAGTCGCAAAAACGAAAAAGCAAAAGTCTTTTGAAGCAAACTGCGCCAAATTAACTAGTTGGAAGCAAAGCTTTAACGACAAAGTTTAAAGAAGTACGCGAAACTGCACACGCGGTGACTGCAATACTTTTGCTGCAGACTACGCTAACTACAGGCCACTTTTATGCTGCTTCTGATTGGCTGTAAGGCAATTTCAATGTTCAACCCCAGATCACGTTCAGCGCCGTTGCGCTCAAATTGATTTCGACAGCCAGTTTTAGTAACGGCGATTTTCGACTTTCTCGCAGTCTTACCACGGTGTTTCCAGGCGATTTGTGATTTTGTTTTGATCTCTACGATTTTTTGGTTTTATGGCTGTCGACAGCCAAATTAGATTTTAAAACGTTAATGGTCAATGCAAGCACTGGAAGTATTGCTGTTTTGTGCGTGGAGCTTGTCAGGCACGGCAAGTTATGAAAGCAGGTGCAGCACTTAACCCAGTCTGCACTGATGTGAGGACCCACACCAATGTTGGAGAAGTCCTAAGGTAAGAGCTAAGCGAATAGCCTTCCATACCAAGCATCATAAAATAAAATGTTTTGAAGTATTGTGTATTTTTTATTTGCAGATCCTTATAAAGCACTGCGTCGCTGGACGATTGTGCATGACGACATGCAGTAAAGCAACAGGTAATCGACGGGTAGAATGAAGCGCTATTTTGCCTAGAAGATCACAAAACGAGTTTTAATTTATGGAAATAAGTAGTTTTGTTTTGTAACCATAACTTTTGTTTTTTCTTGTCGACTGAAAACGTCAGTAAAAAATTAGGCAACGTAAGAAACCGATCAAGTCATATTTTTAATGCAGACGATTTTTCTTTAGGTTTTATTAATGTGCAACGATGACAGATTTAACGTACTAAAATTTTGTTTTGTTAATTCTTTTGTCGTCTGATTGCATGTCGACATGCAAGTGCTTTGACGATGAGTTATTGCGTAATTAGGGATGCGTTGATGATAAGCTTATTACGTTTTTGAAATTCGTTTTGCCACGTTTCGCAAGCATTTTTCTTATTTAATTTTTAAATAATATATTTAAAAAAATAAAAGATAGTAAATCAGCGTGGTGTTTCTGCACTGTACTGATCATTGAAGTTTTATTCGTAAAAACAATTCAAAATTTTTCTTGTCGAAGTGGCGATTCTCAAATTTGTTTTGGCCAAATGATTTCGTAACAGAAACACTACTGCTTAATTTAAGATATTTTTCTTACTAACTGCATGTCAACATGCACAGCAATTTTGTGGGTGGTGTATCAAAAGTATATGCATATGGTAGCGTTTTGTTGATAACGAATGGTCTTACGTGAATAAAGGAAAATAATGTGCGACGAAACATATCATATGTACGCAAATCAGCCGTGCTGATCTTTAATGTTTTACAGGGCAGATGAATTATTGCTCTATGCAGCTCCATGGCCGGAACGCAAATTTAGCGGGAAATGCGTGGATGTCGACATCCATCATTGTACTTGTTATCCTGGTTTTAATTAGCTGTTGATGCATTTAGTAGCCGCTTTTGCTGTCCATGCTGGCATTTTGGAATTTTTAGCACTCTGTCAGTTCACCGTTTACGCTCCTGACGCATTATCCAGTTTGATTTTTTGGTCTGGATTTTTTGGTCTGGTTGGTGTTTTCATGAGAAAGTATGTCTCGGATGTTGGTTTTTTTATGTAGTACCAGTTATGTGGTATATGTCGAAATAAATACAAAATGATGTTCTATATCCATATCTAAATGTTTCATATTCGTAAGTATTATAAAACAAGGAGATCATCTGTAATATCTAAGTCTAATTCAAAAGTTACCATTAAAGTATATGGTTTTTCTGACGAGGGATACAAAAAATAGTGCTCGCATAACGAAGTGCAGGTAAGTGATAACGTACAGATAGAGTGATGCAGGATGTAAATTTTTCATCATTTGTCTTTGATTTCGCACCGTTTTATAGAATATGGTACGGTGGTCGCACACTGGAAAGACGACGAAATTTATCAGTACAGTAGCTGATATTAATCTCTTTACATCTATTTATGAAAGTGATGAGATTTTTTTAAAATTTACTTTGAAGTGCTAAGATATTTTCGGCAATATAGCGGTAATTAATGTACTGGCAAATCGCTTTAATATGTAAGGTACAGTCAAGTGCACCGAGAACAAACACCAACCGATAAAATCAAAATGTCTAAAAATCAGCTGATTACTGCGTATGGATTCCGCCATATAAAACTTGAAATAATTTGCAGATTACCGCTAGAAATCCCGGCATTAGGCTTTTGAAGTAATTAAAGCAACTATAGTGAAAGTGGCATCGTCATTGTGTACTGTGGTAATTAAAGGGCTGCATATTCTGGTAAAGCACCAAAGAAACTTAAGAAAGCATAAAATTTCCCATCTTTAGTATTCCCATTCTGCAGCACTGTGCTCGTCAGCGGAAGCTTTAAAGAGCCCGTTTTGTTCCGGAACCGCGTAACGTCCATTGGGCGCTTTCAGGGTAATCCGACCGGACTCCCGGAACTGGATGAAAAACGGTCGCGGTTCCTTTGCATCCGAGTTGATCACTTGGTCATCACCGACATTCAAGTAAAGCCCGTTTGGTCCTGCAGCATTATACAGCGTTTAATGCATTCAGGCTAATCAGTACTAGTTACATATATAGAACTAATAGAAGTATACATTTTTTTATCAGAATGTGTTTCTTCGCGCTCGCTACACGAGTATCTTTTGCTAAAACTGCGCTAGCAAATCAGACTTTCTTTTCCGTAAAAGAAAATAAGCCGGTCGATGCAGCAAAAATCAAGTATCTGTAGGTCTTCGCAATATTTGTATCAATACTGCGGTTTGAAATTGTAAGTAGAAGTACTGCTCGGAACCGGTAAAGCGATCACAGTGCTATACCTAACAAAATCGCAAATTAACTATTACTGCTTTTTTTCCGTACATACCAGATATACAGCGAACACGCACTGAGAAAAAAATGTTCAGAGTTATGATTTTTGAAAGGTCAATAAAATGTTTCCGGGGGCAAAGTTTAAGGGAACAGTCGCATAAAGCTGTATACGATACCTTCTAAATGTCATGGCGCTACTGACCATGAGTTTTACGATATCGCAAATGATGGTACATTCTGTCGATCACATACCTTGTAGATAGATTGCTCCACTGGGAGCGTTTTCTAGTCGGATAGGTTCTATGGATGACTTATTACATTCCAGTTTGGTTGATGTTGCTGTTTTTAGTCCGACGAATCCGTAGACGGATCGTAGACCGATAATGGGCCGGTTTGAAATTAAGAGTTGGAATTGCTCGGCTGTGTCAACAGAATCTGACTGAGCAAACAGGTGTCCGGTCGGACGTGCTAGCACAAATTTGCCATTCTTCACTGACTTCAGGGACACCTTCCCGTCTCCCATCCATACCAGTTCAAATCCGCTTTCATCGCTCCTAAAAAATAAATGGAATCACTTGAAAACGCATAATCAGAATGAATAATTAACATTACTGGTGCGTGATAAGGATCACATATTATAATAATAAATCCCGCTGGAAATTTCAATAGTATTTCTAGACCTTAAATGTGTCCCGTTTTCAGTGATTAATTTTCCAAAAAAAGAAAGGAAAGCTCTGAAGAAGAATACGGTATACTTCTATACAGCAAGCACCAGCATAATAAGCCATTGTGAAAATTATTGCATAAATGACAATTGTGCAGCATGTATAACGCCATGAATCGATTTCGCACTACTTGAAGTACTTGTATGCTAAAACAGTCAGAAAAAAATTTTAGAGTAGAATTAGTTGTGTTGTAGACGTACGTAGTGAACGAGTTATGTACTATAACACACCTTGGGAAATGATATAAACTAGCAAGATTGTAGTGAACGGGCTTATTCTGTATCTTATACATTTTGTTCGTTTGTAGTCGAAAGTGATTGCAAAATACTGTAGTACGACTAGTATCATGAGCGTACTCCTTCCTTTATTATTATACTCACCATTAACGTAATGTTTCTTTTTCGCTGTGTTTATTTTTTTTATGAAAGCACAGGCAACAAAATAACCAAACTGCAGTATATGAATTCGTTAAACGGTTCTGTGCCAAATCTGTGACTGACGGGTCAGCAGCAGTGTGATCTGTTTATTTATGGAAAGCACATGTGTGTGTGGATGTTTGCTAAACGGGCCTGGGTATAATCAGCTCCCAACCACCGGAACATTCAACAAACAATCCCAAATCGCACCTTCTTTCGATCGGTTACTGGTTTATCTAATAGTTCCGGTGGTGGCCCACATGGCCAATACAGTGTCAATCGATATAAGGAATTTTTGGAAGAAATTATGTCAGAGTGAACTCACCCGGCATCCCCGTTGGCTTGTATACCATGGCTGCTCCCCTGTATACACCAGTATTTATTCAAACAGGTTCGCAGACGCCAACATTTGCTTGATTTGTCGCATTCCAGTTGAAAGATCTCGTTCTCTGATACACTATCCTGGTTAGCCGAGAGGTCAACGCCTGTGGTAAACACAGCAGCACATTTTACATTCAATATCGCATAATAAATATGTATGTACGTACAGATATACGGTAGCAGTTACACCAGCACCACAAGTGTTGCAGTAGCATTTTTCCGACTACAACGGAAATGGATATTCTCGATGACTCATGGGTTACCCATGGGGAGAACGATGCACAAGTGGGCCGCGTATATCGAGCTAGATTTGTGAACGAACCTTGAAGGACACTGGACAGTATAACAGCGCTCTTTCTGATGATACAAGTGGCCTTCATTCAAGCGTTTTACGCGCGCGCGCCTGCGCCCATATTTCTGCGCAGCGATACAGGCAATTTAATTTGCCCGAAACCACCCGAAACTGATTATCCAATTATGTATTACTTTATTATTTTTTTTTCAATTAAAATCTTACAGTAATCGCGTTATTATTTCGTTTGTAAATCTGTTTTTGGATTAATGTTTCACTTTCACTGCACATTGATGGAAACCTAAAACTGAATTAAATAAAGCGTCAATGTTTCTGTAGAGCTCCTATTTTTGCGAAACACGTAACTATGCTGAGCATTAAAGTTTTCTTTAAAAGCACGGGGATTTTGGCAGCGGGCTATTAAAAGAAAAAGTTTTGAAATAAATATTCAATGCAGTGCAATATAAAGACACTACTCTAGTTCCTACTCTATCTATTGTGTCATGAAATCGTTGAATGACAGCCAAAACACCAACAAAAGCTTAATTGCTCACTGCCAACAACATCCATCATTGAAAGCACAAACATATGGTAAACAATATATGCTAATCCAATTGTGTCTGTCTGTCTGGAGACTGTCGACGATAACCGACCGGGAAAGATTATTTGTTTAAAACGCACTTAACCTAATTAATCTGACGAGTGTCTGCCACCTTGATGTATTATTCACATGCTGACTCGAAGGATACCGCTATGATCGTCACACTGTTCCGGCAGCAGCTGTACACTCACTGGAAAAGCAACCCGAACAACTAAATGGGAAACGATCTGTCATCCCGTTAACCGCTCATCATCAATCCCTACGGAAATGAGTCAGCTCACAATCCTGACCCGAGATATAAACGAATTCCTTAAAGGTGACCCGCTGGCCGCAGCTGTGACTGACTCATCATATTCTCGTAACATACAATATCTGACAAGTACTTCAGAAAAGGGAGAAAATATTCTTTTAAATTTATTATTAGTAAAAGATTTTCAAAACAAAATTCTGCCCGCAGGTTTATTGCCGGCTTCGTTGAAAAATTGCTTTTTCGCCAGTAAAACCGATGGATATACGAAATTTTCGGCAAATAACAATAAATCTGACTCTACATATGATCAATTTTAATATTTAAAAAAAGTTCGGCTTCAGTACGTATTAAATAAAATTCTATAACATGCGGTAAGCTAGACACGTGCGATCAGTCAATTTGTGCACTTTGTCTTACTTTCTTCGCCGCGCAGACGTTATTAATTAAATCTGCACGTTATCCGCCAATTAGCCCGGGCAACGATGCAGTAGACCACAGCAATAAAAGCGTGAAACGCACATTCTGTATCTGGCTGCTTTACTCCAACCACCACCCCGCACTAGTGTGTACCCGGTTAACATATTTACTCGCTAACGAAAAACACATCTCACCTTGACGCATGGAGACCACTCGACCGTTACGGGCCAGCAGCGAGCACTGGGGCTGTGCGTGTTCCAGGATAAACAGCTCCGCCTTACTGATATTGGGATTCTTACAGCGCAGAGTCGCCTCATTACCGAACGGTGACAAAAACTTCCCGCTGTTATCCCGCAGTGCCGCTTGTCCCCCATAAAACACCACGGTAAACAGCGTCGCCGGACTGATATCCGGGACCAATTTGCCGTGATTATTCAGATACAGTCCACTGTAGGTTTTAATAACATAGCGCTGCTGGATGAATTCCAGTGTTAGCAACGATTCCTGTCCCCAAGGCACATCCTGATCACACTGGATCTCATCGCCGCGGGCGCGGGCATACCGTTTCCGTCCGATATTCCGCAGTGTGCAGACGGGATGGATGCTCATGTGAATTGTCCAGAATTCGTTGGGGACCGTCAGCCGACTAGTGCCGGAGAGTTTTTCTCCGTCGCCGCTGAGAAAATACTGGCTTTTCTCATTGCGCAACGCCCACCGCCCCGAGTGGTCATCGGCCTCCAGAATGGTAAAGTATTCCCCATCGCCCGGATGTTCCGCTTCACACGTCACATTCCCGTACTGATCAATCGACAGATATTTGCCCAGATGGCTTTTCAGGGCGATGACGTTGATGTCGCGCCCGGGAATCAGCGTCCAGAACTGTTTCTTCCGCAGCGACGTGCCGGTGACATTGACCTTGTTGCCGAATGTCTCGGCCGTCAGATAATGATTCTTGGAGTTAATCAATCCCACATTCCAGGTAAAGGTCAACTTGTCGTCGGGCTGCTGCATGGGATGGCCGTTGCCGTTGACGTGCATCGTGACGCCTTTGTTGATCGAATGTCCATTTGTGGCGCTGACTGGTTTCAGGAGATGGCGAAAACCGTTGGTGGCGATGGCCGTCATGTTTGGTTAGTGGTGATATAATGGAGAACAATGCCGGTAGCGAAAGGCTGTTTGCTTATTTACAAGTTACAGACCAGAATCCCGACATTGCCGTTTGCATAAGGATGAATGACAGACAGCCACTGTAATCACTGTTGCCGGCTGGTCAATTCAGTTTTTGACTGACACTGCTGTAACCGTGTACATACACGGGATTTTATAAAGTTCAATGCGGACGGGCTCGACCCACTGCGCACGGCAGACAGCCAATCGGGGGCGGGCAGTATGGCTGCAGTGTGTAACAGGCCAACAACTGGCCAAGGCGATACGGATCATACGATATCATCTGTTGCGGATCGATTAACAGCACGTTTTTCTCATCGATTAAACTAACTATTTGCGTAAAAAAATAAGCGAGTAGTTGTAGTGTTGTACACGCAAAACATCCATTAGAATTATTGACCATTTCATGAATTAAGTTTTTGCATTTCTGATCAATGGCGAAATTATGATAAAGTGTGCCGTAAGCAAAATCCTTGAAAAACTGAGCGCGAAATATAAGATTTATAAATTAACCGTAGTCCATAAAATATAATATTCAGTGATTCACGTTTTAATTGCGCTTTTTAACTAATGTACTCCGTTAGATAATTGACGAGTGATCAATCATTCTAACGAAAGTAAGCTGCTGTGTAGGATGTGTGTACAATACGAGTGAGTTCATGTGCCAAATGCGATAGAAATATTTTTTATAGTTTACTTTTTTGAGTGTTTGCAGTTACGTTGTATAATTCGCAATAAAAGTACAATTCAGCAGTGTTTCAGGAGCAGATCAGTCCTTTTTGCGGTATAACTATCTAGCATACTGAAGTGTCAATATGTTAATGCTCTGATTAATGCAATAGATATCGACGAAACCAGCGTGCATATCCAAGGTCATACCGTGCAATATAATGCATATATTAAATTTTGGTACTTGAGCGTGAAGCAGACCCGTCCCACCCTGAAAACATGTTGACAACATACACCGATTGCCACTGTTTTAGGTGTAAACGATGCGACCTTTCAAGTGGTTAACGGCTTGTCCTTTTTGTGTGATTAATTATCAGTTAGGCAGCTACAATGGCCGTTTAATATACTACATATAGATGTGTTGCAATAAACGATGTTTTACGATTTGCAAATTATACACTGCCCAGTGCCGATACCCAGCAGTGAATACGAACGCAGCGAGACTATGTACTATATTACTGTCAGATTTTTCATCAATCACGTTATCACAGATTTGCTGTGTTTTGTTTGGAACTATGGGTTACAAAGAACGTTATCTCAGTTTTGCATGCACTGTGAATAACCCGTGCAGATGTATGTGTAATTTCGTGCTAGTCGCAGACTATCGCATATCAATAATCAATAGATTCATATATCCTTACGTCCTTATTTTTTGGAAATTATCTCCTAAACGAACATTGATTTTTTCAAGAAGTTATTAATTTCATAAAATACAGGATCACACAAACGTTCCTACCATTATCTTTAAAAAAATCACAAGTTTTGGAGAAAGTCTAAATAAAACTTTTGAAAGTTGTAGTACCTAAGGGTTTTTAGTACTTAAAAGTTGTTAGTTTTGGAAATTATCTCCTAAATCACCATTGACCTTTTCAAAAAGTTATTATTTTTATAAAATTGAGCATCACACAAACGTTCCTACCTTTATCTTTAAAAAAATTATCAGTTTTAAAGCAGTTCTTAAAAAAGTTTGAAATGTTGCAGTACAGTACTTAAAATGTTGTTAGTACTTAAAGGTACTGTACTACTAATTAAATTACTTATTTTGGCAATGCGTGAGTACTTTACAGTACTCAGTACGTAAGTTGTAGCAATTAAATGTAGTACTACTATCACTTAATCGCCAGCGTATTAATACAATAATATTAAAAGCTGTATTACAGTACTGTATACTGTACAGTATTACAGTTGTAGTACTGTACTATACCGTTGTAGTACTGTTGTAGTCTGTTTCGCAGCTTAGCAACCTAAACTACAGATCTGTGTATGTTATTTAAATTGTCAATTCCATCAAAATTATAACTTTTTTAAATTTTTGAAACCTCTAAGATGTTTTTAAAACATGTTCGAATACCTCAAAATAACTATTAATTTTTCCAAAGTCGGCTCTAAAGCTTTTACATTTCCAGAATTTCTAAACATTTCTAAATATTTGACTCATTCTTGCGCGGCCGTTACCTCTAATTTTTTGAGCCTCCAGAGTTTCGAATTTTAAAAATGTCTAGAAATGTCTGAGTACCTCAATATCTCGCGGTCTTAAGGGGTTTGGCCCGGTACTTAGCACCAAATTTGAATGTATCCACGGCCAGTGACTAAACGAGACCCCCATCGACCTCGGGACTTTTTTTAGAGCAAATCTGACCTCGGGATAATTTTCAGCGCATTTTTCTGATATTGAAACCATTTTTCAAAATTTTTTTTTGAAAGAAAAAATTTCTGACTGCCGGGCCCCCATACGCCCCCCAATAACCTTGGGCGCCTGCAATGACGCCACTAACAAAACTCTTATTTTTGCATTTTGAACACTTTTTCTAGGTGAATCGATGTCGCTGATTCTAAATATGCTGTCAGAAAAATTGTATGAGTTATCTGAAGAAAGAATTTTTCTTTTTAAAAGTTTCAGGAAAATTTTGCAAAATTTTGTTTGTATAAAAATTTTTCTTTCCTTTGGCTCAAACAATTTTTCTAACAACATATTCAGAATCAGCGACATCGATTCTCCCAGAAAAGTGTTCAAAATGCAAAATAAGAGTTTTGTTATGGCGTCATTGCAGCCGCCCAAGGTTATTGGGGGCGTATAGGCCCGTCAGAAATTTTTTCTTCAAAAAAAATTTGAAAAATGGTTTCAGTATCAGAAAATGCGCTGAAAATTATCCCGAGGTCAGATTTGCTCTAAAAAAGTCCCGAGGTCGATGGGGTCTCGTTTAGCCACTGTCCACGGCAACTTCCGCTGTCGCGCGCTCCCAAACCCTAATTCTCATAACGGTCCTCATACTCATAACCCTATTCCTAATTCAGAATTCATACTCAAAACGGCTTTCACAATCATAATCATACTTTGATCCTACCGGTTATCATATTTTTGTTCATAATCATAACTCAAACCTTTACCGCTACTCATACCAGTGCGGTACTGCGCTTATTGTTATTAGCAAAAGCATTATATTGTTTATTAATCGTAAAAACCGTATTATTGACACTAAGTAGTAATTGCTGTTGCGCAAATTGTGCACCGTTCTTGAATTTTTAAAAATTTTTTTTTAATATCTGCTTTTGTCCTGGCTAGCAACGATTAAACTGCGTTATTACTCTTCCTGTGTTCTATTGCTGTACAGTGTACACGATGCTTTTGTCGAAATTTAGTTTTGTGGAAATGAAAAGTTAACAGCCCGTTCACTTTTTGTTTGGTGGAAGCTACGTAGTAAGCCCATTAACATTTCAGGTTTTTTCATCATTAGCACTACTTCAAGTAGTTTAAAAAATGGACGAAAGTGGACAATGGTAGATTTTTTTGCTCAGGTTTATATGCAGATTAAACTACTTAGCTTTCGTTACCCAGTTCAAGTTTGCTAAAGTCATTTTGTAATGAAGCCATTTTCGAATAAATATTTTTTCGCTACTAATTATGATGAAATAATTTTTACGAGTGGACGAAAGCGGGCGGTTGAGTAGACTTACATGAACACATAGTTGTAATTGAATATTACATTTTTGACACACCAGCATGAGTAATGGTTAAGATATGAGCTATAATTATGAATAAATTAATATGATGACCGGTAGGACCAAAGTATGATTATGATTATGAGGGCCCGTTATGAGTATGAGGATTCGAAATAGAGTATGGGGATATGAGGAGGGCCGTTATGAGTATGGATTCGGAATTAGGAGTAGGGTTATGAGTATGAGTATGAGAGCCGTTATGAATATTAGGTACATACCGCGCGTGCGAATTTGGTTCCCGTGTATGTACCCGAATTTGGTGCTATGTGCCGGGGCAAATCCCTTGATTGTCTAATTTATATGTAATTTCTAAATATTAGGCCTCGTCCCCAATCTGTAGCGAATCTAGCTACGGTACAGGACACCACCGTCCCATAATAGGAGTTACGCGATACGGTATGTCGGTTCTCGCTTCGCATATCTGGTTATCAGTGCAAAGATTCGGGACGGGGTGCTGCGTATCCGAATGCGTCCCGTTTCCACAACTCTCAGATACGGTATCCTGCGAACCGCATCTCAGAACCCGTACCAAACCCGCGTCTCACATCAACCAAAAATTTTACGAGCGCTTTTTACGCATACCCTGAAATACAAAGAAAAACGATACGGTACGCAAAGCCACCTCCAGAGGTGGCTTTCCCTGGTATTTTTTTGTTGATGAGCGAGCATTTTTTAGTATTGCCATTGTGTGATGATTTCTTTTCGTGAGTTATTTACGTTTTATGAAATTCCTAATCATTTTAAAACCCAACTGAATGCACAAAAAACTGAAACAGGAAATGTGACCAGCTCAAAACAATAAAAATTCTACCAGATAACAACAATTAAGTACTACAACATCATGCGGCTACAGAGAAGCGGAATGGTTTCGAAAAACAATGGTTTCAAAAAACAATTATTCAGACCGAGTGTGTTTTGGAATACGAAATTGGTTTGTATTCTTTACCATATAAAATACTGAATAGGAGCGCTCGGACAATGAAGATCTAAATTTTCAAATTTTGATCCATATGTACTACTTATGTAGCTGCTCTAACGCTATTACTATACTGCAGCATGCTGGCTAAAATAAATAATTGCGCGGGTGGTGCGACTGATCTGACTCATCACCAGCTAAAAAGTAAGGACAATGATGCCAAAAACTTTCAATCCAGGGAACAACATCTAGCAATTCAGACTAGGAACTAACTAGAATGAGGGCATAAAAACAGCACAAGAATACGCAAATACGCAAATACAGCGATACGGAACCAAAGCTGAAGGTTCGATACAGAAAATGGAGAGCGAGCCCAGTTTCGATATGCGTAGCCTGTGCTGCATCTTGGTGATGCGCACCAAATAGTGTCCCATTTTTGAACTGTAGCGAAACTAGATACGGTGCTGTATCGCAACGAGATACGCTTTAGAAAGGGGACGAAGCCTTTAAATATCTAAAAGCCGCGCCGACGCGGACGAAGCGCTTTAAATATCTACAAGTCACTTGGGGCAGTAACCGAACCGGTTTAAGTGACTCGTGCTTGGAACCGTTAGAAAGGAAGTGACTTCGATGTCAAGTCGAACCACATACGGAACCGAACCGGTCGAACCGTTGACATCTCTACTCACATGGCGGCTCGGTGATACTGGTGGTAGCTTGGGCATTCACTAACCTCGAAATCTAATAAACATGTATTAATTTTATTTTAATAAATACTGAAGAGCTTGACTGATGGCTGAAAAAATCTTATAATTAGTATCTAAAGATGCAGCCTGCAAAGACACCTTGGGCGACCGTTAACTGTTCCCCGCAAGTTTCCATTAATTCTGCGCTAAAAAATGGTATCTTATGGGCATCGTGTGCAGATATATGACCCCATTCAATCCATTTTATCACCGTAAAAATATTTTCTGTGGTACCAAAAAAATCAAGTCTTCAGTTCGTTAGATCGGTAATATAAAGTTACATTAAAAACGCGATAAAGAACCATGAAAAAAGAAAAACTTACGGGGGCTTTCACAGTTTTCAGAAAATGGTCGAATTTAACCGGAAAGCTTGAAAAAATTCCGCATTTCCAAATGTTTAAAATATTTTCGTAGCTGGCCTCGCTGGGTTTCATATTTGAAATATTTCTCAAAATCTTTTTTAATGCTTTACGAAGTATATTTTGTATTTCTTTAATTCTTCCATACCTCAAACACAACTGGTCGCGCGCTAGCGCGACCGATACTTGTTATATGAATACTAATCATCTGTGCCAGAACTTCGGCCCCTCTCCTTTGAGGCAAAGGATCTCGGCTTCTACTTCACCAATTTTGCTACTTTAAAGTGCATAAGAATTCTCGCAGCGCAGCGGTGGATCTAAGATGGTTAACCTTTTGCCAAAATCGTTTGGCTGGTTCCAGTGGTCAGCCATAAGCTTGTTCCCATGGACGCGATAAGAAATGCATACTGTTCTAACACAAAACTTGACCCAGAACAGTAGAAATATCTGTGCTCCTACTCAACAATACTTAAAGCACAATGCAAAGTAAAAAATTCATGATAAAACGGCAGTAGCAGCCGACAGCGCAAACTGCAACTTATGTAGAGTATATGTTTCGATTAATTTCGTTTCGAGTATATGTTTCGATTAACTTATGTAAAATCACTACAGCGTGTCAAAATAATTATTGCTAAATACACGTACAGGTTTCGCAATATTTTGACAGTTTGTAAGCAACTAGAATTCAACACATCCTTGGAATTACTTAATTCTTTTAGTCATCAGCCAATATTCATCCGTGCTCGGCTTGTAATATTATTATTATGCTTCCCTCCCGCCGGCACACATTCGACAATTACTGTACCACTATTACCGTGCTGCATGAAATTTTGTTAGATCGTAATAGTATGGGACGCGATACACATTACGGCACATTTGTTCTTACAATAGAATGTAAGATAAACAGTAGACGCACATTTCGTCATATATATACTGGGAATTACGAGGGCCATTCAATATATTCGTAGCACTGTGGTTGCAAATAATTCTCAGAATTATGATCTAATTTTTTTAAAAACTGTATCATTCATAACTAAATCATAGGGCAATGGCCGAGGTGATACCGCCTACGGCTGGCGGTTGGCATCCATCTGTATAAGGCTACCCGGAGTGAAAAAAAGTTGTCTTGAAAGTGCGCATGTCAAGTTATTATTGCAAAATTTCTTAGAGAAAAACTGTAGAGTTTCTTTTCATGTTGAGTTATTTGTTCTCTTCCTTAATTCATCGCCACTACGTTGTACTATTACGGACTGGTTACTACGATGCAGCTTCGAGCACTCCGCTTTCTCAACTGAGGGACCACTTTCAGGAGTCTCGATCCTTGTCTAAAAAGTACTTGAAATAAAAGCCATGATCGAGAAGCATCTTGAATGAGCTAGAAAGAAGCAGCAAATGGGCAAAATATTCCAGTAGAGGTAGCGTTGAGTAGGGACTGCAGCACCTCGCTCCGGAGATTTGAAAACTGACTTTCACTCGAAATTATCCATATGGTTTTAACGCGCACAATCAGTCTTCCACAAGTTCATTGCTTTAGTTCTCGCCCTCAAGCTGACGTATCCTTAGAAACTCAATTCATTAGCATACCTTAACCTTTTATGAGTTTAAAAAATTTTAGAGTTTTAAGAAATCTTTCCGTAGCAAAAACTGAAAAAATCATAAAGAGCTCCAGGAAGATTGACATGAGTCGATCTCTTCTCTACCGTGTAACTTCTTTGTGGATCCATTTCAAGATTTAGTACATAAATGTTTGCAGTGTATATAGACTGTAGAAATATACTTTATGGCAATAGTGAAATAAAAAAAATTCAGTGGAAGATGGCGCGGCAGCGCTACGAATATATTGAATGGCCCTCGTATATGCAGCTTTATTTAAAACCATAATTAATGCCTTCTGTTTAAACGTAAATTTGATTGCTTCAGGCTTTATAACGTAGACTGACAACATTTTCACACTTTTTATGTGCAATGGCGCTTCACCTTTGTTTGTGATTGAATTTGCTCTGTATATGTAATTTAATCGTTTGTACATAAATTATTATTCTGATGCCACTGTTCATACATTTACTCAAGCGGTCGGCATAAAGCATTGCAGATAATTCGATTTTGGGATTAGCATTTTACCTTTATTTCCCATGTTGGTTTTCGCAGTTACAGTATTGTAGGTCCATTGTGCCCTATTCATAAAAATTTTGGTTGTAAAATTCTTGATATGGTTCATAATAATGAACGAGGTTACTGATAGGAGCTGTGACAAATCGACTGTCCGCAACCGCAATTAACGATAATCGCAATATGTTTAGAAACTGCACAAAGCTGCCATGCGGTATTGCTCATGTTATCAGCAACGGCATAATTAAAGTGAAAGCACGGATGCCCGCGCTTTCCACACACTGTACTGTCTGTACATACCATAAATTACCATTATTCAACGTGCTTTCATTACAACGACGACAAAAATCAGTTTCTACGTGCAGCGTTCAAAACGCTCATATTTTTGAATGTTGGATCCGAATACACACAATTTGGATCGCATTTATGCATTAATCTTTGAAAAATTCGAAATGCAGTGAAAATACAAAACTCAAAAACATCTTTGCTTGCAAAGACACATATACGTAAGTCGTAACTAAAGAGTATAAGAGACATTGCATAATAGAATAGCTATTCGACAGACATATCACAGAAAATTTAAGATATTTACTAGATATCGCCTTGTTCTAGAGTTTATTGGTCTTTGCAGAAATAATAATTGGTCGTTTGCTTTCTCGTTACTTCCTGGGTATCACACCAACTGTAGACTTGTTAAATCTTTATAATCGTCACGCTGAGCGCAATAACTGATTTTCATTTGCATGAACAGAACCGCATTTTGATCGCAAACTTTTATCGGAATAAATAGCAAAACTTTTACGCCAGCTAAGACTATCTTTAAATTTTAAACGATAATTCCGTCATACAAACATGGCGTGCCGGTACGGTATAACAGAATTCGAGGTAATGCAGCGGTTTCGCGATATGCGACGGGCTAGGTCAGCGGATTTGCTGATTAGAATTTGATTAGGGCACGACTATCCTACCGAATAACTGCAAAATACGTAAGCACATCCAACAAAGATGAAAGATTCTCTAAAGCTAACAATTATAAGCAGACGTGTATGGCTCATATTAATTTTCATTTTTATTCAGTACTGACATTCTCTTTACTGGAAAAAAGTGACGCTTACTGCCATATCGGGCGTGACCTTTATACTGTGACCAGTGCAGGATGATGTATGAAAGGTCAATTGCTTAACATACGTGTTCCCGCGAGAGCATCACATCAAAATTTTGTGAATACCTTTTCGGTGAATCATACAAGTACAAGGCTGCAAACAAGTTTACAATCACGTTTAATATTGCAAATATGGATAAACTCAGGGTTATACAGCCACTGACGATACTTTTTCTGGTGTTACTGGAAATTTTACCGAGACCCGGGTTCTGCATATCGCCGGTTTCCTTGCAAAATGGAAATGAGCAAGATTTGCGTGCAGATTGGATGGTCAACAGCGACGACCTCGTCTTCTCTGCAGTAGACGATCCGTTTGATTCCGGTGACATTAATGTGCAAAAAAACCGTATTACACTCGACTCAGTGCCTCCAGACGCAGTCGAAACTAATTCTCCAATCCCGGAGGAGATTATTAACACTTCCGATACTACATTTATTACCACGCAAACCACTCCTACTGATATACCTTCTTCCCCTTCCACACTCCAGCCAGTTACCGAAAGCAGCACAAACGCTCCAAATCCCACAACCGGGAGTGTCTCCAGCGACACCAGCACCACCAGCCAAGAGCTCACCACTTCGTTCAGTGACGATACTACCGCAGCCAAAACTACTTCAAACGCAAATAGTAGTTTACCGACAGCACTCACGGTAAGCAGTACCACTTCAACTGTGATCCAGACCACAGAGATTGTGAAAACTTCTAAACCTACCACACCCGCTTTCGTTTCTTCTACAATCACCAGCGGCTCCACGTCTACAGCAGCGCCTGCCGAGGAACCGACAACACCTTCTTCTGGACTACGCCCTGTCATTACCCTTGCGCTTTTTGTGGTTTCAGTGTTAATTCCATATGTGCTAATGTGAATTCCGTATTAAAATTAAAATGGTTATTAAACAGAATTGTTACGGGTATGTGAAAATATTATAGGGTCTAAAGTCTCGAGATGTTACAAGTTAATTCTGACAATGCTCCAACTAACTGAATTTTTGAATTTGGATAGAAATGACAGTAAACCTTGCATAAACACTTACTGTGCATGTTGTCTTTTCTCAATTTAATACGTACGTGAAAGGAATACCAATCCGATTTTCGGCTTTGCCAGAAACAAGTCCAATAACTGCCTAGATATTTGTGGTGTCGGGCAGAAAGCTTTAACTGTATGTCCAAATACTACCACAAAGCAATATGTACATGTATTACCCTAGAAGATGCATCTCACGACACCAGCTGGCTGCGTAACCTACTATGGGATGACCTTTGCTGCGTTTCCTTTTATGCTTTGTATCTGTATATCAACGACAGCACAAGTTTGGCTGCCGGTATTATCTCTGCACTGTCGAGCAATGTATACATCTTGAAATTCTTTGAGTTCGTAAACTTGAACTGTTTATGCGCCGTTATTTGAAAATCATATGCTGCAAGCGATAACAAATATTAGTTTTGTGGCAACTCTATATCCAGCTACTGTAAGTCCAAAAGAATGTCCATATGCTAATTGTCATTATAATACGTAATTTCATTATTGTAATTGGTTGCGTATAAGCGGGATAATTCTAGAAAACACGATACGATAAAGCGCCGCCGACAATAAACGTACAAACTTGCTCATGGTGTTATAGTCATACATAGAAGTTCCAAATTCAGTATTCTACAAAATTCTTCACTCATATTTTTCAATTTTGAAATCCTCATCACAAAATCAAATCGATGTTAGTAATACGAGGTGATGTAACTGCAACCGAAATGCAGCAAATATTTGCATAATGTCGTACAAAAGGTTCGTTGACCGTCTGTAATCATGAATGTTCACCAGTGAGGTAAACGCAGTTATACGTAGTACTTAACTGACGAAACTGATTGCGGAACTTCCTGCCTAAATATCAGGAAAGGCATTCTCTTTACAAATGGTCCTTACTCGTAAACCGAATGACTTTTGTGCGTTTCTAGAGCTTGTAAGCTCTAGAAACGCACAAAAGTAGTTATGTAGTTATTAAAACTTTTCTATAAAGTACGTTTTACATAGCTACATTTGCTAAGAACCTTATGATTGAATGCCCTACTAAAAACATGCGGAAGGTTGTAAAACGGATTTTTGAATAGCACCTTATCACTGATAACGATGATGAATCGCAATCACCATAATGAGGTCGTCAGACCGTTGACAAACAAAGCATACAGGTCGCGCCCTAAACAACTGATATCGATGAGCATTTTCTGCTAACACAAAAGTCACTATACGGTATCCCTGTTACAGCCATTTGTCGGTATAAAGCCGCTCATTTATAATTTGTTTGGTCCCATCTGCTTTATACGGGTGTCGAAGACGAAATTTTTACGGTTAAACACGTTTGTGAAGTGTTTAATGAACTGCTTTTCTCAACGGATATCTATTTTGCGTTAAGACAAGCAGTAGTTGACAATGTACTTCTCTTATGCATTCATCGCCCTTTTGATGCTGCAGTGTAAAACGGATATTAACGCAGCTGTTATCCCCCGACGTTCCCACTACGGACACAACAATGCTGTCCAACAGTCCTCACAACAAGGAAGTAGTAGGATACGAGAAGGTATAATTGATACAAAATTTTAATGTACGCAAATATTCCAAACGATTGAACTCGTTCAGATTTTGCGGGATCCAATCGCGTCTGTACATAACCTGCACACGCGACGGTTATTATTAACAAACAAGTTATGAAAGCAACAGCACGTTCGACATCGTGCGTTTTTACAGGCATACGCACTACGTTCGATGATGAAACGACTGCTGCATCCGCAACCGAAGCGACTGTGCCACCGCCAACGCAACCTACTGATCCACCGGCTACGCAACCGACCGAAGCGCCAGTGACACAACCAACTGATACACCGGCTACGCAACCGACCGAAGCACCAGTAACGCAGCCAACTGCTGCACCGGTTACACAGCCAACTGATGCACCGGTCACACAACCCACCGAAGCACCGGTAACACAGCCAACTGATGCACCGGCTACGCAACCAACCGAAGCACCGGTAACACAGCCAACTGATGCACCAGGTACAGAGCCAACTGATGCACCGGCTACGCAACTAACCGAAGCACCGGTAACACAGCCAACTGATGCACCAGGTACAGAGCCAACTGATGCACCGGCTACGCAACTAACCGAAGTACCGGTAACACAGCCAACTGATGCACCGGCTACACAACCAACTGATCCACCGGCTACGCAACCGACCGAAGCACCAGTAACACAGCCAACTGATGCACCGGCTACGCAACCAACCGAAGCACCGGTAACTCAGCCGACTGATGGACCGGTAACACATCCAACCGAAGCACCGGTAACACAGCCAACTGATGCACCAGTTACAGAGCCAACTGATGCACCAGTTACAGAGCCAACTGATGCACCAGTTACAGAGCCAACTGATGCACCAGTTACAGAGCCAACTGATGCACCAGTTACAGAGCCAACTGATGCACCAGTTACAGAGCCAACTGATGCACCAGTTACACAGCCGACTGATGCACCGGGCACACAACCAACCGAAGCACCGGTAACACAGCCAACTGATGCGCCGGCTACACAACCAACTGATGCACCGGCTACGCAACCAACCGAAGCACCGGTAACACAGCCAACTGATGCACCAGTTACACAGCCAACTGATGCACCGGTTACACAGCCGACTGATGCACCGGTCACACAACCAACCAAAGCACCGGTAACACAGCCAACTGATGCGCCGGCTACACAACCAACTGATGCACCGGCTACGCAACCAACCGAAGCACCGGTAACACAGCCAACTGATGCACCAGTTACACAGCCAACTGATGCACCGGTTACGCAGCCGACTGATGCACCGGTCACACAACCAACCGAAGCACCGGTAACACAGCCAACTGATGCACCAGTTACACAGCCAACTGCTGCACCGGCTACACAACCAACCGAAGCACCGGTAACTCAGCCAACTGATGGACCGGTCACACAACCGACCGACGCACCGGTAACTCAGCCGACTGATGGACCGGTAACACAACCAACTGATGCACCGGCTACACAACCAACCGAAGCACCGGTAACTCAGCCAACTGATGGACCGGTCACACAACCGACCGACGCACCGGTAACTCAGCCGACTGATGGACCGGTAACACAACCAACTGATGCACCGGCTACACAACCAACCGAAGCACCGGTAACTCAGCCAACTGATGGACCGGTCACACAACCGACCGACGCACCGGTAACTCAGCCGACTGATGGACCGGTAACACAACCAACTGATGCACCGGCTACACAACCAACCGAAGCACCGGTAACTCAGCCAACTGATGGACCGGTCACACAACCGACCGACGCACCGGTAACTCAGCCGACTGATGGACCGGTAACACAACCAACTGATGCACCGGCTACACAACCGACCGAAGCACCGGTAACTCCGCGTACTGATGGACCGGTAACACAGCCAACTGATGCACCAGTTACACAGCCAACTGCTACACCGGCTACACAACCGACCGAAGCACCCGTAACACAGCCAACTGATATACCAGTTACACAGCCAACTGATGCACCGGTCACACAACCAACTGATGCACCGGCTACACAACCGACCGAAGCACCGGTAACTCCGCCAACTGATGGACCGGCTACACAACCGACCGAAGCACCGGTAACTCAGCCAACTGATGGACCGGTCACACAACCAACTGATGCACCGGCTACACAACCGACCGAAGCACCAGTAACTCAGCCAACTGATGGACCGGTCACACAACCGACCGAAGCACCGGTAACTCCGCCAACTGATGGACCGGTAACACAGCCAACTGATGCACCGGTCACACAACCAACTGATGCACCGGCTACGCAACCGACCGAAGCACCGGCCACACAATCAACGGAGGCATCCTTCACTTACCCAACTGCGGTAACACTACAAACTACTAACGGTACTACCTCAACTTCTGTCCAGACTACTGCTATAACTAGAACTAGCTCAGTAACCTTTAAGCCGACATCTGAGCGGCCTACCTCAAGGCATACTTCGACAATCCCCAGCAGTACCAGTAGTACATCCGCTAGGACCACTACCAAGCTTACTACGACATCTAAGGTCACGGCAATGATAACGGAATCTGCAACCAGGTACATCTGCTTTTGTGTCATGTTTTATGCGAACCCGCCACCCAAACTGTGTTTAACACTGTACAAGTACAATGTACAATATTGTAGCCTAACATGCAATCAAAACGACCCTGAATTAATCTAATTTTAACTTTTCTGTGGCTGGCATAATTCGTTCATACGGAAAGCCGATTTGAGCCGTGCTGAATGCTTATCCGTTTCTGATAATTATCTTTTTAGCACATCGGATGTTCCTTCTTGCGCTTCTGGATTGTGGATGGCAAATATGCGTTTCCAACCTATGTTGTTCCTTTTCGGGTTTTTGATTGCGCATGCTAGATTCCATATATAACAAAAACTAGCACTACCAAATAATTTTGTTTTCTCATTTCGTGGTTTACTTTTGGCGGCAACGCTGAAGTGACCGCACGCTGATTGTTACGTATTTAACTAATATATTAGAACTGTTGCAAATTATCTCTATTCTTGGTACTGTACGTACGTACTGTACAATACATAGTTCACGATACATGTATAAATATTTGCTGTTTAACAGCAGAGAATGCCGTTCAAGCGGCAAAATGATAATAATGTGAACGGCTTTGCAAGTGCATCTCAAAAGGATGCAGAAAATTGTAGGCAATAATCAACAGCCACATATACGACGAGCCGGATGAGGTACTTTTAGACAGAGTAATTAATTATTATCCAGTAATTTCCCCAGAAGAAATAGTACACCAGGAAACACCATTTGGTTCTTTAGGGATACATGTAGTCGTCACATTCGTGCTGTCGCTGACAATCAAGCAACCTCTATTGTTCGTCAACTTCGTACGCATGGTCAGTGATTCTTTTGCTGATTTATTTTGTACTGTATCCGCATACAAGAATTGTGGAAGCAAATTCGGCAAAAATTTCTTATTAAGCATCAATCAATGGAGGCGACCTAATCACACAGAAAATTTGATCTAAATTTGCTCCTATGGCGCCGTCCCAAGGGTAGACGCCGCATGGCCACGTTGGATCTCGATGCTGATCTGCTGACGAAGAAATTCCGTAGCCCGTTTTTCCTACCTTCTATAGTCGCGTCAGAGTGTGGAAGGCCTTGTTGCCTATTTGTCCAGTCGCTCCAGTGATGGGCAAAATTATGTACATATTTCGCAAGATCAATCAAACCATAGGACACTGTTTGCCACATTTCGCTGTTTGCTACATTAATGTGTAATAGCTCTAATAGTGCCCATTCAGCAGTGCGGGAGTACTCTCCGCAACAAGTACAGCGCGGAAGTACGAGTAATTAGTAGTCGTAACCATTACTGTAGCTCGGTTTTCCTTTTTCAGAGCGATACCGTTGGGCTGCTACACGCACCCCGTTTTCTGCTGACCTCCGTGTAACACCATGTTTCGTCCGTGTAACACAATAGTCGAGCTGGTTAACTGCAACCAACACGAACAAAGAAGACTCGGGATTGCCTTATCTGTTATCACGAACCCAGTCAAAAGACCGGCCACGTGGTATTGCTTGTTCCTCGGACGCGGATATGGCGAAGCAACTTGCTTTTGTCAATTATATTGATACTCTTGCCGTCGGCAGCGATATTCACCGACTTCGCCACGTCAAAATCTTCGTTACAGAATTCGCCATCGTTCGGTTTTTCTTCCTGATATTGACTTTTAAATCCATAATTCGGCCAAAATTTGACACGGATTCTTTCCGTGAATTCAACTTCGTGCATACATAAAATCCAGCATTGCTCCCGCTCCTTCTCCTTTATTAATGCAAGCGCATTATTCAATCCGCTACCGCCCACGCACTTGTTTTTCCATATTTGCCGTAGAGACCGTAATTTTTGTATATCCTCGGCCATCTGTTTTTCTCCATACATCGCTCTCTTCTGTTGAAAGCGCATCAGAAAATGCCGGTAAAACATATTATCAGCATGATTCCAAGCCAAGATATCGCCCGTAACTTTCTGTTTTAGCATTACCGGATGTTGTTTATTTTGGCGGTTTAAATGGAACTCTATAACATCATCCCATTCCCAGCACAGCAACTGGCGAAGTAACACCAGTGATTCATCCATGTAATCACTAATCATAATCAACGCAAACTGTTTGCCGATATAATCAATGGTTTCTTGTACTGCCGTTATATTATCAAAATTCTCTTTCTCCAACCCAAAGTCCGACATCATGGGATTCCGGGCAAATTGTAGAGACCGATCATCACTTTTGTTGAAATAGTACCGTCGCGGATCCGCTACGAATTCTTCCAGAGAAACACTGAATCGTCGATTGAGAGAAAAATATGCCCACGTTGATTGGTACATCGCCGCCGGTTCGCGCAAGATGCCAATGTAAACGGTATCTTTCGGCATCATTGCCGGTATTACATCTTTGTTGAATCGCGCATGATGGGCAAAGATGTCATATTGCGTACTAAATTGTCGCGGAACGGGCAGCGCCATTTCGGGACGAAACCGTTCGAAGTTTTCAAATGTCCCGAGATTGTTGGAAAACCAAGGAATTACAAAAGTCAAGTTATGTTGATTTCCATAACGCATTAGTATATTCTGGATACTGGTGCTGCCGCATTTGTGCGTTTTGACGAACATAATGTGACTAACTGGCTGACACCCAGAACCGGAAGAAATTTCGTTTGCACCAGTGTTAATGCTGTTGTTCCGGACATTCCTAAACAGTTCCATACAATACTAATTTTTAAATTCTTATGTTTGTCTGTTTGTTACTGCTCGTGCACAGGTACCTATAGCTACCTAGTAACTTGTTTCTGCGTGTATCGCAGCACGAAGTCCTAAATAAGCCACGTGCTTCATTTTGTTATGATTGACTATTGACCTGCCGTAATTAGACTATTGACGCATTTTACCAGACGCATCATAATAACGATCACTTTGATACCTTGCATTGATTAAATTAACTGCAGTAATTACAGTATATAATAATTGTCTTATGGTCAATATATTTTAAAAGTTCTCATTATGCTGACGTTTGTCGGTGCAAAATAAGACAGCTCTACTGTATTTCCATCACCAAGCGGTCAAATGTATGTACTGTTTTGCAAGCAAGGATTATTAAGCAACAGCCTAAAAATGAAATACCTGCATGCAGCAGCGCAAGATTTATGACAGAAAAGATTACTATGAAAATTAGGAAACAAAATGCTTAAACGGTACAGTGATTGAATAGTAAATTTTACCTTCCTGTTCCCGGTGGCTGGGATGCTTCTTGAAAGCTAAATGAACGATGCTTGGCAAGGGATAGCGTGAATAGTATCAAAATCAACGATAATCCCAAGACGATCGCCTTGCGAGTTTTTTTTGCTGCGGAGGTGGCGATAGTAATGATAATGATCATAATGACAAATGTTAAGACCGCTTGATCACCAGAGATCAGACTGGCTGCAAGCAGCGCGTTTCACCAATACAATAAAACGTAATAAATTATTATTCTTATAATTAGCTAACCGTGTTGAAACTATATGTAATTAAATAAAAAATTGCAGTGGTTACGTGGGCGTACTCGATCATAGTTTCCAGCGTCCACATGCAGCTTAAATTCGCAGTAATATCGAAGTATAGATGCAAACATCGAAATAATTATGGAATATCTTTAAAGAGATTATGCTACAGCCTTTCTCCGTTCCAAGACGCTTCAGATATCTGAGTATGTTTGTCAACGCTACAAGTCTAGAATCCGTAAAAACGACCGAAATATCTTTTAAATTAGTATGCAAATATCAATTTTTTACTTGTGTTATGAAGCAGCTGATTCGAATTTCACGGTAGAGTGCCGCTTGATCAAATTAACTTAAAACCAGTGTGTGCAAAGTCAGTTTCGTCTATGCAGTGTGTTCATAATTACCGTATTATGCGGAGGCAATGCAAGAAGCAAACGCATTCAGTGCCAATTCACCTCGCGAACGACCCATATGTTCGCGTTCCTGACAAGGCACAAAACATTTTGGGTCGAAAATGCATGAGATGCTGCATCGAAATACAGCTTATAATAACATGTATCAGTTTGATTAAACTGTCAACCGCCACCTTCTGCAAAAGTATTTGTACATTCAGCCGGCACGTTGAAGTAGAACTGTAGAACGATCAACGATATGTTTCGATGAGAATAGAAATGGTCTGCCAGCGTTAACATTTATTGTAATATCATGCATTATAGTTGATACATGCAACGCACTTTGACTTCGATTTTATGATGCATAAAACGCTTCTATGCAAAGTCAAAATATCATTGCAGCAGTGATACAGGCAAAAAAAGACAAGCATACGTCGAAGGGTTGATATAACCGGCTTTCACCTAAATATTCAACTGATAAGAAATATTAAATATACACTTATTTTACTACGTCATAACTTGATAAGAATGCGATGTTGACCCGTCAGTATTTTATAAATTATAATGAGCCGCATAAAGTATGTTAGCATAGCTAAGGATATACTGTACGTGTATTCGACCGCTCACAGTATGCACTGTTTGCTCATGATCACACTATAGTTGTATGTACTGTAACTTGCTATCACTAGCTGCAACAGACATATATATAACCATAATAATTGTAAGAATCCTATAATATTTCCTAGTGGTACTATTTTTTTTGCATAATTATCATACAATTCCATGGTCTGACAGCGTTTGTCAGTACCGGTACCGTACATCAGTAGGTTTCGAAAACTTGGCGTGCCGGCTTGAAGCGAAAACCGAGACGAAGGGCAAGACATGATGGTCTTGCATTCTTGATGGGATGCACGGTTTTTTTAATAAGCATTATTACGATTTCCATTGATGCAGCTTAGGCATTTTGACATCAAAGTGACCGGAAACGCAAATTACGATTGCCCTTACTAAGGTATGCACGCATAAGCGAACCGTTCCTCCATGTGGCTTATGAGTAGGTACGCCTGCAGTCCGATACATCTTCAATATTGCATATTTTGTGCACCTGATCAATAAGTACAATATCCGCAGATTTAGCAGGACAATCCTTGAGCCTCGAAGCACTGCAGAATTTTTTGCGAAGTCACTGCGAAACCGTTGGCTACGTACCTTATTAGTGTGCTGTGCGCCTTACGATTTCTGCAGCATCATGTCGTGTTAAAGTTTGAAATGTGAAAAAATGGGTCGAAAACTTGTATTATTCTCTCTATGCAGCCGCGCCATACTTCTGACTGTAGCATAGATTCATATAATTATACCGTACAGCACTATTTTTAACCCTAGAAGACATTTATTTTTATATTGGTTATTTTTAACTATGTTACGGTAAATTACTGTGGTAATATTTTTAACTGATTGCGGTACAAAGGAAAAAGGATTTTTTATTACCCGGGAAAGCAATATATTGTATTGCTTTTATGCATTTTCGGTTTTGTTATCGATTGTCAATGTTTTTGCAAGGAGGCAGTGTAAAGTGGCCCTTCTAATAGAACGTGGTCAGCTGGCCAGTTGGATGGGGATATGCTTTTATTGTTACTTTGTCTGCCGGCAATGTTTATTGCAGTTGTCTCATCATGCAATACTCGCATTGCTGTTACTTTCAGTTTATGCTTGATTTTGCTCGTCTCTACCTTACTCCTTATGAAGGGGGATGATGTTAATTATGAAAGTATTTTTCATCCATTGGAACTAACTATAAACAGGTTTGTCTTGTTTCGAATCAAATACTTGCAAGCATTCATTGGCGACCTTTTAATTTGCTACGTATGTAATAGCAAAACAACTGTCGGTAACAATTGTTTGCACAGCACTAACTCCGTTCATATTACATACGGTATACTTAAAGTAAATTCATAAAGGTCACAGTATGGTATAATGTTTAAGCCAAACAACTGCACTCGCTTTCACTTATAATAAATATCCAACTTACCTGTGGTGCTTGAATTCAGTAGGAACAACGTGGATGACCGATCTGATTTCGACGCTGCAGACCTCCCAACAATATCTCAAAAATGCCAACCAGTAAAACATATTATGTTCGTGAAAACCCACAAATGCGCTAGTAGTAGCGTGCAGAATGTCCTTTTGCGCTACGGCAACGCTAACAATCTTACCTTTGTAATTCCACCCTTTTCCAACAATCTCGGGGATTTCACGAAATTCGAACTATTTGTTCCCAACTTGGCTTTGCCGCCTCCGCCACGTTACAGTCCGCACTACGACATATTTGCCCACCACGCGCGTTACAATCGAAAGGTCATCCCCGGTATGATGCCTAAAGATACGGTATATATCAGCATTCTGCGCGACCCGGTCGAACAGTATCGTTCAATTTGGAATTATGATTCTTTAACCAAACGTTTCAAAGTTTCGTTGGAAAATTTTGTGGCAAACCCACGACATTATTATTTTCGCAATCCGTCATCAAAACCGTGGTTCTACCGAACCGATGATGACTCCACATCGCTAATGCATGCCAGAAACCCTATGATGTCAGATTTGGGTTTGGAGAAAGAGGATTTCGATAATTTAACATCTATACAAGAGGCAATTAGTTATATCGCTAGTCAATTCTCCTTAATCATGCTTAGCGACCAGATGGATGAGTCTTTGGTTTTGCTACGGGCGTTATTATGCTGGGAATGGGATGATGTTATAGAATTTCATTTAAACCGGCAAAGCGCAAATCCCCCGGAACCGTTATCCGACAAGGTCACAGAGAATATTTTGGCGTGGAATTACGCCGATAACATGCTGTACCAACACTTTACAGTTGAATTTGACCGGAGAAAATCTTTATATGGTAAAGACAACCTCCAGAAAGATGTTAAGCAGCTACGATACAGGAGAAACAAATGGAAAGAAAAGTGCCTGAAATCGACACTTAAGGAAGAAAAGTGTAGATACTTGTGCATGGACGAGTTACAGTTTACCGATTTTTTAAGGAAGAAATTAGGGTCAGGCGGTAAAAATTTTCCAAGTGGTAATCTGGAAAATGATTTCGATGAACTTAATCAAACAAAAAGCTACTGTGATGAAGGTTTTGATTCCAGAAAGTGGTTTCCGAAATCATCTAATGCAGTCTGAATCAACGGAATACATTAAATTTTGTTTGTTCGCTATTAGTTTCAGAAGTGTACAGTAAATACTGTACAAGAATGTACAGTAGCCAGTAACGCTTATTGATTTCATGTTAGCTCAAACTTTTCGTGCGCACTCCAACTTTTTCTTTTGGTCTCTTATGACATGCGCTTTGCTCGTGTACGAGATTTTATTCTCATGCGTTTCTAGCTAACAATACAAAATATGACAACATACAAAAGAACGAAATATCAGAATAACGCTCAAAAAAGATTAGATTGGAACGTGTCCCTCGAAACAATTTGGTAACCACTCTGTTCTCAACCTTTCGCAGTATTTTTCATTTCGTGGACTACGTATGAATTACTTTTGCTGCGCTACCTTTCAATCCGTGCATAGCCATACCCGGCAGAAACCTTTCACTTTGCTTTTTCCGATTTCGAATTGAATTTCACAGTTTGACTTGTTACCTGATTCCCGTGCACAGCCCGTATGACAAAGCCAGCACTGCTGGATTCGGATAATGCCATATAGATATGCACTACTTTCTACTTGCAGTAATAAACAAGCATAAACAATGTACAATCAAGGTACAATCAAGCTACAATTAAGCTACAATCATTAAATTAAATTTGCAGTATCTCCATAACCGAACTCCCACACTTCATCACAGAAATTTTTATCAAACATCTGAGCATTTTTGCCCTTTCTACCGCGATAGTGCGGTTGTGATCCGTAATTTGGCCACAATTTTGCTCGAATGCGATCTGTAAACTCCAGTTCATCCATGCAGAAATACTGGCATTCCTCGTTTATTGTAGTACTTGAGCCCGGTTGATTAGTTTTATCAATCAGATGTCCAGCAAAGCACTTCCGTTCCCACGCTTTCCTTAATGACCGCAACTTTTGCAGATCGTCTTTCATTCTTTCTTTTCCGTATATGCTTTTCTTCTCTTCGAATTTGGCTAGAAAATGCTGGTACAACAGATTGTCGGCACTGTTCCAGGCCAAAATGTCGCTGGTGACCTTTTCTGTTAATTCCACCGGAAGGTGTTTACTTTGTCGGTTTAGATGAAACACCACGACATCATCCCATTCCCAGCATAACAATTCACGGAGTAACACTAGTGATTCGTCCATCTGATGGCTGATCATGATCAAAGAAAAGTGTTTATCAATATAGTTAATTGTTTCCTTGATTACTGTTAAATTGTCAAAGTCCTCTTTTTCCAGTCCAAAATCCGACATAATTGGATTTCTGCCGAACTGCAGAGAGCGATGATTACTCTCATTGAAATAATACAACCTTGGATTTTTCACAAACTCCTCCAAAGGAGCACTGAAGCGCAAATGGAGAGAAAAAAATGTCCAGATGGATTGGTACATCGCCGCCGGTTCGCGTAAAATGCTAATGTAAACCGAATCTTTTGGCATTATTCTGGGAATGATATCTTTATTATATCGAGCATGATGTGTAAAAATTCCATACTCATTTCCGCATTCCGACGGCAGGGGCAGCGCCAAACTAGGATGAAATTTTTCAAATTTGTCAAATTCACCGAGATTGTTGGAAAATGGTGGAATGACGAAAGTCAGGTTGTTTCGGTGGCCATAACGCAACAATACATTTTGAATGCTGGTGCTGGCGCATTTGTGCGTTTTTACAAACATAATGTGATGGACTGGCTGGCATTTTCCCGATGATGTCTTGTAATTGCCCAAACTGGATGCAGAATCGCTGTCAGTTCGAAAAAAAATATACAAATACAAATAACAGTATGTATCTGTAGATATTTTATACATGCAGTCGTAGAATTAAGTATTAAGTTAATAGTCCATACAAGATTGTAATTACCTGCAATGCCATATCAAGTGCAACACATATTGATTGTGGAACAGATGTTCTGACTCGTATAGTCACTTTGTAACAGTTTTGTCTTGCAAAACAATTTTTTGGTAGCCTAAAAAGACCTAAGTATTTTGTAATACTGTAATTTATCCTTAAAATACGCACGTCTCGTACGAAAAATGCTTCTCCGCTTGAAGTTGTCGATGGTGACCGTCGTGCACGGGAATATAGTTTCCGGTGTGATATTTGGTAAGCGACAAGGTCAAAAGAATTAAAACTAACGACAATCCCAGAATCGCCAGACTTCGAATATTATTTGGGGAGCTAATTGTTAGCAGCATAATAACTTCATAGAAGACACTTTAGAACATTATTAGTAGACACTTTAAAACATTATTGGTGTAAAATTAGGATACCGCGGTAGTCTTGCAGGCATTCATTGGGCGGCATATGGTCATGCATCACACGAATACAGCTGCTGAGCCCGTGTGACATAGGAAACCGAAAGGGAATGGCAGGAATTTGTTCAGGATTGACTACCAGCCATGCAGTCACCAATGGAACGACAACGAATGACGGCAGCATTAAGCACCTGCGTGTAGGATGTAATATTGTACGTTGTGCTCTTCTGTTAAAGATGCAGAAGCGCTCTACGTGCTGATTACGAGCGACCCGGTTCTTCTGCGACCAGAACTGAGTGTCGCATCTTGCCGGAAGCTAGTGGTGCATGTTCACCATTCATATTAAGCAATATATATAGCGTCAGCGTAAGCAAGTACGCACTTGTAAAATATTAATACTATGCATTTTAATTTATATAAACAGACACTTATACGGAATCTGAATGTATACTTGAATGTATTTACAATTCTTCCAGATTGTATTCAGGTAATAGCCATACTGCAATCTCATGACTGATTCTATGTTGACAAGCGTAACGTGAAAACGAGCAATTGTGCTTATGGTTGTACTCGTATTAGTTCTTTTATAGCAGATGATCACCATAGAATGGTTAGCTTCCAAGTTCGATATGAACACAGTTATTGGTTGCAAATATTTTTCATTATAATCGGGACTTATTCAAACAAACATAACTGGATACAGTCTACAGATGTATTCCATATATGATTTGTATACTTACTATGACAGAAACGCAACTAAAATGAAAATAAAAACTAAAACTACTGGGCAGATGTGCAAAATGTATTTATCATACATTGTGCACATTTGCTACGTTTTTGCTGACTATAACATGATTTCATCACAGAGGTTTATGTCATCCATTTCAAGGCGATGACCTTTCCCACGATATCGACTGCGAAACCCGTAATTTGGCCACAGTCTAGATCGGACTATGTTGGTGAATTCCAGTTCGTTCACACACAACAAGTGGCAGTAATCCTTATCCTTCCGCGACAGAGTAGGAAACAGTTTTGGCGAGCATCGGCGTTTCCATTTTTGCATGAGATCCCTTAGCTTTATCACATCTTTTCCCATTTTATCACTTCCATATTCGGACACCTGCTTTTCAAATTTCGCAAGAAAGTAATGATACAATAAGTTATCAGCCTTATTCCATGCACGAATATTTTGGCGATCAATCTCTGTTAATTTTGTGTAATAACTTTTCGGTTGCGAATTGAGATGGAACGCCACAACATCTTGAAAATCCCAACATAATAAACTGCGTAGTAAAATCAACGATTCCTCCATCCGACCACTTATCATAATCAAAGAGAATTTGTTACTAATCTTTTTAATAGCTTTTTCTATGGTTGATTGATTAGTAAAATCGGTTTCTTCCAGTCCCAAATCAGACATTAATGGATTCCATCCGAATTTCTTTGTGTGCTGACCTGCTGCATTAAAGTAATATTGCACAGGATTTCTTGCGAATTCCGGTAAGGAAACATTATATCGTAAATCCAATTGAAAATAGTACCAAATCGATTCATACATTTCCACCGGTTCTCGAATAATGGTAATATAAACAGTATCCCTGGGCATAATTTCAGCAATATTATTTTCCATAAAACGCGCATGATGCGCAAAAATTTGGTATTCGTTTCCGAATGTTGATGGTAGCGGAAGCGCTAAATCCGCGTGAAACGGCTCGAACTGGTCAAAGTTTCCCAAATTGTTACCGGATGGCGGCAGAACAAAGGTCAAATTGTTTCTGTGTCCATAACGCAGGATAATATTCTGCAGCGTGGTACTGGCACATTTGTGCGTCTTTAAAAACATCAAATGCTGGACTGCTTCGCACTGCGGCGAATGTGATCTAAAACATATGATGAGAAAACGCGTTAACGAAAATGATGACAAAACTGGTGTCACATTGGTGCAAACTTGGTACTGGTGTGAAACTGCTGTTTAAAACATAGATAACTTAAAATATTTTTAAATAAATAGAATACGTCAGTTATAGCACTAATACCAACATAGCTGCGTGTTTAGATTTTAAAAAAGCTCGTAGCCGACACCCATCTTAAGATTAGATTAGATAAGATAACGTTAGATAACTTAAGATTAGATAACGTTTATTCCCGTTTGATAATATTTGTACTACTGGTGTGACACTATATTTGTGCTTGCAGTGTCAGTTGTCAACACGGAAGCTGCTTATGGTCAGAGCAGGCTATGGGGCTGTGTACAATAATTTACTATTAACGGTTACGCTACATGCAGATCGTATATTCAGAGATCCTGCGAAGCTTTTTAAACTTTAAATATACTTCAAGCCATTTTGTCAAACGAGAATTGTTTAAATTTTGTTTACTACTTGCGCAGTTTACAAATTGTACTATGTGTTTATAATTTAGTTCTACTCTCACCTCTCCGAGATACTTTTCACTTCTTCATAATGGTGCACAGTTGAAGACCACGAGGGATATTTGGGAATACTCGTCAAAGAGAACACAATAAAAATTATTGCTACAAGAACGACCCCGTGTTTTCGGCCTTTTCGCCACTGGCACAAATAAAATGAAGAACATAAATATAGCATTGTACTCCCGCTTTCCCACTGTATCGTGAAGTAATCATACGTATTAAGATTGGAAAAATCTTTAAATAAATCAAGCAATAGTAATCAATACCAAAGGTGGACCGGAAGATACCGGTTGCGCGTAAAACACTGAATATAGATACTGATAACATATTTAATTAACACTGTTGTCCCCGGGTTATAGACTTATGACAATACGGCTTAGCAGGTGGATTCAACTTAATTGCCGGTTTTAATCGTACCAGAAAAATAATCCGCATTTTACCTCGAGCTTTATTACGTTACCTCACATAAATCAAACTATGTAAAATGCGCCGTAGATAAGTCATATGTCCGAGTGCCGGGTAAATTACAATATTTACCGTAAGTACCCGTAGACACGGCAACAGAATTATGTGTTTATGTTGTGTATGGGAAAGAAAGTGAGGTGAGTTAGCAGATACCATTCGTGCATTAGCGATGCCCCTAGGCCCTAGGTGCAAGCTTTCAGCGAGACCGAGTGCAATCCAAAATAATGAAGAACCAGCAATCAACAGATTTTTCAGCAGATTTTCATTAAATTCCCTACACAAACCGATTCCGAGTAGGCTTTAAGAGGAAATATTTTTAGTATGGGCCGCAATGAACCAGAATCGTAGAACACTGCCACTGTAGCTAACAGAAAAATTTCCATCGTACAGGTCAACATGTATGTACTACCTCAAATGTTACCATAAACCAGACAAAAAAGCTTTAAAACTGAATTCTGATTTCCTGTTTCCAACTTTCCTTCGGATAAGTAAAGCATATGAATAAATTGTAATGCAAGTCAGGTAATACTGTGATGTCTGAAAAATTGTAAACTCCTTACAAGTTATAAACTAATTGCAAACCGTAAACTACAAAGTACTTACAGCTTACGATTAGTAAATACTAAATACTCGTACAATTCTTAAAGAACGCCATTTCGAGCAGCCAACCGGTAGCAACACCAAACTGATCAACGTCTTTAATGCCTTTTTTTTCCATATAGTCAGCACAGCACGTTCACCTCAGCTTTCTCGCCGGGTTCACTTTCTTTTCCAACGTGCTTTTCATGTGTCAGCCTTTTTTCTTTCTTTTCCATTGCTGCACACCCAATGTCATAACAGCCTTGATTAGTGGCTCGCAAAGTTAACAAATTAATCGGGTAAATAGTGAAATATCAGATACACATCAATAAAATAAACATGGTAAAAATAAGTATAATTAGAAGAACAAATCAAACATGATACAAAAGCATAAACAACAGTTACGCAGCACACACAAAAAGATCTAATCCACAAAAAAACAACACTCAAGCGGTAATACTAAAGTTTCCAACCCCAACCAAGAGCCGCACAACAAAATCATATAAGAATAAAATCATCTACATTATCGGCTTCATTGAGCGTCCAGGAGATGTAACCACACAGCTCCCATAACCGAATTCATGGGTTTTAGCATAAATGAACTCTTTATTACAAAAAATGCTGTCGAAAATTCAGTCAATTTTAACTCGGTCACTGTCACGTTCTGGGCGAGAAATTCTGGCCAAACATTGCAATTTTCATGTACGGCGCTCACGGTCTTGTTTTGTTTTCCACATCATCAGCTCCATACAGGCTGCCGCGTCTTCCCGACTGTCATGTCCCCCCACATCCTCTTGGATGATTTTATTTAACAACTCACGCATTAAATTTCGTAATGCTAAAACACGGCAATTAAACACACTCACACGTAATCAATTTTCACATTTTTCTCAACAAATTCTCATATACTTCACTCATAATTTCTAATTTTATATAAAATCAAAAACCTTATAATTTCATTTCTCAAACCGAAAACCAATTTCATTAGCCCAATAGTAATCGTACCTATTTACCTTATAAATTACGGTTCTTTACAATTTGTGATCGGAGCTTATTCACTTGTAATAAAATTATATATTCGTACAAAGTAAATGATAAAATAAACAAATTTTTCATATACGATACCTCGCTTGAATGGTGGGCCGCGTTTATGCGGGAACACAATGGACGTATCCACAATGTTGCGATGAATCAGCTTCATGGCCAGCAGATCCGACTCCAGCGAATGCCCAATCAGGATAGTGTCTTCCGTGATCAACCCGCCTAGCAGATCTTTATGCACCTCTTCAATGCTCTTCATCCCCTTGCCCAACTCCCGGTTGAACATCTCCGGTTTCAGTCCACTGAAGCGTGTATTACAGTCGATAATGCGCTGTTTCGGCTTCACCAGCGTCTCGTACACTGTCTTCAGATGCCGATCCACCATTGTCACCCGCGCCAACTCAATCCCACCGACGGTGTAGATCATTTCGCAGTCGATGGCGAACACTTTGCATTTATCTTCGGGCCGCGTGGCAGGTACCCCCGTACTGGATACGAATCCCGATAACGAGGGGATGGTGTCGGCCACGTGACACTTAGCCACACAGCAGCCGTACGAGGATGATTCATCCGAGCAGCAGGTCCGTTTGGCCGCGATGCCTTCACCGGACACGCGCCGGGAGAAGGCCTTCCCCCAGTGATACACGCACTCTTCATCGCGGGCGTAATTGCCTTCGAAATCCACCGTAAAGTCTTTCTTACAACGACAACATATCCGGCGTGTCTGAGTAATACGGTCCGGGGTAATTTTACCCGACATGGCAATGTACAGCTGCAGTCCGTCGCGGCGATTTTCACCATCTAGTAAAACAATCTGGGTTATAATTATTTCGATACTCCTCTGCGCTTATGGAAGGAGTGCCATTCTAACTTTGCACGCAATGTATTACAACATTTTTGTATTATAAATAAACTGTTTTATACAGTTCCTAATTTTGGCAGTCCAAATATTTTTTGGAAGGGATAAAAGCAACGACTAAACTGATTTACCTTGTTTCTTAGCCTGTATCAATGGATAGCCATTGATCACAAGATGGTCTTCCGTGAGAACGGACTTTTTCATAGCGGCATAAAACTCCATATCGCTCCACATTCGCGGGTCGTTGTTAATAATTCTCTGTTGAGTATTCTTGGGCATGACGGAAAAATTCTGCTTCTGCTGCTGTGGCGTAGTGGGACTGGCTTTCGGGAACGTCATAGGCTTGTCCTTTTGGCCGGTCGTAGCGCCCACAGCGGCTGGTACAACGGGTGCGACGGCTTGCTTTAACTTTACCAACTCTTGCGTGGCCTTATTCCTACCCAAATGTAATAAATCAAGATGATTAATGTTAACATTAGCAATATTCGACGTTTCTGCGAACGAGTTTGTTTACTGTGTCTCATAAACGAGTTAGTTTAGCATGTCCATGATGAATAATCACCAAAGCAAATTACATGATCTTTTGTATAAAAACAATAAAGCATCACAAAGCATAAATCAAATTAATAATACTGTAGCACTTTACCTGTACGTTCCCATGTGAAACGAATTCACGGCAATATCTTTCTCGGTCTGCACAGCTCTGTCTACAGCTTCCTTTTGGGAAGGATAAATCTGCGACATATGTTGGATAAACTTCTCCAGCACCTGTTGCCGGAAGGGTAGCGATAGTTTACTCCCCGACACAGCCATCACGCGCGGTATTTGCGCAGCCGGTGTGCCACCAGCCACTGGCTGGTGCGCTACGCGCTTTTCACCCTTATCCACCGCAGCGGCAATCACAGGGGCAGTAATACTTTGAGATCCGGACGCGGATGCTGCCGCGGCGGCGGCCAACTGTCTCTTCTGTTCCTCAATGGCCTTCATGCGCATCTCCAGCTGCTGCTGGGGGGTGGCAATTTTCTTCCGCGGTGGCTGACTGGGACGGGGAGAAACGGGTTCGGCCGGTCGGGATGGCGGTGGAGCTTCGGGTACGGTTAAAGTTTGTAGGAGCTTTTGGGGATTTTTGGGAAAACCACGCGGAATTACCGGTTTGGCTGGCCTAAAAACCGTCCCAGAATTATCGACAGTAAACCCAGGCCTCTGCACCTAATTTCCCCGTCTCGAGGAATGCCCGCAAAAATAATTGTCACAATGCAGTCTCTATGCGGAATCATAACAGTTCGAACAAACTTTGAACATCATAGTTACTTCAGTAAGAAAGAATACAGCACTGCCATATTCAGCAGACGTACATTTCAATGGGCAGTTCAACCATAATCTCATCGTCCTCTTCGTCATCCGCGCCAAATAGACTCTTCATAACTTCTGCCTCACTGGTACCGGCGGTCTTCCCACTAGGTTGCACGGGGATCTCCATCACGTCATCATCATCCACGGCCTTCCCAAACCGCGCCTTCTTCTTCACCAACCGCGGCGGTTCCGCCGGGGATTTCTCGACGCGTTTCCGTGGTGCCGGCACCCACGAGGACGCCGGGGCAATCTTCCCGGGAACTGCCGCAGCCGGCGGACGTCCCACCGGCTTCTTTCCTAGCGCCACAACGGAATCCGTTTCGGCTATCCGGTGCCGGATGGCGGCGGCCGCTGTGAGGTTGGCAGGCGGAGCGGCGGCTGCTACCGCTGGGGGCACCGTCTCCGAGGGAGCGGGCGAAGTGGCGGTTTCGACTGCTTCCGGCTCGGTGATGGTACTGCGGAAGGGCATGCGCCAGTTGTTGATAGGATCGTACTCGAGGTCGTTGGGTTGGGTGTTCTGGGTGGAATCCACCCAGTCGAAGCTGTAGGGGTTGCGCTCGCTGGTGGACTGATCGGGTGCATCACTGTAGGTCGGGCGAGGGATATGATCGCTGTTGGCTGTAGTCAGACAAAACACAGATGCCAATCGCACGATAAGTATCAATAAGTCATACGGTATAAACATACGTCTGCCTTCGTGCGAAGGCAAAAAAGGTTATTCCAGGTCAGTAAATTGCAATTTAAACTATTTTTATCGGGAATTCTATCTCTCTGGGCCTAGACTTCCTCAATAATAATAAGTTGTCATAACAAAGCTGCAAAAGCAGGAAAACGATCAGGCAAAAGATAAACAGTAGTCCGTGTGTATAACGTTAGTTTTAAAAAAAAAACTATTTACATAATGGATCTGGCCAAACAGTTAAACGCAGAGAAATACGCAAGCTCGGAAAACAGTAATTAATAGTGTTAGGGCAAACAACAGTTGAAAGAAATATTAAAACCCTCCACTGTAAGAGTCAGCGCGTGAATTCCACTATTAAATCCCAATTTTTTCGAACTATTAACTAAAAAAATGAATCTGAGAAAAACGCCTCCGAATTCTCATCAAAATTAACTTAAATGTTATAAATTTGTTCCACCCACGTCTGCTAGAAAATTATTAAAAATTTTGTAATATTGCCCAAATGGAATACTTTTCGAAAAGCCCAACACCATTACTTACGTCTCACGATTAACCCGTCAATTTCGCTTTTTTGGAGCGTGACTTTACTGCTGTCGAGTGGCAAAGAAACCGCTGCAGCACCATTGTGCAAAGGTGCCACGACACTGACAGCATCGTCCGCGCCGCGCACCGACTCTTCCGTGGGCCAAACCGGTGGAATACTGGTCGAGGAAGATGGTGACGGTGTCTCCACCGGTGGACTCAGTCGGGAGCCGGCTGAAAATGATGACCTTTTAGTGGAATATGGATTGGAGGACGCAGTAATCCCGTTCTGTTGCTGAGAGAGCAATTCCGCAGAGTGGCTGTATCTGCAACGATTTTGAACCATGACCGTGGAGTTCTATGTGCGGGTGAGTGAGCGTCAGTGACGCAGCAATGCCACTTGCTTGCAATGCGGTCGTCCACAGGTAGCGAGACCCGAAGAACCAGCTTGGTTCTTGTTGTTGGGAGATTTCAGCTGCGGACACAGATAGCCGCGGAACGAACCGGTCCCGCCGAACATTGTGGCGGAATTTCTCCGTGATCGTTGTTGGTTATGGATAAAAAGGAATTAAAATGTATAAAAATACCCTAAAGAGGAGAAAATCATTGAGATGAAGAAGCTGATATGATTTGTTATGGGGAACTAGAGGGTAAATGTGAACCTAACATAAGGTACCACAGAAACTGCACTGGGACAACCTTGAGCTGGCTCACCATAAAGGCTCTACACTGACTACGAAGAAGTTTTTCCTCCAAGATCAAACTGGCAAAAAATTAGGAACCATCTAAAATAAGGAGGGATTAACTAGTCAATGATCTTTTTTTAGGAATTTTCTGCTGGTTAGCCATTAGTCGTTAACTCTAATAACATACAAACTTGGTCGATGAAATAAGTGCTGGGTTTGAAAACAAGACGATTTCCAGCAAAGCAGCTGTGCAGGGTTGTAGAAAATGTCACTGAACTGGCTGAACTGCACCGCCGTCAGTGGAAACCACGTGGTTGAATCGCTTGAACTGCTTGCAGAACAGGAATCATGTGTCCAGAGTTGTATTCCAAGAAGATTTTTGGGTGCTTTTTGCCCTGTCAGATACCCGTAAAACTACTCGCACGCTACGCGCTCGGAAAAATTTCTCAAAAACATCAAATTTTAATAAGCAAAAAATGAGAAGTAAACATTTGCGATGTCACAGTAAGAACTGTCACTTTTGTTCTGCTGTGAAATTGGACCCAGATTATTAAGGCACAACACCAAAGATTCCTGTATCACCGCCGATAACCGTTATCGCCATATTACAAACTTAGCGGCCAGTATTTTTATTTTGCCCAACCAAGTCCGTTGCGCAGGTTTCCATCCTTTTTCAGTTTTTCTCTTGGAATAAATAAAAATAGTAAATCTTTGTATCGTTGTCAGTTTACTGTTTATTTATGTATTTGGCAATTTTAATACCATAAGAGACATTTTCGTACGAGTGCTGCAGTGTCGATGCGATGCAATCGCACACTTGTTCTTGTCATTTCACTTTGCGTAAATTCCTGATGGTTATCTGATTATCGTTCCAAGCAGGAGCCAGGAAACATGGTAACGTCTAACTTACGTGCAATGCCACCGTAAATGCTCACGGTGGCATTGACTTGAAAAGTTCAACTTGCTGCTAGAATTTCATAATGCAGTTTTCGTGTATGTTTGCATAATAATAATGGTATTGTCCAATTTACGGAGAATTTGTGTGTTAATGCAAATCGCTTTAATAGGGCAAAACTCGCTTCTCAATCAACAGTGCAGCGTCGTCCGTGTCGAGTCAGGTCTCCAAAGCACCCACTCCGCAACGTCTCGACTTCACGGAAGCGGAGGCGGAGCCCGAGGTGGACCTTCCCAGTGTGGACGGGGGATCCGATTCTACCCTGCGGCGCTCTCCGCGGCTCCATCGGCCGCAGAGTACGTTGAGCAATCAGGAGAATCACCAGCCCATGCAGAAACGCCAACGGACTTCGTCTCCCGAAGTCGCCACCCCGAAACGGGCGCGCCTCTCTCCCCGCAACGCCCCGGCTCCGAAGTCGTCTGTTCCACAGCCAACAGACTCGCCGTTAGGGGGCGCACGCACGGACGCACCGTCTCGAGATAATTTTTGGAATTATCCCAATTTGAGTGTGGCCAGTTGGAAACTAGTCCACTACCGGTTTGCGGATGTCATACAGCGCTTCGATCAGCATGTCAAAAATTCCAACGCACTGCAAAAGGAACTGGAGCGAGTGTCTCCGCGAACTACGCGCAGTGCGGAAAAGGCGCGGCAGGATGTCGAGAGCGAATTAAAGAAGGAGCAAAACCGAGTTAATAAACTACACGCCGTGCTAAATCATGCCAGTCGTAAGTCGGTTCTTCTATAAAATAAAATTGCTTTGTCCTGTTGGAGGGTTGCATGTGATATTTCGGATTTTTTTTATACTTTTTGTACTGTTTTCTTTATAATTACAAATTATTTCTCGGTTATATTCATTTCTACCTATACACCAGTTATATTTTATTCTGTCTTCACAATGAGTCTGATAGTTTTTCCGTAACTGTCGATACTACTACGCTTATTTTCTTAGTTAATGCAGGACAACTGAATGTCAGATAAACTGATCTCTATTACTAAATAAAATAAAAATAAGTTTATGACTTTATTCATGTATTGGATTAGATAATTCTGAGTCTTATCTTTTCAGATCTTCGGGACGAGTTCAAGTTATACAACGTTGCACCGCTTTATAAACTTCTGGACGCACGGCACTCCACCTGGACACTGGCTGACTGCATGAATAAATTAAAGGATAAGATTAAAAAGAGCCTGCTACGGGTTGGTCTCAGTTGTCTTTCCTATCGGGCAACTTGCTGCGTTTGCTACAATGTCTGTATGTTGTTTCAGAGTGCGCTAGGTGATAAATATACGGATTTCCATCTGATATTTCAGCAATATCGCGGTTTTGATCCATGCAAAACGGAGTTTGACGAATCAGCGTACGAGCTGAGAATTTATGGCCAACGGAAGAACAGTCAAGAATGGAATTGGAAAAGCCTTATGATTTTTGGTTCCCTTGGACTCCGTAAAGCGGAATCCTTAATGCATATTGCGGGCGAAGATTTCGCCTTTTACCCGTTCATAATTGGAATCGGTGACTCCGCTATCATGAAAGAAGTGTACCGGCATTTGTTTCATTACCACGATGGAGCTGTCAGAGCGCAGCATTTCAGTATTAAGGACATGTGGCCGATAATAGCCTGCTGTATATTTTATACAGGTAAATACCACACGATATGGCGTTTCTTACATGATTAATTTTGTTCATCTGCATCTATAATTTTGCCGTTATTACGCATATTGTTTCTGATTGTAAATTATGCACTGAACGCGTCCTTTCTTTGTGACTCAGTTGTCAATCGCTTCTTTCCAATTTCAGCGAAGTTTAAACTGGATGCGCGAACGATCAATTTGAACATTACGATTGAAGATACCTCAATACGACGGTCCTTTGCGGACAGTGTGGTGATGATTAATGTTGCCAGTTTAGTGAGGAAGTACATCACGAAGTATGAAACATGCGACGACGCCTTTGTTCCTTCGTAATTTCTTCTGTATTGTTTTTACCATTTGTAGATTGACCGAGCCGTTGGTCGATGCCGCGGAGTTAATGAGGGAAGTTATGCCAAAGGATCAGGTTGAAGAAGTCCGCTGTTTTGTACAGAAGGAAATCGAATCCCGCCACAATTGCCGGTGGAACGAAGAGACAATGGTGATAAAGCGGGTTCAGATGAAAGAAATCTCTATCAAAAGTGATGGAACTTTAAAGGTAGATTTTGCAATACGCCGCATAAATGTTTATTTGATCCAAGCACTGAATTAATATTGCTGACGGTCTTTTCGCAGAGGGTTGTGGTAGCAGTGCATACGCTATACGAGCAGGAATCTGTTTGACCGTGTGATATAGAAGTTTATTCATCATAATCATAACCGGTGCCATGTTGGTATCTAAATTGTTCTGAAAAAATGCAAAGCAAATGGTGACGATGTGCTGTCGTATTTAACGTTAAAGATATAGTTTTACTATTCAGTACCGTGAATACCAGTACACCGGTTGTGGGTTTTATAGAAAATAATAGATGTTGCGTTATTTGTAGTTCCAAAGCCACCTCCAAGCAATATCCTTCCTCTACTTCTATAGCAAATACCGTACTCGGGCTTACCTACATCCCATCCATGGGGTGACCGAGGATGACCTTTATGAAGATCCACCCCAAAGTGATGATGCCACTATCAATTTGCCCCCGACAGACGATAGCGGTTTTAGCACTGCCAGCGCACGCGACACGAGAAAATCGCAGATAAATGGTACTCTGGTATATTAGCTGCTGTTTTTCTGAACTTTTATTTATTGTTGTTAAGGAATTCCTTGCTTGGGTTAGACTTCGCTGGTTAGATGTTCCCGTCGTATTTTCGATGGATCGAGTGATCTTTGTATTTAATATCTTGTTATGTTTTAGTACGTGTTTTTTGTTGGACACGTTTAGAAAGAGGCAAAAGTGATTGTGTCTATCCATACTTGTACTGACGTTTTAATGTGCGTTACCGTTACGAAGAAATATGTTAGTAGAAACTCTATGGGTGGGCGCCGGGCGATTAAACCAGAAAATTAAAATCTTTGGAAATTTAAATTCCTGTTTGGTAAGTTTCTCTTAGCGGAACCATTATTGTATATTATCATTATGACAGCATTATATTTTTATTGTACACCATTTGAGGATTTTTTTATCTGGTTTCAATCTGCTACTGTACAGTGTACATATAAAATTCACTAGAATTATAGCATTTGTGATCTGGGATAGCCTGCCCATGCAGGCCTACTGGCCCCTCATATCGCCCGTATAGCAGGCTGGGCGGTACAAAACAACCTATCAATTTTCATTTCCTGCGTATGTTTTCTCAGTTTGTGCCTTTCTGGAGCTACGGCACATTGTAGCGTAGCTGCACTGCTTTCTCTTTTTTATCCCGTTGTGCACCGACGACCATTCCCTCGGCAGGGTTACTCCGCATGTTGATCGATCCAATAAATCAATAATAACACTGTTTCGTTGGCAAGACGCTCCTTTGCTGCAGTGGAAACTCGGATGTTAGTAACTTCGCAAGTGTCGTTTTAAGTTGTGCTGGTTGCAGCCAGAGTTCCCAGTTGACTCCGTCGCGGGGATAATTATGCTGTGTGTGATCCTTATAAAACAGTTTTTGACGGAATTATAATTTTTTGACTTTGTTTATCGTTGCTTGTTGGATTATTTCCTCGGAATTTTATTCAAAATGTCGTTGAAGCAGACTGTGGGCAACAGTAAGTGCGAAGTTAAAACTTGACAGCGTTTTAGTGTTTATTGCGGGACTTTTATGTTTGCTAGCATAATAAGCTTATTGTTGGAGATTTTCAGGTGATTATGAGTTGCGTGTTGTATTGTAGAAATTCTGAAAGAGGTACTGCAATCAGTGAAAGAAAAAGGCAAATGGAAGGTTCTTGTGGTGGACCAGCTGAGTATGCGCATGATCAGTTCGTGTGTGAAGATGCACGACATTATGAACGAAGGAATCACAAGTAAGCGCCTGCTATGGTTTCCCTGTTATCGATGTGCATACGCCAGTACATCGTTACGGGAGGGGTGTTACGATTGCGCACTTTTTCATCCCTTTGTTTATTTTTTCAGTCGTGGAAGATCTAATGAAGCGTCGCGAGCCTTTAGTGAACATGGAGGCCATTTATTTGATCACACCAGTGGAGAAATCTCTGGAACATCTTATTAATGACTTCCAGAATCCCCTGAATCACCAGTACAAGGGAGCCCACATATTCTTCACCGAAGCGTGTTCGGATGACATGTTTTCTCATCTCTCCAAATCGATATCCTCCAAGTTTATTAAAACGCTGAAAGAAATTAATCTGGCATTCTTGCCTTACGAATCCCAGGTAAATTTATGTTTTTATAAGTGTTTCGTAAGTTCTGCATTTACCTGCCACCCAGTACTAGTATAATTATTTCTGTTTAGTGTTTATTATTTGTTAATATTCTTATTTCAGTTTTTTTGCTCGGCATATGTTTAAATTATTCGAATTTGTTGTAAGAATTTAAATTTGTTTAAGAATTTTAAAATTGTTATTGCGCACTGATTCCGTAGGAGATCGTTATAAACCTTTTTCTTAAATTTTGAACAGAAAGATAATTATGCATTTAACGTTACGAAAACACTATCATTTCGCCTTACCACGGCATTTTGACTGAGATGCTCTTAAATTTTATTGAGTTAATTTTTTAGAATTTTTATTTTGAATAAATTCGTTCATAATATTTTGCGCAGATATTTTCCTTGGATTGCCCTGAAACATTCCAGTTCTTCTACAACCCACAGAAAGCAGGTGGTCGGAATAATTTCCTGGAGCGAGTGGCTGAGCAAATTGCCACTTTGTGTGCCACTTTGGGAGAGTATCCGGCAATTCGTTATCGTAGCGATTTTGAAAAGAATTTTGAATTAGCACAACTGGTCCATCAGAAGTTGGAAGCTTATAAAGCCGATGATCCATCAATGGGCGAGGTATGAAGGGAATCTATTATTATGAATCATGTCATCGTCGTATTTGAGATACGTACTTTTTATTGTTTAATAATTGTTTAAAAGTTGTCGTTCGTAATAGTAGTTATGATTCGGTGTTTACTGGTATTGTTTTTGACCTACGTATGACTGATTATAGGAAGGTAACAGCAAATTCATAGTGTTGAAAGTGACTTGAAGCCTTCCTTGTTTTTTTATGGTTACGGTTTTTACGGTTGACTTAGGGCCCAGAAAAAGCACGATCTCAATTGATTATTGTGGACCGTGGATTTGATTGCGTCACGCCGCTGCTACATGAGTTGACGCTGCAAGCGATGGTGTATGATTTGCTACCAATTGAAAACGATGTTTACAAATACGAGACAGCCGGGAGTCACGACATGCGCGAAAAGGAGATTCTTCTGGATGAAGGCGATGATATCTGGGTTAATTATCGCCATAATCATATTGCCCATGTTACCAAGTAAGTTATAGGATAGTGATGTTCCTCATTTGAGTATGTTTAGTATTTAGTTCAATCAGCAGAGTTCGAATCCACAGTGGTTTTGTTTTAATTTGTAACCACAAGCGAAAAGTATATCGCAGCTGTAGTCGTAACTGGAGACACATTTGAGGTATACGATTTGGGTAAAACTAAGAATGAAATGAGTGCAAAAAAAGTACTGTGACTCGTCCATATCAACATTCTCGTTATATTCGTCTAGGAACATCACTGCTGGACTGAAGAAGTTCATGGAACAACACACCCAGAAAAACACAGAGAAAATGAATATCAAAGATCTTTCCTTCATGATTAAGCAAATGCCGCAGTACCAGAAGGAACTAAATAAGTATTCTACACACATTCATCTAACAGAAGATGCCATGAAGCAGTATGAAAACCATAAAATCGAAAGGCTATGTCGCGCGGAACAGGTGTGTTATATTATTACGCGTGAAATATGGTTTTTTTTCGACTGAACGTAGAACGTTTCTTACACTTTAACTTTTTTATTCTGTTTGGTTTTCCTTTCTCTTTTGCACGAAGTGTAATATTGCAGATCAACATATTTGCATTTTAGGACTTGGCCATGGGCGAGACATCCGAGGGTGAAAAAGTTAAGGATCCCATGCGCGCCATCGTACCCATTCTCCTGGATCAAAACTATACTAACTATGACAAATTGCGCATCATTCTTTTGTTTATCCTATCGAAAAACGGCATTCCTGAAGACAACCTCAACAAGCTGATTCATCATGCCCAAATGTCAAACGAAGAAAGGAACATTGTGCTGAATATGCAGAACCTCGGTGTCAATATTCTTTCGGATGTAAGTCCAGGTGATTCACACATATTTGCCAATGAAATAATCATAACGCTCGATGTTACTGCAGAGTGGGCAAAAGCGTCGACAGTGGACGCCGGCACGGAAGCAGCGCATTACGGCGGAAACTTTTGATCTGTCGCGTTGGTCACCCATTATTAAAGATCTCATGGAAGACGCTGTGGAAGGAAAGCCGGACGGCAAGTGCCTGGATTTGAAGCACTTCCCTTTCTTGCCGGGACATCAAAATATGCAGGGTGGACATGTGCCGACCAGGTGAGGGAAGCATGAACATTTTAATCGAAGCTCCGCAAATTTGCACGAACATTCCGGTAACCGAAGTATGCGTTCCTGGGAAATTGGGTTTGGTTTTTTTCCAATTGAATATGTTGAACAACGGTTATTTTTATTTATGCGGCCATTAAGCGATTATCGATAGCTGGTGGGGTTTTTTAAAACTTGACTTGTAACTGTGATTGCACTCGCAGAGGTAATGTTTTTAGCTGAACGGGCGCTTGGATAGCAGATGACACTCGGTCCATCATTGCCGGCATTGTTTAGATCGCCTTCGTATCTGTTTGTAAAGCGCCAGTCAAGTTTACGCAGTGTTGTTTGCGATTGGTTATTTTGCCGCATTGTCATGGGCTTGTTATGATTTTCAGTGCCCGTTATGGAAACTGGCATAAGGACAAGGCGGCACCGGCTATCCGTACAGGACCGCGGCTGATGTTTTTTATTGTCGGTGGCGTGACGTATTCGGAAATGCGTACTGCCTATGAAGTGACACAGTCGTCGAAGAATTGGGAAATTCTTGTTGGTAAATATTTGCTTTGTTTTCTGTGATTGAAATAGTTCATGGACCAGTATGTTCTACTTCCAAAATAATGCTGGTTGTAATATTAACTGGTGATTCGGACACTTGAGTCGCTGACCGGAAGTATTTATCACTGAGCGCGGAATCGCCGCGGAAAGGCAAACTAATTGTGTTACGTATCTGAAAGCCTCCATATCGCTGTCAGTTAAACCTGTTCCCGGTTTTGTAGGTTCAACGCATATCATCACTCCAGAAAGCTTCCTTCAGGATTTGAAAAATTTAGCTGACCAGTAGAAGGACGGAAGCTATGATACGGAATTTCATGACAATAATTTCGGAGCAACAACCCCCACATTCCTTTGTACAAAGGATCTTCGGTTAAACCGTAATTATTCTTTTGTTTCCTATACCTGTGCTGCGGGATACCGCTTGCTGAATTCCCTGGATGTTTTGATCTTTTTCTCGCTAAGTAATGTGTGGTCTAGTCAGTTTTATTATAGAGCAAATGTTGAAAATTTATCCGACAATAGTTTGTTTCCACTTTCTCTGCGCGCATTTATCCGTACGTAATGGCTATTGATTCTGCTTTAAGCTTCTGTGTTTTGCATGCTTCGGTTTTGTTTCGCTGGCATAGTTCAGGTCAGTCGTATAAGTGCAGTAATTGTGAATCTGTGATTTTTCCTCATATTGCGCATATGAAGAATTGTTAATGATTTCATTGTGGCACCAATGAAGGATAAATCTTTGGGATCCACTGAAAAAAGTCGGCGGTAATCGTAAGAGTAAAAGGCAGTCTACGCTGCGCAGTAAGAACGCGTAAAGAAGATAGAGTTGTAGAAAATTGAGAACTTGATTTATCCGATATTTTAATATGTTCACTAGCGTTCGCGATGTTTCATTCACCATTCCAAACCCGCATTAAGATATCTATCAACAGAAAAAGCTGGAAAACTGTCGCCATTTATTTCTTAGTCTTTGACTTTTCGGTCTTGGCTTCTGCAGGCTTCACTCGCTGACTGGAAAGGATCGCGCTCGCTCGACGAAGGGCCAGCTGTTTAAACACAAAAAAAGTTAGGTACGCGAATGTAATAATGAAACCAGCAATCCTAAATACAGTAATATAAACCGCACCATATCTTTCAAAATCTGTTTTATGCCGAAAAAAAATGAAAAATTTACAAAAACGAGTTTACTAAACGGGCTACATTTCGAAAAACCAGCTGTCTGTTTCACATTACTTCAATGAACAGAAGTGCCAACCAAAAAATGAAATACGATTTTTCCAAGAGTTTCCGATAACCTGACGTACCGATCGAATCTTTCGTGGGGCTCCAGCACCGCGAAGACTGTTTCGGATGGTGCGATACGATGGTCGCGCGCCACGTTTCAAGTTAGACCTTCTGTTATTCTGCTTCACTTTGCGGGAACCTAGAGTACAGAACAAGAAATAAAAAACATGTAATAAATCATAATCACTGAAACGTGAGCTGCCTACGACTAATACGAAAATTTGTGGTTATATTATAATGATCTGAAATACGAGCAAACCCTGTATGAGCTATGCGCGTACTATGATATGCTACAGAGAATCACTCTGCAATATTCCAAACGATTGGGAAACGTACCAATAGGACGGGAGGTAGTGAAAACTAATCCCTTTGTCCCTGCTGCAGCTGGCTGAATAGCGAAGACATTCCTGTTAGCTATTCCGTTCAAACGAGGGGAATTAATTCCTTTCAAATTGCCCGGTTCCTGAACAAAGCAGAATCACACATCACATTTCACGATCACTGCGTCGCGAAGAGCCACGAAGAACTTACCTTGCTGAAAGTCTTACAGACCCCACGCTGCCTTTTAAGGAAGGCATGGTTGTTGCGAATGATTTGCCAAACCAGATCAGCCGACATTTTTCCGGTGGTAAGGAGTAAATTATTATCGTTTTAAAATTAAGGGAACAGGACAAACGGCGAAAGACAACAGGAACCACGAAGCTAAATAACACCGGATTCTGGATGGCAAACGAATAGGATTTTGATTGCCGCATGGTGAGCCGTCAGTCTGAAGTGGCTTCGTGGCAGGCCGTTTGGGCAGCGGAAGCAGCTGATTGAAAAATCTCAGTTTCTGACTTTCTTGAACACGAACGAGTAATCTTTTTTGTGAAACTTTGTTATTTTCGAGATTCTTTTGTGTCATTTTGGTTTTTTTGAAGTTTTGCCCTTCCGGTCTCTTTTGCGTTGTTTCTTTAACACGTTTTGGCTCAATGTCAGATAAGAAACTATGATGGTGGATCTAGGAAGAATCCACGGACAGAGACAGAAACGGAATCTATCCTGCAGAGTGAGCAGTGTTGTATACTACGAGTTATGCGGAAACGCAAGACACCCGACAATCAACTGCACACTTTATCCCATTCACATGACACTACAGAAGCTCCCGCAGCAGAATTGCTGCGGGGCTAAAAGAACAGCAGGTTACTCAGACGACGATGGCTAGCAACTGAAGAATCTACCAGATCGAAGAGCTGGTAGATGGAGCAAAACAACTTAGCACCCGCACCAGTGCGGGTGTGCGGGGAGGCCACTCCTCCTCTCATGCCTGCGGGTGGAACACGTGAGGTCCTCCGAGCGTATCGCGCGGCGTCGCGAACTCCCCTCCACGTCTTCCCGGGTTGAAGTCCTGGGTGGCCGCTGGGGCTGTAAACCTCCGCTCACCAGTCCACATAGCCGATGCGCATCCTTCACACTGCAGACACGGCCCCGTGCCTGCGGTACTGGAAAAACTGACACATACACTTTCGTTTCACTGTTTTCGCACCTTCGCTTCGGATTCGTTTCATTTCTGTATCCGCTGACGTCACCGGTGCCTGCGGTACTGGAAAGACGTCACATACGGCTTGCTTCACATCGGTTTACGGTACACTTCGGTTCGGCTCGGTTCACGGTTCGCTTCACTTCGGCTCGGTTCGCTTCGGTTTTGGATCCAGTCCGCTCTGACCTCTTTAACCTTGTCTGGGTCAACGCACTGGCTGCGACGAAATCTACGGTCGAACCCGGAACTAGGGACATCATTCCATTTTCTTCAGTCGGGAAAGGTCACACTCTGAGTAAAATCGGGCAGGGGTTTGGGGCATTTGAACACTGGTGACCCTGCAAACACCAAAATACGCTTCCTCGGTGGGGAAATTCCGCTGCATCCGTCCAGGAAAGGTCGTCTTCCCAGCAAAATCGGGCAGGGGGTTGGGGCAAAATGACACTGGTGACCCTGCGGAGCAGCTCACTGCATCGTCTTTGGTGGCAGGGTTCACGTGGGCTTCAGTGGATGGCAGTCCTTGAGCTGCTGTGGACTGGAGTTGGCGTAGTCGTCGCTGGCTGGCTGCTGACATTCTTGTTGTGCGATATCCACGGTACACCAGTCCGTTACTGGTGGAAATCGCTGTGACGGTATCCTTATAACCGTTCCATCTTCTTTTCGCGATGACGGCATCCGTATAGCCGTTCCCTTGTTCCATCTTCTTTTCGCGATCCATCTTCTTTTCGCGATGACGGCATCCGTATAGCCGTTCCCTTTTGCTGCTGCTACTGCGGTATCCTTATAACCGCTTAAACGATTAAAAATGGTCCCAATGGATAAACGACACGCTCTGCTACCATATGATGGTGGATCTAGGAAGAATCCACGGACAGAGACAGAAACGGAATCTATCCTGCAGAGTGAGCAGTGTTGTATACTACGAGTTATGCGGAAACGCAAGACACCCGACAATCAACTGCACACTTTATCCCATTCACATGACACTACAGAAGCTCCTGCTGCGGGGCTAAAAGAACAGCAGGTTACTCAGACGACGATGGCTAGCAACTGAAGAATCTACCAGATCGAAGAGCTGGTAGATGGAGCAAAACAACTTAGCACCCGCACCAGTGCGGGTGTGCGGGGAGGCCACTCCTCCTCTCAAAACTATGCCAGATTCTTGTGCTGTGGAAGGATGTGGTAAAACGCGGTGTGCGGATTCACTTGCTGATGAAAATTTGACATTCTTCAAAATCAACAACAAACATCGAGAAGCGACAAGGGAACATTGGATCCAATTTTGCCATAAGCCACCGAACTGGCTTCCCAATACCGCCGCAAGCATATGCAGCCGCCACTTTCGACCCGAATTTGTTATTCCCGGATCGAAACGCTGTGGACTGCTTTTAAAGAATGGAGCCGTTCCAACGGAAAATAGTTATGATCCGAATACCAACAATGTCAAGCGCAGTAGAAGGACGCCTCGAAAGGGGGCTGAGGCGTGCGATGTCGAAGCCAAGAGTGGACAGCAATCCACTCCACCGATGCTTTCTAGTTACGGTTGCGAAGAAGCCAGCTTAGCGTGTCATCACGGTAGCGATGTGACCATCCGTGATGTGCAGATTGCACTGCCATTCATGGCGCTTCCCGTTGGATGGAGTACGGCGTGTCACGTTGGCGATCAGGGCAGGATCCGATTTTATTTAGTTGATCTGGAAACGGAGGAACCTATAAAAACGTTGGCGGTGTTGGGAGACGATAGCATGAAGATCCGCGTTGTTGTCCGCGGAAGACAGTACACCGGAAACCGATTCCCGAGTTTTGTGAAGAGCGTCGAACATCTGGCTGTCACGCTGAAGAGTTTGGACCAGGCGCCTATGTGCTCCGTTATGCCAGTGTACCCGAGTGCGAACTGCTGGTGCCCGCGGAATTCTCTGCACGAGCGACGTTCTGCAGGGTCTGTCGGCTGCGGCGACATGCGGAAAGTCAGCTTAGGAATCGCGAAAAGAGGCGTAGAGGTAACTGAATAAAAAATATTTTATTCGAATAGTCATTGCGGTTTTGCCTGGGATTTCGCAATGCAGAGCTTCGTATTTAATTGTTGGGTTCGATTTTTTTTCAGAGAAATTACTTGAAAAAGCCGCTGCTCGTGTACTCCGGCAACCCGCACGCAAGAAAAAGAAGGTAACAATCTTAGCGGAAAGCGAAGATGTCGCAGATAATGTGACTTGTGAAGAAAATATCACAGATAATCTGACTTGTGACGAATACATGTAATCAGTTTGCTCACTTTCGATTTTTCTCTGCTCATTCTGCGAATATCGCACATGTGGCATCTTTGCCATAATAAATGTTAGCCAATTAGTGGTCAGTTACTTACTACACTCTGTATGTCCTGGTGCTACTCCACCTATTTTCATGGATTATGATCTCTAAATCAAAACAAAGTATGTAAATAAAACCATGGGAATATGATAGCGATGCTAGTTTTTAGGTAACGTTATGAGTGAGAAATAGTGGTAAGAATGTGCACGGGTTTACTATAATCGACTCAGATTTAATAATTATATTATACAGTACTTTATTAAAAACACTAAAGTGACATTTCCTACGGAAATAGCTCCGTCAGGCCTGGATGGGAAAGGGAAATAATCGGGATAAACGGGAACTGGATACAAACCACATGGAATACTTCTATAATAATTATTAGGCTATTAGCCCAACCACATTCTAGCGACAGCTATGCTGACTATGCAGTATGCCCGTATTAACTGGCATACCGTAAACCACACCCCTAACTTGTGCCAATCACAGGGGTGTAACATTTTGGTTACAGATTTCCCCATAGACCGTGCAAGAAACAAGCCGTATACACTCTTATACAGAAAGTCTCACTTTCTGTTTTTATTATAGTGTATAGGTCCTGCAACAGTGTGCAGGCCTGACGGAAAACGTTAACCGTAGGAGTAAAGTTCTTTCTGGAAAAATAAGTACGAGTACGTTTTGCTATGAAATTGGACGCTTCCGGTCAGTTCCGCTGTAGCGTTAAACATCATTCGTTTTCGTACACGATGCAGTCGCCAGTGCCACTCGTCAGCGAACGCTTGAAAAATCACTGCCTTTTAAATTTTTTTTCTGCGTTTTGGTTGCACGAGCAATTCAGTACGAGGCAAGCGGCAACTCTTTCCCATCGCTTTAGTAAATTACCTCACTTTCCCTGCTGCATTTTACCCGTATGCAGGCGCTCACGTGATACTTGATTTCAACCGTTTCACGTCTAAACCGGTTTGCAGCTATCGTTGATTGCGCAACTGATAACGAGTACAGAGAAGAGCACGGCAGGTGAGATTTTATCGCCGGCTCAGTAAGCTAACCGGTTTAGACGTGAAACGGCTGAAATCAAGTATCACGTGAGCGCCTGCATACGGGTAAAATGCAGCAGGGAAAGTGAGGTAATTTACTAAAGCGATGGGAAAGAGTTGCCGCTTGCCTCGTACAGTGTTTCCAATACAAACACTGTCAAACAGTTGTCCGTTGCCACGATCCATTTGTTGAGCATCTTTCCATTCTGAATTCGCCACGTTAGCGTGCCACCATGCCCTAGAGGCCACCAGTCAGCGTACACTTTCTTTCGCGCTACACTATGACGTGTACGCGATAGTTCATGCACACTTTCTTTTTACCAAAGCGCCAAAGTATTGTCGCACCATCTTCCGCTTTGTATTCTTTTCTGTCTATCCCCATCCTGCCATCGACCAGATATGCCACTCATAGTCTAAAGAGCCGTACCTGATGTGGATGCAAGCCAGATCTTCGGTTTTCGGGAGTTTATGATTTATCTATGGCTGGCGACGGTATGATAACTTCACGGCGCACTCTATAGTTGTTCAATGTCTGTCTGACCCGCGTCTTTCATGCCCCATACAGTCAAACCGATCCCACATGCGGGATTGTACAAATTCGGCAGTCTAGTCACATTAACCCTGCAGAATGTGGTCATTATCCTGCTCATCAAGTACGCCAAAGCCCTGCCTGGCGCCACCTTCATCTCCAGCACGGTGGTGGTGCTCATGGAGATCTTCAAGCTTCTGGCCTCCCTGGTGATGCTGCTCATCCAGCACAAGTCCCTGCGGGTATGGGGACGCGAACTGTATGATGAGATCTACTGCAAGAAGATGGAGACGCTCAAAGTAGCCGTGCCTGCCTTCATCTACACCTTCCAGAACAATCTGACGTTTGTGGCTGTGTCGAATCTTGATGCTGCCACGTTTCAGGTATGCGAGGAAAATATTTGAGAAAAATGGTTTATTCTGTATCTTTTCTGGTACTTGAATTTTGTTCGAACGTTTGCATCGCAAAATATTTTGACGGAATGACTTTCGATGAAAACGCTTACTAATCTGTGAAATGTTAATCGTTTCGCACTGTTCTCACTCTAAAATTTAAAATACAGCACAGTACTGTATTCTTCAGAAAAGGTAAAGCCGTATTAATATTATTTATGTTACAGTACAGTACAGTAAAGATGCAGATTGTGCCGATGACAGCTAATTTTAGTGCCTTATAGTTTCAATTTCGCGCGGTTTGTTTTTAAGAATTTCGTTCTTGGAATTTTACTTGAAGTTTGTTTAATTTATATGCATAATGTGTATTAACGGTTTACTGCATCGCAACATCTCGGTATTTGTGCTTAGTTTTATGGACCGCGCCGGTGTATTAATGTAAAATGTTTTATTTTCAGCATTTTAGAAAATAGACTCTTTTGACTGACTAATGAATTAGGATGTTTGCGAGGATTTGCATCGCATAATATTTTGGAAAAATACTGAAAAAGGATAAGATTTAATACAAAGCTCACATAATACTACCGCTGAAGAAAAGCGTTGACTGAAATAGTTCTTTGCTGGTTACTTCCCAGTTATTGAGATTGCTTCTGTTTTTCTATATGTACCTTGTTGTTCATGCCAGGCGCGTTTAATTGAGTAGGCGTTTTTATAGGTGGTATCGCAGATCAAAATTCTCACAACAGCCATATTTTCCGTGGTTATGTTGAGGCGGCAACTGGGAGGATTGCAATGGGCAGCACTTTTTATCTTGTTCATAGGTGAGTTATTTTCCTTATCGTTTAATTTTGTACGGAAATCCAATTTTGGTGTTTGCACGGCACTATAACATTTCTCAAAGATTTGAAGATGGTTAGATATATCACTAGGAAATGTTGTTTTAACGTTTAAATTTTAGTTATCACATAAGTAAAAATGTGAAATACCCGCGTTTGCTAGTATGTATACGAGTCTGTAAAGGAATGTGGATATAAATACATAGTCCCTGACTCTGCCTGCAGAGCTGTTTGTGCGTTTTATTCAGCATTACTAGAGTTTGTTTTTATCAATTTAGAAATAGTTCTAAACTTTTAAAAAAAGATAAAGAACAAAGAAAGCAGTCGTGAAAGTAGCGGCTGTTGATGTCCAGAATGCTTTGCAATTTGCACTTGTTTGCGGTTAGACTCCCGTAGAAGGACTGCACTAATGCTCTACATTTTATGCTATAGGATGGTGATTCTTTTGAATTCTATTCGTAGTAGGCAAAAAAGCTTATTAATATTGTTGTACAGTATTAAAGTCTAAAAATAGCGATATTGTAGTGTGCTCACACATGCTGTAATAATTTGTGAACTTGTGTATGCCGATAAATCCGGTAATAGCTTCCGTTTATGATAACATTTTGGCATTTTTTCAGGTATCGCCGTTGTGCAGCTGGACCAACAATCTCCGCAATCGACCAAACTTTCGTACCACATTCAGAGCCCACTCCTGGGACTCGCCGCCATCATTGTCTCGTCCCTTATGTCCGGTTTTGCCGGCGTCTACTTTGAGAAGATCCTAAAGACATCCGAAGTATCGCTATGGCTGCGCAATGTCCAGTTGAGTATGTTCGCCATCCCGATGGGATTGTTGACCTGCCTTTTGTCCGACGGGGACGCTGTGATGTCCAAGGGCTTCTTCCATGCGTATAACGTCCTGACATGGACCATCGTCCTGCTGCAGGGATTCGGAGGACTGACGGTGGCCGTCGTGGTGAAATACGCGGATAATATATTGAAAGGCTTTGCCACGTCTTTTGCCATTGTCTTTTCCGCGATCGCATCCGTGTATATTTTTGCCTTCGAGATACACGGTCTGTTTGCGGTGGGTTCGGCGATGGTGATTGTGTCCATTTTTATGTATGGATACGTGCCGAAAAAGAAGGATGCAAAGCGGGCGGATCTGAATGGGGTGGAGAAAAGCGTCAAGCATGAAAGTCAGGTGCCTTTGTTGGAAATGGGAAAAGAGGAAAAATGAACTAGTAATAGTTCTTTATGGATTATGTTTAAAATTGCCCAAGTTGTCAGAGAATAGGTTATTTGAAAGAAAATATTTTAATACAGCAAGTGCCTGTTTCGTTGTATTTATTGTTGTGTGTTTCGATATTTTACTTGTTTTTTATACAAGTTGTTGATTGATCTTTGGCTTCCTTTTTCTTGTCACAAAACCTTGTTTATTCTCAATCGGAAATTTTCAGAAAGAAATACGGAGAAAAATCTCAGTCCGCTTACAGATGAGCGCAGTCAATGCTTTCTAGAACGCCAATATAATCTCATCAATATTTTTTCGTATTTTAATATTTTTAAAAAGTTTTAGGACATCAGACGATTCATAGCATTTTGGAACGGATTGTGCAACGTGCATATCAAAGGCATGAGTATCCAGAATGCTCATCAAAATTGTTAGCATAGAAATTGTGCTGTACTCAAAATTTTTATGTACGTTATTTTGTGAAAATCAATCCTGTTGCAATTTTGAAATCACGGTTTTGCTGTAAAAAATGTTGCTTAGCAGTCGTGTCCGATACTACAGTCCATTCCCACAATTAACCTTTGCTCTGGCAACGTAACGTAGTAAGACTAATCCCTGAGTATGAAATGTTTTCAACTTTTACATTAGCTTATTAAATTTAGGTACTATAAAGCAGTAGTCCAAGATCTAAACCATAAAATTTATGAATTTCTTTTACACATCTCTGTAGTATTTCTTGCACAATTGTGTTATTCCCAGAATGGCTGCTCCCGGTGCTCCCTCTCCAGCTATTTCGACGGTAAGTGAACTGAGAAGCGATAAATACAGCTAAATAGGGCTGCACCAAATAAACAGCTGGTTCAAAAGCGCCAGAGTTTCACTTACACAAAATAATTGCGAAACCTAAAAATAAAAATAGCAAAATTATATACGTAACCAGTATTAATCACAATTGTAAGTCCGTTAATAGTTTGTCAATTGTAATATCTTGATTCGTTGTTACTATAGCTCTATTTTTCCAGACCGGCGATAAGAAACCAGCAATCGCTCCTGTTGATTTTTCAGCAGTGAAGAAGGCCAATCTACCCGTCGTTGTGATCATCGGTAACTAAAACTTGCAAGCAAATTGCATATATAAGCAACTGAATAAACAAAACTGACGCTGCTGGTTACTTAACACATGGAAATTAACGTCTCAGTATAATGTTAAAGGACAACGGTCATATTGCACGAAAATATAGAAACGAAGTCATTTTAAGCAAGTTCATTAAATAAACTTGTTAATCTACTAACTTTTTTAACAGGTGGCCCAGGCTGTGGTAAAGGCACACAGTGTGTAAAAATCAAAGAAAAATATCATTTCGCCCATTTATCAACTGGTGACCTTTTACGCGATGAGGCCAAAACGGGCACTGCTCGTGGGAAACAACTAAGTGAAAAGATGGCCAAAGGAGAACTTGTTCCTGTGGTAAATTCTACACTGTATATTCTACGTTTACAGAATCACTATCACCCTATTTGAACTGAAAGGTTTATTGTGCTATACATTTCATCACGATCGCTAACAGTTAACTAAGGCTAAACTAAAAAAAAGAATAGATAAGTAAGATGCCGGTTCAAGCCTTTACCATAAGTATCATACTTGTAATTGCAAAAACTGTAAATGCGACTGGTAACTAGAAAAATGCGATACCAACATAAATTTTAAAATATTTTAGCACTAATATCGCTTTTCTGGAGAAAGTTTTTTACTGAAAAAAGCAAGCGGTCGCAAAAGCTTGAGGATATACTGTAGTTTATTTTAATAGTTTATATGTGCGCATGGTACACAAATACACTACCTACGATGGTGAGTATCCCATAACAACCCCCCTTGATCTATCTAATTTGACGATATTCTTTGATCCACAGGAAGTGGTAATGGAACTATTGAAAGAATTTATGGCTAAAGCCATCACGGATAAAAATATTCAAGGATTTTTACTCGATGGGTTCCCAAGAGAAGCGCCACAAGCGGAAGCCTTAACAAAAGAGGTAAGAAATTTTTAACCGCATAGTTTTGGACTTGGTCAACACGTTTTATTCGACTAACAATTTTACACAGTATTTTATGATGTTGTGTTGTACATGAAAATTATTTCCCAATGTAAACGAAGCATTAATGTAGCGTGCAGTCCATCTGTAAAATTTTATTAAATTGTAAAAATTTGTATTACTCTGCACGAGCGTGGGGTGACTTCCAAGGGTAAAAACTAAAAGATGGAGAGTTTCAAACTCTTAAGCTGTTTTCTCTGCAGCATAAAATCATGCGCATAGTTTAATAAGTCATTAGAAATCTGGTGCTCTTTCCAGGCTGCCACTATACTAATAACCTGCATATCGTTTACTATCGTAGAGCGTGCGCAGTAATAGGGTACGTACTTGAGTACAGAGTTTTGCGCATCTGTTGCACATAGTAATTTTTCTTTCACTGTTTAAAAAAATGAAGTGGCGAATAATTTACTTGTCATGGCGTAGTAGAGCAAAATAATTATCTACAGATATAATGTTGAATAGTCGCGCACTAACAGCATCTCACAAATTAAAGAAGAAATTTTTACTATTCATACATTTACTACACAAATAAAACAAATAACTACGTAATTCCGACAACTAAATTCGGAAATTTAAGGACTTTGTCTGGTTGTATGTTAGCTGGGATTGCCAAAAGCCGCTATTTACTTCGAATGCCCGGATGATGTTATGGCTAAACGCCTTGCTGATCGCGGCAAAACAAGTGGACGGAGGTATACAATACGCCCTGTTGGATATTACTCGTACCAATAAATAATATTTTCTAACGTAACCTACTTTAATCTCCAATTTATAATTTCTAACCGCAGCGACGATAATCCGGATACCATCAAAAAGCGTTTGGATGTTTTCAAAAAGCAAACACTTCCGGTGGTAGAATTTTACAAGGGCAAAAATCTTCTTCGTGTGGTAAGTTAACAGACTTAAAGAAGATACAGAAGATTCTGTAGTAGAAGATATGTGTGCATAATTTTTCTGCGCGGTGTAGATCGTGTAAAAGTTTCAAGTCGACCTTTATTAAAAAATTATTACACCAAACTCACATGCACAAGCACTCACTTTTACTGATTTCGCGCTGAATAAGTAAACACAAGAAAGCACTTTATATCAGAAACTTAGAACTGTTTTCTCTTCACAGGTAAATGGCAACCGGGAAGTGGAAGCGATTTTTGCGGATGTAGTTAAAATCATGGATCCACTTAAAACAGCAAAATAAGCAACTAGTCAGCTTGTGATTTTTATCTCTTTCTAATTCTTAGATTCTTAATCAATTTTTTCCGATTTTATGAACCTATCTGACAAAAACGTGGGCATTTTTCCATCCTTCTCTTCTTTTACAAACAAATCACCCGTTTACAACGCACAATTCTGTTTTCTACTTTTGCTTTTCTAAACTGTTAAGAATGCACTACAGTACTTATCTTCAAGCATTAATTCTCAATGCTTTTTTTTATTGCCAAATTCTAAACCCAACTAACTTTTCATACAGAGTAAAACCGCAAAACTGACTAATCATCCATCTTGTCATGCTCGTACCAGAATCGATGCACGGGTAAAAGTATAAAACAACAATCGGCACAGGATACAATCAAGCAACACATTAGTACTTCCACAGCACGTTCCGCTAATACTCAAGGCACACCAAACTGCACTACATCTTCAATTTTTCTTTCACTGCGCTTTCACCTCATTCCACTTTGCAGCTTGGATGTGTAAACCCGAATAACGTGGTTGTATGTGTCCGTGTAACGATCCATGCACATCGCCAAACAATTCTGCACAAAAACCAGTTTCATCAGAACAATTCCATCTCACTAGATCTATGGAGTGTCTACGAGTACTGTAAATTTAACTAAAATTAACTTGCAAGTAAATCGGATAGTCAAAATAAAATTACAGAGAAATAAAAGATAGTAAGAATACCGTTTGCACTATGCGCGGACACTAGCAACTCCATAATTTTTGGTACTTATCTTTCGACTGAAGCTGCGCACAAATTACTTCACTGCAGACCTTTAGCTATGTTTGTAACGCCGAAAACTTGGAAAACTGTTCGTACCTGTTCAGATGACGAAAGTGATGAACCGGGCTTCCCGATGCACATTTTATAACATTTATGCGTGGCTTTCTGCAATATTCACCACAGAGCATTTAAACAGCTACCAAAGAATTGTCACCTTGCTAAGGGAGAACTTACGCTGAGCAACTCTTGAAAATTCGCGACAGCCAGTTGCTGTTGGACTTGTTGCATCAGTTCATCCTTCTGGGCTCCGGTGAGCTTCTCGGCCATCTTATCATCGAAATGTATATCGACGTTCGGCGTTTTGGCGGCGGACTAGTATCGCAATATCCAGAAATATATCACCCGGCGTGATCGCTTAGCGAAGGGGAGATACGCGAAGGACGGAAATTCACTTTGGCGAACCTTCTTCACAAGGTGTTCCAGAACGAGCTTCCAAAGCTCGGCTTGGTCTTGGTTGTAACTTACTAGGCGTCGTGCGAAACCTTCGCCAACAAAAACTAGTTGTCAGCTTAATACAGATATTACTACTTACAACAAAACTTTGAATTTTTGCCGTTACCAACAGAATCTGTAGCGAGGAAAACAGAAGAAAATCTGTGCAACAAAATTAATGGTTTGCTGATAATTTTGATTTATCACAAATGACAAATCTTTGAAGTTGCAGACTGTGGGTTTGTTTTCTTTTACTGCGGCAGACTATAATGTCAACCGCCTGTAGTCGCCAGCTAGATTAATGATGGGTACAGTCTCTGGCCGGAGTCTGGCGTTCGCCCCACCGGCAAAGAAGAAAACGATACCACATTTTGTCATCATGCAGTACTTAAATTAATTTTGTAAGTCTTCTTAAAATTAAATTTGGTTAAGAGATCCTTCTGATTGGAGAAACCTCTAATTTTGAAACGCGTCTATGTCTTCTGGCGAATGTTCAAAGAAATATTTGCGCGTCTTTGCGTGAATACTCGTGCTGCATGCGCACATAATTTCTATACTACAAAATAATTTTCACATAATTTCTATTTCTATACTATTTCTATACTTTTATAGTATTTCAGTGGCGTTTTAAACGACCAACGACAGTCACAAATTCTCAAAATGCCAAATTGCAATTATTTAAATTTTGGAGAATCAAGGTCGAAAGCAGTTAAAACGGCGCTGTTATGTTGTTTAATCGTAACTAGACCTTGATATTGTTATCGAGCTATTGAAATAAAAGAAGTGTAAAAGTTAAAACGGCGCTTAATGGATAATTCGTTTGCTCCAGTGACGTCGTTATCCCGACCGGAAATGTTTATGTAAGGTATCACGTGCTTCTCAATTATTTCCATTTGGGATATTTGACCATTTTTCTGGCGGTATGTGGTAATAAAGCCCTACCAGGCGGAGGCGGAAACTGTATCCCCAAAATAAAAGAGCCTGAATAACGTTAACATTGCAACGGATGAATTTCTTCTTTGGATACGCACCATATTGATCAGAGGACATGTGGCGGTGAACGGAAGCGTCTTTAGAATTCCCAGTGGGATGGGTTGGCTGGATACCTGGTTAATGTGGCATGATATGACATATTTTGCACGGATGCGCCATAATATTCAATTTTCAGATGATTCCGGCATAACCTTTTGCAGAATGAATATTTTGTTGGTTATTAAAACTGGGACTCCGTATTGCCTTTTGCATCGCAACTATAGAAGTAGCCATCCATCATTCCGTGCACTAATTTTCACATGATTATCGATCACTATACGCTTTTGATTACGGCAAGGCGCGGCTATGCTTATTTTTAGTCTACGAACTGTTAATTGTTATGAATAATATTGTTTACAAACGACTTATAATCAGCTCAGCATTTCATAGTAGAATCATGCTCGTACTGGTGACCGCTCTGGTGTCCACCGCCACCACCGGCATTTAGAGCTTTGTAGGATGGGCAGAACTTCTGCAATCTACACCATCATATGAATAGAAGTAATGATGGATTGTACAATGGTTACCTTTATGCGGTAGATTCGGTGTGTTTTGTGTACAGATACTGTGCAACTGATGGATATCAATTTCCGCTTTTACATTGCAAAGAATTTGTCTTACTTAAAGACATCCGGCCTTACTATCACTTGTTTCTAAGTAAATGCTCATCCCGTTTTTAACTGCTGCAGTATTATATTTTGTGCAACCAGATCCGCGTCGGCATTTCCAAATACATCTCGTACGTATCTAATTTTGACGTGAATTACCCAGATGTAAATCATGGAAATATCTTGTGCAGCTTGCTTGTTACGAGTTCTCAATTCTCTCGATGAGTGTCCGAACTGTGTTTTGTTTGTTGAACTATGCTATCAAAACCGGTGTCCTCCTAATTTTACGATGTACATTTTACCAATCAACAAGAGGTACGATCCTTAACGATTTCGCGTGCCAACGCAAAGCGGGTAAAATTTACGAAGCATGAACGACAGCTTTTATTTCACTACCCTTGAAAACTCCACCTCGTCTAACTACTTCCATCCACTCGATACCGTACCCTACGGTGTAATGAGCATTCCCTTGGAACTTGTCGGTATCATTGGCTCTATCGTCTTTCTACATGAACTGCATCAGAACACCAAAAATCGCACCTCCGCCTCGGCCATGTTTGTCAATCTCTGCCTGGCCACATTATTACAAACCGCCGTGACCTCTCCTCTGCAAACCTACACTTTTTTGACAGGCGTCCCCAACGGATTGTCGCGGCCGGAGCGGGCCGGACTATGTAAAGGAGTGGCCTTTATCTATTTGGTTTCCGTCAAAGCGGTCATATTGTGTCAAGCATCCATTGCGCTCAATCGGTTATTCTTTGTCATCTTTGTCACCAGATTCCCTATTCTCCAATCCAGACCGGTCATCATTAGCCTTCTGGCGTTTCCATGGTTGATCAGTGTCCTCTCGCACTGTCTGCCGTTGTTCAACGTGGGCGGGGCGTACGGTTACAGTGTCCTGACCAATAAGTGCAGCTACATCCGCAACGAGGGTGCGGTCATGCATTTTCAGCGCAGCTTTGTCACCGTGCTGGCTTTGTTCATTATTGTTGTGTCGTACACGGCGGTGTCGGTGAAGATTTTCCACGTACAGCACCGTCTGCTGAAAATCCGTCCGCTGCACCGTGAAGAAATAGCCACAACTAATATGGCTTCCATTAATAGCACCGGAAATGGATCATTAGCAACGGTTGGTAATCCGAAGGCACTGCGTCAGATGCGGAGGGAAATTCGAGCCGCGAAGATTGCACTGCTGAGCTCTAGTGTTTTTGTGGCTTGCTATTTGCCGACCACACTGCTTAGCTTTGTGTCCGGAAATAATCGGCGGGAGCTCCTGTCGCCACTGGGAATGTCATTATTAATGGTGCAGTCGATCGGTAAGTAATTATCCTGTTATTGGTAATCGTAAATGGAGCCTGATCGCAAGAATGGCCTACCCTATAGTAGAGAGTTTTCAGTTTTTGAATCAAGCATAATGTCAAGCATCCCCGACACACTTCGCACGTGCACTAAACTGCAACAAGTATTTAATTAAAAAGTCGATAAAAAAATACTGTATCTATATACCTACGACTGCTGACAAACTTAAGCTCCTAAATAGCTAGCTGCATTTGCGTGAGACGTTCTACCTCTTATTCTTTAAAGGTTAGCCTTACAAGCGCTTGTTATTCGGTACTTAACTATAATAACTGTTATAAAATGATAATATTTATGTTACACAAGACATGTGGCAGTACAAGTACTACCATTTCCACACTGAAGCCGTTGAACTAGCGCAAACTACTATTGTAAAAATGAATGCATGAAGAGAATCCACTCTGTACGCACAATAAGCGTGAGCGCTGTAGCCTGTGCTCTGTAGGTGCATTTTTTTACTAAAATTACTTTATATAATATAGAGTACGGTACTGCATTGCAAAATAGGTAGATCTCACGCCGCTCACGTCAGTCAGCGCTTTATTAAAGTTATGTTTTTGCTAGGCATATCTATTAGTCCCTGGTTGGCCTGTTTGCTCCACGGAGAGTTTGACAATAAACTGAGCCGGGATTTCTTGAAATGGTTGGAAACCAACGCATACATCAACCATTCGCGAAACCGCCGGGACCATTCCCATAACGTGGACGGCTTTGAGATTTCCAGTGTGAATCGCTCAGCAAGCCACAGCGCGAATAAACGTCTTATTCAACTTTTGTAACTACCCATGCCAGTAGCTACGGGATGTATTGTATAATTACAGTAATTTTGTATTAATACTTACGGTTTATAAGTGTACGTTAACTCGTTATTGGCGTACGTGTATATAATATACTAATACGTCTAACACGTGCAGCTCAGAGTTGACAAACTGTATGGATTCCGATTGGATTGTATTTAATTAATTTTACAGTCACAATTCTGTATAAAGTAGTAAAACGCCATCACGAATACTGATACTAACACAACCTCAGCCGACAGCGGAAATTAGCAGTCTAATCGCACGTCGGTTTACGAATAGAACTTGCAAGGAATCTACTCGCGGCAGACGATTGATGTTGCAAATTTTTCAACCTTTTAAAGTGGATAAGTAACTAACTGGTATAAGTTGGGGTCGGTTTCGCAGTTGTTGTACTAGTGCATTGCATCTGGTAAGCAATAGTCACATCTGCAATAAAAAAGCAGACATAATCACGCGGGTTTAATAAACGATAAGTAAATAAAGTACTTGTATCTGTATGTATTCGACACAATTTGTATTGGTACTTGTAATAAAATAGGTACAAGAAGTGCCGCACTCAAAGTGGCGCAGTAAATTACCGTAAAATAAGAAGCATGGTGATAAAATTTAACACAAGCGAAGAGCGAGTGATAGTAGTGCCCCGGTACAAAATAATATCTATATGTATTGTATACTGTGGTACGGTACATAGTGCAGTTTACTGCAACATGTGCCCAGATCCAAATTTTCAGTTAAGTTTTTTATGATAAACTCACTTGCACATCCTGCCCAGCAAGGACTGAAATATGTGACGCCATCAACACCGCAAACAAATAATGGGTCACGCCCTGGGCAGCAACATCCAATTGGAATTCCTGCGAAGAACGGTAGACGCTCGCACTCAAATGGACAGGCGACGGATACATCTGCGCAATTAATGGCCATTACAAATTTTGCCCCTTCCTAGGTTCGCCGTCCAGTACTTTTATTTAATTTAATCAGAATGAAGTGCCATGAGACGGGCAACGGCACAAAAAGGACACAACTTTTAAAAACTACAGAGTTGCTCTGTATAGTTACCAACTGAATTTCCCTACTTCGTGCGATCGATCGATACAGTTATTTATACGATACTCGTATATACTTCTATCCCAGTATTAGAAAATCACTAACCATAAGAACAATGATCGAAAGTAATAATTATCAATAAAGTACCATACTTGCACAACGTGCTAGACAGGCGTTGGCATAAGTGTGATCTGTCAGCTCCGCAAATCGCACTGCTGTTGTCAGAGGCACAGTCACAATTATTAGTTGTGGTGGTGGTATTGGGAAGCGGTTGTGCGGTGCTTGTGTAACTTTGTTGAGCATCTAAGGTCACCACACCTGCAATGGTCAATGGATCAATAATCTTTGTTTGGTAGTGGATAAAGCATTATTTTATTTACGTTGACGAATACAACTGTCCTTAAGTATCAATAACATGTCATAATTCTAGCATAATTATAATGCGTACATAAGGCAGCCAAAACGGCGCTAGAAAGGAAAAACATTTTGTATGGAGGAATTGTTGTGACTTGTGAGGTCTGCCACAGAGCGCGGTATACCTGCGGTTTAAGTTCAACTCAAGCAAGCCGCACCATAAATACTACTAAAATCATTTTCGATGGTTTTGCTGCCGGAATTATGTTCGTTCGAGCGATCGTGTCGGATTGTCCGATGGTTGTATATATATCTGTCACCGTTTGTAATTGTTATGTACATCATTACTTTGCACATTAATATTCATGACAGCTGCGGCAGTGTTACGGAATGGCTGTATTGTGACGCAGGAACAAGAACGTGTGAACAAATCTTTCCACAAGGATGCAACTGCATCAACGACCAAACCTTTAACCAAACCATGTTCAGCTCGAGTGATCAGTACAATTGTACGTTGCGTTAGCCCAAAGGCCAATATTAGGGTAGGAAGTTTGTAAATGTTGTCTTACTGACATATATATGAGTAGGAGTAGAAAGAGAAACGTAAAACTACAGAGTACTATATATATAATCGTTTGCACAATTTCAACTGACCTTTTGCTGGTCTGGATGGTCAGTGTTACAGATACTACTAGTACATACTGATACTTCAAGTATTTGTACGGAATTATACCTAGACTATGTAAACTAACAAAAACGATTTCAAAACGGCTGCAAAGCGCTTTCCATGATCATGTTTTTTACTTATTTAATTTAACCAAACCTGAAAATACAATGTTCGCTTAATAATACTTATATAAACACAACAAAGGGCAATGAGAGTAAGATAATCTCTGCCTCTCATTGTTCGCATGTAAATACCTAACCATGTATACCTAACCATAAATGAGTTAAGAGAAAGATATCCATTGTGAAGCTGCATATTGCGTGGGTCGTGACTATGTCAAGTCAAAACCGATATTAGCAATTCAAGTACTAGCATTTCCGGGTTTAGTCAACAAGTTAACGACAAATTTCTCAATTTTCCCCATTGCTGGCTCTTTATTATTAGTGACTCCATGATTATCAGCTGGATATAAGACCAGTTCTTTTGGATCACTGGCCAGCCGGTACAACTGTTCACTACAGCGGGCTGGCAGGCAGGAATCGCCGGTCCCATGGATGAACAAACTCGCAACGCCTATGAAAAACATTACATTTTAGCTCTCTATTCCTCCACATGTGAAGGTAAAGAAATTTTAAAAGGTGTGTGGTAAAAGTTCAGTACGAGTACATATTGTTACAACAAAAAAGAAAGTATGTGAATGGCCCGTATACCTTGACCTCCAAGTTTCCCGATGCTGTCCGTTCCCGCCGTCTGCGACGCAACCGTGGCAATACCATTAACCATCGAATGTCGGGCCGCTGCTGATATAACAACAGCGCCGCCAAATGACCAACCAACAATAACAGCCCTCTCGCAGTTATAATCCCGTCTAAGAATATCTAGTGTTTCGATAGTATCTTCGATACAAGGCATCAGATCTCCGGGAAAGCGGTAATCACATTGTACGGTAATAATATTGGGATAAGCGGTCAGGCGTTTCGCTAGATCTGGATACATTGCTGCGGGGCCATGCAACCCCCCGCCGGCGCCAGCCACCATAACTACAGCACCCACCGGATATGTCGGCGCAGTGCTGTTGGGAATTTTCAAATTTTCCGGTAAGGTGATCCGCCGAGCGGGTCCCGCGGAAATTTCAGCTCGCCGAGACATCCTGTTATTATGGCAATGTATACATCTGCGCAATAAATTCGTGATGTAGAATTTGGATGTCGGATACGGAGCAAGTCGGATATGGATGACTCCAGAGTCCAGACTGGTGCGCCAACTGCTTCACGAAGCCACCTCGGTCGACGGGCTTATATACTAGTACGACTTTTCAGGCGACGGCAGTTCGCAAGCGGCTGTCAGCCAATCACGGTACAGGGTTCTGAGAAAACGCAACCAAAACGCATCGGATGGTAAATGTATGATGCCATAATTAAACTTAAGCGGTATGCTCCCGCTTGTTAAGCATCGACCGCAGTGCAGTAGCGTGGCGAGCTACTTGAGTTGCACAGTGCTGAGTCGCTGACAGAGTTTAAAACAGAAGAGTCTTGAGAAGACTGAAAAGTTTTATCAGAACTTGTAGTTAGTTTTGTAATCAGTATTTAGTATTTATTTTTAAATGATCTAAATTACTGTATTGTGTAAAATATTCTGCTTTTAACTGACGGGTCGATTTTGGACAGTATTTGTCTTTGTTATCTGAGCTCATCTGGACAGCGCAGAAATCGCTTCAGAATCTGCCGATATTCGTAGTGCAGTGACTAGGCGATTAGCCAATGAAATCATCTTGAAATTTTTTTTATCTCCTGCGTTCGTTTGTTGGAGAGCAACGCAGAGGACTAACCATTGCTTCCCAGCCTTTCGTGCGAGCTAGCAATGGATTGCACTGAGCTGACTCAGCGCGAGCGCAGGAAACTTGAGCAGAAGAATGCCATCTTACAGCGACAGTCTCTTCGGAAAATGCAGAAAATGGTATTACGATTGATGCGAGTGTTACGTGCTAACCATAAGTCTTGAGAATATGTTTAGCACTTTAGCTGTTCTGGTGATAATTTTTCAGTTAGAAGCATAAGCGAATTCTATTAACTTTTAAGTATTTTTGTGGCTGCATTCTGCATCTCACTACAAGACTACCTGTGATTTCCATGCAGTTGTAACTGAGTTGTTCCGTTTAAGCGCAGACCCAATTCGCACCAAGTCGGGGTATATTTGTATGATAATTCTCAAGGCTTGTGTTTTTGTAGGCGCGAAGGATCGTCAAGAAACCACTTAATCAGCGGACGCGAGAAGACACGAGATTTGCTGAGGATTATCCCGATCTTATTGTAGAAGCTGAGGAGCGACGTCAAGCCAAACTCCTGGAATACAGCAGACAGCTGGAGATTTTTGATGATGCGTCACAAATAGCCGGGAAAGCAAAGGTTAGTCTTTCGAAATTGAAGTCGCAGGTCGTCCAGATCGGAAAGGCAGCGCAGCCAGCGCTATTAGAGATGTGCAACAATTTCGCACTCACCTCGTCAGCATTTTGCTGCAATAATAATTTTATTGTTTTGCCTTTTGTTGGCGTGAACGGTGAGTGATGGTGAACTGGTCGTCTGATATTCACATCAGAGCTTATTACAGAATATTTTAGACAAAGAATACTTATAACGTAAAAATCGTAAATTGCATTAGTTTTTCTTATAATCTGGTGTGTTTCGATGTAAATTTGAACCAACATGAACATACACTGCCGCTTCACTACAGTCTTCCTGATTTCTGCAATATGTGCGTGTGCGCCGTGTGTCACGGTACGTAATTAGAAATGTCGAAATGTGTAATCCGAAATGTTGGGTTTCGAATTAAGAGATATCGAAATTGGTTCAATTTTATAAATTTTAAGGTTTCTTTTTGCGTAGCGTCAGCCAGCGGTGGACTTTGTATGTTGTGAACTGGCTTTCGCCAGATGCAAAAATCATAATCAATCTGTTACACAGAGATCTGTTACACAGAGATCTGTTACAGTTGCCTGATGCCCAAAAGTAGTTCGAAGTCACATTTTACTTTAATACAGTGAAACCTGTCTATTACATACACCGGTAAATACATACACCTGGAAATTACATACGCGGAAAGTTTAACCGGCGTGTCCCATAGACTGTAATATAGCTCTGTGTAATACATACACCTGGATAATACATACGGTTTTGCTTTAACCGAAGGTGTATTTAGTAACCAGGTTTCACTGTAACGGCTTTGTTAGGACTAAAATATAATTTTTTTTACACCCATTTGATAGGAATAGGTTTTATAGATTCTGGCGGATGCAATAAGCAAATCTCGTCATGCCATTGTGTACACCGGCGCTGGCATTAGCACGGCGGCTGACATTCCCGACTATCGTGGGCCAAACGGTTTATGGACACGCCAGCAAAATGGTCAGCCGTGTGAAGATCCAGATAATCCTTTTGATATAACGAACGCGGAGCCTACGTACACCCACATGGCTTTGGTCAAGCTGGCGGAAGTGGGGTAAGTAAAGGAAACTTTATTGTTTTATTATTTCATAATATATTTTTAGGAAATTTATTTGCTCCAGGAACATTAACAGTGTTTTATTTGTTCACAATGTTTCCTCAATATATATCTTGTTTATTATCAGTTTTTTTTGCATTAATTTGTAATCCTGGATAATTTCGCTTAAATCAGTTATGACGTTTTTGATAAATAACCAGAAGCATTGTGGGCGGTAGGTTTTTTTCGGTTGGCAACGTGTTTTCGGTTTTTTCGGAGATGTGCAACACTTGTGATTTTCTTGTTCCAGATTGATTAAATTCATCGTTTCCCAAAACTGTGATGGTCTGCACGTGCGCAGTGGTTTTCCACGTGGCATGCTCTCGGAAATCCACGGGAATATGTACTTGGAAGTCTGCCATGAATGTGATCCCGATCGGGAATACTTCCGCACCTTTGATTTGACGCACAAGACGCGTTGGCGGCGTCACCGCACCGGCCGGTCTTGCCACTATTGTCAGAGTCCTTTGCATGATACAATTGTATTGTTTGGAGAGAAATCCCGAACGGAGACACCCATGCGGTGGGCTGATGCCACCCATCACGCGGCTGTGGCTGATGTTGTCGTCTGCCTTGGGACAAGCTTGAAGGTACGAACTTCGATAGTGATCTGATCGGTTTATGGTAGCGTTTCAATTTTAATGCCACTTAACTTTTATATTACGAAAAGATTACGAAAAAATAAGATTTCATACAATTCGTCATTTTGTCTTATTTCTGCATGGTCGAATATGTATCAGTATCAGTTTTCATTCTTTCGGTGTATTGAAATTTTGTACCACTTACCAGAATTGGTGAATGGTCGAACCGCAGGCTTTGGTGTCAATTGCAGATACGTTTACGAACGAATATAGTCTATATACTAAAGATAAAATTTGAAGGAAGAAGTATCGTTGAGTAAAGGTTGCAAATGTGCTAAAACAAATCGCTAAAGACAACCTTTGGACAGCTGGCGGTGCAGAAACGAGTCACGAAGATGTATTTAATGAAAAAAAACATTTTTTTATGTTCGTAATATTTTGTCATGTCATTACTCATTAGGTTCTGAAAGATTATCCGTCCCTCTGGAACACTACCAGTAAATTGTACATTGTCAATCTCCAGTGGACTCCGAAAGATGACGAAAGCGAGCTCAAGATTAACGGGCGCTGTGATAGTGTTATGTCGGAAGTGATGCAGCATTTATCTTTGTCCGTCAATGCATATGACAAATCGGACGACCCTTTGTACAAAATGGCCGTTCCCTTGCGGGACCAAGAAAGCGCCGACAGCGGGGCTTCATGTGGACATGGATGGCTCAATCGAGGTTTATCGGCTTTGAAAAACAAAGAGGACGCACGAAAAAAGAAGTCTAAGAGGAAACTGTGACCATCCGGGATTTCAGGTTAATATTATCCCTGAAGGCTTTGTGTTCGATAGCACAGAGGCGATCTGTCGCGTTTGCGACGATGTTTTCTTTGGTAGATGTTGTGGTGTAATAGTACTACGTAGTACTGATGTAGTGATTGCGTCTGTCTGACGACGTCTGATTGCTACGGGATTTCTAACGGGAATAAAAGCGCTGATACTTAAACTACCTTTGGATAGTTGACCAAGTCAGTAACGTTTTTGGACAAATGCGGCTGTTACTAGATTTCTCAATCAGTTAAACTTATTCCTAGCTCATTTGCAGTTTTCCATACACTATACTTTGCATACAGTATAACGTTGCACCTTTGATCTTTACTTAAAAGTTGCAAATTTACTTAAAATAATGATCATGCATGGTAACCATAAAAAGTATTCTCGAAATAAAATTTAGATATGGTTTTATTGAGGGTGCGCCTAACAGATACAAGTGCTTGAAACTTTCAGTATCACATATTTATATCTTTTGTTACTGGAAACCTGTGAATCGAAGAAAAACAGGTGCGATAGATCCCGGAAAGCTAGAACCCAACAAAAGTTATAAGCAGAGCAGTAATCACACAGATGCCGACTTAAACTACATCCCTCTAGTACGTACTCTAGCCAAAAGCTTGTGCGGTGATTATCGATAACACAGCGAAATGCTGATTTATTAAAGAATCACATCTTCCTGAAATCACGACATTTCTTGCAAAGAAAATAATTCGAAAACCTCCATCCAGTTTCCATTGCGAACGTTCATCGTGGTGTGGCGATTATATGGTGATGTTGAGGCTCCAAGGTGTGGCCCATGATGGGAATTCTCGATATCCTCTCCGGATGTTCAACCCGCAAATCAAAATTACGCAGAACGCCGGTAAAGAGGGAAACAATTTCCGTTCGCGCCAGTCCTTCTCCCGGACAGCGCCGTTTTCCTGCAAAACACACCAGTGAAACGATTAATTAGCAATTTTTTATACTATATAGAATATTTTTTATACTTTTCTCTTACCAACGGAAAACGGTATCAAATAGTCAGGGCACTTCAAGGTTTTTCCATCTGACGTAAGAAATCTTTCTGGTATGAATTCGTTTGGATTTTCCCATAAAGTGTCATCGTGATGTATGTAATGCAGATTTGGCATAATCCATGTACCTGATGAATAACAAAATTATTAAGCTCGTACACAGTGACTAAACACCACAAAACCGCACCTTAAAGGTACCTAAATCCTGTTTTCAAGGACGGCACCTTGTTTGCTTTAAATATAGTGACCTCTGCCATTTAATGCGTTTCGCCCAAATAGTACGGGACAAATGACGGACAACGCATAATACAGGTACAATACATCACAATTCGGGTGACCTTGAGGAATGTCGTATCCTGCCAGGGTGGTGTCCTTCTCGGCCATGTGCATCACACCAAACGGTACAATGCTCCCGATACGACTGAGTTCGGTTAGTACCGCCTCGGTGTACGGCATGTTCAATTGATCGGAAGGAACAATAGTACTTCCGGGCGCCATGATCCCGTCCAGCTCTACTTGTACCTTCTTCTGAATATCCGGATACAGGCACATGTATAGAAGGCCCTAAGGATTCAAACGAGTGCATTTTCGTTGTCACCGGACATATTTATATTTGCCGGGTGATAAAACATTTTCCCAAGCATTATTACCCATCGCAGCGTCGTCGCTGTAGTTTCATGCCCAGCCAACATTAAGTCATCGCCCAAATATCCTAATTGTTTCTCTAAAAAAGCAACAAATTTTGGTTTTAAATTAATACGTCAGGACGTCTGCTGGTCTGCTACACTACGTATATACTTACATTCTAGTATTCCACCTCTGTACTCTGCAGTATGTATGTCGCTATTCACAATTTCACCGTTTTCATTATGGAAATGTTTTAAAAATAAATGCCGCGCCACATAAAACTAAGCAACAGCCGTTCTTGTATGGTTTTGTAGTACAATGGCAAACACTGAAGCCGGCCTGGAAAAGTGGTTATGATTACAAAAGTCACGCTTTGTTGACATACCGTCCGTGATAAATTCTCTACTTGTATGAACCGCTGGTATTTTTAATGAATTACTGTACCTCAGAAAATGGACGTCAAAAAATCAGAACACGATCATAATACTATATACTTGAAGTACCCATTTTATCGGGCCATTTACAGTCAATACATTACAATACATTAACAAACTCCAATCACAACAAATTACAGAACCTTACAGTAAAATAGTTCACCGGAAGCACTATTATATTAATACACACTGTTAAATATTTTTCGGAACATGCTACAAAAACAATACCTTCCATAGTTAACTATCGGCAATTTGAGTAAATACATTAACATTACAGCAATGCATTAACAAGTACAATGTATTAAAAAAAATCAAATTTTATCTGAAGCGAAATAAGCATGCTACCACGTAACTCACCGGAAAACGTCGCATGTTCCTTATTCTTCATCGATGTCATATACGTGTCCATCAGATCGCGTTCCTCTCCTTCACGCCATTCCTTCCGATGTTTCTGGACTTTCTTAACGAAATAATCCCGAATATACTCAAAACACCCGGTGAGAATCTTGTATTCCTTAGTAAACGGCGGAATCCACCACAACCACTCGTAGCTCTCAATCATGACACTTTCAAAGGAGATCTTAAACATCCGATCAGCTTTCTCCACCAGTTCGGCAAATTCCTTATTGGGATCATCGATCAAGTAACGGTCACTGCTGACGATGCTGGTGATGACGTTGCCCACCACCGTTTTCGCCGGCAGGGTGGTGTCCATGGGTTGACCTTGTCCGTCACGGACTATGGTCAGCAAGTAATCAGCTTCCTGCTTGATTTTATCCTCAATACTCCGCCGTCCAACACCCAAATCACGGAAAGTTCGCAGAAGGAAACGCCGGTGTTCTTTCCATAGCAAACCGTCGGCAAAAATAATTCCTGAAACGATAATCTATTTTCGTTACCGAAAACGGCATCCAAGCATTTAAAAGAAATCTCCTGGCACATTTTCATACATATGCGCATTGGAATGGAAAAAAACCACTGACGGAAAGTTTATGCTATGTATGTACAATTGTACATTCTCTATGCTAAGTATGAACTTATGATAAGCAATAGAAGTATGGTGAAAGCTGTAAAACACTGAGTTGCAATTGCAAAATAAAGGGTACAATCTTAAACCAATCAAAACCAGGATAAAAAGATCGTTTTAAAGATGCTAACATCAGTATATACGTACTTTGCCCATTTATTTTTTAAACGCACTTGCCCAGAGGTGTTCAAAGCCGCTGTTCTACGATTACAAGCATATAACAAAGTTACTTAACCGCCGGCAAACGAGATTCAGTGGAATTAATCTCACATCGCTTGCACAAACAAGTACTTCTACGTAGACGATAGTTTATGCTACACTCAAACGTACCGCATCCGCCCCCAGATTCCTTCTTTCTCTTCCGCACACCAATATGCTGCGGCCGATAATTGCACACATCACCGGAGAACGCTTCCCGAACCAGTTCGGCATCGTTCAGCATAATGACGTTGTTGGCGCCCATTTTGATGAAGTACATCTTGCCGTACTGTTTAGCCCACTGGCGGAAGGTTTCCAGGGGATTCCGGGCATCCACTAACGGCAGCGCCCCGAAGATCGGAAAGGCAAAGGGGCCGGGAGGAAGGCGTGGTCTCCGTAGAAAAAAGCGGCGGATAAACAGCCCGAGAACGAGGAGAAAAAGCCCGGTCTTGGCTGCATCGGAAACCGTCCAACCGGGTATGGGGTGTGCTTCTTCCATGATAAAAAATGCTGCAGTGCTAATACGTACAATAAAAATTATTTAAGGTGCGCAAGAATCCCGTGATGACCGCATAATTTATGCAAAATCAAAACACAGTTCTTATGGCGCGATGTCAGAGCGCCCAATCATAAGCATATCAGCCTGTGGAATGTAGAGCATATTTCCATATCGATCGGTAGATTTCTTTACTTTTAGGACTGAACACAATTCATGTTATCAGTTCAGTTGCCTTTAGGTGTTTAATCACATGGACGTGTACAGCCTTCCATACACTGTTAATCAGAATGATGTGTTGTATGTTCCCAGTACGCAGTCGAAACTTTTTTAGACGCCTGCAACTGAATAATTATTACGAGCACATACCGGTCCCGCGGTATACAGGTAAGTACAGAGTACTGTACTGTACATAAATAAACCGTAACTGAAAACAGTATCCCCATGATATGATGTCGGCTAAAGAAGAAAATCCGTAATTATTCAACAAAGCACACAAAAGCGCAAAAACAAAAAGACCTATTGTACATAGGTAATATGCTCCAGGCTAAAAGTTGCAAGAAACATTATTTCAGTTTGACGAAAGGATAGCAATTTAGTTTCTCTAGACTAAAAGTTGCAAAAACATTTATTATTCCAATTTAACTCACAAGTCAATGACAGTAACTTAATTTCTTAAGAGTGACAAGGCCAACTACAAAATCCGGATTAAGATCGTCATTGCCATTAATCTACCGTAGCTTTCCTGAAAAATCAAATTATGTTATTTCAAGTGTCAAAAGCATACAAAAAGGAGAGATCGGCTTCAATACAAATTATACCAGCTAAAGCGGAATTACTGTAGTGTAAACGCTCCGTAGTTTTTATCCAACATAATAAATTTACTGACTTATTTACAATCTCCGACAGCGTTCGTACCGAGCATTGAGAACATACAGGAGTAAGCGAGTACAAAAGATCACAAAATAAAATCTGCGAAGCATGTTCGACATTTCGCGAAACCGGTAGTACAACAATGATATTCCATATTCCGTAAAAGTTACGAATTTGCCGAATTTTCACACACCAAAGTCACTGGACCTAAACAATGCAGGCAAGTACAACGTCAAATACGCATAACGCACACAGCTAACCAAATGGATCTTTCCGGTAATGGATCGATCGATGGCCTTTGTGCATCACAGTCTTCGATAAATCTGAGATTTCCTTCCAATAACCTTTACCGGCTCAGGACAAATTCATACCACACTAAAAATCAGCACAAACTCTTCTAATCAGCAAAACGATCTGTTTTGGAGTTAGACCTAGCATAAGCGGCTTTCGTGCAGGATTTCCACCACAGTGCCGCTAGCCAGCCAACATGACCGAGCGTGTATCCGACAAAAGCCGCGTAACAACATGGAATCGGCCACTTCTGCAACAACAGACGCATGTCGAGTAATACAGTGAAAAAAATTAATTAACTAGCACTGCAGCACAAGACTACGTCATTCCCATCTCCCATCTTGGTGTCCAATCTTGGTAGAGAGTGCATCTCCTCAAAGACCGAAACCCCTACACTACGCTTAACACCGTTCATTTGAACGGACCGTCCGATCCCATCAACTCTGTAGCGACTTTTATGCTTTTACTCAGATTTATTTACTACTTATTGTATACCAACTGGAAAATAATATACTGCAATAATAATAACAGCATCAATGAAAAGATTTCAAGGAAACTGATATTTGGAAGTGAAATAAGCTTTCCTTGGATGGCTAATTGTTCTTTGAATTACGCACCTGCCAAGGACGATCCCAATCCAGCGGAATGACAACCGAGCCGCACCACGCTCCCACCACCGCCATCAATCCCGGGACGAAACACAATTTCTCCACGCTCATATCGCTTTCCATGGCCTGAAGGAATTTGAGCAGCTCCTCCACGGGCTGACCGTGTATCAGGCAAAAAGGAACGAAACCCAGCACTGACAACAGCATCGCCAAGTGCAGCGTTTCCAACCACGAACTGCAACAACAAGCACAGCCATGCGCTAACCATTTTCCGCTTGCAAGTTTGCAACATGCGCTAGTGGAGATAGGAAATTACATGGCTTACTCGAATATTGGTGCACCGAATAACACAATTCCCACAAACAACGCCGGGACCGAGGCCACCGCGAAGAGTCCCGCGTTGGGTGCGTTCCAGTTCGATAGACGCATGGAGGAGCTGCGCGCTTTGCGGGCAATCAGTTCCTCGGCAAACAGATACCGCAGCAGCGCCACATCGATTAGCAAGATGAGCGCTGTCAGGTAGCGCGTTGTATCCAGGGGACTCTCCACCAGGTTGATGTAGTTTCCCAACAAATTCGGGAAGAGCGGGAGAGCGGCGATAATCAGCTTCAGTAGACAGAATTGTGCCACCCACAGTTCCTGAATACGTCGCTTCATTGTGCAACGTGCAGGTTGTGTAAGGGATTATAACAAGGAGATAACAAATTCCTAGTGGATTTTTCCCGAAATCTAGCAGCAAGCGCGTAGAACAGCGGTTGAAGCTGCAAAAATTAAGTCATCGGAAATTTAAATTATCAGGCACCTATCTCCCGCCATGCCATCGAACAACAAGTTATTGCGCAATTCACAATCTACTATTAGGTAGGATCAGTTACATATTTACTAATTTACATGACATGATAAGAATACGTTCCACTTCCGGAGGATAAAAGTCATAAAACTCATTAAACAGCACATAAAAGTCAAAACCATTCGAAAAACCCGAAATCCTAAATATTCCGCTGCACGCGTATGTAAAGACTCAAAAGCGTACTTGCTTTTCTGAGTCCACGTGATTGACCTAGTTGGAAATCTGCTGAACGGATCACGTGTGCTGCTGTATTTCCGACTCACGGCGCAGTTTGTTTGTTGATGTTTTCATATGCGATATCCGACGAAACAAGACTGATTTGAGTTTTAACTTTATGTTTTCTGAATTTTTCCTGCCAGTATAAGCTGGGATAAGATTTCTGTTGTGGAGACTTCAAATTAGCATTGATAATGCATCCTGGTGCATCGCTTTTCAGTTGCGGACTGATATTGGCTGCAGTGTGTTCCTCTTGCAACGGCTTTCACGCAGCAGCGGACGAAGAGATCCAGAAAGTTCCCAAAAGCAGCCCGCTCACGCGATACGAACCAACATGGGATTCCATTGATTCCCGTCCGATACCGGGTAAAATTGGCATTCAGATTTTTTCTGTGCACTCTGTGGTAGCTGTTGTTGTTGTTTTCCATAGATTGGTACAATAATGCGAAATTTGGCATATTTATTCATTGGGGAGTGTTTAGCGTACCGGCGTTTGGAAGCGAGTGGTAAATGCCAGAAAACCCTCCAGTCTGGCACTGTTTATCCTAACGCAGTATTTACCTCTTGCAGGTTTTGGTGGTACTGGCAAGGAGAGAAGCGACAAAACTTCATAGATTTCGTTAAAAATAATTATGGACCGGGATTTACTTATGCTGATTTTGCGCCACAATTTCATGCTGCGTTTTATGATCCGAAAGCGTGGGCTAAACTGTTTGAAGCATCGGGAGCGCAGTAAGTCGGAGAATGATGGCTTCTTGCTGCTTTGGCTCGCAGTACTCGTTACATTGTGAAATTGCCCGTAAATTGAACTACGAGTGTACCGTTAAACTGTGCTGAACGCGAATATCTTCATTTGGAAAGTTTTTTTGCTTGTGCTTCAAAATTTTGCTGCACATACTTTCCAGTATACGCAGTGAGAAGCTATTATCGATTGCACAGTAAGATACAGTCGATGCGGAATGTAATATTCATGTTGTTCAAAATGTGAAAAATATTGCAACCACTTTCTTATAGAGTGAAACGTAATTGTTGCACTCGCCAGCGTAAAAAGCTTACAACTCTCCATTAGCCATTGTGAGACGTCTGTTGGGAGTTACCATTCACTTTCGCTAGGTATGTCGTTCTTACTTCCAAACACCACGAAGGATTCACAATGTGGCCGTCAAGTGTATCCTGGAACTGGAACGCCATGGACGTTGGACCGCGTCGGGATCTGGTGGGCGAGTTGGCGGATGCTGTGCGGAAGAATACGAAACTACATTTCGGCCTCTATCACTCCATGTTCGAATGGTTTAACCCGGTCTACAAACAGGACGTGGCTAACAATTTTACTACCAAGCAGTTTGTTACAGTAGGAAATTATTTATAGCTGAATAGTGAATACCTGTCATTACTGGAGTTGCAAATTGGTTAATGGTGTCTCGGGTTGCAGAGTAAAACACTGCCGGAGCTGTATGAAATTGTCAACCGCTACAAACCGGAAGTGATCTGGTCCGACGGCTGTCCGGGATCCTCGGACTGGTGGGGCAGTAAGGAATTCATCGCCTGGCTTTACAATGAATCGTAAGATTTTTGAATAATCAGTTATTGATGGTCCTCGTGGGTTTAAAATTTTTAGCAGTTACGCTGCATATTTATAATAACTGCACACCAGTTATTTAAATTTTCTGTTTAAGTCTCTGTATTCTACCTAGTACTTACTGTTGAAATTTTCATTTGGCTCGGGAGTCCTGTTAGAACGAACACGGATTGGTCTTTCTTTTATATTTCCTCTCTGGCAGTATTTCGTTTGGTGCAAATGTTTTACACATTGCAGACCAGTAAAGGACACGGTCGTTACAAATGACCGTTGGGGAGATGATGCCATGTGTAAACACGGAGGATTTCTGACGTGCGATGATCGTTATACTCCCAGTAAGTTGGCACAGCCGAGTAAAAAATTGCTGAGCATTTCGGTGTGACGTTCTTCAATCATACAATAGTGGTAAAATCGTAGTGTGGAGGCGGACATTTTATTCATTGGACTCATTTTGATGCGAATGATACTGTTATCTACTACTATAGTACGTAGTGGATTATCCGTAGTGCAGAGCATCATGAATCGATGACTGTTAATGTTTTGTCTTTTTAGCCCACCTTTTAACTCGGAAATGGGAAAACTGCATGACCATTGACGGATCGAGTTGGGGTTATCGCCGCAATATGGCTATTACGGATATTCTGAAAATCGAAACACTGATTGCTACTTTAGTCAGTTCTGTTAGGTAACAAAATAGTATTTTTCTGTGTCGATTAATGGGGCTGTCGCGTTACCTTTCTTCATTGTATCTCTTCCTTTTGGTAGTTATGGTGGCAATTTACTGATGAATATCGGGCCAACTTCCGACGGGATTATTGTTCCTGTATTCCAGGAGCGTCTGCTCCAGATGGGCAGTTGGCTGAGCGTCAATGGCGAAGCGATTTACAGTAGCATGGCTTGGACATCGCAGAATGACACAATTACACCCAACGTCTGGTATGTTTTCGGGAACGGTTTGTGTTATTTGTGCGTACTGAAAACTAAAAGTGTCCGTTCGGTGCTTCGCTGAAACAGTGGGAATACGTATACTGGCGAAAATTTGTTTGTCACTGGAACTGCCAGATCGGCGAGTAATTTTTGAATACTGAGGGTCTGCGACTCGTTCTGATGTAAAGAAGAATTTTTCAGATTAAGTTAAACGCCGGAAATTAAAAGTTCATTCGCTTTTGGAATTATGTGTTGCAGGACACCTGATATTCACTATGTTGTGTAGGTATACTTGCAAGAAAGAGAACGGCTCCACCACCGTCTACGCGATCGTGCTGACCGATTTGGCCAAGGACTTCATCGTCCTGGGCGCAGCCCAAGCTACCGAAGAATCAAAAATCACCATTCTGGGCTATAACGACGACGTGGACTGGGAAGTACTGAGCACAGGTGACCTTATGGTCAGTATTCCTCGGAAGCAGGATTTGCCGACGGTGGCGGTGTGGGGTTTCACGTTGCGGATGAAGCACCTGAAGAACGCGGATGTCAGTAACTATCAACGACCCCTGGAGGGGGAACGACCGCCGTTGCCGACTAAGGGAAATGTGGAACGACCCTGGCGAAAAGTGGTGGCGGCGATGGTGTGAGCAAGAAGCTGTGATCGTGGTGAGAGAGATTCTTGTTATTGTTTGGTTTCCTCTTTTTTTATTGACTGCTCTGTTACGCGGATGTGGATACTTTGTTATGATTCAGTCATTCCATTTTATCCTTTTACATCTACAAAAGCCATTTTTGACTTCTTTTCACTCTTTAATATGTTTAACAAGGAAGAATTATGGTTTTATCAGTTGTTGACAGTGTACTCGTAAATTTATAGTTGTGACGTTTTTCCGGTGTGTTTTACGTATTGTTTTGATCGCATATTATAACCTAAATAAAAAAGTTTTGCAGCGTTAAAAATTTGATAACCCAGTTGTACTGTACTAGCAGATTGCCTGGATTCAGCCCAAAACCCCAACTTCGTACGCTTTCGTGTTGATGCTTCATTTTTTGTGAACTTTTGAAGTTAGTTAACTTACGTAACATTACGTGAAAACTCGTATAGCAAATAATTTGTCAATAAACTTTTTTATTTAGTAGGATAATTATGTAAAGAATTACAAACATAAATGGTAAAATTCAAATAAAAAAAGTCTTATAAACATTTTTATGAGTTGCACGGTTTATGTCACAATCGCTTCACCATCAGCTTATGTTCCTATCAAATTCAATTCAAATTACAGCCATCACTCTACGATTTTTGCTACGTTCTTCAGGTTGGATTACAAGATGGGTTCGGCAACAAGCTGCTTCTAAGCTCTGACGCAGCCCCCCTTATGCCACTACTGGTGTTTAATATTCGATTTGTCGGTGATTTTTTGCTGTAAGTACACATCTCTTAATATTGACAAGTCGGACCGGCGTCAGCACATGCTGAGGAGGTTTGCACCTGTTGAAAAGGCGGGGTTTTCTGTCATGTCAGCAGCACTTCGTACCCGGCATCTTATTGCAAACCATCCAAGTGTACTGTGCTTGTCACCGCAACGTTTACATGCTGCAGTGTGTCGTGCGGTGTACATAGGGTATGCAGCCGCAAATCGCCGAGTGTTGCTGACAATCAACGCTGTTTTAATTTTTTCCGCACTGTCCACTTGGCGCGGACGAGTGGCATTTGCATCTCGCATCCGATTCCGCAGTCGAGACCGCTTTCGCTTTGAATTTGATTATGTAGTGCCGTATTGAAACTGACAGTTTACTGCTTTGTTTAAATGAAAAATTGCAGGTGAATATACTGCAGTCGCTGCTTGAGAATCTTCCGGTTGGATTAGCAGTTTTGAACACTGCGTGACTTATTTTTTTATCACTAACTCTGGCATCAACTTATCGGATTATGGTAGCGCTAATCAACATGCTTAAGCGTGGTAAGTTTACCACAAACGTATGGTGATTATTCCTTAGATATATGATTTACAGCTATGTGCTAGTTACACAGCCAGCGCTGTTAACCGAAAATTTACATTAATCTCCTTTTTCGAAATTTTAATTGGTGCTTTTAAAATTTTAATGCTCTGACATGTTGGGAAAAATTTGAAATTATTGGAAATGTCAAAATTGTTCGCTGTAAACACTTCCACTCTTTTCAGCAGTTAATGATATTTATAAATTATTTGGTGCATATATTAAAAAGATGTAGTTTTTGTTTAATTAAACAACATTAACTTCTAATGGTTTTTAGCAAAATTAATGTCTACTGTAATATCGTTTTAGTTCTAGCAATATTCTATTGTAGAGGTACTACTTACTGGCAGTAGTGTATGCTTATCCGTCATGCGATAGTTTCATCCGTGCAGTTTTATTACTACGTTGTTTAACCTGAATTGGCTAGTTTGAGAAAACTGTATAAACACGCATTAATAACGCAAACATTAACAGCTTGATTGTGACAGAAAGCAAGACTGCACTGCATTTTGAACTGGTTTTTCCGATGCACGATGATGATTTCCGACAATTTTTCCGTCTGAAATAATTCATTTTTAATGCGGTCAGCTGCCATCAGCGGCACTTGGCTTTTTTTCTGTTTCCGTAAATTTTCCTCCAAAAAGCGGAGCAAAGCAAAAACCATCCGAGTAGCGATTGCGCCGCTGACCAATTAAATCCCCATCAGAGAAGTGAGCATAACGGCTGTTTTTAGTCAGCCGGAAGCGGCAAAAATTAAGTGTACACACTCTCCATGTCGGCGCGAAAATGATACTTTTTTCGGCTGCAATGGACTTTTCAGCAGAGAGCAGTGATGGATTACCCTAATCCGGGTCTGATGTGGAATTAATATCATATTTTTCTTCGTGTCTTTTTCTTAACAGTTTTACCATTGTTTCGTTGGACGACGTCATGGACGTGGTGTCGTGCATTGCTTTTGGTGTTAAGATTTATCAACAACCAGCCGTCAACGAAATGCTGGTCCGTTGCCAGCCCGGATGAAATATGCCGGTACTGCCGGCGTTCCTGTTCGTTGGTCCCGGCATCAGGCTTGACACAATATGCGGGGCTTGCGTAATTCAGATTTTCTTCAAGTGTTTTAGAAGAAATATCCATCTGAAAGTCGGCAGCTTTTATGCAATGTGATTAACACGATACCGACAAAAGATGGTTTTTTTAATTATTTTACCGGCATAATGCGCATAAAATCGTTTACGAATTTCATAACCTTTTGTCAGAGCAACGTTCTTGGAAAAATGCAGCGTTACTTATTCTTGGTTTTGTATGTTTCTTTCTAGCATATAAAAAAATAATGTGATAGAAGCACATTACTTTTATATAAGAGTAAATTATATAAATTTTTTTGCCAGTGCATTGAACGCACATTGTTAATAGGCAGCAATAATTATGTTAAAAATCATATTATACACGTACGAGTACATGATGTGCCATTCTACTACGAGTACAAGTTGCTTATTCTCACAATCAGCAAAAGTCGGAATGAGCTGATTGCCATGTATTAATTTATAAGCTACTATTCAAAGTCATTTATCGCAGCGTAATATTTGAGCCGAAAATCCGATTCACATACTCGTAATATTAATACTAATGACCATAGTTGTTAATTATCAATAACTGACACCGTGTTAAAGTCAACATACAAAGTGCTACGAAACGGCGATCTTCCGTCTCGGTTTCGCGGCATGAAAGGGATCGTTTGCTATGTAATCATCGAACTAGTTCAATATACTTTCGCTGGTGAGCGATTAGTGCCGCAGCGAGCATCTGTCCAGTTAGTGTACTTGTATGGATATTAAGTGCAGATTATTTATGTTTACGTCGCTCGGTGTTGCCTGCTGATTACCTAATCTTTCGCACCAGATAACACGCGCAGACAATACCGCCGATTGTCCGATACAAAGGTGCACTGTACATATAAGCGTACATGATGTGGAATTGATGATCGTGTATCTTGTTTAATTATGAATTATATTGTGGCCGGAAACACAAAGCCGGCTTCGGCGTGTGAATCACTTTCCCCCGCGTTTTGTGTACCATATCTTGGTAAATGTTATATGTAAAGTGGGTTGTCGATTTCGTTATGAAGTCACCTTCAAGCAATGTTTGATACGGTTCATACATAATTAAGCGTTTTATTTGACGGATGGGAACGTGAAACGGCAGCGAAGGCGCGCGCCGAACCAAAAGTTTGTCTCACTAGCATAAACAATGCGCGACAATTACAACGCACCCATATAACTAATGCGAAATCGATTATTCATGTAAAGTTTTAATAACTGATTACAAATTAAGCTTAAAGTCGGAAAACAAGGTTGTCGAATCTTGTACGATTTTTTTATTAAAGTTTATCTTGAAACAAGGGAGTTTCTTCTGAAGAATGATAATGATATGTAATAAATAGTTTTGTCTTTTTGCAGAAACTTAAGAAGTTAGCTGCAAAGTAAGTAATTATACTGATCATAGTAAAAATAACAACTACTCGTAGTACTCGTAGTAAGTGCTATCATTAAAAAGTGCATAGCCTATATATAAGTACAGGATTCGCATGTGCCAAGAGTAGTTAATTTTGTGAAACAGGTAAAAGAACTTACAGATTTTTACTATGCATTACGAAGTTTCGTTTGTTTATGAGTGGGGATTGAAAATTACGGCATGATATAAAATTATTACAACCTCCGCCGCTTATTACAAGCTATTGGAAACAAAGCCCACGCAAATTACGACTCTGTCGATAAAATCTATGCGGTGGAAATGATTACACATTACATGAAGTTTTTTTTTGGTATTTTGTAATAAAATTTTACCGCCAAATGCAGTGATCCGCAGCGTGAGCAAATGTTGACAAGGGTAAATCAACGATGTTAAACATTACAGCGTCAGTATATGTGGAGCGCACGATATTTCGCATGGTACACCGTTCCCGGGGTTAATTTCCATTGGTCGGAAGTAGATCGGAAAAAAAGCGACAAAAGTTAGGCGCTTTTTTGGCATACGACGCGCGTGTGTAGTTTTATCGTTTAATTAGCCACTATACCGGCGTCCAAGCGTTTAACAGGTCTGTTTAACACGCGAAAAAATATAATACACAAGCCAAGTTAAATAACCCACTTTCACTTAAAGTATCTGTAATGTGACGCACTCGTTGCACCGTACGTGCACACAAGCCTGACGGAAAGGTTACGTGGTGTGAAAGCTGCCAGCCGCGTTTATTGTCAGTACAATATTATTAGTGCAATATTTTTATGTTATTAGCTAAAGGATTTTCTGGTTGACTGATTGAAACAAAATTCTTCATCAGCACATAAACGTAACAGAAGTGCTTTGTTTATGAACGTACTTCCAGTTTTAGGAGAATTTACACTGCGTGCGGAAGTGTAATCTGCATCACTGCGCAGACTGCAGCCAAAACTGCAAACTTCGTAAGTTGAAACTGCAACCAAATCTTGTACAAAAATTTTAGAAGCGTTTATGGATACGAAGTATTGCAATTCAAATAAATTGTTTCAGTAATGTCCATGTTAGATTCTGCTGTATATATGTGCAAACCGCAAGTATGTATGCAACAGTTATTGCAACTGCAAGTAACAATGTGACATGGTAAGATCTAATTAGCATCATATTTTTTTATGACACGTACTCGTAGACTCGTAGTAAGTTCGTATAATTATGAATTTAGTTATTTTTTATACTCGCATTGTAACTGGACGCTGATATCAAGTACAGCCAAACACGCGATTCATCCTTTTTCGGCGGTAATTCTGTTAACGATCTAGTATTTTGGTGGGAATTTGAGAAGCTTGCAAAAGATATGGTAATGATCACCTTTGACGGCCGGCATCAGATTAATTAGATTACAATGCATATTTTGGCTGCGGTCTACCGCGCTTTTTATCTCAACCCCGGCCCATATTGGAGCGGGCGTGAACCCTTGTCGCGCCGGAGCGTCTGCATTTTCGCTCTTTTAATAGGGAGCACCGCCCGATTGCCACTGAGACGACTTCTAAATGAGATCATCGCTAATTCATCGGTGAAACGTTTTTCATTTGGTACAACATTATTTTAATCACTGCAGTTTTTATAAAATAATTTCGTTGCTAGTTTTAGGCTTAAATGCTTAAATATCATCTAGCTTTGGTTTGTTTTTAGCATATTTTTCTAAACTTAACCCGGCTGGTTCGCAGCGCTTCCTCAATTTCAAACATTGCAACAAACGTTTGTTAAAATTATTTTCATATAACTTTTTTATATTTGGAAATTTCGAATTTTTTTCTGCAGATAAGGTCGACAAGCTAACTGGTCAAGAAGGAGGCGGGAGCGCTGCATGTTGCCCGGTCAGGTCAGCAGTTTTCTTTGCCGCTAGTTTTATTATGGCACAAGCACTGTACGATCAGCACTCAGACTGTTTTTTGCGCGCACGACTGCGCGGATTTTCTTTCCGTTGTCCTTCAACTGGAAACGTCAAATGGGCCAATCAGTCGTCAGCGGCGGCTAAAAATCAATTTTCGCTCAATAGATTTAACGGCAATATTGCTGCTAATTGTCACAGCCTTTTTAAGTACTTTCTATCAGAACGTTGACGTTATTTTTCACGGTCGATCGTAGAGGCCACTCGCGGCCGGAGGTCATAATATGCATTTACCGTTAACCGGTTATAACTTTTTTTGTTTCCCTAATTACACTGGGAACGAATTTTTCTGTGCGAAATGGGTTTAAAGGCTTGATTAATTTTGAGTAAAACTTCATTTTTACCTCGTTTTACTAAGAATGCATCAAAGTGGCGACACCCGAAATAATTAATTTGATAACTACAGTTTTGAGAGTTTACATGAACACAGATAACAGTTACAGCAAGCGGCACTTACAGAGTACAGCAACCTTGCATATGAATGCACCGATTTTACAGTTGTCTACAGTCTACTCGAGTAGCCGCTACATAAGGCTGCTAATTGTTGTACTTGTATTTAAACACAATCGTTAAAATTAATAGTAGTGCCGGCTCAGTCTAATTGTATGTAATATTTCCAATTTCGCATTGTATCAGTTTGTAATGAGCAAGGCTAGCTGTCTTTTTTATTAAATCCTTAAAATGTAATTAATTTTTTTAAATAATTCTGTAAATTAGTAAATACTAACCGGTAAGTAATCCACGTTAACCAATGTCTTTGCAAAAACTTTTGGGAAAATACATATATATATGGTACATTTTTTGCATACTTCTATAGTTAAAGGTTAAAATTATTTTCGGTGCCGATGCAGGAGCAGCTAAGCGCATCATACATCTGTCATTAAAACAAGTATGCGGCATCTGCCATAAATATATAAATGGCCAGATGAATATTGGGTACTTAACTTTTTGCACGGCATTATCTCCGAGCCTCTAATGTTCATGACGACGAAGTTACGATTATACGAAAGACCACGCAGTCAAATGAAGAGGATACTGCTACTTGAAGTGTCTGCTCAATGTCGAGGTCGATACAATCACGAATATTTTTGCAATACATATTTCTCCGAGATGGCATATTTTCCCGACATGCTGATCAATCAAATTTTCGTATTTCCCTGACAATATTCACCATTACTGTCGCCTTGTTTCGGGGTGGTGGCGTGGTGATGTCCTAGTAAATAAACAACATTTCACGCTGAGAAATTACAGACTATATCTAAACTGGTGTCGCAGCTGATGTTCGCTTGACCGTATCCAAACGTAAATTCGTTATTAGCCGCTGTTACCCCAATTAAAGAGCAAATTGAATAGAGATAATTTTTGAACTGTTTTTTACAATTTTACTTTCAATTTTTTTTTGTACATCTGATGTAGGAGAGTTTTACATTAAATTGCCGGTGCGCGGCGCGGAATTGTCGAAATATTTTGTAAAAATCGCTGCAAATTGTTTGACATTTTCCGCTCGTACCAATTATCTAATTTTCCTGCCAATCGCCATTTCAGTGTGCAAGCTGCGCAGAATTCTGTCAACAAATGCGGAAGTCTGATATAATTATAAGTTAATGCACTCGGTCGGAATCTGAAGGATCTCTTGATAATTGTGTGTAGATTCCTTAACTACAAATTCTGTAACTGTCACAAAGCACTGACAGTTTTTGATAAATGGAGAGTGGCCCCCATCGCGTTTTTAAAACTCCATTGCAAAACTGAGCGAGCAGGGGCTGCATTATTGAAGAAAATTGCTACGCGCCGCTCGGTAAATCTCCTTCGACTATTTTTCCTGTCCATCATAACTCGCGGCAGCACATGAATTCTTGCCGCAGCCGCAGCTATATGAAATATGATCAGTCAATGCACCAGCGCGTACCGGTAGTCTGCGTTATGTCCACACATTATACGTATGACCACTGGTCAGCGTGTTGCTTTGTAAACCGGCTCCTGAATAACAATTTTCCACATCAAGTAGTCTGCACTTGTTGCTCACTCTCTCTTCCACCTGTCCATTAGCAACTTTTCCCAGGGCTTCCTTCTCCCCGTCCATGCAACCGCCGATCACTCATCAATTATACAGATTCGGATCGTGACAGCTCAACGGTAGCCAATCGTACTGCACAGCAATTTTCAAGCAAATTTCTTGATTGGTCAAAATCGTACGGCGTTGGCTGCCATTGGTTGGCTACTCCCCTGTGCCCTTAGGGCGTCGCGCGACCGAACTAACACGGTTGTACCGTGGCCGTGTGCGGACAGTTGCTGGTGTCTTTTGTTTCCATTCTGTTAGGGGAAATAATAATTTTCATGGGGATAATTTGTAGCTTTGACATGGAAATATTGGCGCGGATATTTGAACAATGTCCAGTATAACGATTACAAGAATAACATTTTCTCCGTGAATCAGCAAGAATGGTGTGTACTTTAATTGTGAGTCAGTGATACGGCACTCGACCTGTTACGTTTTCACCTGGTTAATTCAAATTTGAAAACTCCTCCAGTTCATTTTGCACCGGATGTGCGGCGCGTATAATGCATAATGCTTCCGCTGATGCACTTCCAACTGCTGTATAAGCGGATTATTTCCGGATTATTTAATATTGCACTGTTAAGTGCCTTATCAAAACGCATCCAGCTGTAAAGGTTGGTCGTGCGCCGATATGACTGGGAAATTTGCATGGTAATACGAACCACTGAATGCCATTAATGGTTAATTACAAAAATTATGTACCTATCTAGAACCTAGGTATTAATGTAATTTTACTAAAAAATTCAATTAACTTTTTAAGGTGATCTTGAATTCTGACTAGTGTTTTAGTGATCACGAATATTAAGCGCATCCTCGTACGTACTTATATCTTTGGATATCTAATCGCAGTTTCGAATTTTCTGCCGACTGCCTCACCCAGATCACAATTTAATGCTCACTGTACCAGATTTATTTGTGATTTGTTGTGCTAATTGTAAATACCATGCCGTCATTATGCGGAATTTCTGATTGTCTTCCCAGTCGGCACGCTTGTGAAATTTGAAAACGCCCAGAATGTTTTACGTCAGAATACGTTGCGGCTCACTGATAGTACGTTTGAGTGGTGTTAGTGAATAACGTTTTAAGCTCGTACTGAATACTTGTACGTAAGTTGTATTGGTGTTGAAAGCTGTAAATTTTCATCGTACGTGTTTGTGTTTAATGTTTATTAACTTTAACAGCTGCGAGAGGCGAGCGTACAACACACCTTTATCGCTAATGGTGAAAAAATTGATGACATTTCTGTTTTACAGGCCACTCTTCTGACTGAGTTATATTGATGTAAAAATGGGATTATAGCTGACAATGGCGTGTTCATGAAACCTTATCTACAGTCTACAAACCGGAAAACCAACAGACAACCCAATCATTTTTCCAATTGTTCGTCTACGACCGATACGATCGACCGAATTATTGTACGGCGCGTGGGCACAATACGCTGTACGGAGCGTGTAATATTGGATTGTCGGTAGACAACGAAATGCGCAGCCACACCATATTCACCAGCCGGAACAGCTGTAGCCGTGGTTAGCGCTGCTGCGGCTTGGTGTTGCACTGTGCGTGTGAGCTGGATTTATTCTATCAGCCGTTTTCGCGTCGTACCTTGACCTGTGTGGTATTGTTCCATTTTGGAAAAATTGAAACAAATCTCAATTTCTATCGAACTGCCCCATTGTTGATCTTGAATCATGACGGATAACGTTACGATGGCTGTGCACTTGGTTAATAGTGCCAGCCTTCCTCATTTCTTATCAGCTGCTGCTGCTGCTGATCATCACACGCACAGAGGCGGACATCATCATCATCGTAATGCCAGGCCCTTATCTTCCTACTCCGCATCTACGTTTCATCGTCGTCCCAATAGTTTTGAATCGTTGAATTCGTCATCATCCGAATACGAGTACGACTGGAGTAATATGGATCAGATTGTACAGGAGCAGATGCAGGAGAACGGTAAGGACGCTAAAGTGTGCAAAATACTTGTTACGGTTACTTTGTCGGTCAATTGTTTCGGTAAATTAATCATCTTGAGTACGTATACGAAAATTTATGGTAGCCACTAGCCAGCAAGTGCAGCTTGCGTAATGCCTGACCAACAACTTCGTAGTATTTCATTTTATGGCGCTGATTGACCACTGCCCTGTAAAATTTCTCGCGTGTTATATCAACTTGTATACCGGGACTTTGTCAGTGTGGTAAAATCGATCAGACCGATGTGGTCCAGTGTTTTGGTGTGAATACGTTACTTTTAGACTCGAATCATTAGAATTGCAAATTTGCTTGTTCGCAATAGGACTTCCTGATTCAGCGGAAAAAATTCTTTCCCTGGAATCGAGTTTTCTGTGCACAAACAATGTGATTCATTTGCAGGGCCACTTGATGACTAACAACAATTGATGTTCTATTTCTAATTGTTCCTCTCTTCCGGTTGCGTTTTTTATCACTACGCGGCGAAAGTATGTGGCAGTGAACGTAAAATCCAGTAATTCTGACGAAGTTATTTTAAAAGTTCTGTCATGGAATTTTGTTTTCGGTAAAATAACTGCGTTACAGAATAGGATATGACAGCTGTGCGTGTGGCCAAATTGCGAAATATTCGTTTCGTATCCTGCAGGGCTGTCGATTACGGGATACGATTAATGTGGCGCCGTTGGTGATTTTTAAATTCCTATTAATGGTTACTAGCACGAATACTTACCAGTTTCTGTTCAGGAATTCAAGCAGCGATGTGAAATTAATGCACTTATCAGCAAATCTTTAACCAGAAAAAAGAATGCATGAATGATGTATTGAATAACCAGCAGGTATCGATCGATTGAAAATAGCGGAATGATTCAGTTACCACTGGTCAATTCCAGTGAGCTTTTATCCCAAGATGGTTTCAAGTAGCCGCTACAGCAGGAATAGCGAGCAAATAAAATAATGATAAAAAGAAAGAAAATAAATTGCAATTTCATTTTAAGACATGTTTTTTCAAAATTTCGAACTGGCTTTTTCCACAAACAGTTATCGGTGTTTTAATATCATTGCTAATTTCAGTGCGGTTTCGTTTCGTTAGTAAATTATGGAGCGAGCTTCATAGTTATGCAAAAGTCTGACCACGACAGACGCGCGCTCTACAATTGGAATTGCTAATTCTTGTTTTTCTTACGACGTAATTATGAAGAAACCGTTTTCGCCCATTAAATTTTGTCCGTTGAATAATATTTCTGATCTTTGCGTGGGAGTGTTACTTTTATTTTATCTTATGTTGTGAACATATTCCCTGACATGATTATGTCTTCTATGCGAAGCTGTTTGATTATCTTTTCAACAAAACGAACAAGATGTTGTCCGGTCCGGTGAAATTATGGCTAACTGCCGATAACGGCACGGAATGTGTATGTTATGATTTCGCCCATGATTACAGTCATGTCTGTAATCTTTTCTGTCAAGCAGCGGAAGCAACAAGTCTAAGCGGGGATGTGAAAAATACATAAAAATAAGGCGTTTCCTCCGCTTGGGAAGGAAACATGTTTCTTTTTCTTTGACACTTATCTCATTTTCCCAATTTCACAGACATAATCAAGCGGTCAAAATTGCCAGCCAGTCCTGCGCTGGAAAAAGATGTCGATGACGAGGAAATTGATGAAGCCGTTTCCGTCACAACCCAACAAGAAGTCGAATGGTTCAAGTCGCTTGGGCTTGATGCCGTGCTGGCCAAAGTATTCGATGGTGGGTGGATGATGGTTGCTTTTGCATTTTTTCCATCTCTCAGACATTTTTACTGATTAATAGCTGTCGCATTGCTTACCCCGGAATATTCATCGTACTTTGTATGTCATAATGTTGTTGAATTTTGTTAGGTACGAACGAAAAACCTGACGATCTTGAACTGGCCACCCACTATACCAAATCACAAGCCGATACGATACGACGGCGTTTGGCCAGTTTACAAGGCACATTATCGCGCGCATCTAGCCGGCAAATTGCTGAAGGTAATTACTATGTAATTTTCTGGTTATGGAAAAAAGCCCTAAATATAATAATATCAGTGTGCCGCAGTTTTTTGGCTTTGTATTAAAATTCGTAATTGTATATATGTGCATACCGGCTTGCGCTCAGTTAATTATTCCGATTATTAACAAAAATTTGAATCCTTTTACGGCTCGATTATTATAAATTTAATCCCGTTTTCCATTATGTTCGGATTTATTGTTTTGTTCGACTTGATTGAATAAATCGATGCTAGTGATCGAGCTAAGGTTAGAATTGATCGTGGTTAGTGTTATTTTTGCGATCCGTTTGGCATACTGACAATTTTGATGACATTTCTTCTGTTGTTAAACAATAATATTGGACTTTAGGCAGTTGCTTCTGGGTGCCTAAAATATAATGTTTGCGCTTTCCTCTGAAAACTGTTTGCCGAACGGATGCAAAACTGGTTTTGGAGGGTATATATTTGCCAGATTTTTGAATAATTAATATTTTTGTTTGCTTGAATAATAATCTTAGTATGATACCGTCTTTTGCTGGCGTTATGTAAGTGAAAGCTATCGGTAATTCGGCCTTTGTATAATTCCAATTGTCAAATAGTTTCGGTAATTATGGGATTGCCAGATGATCGCATTTTCTTCTCTAAAGAAACGTTCGGATTATCATTGACATTTTTTATACCAGTTCTGTTTTGAACGAATTCCGCTTTCCGCAGATCTTTCCGGGTTTGATTTCATTGTTGCAGTTTTTACAACCTGTTCTTATTGAATTCTAATCTTTGCAAACAACCGATGAATAGGCGTGCAGTTTAAATGATGTATGGTGTATCAATCCAGCAAATACAAGTTTCTGCTTTTTTTGGTGATGAACTTTAAAATGAAGAATTAACCAAAGTTATAAAGCCGCTTAAATCTTTAACCGAAAATTTCAGTATATGTTTTTACTTGCTTGTTTTACTAAATGGATATATGTTGAAACGAGGTCAGCCAAGAATGTTTAGTTGGTTAGCTGTTGTAGCGATATCGTGGTTGAACCCTGGCATTTCAGCGGCACTTGAAAACATGGTTGTAAGACGATACACCCGTTTCCAAAAATGGAAGCATTGAATATTTTCTGCTGACACTTGTCATATTTTCCCTTCCGATCACAATAATATAGAGTACTATATATTTTGCTTCTATCCGTCTGTGTAGTGTTGTCGCGTACGTCGAGCGACCTGGACATCGTAGCTGACGCCAGTCACGAGGTGCCCATCCGGAAAACCATTGTTAAGCCGAGCCGTGATGTACGGGATGTGTTTAAACCTAAGAATGAGGTAAGAAAGGCTCGGCAACGTGTTGTTCATTCACACGAACTGGGCCCCAACCGGTTATATGCATTTATTGTCAGACATTTGTAATTACATGCTGGCACCAGCCAGCTGTCAGTCCCATTGTTTACGCTGTTTTTCGGCGCTAAAGGGGGCCGAATGCGGGCATTTCCGACTGCCGGCGAGGTTAGTTGTATCACGGTTGTATGCAATCACTATGCATGCTTCTTTCGAAGTCGAAAGTGCTTTTTACGAGGTTGGTTAACGGTGCGTTTTTTTTTCCTCACTCAATAGAACGGGTTGATGTTGTCTTGTTAAAAAGGTGCCACGTATGACCGAGTGTCATGCTACCGGAAAAACGCTGTCAGCTGATAGGCGGATTTAAAGAAAACTGCATTACAATTATTCACGTGAACCGTTTAAAAATTTTTTAATACGGCACTTTTGTGTATCATCATGGCGTGAAAGTGACTTTCAGTTCATCGGGTGGATAGGCATAAATCAACGTGATATGAATTTGATAATTCTAATCGGGAAGTTTGGTTAATTTCACAAATAAATTCGAACGGGAAATCTAATAGTAAGTGTTTATTACATTTTGTTTCTCACTTAATAGAGCGCTCTCCATTTACGGTTAAAATTGCTGATGCACAACAATCACAAAAACAAAAAAATTACATGACACATAAATTTTACTGTATAATATTCTTGAATTTGGTGTCGTGTTGTGTTGTGCTACTAAGACTGTTAGCACGAATTTCGCTGTTAGAGCTGTTGGTCAAAGAGGCAGATTTGTTACACAGCTGTACTAAGAAGCACTCAGTCAGATGAAAGTTACAGTGGTTTTTGAATCGGCACAAAAAGGCTGAAACGGCACAACAATGATAATACTGGCTGGATTCCCCATTAATTCAATACTAATCGTTGTCGTACTTGTTTCCCACTGTTACCGGTACTGACTCACTGTTATTCCAAAACACTTCCCGTACCCCCGATCATTTGTTACCATAGTTTACGTTGGGCCCAGTCTCTGTTGACCCAACCACCGTCGTCACTGTTGCCGTTACGACCATGAACTTTACAAATCTCACCCATCGTTTTTTCATCAACAGCGGCGCTCATCGAGCAGTAGCGATGACACCGATACCGCCTCCCCGAAGCTCCACCGCTCAACAGATTCCGTGGATAGTGCGTCAGTAGAGCAGAAGCTATCGGATATCTACCCGGAAAACTACCGTCCGGGCTATTGCCTGACGCAGCCGCTGGAAGCGGTGACGAAACAACGCAGTCCGCCGCGCCGCTGGCGCACACCGCTGGGAGGACAGGCCGCCGCCGATATTGTGGGCATTGATCAGGAAACGGGAGTGAAGACGCTGAAGATCAATTATCTACCGAACAGCGGTTACGATACGAAAGTTCCGTTGGAGCAGCCGCCACCGGTTGTTTGGCCCAAAGGCACTTCCGGAGGGATGGTCAATGGAGAGAAAACCGTCGGACAGGATTTACAATTGGTAAGTGTTTTCTGAAGTTAGCCTTCGCTTGTAAATTCAACCTTTCCACAATTTCCCGTACCTTAAAGATTTGGTATTGGCGATCAGGCCTGAATGCAATGCCATTTTCGATCGTATTACGGACTGCGAAATCTCATTCTGTTTGATTTTTTATTCTTTTGCGTGTTATCGCTCGACTGCAGGAAATCTCAGTTCACTTATAACTTATAAGTAGACATAGCTAGAGTTAATTTGATCGCTACATATACGGTATGGTACACGTATCATTTGCATTTGGACCTGAATTTCAATGAGCTCACGATGCTGATAAATTGTTATAGGAATTTGCTTTCAAACTTCATCCCGCGGAAAGACCCGACACCGAATGGCCGGTGAGTTTTGTATGAAAGAAATATAGAAATTGAAATTAACATGAGTGCAGTCCGTATTTTATGTAAACCGCTACATAAAACAACCGTTTCTAATTTGTAGAATGTGATAATGCGAAATTGCCCAAGCGGGATAGCGAGCATTGATGATCTCTTGTGGGAAGCAGACATGCAGAGTGTTAAACAATTAGCGCTGATTGAGACCACTCAAATTTTTGATCGATACCATTTAATGCTCAGCAAACGTCGGCAGAAACCAAAGAAAAAAATAAAAAGTATGCCCTTTCTGCCTATGTTATAATCTGGATGAACCGGAAGCTGGAGTTGAAAGAGAAATGTTTGCTAAAGTATCCAGCTTTGTGCTGATTCTGGATTTTCTGTACAGATAGTCCGGAAACTGCCGTATTTGGTAGTTCCTTAGATCGCCTGGTGGCATTGGACAACAACCGTCATGGCCGTGCGCTGGGCTGCAGTCGACCTTCCACGCTCGACGTACCCGTCGTCTTTCAGCAGGTAATTTCACTCGGTTAACAATAAGCTTCACACGTTGGCGTTTGTTTTCTGTGCATTGTATGTAAATATTTTATGACCGTTGACGCCCGATGGTCATCGATCACTGTATGAAACATCATGCTTCGTCTTTGGGCTTAGCAGTGCCGAAATCGTTTTTCGGTTCGATTGAAACGGCGTAAAGAATTTTATTGCAGCAGTTCCTTTCGAGTAAATGAGTTGTTGATAGTGGTTAACAGTAAACCGTATTTTAGCGGTTAACAGTATTTTTTTAGCGACAGTTAATGTTGCATTTATTTAGGCAGCAAGGCAACCTATAAACTATTGTTGTAGAGTTTCTTCAAATAAGTACACACGGAAGATTATAACGCTGTTATAAATTATAAACTTCAAACGTTTGTAACAATGCTGTTAATATCTTGTGTGTTATGATCGATATTTCATATGCTTATCGACCATGCAAAAATTAATATGCAGGTGATTACGGATTTTAGCATGGATATGGATAAAATGGCAAACTTAAATTTGTCGAAAATTCATCCATGTTAATGTTACAGATGCTAAATTATTTGGAGGAAAGTGGTGGTATTGGAGAGGAGGGCATTCTTCGTCTATGTGGCGAAACCAACCGGATGCGGGTAGGTGGATAGTGCTGTCATGATCAGAACAAAGCACACTGTCTGGTTCGGAATATTGCTGAATAAATTAACTGTGTCAATAGCTGTGTATTGTGATGGTGTAATTACTGAGTTCGTTGCTCCAGGTCAGAGTGACACGTTTGTTTTTTTGCTGTTAATGATAGCGGCTACGCGGTGAATTGGACAGTTACTACAGCCGGCAGGTGGTGGCGCAGGATGAGTCCAGCGCCAGTCTGGACGAAGCCCAGTGGTTCCGCCGTATCTTCCAGACCGTTTCCGTCCACGATATTGCCTCGGTTATGAAGCAGTTTTTACGGGATTTACCACAACCGCTGCTGACCAATGAACTGGTGGATGCATTCGCACAAATTTCAGGTAAGAAGGTTTGAGTTTGTAACTAATCTCGCGCGTGATACCGATTTTTTTATGGTGTGGCGCTTTTCGTGTGCTCGATTCGTACGTAGATCATGTAAGGTCATGTAAAGGCGATATGCGATTGTTGCTGAGATTCCCGTTGTGATTGATCGAGATGTTATATTTGATAAGAATTCTTTTGCGGGTCAACTGAGGTAAATATCTTTTTGTAGACTGTCGTAAAATGTAATTTTAATCAACCAAAAAGTAACCGGTTCAATCGCTGATGTGAATATTTCCACTGGAGAATTGCCTTCTTTGATCAGCTTTTTTAAGGACTTTATCAGGCTCCGCCATAGTGTAGTTCTTCTCGCATTTCGTAATTTTGTTGTACGATGGTTTGCAACGTTCATACTGGATATCATTTACAACCGCGTCATCTTTGACTGAACGCGCCGGCGTATCATTATCGTATTGTTACAGCTAATTACAGCATTTATCACCGGTTATGCCGTAACGGCTTCTTGTAATAAAACACCGCAATAACCTACATGTTGCGTTTTACAGAGATCCCCGACCGGATAACCCAAATACAGGCACTTAATTTGCTAGTCTTGCAACTGCCGCCCGCTGAACGAGCTACCTTGAAGGTAACCGGTTAGTGTCTTTGTTTGCTGTATTGTATACCTATTAAGGTTTTCCAGGTGTTTTATTTCATTTATTAGTGAACAAAACGCGGAAGTAAATGACAGAATGACTTGGGAAGAATCTCGTATTTTAGCATCACTTAATTGATAAAATATGGATTAAAAAATAATAATAACAGATTGTTCTCCTTTCTTAGTTTTTCGTGATACTACTTTTCGTTAATTAATTTGCCTAATTTTTCCATTCTCTACAATAAAAGAAAAGTGCAAGTGAAGACGTAGTGAACCGGCAACCTTAATTCAGGTGTGTTCGTGGTTGCCAATTATAATATTATAATTTATACATACGACATTGTACAGTACAAGTAATTTTGCAGAACTTGCCTTCACTTTTGCTTCGATAACTCAGGTTTTTATGATGCCAAATTGTAAACTGGAAAGTGTATTTTTATATTTACTGATTTTTTTGTAAATTTTTTTGATTTTGACTATTCTGAAAACATTTTCGCAGTCAAGTGTCCCAAAAAGGCAGAAAAATGACTAGTTTTGTACCACTTATCAAACGCCTTTTCTGGATTCAGGCTTTGCTACGATTTCTCCGTAAAACCATGGAAGCGGAGAAATCCAACAAGATGTCCAGCGCCAATATCGCCCTGATCATTGCTCCCAATATCTTCCATCCGAAAGTGAAAACCGGTTCCCCCATTTCTAGTCAGAACTTCCCCTTACTGAATTCCAACGAACAGAAGCGCGCGGACGACGCCACCAAGCAGTTTGATCTCGTGGCCCGCCTGAGCGTGATCACGCGAATTATGATTGTGTATTCGCCATATCTGTTTGTCCTTCCGCCATCCTTCCTGCAGCAGATTCGCACCAAACACGCTACCGACCTGTCCAAAGTGGAGAAGAAGACCAAAGAGAAACGCATTAACCGCCTGGATCCGCGGAAGATCCGCTCCAAGCCCGCCAAAACGCTACCGGTTCTCCCGGAAGCCGATAAAACCGACTCCACCTTCTTCCAACAACAATTTCCCACGGAGCCGTCATCGGCGGTGATTCGTGTGCGGTTGGGGCGGAGGAATTCCGGTGACGGGGAGCATCCCAATCAGAAGGTGTCGACGGCGGTGCAGGTCACGCCGGGATTAACGGCCGGTGATGTGGTGGCCAAGTTTCTGCCGACATCTAGTCTGGCATCGTCTCCGGAGATCTCCACCTCGACGGAGCCTTTAAATCTCTCGACGTCGTCGGGTGTGAGTGGATCGGATAAGAGTTCATCGAGTTCCAACGAGAATTTACTGGAGATCGATAGTGGCCGCAGTATCGGGGGATCTATTGCGGAGAAACGCGAGCATGAGCCGCCGGTTTCTTTGCACACGCATTTCCTGGTGGAGCAAGGAGGGAATATCGGTAAATCGGCTATAACGCACATCATGAATTATTCTCTTCTACTTATCACAAAATTGTTTTCTTTCCAAATTATTTTTTCTGAATTACGTACATACATCTACATACAGTAATACAGATACTATTAGCATTTACGATAAGTATGCTTAGTGTATGGTACTGCACAGTATCGCTAATGAAATGCATAAAACTGACCAGTGAATAGAAACTGCTTTACCGTTAGTTTAAGCTTATACTCGTATATGTAGTCGTATTATACAGTGCGGTGCTGGGAGTATTAGCGCTGATCGTGGACCAGAGTATATCGAAATAGTGCAAATTTTAAAATTATTTGTGTTATTTAACGTTCCTGCAGTTCGTAATTTCTGTATCTGTCTTTTCACTATTCTTTTTTTTTAATTTTTAGACTGATGTTTTCTTGCTTTTAGGTCTGCGACGTTTAGACCACAATGTTTCCATGTTGGCAGCTTATCGTGCCAATCCAACCGCGGTGTGGATTGTCAAATATTTCGCTCATGTTTGATGAGAATTTTTTTTAGTTTTTGTTTAAATTAATTTTGAACACGTTGTGAAGAAATCCAGGGTGTGGTAATTTTGACCTGCCGGTGGTGAAAAACTGAATGCGGCAGATGCGTTGACTGTACAGAAAAAGATGATTTTCCTTGTTTTATGCTCAAATGTTAGGTGTTTTTTTGAAGTGCTGACTTTTTGTATTCTTGTGATCTGTTGATTTTATGCACGGTATTGGAGACAAATGTTATTTCATAAATAACTTACTGAACGCCGGGTTGTAATGCGATTACTGAGAACTTGAGAACGATACGTACTGACTCTGAGCAGGCGACCTCACAAGCATACGAGCACTGGCAAAAAGCTGCAGTACAGAGTATGCTGTTCTGCAGTATGTTGTATCTGAATGTCGGTTTCCACAAACATGGTTAACTAAAAGGTGTTTTGAAATCAGTTCGAATTTTGGTTTTGCTGACGATAATTCACGGTATTATGGTGATTTGTTATGGCGACCATACACGAATACATGAATCACATACCCCGATACCCGTAAGCAAGGTGTACAAGAACATCCTCCATCACAGTACCGGTACAACAAGGCAGTGTTGGCTGCAAGCAGAGATTAACTGGCTACTGCAGGGCTACGCAGTGAATTAAAAAAGTAAGTACAAGTACTATGTACATACGTATTTCGAACTTTTAATATTTGCTTAGCGGAAGTACAAAATTTGTCCTGTATTTTGCTAATGCAAGTCGGTATACCAGAAGTCTTATTTTTGTAAACGAGTACTCGTAGTCGGAAGTACGATATGTTTATTGTTTAATGTTTTGCATAAAGCGCTGCCTCAAGAAAATGGGAGATGCTTAATTGCTTTTGTCCTTTGAGCATTCTTACAAGGCGTGTGTCCCTTGCTTAGATAGAGCACATTTGTATATAACAAGTTGATTATTAAGACTTAGCCGGTTTGCAAGTCTCGCCACAGAGTTTTTCCCTTTGAGTTTTTTAAAGTAACTGCAAGACAAGGATGCGATCGCTTCTTGCTTTAATAATAGTTTTAACAGCTAACTTCATTAACTTAAATTATTTACTTACTGTACTTAACTACTGTAAATGATACGAGTAGCTGTGTAGCAACTAGCAAGTGAATGAAAATAAACGGAAACTGTCTCCCGTACCGTTCTCTAGCCGCACTACTCTCAAGCGGCAGTCAGGTGCTCATGATTACGCAGCATAGCTCGACCAATAACACCACAGCATGTGCTTTTCGTTAACTGCGAAGACCGCATTTCAACGGCATTTGCTCTGGGTTCGCCAAACAGAAACTGCAGTTATTTCGTCCGTTATTTGCCATATGCCCCTGCCATTCTCTTCCCGAGTCTCGGTAAGCTTCTGCGCCCGCTGTTTCTTCTGTTCTCGCGAAAATATCCAATTTTAAATAGCATTTTGTAATTTTGATTGTTTGAAACTTTAGAATGCTTTCGGAGTCCCAAATTGATAATTATACAATTATTTTAAAGATGGGGTTGAAGCGACGTCGGTGCGGCTTTTAGCTGCAGTATTACCGAATACCGATTACTGCGTGATTTTTTTCTGGAAAGTTTTTTTTATTTGGACAATGGTCAGACGTACAGTACAGTGCGTACTCGTATAACTGATACTATGGTTTTTCTATCGTTATTTTATGTGTCATCCGCGCAACTTCGGTCTGAATTTTCGCTGTTTTGAAACGGGTAATTTTGCAGGTTTAATATCCCTAATTTGATGAAAAACGATGTCTGTCACCCCAGACAAACCCATGGTGCTGCAGAGCAGCGACGTGGTCATCGTCCAGCTGCCGTTTGAATTCGAGAATCTCTTTCAGCAGCCCGTGCTCCCCTCCACCTCCACGAAGAAGCCCGAGACGGCGGCGGAAGCTGCGCAGGCCCTAGGCCTGGTCCCGCGCTACCGTCGCCGTCAGAAAGCCCGCAAATCTCTCATGCAGCACATCGACGAGATCGACTCGCCGCTGTTGCGCATCTCCGAGTGCGGCCGGGAGATCTACTGTATTCCCTGCGAGATGAACCTCACCGAGTTCGGCAAGGTGAAGAAATCCTCGGTGAAACTGCATCTCAAATGCAAGCGCCACCTGTTTAATCTCAAGCAGCAGGAGAAGAAACTGCGGCACAGTTTACCGCCGGAGATCAAGCGCGATGATGTGCTGGGACTGTACAAGTGTACACTGTGCGGGAAGGCCATTTCCAGTGATCCGCACGATGTGCGACGGCATTGTGCGGGGAAACGGCATCAGCGGCTGCTGGTCTCCGAGGGGGACGATGTAGAGGAGACGGAAGATGAAATCGTACCCAATACGGTGAGTGTGCTTCGTTGCAGTTTAGCATAAAAATTAAATTGCCATGAATTTGGCATTATGCTATCTATGTACATTGCAGTTTACCATAAAAAAGATTTTGCCATTAAATGTTTGAAACTTTGAATCCATCCTGCATGATTAGCTGTACTGGTACGGTAACTGGTTTACTGAAGATTGAAGCATATTTGCCTGTACCGTGTACGAATGATAATTAATTTAATAAGTACTTATCGTAATGCAGCTAGATTGTTGGTTGTGTTAATTTATGTTACTCCCTTCGGGCTTCAGTTACAGTAATGTAAGAGCTCTAATAAGTCAATATTTTCTGTGATTGTTAATAAATAACCAGTATATTTTGCACACACACTTTTTAACGTAATCATTAATTTCGACGTTTAATTGATACAGTTATTAATGTTGGTTTGAATTTTCTCAGCTGAGCTGCAGACCGATGAGCAATTTCGATGTCATTAAAAATTATAAAAATATATCGAAAGATTTTGGTATGCCTTGTATAAGCATAATGTAAAGGAAAATTTCCGTTCATGTTTTGAAAATATTGAATATCTCCAGTTCGTCGCTGTCGTTGCACTACGCCCTTGGCCGGATCTGTAGATCTTTTATGGGCTTCAATTTGTTAATATCTTGTTTTGGCAGCAGCTCCTGTACTCTGTACTTATTGTGCGAGGCGACTATAATTCTCTTCATAAGCTTGTTGTTGCTTGCAGATTTTATCCCCCAAAAATCTGAATGTTGGACGATGTTTCTTACTTGCTGTCATTTGTTTTTAGATCGAAGAAGTAATGCAGATCGAAGAGGGAGAACCGGAGATGATTCCCACCAAACAGATGTGCGCGCGCGCCTACAACAACGAATTTGTTTACGACGTGTTGGATTTTGTCATGAAGAGCAACTGCCAGTTAGGTGTGATTAAGAATCTCAAGAAACTGCTGAACAAATGGACTACGATGAAGTTACCCACGTTGGACACCATTCGCCGCAATCACTTGCCTCGTTATTTAAGTCTAAATCCTGATATTGCACAGAAACGAGAAGAAGGTATCGTTTATACATGAATTGCTCTATCCCTTCACATATCGCGTGGGGAATATCCATATTTTAAGTGGTTGATGTAGTTTATGGGCTGTGATTACCCCTTTAGGAAATTCGAATGTTCAACGCTGCAAAAGAATTCCATGTACTGATAAACACTTAATATTCGAATCTTTTATTTTTTGTACAATCATTAATGCAAAAAGTGTCTAATTTGTTCTTAAAGTATGTCGGGGTTTTTTACAGCCGCCCTGAGACGCGCAGCTAAACAGCGACAAAAGGAATCCGCGGAATTAGCTGCATTGGAAGCCGAGATGATCGACGATGGAACTGATAAATTTATCCAGGGTGAGAGCTTCCATCTGGGCGTTCCCGTGGGTTCCGTTACTACCTTGGATATTGAACAAGCCATTAAGGCGCTGGGTGCCGGTCAGGAAGGATTTTCCATCTCCGATCTGGTGCAGTCCGTGGCAGAGGATCCCATTATGAGCGACTGATGGAGTGTGGGTTTTTCGGTGATATGCATGCATGTGGATCTTGAGTCTCTGGATTTAGACATCTGTGTAGTGATATTGTCTTGCTTACCTGAACTTTCTCATAAAATGATAATGACAGTACAGTCGTTGTGCTTATTCACATTAAACCCGTTTTCGGATAATTTTTATATTTGTTTGAATGCCCGTATGCCTTTTTGACTTTTCCTTTTAGTGAAATGAACCCCTATTTGTTATAAGAAATGTTTGTCGATGGAACGAAATAAATTGCCAGTTAAATACGATGGATTTATTACCGACAAGAAATTATGACGACTTCAAGTAGCAATGTGAGAAATTAGGTAGTTTAGCCGTCAAATTTACTGTATGTAATTTGGGTCGAAAACGATTTTATATCATCGTTTTTTTCGCTTTTATTGATAATGACTAGTGACCACCGTCAGATGACCGATATGTCCGTCGTTACACTTTGCTAACCAAATCGTGTTATTCATTCGCATCCTCAGTTAAATCACTACCACATGAAAGTGTTGGAGGCTTATGCTGACCCATTACGACGACAGCTTCAGTTGCCAATTACTGGTAGTGATATTCGGCCTTACGCTATATTGATCTCCACAGAGGCTTTTCTGAGACGTTTGTAGCAATGGCGAAACAACGGATACGGAATTTTATCACTTTAATATGTTTCCCATTATTTTCCTTCACCACCGCCGCGCCTGTGGCCGATGGCACCGCCCTCGAGAATCCGGCCATGTTTGCCCGAAGTTACAGCGCCAACACCGGAAGTGGCCAGGTGCGTGATCCGTACTCTGACAATTTTGACGCCATGTACAACTCCATGGATCTGGCTAATCAGCCGGCGCGCCAGAAAGTGGCCATCAGCCTGCCAAACCCGCCCGGGCCGCCGCGGGCACCCCGCCCGCGACCCTCACCCAACTTCTCCCAGTACGAGAACGATCCGAACCGCGGTCCGCAGATGCCGCTGCCACCACGGCCGCCTAATTCATTCGGCTCCATGGATATCACGGTGAATTTTCCCAAGTATACACCGAATGTGGATGATTCGTTCTACGACTCGGACGCCGGTGCGCAGCCGATGACCTATATGGGCGGAGGCACCGTGGGAAAGGGGAACAGTTATGAGACCGGCGATACGGATAATTACGGAGGAGCGGGCGGTATCGACAAGTATGCGCGCGATCTGGAAAACAGCATGTTTAAATAAGAATTAGTTGATTGTTTAGTTTATTTGTTATTTGTACTGAATGCAAGTTACCTACTCTGTGGTCAGGATTTTTTTGTGTTGCGACTTGCGAGGCTAGTCTAATAAAGCGAAAAAGGTTCTTACAAGCAGTGCCGATCACCTCCAAGAAATTCTCACATATCACTAATAAAACCGTTTGTTACTGTACGCTTCCGCGTGAAAACGAATTATTAATGACTGATTATATTTCGTAATTTTGAAAAATATTAAGTTGTATGCTGGAAATAAGAGGACTGGAATAAACACCTATTTACCATGTACAATATGTATGTTACAGTACGACATTTCGGCGTTGATGGCTGATTGCATAGGCAAATACTTGCACTAATTATTTTTATTCTACAGCTCCGCCTTAACTTCACATACAATCTGATACAGAGTACGCTTGTATCGGCCTCCGGCGTTAAAAATACATTTCAGAACAGCATTAGTCCATTGATGTGATTTTATTATGAAGTTCCCCATACCATCTGCAGTAAGTGGATTTATCAAAGTAACAAGTAAGAGCGACCGGCGGAAGTACGAAATAAGTACTACTATGCGGCGACGTAATAAATGTCCGTTCCCCGTGGTGGGCTGGAAAGTTTGTTGGACGGTTCCGCTTTTGCCAGCAGCGTGCAGCCTTGCATGCCCATTCCGGCCGAATAATGAGCCACTTTACAGGTGGGATGGATATCGCACAAAGCTTTGCAGTCCTTGTCCGTTGTTCCATAGCTACTCTCGAGCACGGTTTTGACCTTTCTTGTTCCGCAGCGGTCCAGCACCTATGAAGATATCACTGCGCTGGGAAAATTTCTTGTAGGCGAATCCAATTAACTCGTTTTCGTTAGAGTCAGCTCGTCCGAAAGTGCAGTCAAAGTTTGCAGGAACGAGACCGCATTTTTTGTCCTTGATATTGTAAGAGGCGAAGCGGCAATTGGCATCTTTCTTGCATTTGCTGGCACAATCGTCCACCGATCTGCTGGCGGTGTATGCGATCTTGTTATCGCAGGTGACCGAGCGGGATTTGATTTCCAGCATGTTACCTTTCTATAAAAAATTATTAAAAATATGTATTTTATACGTGATGGAAACGACAATGTAACGATAAATCTAACTGCTAAATTCCTAACGTTTATTTCTGGTTTCTGTTAATTGTGGCTCTATTTCGACTGACTGCACTTCGTGGTTTCGAATTATGTTACTTAATCCGACAGTGTGTTTTGTGTCCGAATACGAACGTTGCATTTTACAGGTTACACGTGCACCTTTAACTTACGAATTATTATGAAAAAAATTGATATTACTGTGTATATATGTTTACTTACGCTATCGCCTGCTCCGTATGTGACGGTTGCTGTAATACACAATGTGCCGTAAGTACTCTGTACACTGGTCAAACTAACAATAAATCAAAACAGTAAAATGATTTGTTTGACCTTGTATTAACCACCAAAAAATTATAAAAATAGAATGGAGGACCTTACCAAAACCGGCAAGAAAAACCAAAGATAAAAAGGTTGCCATGTTCTCGTGGAGATTCAGTGGATTGTTGGATAACGTTTCTGGTACTAGTTAGTCAAACCGGAATATAGCGTATTGTACGGCTTACAGTTGTGCTTACTACACTACAAATTTGTGTGTCTGAGAAACTTTTTTGTTGCGTCCATTTATACTGAAGTATACTTTTATCTAACTGTGTAATTATTCATAACACGTGTGCTGGAACCTGTTGTTATCCTTAATAAATTTCCTAGACTGTAAACATCGAAAACATTTCACATAAACACTTACTTGGGGCGTTTTTACATCTTGAAAATCCTGTATTTTGTTGTTTGTCCCGTTGTAGGAAAACTTGATTGCTTACCGTGAACAAATGACCTAGAGTCTGGCGGCATATCAGAAAAAGTGATTCTGCTAAGAAATACTGCTAAATCATTTGCTCTGTTATGAAGTTTTGTCCTTCGTAGACCAATATATAATTTCTGATACCAACGCCAGGATGCATTGTTCATCAAATGTAAGATTTCTACCGATAATTAATTGGGAATCTGCAGAACTAGTTTCGATTTCATGACACTGTACAGAGTGCAACACATTTTTAGTCCTACCATAGAATCTTAGTCGACTGGTAGTGTGCAGATACAGCGTAATCCTTACTCCACGTGAGTATGCCAGACGTGTCCGGTCCGTCAGGTCAAATGTACATAACAGATCTAGATCGTTAATGCAGAATTCAGAAAGTGCTGAAACCAAATTTTATAAGAAGACGGCCGTTTTCTCAGAAGCATAATACTAGTATTGCAATATCCGTATACAAGTAGCTCGTTTGGTAATATATGGTATTTGTTCCTGTGACCGGAAGTCCCAGCTATCTACTATAGCTTTAGACATACGGCTGCAAGGTTGTTGTCTTCCCGAGCAGGCGTCTGTTCAACCGGAAGCGTTGTGGGAAACTGTAACATGCATGCAGCAAGGAGACAAGTAAAAAAAAACTGTTCATAAAAACTTCATATTACAATGCCCTGCATGCCACGTAAGCGCGGAGGCAAAAGGATATTGTAGATTGCGCTATGGATCTGTCTGTTTATTGTTTGTGTGATTTATCATGGTTAATGGTTACGAATTGCTCCAGTAAGTTAATTTTCTACTAACAAATAACAGCAACCGGTGTGACAAGGCCATGGGCTGTACGATGAGCCTTGACGTGGCGGGACGACACTGCCGAAACTTTACTGGCTGACCTGACCTTTACTGGCTGCAGAAACTGACCTTTATTGGCTGCTCTCTGTTGTAGCATATAACGCGCCACGCCAGCATTACATTGTTGTTAGCACTGATAGCACAACAACAAACAAACAAACTCCTCGAAGGCTAGGTTGCACAATTAATGATATTGGCAGCGCTGATGATGGAAACCACTTAACACTTCGAACTACGAAAGGATGACACAATATAGAACAGAAAATCTTCACTAGAAGCGGGAGTGCTCGCGACCTGTAAAAGTTGATGGGCATTACGCGGCGATGAACGCCGTGTTCGTTCCCGACGAGCCGGATATTTTGTTGGACGGCTGCGCCGCCGCTTTCAGCGTACAGCCATGCATGCCCATTCCCGCCGTGTAATATGCCACTTTACAGGTGGGATGGATATCGCACAGGGCCTTACAGTCGTCGTCATCGGTCCCATAACTGCTTTCTAACACCGATTGACCTTTCTTGTTCTGCAGCGATCCGGCACCGATGTAGATATTGTCGCGTTTGGTAAATTTTTTGTACGCAAATCCGATCAGTTCTTCCGTCTCGCTCCGTCTAAATGTGCAGTCGAAATTCGGTGGGACGATGCCGCATTTTCTTTCCTTGGTATTGTAAATCGCGAATCGGCAGTTAGCATCTTTTTTGCATTTGCCAGCGCAATCATCCACCGATCGGCTGGCGGTGTACGCGATCTTTTTATCGCAGTCGACCGAGCGGGATTTGATTTCCACCATCTTACCTTTCTAGAAGCACATTTTATGCATAATTAAAACAAGTAAAAATAACTTATTAATGTAAAGTACACCAACTAGAACATAATTTCCAATCGTTTGCATTTGCATCGTTTAGGACATTTTGCGGTACTTTTGTTAGAACGGAACTTCAAACTAACTGATAAGCAGATATACGAAGTATGTACTGAACTCTGTTTCACTAGTTTTTTATTTTAATTTATCGTTATTACTCATCGTTTTCCACTAGTGATATAAGAAATTAAAGTTAATACAAAATTATGCACACGTACGCTGTCTCCTGCTCCATATGCCAGGACCACTGTAAAACGCAAAGTACAATAAATGTAAGTATTGTGTATTGTACTTAATTTATGTTAGTACTTAATTGTGTATTGTACTTAATTCACACTGTTGGACATATTGCGAGCCGTGTACTCCTAAATTAATGCTGAAAGTTATTTCAAAAAAATAATTTTTTCACACCTTTTTACCTACTGTTATAAAATTAGGCAAATAGAATGGTGTGACTTACCGAATCCAGCAAGAAAAACCAACGATAAGAAGGATGCCATGTCTTCGTGCTGTCTAAGCAAACTGCGACACGATACGCAATGTACCGGTCAGTACATGTACAGAGTATCAAATTAAAACTTATCAGGACTTCTGATTCAGAAGCGGTATCAGCCGAACCGATTTATATACTTCGTCTTATAGTTACTTTTCTAATTAATGGCGTTTACTGCAATCAATCTGCGATTAACGTTAATTAACATTTTTGGCTAGCACCATGAAAAAAACTTTTCACTTTAACACTGCCCTGTGGCGGCGCGAATCTAAAAAACCTGTATCTTGTTGCTTTCCCTTTCCGGCTTAGGTAAGTAATTAATGGGGACGCCCAAAATAGAATGTAATAAGCAAAAGTAACTAACGGCCTGTCGTAAAATTAAGTCTGGTTCAAAATAGCACAGTTAAATAACGCTCTCCTGTATTTTGAGCCGTTCCAGATGCCTAAGCTATGCAGGAGTAGCTCCCGATTTGAAAACAAGCTTTAACAAATTAATACAACGTGTTCTTACAACATTTGGATACATCATACATCGGTTTGCCGACTTTTGTATGAAATTGACCGCTATAGTATTTGCAGGACCACAGAGGCGCTTAAATAAATTTGACACCACTTCAAAAACATTAATGTAAACTCAAGCGAGAAGAGTATACAAAATGGTAATGACCAGTGCGCATAGATAGCGCATTTGGGAAATGTGAAATTGTTATTAACTGGCCGGAAATACGAATACGTTCGATGAAGCTCGATTATTAACTCACAGTCAAATAATTATTTCAAAATTTGATCGGAACTTCCTTTTAGATTACACAGTTAATCAATGTGCAGTACTTTACCATGAACTCCTTATTCAGTCTTCCTAATCGTTAAAAATTAAATGCAGTGTTGCAACTGTATAAGTAGTAGTTTAGACACGTGTGCTGTAGCCGTTTCGTGCAAATACTTTTTTGGAATGCTTCATATTCAGTTTTTCCCAAACTGTGTTTATCTACAGTGACATTATACGGTATACCCAACTTCCCAGGTAGAAGTATAAACTGTACTTACAGTTACCGGTATGGTTAGTATGGGTTATACAAATTTGTATTTACGTGGTGAACTGCAAATGCCCAAGGGTAGAGAAATTCTTCCATTTGATAAAGAGGCCTTCTATCCATTTTCCATGGTGGAGAGTTATTCGCCTGACATGCACTTTACCTGAAACCTGTTTTTCTCATCCACCAAACACTACTGTTGATTAAAGTTTTCAGCTTGGATTGCGTTATTGCACTATGTACGGTATGCACTATACAGGCGCAATCCACACCTACGGCGACGTGACGTGTTTCGACCAAGCACAATAATAATTTTTACCGCGACCAGACAGTTGTGTTGTTCGATCGGTGCACACTAGAGCAGCGCCGTCGTCGGCAGAATAATAATTGTGTTCATTTGTTGGGCGGCATAACTGCACCGTTGGGAATTCTTGCGCGTCGAACGAGTTGCACGTTTACTTCCTTCCATAATAATTATTACTTGATATCCATCAGCTACCATGCCGGTTCGTCGTATCGAGGATCCCAACCGGAAGGGCGGACGCGCCAGGAGCTACATTGACAACAAACTCCGCACCAAGAATGGCGAATTGGTCCCGCTCAGCGCCGACGCATTCCAGCAGATCTACCTGCATTATGACCGAGACGGTATCTGTACTTTATACTCCTACAATTTAATTTAGCGACACAAATTCAAAAAGTTCATTGTCGTGGGCTACTGGTGGCAGCTTGTATATCAGCAGAGATAAAACATAAACTTGTTATTTTTATCAATTTGTATGGATTGATTATATGTATATATGTGTTATTGTGTCAGCTTTTTTTTAGGTCAAATGAAATATTTATTTCTACTAAACGAACAAAGCAAAACAATTCAGTGGTACTGTGCACTTTATGGATTATTAAGTTATAATCGATACTAAGGCCAGCGTTCTATTGGTTATCTGGTAGTGCGGTGCAATTCGTAATCAGCTGCAAGTAGCAAAATTTGTTTATGCAGATAATTTTTTCGAAATTCAAACGCATCGAAAACTGTATAATATAATATCTGTTTTCAGGGAATGGTTATTTGGAGCGCGATGAAATTGACAAATTTCTTAAGGACTACCTGAATTCTTCCTTAATTGGCCTCGGGGTAAGATGAAAAATGTGTCATTTTTTAGTTACTGGAGGTGTACAGCTAGAGAATACAGTACAGAGTACTCTGAGCGATTGGGTTCAGCTCAAAAAGCTTCAAAAACAACAATTATGGTATACTATAATATGGTGGCTAAAGTACAAATGTACCTAAGTAGAACATTTTCGTAGTTAAGCGGCAGTCTGTGCTCGTCATTGTTCATTGTTGGGATCAGAAAATGTCGTAGCAGAGAAATTTCCACGCTAGAACGTTACTTTTTTTGAAAATGCAAATGAAACACATGAAAACAATTCTCCACGCTGGAGTTGTATGTGGGGATTTGGGGTACCTTTTCTTGCTGACAGTTGTATTAATCTCTGTATAGGCACTAACAATTAATACAGTTTATACAATCTGTATTGCTACCGGTAAAATTACATGTTTCATTAATTTCACGAATGTGTCGCTAAAAGTATTTTTCCAGTAAACCGGTTAACTGTTGTGCAGAGCCTTGACGGCTTTTTTATGCCAAAACCTCTATACCAAAACAGTTTCCTGAATTTGTTTATGCAGCTATTTGTCTTATCATTAAATTTCGGTAAGTATTATGGGCACACGTGTTTTAAGTAAACGTGCACTGTGTTAAAAAAATTTATTTTGTTACACTTTATGAACCAAATCACTGCAGATTCCATAAGTGTACAAGTATGTATACATAAGTGCTGTATACGGTGTGATTTAGGAGCAAACCCGTGTTACGGATGAGGAAGCTCAAGAACTCCGAGGAATGTTTATGGAAGAATTCGACGAAAACAAGGATGGCCGCATTTCCCTTCGGGAGGTAAAACTTTCATCAGTAAATCAAGCTTTGCTTTATAGTTTTTTGCAGTTCAGTGAATACTTACAAGAAAAAAATTTATTAGTGATGCTGCAAATATCAAGAATCCTTTCCGCCGATTAACCAAAATTTTTTTGTGTAAACGTTAATTTACATATTCCGTTAAATGCAAACTGCAATCAAGTCAACTTAAAATAAATTGGTTCTGGTTGCAGCTGACATCGATTCTGCCGGTAGAGGAGAGCTTTTTCGTTATGTTCCGCCACGATAATAAATGGGAAAAGGGTACCGATTACATGAAGGTAACACCAAATTTGATTTCAAACTATATAGATATAAACAGTGCAGATCCTAATGCATATGGTTTAACTACTTGTACAGATTTGGAAAAAATACGACCGCGACATGAGTGGATACATCGAGATTGATGAATTGAAGGTACACCTAGTTGTACAAGGACTACACGTAGAAGCATAAAAGATTTGGAGTTTTACCTTTTGCTGAAGGTCTAACTGTCTGTTACGTTCTCTTCGAAATACCTGGTTGCGTTCCTGTAGACCTTGAAAAACTATGATATAAAAAACGTGTCTCATACAAAACATAAGATAATAATATTGTAGTACTCAATAATTTACACACAAGAAAAACTGTGGTAATAATGTGCATCCCGAATTTAACAAAAAAGGGTTTTATTTTACAGACATTCTTACGAGATGTTGTGCAAAGAGCAAATCCAAACCAGCCCGTTAAAGAAGACCGTCTTGACGAATACACCCGCATGATTGTATGTCGTGCTTGAACTACACAGTCTACACTGTACAGTAATGCATTCTGTAGAATCTTATTGCCGTACTGTATATGCAAAACCCGCAAACGATTATCATGGGATAGCAATCAGAAACTGGGAAAAATATTGTCCTTTGGCAATTTAAGCCGTGTTTTTCAATTAGCTGCAGCAAGTTTTTAGGTAAAAATTTGGATCATAAACCAAATTAGTTGTATAATGTATTGACCTTTAGGACAATTAACCCTCCGGAGCAAAAGAAATTAACTGCACACTGAAAGTGTTGTTTAACAAATGCGATAAATGCGATTCTTTGCAGATGGAAGCCTACGATACCAACAAAGATGGGAAACTCGGAATGTCGGAATTAGCAAAGTAAATAAACTGACGCACCCGTTAATTAATAATCCATAAATCGACGCATATGAGATGTCGATAATACTTTGTATATGGACAGTAATGGCCTGACTGTATTCTTATTACAGGTTACTGCCGCCGGAGGAAAACTTCGTGCAACGAGTTCTTGACAAGGTGTGGCCCACGTAAAACCACTTCCCTGTCAATAAAATTATTGCAGGGTTTTATTTAATTACATGCATTGTGTTTGCTAGGCCATATCGTTGCACAAAGTCAGCTCTTCCGATGTGGAACAAATTCTCAACAAATATGATAAAGTGAGTACCTCTGTACCTTGCATTATTATTTCACTGCACTCACCGTACATGACTGTGTTAAAGTTAATCCCATATGAAATTTACGATTAATGTCAATGCACCACGAACGTATAATTACTTTTTCTATTTATCATCGCACACAACATTTTCCAATGCCGGTATTAAGAGGCTCTGTAATTAGAACATTCAATTTCAGGACAACAGCGGCACACTGGAAGGCAATGAATTGTCCAACTTGGTGCGGGAAATTTTATCGGTGACCCAGTCGTACTACAACGCCAGCGATGTGTATGAGATGGAGCAAGCTCTTCTGAAAGGGTGTGATGTCAACAACGACGGACGCATTGACCGTCGCGAACTGGCGCTGATTATCCAGGCCATCGCCAACTCCCAGACTTCCGGTGCAAAAATTAAAAATCAAATACGAATAAAAGAAACACCTTAAACGGCAAAAATTACTCAATTACCTAATCTATATGAATATTTATTTGACACCGCTTTTCGCAGATGACCATTCGCATGAGCAGAAAACCGATTTAGCCCGCCGTGTATACCAGGGCCGCAAGAGCCAATACATACTGTCGTACGTGCCACTGGACGCCGATTACAGCCATAAACACGGACATACCCACCAAGTCCGCCACTGACTTATGTCCCACAACGGGGGCAGCGTCGCCCATTGAATAATAATTCTTTAATGACAAAATTTCATTGTTAGTTCCATCGTACAGCATGGCATGAGCGAAAGTGAATTGATACCACGACGGATAACCGCAAATGTAGCGGAATACTGTCCACGATATTTTCTGTAGCATTTGGATTTGTTCTTGTTAATTTCATAATAATGACATTATCGTTTCGATTTTTTTCTCAGCTAGGGCGGTTTTGGAAGTTTACGCTGTTTTGCCGATTCTTATTGTGAAGCATTTAGGAAGCATTTAGTAATAAAAGTACTGCCAAAAAAAGATTTCTGCACTTCCGTAGAAGCCGGTCTATGCATCGACGTAAAGTTAACTCGCCCTTATTACCCACACTGGCACAGTACTAACTTGTTGCTTGTATTATTGTACTTTTTATTATTGTTATCCCGTAATGCGTGTAAATAACATAGCAACACTGATTAACACTTGAAAGTATTTTATTCGAACTGGCTTTTGATGTCAGACGCAACAAACCGATATCCATTTCTGCCGTTTCGCAGAATTACTGTACGTGCAAAAGACCTTCACTGCGCGCTCTGATCCGTAGTAGTTTATTAAACCAGATGTGAAAATTTTATTAATTTGCTTTTTTATTGTACTATTTAACGGAGAACCGGCACTTTTCCTTTATGATTTTCGGCAAGATGTACAAATTAGGATGATGTACGGTACTGTCGGTACAATTTAAACCATATGAGTGCTCGTACAGCTATGAATTCTGAAAACAAAAAAATGTCGCTAGAAGTCAAATGCACGGATGCACGACAGTAGCCGCGCTCTCATGGACTAGGGCGTCAAGAGTAAACTCTAGGCTTATGAACTCACTGCTTTTGGACGTTTTGAAAATATTTGGTACATGTCAAATTCTTTGTTCGAGTTATTCTTACCTCACAAAATGTGATGAGAACTGTTGTAGATTTGCTGGATCGTAATTTCTTTAGTTTCCCATTTTTTGAGAAAATCACCTAGCCATTGTTTGGTTGCCTGAAAGCCTTGAACTCCCTATCAACGGTAGAGGTAAGAAATAAGCACAAACGTTTTGCAGTTATGAGTTATACAATACTTTCATGGGCCAGCAATGTGCGTTTGTTTACCTGCCTAATTACACAGACATAAGACATTAACATGGGTTTTAAAACCTTGTTTTAAGATTTTTTTTTTCCAGAGATTTTAAAATATGCACGTTTACTTTCAGTAGTTTTTGGCAGAAACTGAAGTACAACGGCTGTTGGAATTTTTCAGGTCCATAATTCTGGGCACAATCGCGAACTGTGTCCTGATTCATCTACAAGTGATTTTTTATGCAACTGACAATGTTCTCCGTCCTGCTTTCCCGACTTGTCATGTGAGTAATAATTTTGTGGCCTGGTTACTTAAAATTCTTGATGATTTATGGGGAAACAACTGGGCTGACTGGCGAACATGTTAAAATAGTTCAGCATGTGAAGTTTGATGATTTTCAGTTTACGTTACTTTTCTAAACGTGCATTCCACAGATAGGCAAAGTTAGTGAAAATCTTTCGTCGTGTCATCTGCCATCATATTACCAGGGGTTGTTTTTGATGTGGTTTTCCGTTGTTTTTAAGGGATGCGAATTTTTTTGTTGAAAGACGACAGGTGTCATCAGCTCTGCTGTGCTCTTTGGTGATTGGCTCTGTTTATGTTATTTCGGCATGAAATCCCGAACGGCTGAAATAAAGTCAGAATGATACTCGTATTTATGTATATAGATATGTTAGGCAGTAGTTTGAACACCGCCGCGTGATGCTGTCAGGATATTAGAGTGAGATCTGACGTTTTAGAGTATTCCAGTATTCGTACATCTGTAGTTTTGCACGTTAATATTTCTTTTTTTAGCACGTAAATTTGCCCTTCGTGTTAGAGGTACTTATTTCCTTTGAAAATGAATAGTTATCCAATTTTGTGAATATTTTGCTGTGCTGGTAGAAATTTTTTGACGAATGATATTATCATTATATTATAATTACATTTAATATGGTTTAATACATTGCGACGCAGCGCAAAGGAAGCTTGTGTTCTTTAGGTGTTACAGTATCTTATCCGTATTAGTGAGATCACAGATATAACATGATAATAATAAATAATTGTTGATTGTCGCTCTAGTCATTACTTACTTATCTGTATTCCTTGCAATTGTTTATTGTTGAAAAACACGTTTGTGTCAAGATTAACATGACGTTATTCATGGTGGCCCTGATTAAGTAATTTTTTTTAAACCGTGCATAATAAAATCGTAATTGAGTGGCTTTTTTATACGACTACATACATAACATAACGGTCATAACCTGCTTCAGTATTTGAACTTGAGCCCTTGGTCAGGCAGCACTTAAGTATTTTTCTTCGTGATGTATTTCAGAATCTTAAATAACGGCACGATAATGTTCAGTTTGAATTTTAATGTTTGCAATACAAAATTCTTGATATTATATCGAATACTGTTTTGAAATGAAAAACGTGCCATTTAATTCATAACGGTTTAGTCACTTTGATGACCTTAATTAAAGAAAGTGAAAATGAAAAGATGACATTTGAATTTATGCTGACCAGTGAGGAATGATGAAGTAAAGCGCGTTTAATGAACTACCAGTAAATGATTAGGTTCCATGAATTATGATCAGCGTTCAAATTAGTCACGGGATGCTGTTCGTGACGAAGAGGATCGATTTTTTACTCATCCGGTCGTCCGTGAGAAAATCGCAGGTTCTTGACTAGAGCACGCTTGAAGTTGACTCCAGATTTCTAATTGTGAGTGTTGTGTCCTTGTGTTTCTTCGTGGTTGCTTTTGTTTCGTCAGTCTCTAACTTTCTCGATCAAGTATTTTGATTTGCATTTTATCGAACCAGTTCTAGCTTATTTATCCAGACAGGTTACTCAACCCACAGCACCATAGTACTCCGCTTTTTGTGCATTGATTAGCGTATTCATCTAATTGGTTTTTCATTCTAGTTAGACTACAGTCTACGGTGTCTGTTTAAATATATGTACCTGGCAACTAAAGGGATGTTTGAGAAAAATCTGTCAACGTCATCGAATATTTTAATGGCATATTTATGCGCGGTATCCTTTGCGAGCTAATCGTATTCGTGTCGTAACACTTTATTTATTCATGTTCGGAGTTATGGAAATATGCATTCATCTCTTTTGCACGTAAATATGACGCTTATTTTTGTAATTCCCGTTTCCGCATTGACATTCCTGTGTCAGTTACAAAGTGTTTGATTTTTTGTGAAACGGATTACCAGTTCGCACACAAGCACGTTTTTGTACGACTTGGCGTGTGCTGCGCGGAGTTTTTTTGCCTCCTACATCATGAGATTGAGACGCGTCTGAATCGGATGACTTCCTCGGTGAAATTTGGTTCGCAGATGTGATTAACATTTTTGTTTTAAGAGCTGGAGGCAGTTTTGACACTTAGGGAACGATATTCAGGGTGGTTTCGTGTTTCGTTCTTATACAGAAACTCATTCCCACAGCTGATAATGGCTGCGAACGCCGCCATTCGCCGGAGGAATTAAACATGCATTTTTGCACAATTTATTTTTAGTTCCGACCGCACAGTCCCCTTCTGACTTGGCAACCGCGTGAATGTAACATCCATTTTTAATACGGTCTGCAGATGTTTTATCGGTCTATTAAAAAAAAACCCGTCCTCAGTTCCAAATGTGTGCATGTAGACGGCATTGATCTGTTTTAACGTTGCTCTCGTCAGTATATAAACCCGTCGGATGCGTTGTATCGTTTGTCCTGGTGAAGAGGACCATACTCTTCGGCGGCGACGATGGGTTTCATGATGCTGTTGTATTTTGTGGTTAGATTGTGCCTGGGGATTCTGTACCCGGCCTACGCATCGTATAAGGCCATCCGGAACAAATCGCCGAAAGACTATGTCAAATGGATGATGTACTGGGTGGTGTTCTCGCTGTTTCTGGCCTTCGAAACCTTCACGGATATTTTCCTGGCGTTCTGGTGAGTGGGATTTGCGCATTTATGCGGAACGGTAGTTATTCGAACGTTTTATTGCTTTGGGAGTAGCGAGTGAATAACTGCTTCCGGTCCACCGTTGCATGTTTTGGGGACTGCTTTTGCTCGGGCTTTATTTGATTTGGGCAATAATGATTTTATTTAGTCGCAGACGCGATTATTTTCAGGTAACTTATTTTAATTGCTACTCACGCATTTTATCATAATGCTTGTGTAATTTTACACCCTATTCAGATGTGTTGTTCAGCTTACTCCCGCTTTGATAATGTTTTTCAAAACATTTTGTAGTTTGTACTGCTTAAAATTGTTTGTTCTAAATCTGTAATATGATTGCTGACTAACCGTGTCAACATGTAGCGGCCGTCTTAATGCATTTACCGACGGGATTATTATTTTCAGTATTCGATGAAATTTACATACCACATAAGGAAAATCGCTGTGAGCTTTGATCGATAACGTTTATTACGCTGACGGTAAATTTCAACAACGGTCGCGCAGCACGTGATGGACCGTGTTAATAGTTTGCTTACCTCGTGCGATCTGCATGGCAGTTCAGCCAAAAAAGTCGTAATTACGGCGGTAACTATTGCAGCTTTGTTTTCGATTGGTACTTGTCATGGTCATCATCAGGCTTTAGCCGAACTTCGTGTCAGCCTAAATACACATAACACATTCCCTAAAAGACATAGTATTAAATTTCTTAATAATTTTCTTAATTCTTAATAAATAGTATTTCTTAATAAACGGATATTTTCTTCGGGAGCGACAGATTTTGATTTACTTGTAGGAGTTGACTCACAAGTCAGTTGAGTATCGTTCTGTTCTCTGCGTTCAGTTTTGTTACAGATTGCTGATCGCGTAATGAAATTACCAGTGTTGGGTCAGTTTCAAGATTAATATTGGGAGGATCTTAGGATTCCCAAACACGTTATGTTAATTCTTGTGGTCTCTTGTATTTCCCATAGATTATAAGTTTACGTTACATACAATCATAACTGAAGTATTTCCTGTTTTGAATACTACTATATAATGTACTCATTGGTCACTGAAATATTTTTGACACTGCTTTTATTCCTTGAACTGCGGTTTTTCAAGTTGAATTGCAGTATTGGGACTAGTACCGCTAATCCCCATACGGGATCAGTTGTTGTTGGCTAACAATAAGTTGCTAACCTTTCTGCAGAATCCGACTTTGGACCTGTTTAATACATATTGTTTCTGTCAGAGTTTTTGGTATTCACTGAAAATGCGGAAATTTTTACCTATATTATATCTCGAGCCGGAAGCCGACATTCTAGAAACAAAAGTGGTTGTTTTTATGCAGGTTTCCATTCTACTATGAAATTAAGATTCTCATTGTGCTCTGGCTGATGCTACCGGCCACTCGCGGATCCAGCATTCTCTACCGGAAGTTTGTCCACCCGATGTTGACCCAGCATGAGGAGGAACTGGACACGTACATTGAACGCGCCAAAACGGACGGCTATGCTGTGTTCCGTGAATTGTCCGGCGTCGCTCTGCAGTATCTGGCCACTTTTGTCGTTCGCGCCACTGCCATGCTGCAGACCGTCGCACACCGCAGTACCTCGAATCTCCGCCAGCCGCAGTCTGTCGCCTCCGTGAAGACCGATGTGAGTGTGACGGAAACCATCACCACCGAGGAAGTGACGACGGGGGTGCGCACACGCCGTGGTCAGCGCAATGTAAACGTGGTCAACGTCGATTGAGAGACACGGAGCAAAGGAAGACTGCAGATATTGTGCCTTGACAGTTTTGATCTGGGGACGGTTGTAACGGAGTTGGTTTCATCTGTTTTAACCTCTTCTTTTTGATATCGTTTCCGTTTGTGATGGTATTCCAGGAATGTCTGTTGGGTGGTATGTACAGAAGGCGGATTTTGGTGTCGGGGTTGACTTGTTCTGGCAGGTTATCGTTGTTACAGTGCCGAGCGACGGCGTTATGATTAATCAGCGGTTCGTTTTTTGTTCCTATTCCAGTGATTATTGTAATTACCAAAGGGATTTGTTCGCGTAATCACTGTATTTACCAGTTTTATGCCAATAAACTTCGTGCGTTCTGACTTACCATTTGTCGTTTTTTTTGTCCGAGATTTGTATAATAATCGTGTATTGGATAATTTTCAAGGAAACTTAAGGGTTAATCGCGTACAACACAAGAAAGTGCAGTTTTGCACTCACTGCACTTATTTCCCGTAAAGAGATCGAAAAAGTAGAAGAATTTTTAAAAATCCGGAAGTTTTTACAATTGAAATGTCACAGAATCACAAAAAAATGCCCATGAAATGACACAAGTGCATACAAAATAAACAAACTAGAAAGGAATTATTTCAACGGAGTCAGTTTTTCCCCGAAGGATTATTATTGTTGATCTTCAGGTTGGCCGTTCGATTGTGCAGTTCATAAGCCGACTGCAGGGTGTCGTTAATTATTCGCATATCCCTTTCCACACTCCTGGACCAATTCTCCACGTCGCCCAGCTCCTTGAGAGCACCGTTGAACTGGTCAGCGATCTGAAGCCACTGGTGCGTTTGCTGGGTAAACCGGTTAACTTTCAGCTGGAGGGATTTGGCTTCGGCATCAATTCGCCGCTGATTTACATAAGCTTGTGCAACGCTACGAAACAATTTTTCTGTAACAAATATGTTTTATAATTTATCCATAAATACAAAGTACAAAAATAATGCATTGGCAACCATTGCATTTTCCTCACTTACGATGCGTTCAAACTCTGGACAAGTGTTCTGGTTAGTTTATCAGCGGATTCCATAGCTTCTTTCCGTTTCCGTTCTACCGATCGACAAAAAAAACGCGCCAAAATCTTCTGAGATCATACTCGTTTAATTCGCTGATCGCAGTATTTTTTCATCAATAATACTTATTCGGTTATTCAAATTAAATGTGACTTTAATTCTTAAACCAAGATTGTGAATCGGGAAGAAAGAAGTCATAAAAAACAATTTCCGAAGATATTTCTGAAATTGTAATAATATCAAAGTCTTAAACATAAGCACTACTAACTCTCTGCAATTTAAGTGGTTTGAACTTTGAGTAACAAAACTAAAACAAACCACAAATCAAATGCAGGAGAACAGCTATCACTATCAGAATTCACTTACCACAAACTTCTTTGCGATGTTTCTGCCTGGCCTGGTGATCCTTCAGAATACTGCTCAGCATTTTTGCGTTCTAGGTCGTCTGACTAACGTCTTTCGTAAGACAAAACTCGTACAAAAAGAACAGAATTTCCAAATCTACAACTTTTCCGGAGAAATTGGTCTGATAATAATAAAGCAGTGGCAGTGGATACCTTTTACAAGTTCACACTTGTCACTTCGCGTTGTTCAGCAGAGTCTACCAAAGAACAGTTAACATATAAGCGGAAACTGGCAAAGAGTTTTTTAAAGCTTCGGGAATTGCAAAGAACCTGAAAGACATAACTAATTAGAATCCAAGAACAAATTTGGTAGAAATTACTCTAGGAGATGGAAGCCAGCGAAGCCAAACATAAAGTTAACATGTGTTTAGATTTGGGATCTACATGGAATCATGGTGTCACCGTCACGGCCGTGCTCACGTTCATAAGATGTGTGCCGCCGTTCGTTATCAATTTGTGGCGAAAATTGCGCATTCTCTGTATCCGGTGATCTACTACTGTCTGATTTGAAAATAAAAATATTCCAGCCAAGCAGAAAATTATTTTTATTTTTAACGTTCTGACGTTCCAGTTCGAAATGTTTTATAAAAGCAGGAGGTTTGCTCGTCCCGGTCCTACTGCTGCCTTTTGAATCGTTTTGATGTTATCCTTGTTAATATTATTATGAATTTTTCTTTTTGCAGCATTGCGTGTTCGTGCGAAAATTTGGTAGCCATTGTTCCAGGCTTTCATTTTTGATTGGGAATCCCAGATCCTGGAGCAGTGAATCGTCGATACATTCTCGAAGATTTAGATTTAGTGGAGTTTTGTCTACAGTAAATTCTGGTCTCGTGTAATCTGGCTGTGCAGACCTGGTAGTTGTTGAAGCGACTCTCGCGGTCAGCGTGGATATTCGAAAATGACGCTGATGACATTTTTCGGTTGTGCCATCACGGCATTTGGACCAGCACTGTCCTTCTTCGTCATCATCATCGCTCGGGATCCTATTAGGGTGATCATTGTCATCGCCTCGTAAGTTGGAACAACGACACAGTTCTGCCTCCTACTTGGTTTGCTAGATTCTGCAGCCGTAATAAATGATAATGTATGGCAGGAACTAGCCGTAATAATCGTGCTAGTTCCTGCCAGCCAGTGATCTATTTATTTTGTGACTGCACTGCGGCATTTTACTGTGGACTAATTTCTAACGTTGGTTGATTCTGAGTGTTTCAGGGGATTTTACTGGCTTCTGTCCCTTCTCCTGTCCTCGGGATTGTGGATGGCAGTGGTTCCTCTGCGGAACCAGCTGGCATTTGGCCTAGTTTTTTCTGTCCTGCTGCAAGAACTGTTTCGTTTTGCCTTTTACAAGACCATGAGGTAAGTAGCTCAATGTAACTTTAGCACTAGCAGCTTTAGCTGATGCGTGATGATGCGAAAAATTTTATTTGGTTGGAAATAAAGATAGAAGTATCGAATTTAGGGAAATATAACCGTCGTAGTAATTGCAGTAGTTGAGAGCTACGCCTAATTGCATAAAGCATTTGTATAAACGAACAGTTTAATATTATGTGATGCTTGAAAATGGAAAAGTAATTTTGACGTTTTTTTGAAATCAGAATTATTATTATCCACCTACGATTGCTGAAAGGCGATGTACTACCAGGCTTTGGGGATGTCTGTTTGGTTAATTTTTGCAATTTTGTACTCTTTCTGCTTTGAATTTGTTGAGATTGTCGTTGCCCATCATCCATTTGTGTTGCATAGTTTGTTTAGAGTGCCAGTCAAGTTATAAACGTATTTGATGTTTTTCTCTGCAGGAAAGCTGAAAAAGGCCTTCAAATGGTCAGTGACGATGAAATGTACAAAGACCACAATGTGGCCCAGGCGCGACTCGTCCTTGCACTGGGTAAATTAGACCTGCGCTAGGTGCTATACCTTTTTTGATTTTTTATAACGTAGCTTTAATAATTCGTTTTTCCATTGCTTGAGCGGCATAATTACAGTGTTTCGCTTTCTGCACAACACTAGATAGTATCGTATTTACGAGTTCTTGTTCGTCCCATTTGGGAAAGAGCTGAATAAACGGCACCTTTGGTTTGTTGCAGTTTCCGGTTTCGGATATGGCTTAATAAGCGGTGCGTTTGCTTTGATCAACGTGCTAGCTGATATTTGGGGTCCTGGAACGTTGGGATTGTTGGGACGTGGCGATCACTATTTCTTTTTCACATCCGGTATACAAAAATTTTTGTTCCATACGTCGGTCGATCATTGTTACGAAACGTGTTTATTATGTTTGCAGCTTATCTGACGATGTGCATAATTTTTCTCCACACCTGCTGGAGCGTGATTTTCTTCTACGCCTGTGATAAGCGAAAATATCATCTGATCCTGATGGTTGTTGTATCGCATATGTTGATCTCCTGCTTGGTGAGGTTTTAGTTTGTGGCTATATTTCAGACTCACGCTGCTATTGTACTGTGGGGAAATACGTAGTCCTTAAGGCTTTGCTTTAGCGCTTTTATCTTCTGAATCCTCATTTTACGAGTATTATTTCTGTTTTTTTACTACGTTAGGTAATGCAGTGTTTGTAGAAATTACAGTTATCCTATCTGTTTAGTCATACTGATTGTGAGCGCAGTATGTGAATACTGAATGGTTAGGAATTTCTAAAAATAGTTGTGCAAACTGTACTGTATTGTGTAAAAATCCTTTTCAAACTACCATAATAAATTTTGTTTATCCTGAGACAGTTTACGAGTACTTGGCAAGTCTCATGAATCTTAGAAGAATCTGAGTGAAATTAGAAGAATCTTAGTGTACCGGTCTATAATATTGCTTTCCCTTCCAGGAGCGAAGACAATCTAGCCTAACAGGCAGCGAGCGCTGATCAATTTCCGTGTTTTTTTTCGGATTATGTAGTAATTACTTGATTCGAGTTTATTCTATGATCGCACGTGCACAGAATTAATCATTTATCAGTTGTAAGCATTATTCCTTCTTTGCAGACATTGATCAATGCGCAAAAATTGTATGCCGCCAGCCTGGTGCCCGTAACATTGATAATGCTAGCAGTTGCCGTGACGGCTTTTTTCCTCGCTGGAGGATCCCTGCGGAACTGGCGAAGTTTATTCAAGAGATCAGCCAGTCGTTCCCTGACTGCGGGCACCGTGAACGGCGATGGAAATGCCCGTACCACGGTGATCACTTGAATACTTTCTATGTAGTAAAACTGTCAGTTAATTGTTCCGTTGTATGTTGATCTCGATTGTTACATTTTTGAAAACGTTTTATCGTTTTTTGATTTTACTTTCGGTATAATGTTTAGCATCATTTTTATATATCCCGGCGACAAGTGCAGGCACACAGCTCTTCGTCCAGTCGTTTTATTGGTTTTTCGGTTTCCTTATACTACTTTCAGCCCAGCTATTTTTGCAGTTATTTTTTTATAAAAAAATAAAACAAATTGGGTGTATATTGGGCCCACTATCGGCATTCGAACAGGAACTGAGATGGTAAGGAGGCAAAATAACTGGAGCTTATTAATACGGTATGACACTTGCACAATGCTGGAATACGAATAGTGTAAAAAGAAAAACAAGTCGAACAATTAACAATCCAGAAATCATCTGTATAACAAAGCTGGGTACAGTCTGTCACACTTGAGGCAACTGGTTGGAAACAGGATGAGGCATCACCGGATCTTCCCCCATATCTTGCAACAGACCATTCACATGGTTCAAAACGATAGGGTCATAACTGAAAAAGCAACACACGGTCTTCGAGGGAATCAAACAGTTCTGCTAGGACCGAGGACGTAATCCGCTTCGATTCCCCGCTTTGTTCAAGCAAAGCTACAAATCTGTTGAAAATTGCTTCCTGTGATTCATTTGTACTGTTTCAGTTTATCTACATGCAAGTTTAACAAATCAATTGTACTCGTACTGTAATTGTTATAAATCAAATCCAGCAGGTTGAAAGTCGAAATATTATGTATATTTCAGGTAAAAGTTAAAACCCAAAACATTTCACAACTCAAAATTTAATAATAATTTGAAATATGTTATCGAACTGCGACGGCAGCAAAAACAGTAACGAATCCCACTAAATGTGAAGGCTAACGTGTAACTGGTAAGCGGTAACTGATTAACTTTTTAGGGAATCAAGTTTGGATTAACTTTTAAGGGAAGTCACAAGTCAGTTTGCAACTCTGCATCGTACCTGCATCCGTAGAACTTCACGTTTGATAGAATCTTCGACCAACATTCCAACTGATCCGGGGTATACTGATTCTGACTGCCGTAATGCAGAAGGAACTTCTTTCGAAATATCCACTGGATCTTGGTTTCGTGCTTCGACCGGAAAGTATCCACGTTATTTTGTGTGATGCTGTCAGGAACCTCCTGATCTTGAACAAGGGCAGGATCGTAATCCATCATGCAGTTTCTGCTGCGCTTCTGTTCTCGGCATACATACTAACGCGCCATTGCCGCTGTCTCTCTCGGCCGCTTTAAATTATTGCAGCTTAATTTTTGTCGACCAGCAGTGCTTTCAAAGTCAAACAAGTTCGCAATATGACAAAGCCTCGCAAAAATCGCGAAAATTTAACGACATCAGTTCAGTGTAAACGGCTTCCAAACTTTGACCGAGGCCGGAAGTTCCATCAGAGGTTCAGAGCTTGTGCTTCTTTACCACGCCCCGAAACGTAAGGCAAAAGCTCTGAATGGTTACACATGGATAACCGCACTCTACGGCAGTCAATGAATGTGTAAAATGCGTAAATCACATAGACCGGTAGACATCCGAAAGGCGAAAACGCAAACCGTCAAACGCCAAAAAAATCAGTCTCGAATATTGCACTCGTAGTTGTAGAGAATCCTCTAGTGCTATTCTGTGCGAATACTTGATTCATAATTTTTTTGTTACCTCATAGACATTGGCGGCAAAGCCAATATTAGCAGTTGGTTCATATCCCGCAAGCAGCGATTTCCTTTGGTTATTTGTTTTTAACAAGATGCATGGAGAGCTTCCCAACGGAGGTACTAGTAATGGACTGCCTGCCAAGCGCTTGGAACACTCACGGGCACATCACGAGCCGGGCAATGATGTAATTATTGTTGGGATTGCAGGGTAACTTCGCGATTTTTCGCTATTCTATTGGTTTTCCTGGACACTCAATGTTATTTGACGCTTGATTCCGAATGAATTTCGTATAACAGAGCAACGAATGCCGGAAAAACCACTGTAGCGCGGCGGCTTTTGGAAGAATTTCCGAGATCTGCGGTCGTCCATCAGGACGATTTTTTTCGGGTACTCCGTACTTACTGTCTGTATGCGTAATCGTACTTCGTAGCTCCTGGTGGCATACGGGAAAATATGTCTTAATTGTGATGATTATTTTCCAGAGTGTTGATGATCCAGCCCATGAGCATGTTGTGGAAATTAATCATCACAACTGGGATAGTAAGTGTGCTAACACCTAATGCGAAATGAACTCTAATACTTCTATGTTTAATGGTTGCATAGTTCTTTAAAACCCGAAATATTTTTCTGTTATTAACGTGAGATTAAAATTCTGTACGAGTATATCTGTTTTTATGTTTTATGACGTTATTTTTTCGTAACTGAGCTGGGAACTGATTGAAAACAGATTATTGATAACGGCGACCAACTTTTGTTTGTGTGAAGAAATATTCGCTCAAACAGCGTGCGTTATCAGATAACACAGTCGGTAGCTTCACTCTGGCTGGTCAGTGTGATCCAACTGGATTTTGCTCTATCGTACATCGCGTTATAATAGTTTGTAAATTATTGTAAACATTGCCTATTAAATGGTGCGCAGTTTGCTCTGGCATCAGTAATGATAATAAAAATAAAAATAGCGTATTTTTTGCGGACAGTTTTATTTTTCTGATTTCGTTGCAGCCATATCAGCCGTTGATTTCGAACGAATGCTGCAGTCTGTTAAGGAAAATTACACCGTTTTACTGGAGAAAAATACTAGACCAGTCGGTGCGGATTCACGGCCGAGACTGCTAATCCTGGAAGGAATTTTGATTTTCAATGTGCCGCAGTTAGCATGCCTGCTGGACCGGAAATACCTCATTACTTTGACCAAAGAAGAATGCCGACGACGCCGGTTAACTCGCAACTACGATCCGGCTGATGTTCCCGGATATTTCGATCTTGTTGTGTGGCCGATGTACGAAAAGTTTCTAGCGCAGTTGCAGGGAACAACTGATATCGGTGAGAAAGAACTCTTCGCGAAGGTGGCAGTTTTTTCTGTCACATATGAATATTTCAAGAGTTTATTAAACGTTTTCTTTTTCCGGCGATAGCGAATCTTTACAATATAACTTCGATTTTAAACTCCATGACACATTGTTGGTCTTTTCAGAGTATTTTGACGGAAATGACGCTTCGGAGCGCACTGTGCAAGTTATCGTATCGGATTTACTTAACCTCTACCGGGAGCGGCTTCGAAATACGCCACCTTCTGAAGAATCACCCGTGTTAAAGAATTATTCAGTCGGCAAAATTCCCCGAAACCCGTCTGGTGATGCATCCGTTCCTGTTGTATAAATGTTGATAGAATTGCTGTGGTGTGTTTCCATGTTGGTTTTGGACCATTTTAGAGAATACTCTATCTCGTTATTAACTTATTTTATCCTTTATATATATGGAAATGTTTCAACAGTTTGCGAGGATGCATGTTTTACATCCGAGTTGCTTTTAATTCGATTTCCATGGGATTCTGGCTGTACCAGTCTGCTTGTGCGTTACAGCTTCCGGTTGTGGTGGGTGGCATGAAATAAAGTACAAGAATCTCATCACGATTTTCTTATCTTAACTTAATAAATCTGCTACCGTTTTATCAAAGCTGTTTACGAAAATTACAGGCCATCTTTCACAATTTTGATGGATGCAGTTTGCAAAGATAGGATACGAATAAATTTAAGATTAGAAAGCAGCTCCCAATCTGGCATTTCCGCTTATGCCCTTGTATAGGCATCCAATCAATGCCCAGCGAAATCTTAACTGCCACGCCTCCGCAAAGGTTTCAAAAATACCACAACAAACTGGAGTAGAACTTGATTTCCCATTTTAAACATTAATTTGAATTTTATGGTGTTTAACTGTTTATCATTTTAGGCAGCATTATTGTTAATTTTAAAAGATTATATTTCTTTACCGTGCCTAAAATTGTTTCCACCCTTTGATCACTTCAGTCATTGTTGATGCTATGGAAAATCTCCGCCAACAAGTTGTCGACTTGGCGAAAGGTATAGGCTTCGCTAAGTAAAGTTACCAGCTACGAATGCAGTTCGCACCGCAATTTGTTTTGCAGCGGTGGAGTTCGTCGAAGGAGTGCTCGGCACGTCTGCGGTAACGTTCTCCTCGAAAATCTCCGCATTTTCCGAGCTATACGATCGCATTGATTCATTGATCAAGCAGCAGTCAGGTAAATGCACCGGCCCATGCATCAACATAACTGATCAACGGACTTGGTATGACGTGCAAGTGTTCTGTTGAAGGACGCAAAATTCTTTCATGGAACCGCGCTGATCACTTTCCCGAACTGCTCCAGTGGATTGAAAAATTCCCGGGCGCCGATGTATCGCAGGTGGAAATCAAGGAAGCGCCTGGGCGCGGTTATGGAGTTTACCTTAAAGAATCCATTTCCCCGGAGGTATAAAATCTGCATGCACGGTTCAAATGGCAAGCAGCACGGTTTGCAGGATTTTCAGCACTAAATTGATCTTGCTTCTTAATTTTTCGGTTGATTTGGTTAGAGTGAAAGACCCGTGATAAGAGTTCCTCAGTCTGCGTGCATTACCGGTTCCTATTCCAGTTCCTTTGCAATCGGTACAGTCATCTTTTTGGACATTTATCGTTTACCTAATTACCTTTAAGCAGTTAAGTAATCGTCTCGTAATATTTTGTGCTTAGGCCGATGTTTATCCATTCTTCCTCTTCCGGAAAATCTCAAGCTGGTCGGAATTCTAATGTCAGAAGTCTGTCAGCTGAATGAATCGCAGTGGAGCTGCTATCTGAGTTAGTAATGCGGTGCTCTAAAAGAAATAATGGACAGTTAGGTCTATGGCAGGTTTTTCTAATCAGCTTTCCTAAGATTTGAGCTAGTGCATGTAGGGTCACATATGCTAGCTCGTCATGTTAACTTTTGCATATTACAGAAATGATGGCTGTAATAATTGTAATTCATAAGGATGCGTTGATTTTAGGATCTCTTCCAACCGATTTCAGCACGATTATGCACCTGGATCCCGTGTCTCTTCGTTGTCTAGAAGGATCAATTTATTTTGGCAAGTGTTAAATGTTCAGTTCTCCTGATTTTAAGTGGACACTAAATCTAATAGCCTTCACTGAATTCAGCGCTGTATTTCAGCTTTCAGCACAATCTTGCCATTATAATTTTAATTCGGCAGTGCAAATTAAATTTCCGTATTCCTATTATGTACGAGTACTCTGTAGTATGTAGTACTATGTACTATTAAAGATTTATTTTTTTTTGCTTTTTGTTATAATGTTTGCCTCATCCATTCGCGCGCTGGTTGAACTCATTAGTGGGATTTTTACAGATGATGTTGTGCGGAGATATTGCAACGTTTGTAAACATTACATGAATTCCGTGATTGCCGTCGACATTCGGGTTACCAGCAAGGTAAGAAGCATAGTACTCTGTAGTTAGGTAGTTCGCATTTTTAAGTAAGGCACACGTTATCCTGAACCGAAAAGACATATCGCAGCGCAAATGTTTGTTGCTTTTGCAGGGGGAGAAGAAGAAATTCGCTTCTTTGTTCACATTTGAGCTGTTCCGGTGAGGATGCAGAACGGTGCATTCCCGCAGTGCAGTTCATTGTAATTTTATTTATATTGCGTTTTACAGTTGGGCTTTAGATGTCGTTATGACCCGATCCAATGCTGTGCCGGTTCCTGGTTTAAATGAACCTATCATAGCTTTGATACCATTGCTGGATATCATCAATCACGGAAAGGGCAAGGTATGCTTTGTTTTGCAGCGGTAAAAGACGCGTTAAGCGAGAAAGCGTTCTGCGGCAGAGGTAAATAGAACCGTGTAATAGTGCGGTTAAAAACTGAGTGGGCATTCAGCTACTAAAAATGGTCTGTATTTAACAGGTTGCTGATTAATTCCCAATTAGCTTATTGTTGAAACGTGTTACAAGGCATGATATGTCCAAATGTTTTTAGGATAAATTTAGCTGTGTTTCGGATGAGAGTAAAACATTCTTCGCAGAGTTGCGGTCGACACAAGAACTTAATGCCGGAGAAGAGGTTCGCTCGATTATACCGTAGTATATGCATTCGCTGATAAATCAGTAGTGTTTCTTCCAGCTTCTGATGAGCTATCAGCCATTGTCTGTCAAAAACCGTTTAATTAATAACGCTTTTGTCACTGCGGACGAAGGAATTTTCCAGCTTTTTATTGGTTAGTATTATATCACATCTTGCCTAACCTACTGTCATGGTGGTCAGTTAATTTGTTGTTATTAAATCAGATTTACAATCTCAGACGGAAGAATCGGTGAAATCGATTTTGGGCGACTGCGACGCATATTTTCACAGGTATGCAATTTGAGCTATTCGGAAAACAGCTGTTTCCCTATTCCGTTTCGAATTATTTTACAGGCGCGAAAATGGCACGTGGGAAGTGCTGGGTGAATTTCTCCCATCCGGACAGGTCACCGATTTAACTTTGACCGTTTTACGTACAGCTGTGGCGCTAAGGGAACGGGATCTCTGTGTCGGTAAGCAATAAAAATTAGCAAAAAATTTCGCAGAAGTTATCTCCATTAATTTAACCCGAAACAAGAATTAAGGACCTCAGAACAGTCGGAAGTCTGTATTTCATTGGAGATCTGTTTTTATGCTACCTTGATGTGCAGCTGCATATTCCGTAGGAAAAGCCGTTCCCGAAATCTTCATCCCAACCGAACTAACTGTTGACAAGCAAGTGTACACGATAATTGTCCGCACGGCTACGGAATTGCTTAACCGGTTTCCTAAAGCATCAGCTGAAGTAAGCAAGCGCCTTTTCTGAATTCTAACGTTTTGAAAATAACACGAACTTTCCTTTCACTTTCCTTACACATTTTCAAAATGTATTCATGCTGTTTGTAGGATGGGCATAGTTCCGCTCTGAAGGACTGCACAAATGTGGGTGTTGCTCAGTTGTGTCGTGATGAGGTTGCTGTGGAAAAGGCTCGTTTGCAGTGCATCATTAGTCATAACTCAGACCAGCTGAAGTCAGTGTTGAAGCTATTAGTGATAAGCGCAAAAGACCAACGCGTGGCTGTGGATTCTGCATCTTGAAAACATAATCTATTTGCGAGGTTTTTGTATGATTTTTAACAGTTCAGCCTATGCAGTATAACCGTGTACATTAGTTTTAACTCTTTTTGCATGTCGCAACTAGTCGAATCTGTGTCCAGTTTTGAGAACGCTATCGTTTTTTTAAACAGATTGTTCAGATTTGTAGTCTCTTGATCCAGGAATGAAGTGACCACTGACTATTGTAGTATTGACTGATCGCTTACTCGACAAATAAACGCTTGATAAATAACCTCATTTTATTGAAGTTATATAAAGTTTCGATCCGACTAAGAGTGTCCATAAAGCGCAATTAATACGCTAAGCTGCTGATTTGCGAACCATTTCAAAACAGCAAATCGAAACATAGTAAACTTGAAAAAACTTGCAACAGGCATATATTTTCCAAAACAAGGCATATACTCGTATTTTCCAAAACAATACTAATTTTATGATATTGGAAATGTAGTTGTGCTTATTTTTAATCCGAATTAATATGGGAAAACGTAAATTTTTAGAGTTCTGTAGGGCATATGAATGCGGTATTGCAAATGTGGAATACTATTGCATTCTCATAACTCCTGAACGAAAGCCGGTTAACACAAAATACAGTAAGTACGAGTATATTTCTAACACCGATATACAGTCTGCATATATTACGAAGAGTCAGACATCTTTCTCTGTTGGCTGGTATACGGCCAGTGCAGCGCACCATGGTGCATAAGCTATGATTCATAGAGATAAGAACGGGTATGTTAAAAAACGGAGCTCTGCAGCGCGGTATCTCGAATACGTGCGGTATAGTTGTTTTGACCATTCAGAGCATAGATAAGCTCCGGATCGTGATGACACACGTTACCAGTCGTTTCTACTGCGCATAATGCACAAAAAACCTACATAGGCGTTGGAAGATACCCGAATGTCTGAATCTGAGCATTGTTGTGGAACGATAGCGCACCAAAGCAAGTCTGCCTTGGCGTTCCTTTAATTTTGCACTGTATACGTGTGGTGCTAACTGCTCGATTATGTCACAGAATCTACTCGTAGCTGTATAGCAAAGCTGAAAGCGGTAGGGATTTTACGGCCCTACGTCATCGCGTGTTGAATTGATTTTCCCAGTGTATGCCGCTAGCTAGCAATACCGGTCGGAAATGTCATCGCTATCAGCTGCCGCTGCTTTCTTATAACAACGTACGGTACAACCGTATACTTCACGCTGTCAGTCACAAAATGATTCCGCATGCGCTACAGTGCGGAAACAGCTGAGAGTGAACGCAGCTTTCCTCGGCAAAAATTAATATTTTCTTACATGTCTTATCCGTATCGCGCGGCCATGAAAACTGGAATCAGTGTATCGCTATCAGCACCAGACGAGGTTTCCGGTAGTCTAGCCTTTTCTTCGCTTTATCCTTTTACGTACCAACGGTTTCCTTAAAAACCACTGTTGACTGAAGTTCCATTGGCCAATGGCGCTGATACACATCTTGCTGTTTATTGTGGTGATTTTGTTCCTGTTGTACAAAGTCCAACCACAGTATGTGGCGCGCTGGCTGGACAAAGTGCGCGGCCGTCTTCCCCCCGGGCCGTTTGGCCTGCCCATTATCGGGGTAACCGGGATCAGTGGGCAGGCCCCCTGGGAGACGTTCACGGACTGGGCCGGTAAGTACGGAAGTCCGTTAATCAGCTTCTTCAACGGATCCAGCTTCACCGTCGTCATCTCCGAATCTGATCTCGTCAAAACCGCCATGAAGAATCCGGCGTTCGACGGCCGGCCAGCCAATCACGCCTCTAAAGAATATTTCGGACGAGGTACGTGGTCATCTCCGGTCAGCAAATTATTGAGCAAAAATAATAATACTAGCTTACAGTACACAATACTTATAGACAATCAAAGATTTAGCGTGCAATACAAATACGTATACAGATACATATATGCAGGTTTGTATAATTCAAGATTAGATTTTTCGGTTGTGGGTAGAAGGAACACTTACATAACTGATATTTACAAAATTTAGTGTATTAAAGAAATAATTTTCTGTTATTAATTACGAAGCCAGTTTTCATGCTTAAATCTTCGGATGATGTATTATGTTTCGTCTCATGCCGTATTTATTTAGAGTAATTTAACTGCATATAAAAATAATGCAAACATTCCCAGACAAGCGCCGTTGATATATTCAGTTCTCGTTAGACGGCAGCACACAGTGCAGATTACAGAAACTGTTGTGTTGTTGTCCAGGCACGCGCTGAGTGTGTACATAAGTGTTAACGTGGGAAGTATTTACACTTGAGCCCACTACGGCGCAGAGGCAGCTAATTTCCGGTCTGATTGACTTTACCTTGTCTCTCGTGAATGACGGGATTCTGTTTGCTTTTTGTCACAGGCATTGGATTCACGGAAGGCGACACGTGGAAAACACATCGGAAGCTGGTTGTTTCCTCCATGAGATTTCTCTGTAAGTTCATAAATGGTTTCAGTGATAATGTGTCAAGAAAGGCCAGGCCGAATATATTGCTAATATATATATGCTAATATCTGTAAGCGTAGTGCTAATATATATTGTTAACGCACTTTCCTCTATTTCCGTAGTTTCCTTAGACAGCTTTATGTGTTTTGCCGCAATACCGGCCTCTTCTGCCGCTCTAAGTTAATTCGTCCGTATCAATATTATTTGTTGCGTAAACCGAAAACAGGCAGCTCGTATCTCAAAGATAGCAATTTGCTAATTTCGTTTAACATCGCCATAATTCGCCACGTACCGGTACAATTGGAGGATGATTAATGGAGACATGTTCTCGACCACATAATCATAATCAGATTTTATAATCAATTACTTTTTTGCCGCGTTGACCATATATTTGCCGCAACCATATTTCCATTTTGGCATATTTGATTTTTTTCTTAAGATTGAATTATCTCTTTTGGGGCGCTATTCATCATCCACATGGCAATAAATTGGACCTAGCTCATTAAGATTATTATAACGGTACATTTTGGGAAAAGTTTGCCGGCTAATCATTACCGCTAATGCAAGGTCGTTTAACGCTATTTTGTCACGAGATGAGCACATTTACTCTTGCTAATGTACATTTGCAGCGGGCAGCGGTAATCCCCAGATGGAGTTTGATAATCACATGAAAAAGGGTGCCTGGAATTTAGTATGCTCCTTTCGGGATGCATCCTCAAGGGAATTTGATCCGGCTCCATTCTTAACACAGGCGGGTATGTGCATGTGTTGTTTGCATGTGCGGCAGTTCACGCTTGCGTGGCTAATTGACTGTCCGCACTGCATTCGTTCTACCGTCGACCGGAAGTCATCGGCCTTTCGAAAATTACAATGCCAAGGTTGCCTCAGGAACTTGACAAAAACTATCCCAATTGTTTTTTGAGAAAAATAAGTGTTTTCCTGATCCTAATGATATCGTAAATGGCGTAAATGCTTAAGTTTTTCTGAAAAATCACTGAGAGCGTGCAAAATTTAATGGAATCTCACCATGAAAATATGGACATAGATATAGAAATACGTTATAGATATACACAGTGTTCACTTAGTCGGTACACATACAAATATGCGTGTTGTTTATTAAGGATAATTATATTTCGATAATAAAACGTTGCATTAAGTGGTACTGTTTTTTATACAGTTGCAGATATTTTGTCATTCCTGGTGTTCAAGAATGCCCTGACTTCGGATGATCCGCGCTTTAATGCCATGATTAACTGCTGTGAACGGGTGTTCTCCATTAATCCCAACACGGATGTCATGAATCTCTTCCCATTCCTCCAAAGCCTACCGTCTTTCCAGAAGAAGCGTGCATTTTTTGCGCAGACCCATGAAGAGCTTTTCAGTATTACGAAAAGCGTGATTTCCACAAGAAAAGCCGAACTGGACAAGGATAAACAGATTCTGTCTGATGAGGCGGTAGATTTCACCGAGGCTCTACTCAAACAACAAACAGCGGCATCCACTGAAAATGCAAAATTTCTAACAGGTATTGATGGAATAAAACTCTTACGCAAAATACTTTACTTGTAATTCAGCCGTACTTTGCATTTGAAAAAATAAATCTGATTGGGTGTGCTCTCATAATTAGGCGTCCATTACTATCACTTCACGGAAATCCAAGCACAGATTTCTAAAAATGTTGAACTGTCTTCAGACTTGGCAATGCTACGATGCAGTAACATACGAGAATATCGTTGATTTATATATATAATATGTATGTTGTGCCTTTAGATGTGGACGTTATGATGATGACCACAGAACTGTACATGGGTAAGTGGACCTTACACCGCCATATCTACACTATTGCTACTTTACAAATCTGCGTACTGCACTAATCACTAGACCGCCAACTTTTCTTGTAAATTGCAATGTTGCTTAATTTTACTGTGTCTTACAGCTGGCTCTCAAGATACGAAGAATGTATTACACTGGATTCTTTTCGTGCTCATTCTGTTTCCTGAAGAACAACAACGACTGCACGAGTACATTGTTGAGGTAATTGGGAAAAGTCGAGCGCCGAGTGTTTTTGACAAAGAGGATTTGCCGTATGTGGAAGCATTTATTCTGGAGACGCAACGCTTCTCCAGTTCCATGCCTTTTCCTCTGCCACATCGCACAGTGGTAGATACCACGTTAGGGGGATATCTGATTCCAGCCGGTAAGGATTATGGTCTGCTTGCATTGTACTGCACACAGAGATTTTGCCGTTGCAGTTTTTTCATTCTAAAAGACTAGATCCGAGCTAATCCGACTAAATCTGACCTAATATGTATTAAGGGTACTTAGGTAGATGGTCTTTTCTCAGTTCTCTGGCCGTCGTTTTACGAGTTTTTGCGACCTGCGTAAGTATGTGCATACTAGCACATTATTGGTAGGCTTTGGATGACCTTTAGCAATACGGACAACACCGTATTCGATATCGATGGCATAACATTCATTTAATTTATTTCTTTGCATTTGTTACCTATAGAAATTTGGAAATTGGCATTAAAACTTACGGTGTTTTTACAGATTGTCCTTACAGTAGCTTTATGCAACTTGAATTACCGGTTGTAGTGCATCTTTCGCGAAAGGTCCAGGCATCTTTGAAGGAATTTAACCTACAAGTATATGTGTTTGTGCAAAGGGTTAACAGTTAACGCATTCATCCTTACGGGATGCTGTAAAGTCTTCTAGATACAAGCAGATTGATTGTATTTTCAGTAAATGCATTTCATATTTAAATTGCCCGGATTTACGTACTCAATGTTACGAAAAACCGTAGCTCTCTGATTACTGCGCCTGCAGGATGGCGTGAACTGCTCTGGTGTCGCAGACTAATTAGTGATTACCATTCTCATAACAGTATGATTTGCAGATACAACAGTGATAATAAATGCCTTCGCTGTTAATAATGACCGTGCCTTATGGAATGATCCAGAGATCTTCCGACCAAATCGATTTATGGGAAAAGATGGCAAATTAAACCAGCTAATCAGTAAAACAACTGGATTTGGGGAAGGTAAGTCAGCTGACGTGTCAGGAGAAGTGTACTGTGTGTAAGCCGGTAACTCATGCAATCAACTTGGGTTGTAGTCCAAGCAGTAGCAGTCCATTTTGAACTAGGTCATTTCGCAGTATGTCATTTAGTTTTTGTACAGGGCGACGCCGATGTCCAGGAGAACAAATCGCAAGAATAGTATTAATAGTTTTTCTTACGACATTGGTTCAAAATATAAAACTCGTGCATCCGGAAGGATACACGTTGCCGCCAGTGACGCGAACAAACGGAACATGTAAGTATAATACAAATATATGAAAATTTCTGTAGAAGTATCCAATTTGTCTTCGATGTTTCGCTTTTACAGCATCACAACCACCTTTCTTTGAGATTTCCGTTAACATGCGGGATGTTCAGCATTAGCAGCTTGTTCCAGCTTTACTGAAATGCCGTTATAATGCCATCGATGTGATGTGACAAGAAGCTATAATTGTACGATTACTTTGTTTATTTGTCCCTCCACATCAAACAGAAGTTGGAAATCAAATAGAAGTGTGATTTATTATTCGTTGCATATTTTCCTTTACAAATAAACAAGGCAGTCAGTACCATGATTTAGGCAATGCTTTCGATTTCGTTGTCGAATGTCTTGCGTAATGGAAAAAAGTCTGTATACAACGCCATATTAATGTGAAGACTCTATAAACAAAATAATACAACAACTCCCAAAGCAAAGCAACAGAAGTTAGTAAATGAACAACAGTTACAACACACACTACAAAACTGTTCCTGACTGGTGAGTAAGTCCTTAAACTTCAGCAGAAATTTATCAAAAACGCGCGACAACAATATCATTATAAAAGAAGATCGCTCGTTAGCAAATGCATCGGTTCCGTTAAGTACATAAGTGCTTATAAACATTTTTAATTTTATGTAACGAAATTCACAAACAGATCCTGAACAAAGGGTAGGTAAAACTCATTGTCAGTAAGATCGCACCCCGATTCATTTTTTTCCACTGCCCAGCTTCGCATGGTATAAGGCACTTGACAGCTGCACGCTAGAGGGTGGTGCTTTATTCCTGTTGCAGCAATACTCTCGTGCCAAACCTAAACCATGTGATATTTACAGCAGGAGCTATCAAATAAATAGCCTAACGCAAACGACCCATAATAAGAATTAAAACGTACAACCCTAACTCAATAATTATAAGTATTCGTGAAGTTAAACATGGGCTCTTTCTTCTAGTAAGTAAATTATGGATATGTGTTCTTCAGAAATTATACATATCTTTATAACCATTTTTATTATGTAACCAACTCTCCATTAAATTGCAAAAACTTACCCACTGCTATCTTCAAACGAGTTTGTTCCATTGTAGAAGCGGTGGCATTAGGCGCATTTAATTCCGCATAAGAAAATAGACCATACAGCGCCGCTGTGAAACACTGCCGCCAGGAACCGCATTGTTCCACTTTCTCCTGAAAGCATCCATAATTTAAGTTCAGAAAAAATATGACACTCGACGAGCTAATAAAAAATATGTTTAAAGACTTCAAACTTTTCAATTCCACCACGTCAAACATGTACAATCACCGCAATGGCGCAATATAATTTCATAACGGAACAGCTCCTTGCATGACCTTTATATAACATCCACATTTGTAAAAGAAGCACATCAGTTCAGATCACCTGCAGTGCAGCCACATTGACGGGGCCATTGCCGGTGGGGACAGTATCCCATGAGCAGACCGCTGGTATACAGGTCAGTGGAGAAAAAACAGTCCGCGCGTGACCAGATCGTTTGAAACAACGACGCGTTCTCGGAGGAGGAAAATCCTGTTAACGGTGAAAATCCGACTGTGCACACGTACGAGTTTCGTAGATGATTTACACGGTATCACGAATTACGTATCAGCGCAAATCCATTTTCTAACGCAACATCCATGCAAACGAATAAAATTACTGAGCGCGCAATATACTGTAATTTGATAGATCACTAATTAGAAACACTACCATTACAGAGCCGTTCGTCAACTAACCGGATCGGAATATACGCGGCCAATCCTAGCTCGACGCTGCGGACGCAGTGGACCGGCAGAAGGGGGCTTTGGAAAAGGAGGAGTTCGAATTGCTGTTCCAGGTAGTCCCCTTCGCCCTGAACCATCCCCGATTTCCGGCGAAAAGCGCCCCTCTTCGGCAGGAGTGGGCGCTGATAATCGCGGAAACAAATGGGATCCCGTAGCTGTACCGCCCGTAGCCGCAGACTTAAAAAAAACAGACGCATGAATAAACAACAGCACGACACTTTCGAAAAAAAAAACCCATTTGAAATTTGGCACACTGTCCATCCAATAAGAAGTGCAGCACAACTGCTCCATAGAAGAGGACACACACCCAACAAAAGTGCAAACTGATAGAAGATTTTGTTTAAAGGTTTTACCCGAAATCGTGCTGCATCTGCTTGGGCAGACGTGTGGAAAATGCGCAATGCCGCTTCGGTTTCGGCTGTCGACCGTGCTGTATCCGGTGGCTGCTCCTGGGCGACGAAGGCAAATCAATCGAAAAACACAACGCAGCATTTTTTCTCGGGTTCGGTTACAAAGACAAATTTTTTCTCGATTTGTTTCCTCAAAACAAACCTTTTTTCTCGGTTTTCGTCATAAAAATTTTTGTACTTACCTTTTCCTGTATAACCACAGTCGGAGGATCGGTACGCGGAGCTTCCTAAAAACCCACGAAGGCAGCATAGCAAGCGGTTAAATGTGATAGGCCACATAAATTAATGTCATCATTATTCACGTCGATTCGTGTATGAGTATGACCTGTTCGTTGTCTACCTTCTCGGCAGCCGCTTTCTTCGCCTGGAGAATGGCCGCCCATTTCGATCCCATTTTCTCATACGACGCCTCCATCGCGGCACTGAAATGGACACTCTTCCGCAGCTCATCCACCGATTCATCTTGGGGAGACAAAGCAATACTCTCAAATCTTGTTTATCAAGAATGAGTCAGTATTCCTGATTGTCTCACCTTCCGTCACGTACAGGACGATACAGGGCAGCGCTTTACTGCGCAGTTTTCCCAAGCACAGCGTGTGCTCTTCGATTGTCGCCGCACCGTTGATGGGCTGAAGATCCCCGAGGGAAATGGCCGACACGCGCGACCATGGACAGTCCTCGTTGACTTTCACTTCGTGAAAGAAGGCAATTGCGCTGCCTTTGGTGGCCGCCATATTTGCAAAGTACTGACAACAGAACGGGTCACTACAGGAATCTGCGACGTAGTTGCCCCTGCCCCCTCACGAGTCCAGAAGTGAAATGTGTAGTTAACTGTCAATTAACTGCACAGGATACCGAGAGAATTAAAATAAACTACGAAACGCTGCAAAAAAACAAATTATATACTGAAGTACTGGAAAACTTAAATCTGGATCTAGAACCACAGCTTGCTGTTCTAATTTCGAAAAACGATTACACGAATGCGAGACCAAGCAACAACAAAGTGCAAAATACCGCGGTACATAATGGCAGTTCGAATTAAAAAAGTACCGGGTGCATCCAGGCCAGATCCCGTGCCGGTGCGGCTGATGAGCGAATCGGAGCGCGGAAGTCATGGCAAGCTGAACTGTTCACGACTCTAGAAATCACGCAGAAATTTTTTAGTGTGTTTTTTTTACTTATCCGTAATCGTAAGAGTTACGTTAACCTTATGTACTATAAGTTAAGTTTTATTTTATTAAGCATTAGCACTACTTCAAGTACTCGTAGTCGTAACTCGTATTGTAATAGGTCCACAACACGCTGCAGGCTTTTCGGAAAAAGGTTACCTGCGAATAGGTATTACCACAGCGGATAAATGCTTAGTTGTGACCAAACTATTAATATCGAAAACGGCCCCAAAACCCAGCTACGCCAGGCGGGTAGTATGATGACGTAATCTTACGCCCTGCGCAAACGTATCTTAAGCATGAAGGCGGAGCGTGCAACTTACAGGGTCCGAGTGCGTGTGAACTACAAGGAGCGTGCAAGTTACGCTTGGATTACTCTATTAGCTATCCGAGTAGCTCAGTACAGCCAATCCGCATTGATACTTTGCTACAGCCAATTCGCATTGCCAAAGACTGCCATTGGTGGACACACGCTTTACGAATTGTTCCACCCCACGCAGATAACCTGCCGTACGCTGAGCACTTGGTTTCTCCTTAATCTGTAGCTTTCAGAAGGAAATAAAAAGGAGCAAATGAAATATCAGTTTCAAAACAAATAACAATCAAATATCAACAAAATGAACTTTCACGAGAAGATCGCCAAATTTAAAATTACGCATTTGGCATGTCAGATCGTTCAGCTCCAGTCGCAGTTCGCACTGCATGGCAGAGATAACTTCTGCAATTAGCTATGGTCAAATTAACGAGAAAATTAAACTGCACCGCAAGTTTAGATACTTTTTACAGTCTAGAGCACGAGAAATAATACTAAAATTAATATTACTTTTAAAATTAATAGAATCATTTCAACAATTATTCTTCTAATAATCAGTTATAATCTAATTCCTGTTGTTTGTATACGGAATTCCAGTTTGTTGGATTCTGAGATCGGCAGCCCAAGAGAGGTACAGAGAACCCCTGCACACAGCAAAGTTATGGTTTCGATTTTTTTCGGTTTGCATGCGTTTTGCGCTCGGCAAGGGGTACAGGGACACTCAAGCACAGCAGTTTCGGGCCTTGGGCCGTGTTTTAAAGCGCCTAACAATACAACTTTGGTCACAACTAAGCATTTATCCGCTGTGGTATTACTATTTTGTACCAGCTTCAGGAATACATAACAGTAATACCTACGTGGATATTTCCATAAAAGGGGCCAATGCTCCAAAATGATAATTGCGGAAAGGTCGACATCGGTTCAATACCGAGTCTTGCTAGTCTGAGCAACTGTTTTCTGCTCTCACTGTCAATGACTTATGCATAGCCTGTGTAGTTGTGTTGAGATCGCCGTAATGTGACCTTTATCATGCTCCACGATTAATTATGGTTAGTGGAATCAGGAATGGGTGTATCAAGAATACATTGCTCTTGAAAGTTAGCGCAGATTTGTGATAGGACTGCAAGAAAGTATAACTGGGCGGACAGCGGCACTCAATAAATTCGGGTAGCGAAAACATCCCTGACCTGTGAGCGGTCCCATTTTCAGATACTTTGTAAATGCATATCGGACAAGATTTTGTTTAAAAAAATAAAAACAATTTGATAGCGCCTTCAAATGCGGGCCAAGGCAATCTCTGTCACCTTTCGTTTCCTGATATTTATTGTGCAATAATTACGTAACCAACAGCTGCGGATACCCGCATAACGACAACTGAAAAGTGTCACACCATCAAACATTAACAGAATAGCTCCCGACCATGGCGCATAAAGCATGCACAGGTTACAGCTAATCGCCCCTACACAATCGCTCATTCTTCCGAGCCCGACTCCTTATCCCATTCACCATCCAGCTCCTCTTCCTCCCCCTCCGCATCACTCGTGTCCACATTTTCTATGTCACTGGACTCCCCCTCCTCAACATCATCCAACAAATCCTCCTCATCCATCTCCTCGCGATCACATTCCATCGGCTCCTGATCTGGATCCGGTTCGGGCTCGGCTTCCTGGTCATCCTCCAGGTCTTCCGCCATGACCACATCCGCATCAGCAATCGGAGATGGTAGCGCTTCAGGAGGTATGGCCTTCTCCGATAGAGACAGTGTTCGGCTAGTCAAACGCGGCGGTTTCGGAGGAGGCTTCCAGTCGGCCATCAACGCTTTGGAATCGACCAACAATTTCGGCTTTTGGAATTCAGCATGCAGTAGACATTCCTGCACAATCTTGGTATTAACACACAACACATGATGCCCCTTCCAGTATTTGCATAAATTCAAACTCTGCAGCGTATCAATAATGTCATTTTCGTGGAACATTGTCACCTGCGACAATTCCTTAATACTGAGATTACTAGTGGCATCTTTGAGTACTTCTAAGAGCATCCACGACCAATAGCTCCGGTAACTCAACTTTCCGAGATCGGATAAAGGCTTCTCCGGCGAGCCGACGGCATTCTCCCGACGGGATAACTCATAGCTGAATCCAATGAGAAATTTCCCATAGCCTTTGCGCTGGTATGGCGGCAGTGTCATAATACAGGCCAAATTATTTCCCTCCAGGGAGTCCTTTTCTTTGGAAAAATAGCCCACCACATGGCATCCATCCTCGTCGTTTTCCGTCAAGATGTAGAACATGAACGATTCCACATCGAAGTACAGTGTTTTATGATCGAGAAACAGTTTCGCCAGCAAACACAGACACTGGCAATACACTTTGGCTTCTTTACCGTCCACTTCGTACACGGAAACATTGTCTTTTTTGTAGATCTGCCGTCCCGGAGGATGTTTCAGAGGACACACATGGTTTTGATAACTATGGTAATGTTTCATATATTTGATGCAAAATTCACAAATGTAAAGAATTTCCCGGCGACCGTACTCCTCCGGATACGGAGAGAAATACCAGGTATCAATATCGTAGCGACCAAAGATTATCCTGTCAATGTACTTCACTTTGGTGCGCTCTTCATGTAGACGCTCCAGGGTGGCCTGAGAAAACAAAAAGCAATTTAGCACAAAGTCAAGGGAATCAATTCCCGAGATGACGGATTGTACTTGGGGATCAAAGATACTCGTATGGGATAAACGATCAAGCAATCTCAGTAATGACGAAAAAATTCTCAAACGTCTATGCATGTCAGATTTCTATAATATCAAAACTTATGTTAAACTTATATCAAAGATAAAAATCTTCTCGAAATACACTTTCATTCAGCACTGAAAAGCCAACAATCTACAGCTACAAGTTTACAACGAACGATAATCACAACGAATTTCCCATCGGCATCACAACGTACAATTTCCCAATGGACACATAATCAATCATAATTATATTCACACAAAAAATATTTTTACTTAATTCATTCGATGATTCGAGAAGCAAAACATTAAACAAAACTTTTTCATTAAAGCTGTCACACTAAAAACTTGAAAAATTCGAAATAAAACCAAACGCCACCATGTAACTCTACACTTTCATATTTCGCTCTTCACTTCCGTTTTCCTGAGAAAATGTCAATATAAACCCAGTGTTATACAGATAGACATCTCTGGAACGTGTTTAAACTTTTATCGAAAAACAACATTACAAAATCTGCAGTTTTGTACGGCAGAAATATTACTAACCTGTGACGGCAAAAGGTCTGCTAAACTAGGCTGAATGTGGTTCATCTCATCGAATTTCCTCCTGGCGCTTCTCGTGACTTTTTGCGTACTTGAATCAGCCACCACACTGACCGGCGCTAAAGCTTTGTTTCCTTCATTTTTCAATATCGCTGGCGTCTGCGGAGCAGCAGCAGCTGCAGCAACAGGGGTTACCGGATCCTCGCGAAAGCGATCCAGACTAATCCATTCGTCTAAACGTCGATTTTGTCCCTCATAATGGACGAAATATTCCGTAACTTTGGTCCGGGAATTTTGCCGTACAGCCAGCACCTCACCAGTGGCGGTCGTCCCATCCTTCTGGAAAATACTGTAGACTTTATCGATCTGAGGCTGGAAGGATCGGTTACGCAGCTGAGGCCCATTGTATGACAGAGATCGTGTGAAGTGCTCGTCCACCGAGTAGGAGTTCTTGGATTCATGATGGGAGGCTGTGCCGTTAACGTACTCGTGGATCCCGTTTTGATAATTATGGTGGCCGTTCTCCACTGGAGCACCATAATATCTGGAGTCACTGTCTCCGTTGAGACTCTCCATGGAATACGCGAGAAAAAAGAAGGATTCGCTGAAATTAAACTTTCCGTGGATGCTGTACAAGCTAATCGAATGGAAGCGATGTTGATTTGAAAAACATCGTCAAAAAGGCCGTCTCCATCCAACTAGGGAATCAAAACGTTACTGTACTGAACTGTGGCTGAGGACAAATTCTGAAACTCCAGAAAACGAAAGAAAACGATAAAAGTAGAAGCTCAAAGTCAGAAATGAAAAGTAAAAACTGAAAACAGATTTCTCAAAGATTGTTTTCAGCAATCAGTAGAAATGAGCTGCCTGATGGTGAGCAATAAGTAATAATAAGTACGTGAGTCTGTGCTCTGATCCAATCCTGCTGGAGGGTTGGGATCTGAGTTATTCACCTAATTCGGTTCATTTTGTGCACTTAGCGTCTCGTGCTCTCTACAGCAATTACACCTCCACTCTCGTATGAAATCCATTGGAAATTGTGGCTGTGGAGTCTAAGTTTGTGATCAAACAAGCTAAAATCAAAGTTTTTTACTTAGGATCTCCAAATAAAAGTCATTGCCGAATGCCGACTACCTAATCAAATTTTTAAATTGTAATTGTAAATTCGCATTTTCAGATTAGTTCTTATCCAAATGTGAGGAACTCAACAGTGATCCACAAATCTGCATTCACTATTGCACTTAGTGCACTACATATTTTACCTTGACTGTGCTAGAATTTTTCACTGAAAAAAAATCCATACAAGGCTACCAAACGGACGATGCATCAGCTCAAGCCTCACAGTATTTATAAAGTTAGTCCACGCAATCAAATTTTATAACTGTGGGTTTTTTCCAAACCAATTAAACGGACATTGCAGATCACGCCTGCACAAATAAGAACGCCAGAAACTACAAAATGGGCTTGAAAACGAAAATATAACTTACAACCTCCAGTAAATTAAAACTTTTAACGATACTAACGTGTGCACTCGGGTTAAAACTTCGATTTTGACTAACATGATCACTAAGGTTTATATTCAGTTATTAACTAATGGGACATTGCGAGATAAACTTGTGAAAACTAAAATACTATATTTGCGTCGTAGCGGGAAAATGTCAAGAGCCGGACTGCCAATTTGCCTTTTATTATCTTGAGTCTTTGATTTCACATTTATCTGTTTTTCATAATCGGACTGAATTCAGCGTGAAAGAGAAGGCATTTCAAACGTTCGACGAATTTTTGTCTTGGAAAGCTGATTTTGAAGATGTCACCGCTAGTCAGTTCAATCACGCCAATGGAGAGAAAAAAACAGGAACCGAAAGTTCTTTCAGAATGTATTCTTGTTTTCGGAATTTTAAATGTGCCGGAGACGGGATTTTGAAAAAAGAACGAAAGCTCAAATGTACCGCTTTTATTAAGGTACGTTTTAGTCTTTTAGAGCATTGTTAGTAAATCATACATCAGGTAACAGAATAAATTTTCGAAACTAGTAACAAAGGTCATGTAGAGCATAGTGCAGAGTAGACCATATTTAGCAAGTGCTAACATTAGTGCACAGCTGCCGGTATTTATCAAGTGGTAACATTAGTGCACAGGTGCTTGTAAAGCGAAGTGTAAAACACTATGCTGTTATTGATTACAACTTAGTTTATGCCGACTGTAGATGGAGGTGTAATTTTGTGCACTTAGATGGACGCTAAGTGCACAAAATGAACCTCCAGCAGGATTGGATCAGAGCACAGACTCACGTCTTTATAAATACTGTGAGGCTTGAGCTGATGCATCGTCCGTTTGGTAGCCTTGTATGGATTTTTTTTCAGTGAAAAATTCTAGCACAGTCAAGGTAAAATATGTAGTGCACTAAGTGCAATAGTGAATGCAGATTTGTGGATCACTGTTGAGTTCCTCACATTTGGATAAGAACTAATCTGAAAATGCGAATTTACAATTACAATTTAAAAATTTGATTAGGTAGTCGGCATTCGGCAATGACTTTTATTTGGAGATCCTAAGTAAAAAACTTTGATTTTAGCTTGTTTGATCACAAACTTAGACTCCACAGCCACAATTTCCAATGGATTTCATACGAGAGTGGAGGTGTAATTGCTGTAGAGAGCACGAGACGCTAAGTGCACAAAATGAACCGAATTAGGTGAATAACTCAGATCCCAACCCTCCAGCAGGATTGGATCAGAGCACAGACTCACGTACTTATTATTACTTATTGCTCACCATCAGGCAGCTCATTTCTACTGATTGCTGAAAACAATCTTTGAGAAATCTGTTTTCAGTTTTTACTTTTACGTGAGTCTGTGCTCTGATCCGATCCTGCTGGGGGGTTGGGATGTGTGATATTCGTATAATTCAGTTCATTTTATGGACTTACGTATTGCTCGGTGGCAGCGTTTTGCGCATCCATCCACTCTCTAACTCTCCCGAAATCCACTGGAAGTTGGAATTCGGAACTGTAATAGCGCTTCTGAGCGTACGAAGCACACTGCAATAAAATCATAAAAAAACGAAAAATGCACATGCGGTACTTGATAACTGCATGGGTAAATAACGATGCCATGAGATTCAGTAATCAAATTTCCTACATTTTCTTACTGCAATCTCTGAAAGAGTTATCCTAGTCTTAAATAGTGAGACATGCTCGACTCTTTAGAAATTCAAAATCATTTTGCAATGTTATCCATTGGGCCAGCGGTATTTTTTGGTTAAATATTGTCGGCTTATCTTAAATATGTCGTCTACAGATCTGCGCTGTGCTCACTGTGTTGGCGATAAATCCTTTTCGACGAAGTCAAACTTAAACCGTCACGTAAAAAAGTACCATCCAGAATTTGCGGTTCCAACAATTGGTGGGTTAAAAATAAGACTGCGAGATAAACTTGTGAAAACTATGGATAACATTGCATACCGCTGGCCCAATGGATAACATTGCAAAATGATTTTGAATTTCTAAAGAGTCGAGCATGTCTCACTATTTAAGACTAGGATAACTCTTTCAGAGATTGCAGTAAGAAAATGTAGGAAATTTGATTACTGAATCTCATGGCATCGTTATTTACCCATGCAGTTATCAAGTACCGCATGTGCATTTTTCGTTTTTTTATGATTTTATTGCAGTGTGCTTCGTACGCTCAGAAGCGCTATTACAGTTCCGAATTCCAACTTCCAGTGGATTTCGGGAGAGTTAGAGAGTGGATGGATGCGCAAAACGCTGCCACCGAGCAATACGTAAGTCCATAAAATGAACTGAATTATACGAATATCACACATCCCAACCCCCCAGCAGGATCGGATCAGAGCACAGACTCACGTGTGAATCACATATGCATGACTCATCCGTATGTGTTCAGTATAAAGGGCGGTAACATATTCGACGTTGAAATGTAGAATAGTGGCCACTGGGCGAACAAAATCCGCTGCTTGTGCTATCATTCTGCGCGGTTATTTCCACAATTTAAAGTTTTTTTCTCGATTGTATTCTCATTTCCATTGTTAGTTCCCCCAAGATTTATTTCAAGGTCTACATTTTACTACCCCTATACGAGAAAATGCCGGTCAACCAGCACTACGAGTACTGAATTCGCCTGTCAAACGCTCTTGTCGATTTGGTTCTACCGTAGTCCGTAGATAACACAATTACAGCTTCTTATCGCACAGTCATTTTATTAATTTTCAGTCACAATTCGAACATTCGCAATAAATACAAAACATATCACAAATAAAAACCGACAAAACAGTCGCACACGTACAGTCTTTAAACTCGTTGAATATGAGCACAGGTCAATGGTACATGATCACAGGAATGCGAGAAATGACAATGACACATGATCCAGGGCGATGTGGAATGGACTGACAAAAGATCCAGGGCGATGAGGAATGGACACCGTAAAAATGCTGCAACCGGGGTCAACAAACTGGAGGAAAATCAGGCGATCACTTCTTCCATCCGCCTCCCCAACCCCATCCGGATCCACCCCATCCGCCCCAGCCATCACTGCCAAAGAAGCCCGAAAAACGTGTTAACGAAATACGTATATTTCCATATTTCGAGTTGAGCGTAAATACTCACCCGCCCCATCCTCCCCAACCAGGTCCGCCCCAACTGCAATACCAACCAGGAAGTTAGAAATGCAGAATTTTAATTTTTAAGAATAAAATCAAAGGTCAATATTACGATTAAGAGCTGATTTTGCTGATAATCTGAATTAATATTCTCATTTGAAAACATTAGTGGCTTAATTTTCAAGGAAAAAAATGCATAAAATCAGCGTGACCTGACAAAGCGTTCATACAGATAAATAAATGTTCAAATACGTTTTGTACCATTGAGATCTGAACCGACGAGAGTTTCCCTAACTTTAATTATTTCAAAGGTCAACCGAAAACTTATACCTAACGTTTTCGCTTACCCTCCCCATCCGCCCCATCCACCTCCCCATCCGCCGCCCCATCCACCCCATCCTCCGCCCCATCCACCGTTACCCCATCCACCGCCAAATCCACATTCCGCAAATGACAAGAATCCGAGCAGTAGTATGAGGAAGAACCAGAGGGTGGTTGTTGTCTGCAGCAAAATACGGTAAATTAGCACCCGCACCAGGGATATCAAGACAAGTAGATGACACTCGCGAAGCCGAAGGTCAGACGTACTCTCATGGTGATGATGCCCTTTATGGCGGGGAAAACTAAAAACTTCTAGCTGAAGCAATAAAGGGCAAAACTAAATTAAAGTGGCGTGAAACACGATAAAGTCGCGACAACTAGCCAGCAAAACGCAGACTGAGGACTGCAGATTTTCTGATCACTGGTTTATAAATCCAGACGGCCCATAGCCGCATAATCCGGTAGAAGAAATCTGTGATGTGGATGCGATGATTGCGAACGGTGTATGTACGTACGTACACTTGCACAGTGACCATCGTTAACTGGCTTTTAAAATATTGTAGCTAGCTTGTAAGTACTACCGGAGGATTTTTCCAGGTGCAACATTAACAATAGAGCAGTTCAGATCGTACGGTTGTCTCAGCTTGGTACTAAAAAACCGCAACTTTCATTGGGCTCCAGGTGGAGCAGGGGACGTGCGTGTGGCATTGAGCAGGTATTAAAGATAAAAAGGTACAAGTATGTACGTAACTCCTCCTCCGCAGTTCAACTGCACTTCAAGGTCAGTGGTCAGACGATTTAATGCCGTACTCAAACAGTTTAAAGTTTTTTATGCTGTAAATTTTAATTTCGACGAGCAATACTTTAAATATTATAAGTACCTAAATCCACACAGTAAAAATTCAAAAATCCGGAAAAACAAAATGTACAAATTGATTCGGATTACAGAAAAAGTTAGGTCAGCAAGAGCGCCGCAGATCTGCCAATCGTAATCAGTCCTTGCATCAAATACACCTCCAGACGCCGGGAAAAAGAATCACAAAATGAGATCATTGACTTCCAAATCTTCGTTAGGTAAGCTGCCAATTCGGAGTGCTGACCCCACACCATTCAGTGCATTCACACAGCGCCATCAGATAAGTTGTTCATCTTTGGATACAGGGAGTGATCTTCCTGGAAAGATCCCAGTGAATCCTGAGTGGCGGCATTTTTTAGGGGCATTCCGGACTGCGAGTATTTCTTTCTGGCTTCCGACTCGCAAAATGCTTCTTTGGCAAGGAAGTTTTGTCTGAGAATTTTGGCATGCAGCCAGGAAGGCAGATCAGGTACCATGTAGGCGATTATCCTGGTAATGATGAGGATAAAATGCTGCAACAAGGAAAACAAGAGCCATACAATAAGCGTAAAACAGAGAAAACTATCAAAATCTCACTTGAGAATTATTAGAATTTACCTCTTTACATCATATATAATATAACATTTCGTTGATTGTTTTACAGGTGTATTGATGGCTCAAAGTCGGTTTCTTTTAAAACAAACTACATTTATTGTATACAAGTATATGTAACACTAGGCACCGAACTGCTGGCATCCATAGTTACGCAGGAATAACCGAATAAGCAACAAGTTGTCATGTCTGGGTGCAGAAATAACTCTCAAAATCAAAAATATTTGTATTAGTAATTCGTGGGCGTTTGAGGAATTTTTGCGAATATTTTACGCAGTTTCACCCACCTCCAGTACTAAAACCAGCACCAGTCTGGCGGCAAAAATATGCCAGAATGTCATGTTATAAAAATATCTATAATCCCCCTCCTGTGGTCCATTGCGAAAATCCCGATAGTTACAAAATGATGTTGAATTGGCAGGAGAAATGTCCGGCTGCGGTCCCACATCCGGCGGAAAATCCGCCACGGAAAACACAGACAAACTCCATGGCACATAACCGCGCATTGTCCCATCCGGTGAATAGGCCAGCTTGTAGGCAACTTTTGGCACGAATTCGGAAGTGAAGGCAATTACAAAGGCCTGTCAATATAGTTACTTAAATCAATTCCTTAAGTTATCGTGTGCCACAAGGACACTGAAAATATTTATGCACGTTTATAAGTATTGAGACATAGTAACTTACATTGGTAACAACGGAGAACTGAGCAAGATGCTGCAAGATTTTCAGCCACGCGCCTGCAAGGAAAAATACATTAAAAAACTCTAGTACCAACATTTTGCATTCACCGTCAAGTAAATTACGACGTGTAATAAACAACATAGAATACAACGAGCAGAATGAATTTATTTGTACGCTTAAAGCTGCACATAATTTCTGCATAACGAAAAATTGTAACGCACCGATATTTTTGGCGATTTGTGGAACTGGACGGCGATACAGAACCAGAATTTTGTAGGCATCAAAACGTATTTCAAAGAGGTTCATAAGTAGAACGCAGAGCGGTGCCAGTGGAAACGCCACACCAAATGTTGTCATGAATCCAAACTGCAGAACTGTAAAAAATATGTCCAAGTGACGAAAGGGGCAATTCATCTGGACTTGTTATTTCAATGGGCTTGTTATCTCAATATTGTCTTACTCATCCTAGTGTACTCTTTGAACATAATCAGAGCCGGGAAAGGTCGCAACTGAAAATCTTTTTCCCAGCGATAAAACCGTCGAACATGAGAGAAAAACTTGATGATGTCCTGATTAGACCACCAATTGTGGATGACGGGAAAGGCTGCTTCGCGTAGAATGGAGTATACTTGTTTACCCAACAGGATCACGGCTAACTGGATGCATAATTCAATCAGACATCCTGCTTGATCACACTACAAAAACGATAAATATGATAAGTACACAGGTACACTTACACAATAGTTATTTGTTACATCATAAATTAATGCATTTTAACGGTGTGCATTTCAAATCAGTGAATGTCCATAAGGTAGAAACTTATATTTTTATTTAATACTGCTAAAGTAACTGTAAGCAGATGTTTATAAATCTGAAAAAATACAGCAGTTAGAGACTGACAGTTATTAGGAATAAACTATTGGATATAGATATAATGGACAATCTGATACGTGCTCGAACTTTCAGCAACAATTAAACTTACTTGATCGACGGGAATGTTGAACCATCCTTTAGAACCCGGCGTTCCAGCAGGAACGCTAAGATATATACAATATTAGAATCAAAATGTTGTACACGTCCGATGCTACCTGTAAATTAAAGAATCAGTGCTTACCGGCCTTTGAAAAACGCCACATAAACCAGAGAACTGTAACAATTGACAAATTCAAATATGTAATATTTCCACGTGAGACTCTCTTCGTATTCGGTTTGCGTTCTTGGACACTCTAAAACACAAGGAAATCGTCATGCAAATCATTTCCAAAACAGGTCAAAATAATAATACCATTAATCTAAGGCGGGTTGTTCTTACCATTTTCGGTCAACCACTTGGCCAAACGATAATAAATCTAAAATAAACTATTTCTTATCCAAATTGTAATGACAGTGCTTAGTTATTTTCCTCACCTTTTCCAGAATAAGAATAACAATAAGGTTGAGAAGTGCCGACGTGATGGAGGTTATATACGTGGCGTACTGGCTTGCAAAGGTCTGCCGTGTGCTGCTGGTGGCGTAAAGGGCGACGACCACCAGCATTCGGTACACTACTGTACCAAAAACCGCGGCCAACACAACAAACATCTGCAACACAACTGCACATCAATTCCACATCATTCATTGCACATTATACTGTCAAAAATTAGGCATAATTGTTTTGCAATCAGGAATTTGACGCATCATGTACCATAAAGGAGATGACCGATGTGGATACGAAACAATTGCCCAGTCGCTTCCAGCGTGGCACATACGGTTCTTCCGTATTCGTTACCGGGTTCAGCCGTACTTGTTTGACCCGCATTCCCAGTTCCGGTCGAACCGGCTCCTAATGATTAAGTGGGCCTTTTTAATTCCAGGAAAATATGAAGAGTTATCCACGCGAAAGCAGTAATTAGTCAGTTAAATTTTATAACACACGCAATGTGCACGCTTTTGCGACTGTATTAAGCTGTAACTGCAGTCGTTTTTAAAACAGCTGACGGGCTTACGTATTGTTCAAAGGCATCCAATGTATCAAAATTCCACGCCAAAACAGACTGACGTCGTTGCCATAATTCCAGAAACACCATCGCCCATAGCGCCATAAACGCCGAAAAAAACATGGTGGCCGAATTGTCGAATAAATATGTAGCCTGAAAAGTGCGCCTGATTATGTAAAATCAGATAAATATAACAAATATATATCCACATTATGTACGATTAGTGTTATGTATCAAAACGCAAAACGATGTGTTTGCAGTTAATTGTTTTCTGACAAGCAGTCGACCATCTTCAACGCTACCGTACTTTAGCCAGCGCGCACGATTCCTTGAGTTTCCAGAAAGGACACCATCTGAATTCAAACATTTTGAATTTCTGATACAAATTAAAAAATCTGTTAACTTGTTTCCGAATAGCTTACTTGTCACACAGTGGACACATTGTCGTATTGCCAATGAAAGGGTCATAACAAATAGAGTTCCTGAAAAAAAAATTCATGGAAATACTTCACTGACCACGCATGACACGACACATTCTTACGAGACGGGATCATTTGACAGAGATGCCACTCCGTAGATGAAACATGCCAATCCCACAATAGACGGAGGTATGAGCATGGCGGTGTAGAATTCCATCCAAGCAAAAAAGAATGCCAGCCTCTGTAGCAAAACATGCATTCAGTGCGCGGGCATCCATGAAAAATTCTTTGTGCAGATCTACCTCGCCGAAATACACTTTTACATAATCAATAGGCTGGATTTTAAACCAATTAGTGAAGCGTCCCCACTGATCATACAGAATCTACGACAAAGTATAGAAATTTGACTTAATACGTATGATTTTGTAACAACCGCACGGTGTATTTGTACCGCTCGCATATTCGTGGGTTTTTGTTTTGGCGTCCGTTCCCATGGTCCATCATGTAGTGGGAAAGCGGCGATAAATGTGTTGTTGGCCAAGAGACGCTGAATTCCTGCAAAGAAGTTCTACCTGACACATGGGAGTTAAATACTTTTATAAATAAATAGCATTGAGGTGACTAGAATTAAAAAGCAGAAATAAATATAAAAAATGAGGTAAATTTCCATATTGTTAGGTGTTAAATACTTTTATAAATAAATCGCATTGAGGTGACTAGAATTAAAAAGCAGAAATAAATATAAAAAATGAGGTAAATTTCCATATTGTTAGGAAGCTTTATATTTTTTTCTTACCAAATTTTGTGGGGTTGCCTTCATCGTAGCGTATTCTTGACAAACATTCCCAGACAATCCGGCTTCGTTGACCGGCTGAGAAAAAGCTGTCTTCGTCGCTGATGTTGAATCTGTAATTTTAATAAAAAAAATGGCTCACACAGTTTCCCAAAGAATATAACATAATGGTGTTTCTTACTGGTCCATCCTGGCTTTGGAGAAGAACGATGTAAACTGTTCCTGCATGGGCGGAAGAAGCTCGCGGTCAACTCGAAACGGATTAGGAAAATAATGTAGCAGCTCATCGTCTTGCAGGTTCTCGTTTCCTTTCTGGAAAAAAATTACGTTCTGTAAATTTACATAATTATAGTAAAGGAAGCCAGTTTGTTACACGTACAATAAGAGGCATTTTTAATTTTAAAAAATCTGCATATTTCGTCATCATGTCCCATGTTCCGTGGATTTTAATAAAACACAGCGTTGGAGGCACATCCAGCTTCGGCTCGGCGGCTGGTCCAGCTCGCAGTCGGTCAATGTGCAGTTTGCTGTTTATGGTGTCCAGTCCGGGTATAAGATGGCCGGGTAACTAACGCATTAACAGGTTATTAGGGAAACATTAACCACAAGTACAGCAGCTTCCTTGCAAATTCACATATGAATAAATTACGCTCGGGAATACGTATCGTTATTCGTTTAGCCGTTTTAGCGATTAAACTAAAAAAAACAAATACAAACATCTGTATTCCACAATTATACGAGCGCAACTTATACGTAGTCTGAATAAAAACGGTAAATTTTCGACGATTACTAAGAAAAATAATTACGACAGACAAACATGCATGTCAAAATCGAAACAAAAAAGCCGGTGGAATTTCGGAGTATTGCGTTTAGAAATTTTTTTACAGGTTTAGTATCAATTTCCAATTCCAGTCCTTCTTTCTTCATGTGCTCCTCAAAATTGGTCCGACGCAAAGCGCGACGGCTGTCGATCGATCGCGATCCAGTTTGGTATACCAGCACAAAATCTACTCGCCGTTTTCCATCCGTGAAAAACAAGGTGTCAGCATCTTTTGGCGTTTCATCAACCTAAGGTAATGAATATTTACAGCGATCTCATTAATTTTATCAAGTGATGAATTCTGGAACCATGGATTCGCCAGATAAAGTTAAATTTGTGTAATCCACGGAGGAACATAACAGAAGAAAAACAGCAATTTCCCCAAAATATTTGGAATTACAGTATTTGTGTCATTACACTTTTACCTTTAAGGCCACATTCCCGGGGGTAACTGTCGCAGAATTTTTTGGAGACATTTCAATACCGTTTTCCATCAGTACAGATTATACAACAATGAAAATCAACGCAGCTATTCACCGCTGAAGACTTCTGCTAAGATCCATCGTGAACGTAAAATCCACTTTCATAATATTACTGATGTGCTTATTTGTGAACTTTGTCGCTGTCGATGTCTGACGCGGAATTGTAGAAACGAAAACCGTTCAGTTTTGCATCGTAACAAAAGACCGATAAACCGGTTACAACAAACCAAAATATGTGAGTAACATGATGACTGCGTAGAGTGCGCAACGACTCACCAAGACATGTTCTACCGGTGCATTCATAACGGCCTATAGTATTTTGTGGGATGGGATTGTATATCGCGGTGTGAAACTTGAATCACTTCGCCGCTATGTGGGTGGGACTAAATGCTCGTAAAGTTCCATAACCTACACGGATACATAAAGCAAACTTATCTGTCCAAAGGCCCCTTGCAAAAACTAAACCGAAACACCTCCGTAGACTTGTTAGTTTGTTAACTCAAATGAACCGCGACGGTAGACAGGCAGGAGCGATTCAATGGTGAGTCTGCGAAATTGCGAATCTGGAGCACGAGTTGAAAAGTGCGGCAGTCAGGTACGGTATGATTGCAATTATGCCGTGTAATGCGGATCCTGTGGCGTATACAGATCGATCGAGGACGATTTACCTGGTAGCTGTTTTATGCGGTTTGAAATACGGTACGCATGCATAGCACTGCGTGGTATATGTACGGATCGGAATATTTAAAAATAAATACGGTCTTCAATATTAACGTGCCGGTACAAGTTTAATAACTGCCTGCATGTGCAAGTACTGTTCCCTGTTAAAAAATAATTGTTTTCGTAATGTAAAACATACAATGATGTATCCTTCTGCATTATGGGTTAACTCAAAAATTAATGTGGGTCAGCTTTTAGAGACAATGCTTGTGAAATTACTACACAGAAAATTTGCAATTAGAAATGTGTTTTTTCTAGGCGAGAATATTTCCGCTTTCGGCATTAATTGTGGCAAACGTATTTTTCAGATGTCTGCATTTAGCTGGTAGCCGAAAGAAAACATAGAATTACTGCATGTATTGCATGCCTTTTGTTTGGTTGCTTTATTAAAGGTGACAGCTAGCTCCTTAGTATTCCATAACTGCACTTATGTGGCTACTGTGCCTAAAATTATTTTTGTTCCAAAACATATAAAGCAGCATAAGAAACCTATGTGCACATCAGAAAAAATCAAATAATTTAAAAATCATGTAACAGTAGTAAAATAAGCAAAATCCAGTTGATGCTGCGCTAAGGTGGCAGGACAGAAACTTGGAAATTCCACCGCTCACATCTGTACAGTTCTTGTCTATCGGTAGCTTCCGCATGTAGTGTGACGAGACTAGTTTAAAGACAGGCGGTACTTCGTCACAGTAAAGGGCATGATGATATGCGTGACGTAGCCGTTACATGTGATGAACACGATCGTCCGGTTGGGTCCCTTATCGCCTCGGAATGCATCCGAATCGGACACCCACCACAGAATTCCATGGAAGCGCAGTTCACACACAGTCTTCGATGTACGGCACTCAATACTGGCGTTTCCATAGCGCCCCAGATCAGATTCAAGCCCGATGCCGGTTCAGCCGACGTCTCGACCGCTAAAAGCCCGTGCACGGGATGATAGTAGGTTCCAGCATAATTTTTAACATCGACTTTCACCACAGGAGTCTTATTGGTATGTGAAACACCTACAGGTGATAAGCTGTGGTTGATGCACTTTTCAGGAATACTTGGAGGAAGTCCCATTAAATGATCGAAGATATTATAATGCACCCGCCAAAGGAGATTGCGGGTAGTGGTTGTATAAGGACCAGCCGAGCTCGTAAATATACTGATGTTCTGATCGGGAAAAACCGAGAGCAACGATAGATAATTGTAAAATCCTCCACTGTGATCCAATGAGCGATAACCTATTAAAACACGACAGGCACTTAGCACTTACACTGACGCCGTGGACAACTTCCTTAATTTTTTCAACCTCTGCACGTGTAAAATATTATTTTACTTAACTTGGGAGTACGAGCTAAAAGCAGTAGCGTATTAAGTAATCAACAGCGACCTCTGTGTTTAGATGCAATCCATCCTAACCCGTAGCCGGCATGTTCTCTGCGTTCTCTGATGTACTCGTTCATGGTGAATGATCGACTCCCGCTGACACGAAACGCCTTTAAACCTTTGTGACTAGGGAAGCATACTCTGGGTTCCCAGGTTTCTGTGATGGAGGACGGCGATACAATCGGCATTCGTTTATACAGTGAATAATTTGCGAAGGGCTTCGGAGGCAAGTAGGCACTAGAGTAACCTCTTTCGATAAGGAAATCCATCCAAATTTTCATTGCTTTTGGAGACATGCACAAAGAGCTAAACAATAAAAACAACAACAAAAGGATAAGCGTGAAAAATGTACTGCACTTATTGTTCTATAGTAGTAGTGAATCAAACCGCCGAAAAAGAAGATCACGAAAAGGCGGCAGTTATAATACTACTAAGTAAGTACTGATATATTATCGTGTGTGTCTATACGTACAAGTTTACATGCACTGCTGTAATACACATGCCGGTAGTAAATTCATTTTGATTACAGATGCATACCACACACGGTTAACTTTGTTAAATTGGTGGGGTTTGCAAAACAAAAATTCACCAAGCCTATTACAGAATACAGATACTTGGCATTTCAACATAGGAAGTTTTTTATGATGTATAGAAGTACACTTTTGCCGGCAGTCATAAAACCCACCCCGCTGGTCCGGCTGGCTCGATTAGTGTAAGCACGTTGTCATCCAATCTGTGGTACTCTCCATTTTTCGTGAGATAGGGAGTCGCCAATTTTTCCCCAGATGAAAAATTATTCCCGGCAAATTTCACCAAGGAATTAATGCGCAACGGATCAAACAAAAACTTTTGTACCAATTCCTCCCACGAAACCGGTCTGTTCAACAAAACTTCTCCTAGTATCTCCGCAACGTGTCCTACATGTAAAAAATACAGTAGTTGATTCCTATCACTCTAAATTTCGCAAAACAAAGGTTACATGACTGTGAATAGACAGATGCTGCTTTATGTTACCTGCTACAGTGAAAACATGATTGTTATAGATGTATTTCGCTCTGTTATCTGCCAGGCGAGGAAGTTTTGCAGCAATAACCGTCAAATTCTGCCTGCTGACATTCTTATGATATCCAACCCAAAACTGTCCGAAGACTTCTAAAAAAAACAACGCGCAGAGGCCTTGCTTGTTTATCTGTTTATAGTGAAAATCGTACAACACATCGATAGGTCTGCGTATGAGAAAATACAGACTGATTGGTATACAGTTGTTTTAAGATAATATTATTAAAGATCAAATTCTAAAACACACAGCGAAATATCAAAAATTCGTTACAAATAATGGTAAATCGCGCTAACCATAAGTGGTGATATACTTACGTTAATGAACAATATAATCGATTAATACAGCTTCAAAACTTTATCACTACAATCGATGCCCTCACCACACGGCAATTCCACATAGGCACATACGGTATCTATTTAATTTTAATTAATAAAACACCCGCAAACGAATCGCCTAATCAACAAAATACCTGCTATCCCAGTACGGTGTGACATGATATCCTCTAACGTTGTATTGACAAATTGTGAGCCAGAGAAATTTAGCGCCGGGTCAATTTCCGTGATGGGAGACTGTAGCGAATACCTTATCACAAAATGTAAATCTTTAGAATACCGGCCGTAAACACAGCAACGTCGTTTGTAATAATTTTTAAGCTTTTAATCAGCCACTCGACGAAAAGAATGACAGTACAGATGCTTTGCATCTTTTAGTGTTACTAAAATTAAATAGTTTAATAAATAGCGAAGCTATCCTTTACATTTATTACGAGATGCATGAGGAAAACAAGCTAAACAAATCCGTGTTTGCAAGCTGCAGAAGTGCAGACAATCTTCCTAAATCTACATACTTACCATTAGTAGCTATATTTTTACAGTACCGAACGCTGTGTAAAACTTTTAAACATGGACGCTTAATAATAAGTCTTAATTATTTTTTATCAGCATCAGGTTTTGTTTGCTAATCCTGCTTTTTCAAGTTGTCGCATGCCGAAAATGATATGCAAGTATGGTTACTTACTGGCGGTAACCTTTCTTTTGCATAAGTTCAAGCAAATGCAGGATCAGCGTTGTAGTAAAATGTTTGGTTAGCGATCCAATACAGAACATTGTATCTTCATCAGCCAGAGTCTTCTCTTCTATATTCTTGAAACCAAAGGCTTTTGTGTATGATAAATTTTGGGCAATCCCTCGTCCATTGTTGTTCCTGGATACAACCACCACTCCCAGTCCCGCCTTATGCTGACAGTTCGAAATTTCCGCCTCCACAATAGCATCGACATCCTTTTTGGAATGTATTACACACTTTGTACAATGCCAGACCATTACCAATGTAAGCAAACTGTATAAAATTCGTATAAATAAAAACATGTTTTATACGAGTAGAGGTGTGCGTGCCGCACAGGAATGAATATGGATACATAAAACATTAACAACACCTAATAATACATTACACTGAAATTTTAACAAGTGGACGCTAAAATGCGGCAATTAAGCAATGTCATTACTGCCGCGCAGCGGTGTATGTATGGTATCATGTGTGATAACGTGCAAGCAAATTTTGGAAGACAGCACCAAGACAGCCGCCACCCAAAAAGTTATTTCAAGAAACAAGTGGGAAATATTTATAATCGTCTTGTAGAAAGATTTACGGAAGTTTACTTTGACCGGACAGTACCAGCAAAGAGACGGCAGGACTACGTTGGGTTTGTTCGGCTGGGGTGTTTATTATGGCTTTCATATGGTTTTACTTAAGATCGTCTTGCATAATATACAGCAGGCAAAATAAATCGCTATGATTGCAACCTTTGACAACATGTCGATAGATGTGCAGTAGCAGCCAGGCCGATGAGAGAACATGTGTTATTCCCATCAACACGTAACAAGTCGCCCGATGGTTGCCACTTTATTAATAAAATTGTGCAGTTTGATCGTGAGAGAACGCATTGTTCTACAGCGAGGAACAGAAAATTGTATGGTATGCTGTTTTATTATCAAATAGTAGTGTTATTATCCGGCAAACGACACCATTGGTATCCAGTACTGCACTTCTACCGTACCTCACATTCTTTGCGCTTTGATCTGATTATACACAAAATTTTTAAATGATAACTTCTATAAAGTATGAAAAAAAAACATGATTTTTTAAGCAGGCAAAAGTTGATTCGCATAATTTTGCAGTATCATAAATACTAACAAATGTTTAGGTCATTACGGTGCTCCACAAAATTGCAGGCAAAATACAACAAACAAGAGTGTGCCAGTTGCGGGTCACGCAATGCTGCGTTAATTATCAGAATATTAAATCGGGGTTTACTGCGTGAATATTATAGAATCATAATCTCATTATGCTTTCTCTTTGTCTCCAGACACATAATTATTTGATGCAGTGGTGGTCGTAGTTTCTTGATGTGTTCCCGCTTCCTGTAAATCAGTATGCAACTTACACTGGTTCACTATCTTTTGGCTGTTTGACACAACTCATGCTAACAAGTTAGCGCAGTAAATAGCTAAGTATTTGTACACGTATGCATCTTACGAAAATATCTACCGAGTAGATGCAATAGAAAATTTGTTGTTTATAAATATTTTTGTTGTTGGCAGCGCTGTAGTTCAGAGTATGTGTAGAGCGACACAAGCAAGATTACTGTCGCTGTCAGGTTTGTCAAACTTGTACCCTGAATATACTTGGGCTGTATGTCACTGTGAGTCTGTGATCCTGCGGTACGTATTACATTTTGCTAGCATTTCTTACGGTATTATAATTTTTTCCGCTATCCTTGTAGCTGTCAACATTGGTCTCGGTGCGCGTGGCGTTCTGTGAAGTGGGATTTGGCACATTCTCAGTGCGAGCATGTTGATCCGCACTGCGACTTCCGGCAACCTTGCTGGCGTCATCAACTACCCGGGCATGTTCAGCTGAACGTGCGTGAGCATCTACAGCATGTTTCTCCTAATGATGAACAAAAAAATCCTGTTTACACATAAAAAAGTTTATTCGAAGCCATAAGCACAATAATGTACTGCTACATCATAAAAGTTTATTTATTATTGAAGTTCCTATTAAACATATGGTACGATCGCGAGAAGGCGTTGTTACAACACAGGCATATGGTTTTGCGATGGTAAATCGCTGATCGCCAAAGAACTGACGGCGGGTTCTCTTACATTGTAAGTCGGTTGACCTTCGCGGTAATTGGCGCGTACATCCGAGTAGGCCTCCCGCCCACCGGGTGATGTTGCCCGACCCTCGCTTCGATGCTCCAGATTAGTGGCCGGCAGCGTTCGTGTTTCTACCTCGGTATGACCTTTAGCCGCTTCCGCTGTTCGATCATAACCCTGTAGTGAACAACTCGTTTTTACTAATTCTCTTTGTTTCAGGTTGTGGTTGAGGCGTACGGTCTTATCCCGTGCGTCCGCTTCGATGCGGTGCTGATTGCTATCGGTACGGACATTCGCAATGTTTGGCCGTTCCACATGGCGTTCGTCCCGTTCGGTGTGCGTTCGGCCCTGAAATATGAAACTGTCCAATGCATACAAGTGCTATAAACTATTATTTATTTAGAAATAGATTTTCTGACTAACATAATCGGTCCTGGCATGCGTATGTTGAGCATCGGCGTTTTTATTGTATGCCGGTTCCCGCGCCCGGTCTTTGTTGGACAAATCGGCTGGTTGACCCGAAATATTGTCACGATGATAGGATGCGGGAGCGTTACGATCCGCCAGACGATCGGCAGATGGAACACGCTGAGCGTTCTAACAATCATAATGCCCTTGAAATTTTTATGATAATTTTGAATAATATATTGTAACTAGTAACTCTGACTTTACTATGTAGGCCACTGCTAGAATTACGCGACTATTAAGAATACACCGGTGAGTATACCGTGTGATGCTCCGCGGTCACCGTCTCGTTGCGAACTGGACTAGTGGCGTAATCTTTGGTTCGCGTTTGCTCGGCCCGAGCGGCATCAGTCACATTAGCAGCTCGGTTGGACGTCAGATTCGTAGTGGTATTCAGTCCGGCTGGTGTCACCGGGCTTCGCACTTCCCGGTCATTGTGACGATCAATGTCTGTACGCAGTGTGGTTCCCTAAAAGAAACACTTATACAATATTCATTTTTATAATACAATTTGGCGCTATTGTTGACAAGTACTGCTTTGAGAAAATCTTATAGCCATCACAACAACAAAATGCAAGCGCGGGCACACTACTTCACATGTACAGTTAAAATTTAAACATTAAAAAAACAACCAAAATCTCTGTCTCCCCGGGGGTTAAAAGGCAAAGTGTTTGAGAAAATTAATTATCTGTGAAATTATCGTTACATTACTGCAGTTAAGTGCACTGACCTTTACATCCCGGTTGGTATCATACTCACGCTGTTCTCGCCCCATATTTGCCGCCGTCTTGGCGGTATCCGCATTATTACGATGACCATCCTCGGGACGAAAACCGCTCCCGTCAGCACCGGTATAATGCGTTTCATTGGCCACCCGCCGCAGGATACTGCTGTTGGTCTCCGGTGGTTGTCCGTAGTCATGCCGGGCTGCAGTGGCCGCCGCCGCGGCGTGTGCCGTATCCGGGGTATTGGTTGTGCGCGCCGCATCCGTGGTGTTGCTGATAATCAAGTCGTTATCATATTTCGGTGTGGCAGTGTCCTGCGGATTGGTACGCGGTGACTGGTTGTGCAGCCGGTAGTCATCCGTCAAATTTGCGGGTTTGGTTGCCGCAGCCGACTGGTCCCGGTTGCGGGTCGTATCGCTGGATGTATTGGAGCGATGAGCGGCGTCCTGTCGCTTACGTTCCTCTTCGGCATCATACTTCGGTACCTATAACAAATTAAATTAAAATATGCACAGCACCACTGGAAAACAGCATTACTTGTAAATAAGCGGGATTGGTGAAGAAGAGGCGAGCAATGCCCGTTGTACACTGTTATAGGTACTCGCCAGTTAGAGGTGCATGTGCACACGTACACTTTGCAGAAATGTTCTTGGTCACTCAAAATGTTGAAAAAAGTTTGGTTTTTAAAGGAGTAACTAATTTTTCTACAGCGTAATCCAGGTAACACTCAGCAGGTCAATTAGACTAATCATACAGCATTTATACCCGTACATTGACACTGTGGTCACGATCGTAGGTTTCTGCATTCTTATAGCCGGCCACGTATCCATCGTTGCGCACTTGTTCCAGATCAGGTAAATTGTGCCGGCCATCCACCGCTTTCCCGTCCGCACTAAAGCGCTGCGTGCCGGTGTAACCGGCCGGATCCGTCAACCGATCCACCACATCCGATTTCACCGGCTCCTGCAATTTTCCGAGTTCCGACATTTATAATTGTAAATTTGTAGCAATTACACAGAAGTACTTCTACTCATATTCGCCACAGATGCGGAAACAAATTGCGTATCGGTATTGTTAGAGAGAACGAATACTCAGGAGTTGAGAATATTTGGTTTAACCACAACTCCAGAACTTTCAAAAACATTGTTCAAATCTTTCAATACCGTACCGTGACACTGTTTTTGCTGGGCGTGCGACGCTGGTGCAACTTGGCAACCATGTCTTTGAAGGCTGCGTCGGGATTCGATGGGTTAGCGCTGTGTGCCAGGTCGGAAATGAAGTCCTTAAACTTATCGAATGGCATCGTTCTTTGTTCGTTACTAAAAGAGCGATAAAAATTAACTCACCGCATATTAAAATTACTGTTGCGCATTACAAGAAATTAACTAAATATATATTATTTTAAAACGCTTTGTTAATCAAACGCTATCGCGAACACTTGACCACGAAGTCTTCTCACTTACTGACTGTTATGAAATTTGCGACAGGTATTACGTGGTTTAGTAATGACCAAACGTATAAATTGTGAGTCCTTTCGCAACCCGGGAAAGCAATATATATAAATTTTTGTGGTTATCAGTTAGAAATTGATTTTATGGTGTGCGCAATAGTGAGCAATAGATTAAAGGTGGTATCAAAAATATAATGTGAATTTATATATATCGAATATAATAATATGGGTACCTGAGTATGCGTTTAAACGCAATCCCCGTATCGGTAGCCGACAGTCGATCACCCAAAACCCCGGCTTCCGACAGCCATTTATCCAGATTCTTCAATGTAATATTGTCACCATGGAAGGCGTCATCCCCGAAGCGGCCGTATTTTTCGTATTCGGACCTGATTTCGTTGACAACATTGCTATCGATACTTCCCCAGTTAATAGCCATCTTTTTCACAAAAAGATTGATATCACGAATCGTCAAAAAAATTCACAGGTTAGGTAAGAATGGACGCAAAACCAGAATACCAATCACCACACTCAAATAATGCACGATGTCCCACTGACGACTATGAACGCGAGCCTTGCATTTGCGTTGCTTAGGCACATCGGTCAGATAAACAACAAAATCAATAATGATATAATTACGTACCGCATTATTTAGCATGAATACAACAGGTAGGGAGTAACCTTTAATGCCAAATCATGGAAATTTCCATTACAAACCCACTGCTGTTATTGCAGCACAAGAAAAAGATGATAACAACAACGACATCTACAGAGTACTGTACAACGCACTTAAAAAGGGCAGTTGCGTACAAACAAATCACGCTCCGTGTTCTAAAGGTGTACAAGCTCACAAATATCTGCAGCAAACTGCTCCCTTTCCCAATGCATAAAATTTTTAAAAAAAATGCTATCAATAATCACAATCATTTCGCCCACAAAACAATTGCTCGGGTATGAAAAAAATGAGATCGGAACATGAGTTGATAACACAGCGTAATTGTTGGCGATTTTAAAGTGCGCACTTCTGTAAATTCTCCTCCCAACGGCATTCTAAAGCGCCAATTTTTTTACACAATTTAGCTTTGATTTTTCCTGTAAGATTTCAGCCGGATTAACACTGCTGTCAGTTGCCTGTTCTGCCACCTGCAGGGACTTGGCCGCTTGTCGTTTGGCCAGTTGGGTTTGGAAAAAGGTCGCCTTCTTGATCTCCGTCTGCACTTTATTTAACCTACAAATCACAACCTTTGCAAATTAAACACATTACTGCACCAACAATATAAAATCGAACGGTTTACAATCCAAGCTGTACGAGCTGCTGCTGTCGTACGCTGTTTTGCAGATTCAGAAATAAACTGTAGCAAATTGCAATAAATTTGGGCATTTAAACGCTTTAATTATAATAGTCCGAACTGCTGTTTTGCTTCTGATAACACCGATTTAAAACCGAACACTAACTTACACCGCAGTTTTTTCAGCAGTGTTCGATTTAGTTGGGATCTGTGGTGGCGGTGTCGGGAGCAGAGGTTGTTTTTCTGAAACAACAAAGTTCAATAACAACACCCATTTTAATTAATACTGTGTCCGTAAGATCAATAAGATAAAGTATAATAATTATATAGATACGTAAGTAAAAATAAGTACTGTACTCGTATCTCTTTATATGGAACTGTTACTTACTGGATGGCACGCTGTCAACCGCTTTTTCCTTTGTACCTTCGGTAGACGATGATGCCGGTATTTTTTTCTTGTTGGCAACTGACCGTGTATTTACAGACTTCTTGGCGCGACTCGATCTTGTATTAATAACTGCTGGAATTTCTTCCGCCACTTCAGCTTCATCTGCTGATGTAATGGGTGAGGCTGACAACACTCTCTTCCGATTGACCGTTTTGGTCATGGCCACAACGTCCGGTGTGCTGGTTCGCAGCGGCTGCGCCCTAACGCAAAGTACAAGCACCATGTATACTGTGCTGCATGTAGAAATAAAGCTAATTGTATTGTATCATATGTATGACCTTAATAATTACTTTAAAAATGACCGATCAGTCTACTGCACTGCTAAAGAGCAGTTACGAAATAATTCGCTTTTAAGAAACTTATTTTGATATCTCACCCTTCAGTTTCGTTTGCAGCGCCAGGTGCTTCATCTCGATCTTCCTCCAGCAAATCGATTTGTTTAGCGGCAGTGACAGCGCCACCGGCCACGGACGCCGTTTTCTTTGCACCTGCCGGTATTCTGCAAAGAAAAACACTCTACAGATACCAAGAAAAGGTCACAGCGCTAGCACTATCTGACTAGCGAGTGCCTGAGGTTTTGTCTGCTCTTGAATAAACTAAGCTTTACCACAATATAAAAACGACTGAAAAACACGTCATTCAGAAAGCAATCTCTTCATTGTTTGTTTGTTACCAAAACAATATTTTGCAAAGGATCTGCAGAAATGAGTAAAGAATGTGAATAAAACAAATCATACATACATACTTTTTCTTGCGACCTCCCTTGGTTTTCGTTTTGTTTTGAGCACTCTCAGGCTGTGTAGCTTTCGCCGTCTTATGATCTTCGCCATGCTCGAGGAAATGTTCGCGATGGATTATCCGGTTGCAAAGGTCACACGTGATCATGGCTCGGGCTCGGCGAGTCTGCTCGTCTTCTTCACTCTCCGAGGCAAGTTTTTCCGCGCTTTTACGAAGTCTCTTACCACGACCATTCTGCGAACCGTTTCTTTTCCTAGTACTGAGCTTACTCTGGCTGCTGCGCTCTTCACTCTCGAATGAATTAATGATCTCCTTCCGACCATTAAACTGGACGTGGCTGTTCTTTTTTTCACCATTTTCAACTTGTATGGGAACTTTCTCGGATTCTTCAGCATAATCATTCGATTGTATATCGTTGCTTGAGGCACCGTTTGTTTTTCCGTCGGCATTGGCATTACCAATTTGGGTTTCTGATTCGTCATTCTGGACGATACTGGGTGCAATCTCGGGACTTGGGCAAAACCGCTTTCGTGGCAGTCGTCGGTGATCTCTTCTGCAGCTCTGTTTTCTTTGACTTCCTTACCAAATTGGCAAACTTTTAGATGACGATAAAGGTCTGTACTTTTCCGGAACTGCTTGGTGCATCCGGCATTTTCGCAGCGAACCTTGTAATCTTTTTTCGTTACCGCAAACCAGCGCTAAAATGCAGAAACATATCTTACAGATAGAAGTATTGAAAAGACATACAATACATATACAATACACGATATTGTTGGACTTGTAAACAATACTGCATATGGGTAAACGTGTATTGCACTGAATATACCGGTAGATACAAGATATTAGTATTGATGGAATTTCGATATACGAGTACAATAATATTTGTCATACAATATACATCAATATTTGTTATAAATCCTTTTCCCCTACAATTATTATTATTTATGTGTTAAATTTTGTCGCAGTCCTTTTTTAAAACTATTTTTATAAATCCTTAAGTTGTCCCGCAAAGCCGAAAAATTTACCGCCTTGCGCTCCTGTAGAGTAAATGTTTCCTGTTCCGATAGCAGCAATCCATTATGGCATTGGTCAAAGTGATCCATTGTGGTCGAAGATTTATTACACCGCAGGCAGCACAACGGCTCCGCAGGCGGATCGGGAGATTTCGCCGGCACTACGACACACTGCGGGGCTGACGTAACCGGTGCTGCAGCTTTATCAATGATATCCAGAACTGCCCGTGGCTCCGAATTGGCTCTTCGCTCGAACGCCCGAAACAGCTTTTTATTCGACCCAATGGAAATACTGTCGTCGGAGCGTGACGAGGACGAGGAAGAGTGCGAAGATGACCGGCTATCGTCACTGCTGTCCGATGTTGATGACATCGATGTATCCGAAACACACGCAGACCGACCATTCTCCTGAAAAAATTTTTTGATTACGGGAAATACTGTAACCAAGCCATTTTTGCAATAATTTTTCACACCAAAGACTGAAAAAACTCGGTAGGCAGAACTTCTGCAAATATAGATATTTTATTCATAACTGCGCATAATTCTGTCTCATACCATTGGCGGGGCCGGCACATCAACACTTTCGCTTTCCGGGTTTTAGGCTTAGCGGAAGGTGGTTCCGGGAGACGGTACCGTCGATTGCGCTTAATAATTTGTTGCAGCATAGCCAGTTTATTCAGAGCTGTTTCCATTCGGCGACGCAGATCGTCCGGTGGTATGGCTATTCTGTCCAGTTGAAACAAAAGGTCACGAACAAAACACAATAAAAAAAATAGCTCATCAAAAATAAACAAACAAAGCATCTTAAAGCAAAATAAATTGTATGCATACTAGTGTAACTGTGGCAGAAATGCAAAGAAAAGCCAAACTCATGCAACAACAATGACGTAACCATAATAGCCATACTTTCTGTGCATCAGTTCTATGCAATCAACATGGCGTATATATATCACTGCTGTGTTTGTTAATTAATTTTGGTAATTGGACCGTCACCCGCATTAACAATACTCTGCTTACTTCTGCAATAATATCGTACGTTATTTCAACTAACACATGTACAATACATATGTACGTGTAGACTCAGTGTAATTACCAAACCAGTACTAAAACAAAGTACGAAACTGAAATAAAGTTAATTGTACGGTATCTTTATATCTATATATATATATGCTGTTAATCTGGATCATAAAAATTATGAAGATATAAAAATTCGCGACAACTTTATAAAAATGTCGATGCGTTACAGTACATAAATGAGTAATCAGACGTAATTCACGTAATGCTCGTATCTTACATGTAAGTTTGCATAATGAAGTTATGAATCTCGTCGAAGCTGACGCCAACATCATTGGATTCCTGTGACTGGATGAGCTCATTCACTGCGCACAACACCGCATTCTGAACATCGTCCGGCCTGGTGATGGTGAAGCGGCGCTGTTTTTTGTAGTCGGCGCAATCAAAAAGGATGTCCGAATAGAATTTGTTGGTGGTTGCCGTATGATCAGGCAGTCGATAAAGATGTCCAGCCGCCACGCAAATCTCCAGATTCTTTTCAAAGATGCCAGAATCATAATTAAAATCGGCATTGGCTTGCAGTTCTTGAATAACGCGGAAAATACTGGGGCTCTTCTCCTGTTTTTTAATAGTCGAAATGGCATCTTGAATGTACTCCAAATACCACTGGTCAACTTGTACATGAGGCTGGGCACTGTCGTCGTTACCCATATTAACCGCTAAAAACTAGCGCGGCAGAGCAATTTGTAAGAAATTACGAATTCGAAGGAAAGACAGTAATACCAATTATAAGATCATCATCAACGTAGAGAACAGATACGAAGTATCGAAAGATTCCACAGTGTAAGAGCTTTCACGTAGGCTGTATATTACAGCAGCATTAAATTAAAATCAACTATTTCGCTTAAAAACATAGATTTACGATTTCTCTCGACATGTATAAAAGTTTTCGACATGTGATTGATGTGAAACGGTGCCGTACGCACACGTACTACAGGCAACATAAGAAAACGACACTGATGGTCAGAAAGGTACAGTATCTGTTTCTCTGAATCGACATCCTGTTTTACGAATTCTATCTCTGTTTAGTACGGCATTAAATCTCGTTGCACACATTCACCAATCTTCCTTTATCGGCTGATTGTACGTTGTTTGTTAAACGCGGAGTCAGAAATTTTCTAAACAATAAAAGTAACACTGCAGCTGTAGAGATCGCGGACGTCTAATGAAAAATGTCCGGCTTTGTCATTACTCATACTACGGGAATGTGCATCTTTACAGTCTACAGTTCTTTACAGCTGACAACCGCTATATATAATTCATCTCAGAATGCCATGCTTTAATTTATTAAAGAAAGCCACTGAACTTGAAGCAAATAGTATAATACTGTAAAAGGGGCCAACGGCATCTCACGGCAGCTTCCATTAATCTAAAACATTTAAAACTCTGGGACTGCCGAGCAGACAAGGTAATATAGCAATAATAATATATGTAACCCTTGAAAGATTGCGTATCACAAAGATTCAAAACTTTATAATATATTGTACAAACTTGGGGTAAGAATAACTGACTCTCACCAAAAAAAGATCACTGAAAAGATGGATTCTCATTCATCCCACTCCTCCTTGATTTTGTCACTTTTCCCCGGCTTGGCATGTTGAACCGAGCAATGACGCACAATCTTTTTCACCAGCGCCGTACTGACCACTTTCTCTCTGTCACCCCCTTCCAAGACAAACTCCTCTCCTTTCGTAATAAATTCCATGCAGGCCTTTTCCAAGGTCTCCAGTTCATACTCCTCTGCAAGCACCAGCAAACGTGCAGCACTTTTCGAATTGACCGCGTTCACCAAATGCCCCTCGCAGATATCCTTCAAATCATCAATCTCATAGTTGGCTGCCGCCACCAACAACGGCTCAGCGACCGGCTCCACCCGCTCGACACCAGAGTAATAAATGAACTCCAGCAAAATGTCCAAAACCTCCCCGTTCAAATCAGCCATCTCGCGGGTGGCGGATGCATCGGCTTCCTCCTCGTCGAAGATCAGCGCGAACATGGGTGAATGGGCGCTCAGAATGCCGCGGTGGACGGGAATCGCCTGACCATCGTTGGACAACAGGGTGAAATCGGCGAATTCCCGGGAGTGATACAGGTCACGGTAGCGTAGCAGCGCGGCTTCGTGCAGCGGATGCGGAACCATACTGCCGGGCAGATCTTTGGAAATAGTGCGAGACGGTCGTTCGATCAGGAAACGGATCTGGCAGCGAAGGATGAGGGTGCCGTTGACCAGAAGACAATGACGAGCGGCCCCGAAGAGACGAGTGTGCGGTATACCGCTGCCTTCGAAACCCCAGGTGGCACTGTTGGCAGCGAACGTGCGTCCCAGCCGCTCTTCTCCCACGGTGTAGGCACATTCCCCGGCTTTGTTCAGAACCCTTCAAAGGCAAGCAAACTAAAGCTTTAAACAGACTCGCAATAATGAAGGGTAACTGCTTCATTACCATCCTTTCATGGAACCGGACCAGGTACGTATACGCTAAAAGGTCAAGGCAGCTAGTTAATTTTGATAAATTTCCTTATTATACAAAACTGTATAGTCGGAAATCCAGTTTAATCGTAGTGCATATGAATACTGTTGTCTCCTTCATATGCACTACGGTTTAATACTTGCACTTATGAGTTGCCAAAAGCGAACTTCAAAACAGTCTTTCCATTAAAACGAACCTACCTTGTTATGATTAGCCTTTCCATAATGCATATACGTATATAACTAATTCACTTTTCGAGCAATGGTCAGAAAATATCTCTAAAAAAATTTAAAGATCCAACGTAACAGCCAACCAAATTAAACACTATTAATATACTGCCTCAAAGTACTTACTACTGCTTAATTTAAAAGGCGAGAAGTTCAGAACGGCTCCGGCTTCATATCATCTGACTTATAGCACATACTAAAAATCTGTTTACAAAAAAATGAATTTGCAAGGAAACGTAGTTACGGTATAAGTATTAAAATAAACGCAGAATGTTAAAATGCACAAACTAAAATGTAAATAAGAGTCGAATGTGAAAAAGAATCTTTTTCAATCAAAAGAATCTGATGACATTACAGTAATTGTGTCTTGCAACCAGCAGGCACAATATTACAACATTGTATCGTACTACTCGAGAAAACAATAATAATAATAAGAAAATTATAAAAGCACATTTTTATCCAGATAACTTGATAAACGCAATCCTTACATTATCGTTATTTCAGCTGGAAATTCGTCGTCACCGCTGTAGTCGTCATTAGGATTAGGGGAATTCAAAAGGGATACGTAAACGGCAGCACGATGTGATTGTAAACCGTCTTGCACCGGTGTCGTCGATTTCCTCGCGCTAGTGCTGCTCTTTCGGCCAGTCGTCTTCCCTTCGCAATTCTCACTGACAATGTGGCACGGCTTGACCATCAGAATCCAGCGAGCATCATGTCCATGCAGTCCCAATTCTGCCATGGAAATACCACGGGATGATAAGAAAGTCGTTTTACTACGCAGAAAGGGAAAGTTGTCGATGCTCCAGTCTAGACAAACATTCACCACGCTGCTGTCGGATTTGTCGTGGCACTTCGCAGAAAAACCTGGTGTTCTCCTCGACGCTCCATTTAGGATTAATTACTCTTCGGCTGGATCAATCTAACCATAAGATATATTTAAAACGCAGGGCATGACCGCAGGGCATACACACTTGAATAATTAAATTTTGTAAAGGGCGATTTAATTCATTGCAAAAGTTCCAAGATTTCCGCAATAAAGCGGCTAATTATAACCAGGCATAGGAATAAGGATGCCAGTCTAATCACCGTGAGTGAAAAGACCGAAAGCCGAAGGAAGTGAGTTGAGGATATGAGTCACTGACCAATGGACTGCCAGTCTGCTCGTCTTTGGCCCAGCGCCAGAATTCCCCAGTGACTCATCGATGACGACACCTTGCCTGTCTGCCGCCATTAGTGCAAGTGCAGAATTCTGACAACGTTTGAGTTTAATTTTTGCAGTTTTTAAGGCAGTTTATCACCGCTCGGCACTTAACACCGTTCAGAAGAACCGATAGTTCCCTTCAAGAACTGGATGATACATTTTCGCTTTGAATTATTTATCACCTCAACTTGCCCAGTATGTTATAAAGATGATCCAAAGGACAAACCGGAATTAACTATTAATTATGTACGTGATATTCACTGTTCTTCGGCTTCTAGCCACTATTCCGTTGTGATTCTGATCGTCATATTGACCGCTCGCGGTTGGCTTAGTTTACTTGTTTCAAAGTATAGTAAGTACTTTACCGCGCAGTACTGAATCTGATTACGTTATAGTACAATTTTGTTTTTTACTTGATGTGGTAGATGGTGATTGATTGTTCATTGAGTTATCCTTGGTCATAGCAGCTCGGAATGAAGTTGCATCCTGATTTTGGGTATCCGTTCATGAGCTCATCCCAGATTTTCTGTTATCTATAAACTTTACTGGGACTACACTGGATTGAATTTCGCGCAGTTGGTAAGTAAAACTTTATAAAAGAGAAATAATTACACATAAATAACGTACTTCATACGAAATTCTACATGAGATAGGTAGCATTGTGTTGACGTGTCTGTTAAAAATGGCTTTCTGGCTTGAATAATAATATCTTTTAGATTCAGTTTTCGTCGTAATACAAAAGAAACGCGTCGCTAAATATCACAAGTCATATCCTGCTCATAATCGCGCACAAAGCAAGAATACAGTTTATTCTGATTGTGCAAAATATCCAACAGAAACAAGAACGTACAAAATGAGATTGCGTACTCTGTACAGATCCCACAAAAAATCATTGGACCAATAATACGGAAACAAAGGAGTATGCTGACATTATTAATACTAGTCACAAGAATTTACTACACAAATACTTCACGTTTGATTTTTTTGTTTTGCAACGCGCAGCAATAAAATAAGGCTAACAATAAGCACGGAATATACTTACTAAATACGTATACATGTCGAAATACCAGTAAAACATTCAGCGGGCTCTTCAAAGAACCATTCGTAGTTACTGGAGCATTTTCCTTCTCGAGTATTCAATCGTCCCGCTCCGTCTGCACTGCTTCAACAAGTTACGGCGGTTAAGCCATAACAACAAGACCTTTGCCTCCCATATGCTCGCGTTCGCTGTGCACCGCAATCAGCGCAAGAATCTGAAAGGTAGCAACAAGCTCAAAATTAACAACGCCCTTGCTTTACGGTAAATGCTAGTAAGACACTCCGGCATAGCAACTTACGTTAAAGAAGATCAGTATGCCGAATACAATGATGTTCGCCAGAAACGAAGCTCGAATATCCGCTGGAACCTAATAAAAAAGGCAAACATGTACTTTATTGTTTATTCATTATTGGTTAATAACGGTGTGCTCACAAGTCAGTGCCGTGACGACAGATAGCATCACAGCTTAAAGTGCAAGAAATCGTTTTTACTGAAAGCGTGGACCGATAAGGCGCTGGCTTAATAAGAATGCTAGTTTGTCATCGCGAGAAATTAACAAACGACAGAAGCATGGATTCTGCAGATGTGACAGGTTTACCTGACTTGAGCTGGCCTCGGTCAATGTGTAGTAGTAGATGTTCCAGCACACGAAGGCGATCTGGTACAGGATATACACCAGGAAGATGATGATCCACACGCTCAGCCAGCCCGGGTTATTCTGTAAAGATCACAACCACCGTGAATGCAATACTAAATCAACATTCACGGTCTTACATCATGGTTGACACAACCAAGAGGTGATCAGTCAACGCACACTAGTATGTCACAAATGTCAATCATGTGAAAACTGAACCGGAAGTTGATACGAGCTAGGGTTCAAGTGTACTGCGCAAAAGGAAAAATCCCTATTTCTATGGGAATGCCGGCATCTGAGTAGCTTAGCTCTATGATACGAACATACAGTACTCACTCGCGAAGTCCTGACAGCACTGATAGGCAAGTCAGACCGCAAGACGAGGAAAACAGCACAACAGACACGCCTTAGCGTTGCCAGGAAACAACATCACAAGAAACCCGAAAACGTATTTGCCAAAATTGTAAACAGAACTAGTAGCTACTGCCTACCGTATCCTACTGTCATCCTATATTCAATTTAAAAGCTACTTACTCCACTTCGGAAACATTTTGGATTGAAAAATAACATAAAGCTTTACTACTCTAGTGTTACAAAATTAAATTGCGCCGCGCTAATATATTATTATTTATATTACCGAACACTGGTAATACTTACGGGTTACCGTTTACCAGTTAGACTATTCAGTGTAATTGTTAGTACTTACTTAATAACATGAAAGCTACAGCATTTCAAAAACGCAGGGATTTGCAAATTGCAGATACAAATTCAGCAATCATTTTTATACGAGCAGTCTGCAAAGTTGAGTGCAAACTAGCAGAGAAAAATTACTGATCGTAATTACCTCGTTTGCCAATGTCTATATACGGTATACGTAATTTTGCCGACATCCGTATACGGTTTAATTTCACTAAAACTACATGCACCTTCAACAATCCAATTATCAGAGCGATTGCCGCGATAAACAGGAAAACCGCTCCAATAAAGCTGATGATGCGTGACCAGGCGATGTACGTGGGAACGACCCAATAGTCATGGACATTGAACACCAACAGAAGGATGGCCAGGGCCTGAAAATGCAGAATATATTTCATATTTCTCCTTCAATAATTATTAATTTTAACACAATAAAGTCAGTTCGAGTAGTTAAATTGCATAACGATTTGCCAAACCGTATCATTTGGTTAAGTCGCGCAGTCGGTATACTTACGAAGGTGTAGAATGCTGCAAAAAAGCAGCCTGTCTTCAGAGAGCACAGCAGACAGGATTTTATCAGACCCATTTTTGCGGATTGGTTTGAGAATGAGATTATTCTTCAGGGTATCACGAATGCAGTTCTAGTGGTTCATAAAATAACGATCTCACTTTGAATTTTGCGTAGCACAACTGTTACAGTAATAATGAAAATCCCAAAAGTGAAAATTTCAAGGAAACAGGAAACAGCATTAAATTGCTACTAAATTGTAAAAGTTCGACGCGGAATAATTTGCACACTGGCCCTTGCCCCATGGCTAGCTCTGTATGGACGGGATTGTTATCGGAAACCGGATCGCTCGCCTTTGATTGGATCCGGTCATACAACTCCACCTCCCGTTCATGTGGGGATTTACCATTGTTGTACGCTTTTATGTGTCCACACGGCTCAGGGTGAGATGCAAAGTGCAGGCCGGAATGCAAATTCCTGCATGATTAAGGGGCTCCGAGCACAGTAACCATACAGTAGCTAGACTCGAAAGGCACTTTAAATGCGTTCTGTACGATACAGAGCCGGAAGTTCTGTAATTTTTCGATCACACCCCCCTACCTCTGATTGGACGGCCGAGTTAAAGTGTTCTGTATCTAAAAGGAACTCTCCTAGCTCCGTTACGATACAGAACTCGCATTTCTTGCTACGTCAAAGTTATTTTAGATGTGGGTGCACAGTCCGCTGTACGTCCAAGTCCTATTTTTAATTTTCAAGTTTTGAGGGTGTAATTAAAGGGAGTTTAATTGTTTCTATCGAATCAACATTCCAGTTCTGCTGTGTTCACTGATTTTAGCTGCCTCCGACTGTGCATGTTTGAATTTGTATCGTGGCAACAAGCAGCTTCGCCATAGCCGTCAGCGCGAGGAATACCTCAGCGTACTTTACATGCAATGGCCTTTCGCTTCTTCACCAGTCGTTTGATTTCTTAACTTAACAAAACTTCAGATCGCCAGAAAAACAGAAAGGAAACTGCCACAAAATTGTTGTGAAAATGAATAAATCGTTGACCAATTCAACTGCGGTAACTGGGCGCTTTAGAAACCGTGGTCTCGTTGCTCTGTAACGCTCTATAAGATTCAGCGCTGTACCATTGGTAGATTCACTTTTACAGAACTCCCGGCTCTGTATCTTACAGAACACATTTAAAGTCCGTTTCGAGTAGTACTAGTAGCGTTGCGAACTTCACTTGTGATTATTACAAAGGACATTCCAAAAATGATTTTCCCTACTTTGTATCTCCCTTCAAAAACGCATTCAGCTTTTATTAGCCATATTGTTAGAAAAGTCCTTCACTAAGGAACCGAAACAAAACATAACTCACCTAAACTCCACTAAAACAGAAAAAAACTGCGGAGAAAACCATGAAGGGTCTTACGCACTTTTTCCCGTGATTTCCGCGGACTAATTTTGCAATTTTTCTCAATCGCCTCGCCAACTTTTTGAGAAACACAAAATGTGGTAACGTTAGAAATTCTTTCTTCTAACAAAAGAAATTTTAAAATAAAATGATGTGGTCCATCCGCTTTTGAGGGAAAATTGAAAGTGTCTGGGAGTAGGTACCAAAAACAGAAAGCTTCTTAGCTTCCTTACGGTAAAAAAGTGACAAAATTCATTAAAAAATTTATTTGTGCCGGTGAGAAGTAAACTTCTTCTTCTTTGGTATCTTAGGTGCGCACGAGTGGCCATAAAATGCGTTTTCTTTTAATACATGGAACGATGTATTCACAGAAGCGAGAAGGCTAAAAACCGAGAACTTTGGTGTCCTACAAAAAATAAATGTTTACCTCAAACTCGGAGCTTTTCAAAGCGTTCTGCTAACTTCGTAATAACACTAACACTATTTGCAGTTGATACTTAAAAGTAATCGTCGAAATAATTTCAAAGACGAAACTGAAAATAAAAGAATGATTTCCAAAAGGACCTGAAAAACTGCAAACGTACCTCAAGGATTTCGGTTTTTCGTTTTCCCTATTCTTCACCGAAACCTTTAATTGTCGTTTCCTCGGATAGGTTACATAATGGTTTATCCAAGAAAAAACATATCATTTCTGCTGACGGAGAGGTAAAACAGGGAAAATTATTTTTGGAATGTCCTTTGTATCTACAGAAGTTTTTTTCACACTGGCTTTGCAGACCCTTCCAGACGAACTTACGCTCTGTTTTTAGACGAACTTATGCTCCCGATTTTTAAGTACTTACTTGTTAACAATAAAATGCCAGACAGTTTGAGTACAGTATTAATTGTACCACTACATTTGTAGAGTTGCACTTGAAGAATGCGGAGGCATTCACTTGCCGGCTCTGTTATAAAGCGATTAATTTCGATGTTGTTATTACAATAAACCAAAACACTCATACTTCGCCCATTTTCTTTCGGAAAAGGGCGGCATGCCAGCTTGCCAGATTTCGTTTTTACGCCAGTTTTAATTAGTACTCTTAGAAAGAAAGAAAAGAGTTTAAAAGACCTGGGGACTTTTCACTTTTTGGTACAAGTGTTAAAAAGTGATTCAACTGTTATGATGTTATCGTTATTGTTTTTACATGTATGATGTTTTTATTTAGATGTTATCGTTATTGTTTTTACATTGCCCATAAGTACTGTACGTTTATATTTGGATTCTTAAAGTTGTACGAGTACTATTACGAGTTAGTAGGTGTTACTTTATACAGTACTTAAATCAGTTAAATGAATATGGTATTCTAGGGGCATTACACCGAAACAGTTGTCACAAAATCTGATAAGGAGTTTATTGTTAACGTCCATAACTTATGTAAGTACATATCTATATTTATAATAATCATAATATTTATATTTATAACATGCTTTCTGAAACCAGACAAAGAATGAACTAAGTTAAACATTTACTGTAAAAGTTAAAAACTAACAATAAGCATGCGGCATAACTACACACAAACAGAAGAAGCTACGATTACTAACAAAAATAACAATCGACAACAACTAACGCTTTACGACCAATGACACATAAAGAACTACCGAAAAATGGACCACAGAAGTAAATACTAATTCTACCGACCACATTCCAACAGTATATGCTACTGCAACACAACTATACCATGCCAAGTCACCTAATTACCGTATTTACAGAACATTCCAGGTACTACACTTCGTTAGAACAGTTCGCCACTCCGCGCTTCCGGTAGGGGAACATTACGCAGTACTTCATCCAGTAACTGCAGGGCACGGTTTAGGTGGATCTCGATCCAGCAGGGTGTCTCCTTGATAGTCTTCCGATTGTAATCTGGGCCCCAGCCTTTGACGAAGCTCAGACGAATCATGCACAGACGACGGAGATCATCGGCACCAATCCCGCCGCCCACTGTGCGATTCCCGGCGGCATCGCTGGGCGACACAGCGGCAGTTTGAGCCTGCACCACAGCCTGGGCTAATCCCACCTTAAATCAAAACAACGATAATCATCTTTTTACCGAAAAATGTTTCGAAAATATGAGCACTCGATCAGCGTTTTCAGACAAATAATAAAATTTTTTTATTTGAAAACAATTCAGTTTCTTTATAGTGTGTGTGCCGGCGCCGTTGGGTGCTGTTACTGCGGAAAGACTGGCAGCCGTTTGCTTATGCCTCTGCGCTGCCGGTAAAACTCGGCACCAGTTCTGTCGGCACCACTGAACCGGAAGCGAGGACACCGGAGTTCAGTTTCCGCGCGTGCAGCAACAACATAGGGAGGGGTAATCTTGAAGAAGCCACTCAGTATCAAAACATAAGGCCGCATTTTAGTGATCTATTAAGTGCCAATAAGCTTCGCGCTTTTTTTTCTGCCGGTAGTGGCAGGAACAGAACTGAAAAGAGCCGCTGTTGCAAATTTATAACCAATAAATTGAAAGGTGGTGGCAGTAGCCAAAAGGGCGTGTGAAAAGGCGTGACAACAGTTAAAGGGGGTGTCTGTTTCATTGAAAAAAGGGGGTGACAACAGTCAAAAGGTCGTGTAGGGGGTGACAATAGCTATTTCCTTCATTATATACGTACTCAGTTGCAAAAAATTATACTGTAATTCTCTACTAGTAGCCGTAACAAGTTAAGCCAGAACTAGTTACACAGGAATAGCAGAATTACAGAAAACAATGTGATGGGTAAAACAATACGAGCTACCTGTTGAAGCATTTGATGATAACACTGGCGCAGATCAAACACTTTCAGTAAGGGCGCATGAGGATGTATTTTATGTACAGCATCGCCAGGAGCACGGCCAGCTTCTCGATCCAAATAGTAACTCTGTACAAAGACGCTGTAGTCCCCTAAACAGCTCAACCACACACTTCCGTCAGGTTTGGTGGCAATCTCAATTCCCCGGCCAATATGCAGGCGAGCCTTTTCCACCACTGGAGTCCGATGGACGTTTGTCAGCGGACCCAGACAGAAACGATTCTGATGGCCAGGATCAACATATCCATCAACGTATGCGGTTGTGTATGCCGATCGCACTTTGAATGTTTCTCCCACCTGAACGACGCAAATGTGAACTGTCCATATTCAGCAAAACGTTATTACGTAGTGTCACACTATTATGATCTTTTACGCATAGCAATTAGGTATGCTAATCAGATTCAAAACTGTTGCCTTGTACTTTGCAGATTTCGAACTAAACAATAAACACGTTATTTATGCCTTTTATCACTTTTTTGGGAAATTGAGAACAGTAAAAAAAAGGTGCGCAAGCTCATTTCAGCAGATTTTGAATTCGAGTAAGTAATTTACTCGGATAATGAATTTTACGTGTTGTTTATTCTTAGGTTCAAAATGAAACTCTGGAACTGTCTCAGTCCAGCCGTTGAATTCGAATTATGCTGAACGCTCGCACCGGGATATCAATGGACATCAACACAATAGAGCATATGCCCGAGCCAAAATTTTCAACAAAGGTCAGTCCTTGCCGCTGTAACTGTTCACAATTTCAAATCATTCTACAGTTAACCGTTAATGCACTATACACTAGTACAATACAACACCGCCAAACGTACCAAAATGCATACGTTTTAGCAAACCAGCACAGCAGTGAGAGCACCTTGCGACACCAACCTGTTGATCCATTTCAAAATAGGCAATCGTGCACCAGAACTCAGGCATTGACTGCGTCATGATGGCGTTCTGGAAGCGAGCATCTTCCCACATCTGCTGTTGTTGAGCACGCAAATGCGGAATCATGGGATCGGCCAATTCCAGGGCCACAGCACTGTTTTGGCTTGACACTGTCCAGTAGCCCGGTGAGAGCGGCGGCCCAACAAGGCCGGTGCCGCTCGGTGGGAACAGTTGTTCAGAGGATGTCGGCGACATGGCGTGGCTGGACTGGCCGTGTGGAGAGTGATCGTAGCGGGGCATTGAGGGGTGTGGAGCTAAATTGGCCGTTGGTTTGCGACTTTCGGACGTACTAGACTGCACCGACAGGATGGAGTTCTCCCTGCACATAAAGGATCACATGTACCGTGGTGCACTCGAGCCGCTCCAATAAAAGAGCCGCCAGTTAAAACGCTTTGGCTCTGTTGATCTGTGTTTGTCTCCTTTTGCGTTCTTTCAACTTATGTATTAAGATTGTTATCCATAGTTTTGGGGACAGATTGTCCGGCAACGCCCGTTTCTGGGCTGCAGTATATATAATAGCATAGGTTACGTTCTTACATTTTCAGCATTTTGTAAGACTGGTACAGGAAGAAAAATTCTTACGAGCTTACGCGAATTATCCAAATGCGTGCTAACGCAAGTTTGCTTTTTGAATTCATCACACAGCCAACAGAAAGGTAACCACTGCCAGCAGATTATCAGAGACACTGGAATTCGTCAGAAAACACCACCAACATTCAGTACTGACCTCGGACGCGTGGGAGACGCCAGGTCGAACAGACCCGATGATCCGGAAGCATGTGCCGACGTCGGTGGTTCATGGCTTTCATAGCCATCATCGTCACCCTGTCCCTGTTGCTGCATTCCCAAACCACCCAAGGATAAATCAATGCCGGGAGACACTACGCGTTCGTAGTGATACGGATTGACGCAGACGTTATCAAGTTTCAGGTCGAAGGCAAACTGGCAACCTTGCACATGCTTCAGTTCGTTCTTGTGCACATCAGGCCACCGCCATATCCTAACAAAATGGAAAAACTGACAAAGTCATAAAAGTTAAAACGAAAACCCCTTAAAAAAATTCACTAAAATACGAAGCATAAGTTGAGTTATAAGCTTCTACATAAGTTGAATTATACACAATGCATACGTTAGCCGCACTAACAAGTGACAACAACTCTTCCTTTCATCAAAAGGTTACGGCAACAAGCGGCAGAAAGTCCAGCCCGTTGTGAAAGAAAGCGAAATATCTGCGGTATAAGGAACGCATTTCTTCTGGAATTTTCGTTACTGCAACAGTGGCATTCGAGGTGCCTGGAAAGCGGAAACATGCACTACACGCCCGATGCGTCTAAGGCTGTCACCATGCCAAAATTTTTGGAATGTACTTTTCTCGTGAGCCTCAGTCGATATTCGTTTCGATCACAATAGTTATTTCGATTATTTTATACCACTAGTTTAACTGTGTAAGTAATAAAATAATTAACACGTATTCGAATGCTGCATCTGTAATAAGAGCCGCATTATTAAGTGTAAACTAATTGTGTTTTTATTGTCTTTTTTTGGGATGATTTTAATTACGGCAACTGTCAATCATTCTTTAAGGATTAGTCGGATTACTGATGAACAAGAATCAATGGTTGTTAAGGTATCGCTCTAGCTGCTAGCACATTTTTATTGTACGCTGCAAACGCAGTTTTGATCAGTCTTCGAAATAAATCTGAATTTTCTTTATAAAGTTTTTTGAAACACGAAACGTTGTTATAAATTACACACCGCTGATTTGTGATAATTTTGTTCATGCAGATGTCGATGATGTCAAGAGCGGAAAACGAGCTGTGGCGGTACACATATGGTCGTGTCACCCGTATGGGCCGTATGGACTCATCAGGATGAAAAAATTATTTGTTCTTCAAACATGTACAATGGACGACAAAAAGAAGTTGAAATCGACCGTTCGGTGCGCGGTCGCGCCCCATGAACTTCTTTTTGTCGTTCACTGTAAGTGCAATATTTGAATATTGTACTTCGAAGTAACTGAATAAGGTATTATTACCACGTTATCTATTCTTGAGTTACTGTACTAAACTTACTTAAACGGTAATGGTTTAATTATCCGTATATTTCACACTTTATCTGTATTCTGTAAATCACAGATCATTTTCATAAATTACCGGCACTATTAGACTATTCGAGTTGAAACAGAACGGTTCTCATCCTCATTTAAATTCTACAGATGTACATATTGGATTTGGCGCGCGTTCTGAAAACAAAATTTTGACTGATTTTCAAACCAGAACAAGTACAATATCGCGGACCAGAGCGCACGCTACAATTTATTAGCTTACTGACAAATGATTTATTAATAAATAGCTGTGCCAGGCAATTAAACCGTATTCCCAGTAGCTACTGATACTAATGCTATTTTATTGTAAAACACCTGTGCTCAAACATTTTGCAACGTAAAAATACAAGCATCATAGCACATAATTTCCACGGGAAACATCAAAATTGTCGTGAAACCATTAATGAGCATTTAAGAAACCTTGATGACCAATTGCACTTACCCAGCCTGCATCAACAAGAGAGAAAAACATCTCCAACAAGACCAAAGCTGGTGATGCTGCAGTATTATAATATAACGTCAACCCTTTGCAGACAAACCCATTTTCTGAGTTTTTTTGAGATAGCATATACAATCAGTCGATAAACTGCCTATAAGTTTCAATGTGCTGATTTGGCTAAACTCAGAAACCGGCACACTACACTTTCAAATCTCACTTCATTCTAGAAACAATCACAGAATCTATTGCCGCTACCAGAATGATACCACGAAAAGTCAACTAGACTAATGTGATAGGACGATGAGATAGATTCGTCATGGAGTACATGGTTATTTGGATAAATTCAAATTAATCATCGAACAAAAACAATTTCTACCGTACCCAATCAGCGCATTTGGTTGCACTACTGAAAAATCTGCAGAAGCATGCGATGATGTGACTAAAACTTGAGTAATCCATGAATTCTAAATAAACACTGAATCAAAAAATGTAAACCGAAAAAACTGAAGGGATGAATTTTTTTACCGAATATAAACGGCTTTCTGCAGTTGAAAAATTTCCCCCAAAAGGGTCGAGCCTCGTATTTTTCATAAGATTAATAACACGCGCGTAAATTTTCTTAAAGAAAGCTACCAAACAATACTGAAGGTCAAAAACGGTACTTCTACAAAAATATTTATATATTATATAGTCATTTGTGTACAGACTGTATAACCGATAACGTATCATTCTGACTTGCTCATACAATCCCCCTTTTTAGTTTACACAGGCATTTAAAGCGCAAGTAGTACGGCCAACACTGGTGTCAATGGTCATTACAGGGCTCCCGTAAAATAATTTCATATTTTATGATTGCTTCTCTCAAATTTGTGTTCAGTACCTTGAATAGATCACATGCGGGAAAACCTTCCGACCAGCCACCTGAAATTTGAAAAAGCAGTGGTTTAGTAAAGTTATCAAGTTGATGGTACCAAAAGAAGTCTCGAAAAATGTAAATCAACAGCTAAGTCCGGCGATTTTAATAACTTTGTGTGAAACGCATAACACTTGGTATAAATCTGATTATCGTAACTGTACTAAAACAGAGTATCCCAGCATACTGTACTCCAGATTAAATTAAAGGATGTACTGAATACTAAATTTAATCATGCAGAAACATTTCAGTTATCGCAGCGAATTCTGCCAAATGATCTCAAACAATTAAGGCTTTATCAAAAATTGAAACGATCTGAAAAACCTGCCAGATTATTGTTTCTCATTAGGCATTACTCATTTTACCTGAAGTCGTCCATCCAGCGTACGAGGAATGGTAGCGCATTTGGTAACATGATTCCCACTGCTGGTGATGGCCATAATCAGTCCGTCCAGCTCGTCTGGCTTATCTTTGAGCTTCTTAACCAGACTCTCAATGGCGCGCTTCGTGAAGCTTTCCGACTCACCACCTTGACGATGGCACATCAGATTATGCACGATACTGATGCAGGCGTCCGCCGAGGACGCTGGCGAAGTGGCGTTCGCTGATCCGGACGTCGATCCCGTCATCTTTGCTCACGTTTGCGGAATCTGAAAGGGCATCAGAAACACGGAGATGTCTGCAAAACAACAACAAAAGTACAAAACTGCTGAATTTTTCACCCGTAACGGGCTGGTAAAGCCATCAGATCGATGCTATGGGGAACGGGGATGGCTGTACTCTACCGAAACTCGATTCCTTTTATGCTACGATACACGCGCAAGCAGATCCCGAATCCCCACGATCATTCAGAGCTTCCAGATTCCGGGATCAATGAAGCGAAAAATCCATGCAAATTAAAACTACCTATACGAGTACAGTTCACGTGCAGTCGTGTATTGCGAAACTATAATAGTCACCAGGAAAAATTTAATACTTTATCTCATAAACAGACCCTTAGATACTTGATAAAATCTGTAAAAGATTATTAATAACGTTAAAAATCTTCAAAAAAATAAAAAGGAATAATCGCAAAGTCGCAAACTAATCAAAGATTACAATCCAAATAAAACAACTCCAAAATGGATCGAATGGATCAGTTCTCACGCGATGCATTCACTGCATTGACTTCCGCTATCGACGTGAGTCTGTGCTCTGATCCAATCCTGCTGGAGGGTTGGGATCTGAGTTATTCACCTAATTCGGTTCATTTTGTGCACTTAGCGTCTCGTGCTCTCTACAGCAATTACACCTCCACTCTCGTATGAAATCCATTGGAAATTGTGGCTGTGGAGTCTAAGTTTGTGATCAAACAAGCTAAAATCAAAGTTTTTTACTTAGGATCTCCAAATAAAAGTCATTGCCGAATGCCGACTACCTAATCAAATTTTTAAATTGTAATTGTAAATTCGCATTTTCAGATTAGTTCTTATCCAAATGTGAGGAACTCAACAGTGATCCACAAATCTGCATTCACTATTGCACTTAGTGCACTACATATTTTACCTTGACTGTGCTAGAATTTTCACTGAAAAAAAAATCCATACAAGGCTACCAAACGGACGATGCATCAGCTCAAGCCTCACAGTATTTATAAAGTTAGTCCACGCAATCAAATTTTATAACTGTGGGTTTTTTCCAAACCAATTAAACGGACATTGCAGATCACGCCTGCACAAATAAGAACGCCAGAAACTACAAAATGGGCTTGAAAACGAAAATATAACTTACAACCTCCAGTAAATTAAAACTTTTAACGATACTAACGTGTGCACTCGGGTTAAAACTTCGATTTTGACTAACATGATCACTAAGGTTTATATTCAGTTATTAACTAATGGTAAGAACAGCATTCTGTTAAAAGCTCTTGTTAAAAATACGGGCAGCAGACGGTCAAATTTAAACAACCGTTTTGCTTGGCTTTAGCAGATCCACGTACGAACTGACTCCAAATTTTTTCTGCAAATCTTATGCAAAACTATCACTCAAATAAACGTTCGCAACGTAAATGTTTTCAATTCATTTATATTTTCGTTATTTTTTTTAAAAACACTGAACTTAAAGGTTTGGGTGAAAATCTATTTAGTGATATCTGCGCAGGGGTAACCGCTTGATATACGTACATTTTGGCATAAGGATAAATCCGCATAAGGATAAATCGGCAAAGGTCACTTTGGTATATAGTGATTTTAGCATAGTGAAATTTGGCTTAAAATCTAAGTTTTAAAAAACTTGAGAAGTTGGAAAACGTAAGCGATTAAAAAATACATTAAACTAAAGCAAAGCAAAAAGGCTGTCTTTGTGCCGAATTTTTCTCATGCTAAAGCGTCCGCTTAATAAGTTTTTTTGATAAAGCATTTTGCAAAAAATAATTATGTGTAGCGCAATATTAACGATTCGCGAAGACAAAAAATTATTTATTAAATGATATTTGGTTGTAAAGATAAAATGTTAGTGTAAGCTTTAACGAGAGTCTTAACGCGAGTACAAATGTTAGTTTTGATCTGCGTATGAGCCCAAGTGGTCATGCTAGTTCAAAGCACAGTCTTAACCCGAGTGCTCATAATAGCATAGTACTGTTCACGGAAGTTTTAAGCCTGCAGAATAATTGCTTATAATGCGTTCCAAAACAATTTTGACATAAGTTTCATCACATTTTGAAAGCGTTGGTACTCGGCAGTGGAAGTAAAAAGTAGCGTATCGCAAACCTTTTTCTCATTTCCAAAAACAGCTAAAAACAAAAAATACATATTCATATGCATTTAATTAACTAAGAAGTGTGGTATGCTAAGATAACTTTTTAATCTCAGCTTTTTGCTTTTCAGTAATCCTTATCAACCGAAATTTATCCTTTAGATCTACGCAAATCCAGTGTTTCAAGACAGCAGGTTTTAGCAAACGTACAAGGTTAAGAAAATTGTTGTGATAAATGTCAGCAAAAAATCAGATGCAAACAAAACCAAAAACTCTTCAGGTTATAAATTCTTAAATTTAATAATGTCGTACTTTTTCTTGCCATTACGCCGTTTTTAATTTTTAGTATTTCTTAGGTCTGGCAAAAAACGACTAAGTAATACAAATAAAAATTTGCAATACCATTATTCAATACGTTCGCAACGAAAGTGGTTTGAATGTTGTTCTGTGGCCCAAACAACAGCAAAAATGGTAGCATGACAACCCTATGACCTTCTTTTTGCTGACCGACAATGTGATGACCCACTTGTTGCTGACAACCACAACTTGCTGACCGACAGTTCGCTTTTTACAAACTGGCTGACCGACATCTTGCTGAAACTAATTTGCTGAACGACAGCTTACTTGTCGGTCACCGAAATGTCGGTAATCGACAACTCGCTGACCGACAACTTGTAGAAGACGAAAACTTGCTCACCGACATTTTGCTTACCAGCTCAACGCACTTTATCCATATTTACGCGAAAACTAGAATCTTTGCTGGTTTCAGAAAAAGGAAGCAATACTATGACAGTTATAACTGAAATATAACTTTTTGCCATTTATTACGCCGTATAAAGTTCACGAGTATGTTATTGTCTCAGTCGATATTAAGTATTTATTAATAACTGTCAAAAATGTTTTAATAATTACACCGGTTCCGGTTTCTTAGGTTTCTTAACTTATTTCTTAATTATTCTTAAGTTTCTTAGATTATTCTTAGGTTTCTTAGGTTATTCTTAGGCTTCTTAGGTTTCTTAGGTTATTCTCAGGTTTCTTAGTTTTCTTAGGTTATTCTTAGGTTCCTTAGGCTGCTTAGGTTTCTTTGTTTTATTAGGTTTCTTAGGTTTGTTATGTTACTCAGGTTTCTTAGGTTTCTTAGATTTCTAAGGTTTCGTAGGTTTTTCAGGTTTCTTAGGTTTCATAGTTTTCTTCTGTTTCACAGGTTTTCTATGAAATTCACTCGTACTTGCTCGAGCAGGAAAATGGAAAAATGGACGACTGGAATTGTCAGATTGCTGCCTGAGCCGGCAGCTGCTAATAGCAGGAGAAGTGGTTGTGGTGTCCGAACATTATCACCCAAATTGAGTTCTACAAGGATTTGATGGGTAACAGACTAGATTTGTGGTCATTGAGTTGTCGCTATTTCCATAAAACGTCGGTCAGTAAAATGTCGGTCAGCAGTTTAGTAAGTAAGCAAGTTGTCGGGTAAACATTCTGTCACTCAACAAAATATCTTCAGCAAATCGTCGGTGTCAGCGAACTGTCGGTCAGCAAAAGGTCGTTCAGCGATCTGTTGTTTCAGCAAACTGTCGGGTCAACATTTCGTCGGTCAACAAAAAGTCGTCAGCAAGTTGTCGGTCAGCAAGATGACCGTCAGCGAGTTGTTGGTGTGCCTTTAAGTTTTTATTTTTGCACTGAGTTATAATTTGTCCATGGCTTTGTCTATTCCGCTCAATTTTCGCGGGCTCTGCTCGTTGTAACTTCTAAGTAAGTCACCATGCAAACGTATAGCAGGCTGCTAGCGACCGCGGAGTGGCTGGCATAATCACTCAATTGAACAAGACACAGCTACGGCTTTCCAGTGATGTTCCCGTTGTTTTTATTTACCAAATTACGTTTGATTGCTATCTTCAAGATTAACATCTCCACGGTTAGATTAATTTCTCCAAGGACCAATTTCTGTCACGGGAAAATTTTATTTGGCGTGATCTTTACATCGCTCTGTTTAAATTTTAAGCTGCGTAATATCGGCGTAACTGCAAAAATGTCAGCAGTGTCCTTTGCAACTGGGCAAGTCGTCTGGGCAAAGCTAAAAGGTATGGCTACATAAGTCTCCTAAAGGAGGTTCGCCATGCTTTCCAATTGACAATCCAATGACTACGAAAGATAACGCAGGTTACAACCGCTGGCCGGCGTGCGTGGAGACGCCACCGGAGAACGCTAGAAATCGTGGTGTCTACGTGCAGTTCTTTGAAACTGATAAACCAGGACAATTTGGTTGGGCTCCTAAATCCGGTAAATTGAAAAGCAGTAAAATGATGAAGCGCCGTAGTGTTCACTGTTCACTGATGCAAAAAACAATCTGTGAACTGCTTGATAGGGGTAAAGCCTTTTACGTTGAACAATCAGTCCCAGAAGGAACTGTCCAACGAGCAACTGCAGAAGTGCGTAAAGTTCGCAGCATTAAAGATCAACGGGAATGCTGCCGCTCCTACAGCTGCGGCTCCGATTTCACAACGGGGTACCTTTTTTGTTTAACGATTTTTGCCTGATTCTTCCGCAGTACTTTATATACTTCTATAACACTGCATGTCATGATAGTTATTCATTTATCTGCATCAGTGAAATATGATAACTCTAAGTTTTATGTAGTGGTTGAAACTGTGCAAGCAGAAGAGGATCCGGCCTCTTCAAACGAACAAGAAGCTCGTTTGGGCAACTCCGTACAGACTGGAGATGCAACCGTTATCGCATCGGGAGTCTCCCAAATTCGAGGTAAAATAAATATTTGAAAAAGGCAAAAAAAGGGAGTAATAGGTAATAGGAATAGGAGTAATAGTGTTTGCAAAGTTAGTTTGTTAGGTAGTATTTGCAAAGTATCCCTACATTAGGAGAGAATGCAAGATAAAACACATTTTCATCAAAAATTTTAAGTATTTTGTCAGTCGATAATCTTCTGAGATTTCTCTGAAAAATTTTAATATAAGAATACGCCACAGGACTGATACGAGGGCAACAACGGCCAAAACTTTGATTGATTGTACTCTGGAGTCTGGCTTACAGTACACACTCCCGTCTGCACTAAGGTTTGCACTAAGGTCACCACGTGCGTATACACTACGTTACTCACTTTTTATAACACGTACTACAGCAAGTAAATTTTTTCGGTGAGCGCTACTGTCACTACAGTCCATCATAATTTGACTAATGCCACTACAAAAAAATTATTTGAGCCTTATTGTGAAACCACACAATCCTAATGACATTTCAAGTAATCAGTTGACCATTTGCTTAGTGCTAATGCTACTATATCACATGCCTTACCTTATCCAGATTTCCAGATTCAGATATATTGCCCCGAATGGGATACACCACAGCCACCAAAAACCAGAGAAGACCGACCAAAACCAATATTACATACTGAAAGCCCGTAGTCGAAAACCCGGCCAGATAGTATTCATTTCTTTCAAAACAGCTCCTGCTTCGAAAGCCAAAGAAAAAACTGTTTCGAAATGTTGGCAGCAAATGTAGCGAAATTGCAGTTGTGATTATTATTAGTTATCTTTAACCAAGCGATGTTGCCAAAATCAACGTAAAAAAATTAAAAAAATATAAGTAGTCCAGGACTCTAAGTGGCTTTCATTACATTGAAATAATTAAGCCGACCATCGCAAAGCAACATTGCGCCATTGCGCTTCTAACAAGAGCATTGCGCAAAAAAAGAGCATTGCGCTTCTTCTACAGAAGTACCGGCCAAGCAGACGACGCTAGGATAAAATCATTTTGTATTGGACGATCACCATAAAACATGCTAGGTGAGCAGGTGACCAAGCTTTGTGCTAACCAATGCACAGAGCCCGTTAAGGAACCAGTTTTAAATTAAATCACTTTTGCCGTCGATTATCGCCGTTGCGTGCATGACACACAACCGTCAAACACTACCATTTTCGGGATATATCCACGTAACGTCGAAGTGTTTGTTGTGGGACTGTAGCTCTCCAAATTCTAGATCTTTATTACCACAAAAAATAAAAAAGGTTACACCAACCTAGCATTCCTGTACAGATTCAGCAAAAGCCGTCAGCATAATCTGAAAGCCCATATTCCAGTACCCGGCCAGACGGTTTCAGTTTTTCTAAAAACTTTATCAAACTGATCCTTTAAAACAAACAAATCCTTTCGGCAAACCTGAACCACCGAAATATCTGCCTACTTTATTAAAGTACATCAGTACTTAGCTGAAATATAGAATTTAAGTAGCTATGTTGGTAATTAAAAAATTCAATTAAAAATTAAAGACCTTTCAAACTTTACATAATACACTACCGAATACATCAGTAACATTTCTTAAAAACTACCTTTTTTGAAATTTATCATGCTGGTCGACGGAGAACAATCTTGCGATAGCCATAAAAGCATTGTGCATATCGATAACGGTCAGTTAACGGTAACGTTCGCAATACAGTAAAACTTCAAAAAAAAATTAAGTTAACTGCGACTAAAACATTAAGTTAGCGTGACTTACTTAACCTGGGCCAGCTCTCTTGCCACGTAATCCAAGCAACACAAAAAAATAACGAAGAAGTTCTTATTAGAACATTTCCGTCGGTTAGGACCAGAATTTTAAAGGACAGAATTTACGAAAGAAATTCGTTAAGAATGCTTTGTTACTTGCAAGCCTAATGCTGCTGGTTTGAAATTACCGGATTTCTTTGTTACAGCCTCGTTGGCCGCGGAAGTGAACACTCTGGATTCGTCGCACAGTCCACTCCGCGACGATGAACTTCCGCCATTGTCAGAACAGGTAAAAACTAGAGGCTTAGCAAAATAAAAATCATCAACTTTAAAATATCTTCTTGTCTTGATTTTAAAACCGATTTGGAAGGCAACAGCTGAGGCCAAGTCTTGAGCCAAATAATTGTTCATACCAGTAGCAAAAGAAACACAAAAATACCAACATAGCTCATAAAGATTAGTGGTACATGTACCATCGTTTACTGTATATTTTCGGTACTACGAGTATAAGGTGGCGTTCGGAGACGGCCGGTATGTTTATGTACATGGTGGCGCCGCAAGAACGGTGGCCCGGGACAAAGCATGGTGTGACCGTGGTGTGCGGGGCTTGATGGTGGTGAAAGATATTGGGAGGAGACTTCGGTAGTAAAACATGGTGTGCGTAAGTTTCGGAACTTCAACACATTTGTTTATTTCTGCAAAGTGTAATTTGCTGTACAGTGTACACTCAAATTTTGTGACAGTTCAATTATGTACGATTAAACAGCGCTTGTCACAACTTAGTGGTAACATGTCCACTATATACCGGCCGCTCGGAGCGTACAAAACCAAGTAAACTTTACACCATTTGTATGTGCTTTACTTTCATATTCGATACATTGATTTTAGGATGCAATGTCCGATGCGTCGGGCAGCACGACAGGACGAAGCAAGGAGACCATTCCCTTCGAAGAAGTGGATGGCTGGTAAACAAATTTGGGGCAGCTGCAAAAACCACTACAATAGTACTGTATTGTGTGCCTACTACGGCAACAGCCTTATCCCTAGTCCTTATAAGTTGTTTCCATACGTATAATAAAATTGCTGTTTTCCAGGATTAGCGATAACTTTTTGCCGAGCGCAACAGCACAACTAAAGAGCGATCTGATTTGGCAGTTCTTCGAACGGTATAACGGCTATAAAGTTTTAGCAAACAACCGATCAGTTTCTGAATACATTTTCTAAAAGTGACAACCGTGGCCACATGTGGTAGGTTACATGACTCGCTTTGCGAGTATGGAGCGCAAAATATTAGAAATTGGTAGCCTTAAATAGCGCATTACATTAAGAAGTGCTTCTTGAATAACATGGGGGGTTAAATACGAAAAGGTGTGTCCTGAAACTGAATCGGTTGTAAAGAAAAATGGAAAGCATGGGACTGTAATTACCTACTTTTGTTTCGTTGCATTGTTAAGATATTTAATATTCCAGGTTCTGCGCGAGCAAAAATTATGCCCCAATGCCAAACTTCAAGAAAAGCCTTGGCCGGCGTTTGTCAAATCGGTTCAATGTTCCAGGGGGTTACAACTGCGGGAAGAAGAGTGTTAAAGGGCAAAAGCGGTCTGGTATTCAGTTGTCCGAAGATGGCAGTGCCGCATTCGAACGTTTGACTGGTCTCAATGTGGCTAAAATTATAGTTCGCTATTAATACGCCGTTTAGTTTATATGCATTGTAAGTCATGTCAAGTAACTGCGCAAAAATTGAGCTTCTTCAGGAATGTCTTTGCATGAATAAAACGGCCGACGAGGTGTAAATCAGAGCAACTGGAATGGGAGACAAGATAATGACAGTAAAAGTTCAAAAGTTGTTAAAAAATAGTGCGCGCAAAATCAATAAACAGAAGCTGAACAGAACTTCATGCATAACGCAAACTTAGTTACTGTGGACAAAGTGAATGGCGGCCGAAATGAATGACAGCCAAATTGATCGGTAGCCCCGCAAGGTGTTATCTAGTTTTGCGTTCATTGGCAAAACAGTAACAACGGCAACCGCCCTTGAAAACGTTGCAGCTTTGAATTGGTCAAGCCACTGCGAACGAAAGCGCCTTGTGAAACAGTTTTGAGCAGTTTCGTACTCGCAGACTTGCAAGAACTCGACTCTGATTCTGAATTAAAGATATGCAAGGCAGAGGTCACACTAAATAACATGTACTTACTGTATTATTGTGGATTGTGCAGTGGTGCACACCCGGTGACAAGTTACACCGCATCATACGTTGTCACTTTACTGAACAACGTGTACGAGGCCAGTTTAAGTACTCGTATCAAATCATCCGTAAGGAGCAGTGCAAATCCCTCTCTACTAAAACAGGAGTGTAAACTGTACCATCTCCAGAAACGGTGAACAATGATTGCAATGCAGTTCATAAACTGAAGATCCCGCATCCAAAGCCGCACAGCGCTATGTATAGATATGGTGCAGCATCATTTTGATGTCCACAGATACAAGTTTTGAATAAACTTTTTAGAACAAAATTTAAAGTCCATGGATAAAAGTTTTGAACAAGTGTTTAAATTAAACTGGCCGTGTAAAAATTGTACAATAACGTTATAACGTACGATGCGGTGCATTGCCCATAGGCTACAGCATAGTGGAGAAACGTTTCTTAAAAGCGTAGGCTGAACTGCCTAAGCATAGTTTCCTCTAAAGCGGATAAAAACGGGTTACGAGTCTTACGACCATTATGATTATTATGTATTTTAGCACGCCAATTGCAGCACTATTAGTTGGAATCATTCAGCCGTACACGTCCAGGTTTCCCCAATTCACCATGAACTAAAATGTTTCATTGGCTACAATACGGATGTACAATACAAATGTTTCATTGGCTACAATACAGAGCAAAACCCGAGTAGTAGCGTTAGTACAGCCTAAAATCTACATCATAGTCCAAACCAGAGTAGTCAGTTTCGTACAACGTAGAGTCTAAATTAAAGTACACACCAAAGTAAAAAAGTTAGTACAAGCACTACAAACGCTATTAAACGTCATCCCAAATTTCAACATTATACTTGCTTGGTCTTCTTCTTGTACTTCTTAAATCGACGCGGCTGACGTTTTAGTCTAGAATTTCTCGCCTTTGCTTCTCGAATTCCGGCTGTAGAAACCTGACTCAACAAAGATTTTGTCCGGTGTTTTTGAATTAAGGCAGCGCATTTTACCGCCAGCTGAATGTTCTCTGGGCTTCTATTGTCTGCAGCGTCAACTAAAAAGTCTCGGAGCGTCTGCAAACACTGTGTATATTTTGACCCAGGCTGTTGTGGCCCTTGAGGGACAGCCGAAGTAAACGGCAGCGTGGGCATCGGAACGTCAGACTCCTGGGCGAAATTTTCAAAACGGACCGAATCAACCTACAAAAAAATGTTAATTCACTGAAAGTACCAAATTGAGCAAACAAGTGTGTTTCGTACTGATTGTGGTGAATCTTCAGAAGAAAAAGAAATCTGAAGATGTGCGTTTTCGGATAGGCAAAGCAGATGAACATGATTACAAGCCCGAAATCCTCCCACCGCAGCGGGACAGTCGCAAGAAAAACGGTGTAGACAAACCGCAACATTGCATCCGGCGCAAAAGGTTTCGCAGTTTTTGGTTGCGCAATCAGCGATAATAATGACGTGTTCATTTCCAGAATTCAAGTTCTTACAAACAAAGCGGGATTCTGCCTCCTTTTCGAACGAATACTTGGAAATTACTTTTGCGGCCTCCCGGTGATTTCGTTTGATTTCCTGCTGCCGATACGATGGTTTGGCAGTCACAGTATCAGTAAAACGTTTAATTTCCAACTGCTCGATGTAGTCCAATAAGCCCCCAAACAACTCATCGATTCGCATGCCGGTTTTTGCATTCAGATGTACACGCTTAAGAACTCTAAAATATACAAACAGCACAAACTTCATCACTGGTTCATACTTATAGATTGCAGAACATACTGATACTAGATTTAGTTAATTACAATGAGATCAGTGCTAACAGTAAGCGCCCGGAACTCAGGGCTAGAGCTTGGCATTTGAAATTATTTCCGGCTGACGCTGCGATTACAGAATGTTGTACCGTACAGTCTTCCGTTCGTGCTATCAGAGAATAATCAAGGAGTAAGGTCTATATTACAACAACTCGTAACCTCGGCATCCGAAAAACTAGAGATGACTACAGAAAATTAGGATCCACATTCGATTCAGCTAGGTTAGAAACTGTGTCACATGTTTTTTTATTCAAAAAAGATGACCTCCTAAGTGGGCTCACAGATGCCGGTACCGGTACCGGTCGAACGATAAATCTTAAGGGAAGTGGGCCGGTACATAGTACCAAATTGGTGTACAGGCACGAAAACTTTCACTTTCGCGCACTCCCAAACACATTTTTGTTTCGGTTTGTGACATTCTATAGCCAGAAGATTTGTATACACTGGCGTGAAAACCGTTTGTGCGCGCAACATCCGGTTCGGGAGTTATGGCTATTAGAAAATTCCAAAAAGTTTAAATGCGTTCAGGTGTACCAAAAGTCTCATTATGGACCGATCTCCCTCAAATTTTGCACGTAAATGCACATAACCACGAAGATCGTCTTTACACCGATCCACTGTTCTGGCATGTCTTTCATATTTTAAAATGAATTTCAAAAATTTTAAAATTCATTTTAAAATTTGAAAAAATCATGGAAGTCTGGATCGGTGTAAAAACGATCTTCATGGGCGACATTGGAAAGAATTTCCTTTCAATTCATTCGAGTCGCTAGCGGGTGTACTCAGATATAAAAATCTGTTATATAAAATACTTAGTGTTATTACTTAATTAATAAGGAAACAGCAGCTAATGTTCTACTGTGCAGTACTCGTAGTGACCTGGCTATCACTACAACACGACTTTGCTGATAGATTGGTCAAACCTACGGCACGGATCAGTACATTGATTACCGGCCTTCATGCGGCGTTTTAAATATCCTGTTATCTGATATCGTGTGTTGCAGTTTGCAACTTGCGCTTTTAATTTTTTTGTGGCATTTTAAGTGGTAATGAATATGCAAAACGCCTGACCACGGGCCGCCACAAGGTTTTAGTTTTCTCATTTTTTACGTTGACTAAGTTCTTTTAACTGACATGTTTTACGCCGATGCCGTTTTCGGTGAACTAAGAGGCCGCCTTGAGGCTTGCTGAATAAACGGAAGTCAGAAGACGCATTACTCACATTACTTTATAACTTCTAACTAGTCAAGACCAACTTGCGAACGCGATTTTAATTCTTTTAAAACGTTTAAACTTTGGTAACAGTGCGAGTCTACCCATACCACCATCCAGCAATCAATAATAACTACTAGTATGAGTACAACGTTTAACACTTTCATTTGTACTCAGCTTACAGTATCCTTCAGCACTAACGTCTACACTAAGGTCACTACTTCCTGGAGCAAGTATATGAACTAACTGTGAATTTGCGGGTATACCCGGTACTCGGCCGGTAGTTCTATACTCGTATAATACAGGAGTATTAATAATATTATTATAAACTACGATTACTTACATAAATTTCAAAATCCCACTAAGTGTGTGATTTTGAAGTATGACTACCAAAACTGCCCATACACAGACGGGAGCGGCTCGACCATGCAGTGCTTGTTTAGCGCGCGTTTAGTACGTCTACATCTGAACTATACTGCAACCCTTAAAAAAATACTACTTGTACAGTATGATCTACACTCTACAGTGTAATAAAACGAAATTTACCAGCACTCTCAAAATGGACTAACCTATGAAAGCTTTCAATGAACGCACTGGTCGAAAAGGCAGCGCCGATGCGATACGGCAGTGACCATTCGCTTATTCGTTCCAGATACTGAGATAAATAGGAAAACACCTTCCTGTCAGTGCTGACCAATCTGATAAGTTTGGCGCTTTCGGCTTCCGCTTCAGATATTCCACGTGCATACATAATGTTGCCGAACAGTTTTTTTGCATCAGTAATCGAGCGGGCGTTTCGATCGAGCCACTGATTTACATTCTTTCGGACATGCCAAGTACAAAGTATTTTTTTGGCTTCGCCTCCAATCACTTGTTGGTAAGCGTTAAAAAACGCAGGAGCATCATCAGATAAAAACCACTGCGTATGGAAATCCAAAATTTGTCGTTTCAATATTTTGAAAAAAGCCGAAACTGTCAACTCGTCTTCGTGGTTCGAAATGCAGTGACCAACTGGGAATCCACGTTCCGAAGCATCGATGCCCATGAGCGTTATGAGTTTGAATCCACGCTGACCACAAACACCATGTGTTGCATCTATGCATAGACTCTTGCGGTTGAGTCTTTCAAGCTGTGCCCTTTGAAAAGGCGTCTGAACAACAGCTATAAAATACGACTCGGGTAATTCTGGGAACTGGCCACATTTTTGTGAGATGTTCTTCAGGTATAATAAATTTCTTTCCTGTAATGGAACCGTACTCTCGTACGCCGCTTCAGCTCCCATTGACTGGTATTGACAGGTCTGTAATGGCTCCCAGTCCAACTTTAATTCGTGACGAATGTTGTATACATCTTTCAAAGTGATGTACAAAGCACGCGAGTGAACACCCTCTACAAAGTTAGTATTACATTGCAATTGGGCGCAATCAATGTAAAACACTTTAATATTCTTACAAACCTTTCTGGAGTTTTTCCCATGCCCTTTTCCGCACATCTCGCACTATCAGGCGCGGGTCTGCGCCTAAAGCCAGTCTGCTTCCGATATCGAGTCGTAATTTTTCGGAAATTTTTTGGGTATGAAGGTCAGCGTTAACATCGTGACCATAATGGTGTTCACAGTAGGACGCTACCACTCTTTCACTTGCGATTTTCACCTGAAAAATAGATCTGTTGTTGTTATCATTATATTTATTAGTATAACATCTGTATTTCGTCGAAACGTGATAAGTATATTGCAACAGCGCAAAAACACAGATTTCGTATAGAAACAGGCCATAATTCTTTCCACCTCGAAACCATTCTCTTTGGCTGTGCAGACAATTTTACCATAATCTCCATACCAGGGAACAAAACGGTTCACGTTTACACGTTACATCCGCTGACGAAGCCGTTTTGATGAAGATTATGGTCAAGCAAGATTTTAATTTGTTTACCCAAATTCTCCGCGTTATTAAGTAGCGATGAGAAAGACATTCCCTGGCGAGGTCGGTTTATTTGCATGAATAGCGAAACTCGGTTTACTTGTATGAATAGTGTAACCCGTGAATTTTCCATAACTGCACGGGTCTGGTGCGCACAATATTCTGTACTTCTACAGTCGGCATAAACTAAGTTGTAATCAATAACAGCATAGTGTTTTACACTTCGCTTTACAAGCACCTGTGCACTAATGTTACCACTTGATAAATACCGGCAGCTGTGCACTAATGTTAGCACTTGCTAAATATGGTCTACTCTGCACTATGCTCTACATGACCTTTGTTACTAGTTTCGAAAATTTATTCTGTTACCTGATGTATGATTTACTAACAATGCTCTAAAAGACTAAAACGTACCTTAATAAAAGCGGTACATTTGAGCTTTCGTTCTTTTTTCAAAATCCCGTCTCCGGCACATTTAAAATTCCGAAAACAAGAATACATTCTGAAAGAACTTTCGGTTCCTGTTTTTTTCTCTCCATTGGCGTGATTGAACTGACTAGCGGTGACATCTTCAAAATCAGCTTTCCAAGACAAAAATTCGTCGAACGTTTGAAATGCCTTCTCTTTCACGCTGAATTCAGTCCGATTATGAAAAACAGATAAATGTGAAATCAAAGACTCAAGATAATAAAAGGCAAATTGGCAGTCCGGCTCTTGACATTTTCCCGCTACGACGCAAATATAGTATTTTAGTTTTCACAAGTTTATCTCGCAGTCTTATTTTTAACCCACCAATTGTTGGAACCGCAAATTCTGGATGGTACTTTTTTACGTGACGGTTTAAGTTTGACTTCGTCGAAAAGGATTTATCGCCAACACAGTGAGCACAGCGCAGATCTGTAGACGACATATTTAAGATAAGCCGACAATATTTAACCAAAAAATACCGCTGGCCCAATGGATAACATTGCAAAATGATTTTGAATTTCTAAAGAGTCGAGCATGTCTCACTATTTAAGACTAGGATAACTCTTTCAGAGATTGCAGTAAGAAAATGTAGGAAATTTGATTACTGAATCTCATGGCATCGTTATTTACCCATGCAGTTATCAAGTACCGCATGTGCATTTTTCGTTTTTTTATGATTTTATTGCAGTGTGCTTCGTACGCTCAGAAGCGCTATTACAGTTCCGAATTCCAACTTCCAGTGGATTTCGGGAGAGTTAGAGAGTGGATGGATGCGCAAAACGCTGCCACCGAGCAATACGTAAGTCCATAAAATGAACTGAATTATACGAATATCACACATCCCAACCCCCCAGCAGGATCGGATCAGAGCACAGACTCACGTATAATACGTTTTCTGGTTTCAAAATGTCGAGCTTACTCGAAAATGTCCCTGAAGCCTTACCATGGCTGCCAAACGTGCACTGCTTCCAGCAGTACGCTTTGTAAACGCTTTCGGTTCGCTCCCTGTAACTAACATAGACTTCATAGTACTCATGGACAGAGTTTTTGGCAGAGCGTTAATTTTTGCGCTTATGCGACAGAGCGCAATATGCCCGCTGCACCTTGGCGCATACATATCCTCATCTTTATGATGGACCCGCAGGCCATTTGGCATGGTGAGTGACTTGGGTATAAAGTATTTCCCTGATGTCATCAATTTCCGTTTTTATCCGTTTCTAATGTGGTTGTTAGGCCGTAGCAGCGCTAGCAGAATTATAAACTTTCAAAAAATTTTCCGGTCCATTAGGTGGTAATTCGTTTTATGTTTTCAAATGTTCTTTTTTATTTTAACTTTTATATGATCTTGAGCCCCGTCTCGCAGATTTCAGGCTCTGTGAAACTCGCGAGGAGTCGAAAGCCACATACAGCGGGCCATTTGTGAACGAGTGCTGTGTGAACTGTGTGTTTACCATATTTCGTTTGACCACGTCCAAGTTTAACGCGTTGTTTATTTTCTCTGGGAAAATTATAATTCCTTTGGATTTATTTGTGGGAAACTTCCGAATTTTGACATCTTTTGCATTTGCTAAACTGCATCAGGAATCACCGTTGGCCGTTTGCGCGCACTTTCATTGCATTCTGCGCGACATCATGAGCAGCGCTGCGCTTTCAGCACTTGCTGTGTGAGCCTTTGATTGACACGGAGCATGAAATTCGATCTTTGTAAAAGGATAATCTTTCGTCCTCTGTGAATCGTTCGCGCAATGGTGCCTGGCGCGAAAACGGAAAATTGCAGATTACCGCGGATAATTGGATGACTATTGTTATTAATAGACTGCAAAAACTCACAGGAGACATTGTTTCTTGTATTGCAGCACACAAAAGACCCCGCATATCTTTCTTTGTTGATCATTATCGATTTTTCGCATATACCGACCACCGTGCACGGCCTACATGCTGGAGTGGAAATGACACAACGGATGCATTGCTCCTGCTCCCACCTGCCCGATAATTCATGTGATTCATGTGGATAATTGCGAAGATAAAGACGCCAGTAATCCGACCATTCTGCCTGTTAGGCCGACCATCATGGCACGAACGCGACGAGCCCGTTGCGAGTTGAGTCAATTGTTGCCGACATTTGCCGCATGGTTTCTCATTATTACCATTACATCACTGTATCTGGCCTTTCCGTAAGTGTTCAAGTAGGGAGCTCGGATTTCAAGTGGCTACTTGAGCGAGAGCATTCCTCGGGAGTTTGGGGAATTGATAATCATGGGGATTCGCTTTCCCATCTCCGGAGTGCTTTTCGCTTCCGAGTGCTAGATAACTAGATATGCCTTTTTGTTACGCCATTAAACAGAAAACGATGAAAAAAATTTTCAAGCTATTGTCACCTTTTTTGCATAAAGTGCAGTTGAATTCGAAGTGACGGCGACGATTTATTCGTTATTTTTTTTTCCAGGGCTTATCAGTTGGCGGTACAACACAGTGTTCTGATACCCATTGTCAGCGCGCTACTGCTTCTTATCATCATGTCCAATTTAGCTGTGGCGACATTTATGGATCCAGGATTTCTGCCTAGAGGTAAATATATATGTTTTTAAATTGAAGTTTTTTAATTATACAATTTTCGCGTGGAATTTTGGATAAATTTTTCTTTTTAAAAAGTATAGTTACACCTCGTTTCTACGTATTTTTGTTGTGGCTTAAATCAAAATTGAATATAGACTGTATATATGTACAGTGTACTGTGTAGTTTTGGCATTGCGTGTGGTTTTGGCTTTTTGTAGGACATTTCAGTACGGTACTTACCGACATTGTCAAATGCGGTATATTTGGTTAATTTTGTGTTATATCAAGCATTTTTATTGATTCTCGCATGGAATATGAAACACGCTTCCCTTTTCAAATTCGGGCAATTGATTTTCTGTCATTTTGATTAGTCGTGAAGTTGATGTATGATCCGGCAGGCGATGGAGTAAAGGGTATTTTGCTGTATAATTAGGTGTCGTTAATGATGTTTGGCACGTTGTGGCACTTTCGAAGACTTCTCTTATTAAAAGTAATGAATGTAAACCGCATAATTACTCTGTTGTGACCGTTTCTGTCGGCAAAACTTTTCAGCAATCTCGCTTTTTGAATTTTGTTGAGCAAAATTTTAAAGAGCGTTTTTAGGGTCCAGCTGCGTCGAAATAACGAATTAATGTGGTATGTTTTCTAACGAACTGTGATCGGTAGTAAATTAGTACGAATTGAAATTTGGGCAGGCATCTCCAGAATTTTTTTTAAACCAGTATTGGTTTGCGATAAAGTCGCGTTTAATATGCGACAGTTGGTGTACTTTACCAGCATATTTAAGATTGCCAGTTAGGTCGTGCTATTTTGATCAAATAATCCATTGCTACTGAATGGCCCCAAGAAAATTGAAAATTTATGTTCTACTTTTTGTGAAAGTGATCCGCATGTGGTTATGCTCTTGCGCTGCATGCAGCGGCGCGTGTCTGCAACTGTCATTCTGTCAAGCGCGCACTATCATCACCATCCGATTATTGTCGTTATTTTCTAAAAGATTTAACCATAAGGCGCTTACACGGCTGTCAGTGAAAGACAGACGTTTCTCACGAGGTGATTTCCTCTCTATGCCGCTTGCTGTGCAGGGGATTTTGATAAAAGTGGAGCATCTGGTTGTTGATTTAAAAACTAGTTATTTGATAACGCATTATTATGCCGCCTCCTTTATCTGCCGCCGTCTGATGATACTCGTTTGCACTAACTGTTGATTCTGCCATTGTAGCGGCTCCTGATGAACCTATACCGGAAGAGGCACCAGCCACCTACCGGATGGTTACCATTAACGATGTGCAGTTGAAGCTGAAATACTGTTCGACTTGCAATTTCTACCGACCTCCTCGTGTATCGCACTGCAGTACATGCAACCGCTGTTTGGAAGTTTTTGACCACCACTGTATGTGCGCATGTTTGTTTTGCATTATACAGTAAATAATGCGTAAGGAGGACTCATACTACTAACTACTACTAATAATAATAATACCGATTTGCTCATAAAAAAATTTGATCCAGAGTTGTTAAAGCGACTGTTTTTGAAATTAATGCACAAGATTTTAAAATTATGCTGATTTTTTTGTTGTGGCGTTTTATTTACGGTTTTACTAAAATTGAAATTTTTATTGGCTTGGTTAAGGAAATTTTTAATGAGCCAGCCAAAGAACGGAATTAAAAGTTTTTATAACAATTTGTCATGAAACAGTAGAATTAGCAAGTAGGTCGTTACTTCCATTAATTATCCGTTCTCGGTTGGTAAGACTCAGTGCTGTTTGCCGCAGCCGCGGATGACATGCTAAGAACATGCTGCTCTCGTCCCGATAGCAAATCGTTTGGAAATATCGTTAATCCACAGGAAGATTCATTCCACATGAGTAGTTGCTGTAGCGCCTGGGCTTTGGGACCTGTTTTTACGCGCCAGGCCCCAAAGGCCGTTGGCTGATTACATTATGAATAACTGTGCAACATATATTATCTGAACAGGTCCATGGGTGGCCAATTGTGTTGGCCGGCGGAATTACCGCTTCTTCTTCATCTTCCTTAACACCCTGACCATCCACATGGTGATCTGTATAAGTTTCTGCCTAATGTACATTCTCACTCATTTGGATGCACTGACAACACCCAATGTGCTCGTATCGTAAGTGATTTACATTTTTCCCTCTGTATAGTCCGAGATATATGTATGGCTTTCATTAAGCGGCGCATTTCGATGGCCCATTGAGAAACGATCGATTGAGCCTTGAGAGTAGCTGTTTGCTTTTATGGATGTAGGATTGGCATTGCCGTTGTGGTTGGATTGCTGTTGCTTCCGGTGGGTGGCCTTACCTTCTTCCATATCAGTCTAGTCAGCCGCGGCATGACCACAAATGAACAGGTATGTGCTGTTTTCTAAACTGCCATACTGAACTGTTATGCATTTTCACAGTACAGTAATTAAAGTTTTGGGTTTTGGTGCAGACTGTGCTAACCATAAGTAATAGCGGTTAGTTGTGCAGCCCTGGTCCTAAGTTTTGTTTACAAATCTAGTACTTACATACAACATTCTCTCCCTGGCTTCAATTGATATGGTTTGAAATTGGTATTGTTTTAAATTTTTTCTGCAGTATTTTTTTCAGGTATTGTTTTTTGCTTAACAAATTCTGCATTTATTGCACTTCGCAGTTGGCATTTAATTCCATTTATTATAGCCGACATTAAACAGTTTCACGAGATCAGTAATGCTAATTTATTCAGCCAGGAATGTAGAAAACAACAGAGTGTTTGTTCGTGTACGATGATTTTATGGCCGCACTTAAATTGCTATAACGCAGATCTTGGACAGTCAGCTTCTTGTCTTGGGTAATGAAGTGGTAATCATAGGAAATAATTTTTCTGAATTTCCGTACGGCACCTGCCATTTCCAGAAAGGAAATGGTAATTGTTTGGCATAAAAATATTGACAACCTTTAAAGTTATGTGAACGAAGACGTTTCGGCTGATTGTCAAATTTCCAACCGGTTTTAGTGTTTCAGGAAAATCCGTAACTTTGTCGTAGGTAGAAGAAAGCATCTGATTTTTTTTTAATACTGCTGTTAGGTTAAAACTTATTTTATTTTGTTATTTACGAGTCCACAATCAGTGTTTTTAAGGTTTTAAGGTGCCACAACATCATTGTTAAGTAGCCTGACAAATGACTGACAATAAAATATGGACAATTTTATTACGGTGCTTATTGTTTTGTGGAACAGACCGTAAAGTAACCTATAGTTGTACGTGCTACTCGGTAGGCTGTATTTGGTAGTCTCATGCATTACAATAGTCCATGCTTTATTAAAGTTTTATGATTTTGCAGGTTACAGGAAAATTCCGACACGCGACAAATCCATTTGATGATGGTTGTTGGGCCAATTGTTGTCAAGCATTGTGTGGGCCGTTGTATCCCAAGTGCGACTCATTTTGATCCGTTCTCGTGGACGAATCATTCTTTCTCGGGTTCCAGAGATTTATTTTCTTTTTTGCATAGGTTGCCTGAATCGTTAAATGATTCCCAGTCTCTTCGAGCGTCACTGTTAAATCAGCAGCTAAAAGGCCAGAATCTTGGTTTATTTTCGCCACAATCTTCGCCTAAACATATGGCCAAATTTGTAAAAACACGAACGAAAGATAGCATTGATGAGGTGAATGCACATCCTTAGCATATCCATAAGTTCGGTACCATTACTCGGGATGCCTCCCTTATTCTTTTTTTACGGATTTGCGGTTAGTCAGAGTCTGACTTGAGATAGGATTAATAACGATGGTTTGTCTAAATTAATTATGTAAAAAGCGAGTTGTACAGATAGTGTTGCATGGTACATTATATTGATTTTTTAAAACACAGGTTATCAAAACTTTACTTCGTATTCTAGATTTGCCAGATGTAAATAATCAGTAAATTTTCGTAAATGTAATTGAGTGTCATTACAACAATCTTGAATGATTAAGCTAAGTAGCTACTAGTTAGGATAAATTTTGTGATTTTCTCCGATATAATTGTAAATACCGCAAATTGAAAGATGGTGACACTTACCAGTTAGGCTGTTAGAATTTTTTGCGTGGGTGGAATTGTTAAAGAGGTAATTATCAAGGCCATGTTTCTTTACAGCACAGCAGTTTATCATCCATTGACAGCGGTGAGCCGCCTCCGCGCGTCATCGTCCGCAATGGCCGTCCCAGTCGTCAGTTGGGCCCGGGTCTGCCTATGACGACTACAACAGCGGTAATGGCATCGCCCATCTACTCACACAAGAATCTCCGGACGGTCACTCACGATCTCCCCTTTCCCGTGGACCGGCATATATCCGCCCAGCAGAGCGTACCTCTCCTTTCCCAGATGCCTCTCCATTCCGCTCCGCCGCCCACTATAACGCGGTCCACCATTGCCAGCCCGAAATTCCGTGTTATCCGCCACTCCGGCTCACCGGAATACGATAATGTCGCCAGTGCACGCGGCGATACCGCAGCGGAAAAGGCTAATCGAGACGCGGATGTTGTGGTATCCTTTAAGCACGTCAATGTGAAACGGAATAACAATCCACTGCCGAGTGATATGGCAGCAGCCGATACGCAGCAACATCAACCGGAGGAAGTGCATATTACCATGGAGACGCCGGGATATGAGCTGGCGCCCCGGCGCAAAGTGGAAAATGCACCCTCACACGTGACACCGGCTTCCGGTGCGACTTCTTATGGAAATCAGCTGAAGAAGACTATTGAAATGCGTAGGAATTTTTAGTTATGTGAGTTTGTTTTTTGTTCTTTTTGGATTTTTTATGGGGTTTGAATTGGTCTGTGATGGGAGTGCCAAGCTGCTGGGGACTGTCAGGGATTTTAGCTAGTTGTTATTGCAGCTTTTTAAGGTTTGTATTTTTCCATGTGTCAGGTGGTTGACATTCCGGTCCAAATTGTTTTTTGTAGTCTAATGTAGATGCTGTTTCTTGTTCTTTGCTCGTTTCTATAGAACTGTTTAGATTAGATTGAATGTAGATGATGTGTCATGTTCTGGTCAAGACGACCCGGTTTGGAAATCTGAAGAAATGTGAGGAATTCAACTTGAAAAGTGAACGTGACAAGCAAAGCAAGGGTTGCGAGTAAAATTTTTTCAAGAAATACGAATACAAAAGCGATTATAGGTCGCAAACAGCGCAATTTTAATTTTTTTAACCGCCGAAAAGCGCATTTGGCTTTTTTTTAGCTTCTTTTAGAAATGTACAGTCGATACATTTCCAAATCCCACAAGGCACAAGTATAAACCAAAAAAAATAAAAACAAAAAATCTAATCTTCTAAAAAACCACAAGCGGGGATATGTACATTTTGTATTCAACGCTAAAAATAAAAAATTCCGCAAATACGCCATTAAGAGCGGGTTCCAGAAACAAATTTGGCATAATTCGTCGTCATAAATTCCTCCATGAGATCAGCGGTGCAGTCCGGTAGCTCGCCAACTTCCTTACCTAAATACATTACCAAATTATAAGCTTGGGACGCTACTCTAGGAGTATTATATCATGCACAAAACCTACCAATATTGCCCGCGAAAATCGTAAAAGGCGGTATTATTGTATCAGGAGCGACGAATGTATTGTCAGCTATGGAAATACAATCTCGCAGCACGCATCCTCGGCTCTGTAAAGCAGTTAAAGTAAGGAACTGAAAAAACTATTTGTAAATCGATGTTCTGCAAACAACGAAACATCTGCCGTTAATTTAAACATCGACGTTGTTCCAGCATTGCGCCTGGAACAGCAGTACTGAAATACGAGCCGTACATCAGCCGCAAAAAAAATGCAGCACAATTCTGCAACTGGCGATACCATGGATAGCAACCAAAACATCGGCAACAGGAAAAATCACAACTTTTAACTGGCACACGTACCACAACACAGTTGTGTCCAATATAAACATGACTCCCTATGGAAGCGGCTTGCACTACACTTTTCTCGCCGATATATACAAAATCCCCAATATTCAAACTTGAATACATAAAACTTATGGGAACAGCTGCAGCCGACTGTGGAGTGCTCTGTCTGAAAACAAAACAGAATTTTTTAGTCAAGCCTGAATTTTCAAAACTTTTATACGATCTCACATGCTATGCGCCTACACAAGGATGAAGGACGCAATAGCTCGCACTAAATTTATTTCTTTGAAACACACAATTACAAGGCTCCGTCCATGTTCAGTGTTTTCATACTTCTTCTTTTTCACGTTACTCCATATAATATCTCTCGACAGCAACAAAATAACGACAAACCAATGAGACTATTAACATGCTGCGACATAATTATTTTTTTGCTTGATAACTTACACTCGCGCCAATGGTTTGTATGACGGTTTCAGGATAGCGCCATGCGATAAAACAAAATATCGTCCAATTTTTACGGTGGATAAATCAGCGCGGATAACCGAGTCGTGCTCCAGAATTGACTGCACCAATTAAAAAACGATTAGCACACCAGTAACATGACTGTTTCCTGCAACACGCATTAAATTTTTCCATTTTGTGCTACTTTACAATGTTAGTAGAACGCTAGCGGCTATATACTGACAATGTGAGTAAGTAACAATTAATTATTTAACCATTTACCGTGAAACTTGCAATCTTCGAACGATAAACCCGTACCTTGCCACTTAAAAGAATCTGCTGGCTTCCACATAAGATGGTCTTTTTCGACACCTTGTTCCCGGTGTTCTGCAACGATAATGCTTTAGCCAAAACGATATTTGCTGATTTCTTATCCATTCATATTTACCGACAATAGTAATACTGGTTTGAATAAGAATTAACTGTTTCAGCGCTATGGCACAAAAAATACGTATTTCAAATCTCGAGAATCAAAATTTAAGTCACCGTTACGGTTTACCGTTTCCACATAATCTCGGGGATTATATAAGCGTTCCGGAGGCTCCAACATTCTCCTGCAACTGAGCAAAACGCTCAAAACTGAAGGGAAATATTAGGCAATGTCTATTCCACAAAAAGATCCACAAAAACAATCAGTTCGCCCAGTTCGGGAGATACATAAGCATGGGAGATACATAAGCATGGGGATAAGCATGGGGTATTTTTCGCAGTACTTGCAGTAAGTAGCTGAACAGCAAATTATACTGCGATCGCTGACTGGGAGATGAGGATCGTCACCATCATCAGATTCATGCAGTAATTTCTGATAAGAAGAACCAATAAAACATATTTTCCTTCATATCAATCATATGCGACCTAAAATCGTAGAAGTCAAAACTAATTTATTTCTTACAAATGTAAAAAACGATTAAATAAGTAAAAAGATCCAAAACATTCCGATGAATCCAAAAAGTAAAGCAGTCCTGAGTCGCTGAGGCATCCATAGAATTTTAATTGCTGACAAATACAGGGTTTTGTTTTGAGTTTACGCTCCGCCTACCCTAACAGCGGCTGCATCGACTGCATCCGGATTTAGTTTCTGTGAGAAGCTCAAGCCTTAAACCAGCACTGTTACACAGCGCAGATTTACGTAGTCCGGTATAGCGGCTCCGGTTTTTTGCTTTAGCTTTTGTTTCACAAAGTCTTATGACCATTCATCCGCTCTCAACAATTCTGATTCTGCAAACATTCGTTTTATCCTTTTTAATAGGTTGGCATCCTATAGAAATCTATAGATAATTCAGAGTACGTATTTTGGAAAGAGGCAACTGTTCTAACCAGGTTCATTTATTGCCCAGAAATTCGCTTTTGGCGGTATCTGCATAGACTGCATTGTACCAAGATACTATTTGGCTGCATTGGTTCGTTAGCTCAGCTGATTCTGTCGAGGACACAAGGTAATAAGCCGAAGATCGTAGATTTGGGAAAGTGACGAAAGTCGCAAGTTCGGGTGATTGAAAGTTCCTTGGAGTCTTCGTCCCCAGTGCCCCGCTCACTGTTTTGATCTTTCAGCTTTTGGCGTAACTAGTGGTTCTCGCTAGTTTCCGATATCTGTAGCGTGTATGTATTATTTCGTGTTTGTAAACATACTTACAGTGTATGGCGCCTGTTGTCCAGAAAGTGTGAGGTTGGCTGAGAAGGTTTTGACTGCTGCCTAGTTCTAATTACTTATACGGATACCTGCATCGTGCATGCTGGTTGCTGCAGCACCTCTTCATGTTTAACAGGACGGCCTCGTACGCCTGATCAGAACATTTTTGCTGTGTAGATCTGACATAACCTCACGCCTACATTGCCATGGACGGCTGGGGCGTTCCGGGCGATGGGGAAAATGCTGCTGGGTGGGATGAAGTGTATCCGCTTGGATCTTCATCTGATTCGGAAGGTGAGTTACCGTAAGCGCATGAGCTCCCTGCTGTTAAAAGTGGAAGTATTGTAACTGTTGTTAATTGTAGTAAACATTTTGCTTTCCGCAGCGGTCGAGTATTTTTGTTATGCCATAAAATCGTAATACTAGTGCCACGGTGATAACGTAGTTTACCTTTGCAGACGATGAAGTGGAGCACGACCCCGGAACACTCGGGTACCGAATGGCACAGGCCACAGGTGCCTTCGCGGGCGACCGGGCACAGTCTTCTGCGCACAGTCAGCCGGTGGCTCCGATCACAGCCCCGCCAATGCCACCGCCAGCGGCTCCACTGGTATTTTTGCACATGAAGTTTTTAGGGATAATGGAATTTCATCGAAATTTTAAAAAAATAATCTACGTTTTTTCATAATCCATATGATCCAAATATAACCATACCAATAAATATCGCAGTGTGAATATTATTTTGATAAACGTTGAGTTGCTGTTTTAGCTGCCGCAACAAACACAGCCGCCTATTCCGCAGGCGGCACCGGCATCCAGCTCCCATTCCGCTTCGCGATGGAGTAATTATGTGGAAGAGACATGGGGCACGTCTGCGCCACAGCCGCCTCCTTTACCACCACCCATGCCCACCACAACTTTCGCAGCTCCCGAGCGCTATCAGCGGACAGAAGGCCGTCATTATGCCTTGGCCATGGCGCTGTCCGGCGAAGCGCCCACCGCCGGCCAAATGTCGCAGTTGCTGGCCAATCCTTTACTGCCCGAGCGGAAGATCCTGGAGACGCCGAATAACTTGCTGATGGACACGAGGCGCTTCACTCAGATGGCCCGCCGGATTCCCAGTCCGGCGCGTGTTTTGCGCCAGCAGCTGAGGGAACGACGGGAGCGCGAACTTGAGGAGGAGCTGGCCACACGTTTACGACGATTACGTGGACCTACGGCGCGTATGGGCACAGGGGCAAAGATTAACCGTCCCCGCCCGAAAACACCGCCGCATCCGGATAGCGCAGAATGGGTTCAAGATGTACCTGCAGAAGGTGAGAACATTTCTGTCATTAAACTGATATCCACTTCTCGTAATTATGAGAATGAATCGTACATACTTGCAGTAATTTGCTGGGTATTTTTTTGATACTGGTGATTCGCCGTGATGTTATGTCGCGGTTTTTGGTTTTGTAGTGCTGGCAGTAAAAGGTCATGTATGTTGCAACTCTTTCGAGGCTTCTATACTTATTGCAGATATTCTGGCAGCTATTCCAGTATCTGCGGAGCCACCTTCATCTACGGAAGCAATGGACGTCTCTGTGGAACCTGAAAAGCAGTCTGATGTCTCCAAGCGCACTACATGGCGCACTCTTCATCGCGCCCAGCCATCAGCAGCAAAATCCGCGCCGAAAAAGACGTAATTGTTGACATGTCTTCTTCTTTAAACGCATGAAGTCAAACTAATAATTCGTTCGATCGTTGTGAACTTGCAGATCACGCCCGTACGACCCTGCAGAGCTGAATTTGGTGTCATTGAAAGATTTGAGATCCCAGGATGTGCATCAGCATGTTGAAGAAACCCAGATTGTTGAAGACATGGCAGAACTGCCTCCAGCTGTGGAGGACACGGTAATAAAGCAACTGCGTATAATACGTAGCCGTTGATATGGTATGCCTTTTATGCATGCATTACCATGTTTGGGAAATAGAGTAAATGTTAGAATGCGCGAAAGGAACTGCTCAGTTATATTGTATAGATTCCGACAAAAGCAAAATCATCATCCGAGGATGAGTGGGAAGAAGAAGAACCGAAAGACTTCGTGGACCAGTTTGCTCATATGAAACTGAGAGATCGGAAAGTGCGTGTACACGACAACCAAGGCAAACTGGGCAAGTCGGCGTGTGGTTGGAAAGCAGGACGCGATGATGAAAAAGTGTGTTCTAATGCATAGAACTTCTTCCCTCATTCTGTTTTACCATGTGTACGAGTTTTTTTTAGATAAAAGCCTGGGGAGACGTTTCTTCTTCCTGTGCATGCCAGTGTAAACCGGAATCGGTAAAAGATCCTAAGTTTAAGGAAATGTTGACCCAGGATGAGTTACGCAAAGTTAGGGCACATGAAATGCGATGTTTGGCGGTTCATCGAACAAGTCGCAACGCCCTGGTCAAATGCAACCGGAAGCTGAAGCTTCAAGGTGAGGAAGCGGAGTTCTACTGGTGGCCGCAGTCTGGAACGGTGGGAGTATTCTGCCCGAAGCATCTGGCCCTATTGCGGGAACACAAGATTTGCCCCTTTTGCCGGGAATTTTTCGAGGAAGATAACGTGAGTGCTCGTTTTTACACCTCTTTTCGCTTTTGTTAGAAAAATGCACAGTCATGCTGTTGTTACTGCCCTTATTTCACGTTAATACGGTACTCGTATTTGATCGTTTCCAGCTTCTTGTGCTGTCTTTTGTTTCAACTGAGAGACTATAAAGCGTGTGTCCTCGCGAGATGTTCCCTTTTACGGTAATGCATTTTTGGTTTATTAGAAAGATTTTATGGTTTGCCACGGAGAAAAAGGAACTGATACCCATTTGTATCATTTGGATTGTCGCGCGGTTGTTAAAGTGGCTCGGATGTGTCCACATTGTCTGGCTTCCAAGGAATACGGGACGGAGACAGGATACGAGCCTAACCATGGGCCGTAAGAATCGAAAAGAATTTTCTTACTGATGTTCTTTATTCAGTATTAATTGCTTCTTAGGTTATTCGTATTAAGTTATTAACGATGTCATACTGAAAAATAATATTTGGAGTTGATAACTAAATTGCTTTTGCTTTTATAGAGAACAATTAATTACCATCCAAGATCACCGAGAAGTTTTTGGGAATCTACAGAAAACGTTAGTAAAGATTCCAGCTATGCGCGATGCAAAAGCCGAAGACTACTACGTCTACTGCACCGACAGCGAACGGCATTTATTTGAATCCTCTTTGAAGTGCACCGTTGCGGCAGATGCAGAGAGGTGAATGTATGGATCGAATGTTGTTTTTGCTGAAGCAGTTGTAACAGTTGTTAACTTTTGCTGTTTTCTTGCTTCCTTTTTGTGACTTGTTTTTAATATTTACAATATCCGGATCGCATTCTTGTTATTTTTATTCAGGCTCATGCAGTCTAAAACCGATGAAGAATTTAAAGAAGCCATTCTGAGCTTGGAATGGTGGGCTCTTTTGGAAGCTCGCAAAGACCGGAAAAAGTGGGGCGAATGTTTTGGCGTTTTGGATGAGTCTTCCGGTCGGACGCTGGTCCATCGAGCAGTGGTTGAGAAAAGCGTAATCAAAATTCTTCTTCTCTCGCAAGTAAGCATTGAGCAGTAATAAGTTCATTAAAGTCACCGACAAATTTTTAGCACTGCCGTATGAGTTTGTTTGATTTCTTCGCGGGTTTAACTTTGTCTTAAGTAATTCAATGTATTAAATCGCTTCCTTATTAATTTTAGGAAGTTTTTTTTAATTCAAAACCATATCTGCTTGATTTTTTATTTACTTTATATTTTCTGTCTTATTTACTGCGATCTGTTTATTAGTGTAATATGCCATGTATTTATTGTTTATATTGTAGTGCGGCTCCGATATTCACCGAAAAGATGCATCTGGAGAAACTCCTTTGATGCTGGCCGTTAAAACAGGAGCCGTGACCTGTGTATACGCTTTGCTAATTGTTGGTGCAGATGTTAACACTGTGGTAAGCGTTATTTGTAGTCGAGTAGACGCATTCAGTCGTCATCTGCTTCTCCTTTCAATTTTTCTGTGAATCCTTTTGTGTAGGACAAAGATCTTTATACACCGCTGCACTGGGCAGCGATCAAGAAAAGCTATGCATTGATGAGCTTCTTCTTGGATTTCAAAGCCAATGCTTCTATGAAGGTTAGTTGACTTCTTTTTAATATTCTCCGTAATACAGAATCTTGTAGCATAACACATGCTTCCAGTTGAAATACGAATATCTTTGGCAGGGATAAGATGGCGCAGTATTGTTATCTTGCGTTTGTGTGGTTGTGTAGGATAATTATTCGATGGCTGCGCCGTTGTTCCACACGCTTCTCTGGATCCGCGAGGCTTGTTTCCTGAGTTTGATCAATCGGAAGTTGGATTTGGAACTGCAGGATGCCAATGGATGGACTATTTTGCACTGGGTGGCTTTCTTTCACCGCAACGATTTAGCGAAATACTTTTTCGAAACAGTTACACCTTGGATGCGTGACAACTGGGGAGAAACGCCATTGTAAACGTTCTGTGCGTTTTGTGTGGATTTTGTGTAATATTGTCTTTGATGTTGCAGGCACGTTGCCATCCGCGTGTGCAATACCCAGTTCGTCAGAATTTTTGTTTCACGAAGGCCCGCGATTGTGGTATCGAAAAAAAGTTTCGCCGGACTTACGCCATACAAATTGGCGCGTGTGTTGCTTGGTCAGGAAAGGGATAAAGAAAAGATAAAGAAATTTCGCATCATTATCCGTTTGATGGAAAGATTTATCGACGACGAAAGTCTGGAAACTGAATGTGTGCCGAAATTGTTCGGAGATAAACCGATTGGCGAAGCTTGTGGGTAAGACAAACCGGTTCATGCTGTTACTAGAATGCTTTATATTTTTCCTGATGCTGATATTAACTTTGGCTGTTTAATTGAAGGGATTTGACGAGCGGTAGAGCTTTAGCTCCCATTCCCGTGTACAATTTCTTAACGAAAAAGTTTGATGTACATGAGCTACTGTATGTTACGGCGACCATACCTCCGCTCCTGTATCAGACGCTTCCGAGAAAACCGGAGTTTTGGCAGGTATTTGAGCAATAATTACTTGTACCAGATGTCTTTGTACTGGATGACAAGTTGTGTGTGTAGGATGCTTGCAAGTTCAAAGAACCATACGATACCTGCGTCGATGCCAAATGCCGCTGCGCTATGTCGAATAGCGCTTGTGAAACCATATGCCGCTGCGTGGCGGCGAAGGAGAAAAAAATAGAGGGGCAGTATTGTGGGCTGCACTACTGCACTGCGTACAGCAAGCACGCATATAACGTGTTCATCGATCAGTGTTACGTGCCTAAAGGTCAGCTGGATAGCGGTACTACTGCGCTCAGTCGTAACAGGCCCCCGTTCTCCGATAGCCATCGCGAGAGCCTGAAAAAGCGTTTATTGGCTAAAATGCAGCGATGTAATGCGGTAGTAGGAAATGACCTTTTACACATACTGGCGCTGGTCGAGGCATCGGGAAATGGTGGAAATGCGTGCGGTGAGCGGCGATTCCGGCGCAGTCACTCAATGGAGACCTTCCGAAACCGGACGATTGTCCGTAAGCGTTCGGAATCGGTCGGCCGGTTGCCGGTTACCAGTCGCAGCAGTCGTAAACGGGGGGTGCATCAAGTGGACAGCGAAATGGCTGATACCCGCCGATATCCGATGCGTAAAACGCGTAATCTGAACCATGTTACCGGGGCTGTACACAAGGACGAAGATGACCAATACCGAAAATTTGTTCGGTAAGTGCTGGGAATAGGTAGTTGAAAGTCAGTGCTGTTTTTTTCCAACCAAATATTGTACGAAGTACAAAGTACTACCGCTTGCAGTTGTATGTTAGCTACATGTATACTGCACGCTTATTCCAGTACATGCACCGATGGACTGTTTTTTCGGCGGCAGATAGCACTTTAGATGGGCAATAGTGAGATTGAAATTACCATGCAGTAATAAAATGAAAATTAACGTAATTGCTCTTCTTGATAGAAATCCTTTCGACTTATTTGACGAGATTCAGCAATGCGAAGTCGATGGTGTTCTGGAGAGCGCAGTGATCCGCTTCGAGCGGCGACACGAGTTTATTCGGTGGGATCTGAGTTCCAGATATCCGGCAGCTCCCGCCCGTCATCCCCTGGATAAACCTGCTGTGAACAAGAAATCTCGGTATACAAAAAATCTGAAGAAGTTGAAGTCGTACGAAGAGTTTCATTCGGATGACGTGTTGGATGAAACGCCGGTGGCCGTCACTCTCCGGGATAAAGCGAAATCATCCCTGCTTAGTTCAGGCGATGAAGACATGACGCTGTCGGAGTGCTCCATTCGATGTGATTGCGGCATGGAATGTCCAATGCGCGCTCTCCAGTGGCCAACGTTAGCCGTACGATTGGCACTTATCTATGTGGATTCGGCTGTTGGCTGGGGTCTGCTGACTCTGACTGGAGTTCTCGCTGGACAGTGCCTTGGCGAGTAAGTGTTTGCTGGATATGAATGCGAAGAGTTTTCTTTAAAACTGTATTTATCGAAATCGGGTTTGTGGAATCTGGTGTGGATGTTATTTCTCATACGTTTGTATTTTCTTTGAAGATACACTGGAGAGTTGGCATTGGGGAATTTATACTGTAACGATACGTACATGTATCAGATGTTAGACGACCGTATGCCCAGTACAGAGGATAAGCCATCCGGCAGTCAGGACAATGGAGCTGCACAAAATGTAAGTGAAAGACTACTAACTGTACTGTTCAACCTAATTATCTGGGTTTTCCATATTTTAGAGATGGTCAATTGATGCGAAACGAGCGGGAAGTATAACAAGGTATGAGGATTCCTGCCTACTCTGTTTGCTGTCACTAGCGCCTTGCAATGCTTTTGAAATATGTAATTATGTAAATCTTCACTCGGTAGATATGCCAACCATAGCTGCAACCCTAATTCGAAAACCGCAACGGTATACGGTCATGGTGTGGATATTCCCAGGCTCTGTTTGATTGCTCTCCGTGACATACCTGCTGGCGACTACATTACGTAAGAACGGTACAAGTCCTGTAAAGATGTGATGTAGGTAGAAAGGAATTTGCTTTTACGGAAAAAATATTTTCTCATATTATTTTCAGATTGGATTATTCGGAGTCGTTTTGGACAGCGAAAATGGACAACGAAGATGAAAACGACAGAATATACTGCCGTTGTGGGGATGTTGCATGTCGGTTCTCGAAGGGTGGGGAAATTGATCGCAAACTTGCGAAGAAGAGAGCGAGTTAAGTGGAACAGCAAGCGCAAGAACGTAATCGGACCAAAGTGCAGGAAAAATGCACAGATTTTTCTTTTTTTGGTTTTGTAATCTAGCCGTACTCTTGATGTTTAGTTGAACTGATCTAGAGAAAATGGGAATTGTATAGTCTTTGGGAATTGTATAAGGAAAATGGGAGTTGTGTGTTCCTGAGTTTTAGCGCACAGTGTGTTGCGAATTTTCAACATTACTTTGGATTATTAGGGCAAAGATTACCGATCATGGCAATGCACTTCGATTGGCTATTGAAATTGCTAGAGTAGATTTCTGTCTATTTCTGTGCTTACAACTAAAAAGCAACAACAGACCACCATTCATATGCAGTAACTGTAACTTTTTTTCAAGATCTGAAAGCACAAAAATGTCAAAAACATCAGAAATCACGTCACTTCTGGAGAAAAAGATTTCAAAATTGGTACAGCAAAATGAAACAAGAGACAGTAAAAATTAAAATCACTCATCACAGGATCCGTCTGCCCAGCCCGTGCTCCACCGTTCATCCACTTTGGCACAGTCAAACAGCGGTTTACCGAGTTTCCGGTTAACACGATTATGTATCCGGCACATCCACTGACTAAATCGCGACCGCGACGCGGTATCCGGCACATCATCCTTCATATCCTCCCGCAGATCCTTAGCGCAGTACCAGCAGGGATAAAATTGTGAAAAGAGATGCAGAAACGACTTCATGTCCGCTTTCTGCTGTTCTGTGGGTGTAGCGGGGTAATGCGCGGCCATCGTGTGGAGAAAGGTCCAGGTGGCTCGGCCCAACTGATCCTTATCCACCGGGCAGTCAGGGCGCGCGGGACCAGCTACTTCGGGGAGGGAACCGGAGGAGGAACTCGGCGGAGCAGCTGACTGGGTCGTGCTGCGCGGTGGAATGTTCTGCTGTTTGTCGGGCCCGGACTTGCGTGAAAACTTCATCCATGTCTTGAAATCGGTACAGGCACGGCACGGTTGGCCGTTTTCGTCCAAGGGTAGCGTTTCTTCGCTGTGACTGCCCATGGCTGTGCCAGGATTGAAATAACGACAACGATTGCATCAACACTTCAATCAGCTGATAATCGTTCCTGTTTGGCTGATGCCTCAATGCATCAAGCTGAATTGTACCGGTCTCGGTTAAACTACCTGAGGACAAAGAATCTGAGAATGCGATGAGAAAATCCAGTTATTTAACATTTAACAAACCAAAAAACATAAACGCTGCGAATTTCGCTAGAGTAGTAATCCGGATCCCTATAAAATTTGAAGTTTTCTCAGCTTTTCTCAGTTTTCTGCATTTCTTTTGTACGAGTACGAGTAGCATCTGTACTTGTAGCACTTTCTAACAGTCCGACACAAGTGCTTTGGCTGCTGTCGTGTGGCGGTTGCTGACAAACCGCTTGTTGCAGTGCTCGCCCGCCCGCTGCGGCCGCTGTTCGTTGGAACAGCGGGTTTATTTTGAAACCAGCCTAGAAAACTGAAAATCAGTCGCTTTACTTTTTACATTTATTCAAATTTTATTTATTAGGTATATTTTTGTTTTAGAACACATTAAGGCTTATTTGCAACTTGTATACTGCTGTAATGTTTGGCTGCTATCAAGTTCAGTTTATTCGTGCAACCGATAAGCGATTATCATTGCAGTGTTTACGAAAGCGATCGTCGACCTCGTCGAAATTGCAACGTTTGATAACAAACTATTTATGTGGACATTCCTGATGAAAAGCCTTATCGTGTTGTGATTTCGATAAGATCATAAGAATCTACGAGACTTCTGCTGACTTATATACTGAAGACACCGTGATCTGCCATAACATCTGCATTCACAATTTGGCATTTTGATACCTGAAGTTTTACGTCCGTCTGACTGCAAAAATGCGCGTTGCTTGTGCGTGTTTACTGCTTGTGACTGTTGTGGATCTTGTCAGCTGCAAGAAGGCAAAATCCCCGCCTGTAACCCGCTACGACCCGACATGGGACTCCATTGATTCCAGGCCGTTGCCGGATTGGTACGATGAGAGCAAGCTGGGCATTTTCATCCACTGGGGAGTGTTCAGCGTCATCGGATACCAGAGCGAATGGTCAGCGGTAGATTCTTCTTGGTTTGTGTCATGAAACACTGTGCACTGTGCTGGCTGCCAAGTCCGTCGTTTGTTTATTTGGTGGTAAATAAAATATGAAAAACATGAGAATCAGTTACTGCCTGATTAATTTTAATGGTACACAAATTATCTTTTGAACGTTGCACTAGAATTTTAATCAGAGAAAGAAACAATATTAATCGCTTGATATTCAGTTCATTAAACAATACATTAAACATGCAGTTTTGCTGTTTTCGTATCCGATGTTATTTTATTTTTTATTGATTAAATAATTTAAATTTATCGTGTTCTGTTTGACAGAATTAGTGGAGCAGACGTCCGTGTATTGTTCAGTGTGCTTTTTGTGACTGCTTATAAGTCTCGTTACTTTTGCTAATGGTAAAATGTATTGTTTTAAGTTTTATGGTTTTAATGGTGGAAACAAAAAATTGTATTAATTTTGTGATAATTTGTAGGGTATGGTGGGACTGGAAAGGTGCAAAGGATCCAAATACGGTGGCGTTCTTTGATAAAAACTATCCACCGGATATCACATATGCGGATTTTGGTCAACAATTTCACGCCACGTTTTTTAATCCTTTACAATGGTCTGCCATCTTCGCTAACTCCGGAGCCAAGTGCGTGCCAGTTTTTTTTAAGAAAAAAACAAATGTACATAAACATACACCGACGATAGCGGTATAAAAACTGCCTTATGTTGTACGATAAGGTACTGTACAGTAGTTAACTTGACTAAAAATACCGCTGTCCGGTTTTTATTGGTCGGAGATTGAGTTTGGCATCAGTGCATTAATGTTATCTAATCGTTATCATGTTTTTGTATTTATGTTTGGGATTTTTGGTGTGCAGATACATCGTGTTGACCAGCAAACATCATGAAGGTTATACGAATTGGCCGTCGAACTACTCCTGGAATTGGAATTCCATGGATGTGGGTCCGCATCGGGATCTCGTGGGCGATCTGGCCAAGGCAATCCGCAACAGCACCGATCTCCATTTCGGCTTGTATCACTCGCTGTTTGAATGGTTCCATCCCCTTTATCTTGAAGACAAGGCTAACAACTGGACGACTAGGTCTTTTCCAACTGTAAGTCAAATAAATAAATAGCATCAGTTGAATGCGTTTAGTAAGCAGTTTCCACCAGTCTGCAGAAACTAAGAAAATCAGTTTGGCTGTGTCCGTGCTTAAGATATCTGTATGGGAGTGTTGAATATGGTTTACAGCTGAATTAATAGTACTCAACTACTCATTGGTCTTTATAGGTATAGGTAATTGCTTTCTTTGAACACACTGGATGATATTAGCAGTCCCAAGGTGTACGTTTTTTAAATGCTGCTGCATTTAAAGTTGCATTTTTATTGCTGGTACAAGAGCTTTTTACAGAAGAACAGGTGACTTTTTGTTGTTTTCTGCAGTCGTAGCAGTCAAACAGTTCGTAGTCACCAAAGATAAATTAATGTGACTTTAATTTGTGAGAGCTACCTTTACGAATTTTGTGACTTTTATTCAGATTCTTTTGCTCGATGCTTGTCACAATTGTTCTTCGGATGCAGCTGCACTGGAAGGCACAGCATCATTGTTAACTGGACTGTTAATACTCATTAATACTGTTAATCTCATTAATATATGGTTCATTAATCATTTCAATTACGTAAGTTCTTATATACGGTGGTAGTACGGGGATATTCCTGTAAACATGTTTCGAGACTTTCTGGAATCTTATTAATTTGGCACACAGCAATCACGAAGCAAACTACACGGTTCGTGACAATTAATGAGTGCGGGGGAGATCAGTTCTCTGGTATATTCATGAAACATAAAACGATGTTTCTGAAAACTGTTTTTGTTGTGGAATACCGACCCATGATCAGTACTGCAGACCAGAAGATCTTAAGCACGAGAGCAACGAGTTGAGATATCCTGAGTGTCATCTGTCTTCCTGCTAATGGTGTGTTTTCTGAATTTTCTTTTCTTGTCGAACAGGTTTGTTTTCTATGTTTGAGGGTTGTGACGCAACTTCCCACGCTAGACATGTCCAGTTGATCCCTTGTTTCCGTGTGTACTGCCAGACGACCTTTGAGATTTCTTCTAATAAACCTGTATCTGCAATAGACTACATGCACTTACGTTTTTCCATTACTCGAAATCGAATTTTGGAAAGAAGAAATACAAAAATAGCTGTCTTTTGAGACTAATATTAATTTTCATCGCTGTTTTCGGAGTACTTGCCCATTACTAATGCTATTGCTTCTGACGTAATGACCTTACAGAAGTGCTGAAGTACTTACATAATAGAAAGCTCGTTGCTGTGATCTACGTTTTAATTGCTAGTAAAAATGTACGTTTTTTCTGGTCGTTTGATAAATTTTGTTGCCCATTGACAAAAATTAAATAAGAATTTTGTTAATTATGAAAAGAGCGCCACGGTGTCATTCTGAAATTCTAGGTTATAATCGGAAAAGAACTGAATAGTTTCCTTAATATATTAATGTGTAAGAGTACGCATAATACTGTAAGTAGATTCGTATACCTAATACCGCTGCTTTCTGTCGTTGCTTACTTAAACCCTGCACCTAGGACTAGACATTTATTGTTGTGTTTTGGTATCCACAGAAAAAGTCGCTTCCGGAACTGTATGAGATTGTCAACACTTACCAGCCGGATGTCATCTGGAGTGACGGCGGTATGGCAGGACAACCTAGAAGGGCACTGTTATTTTGTCGCTGTGAAGGGTTGACACGTGCATTCACTAACATATTTTCCGGTCCACAGACTGGGAAGCGCCGGATACATACTGGAACAGCACGGGGTTTATTGCGTGGCTTTATAATGACTCGTAGGTGGCTATATAATGACTTTGCAGTACTTTATGTATAGAAGCAGGTTTCACTAATTTAACGTGCCGGACAATGTATGGGATCATTTCCTGTAAATCGCTTTACGTTTAGAATAAGCGGGCTTTTGGTAATGATCTAATACTTTCTGCATAATACAGTTATACCTAATTACCTATTACCTTTTATTCAACAAAATTTGAGTGCTTGACGCGTTTAAGGTATTTTGTTACTTGTGTTAACAGTGCATTTTTGTTTCAGCTAATATAATTATTTTACCAATATAATTTAGCTTATTTTGGCAGTATTTTGTTACTTGTGTTGTCTTTTGTTAATTTCTGCTCGTTGTTGCAAGGAAGAAACGTGACGGCCTTCCTTTAATCATGTTAACGTTTTGGGTGGTGATTTGGCTAATTTAGTAACTGATGTCTGTTTGATTGCTTGTAGACCCGTAAAGGACACTGTGGTTACAAATGATCGCTGGGGTTCCGGCATCACTTGCCACCATGGTGGCTTCCTGACCTGCAGCGATAAGTATAATCCAGGTAATTGTTTTGCTGATTTGGTATATCAGTCCAGAATACGCAATCACGATTACGCGGATCACTACCAGTGCAAGTTATCGTTAAATTAAATGCGTGCATGTTATGTTTGAAAGAACATCCATATTTTCGTGACCGTTACCATAAAAAATGCATACCACTCAAGGGAATTAAAGCGATGTATATATAGGTCATAAACGCGAAAAAATAAAAATCAGTACCGCAGGAAAAATTTGTTTATTCCTTAGCCGCTTAAACGGTGTCTGGTTAACAGGAACACTTCAGCCGCGGAAATGGGAAAACTGTATGACGTTGGATTTCCGCAGTTGGGGTTATAGGCGCGACTTAACGGCCTGGGATGTTATTCCCATTGAAACGCTGATCGCCACTCTGACGGCCACCGTTAGGTAATCGTAATAATTAGCATCTGCTTTCCGGGATATTTTTCTGGCTAAGTGAATAGATTTACCGAGTTTGTCTCGGTTATCCGGAGGGTGGATTTGATTATTTGCACCCTCGGGACCGATCCCCCGACGTCTGGTGTTGTGGTGATTTTTGGATTACGTATACATTGGATACTTCTGCTTCTCATTACTTTCGTTTTGTTTCCGCATAACATGTAGATGTTTGGAATTATCTAAAGTGTCCTTATAGTATTGGAATTTAGAAACGAGAAGTTTTAAGAAGGCAATTGGACTCCCAATGTTAGGTGTTGTTTTCACAGATAGCATAGTTGTGTTCCACTGATTGCAATGCTTAGCACTATGTTTTGCGTTACTCGTAAGTTATCTTACTTAACTCTGAGGAATCCCGGTACATAGTTCATTTCTGGAATTTCAAGAAATGATCTTTTCTGAGGTGTTGCAGCAGCTATGATGTTCACAACAGAGTTTTCAGGGCGCCTAACGTTTTGTTTGAGTTGGGCCGCTCATACCGTTGACTTGAAACCGTTATGACTTGATCCAATTGTTAATCATTTTGTTACGTTCGGGCCCATTGTTCTTCAATTTTAATGTTTCAAAATAAGCAAATTCCTTTTATGTGTACGACTGATAAATTCCTACCGTAAACTTTGATTCCTTTCAAAGTTTAAACCATGAAGTGACTTTTTGAACATGAAATAACATCAAGGGAATGAATCACACACTACATAAGTTCATTTTATGTGAGGACTGTAGCGGCCGTGTCCTTCTCATAAAATACTTATGTCAGTACGATTAGGGAATGCTGCGGAGCGTTTCGTGCCGGGACGCTTCGTACTTAATTGGTATTTAATACATTATTAGTACCATTATACTGAAAAGTGGATAAGCACGGGGTCATTTGTTCGGATCAGTGGATGTTTCCGGTTAATAATTGTCAGATAATTGCCAAAATCTGGCAATAAGAGATACACAATTTTGTGCCATATGACGCATAATGTGGAGTAGATAATTGCTTAATGGCGCGTGCTCTGCAGTTGTGGTGGGAATCTGCTTGTCAACGTGGGCCCAACGGGCGATGGCACAATCCCTCCGATTTTCCAAGAGCGCTTGCTGCAGCTGGGATCCTGGATGCAGGTTAACGGCGAAGCCATATACAACACGAAGCCGTGGAGTCACCAAAATGATACACTGAATCCTAATGTCTGGTATGTACTGTAAAGCCGATAGCATTTAGCGTTTTAAAAATGACCAGTTTTCGTGCTTTGGAATTTTTTGTTTGATTGTTAATTATCAGATGGAAGACTATCGAATCGGGCGGGCAGTTAATCGTTTTGGCCTCTTGATTTGCTCAGTTTCCCAGTTTTTTCTTAGGTACAGAGTAATCAAATGGTCAACACCGAGCCGGAGTGTATGAGTGATGAAATTGTGATTCTGAAATTAGGTTAGGTATACGGCATTTTTTTACCCGATGATGCAGAAGATTGGGCTAGGTTGATGCGGCACTGCGGCTTGAGCTGAGATGGTTGCATTATTGCCGACAAGTTTATAGTAACGTGCACCGACAAGTTCATAGTTACCTGCAGATTAAAAAGGAAAACTTTATTAGGCAAATAGCCATCAAATACAGTACCATACACTGCGAATGCGGAGTAATTTATTGCGGGCACGCTACTTCGCAGTTAAAAGTTTAAACACTGAAAAAGGAAGACAATTTGCTAGCCACTGCGGTTGTGCATGGAGCAAATTTCAAATGACACAGGCGAGGATAAAATTTCAAAGTAATTTGATGAATGTCTCTCCGTCTGTTTAAGTAATTTGCGGCAGCACGGTAAGGCTGAGCTGTTAATCATATCAGGTCTAAATTTTTATTGATAAAATTGCTGTAAAGACTGGAAACGTTGCAGGTATACCAGTAAAGCTACTGGCGATGGTGTGGATGTTTATGCCGCCGTCTTGAAGTGGGACGGGAATGTGACGCTAAGTCTGGGAGCTCCCAAACCCTCCCAGAACACGATCATCACCATGCTGGGCACCGATACACCCTTGAAGTGGACGGTGTCCAATCAGGTGGTGGTGATCCGTCTGCCGGCGCTGCAGAGTCTCCCGACGCCACAAGAATGGGGCTACGTTCTGAAACTCACTCAACTGACCAACAAGCGCCGCTCCAAGCGGATCATGCCACTGCCGGCGCGCTTCCTTAAATACAGCAAAATTCGATATGTGCACTGAATAATTCCATGACATAATGTGATAATTCGCTTTTTGATATTGCTGTTGATTTTTATTGTTTTCTCTGTTGTTTTTTTAATAGAAATTCTGGTCGTTTGCGCTTTATGTGATGACGATTAATTTCCAGAAAGTTTTGTATGATATGTGGTTATCGGAAAAGCATATATTATAACAACTCAATAGCCGCTCTAAAATTACCAGGCAATGAGAGCACAAACATAGTAACAATTTTCCTTGATAATCGATCGTTTTCAGGCGGTCGGTGTTTTTAGTGCTAAAACTCGCTCTCGTGCTCATCGCGTGACCGTCTACCGGTACTTAGGCGGTAGAGTAGTAGCAGTAACAACGCTTAATTGTCAAACAAATTTGTACTGCTGAGCAAACAGTGGATTATTTGACCTTTTCAGCCAGTCTCCGCTTTTCCTTGATTAATTGTACGATTACCATAAGGAGAGAAACCGTACCATACATCATGTTATATATAGTTCCACAATAACGAAAGGGTTTGTGGACGTATAGAAAGGTCATTAATCTATTTGAGTATATTCGCTTTGGAGAACAAGAATAGCTCCTGCCTGCAGCGACAGCCTTGGTGCCTGGGTATACCTCCTCGCGCCGGCAGAATTTTCGGTTTTACAATGGGTAACAGCATGTGCATGCGGAAACGCGAGATGCGATCGCTGCCGGTGGATTTGACAACTAATTAAACGTACTATTGTGTAATACGGAGAAGAGTTGGCGTTGTTTCCGGCCTTAATACCGCGCCGTCGCCGCACTATTCATCTCACTGAAACCGTGCAATTTTTTCCACTTCCGAGAATGTAAACCTAAAGGTGGGAGATAATTAGGCGTGTTCGATGGAGCGCTTCGAGGAACGGTATTGGGGCACTCACATGATTTTCAGCGGTTATCATTTTAATTATCGAAAAACAGCAACAATCCGCTTGTTGTGAAGGAAATAACTGCCATCGATTTATTACGTAATCTTCGATCCTCAGACGTGAGGTAATGATTTGCAAGCACACCTCGTGTAGAAAAAGCATGTCAATAGATTAATATCCACTACTTGCTTTCAATATCAAAATTTCAGAATTACAGCACAAACATCACTTTATGGTAAAGTAACAGCAAGCACAGTCAAATACGCACCCGAAACAGCACTAAATAAATAATAAGAATTTCAAAAATAACTGTCCCGTGAATAGAAAACCAATAACTTTATCCACCACTGTTGGCGAACACATGAAAGCCGAGAAATCACAACGACCATGAGTTTCAATTCTTTTCCAAACATAACACAGATTGTTTTGACTAGATCCAGAAACATATAAGCCGGTATATGCCAAGGATAAACAGCTGTCTGCCACTGATTAATCCACACGGTACACACTCCTCCAACACCGTCTTCCTATAATCAGCCGTAAGTGTCCTCTTTACTGGCGCGGCCGGAAATGGATTTGGAGCGACGTGTGGTTTTCGAATGGGATTTCCGTCGTGTACCGGCGACGGGACGTTCGGTGGTCAGGCTGTGTGATTGATAGTCCGAATACGAGCATTCGGAGCGTCCGTCGTTTAGTGCCGGCGTGATGTTGGACAGGTAGCCAACGAAAAGATCCGGTGGAAGGCCGGCGATTTGGGCCGGCGGAGTGGAACTGGAGCGTTTGAGCAGGCTGAGCGGGGAGCCTTGGAATGGCTTGAAGGAATCCTCCTCTTCGCTCTCATAATCATCCTGGCGCATCTTCCGACAACATCGCTTCACGGCCGAAATAGACCGGTGCCACAACTGCCGCACATCGCTCTGTAATTATTGTTCCAAATTATAACGCAGTCTAATAATTATATAATTATAAGCTTATTTTTCCCGTTGCATTATATATAGTTGTTTATCATTAACAAATAATTTAGTATCACAAAAATACACTCACTAGTTTAGCTTAAAATTAAAGGTAGCATGACATAAATTAAATGATATGATTGGCATAATTTGCTCTCATACTTAACGAGTTAACAATATAAGAGGCTGAGCGAAAATTTAATGTCAGTTATTGCTACAGCAATAACTGTCGTTAACGTGCGATCGGAAGTTTACCGTGTTGCTATGCAGAACTTCCGATGGACGTGGCATATTAAGCTTAATTATATAAGTTGATATGTATTTTATTTAATTTCGGAATAGTTTGAAAAGAATTTGCCGTCGAAAGCGAAAAAACCCGCCCTCCACACCCTTCTATTTCTATCACACTGTTTATCGTTTATTATCATATTGTCTATGGTTTATCATTTATCCGGTTTATCAATAAAGGGGTCTGGTCGCGGACGGTTACACAAGCGGTAGACTGACCAGCTTGGCCCTTCAGTTGCCAAGTTCGGACATCGGTCTGCACTTTACCACCTCTGCTGAGCAACCCCATTTACGGCAAACTGTTCTGGTCTGAAGATCGCGAAACGTTAATATATAATTAATATTCTTTCACAGAGTCACTATTTTATTTTTCACGTACAGTTTTTCAGGTTTAGATTCAACGAATTAGCTGTGCATGAAGTATTTTCGTGGCTATGTTTAACTAACTGTAGATGTCAAACAGAAAACAAAAGGGGCATGTATTAACTATTAAGTAACAATTTAGCAGGAGACAGACTTAAATCAATAATTCAATGTTCCTGTGATATCATCATGTTAGACAACTGCGGATTGTTTGCATACCATCATGTTTACAAGTGAGTAATCGATGCGCAACAATAACATTAACTTGTAGTAAGCGACTGCATTGTACGGTGAGCCTTTCTAATTGTAAACCTATTAATTGCTTTCGTTATTCTGCGCATTGCGTGCGAATACTACTATCACAAATTATGCGCAAGCACGTTATGTTGATTTTGTTCGCAGTAAAATTGTCTTGTTTATAAAGGTGCGGCAGGATATGATTGGCATAATTGTGACGAATTATCAAATCAAATCTGGGATAGACACTCGACGTTTTTCATGAGGACTATGGGCGTTTCCAACCTCCTCCGATTAGTATGTTGATATTTGTCGGAGCGGACACATATGGAATTTTAGGGACAAAGCACCGGAACATCCGCTCGAAGGATGCGTCCAAATTTTTCATCCGCGTTTCACACCAGTGCATACTCATCGTGTATGATCGCACCACTGTACGTTCGTTAATCACTTTTGACCAAGTCCTTCAGAGTTCATCAGCACCAAATAAATCAGATTCAGTCTTTAGCATAGTACCAATCAAACGACAGTTTAGCGTCACTGAAACCTATATTGACTTCAACTAAACTATCCTTTGACAAGCGAAAGAAAAAATTCTATAACGATCCCTAAGTTGTTTTCATGATTGGGTTGGATTAAAAGTGGATTGACCTCTTTGTAGCAATTTCAAACAGTTACACTATTTTCTGCATATATGTATAAAGCCCGGTACATGCGGTGCGTGTGCGGCGCATCGGGACAACTGTCGCACGTCTTTTTGTGCATAACGAGTACAATTCGCTTATCCCGTCTGCTTACCCGGAAATTCTGGTTCATAAAGGAGTAGATGAGGGGATTGACGTAAGAGCTGCTCATGGCCAGAAAGTGGATGGCCAGGAAGGTGTATGTAAACGACAACTCATGCCGATCGCGCCATGATTTGATTAGCTCCGGGAAGAAATCAATCATAACAAAGAAGAGATGAAGTGGAAACCAGCAGATGGCAAATACCAGCACAATAACCACCAGCATTTTTACCACCTACAAACAAAATACACAACAATTAATTTCGAGTTTTAAGGTAATTAAAATACAGTTATTTTTCGTATAGGCCGATTTATGTACTAGTATTTGTTTCTGTAGTTGCTGCGTCAAGCATCAAGCGATGCGCTACAGTGCACTAAGGAATCAGTTTATTCGTAAGCGGTGTAATCAAAGTTAATTAGATGTTGTTTGCCAGTTGATTGATCGCACGTCTGCAGGCTTCGGGAAGTGTTTGACGCAGGATATTTGAAAACAGAACCCATATTAAAATGTCAGCAACTCTAAGCAACAAGTTCTCTTGCTTATTTCCCAGGAAATGTTTGTCTGGACACAAACTTTTAGGTCAAGAAAAACCGTACAAAAAATATTCAGCACTCGATGAGGATTAAGAAAGTTTGCAACCAAACATTACCATCACTCCGTAATTCAAAATTATTTAGAGTTAGCTAAAAAAAATTTTCATAAATACCTATCCATACTACAATGTGCATGTTTTATTTGTAAGAATATGCTTTTGTCATTGCTTTGCAGTGCACCACGGCATTACACCGCTTTCTCGCAAGAAAATCATTTAACCACTAGAAACTCATTAGCCGTGGAAAGTAAGTGTTCACGCACAATTGGCTAGTTTGTGGATGTATTTTTTATGTCAGGCACACTGCTAAAAGAAGGAAAACATTTCCTCGATATCCTTTAGAAACAGCATGAAGCGGTAGCAATTTCTTAATGGCCTGTTAAACGATTCATAACGGCAGTTTCTTAACAATCGAGTTGGCGAATGGATGTTTTTCTCACAATTGAACGTCAACAATATCCCAAGGAAAACGCGGGTGAATTGTTTAAGCAGTCGGCACGCAATAGGGCTCTGATTGCTTCCTCACTGGCAGTCTGTACCGTGCTGAATTCCGGCTGAAACACTGGACAATGACGCATGCGATGCAGTCAACCAGCCGCATGGGTTCGCACAGACAACCGAGTCTTGGAAAAAAATTCCCGGTACACTTGACAACCGCCGTCCAAGAAACCAGGCGCACCGAAATGTAATTTACCCTTTTCAGTTCGCGAAGTGGACGGTACAGTACGCGGTTACTAATTGGTAATTCGAAGCGATGGCTCGTTTCCCCGATTCTACGGTACGCACTTTTTTAACGTTGCTTAGGCAGCTTTTAAACGTTGAATGGCGCTGCCGGGTACATAAACAATGCACTGATGAGATGTCGCAGCTACACATAGTTTCAGTATACTTATGGAGCCGTTTTTGACATACAAAAAGACGTCTCCAACTATGGCGTTTGAACGTGCTAAACGTGTCCAGAAGCGTACCAAAAACTCGGAGAAACAACGTTCGCCATTCATTTCTTTAATTACGATATCGTACCCGGATTCCATCAGTAAAAAAAACAAACAAAAATTAACAAACTTAATACCACTTTAAAAAAATACATCAAACACGAAGAAAAATGAAACAAAAAGCCATACTCTGGGGTACAATCTAAAATCACAAATTTATTGATCACAAATTTTTTTATCCAATTTTTTTGGGCGCGCTGGTAATAAAATTCGAAAAAACACGTTTTATCAACCAAACAAGAAACGTCTGACAATATTGTCGAAAATCTAATCCTTATATTGGTAATCTGGCACCTTCGAAGGCTTTCTTCCACGCATTCATCGTACGATACAGTCGATCACCGCTTGCCACCTTGTATCTGAGCCCATCCAAATGCACTGCAAAAAGAAAATCAGGCAGATATTAAAAAAGCTAACAGTTTTTGCTATATAGCAGATATACAGAAACTCACTCTTTATCGCTCCGATGCAATCCAGTTGCACAATTTGCATCATTCCTGTTGGTTGATGTTGCTGATTACTGCCGACCCCCGCAGTTTCTTCTGCTCTTCAGTCAACGATATCGTTATTTGCTAAAAAAACAATCCAACTTTTAATGTTCCTTCATTTCCTTCTTACCTATCGTTTCAAAACTGCTGTAGAATTTTCAGTAATTTCTGAAATACTTAATCAACTGGCTATATAGCCGAAGTGCATTTTAACAATTTACCAAGCTGTTTCTGATCTAGCGATCAAGTTATCCAGCTCTAGATAAGGAATAAGCGCAAATAATATGTGAGTTTTAATCAGCAATACTGCTTTTATTTTTTCAAAGGGTAATATGACTTTTTATAGTAAACAAGCTCTAAAACTAATTTCTAATTCTTATTCGTAAACTTACTTTTGAGTAACTCTGCATCATCTGTGGTAGCGACGATATCGTCAAGAATCGGATTCACGTGTTGCGGACTTCGCAGGGCACTAGAGAGTGCGGCTATTTGTCGCAAAATACGACTTTCTTATCGTTTTTCTTGGCATCTGCTTTACGTTTTCATCCGGATACGGCCTAATAAATAAGAATGCAAAATTAATATAATGCAATTAGCAAAAACAGCTAGCTCAATTAAAACATGCGATATCGCAGATTTCCCTGTAATACAAAGCCTACAACCAATAACAACTACAGGAAGCGCAACAGAAGAAATTTGTTTTACTCGTTTACCTTCTGCATGGCAGGCTTTGCTAGGAAAACTTCTTCGTCTTTTTCATCTTCGAGGCTGGCCAAATACAGACGATTATCGTCAAACTGCGCGTTGAAACGGGGTGCCCTGGCAAGAAGAGATGGTCGTAGCGCAGATAGCGGACTAACTAAAGTTCTCCGAACAGTTTAACGAGCTAATGCCTTCGTCGATTCGCACAGGAGGACATGAGCGACAGACTGGCTTATTCAGATTGTCGTGATGTTCCGAAGCAGTCGATCGCCATGTTTGCGATATCGCAGTTGAATTTTTCCAGAAAAGCGAAAACAAAAAAATATAATTTCTCAAAACGGGATGACAATAACAAAAAGGAGCTGAAGAACCACGAGTTGAAAGACAAAAATATGGATTCACTCTGCAGCGAAGCAAACAGCCAAACACGACTGAATTTTCAGCTGCAAAAACCATGGCGGGTGCACTGACTTTGAACCAAGCACTACCACGCTACCAACATAATACACTTGCTCTGGTTTGGCTCTGCGGCTTTGGACAGATGTTCGATTTTGCCGAAACATAGATTTCGATAGAATACAGTATTAATTAACACAAAGAATGTGTAACAAGACCATATCGTCAGTGATACTAATAATTTGAATATTTTATAATGAGGGAATGAAGGATAAAGAAAATGTGGATCAATAAAAAGTACAGACTACGCATTAAGATTATTTCCTGATTTTACCCAGTGAGTGGCAGTTAGTCAGCAGATTCAGCACGGGCCTGCACGGCACATGTGCAGCACCTGCTTACTACGGTCTGCGAGCGGCTCAAAAAACAAACAGTGCTAACGCCTGCATTTCGACACACATTGCACACCACTGGACATCTACTGTACGTATAGTTTTTTACCGTGTAGAATCGGGATTCGTAATACTGCTGTTATACGGTCAACCTTCAACGACCTCGAAGGGTTGGTAAATTAGCGCCATACAAATCGCTAGGTACAGTGAAACCTGTCTATTACATACACCGGTAAATACATACACCTGGAAATTACATACGCGGAAAGTTTAACCGGCGTGTCCCATAGACTGTAACATAGCTCTGTGTAATACATACACCTGGATAATACATACGGTTTTGCTTTAACCGAAGGTGTATTTAGTAACCAGGTTTCACTGTAGTAGGTAATCCGAGTGAAGCATGCCCAAGTCGTGAGCGCGTTCACGAGTGCCAACACTGTTCCGTAATAACGTCACTGTATTTGGAATCTCTTGATATCCACAACTTATTGAACTTACCCGCTGTTTGGATTTGGTGCGCCGCTCCTCGGTACGGCTCATCGAGCTGATGGAACAGAACGAGACCGACTCGCCCGGCGGCGTCCGTAACCATAGGATACTGCCGACTCGGATGTATGTGTAGATTAGCAGGGATAAGGGAATAACGTAGGTTAACAGCGCTACCGTAACCGTATACATCTTCCGGTATTCCTCACTGGGCCAGGCTTCCTGGCAGTCCTTGTACACTTGCCCGTTATGGATGAACTTCATGCATCTCACCACAGCCAGCTGAAATTATCATTCATATTGTTATTACAATTCGGCTATTATTATTTCTCTCCCAAAACATATTTTACTAAATAATTACGTCAGACGTTCGTTTCTCCCTTGTTATAAGCCGTATGATTAAGATAATTAGATTTCTGTAATACGTATTCTACCATACCAAATATCCGGTGTATACATATCACACACATTTACTATTACACCACCATTCTACCTAACTTTAGGCTGTAATATTGGGCTTTAATTATAATTCTAATAATATATTTTAACTTAAACCGATTAGTCTGTTTCCTTGATGACACAATGACCTCATATAACAACGGTGCAAAGTAAGAGATTAATTTTGCACTTCTCCAGTGTGCTTCCGCCGACAGGCATAGTATATACCCGGGATTTTCCGCCAAAGATAGCGAAGAGTTAATCTCGATATGCGTACTATCCCTGGAATTTCGGAAAACTCTTTGGTGCATGCCCGGACAAATGACGCAAATCGCTCTTTGACTCGCATCTAATCAGATTGACTTCTCGCTAATCATCGAATAACGTCCTATTGAGCAGTTGACTATCATGGGATTTCGCTGGATATCTCCCAACCGTCGGCGAGATATTATCCGCATTATAATCTGCTTACAATGCAACTGGGGATAAGTCATTAACCTTTAGAAAACTGCAAAACTGTGGAGATAAAAAATTTATACATGTACCTCATGTCTCGTGATGCCTGCTCCACTTTTCCGTAATGAGTTTTTACAATAATATTTTTTCTATATTTCGCAACTGATCCGTGGTGTACACCTTTTATCTCTAAGGCTAAAAATAAACCGCTAGCAACCAAATTTTAGTAAATTAAAAATCACCAGGTAGAGCGCATCGTATATTTTTTTCAAGGTTCGGATACGAGACAAGTTAAAATTAGCCAAAAGTCAACAACCAGTAAATTAGTTGTCATCTAGATTGCCACTGGAAGTATTCCCACGCACCCCGCGCCCGTAATTGGCCAGACTTAGAAACAGGGAGCAGTTATCAAGCAGCGGGTGGTGTTCCTAATGTAGAGCAATACAAAACACATTGCCCTTGCAGGGACCACCTAAGGGAAGACACTACTGCCAGTAAGATACTGTCCTGGTGTCGTATGCACAAGCACACCATTAGTGCGAAAACATTCGCCACACGCGCTTAGGGTGTGGTGGTTGCGTAAAAACCACATTTACCACCATGAAACGACTTTTAAGTCGTTTTACAATTGCGCAACATAGCAGTTGTAGATCTGGGACAACCCAAATCGAAAATCCCCGTTTTCCTAGAACACTAATTAATCCTCTTGCAACCTCTGATCTCTACTCTAGAACGCGCCTACACAGCACTACTAATTCCGGCGAATTAAAATTTTTATGGTTATACCGATAAAATACATGATTAATGAAATTATTAGCAATATTAGCCGCATACCATACAAAGGATCCAATGAGCCCTACTTTGTTAAATACGTAGTACAGTAGTACTGCAAAGTAAATAGTTCGGACAACTTAATAATATTATTTTTCGGTTGCGCTTTGGAAAGCTGATCATGAAATCCGAGATACTGTACGCAATTTGTTGTATAACTGACATGGCAGTGACAAACATCAATGAATATTTATTTTTTACAAGCTAGTCTGGCAAATTTACGTAGTATACAACTACTGTCGACAGTGTACCGTAATCTTGTACTATTGTGGTTAACAAAGGTTTGTATAAAATTTTATTAGTGGTATAATTGGTGAAGGCGATTGAATGACTGCGCTTGAATCTCGTTAAACTCCTTGATGATATGCTCAACCCGCTCGCCAACAATCGGAATTACAGCCATTTTGGCTGAAGCGGAACTGAAAATGGTGCGTGACCTTTCGCGTTTTAACCAGCCGCAATGGGGAATTAAGAGGTTCCGCACGAGAGAGCACTTGTCTCTATCAAGATTTCAGCTCTGTACACCCGCTTATAACAACACGACAACAACACCCTTTGGAGGGGATTGTTATTGCATGCGGAAAATTATTGCACCTTGGAGAGTAGGCAGTGTCGGCGGGGAATTACGTGGTGGAAAACACGCAGCACGCTATCTACCATGTAGATCCGTGTGCGAATCCCCTTGGATTAGCCGTTCACCGATCGCTGATCCTAATGTGCATGTTATTTGTCGACTGCAGATTGCGCTTTTGCGCGGGTAAATGTACACAGAGACAAAAGAGCTTGTAATCATTTCCTCTATGGACCAAACATAGCTCTCATAACACACTCCTGAATAGAATTGGGACTTTTGATAGGGATGTTTCTCTATTCATAACGGTTCAAACCAAGACAATTTCCGGAAAATCCCAAAATAGCCCTGCTTTTATTCGATGAGATGTTCTCTCCTATAAATGGCAATATAGATAGCCAGTTGACCTACTCTTGCAGTTTAACACCAATTAGTAACTGCAGTTATGTTGTAATCCTATTGCTATTATGGATCATTGTGCCGGTTGTCTGTAAAAAACCGCATGTACTTAACATGCAACAGATGCGAGTGAGAGTAGTCGATATTGGCAGCGACCATTAGGATTGGAAATCAGTATTGAACGACTGAAAAATAGCAAATGGCAAATCAATAGGCACTTACGCATGTCTACATCGCAAAAGATTTTGGAAATAAACTGTTTCTCACGATTCAATGAACATGCAGTGTCTATGAGAAATAACTTCGCAACCGTCCACTGCCGTGCGCTTGTTTACTACATGTTAATTTGAGTCTTTTTCGATTTAATTAAAGTGCAGAGACGCTAACAACAAAAATCTGAAATAAAACAGCGCGAATAACTATAAACATGTTACAATGGACTTCAAAATTTTGTTACACTCACAAAACGCGCGCAACCAGCTATTTACCTGTACTCAATCAGCCAAATTCCGGGCTGGCCATCGGCCTGTTGAGTTCAAACACTTGCACCTCACGCATTTCCCAACAAAAACCATCCACCATATCTCAAACGAAAGAGAAAAAATTTTTATGAATTTTGATACCAAACAAGTTAGCTTTTATGGGATCTGACAGAAAATCGACGCATCTAAAGTTTCTCGTAGACAAAGCATAGCATTTGAATCCACGGTTTGGTTTCAGTTTTCACACAGAAAACGTATGCTCTGTCTACGAGAAACTTTAGATGCGTCGGTTTTCTGTCAGATCCCATAAAAACTAACTTGTTTCGTATCAAAATTCATAAAATTTTTTTCTCTTTCGTTTGAGATATCGGTGGATGGTTTTCGTTGGAAAATGCGCAAACAGCAAGTGTTCAATTACTGCGCGTTTCCAGTTTATTGGTCATTTGGTCTTGGCCATTTATTTCTATTGGTCATTCGGTCCCGGACCGAATGTAACAAAATTTTGAAGTCCATTGTAAGGTGCACATTTCAAAGTACTCTTACACATTGTAGATTAGTATTAACTTTAATTTACAGTACAGGCAAATTCATTAGCGCATCACGAAGATCGTTGCAACTTGCCACTACTGATATTAAAACCCGATATGCAACCGCCACATTGTCAACATCCACGATGACGCCGCAGATCATGATAAACAAAATTTGTATGTGATAAATCGCAGCGGAATTGAATCTCACGGAATTACCGAAATTATTCTCAATTTGATAGTGACGCACAGTCCTAACCGTCGCTGTGCATTGTCATCCAGCGGCCAACCCTAACGAGAGCCGGTCTTCATTTCCGGTTAGCCGGTGCGGGCGCGCGCTCATCCCACAGTTGGTATGGCTGACGGTAATTAGCCCCAGCCGGAGAGCTGCCTCTGTGCGCCTATCGTACTCTACGTTGACAGGCCCGTCACACTCGGATAATATAGTATAAAAGAAATTTGTCATTTCTTGGTAAATATGCCAATCAATTCCATGATTAATAGGGTTTTTTTACAAGAGGCGCTTTCATTAAGAATGTGCCGTTCTGCGGTTTCATTATGCGAAGATAGCATCTTAAGTAGGCAGCATATTCTTTTAGTGGAGATGCAGTCCATCACTTGAACAAATATATCGTTAGAACTGTCTGTCTGCGTTGCGTTATGCAAATATTAAAGATGGCAATCAATATTGCGATCGGATGCGAAGCGCACTTTAGAATTCCTGATGATCGGGATGGCAGATGTGCGTGCAACTGGTCATTTAAGTTATTAGTTAATGCGCGCATTATGCGCTATTTGAAATCGGATTTGGATACCTAAATATAATATTACATGAAAAAGCCATAAGCGCGCTTTTTGCCACACCTGGATTAAAAATGATTATATTTTTAATCAAAAAAGTGCCCTCCGTACACGTTGAATTATCTTATTAAATGCTTACGCGTCAGAAACGTTCGAAAAGAAGATTTAAAGTAGAAGAAAATTTCCCTACAAAATATAATCACGTCATCTCCGACCTATCAACTTTAGCGTAAAAATAGGATGTACTCATAATGCTGAAGAACATTTATGCAGATGGTATCTGCTGGTAAAGTGTAATCGCATTAACTTGTAAGATAGGAAAATCTGTCCTGACGTAGACCACAGATCTGTGAACTTTTTTTGAATGCAATAATCATTCAGTGCAAATATTTTGCGAAGGTAATTAAACCTCATAGAATGTTTTTCAAAGATAAATTTCCTGACATCCTAAGATAAATTTGAAGGATATTCATCCACTTTTTTCTTCGGGGACTGATTTGTGTGTCAATATAACCGCCCTGTTTACACTGGCATATTGCGAAAATGCACTGCTTGACTCGTGCGTAGACACTCTCACAAAACGAAAATGCAGGTATCGATTTTCGCTTCTAGCCGTATACGTATGTTTCCATCAAAAACAAAACGTATGCACGTCGAGTCATATAAAAGGGAAGAATTTCAGGCCGGGAACATGTGCGTAATTACTGCTATTCATTCACAACGAAAGCCATACGGGCGGCGTCCTGTGAGAAAGTAGCGCATTATTTAACCGTCAGAGCTCGGAACATGCAACAGCATTGTATTATTTTGTGCTTACGTCAGCTTACAAGCGGATAACATGGGATTACTTTTTACAAGCCTTAAAACTTCATTTACAAGTTAGGGACGAGTCTTTGACGACACCTACTTACGTAATTACAATAAGCATTTGGTCGTTAAGCTATTACGATATAACTATAGATACGCAATTTTCTCAAACCAAACTTGTGTTGCATATTTGTTGTACAAATTAATCCATGCCAGCAGCACATTCTTTAATAAACAAAGCACACACATATTATTGTATAACACACTGAAGTATGTACTATGTATTGCACAACGCTAAAATTGTGGCAGTTTTTGTTACTTTGAAATAGTTAATTTTATTATACGTCAAATTTTATACTGTATTAATCCTAATTCGGTGCAACTGTTTACGAGCACGCGCTGCGAATTGTTTACTGAATTGGATTAAACAGTTAATGGTATACAAAAACTTCTTCGGTTGAACGAGTGTATAAACGTCTCTTACCTGTACAGAGGAGAGTAAAAGGGCAAATATCCAGATGGATACAACGACAAATTTGCCTTTCCGCTTGGTTAACCGCGCCTTAAGTGGCCGTGTGACGAACAGGTATCTATCCACCCCGATGGCCACCAGTGTATACACCGACGTCAGAACGGAGGATAATTGCAAGAACAAGACAATCGGACACAAGGGATCCGGGAACTGCCAGTGATGTTTGACCACTTGGGACATGGTGAAGGGCATGCAGAATACGGCCAGGACAATATCCGAGAACGCTAGATTCACCAGAAAAATGGACAGATCCGATTTCCATCGCCGACCAAACAAAAACACCAGAATCACACTGAGATTGCCGGTTAAGGCCACGGCGATGGCCGCACCGTACAGTATATTGAGGAAGGTCTGCTCGGCGGGGGACATTTCCAACGGCGGCTGATTCTCCGTGGTGAGATTCTGAAAATGTTTATACTGCTCCAAGAACTGTTCAAAATCAAAGAGCGGCTCATTGGCATTGACATTTGGCGCTTGATTCGCCAGCATACTGCGCAGAAAGGCCTGCAGATCCAGCTGATCCGGGTCGGCATCGGCATCACCAGCGGGCGGCTGCAACAACTGTAGCTCATTGTCCAGCGCCGTCTTGCCCGCGCCCGTGGAGTAAACATCGTGATCCAGTTCGAAATTCATGTTGGGGTCGGAGGATCCGTGTGCGAGAGAGAGAGAAGTGTACACCAACTAGTTGTTGTGGGGAATGTGTGTCAACATTTGAACGGGGCAAATTGGGGGATGGGAAGGGTGCGATCAAATGTCGCCGTTGAGACACACCAGCCGCTTGTTCATCCTCACTCGACAAACACGTATACACATGCTCACCATCACATATACACAACGCGGCGGCACTAACCCAGCTGCTGGCGGAGGAATGGCTCTTAGGAAATCAAAATGCGCTGAGGTTGTGTATTTATTTTAAGCGGTTAAGGTTACCACTTTGCCGAATGGTCATATATTCCCGTGGCTGCTATAGCAAGTATGTGATCCAGCAAATATCAAACTAACAACGCCGGCTAACTCAGGGATTTTATCGAGCTGGTTTACCGCTGAAGCGGTATCCAGCCTGCCGGGCCCACCCACCGCCGTATCGTATTGGTTGGCTGCGCAGTAGCGTCAAACGGTGCTCCGCTTCGTGAGTCTTGAGTTTTCTAGAACAACGAAAGCATAATTCATGGAAAACTAATGCTAATTTTTTAAAAATGACATTGAACGTATCGGTAACCGGCAAGTAAATATAACTAAGTAGGAAAAGGTCACTAAAAGCCGCAACAACTACGTGCCTCCTCTAGTACGTAATTGGTCGCATGAATTTTGCAGCAATCCCTGAAGGATTATTATTGACACACGGCTGACCCTTACCGGACAATTAAGTCTGGTTAATGTGTGCATACTAAATGTACCCCATTTTCAGCAATATTTCCCAGGAGTGAGCAGCGTAATGCTTTTTCTCCGTAAAAGCACCCTAATGAGAGAGAGGATCATATGACAAAATGCAAGCACAATACAGTTACGTTTTTGCATATTTAAACTGCTTGTGGAGGACATTCGTAACGTCTAACCGGAAGCACGGGAGTCCCATTGTGCAGCTGAAGCCGTTAATTGCGAATTAGGCCACTGTGACTCCACTTACGAAATTGGTGGCATTTCCTGTACTGATAAACATTAAAGGGAAAAACTGAGCTGCAATTTACGTAAATTACGTTTTTTCTTTGGAATCTTGCATGCGGAATGAGCTTCCATTATATAACAGTTCGAACAAGTATAAATCACCTAACATGATAAACGCCTGCGTCGTGCAATTTGGGAATTTCACCGTACCAGAATCATTCATTTAAACATCTAAACGGCATACACGATGCACAAAATGTACAGGAAGCTTTTTCAAACATGCAATGTAAATTAGCCAGCAAAGTTTCCTGTTACCACAATTTTACCGGAATAGCAACAAAAATCACTTGGAAAATTCTACAGTGTATTGTGCAACGACGGATCCAACACGGTCAATACTGCGCCGACCAAGTGCAGACTTCCGGTAACCAGCACCCCCACATGCTCATCATCACCATGCGCCTGTCCTTCAATCCAACTCAGCGCATCCGCTACCGTCGCAAAACACTGGCTACATCGCTCATCCGACAGCGATTTCCATACAGATTCATGCAAAGAACATCGGGCCATCTGGTGGTCGCGATTAACTGTGAAGTTGAGCAGATCTCCTGCTCCCGCACTTCCGCCCAGAATATTCGGACAGAAGAGCGCCGCGTCAAAGCCGCAGCTTACCAGCGGACGTAGCAGATCTTCCGGTTTACGATCCGCTGTGGAATTAAATATCAGGAATTTCCGTGCACTTGTCTGTGTTTCTTGAACTTTCTTAAACCACTGTGCACAATACTCCACACTGTCTTTCGTATGGGCTCCATCCAGATAATACTGAACATTATTTCGCCGTATAGTTTGAAATCTTCCCGGCCAGACACAACTTTCTAATGCATTCACCAATATACTTGATAACTTGTATCCTTCCAGAACGTCGGGAATTTTCGCAGGTTTTTCCAATTTCGAAATGCTCACACTTCCTACAGGTTTCTCTATTTCCGCTGATTCCGCACTTTGCTTTTCGATTTCACTGTTTTCTTTACAGAGACAGACGTTTTCCTCATCGGAATCCCAGTTTTCCAGTGTCTCATTGACACTGTCAGTCTTCCTCATCAACCAGAGCTTGACCAGCTGCAGCGCCAGCGATGCATTCAGGCTTTGTATGGCGCCTTCAATTCCGAGATGGATCGGGCCTGATGGACAGCCGTAAGCCGACAGATCCGGCGACACAGACAGCGCGGCACCAATTTCCGCTGCCCGTCCCTGCAGTACTGCCATGGCTTCGGGAGGCTGTGTAACCGTGACAGCCGGGCAATTTCGCTTAAAGATGCCCGCTTTATGCCAGGCGATTTCCGCTAATGTGTTCCCCAGAATGGGCATGTGGTCATAACCCAGGGAGGTCACCCCGCAGACGACGGGATTACGGATCACGTTTGTGCAGTCGTAAGCGCCGCCGATCCCGACTTCCATTACCGCCACTTCGATCTGCAACGAACGGAAATTCCTGTAGAGAATCTCGTCAAATGAGAAAGCCGATCTGTTTCATTACAGCAAATATCAATACAGTGAATTTACTAAAATAAACGCCGACCAATATTACGAAAGCGAAGTAATTCTATCGTTTCCACCTACGGGAAAACTAATAAGGACCTGTTTATAACCTGGCGCCTGTCTCTGCTGCCTTTTAAATGACGTGCATAAGAAGTGGTTCTCTTTCAATTGTTGGTGCTTATTAATTGCATTAGCGCTCGTATGCGTTAGTAAATTAATCTGCAACATCATCGGCGTTGCTCTTTCCTAACTGAAATTCTACTGGGAATGCACAAATGTTTCACGTGCCATAATATTGCCGTTTACGTATTAGCATTAATATCTAAAGAATGAGAGCGTCATCAACATTAAGCAGCTCTCCACAGAAACGTCGTCGACAGTTTCGTGTACATTACTCTGCAGATACGACGCACTTCCGCGTGCTTCTATGCGCAGCGTCAAGTCGGAAGCGAAGAACATTAGTGCCATATCACAGTATGACCTATCGCGTAAGCAATGTTGTTCCCATGATGAGCAGGGAACAAAGAAACCTCTTCACAAAATGCGAGGATGGACGCCGCCTTGGGCAAGGTTGAATAACTACAGTCTACAGATATGTTATGCACAATTGTGCCACCTGTTGAATCGTAATTTGCTCGCAAGTACTTGTTGTTACGAAAGTTCGATAAGAAAGTGCGCTCGCTATATAAATACAACAGACCGGCCTGTCGGCACCATCTCGTAAACATTAAAGTTGTTCCAAAAATTACTAAATGTATGTGAATCACCGGTGACAGTGATTACAAAACTAACAACGAACTGCACAGTAACTTTTCACGGAAATCGATGTTTACGGCCGTTTTTTCCCAGCCGACCAATACTGGAAAACCTCGTTTCTCCTGTTTTATGGTTTAACAATATAAAATGAAAATGTACAGCAGTATACATTAGCAGTTTTCATTAAGTGACTCTTATTATTATCATTGCAGTCATAAAAAAAAAGAGGTAAAAAACCGTAGAATAAAATAAAGGATACGTACAAAACAAAATGCAATAAGAAACAAAACAAAATGCATCATAACATAAATACTACTGTAGGCTCGGGGAAAAAAGAAACAGACATGGAACCGCTGCAATTTTAAGATTAAGAATGTGGTCTCAGTGTTGCCTGTTGGACAGACAAAATATACGAGCGCAATACAGTAAAAAATACTGCTTGGTGTGAAAAGATCGGTTCTGATAAAATAAAGCGATGCGATTCGAAGATAACTTTTGATAATCAAACCTTATGACCGCTCGTTCCGAAGATATCTATTAGGTACATAAAAAATTTGCAAGGAAAAACTGACAAAACTACAGTAAAACCTGTGTAATTTGAACACCTGCGGTTCCTTCAAAAGCGTTCAATGTAAGCATCTGTTCAATATTCGCAGTAGCATTCGTAGTCTAAAAAACGCTGCCGTTCCTTGCCGAGCGTTCAAAATTTGCGGGTGTTCAGTATTCGCAGTTGTTCAATCTCACAGAGTTTACTGTATAAGATATTGAACGAAAAAAATAAAAAAAAAACCCAACAGGGCAACTTGAAAAATAAAAGGTTAAGAAAACATTTTTAAATTGTGTGGTCGTATGCATTTCGAAAAGATTTCATACCTTTTCTTTCAAGAAGACGTAGAAACACATAACCGTCAAGAACTTGAAATACGGTGGCATCTCGTCCGGTTGGCAGGCGCGAATCAACCGTCCATAGACTTCCCAAAAGTACTGCGTAAACAGTTCCTCCGAGATGGGCCGGCCATTAATCCGGATCCGCTCGCGGACCGCCACTAAATGCGGCGAACTGTAGAAGCCTGTTTTATAGCCGAGATGCCGTAGGAGACTCTCGGTGAAGGCACACGTCGAGCCCTTCCCTTTCGTCCCGCTAATGTGTATCACATTCAACCTGTCCAGATCGGAAGGCTACAACCAGTGGGCTAACGATAATTTTCCAAGCGAAATCATACAAGATAAGTGCTGCATATCTGCGTAAACTTACTTCAACATCGAGATACCGCAGCAGGTTCTCCATCCATTTGATATTGTTGGCCGCGTTGCGACTGCGTTCGCGGCGGGCTTTTTCCAGCACCTGCGCATTGCTTTGTAAGGTGTTCAAGGCGGCGATCGCCTCCTACATAGAACACCATAATGGATGATGAAATGCTCATGACCAATGGTCAAGATGAAGAGATTTTCCGCACCTGGTATGTCTTAGCCGTGGGCATGTCGAAGGCCGCTGTTTGTAAATTCCGCACCCTGAATGATAAATTCGATAAAATACTGTATAGAGAATTTCTATCCGGATGCCCGGCGTGGTTAAGAAGACGGAATAAGCAGTTGTGCGCCATTTATATGACTGGAAATGCTCCAATGAATGTTGAATATCACATGGCGACTTTTGGCAATCAGTTAAAGAAAACGTAATCAATGGCAAAATCGCGGGTTGCAAAGTTGAATGAGTACGTACCTCGTACGCTAGCTCCACCAGTCACCATGTGCTGTTCAATAGTAGTCAGCAGAAGAAAAATGAGAAAACTGGTTCAGTTTAATTCCCGCAGGCATACTGCATAGTGCATTATTGTTTTTCGATTAAGTTTACTCATTGCCATTGGAATTCTTAAATAGCCAGCACTACAAAGAAACATTTACACAAGAATAGCGCTAATAATTTTCTGTAACGATATTTGGTAGGCTAATAAGGCATTAATCCTGCACTGTGCGATGTGCACTCACTGCAGTGAGGCCTCCATTCAGTAAGATGTACTTAATCGTACAAAAATAAGAATAAAACATTCTACGAGTATAATTTGGAATTACTTATCATTTTTCATAATAATTATAAGCACTTCTAAATAGTATGTATCAAAAAGTGGCTTAAAATAAGACTAATGTAGTTGTACATATCGTATGTATTTATGGATTCCTGTGTCCAGATTTTTTCATCTTTCGTTCACCGGCGTATTAGCTAAACCGTAGCAAACATTTCCGGTCTGGAACACATTCGATTTAGCTACAGAGCAGTAGGAATTCAGAAATAAAATTGTGACAACCATAACAAGATACAAATGTATGCAATAAGTTTTTGAAATACAGCAATGCACCACTGTTGGTTTGATAAAACTTACGTTAATAACTCACAGTAGTCAAATTACGGCATACAAAGTAGGGAAAGAACCGGCAGCCGATTGATTTCCGGTTGGCGCTAACAGGAGCACAGCCGAATTGTACCCATTAGCCTGCCATCGATTGCGCTTCCGCCAGCCTGCCAGTGCCAGGCAAGCCGGAGCTGCTATCGCGTAAGATACGAAATGTCACGATTAGTCGATTTTTTTTTTTTTTATTTATGAAAGCTTTTATACATTATCATCGAGTCACAGCGTGCAATTTTAGGATAGCAAATACAGAACAACTGAATCAGATGGAATTCGATAACACATTTCGTCTAACAGTTGCCACCTTCAAAATATTTAGCGCTAACAATCCACAATAACAGCTCCCGCAGCTTTAAAAACTGAAAACGATGGCTTACTATCTGCGGTACAAGAAGACGTACGCGACTTAATGTAAAGAAAATGAGACGCTGTTCGAGTGCACTATATGGAGAAGCTTACGATTAATACTATAAAATAGGAGAAACAGAACCAAGGAAAATTTCAGAATAGCTGGGTAAACGTGTGCCCCAGGAAATCCGCGACGAAGCCATTCTTTTCACTTGTTGGCGCTGGTGTACTTGGTGACAGCTTTGGTTCCTTCCGATTAGTCGATTACGTGATATGTTTAATTTACGCTGTGACGACAGGGTCTACGCTGTTTTTCGTGCACGTGAATTTCTTTCACAGCTTGAGCGCGATGCCAATTTAGATGTCATCGTTTTCTTTTACGAGTTTGCATTTTCTCTTTATCCAGTTGGGTTGTCCGTAATTCACCATGGATCCGTAGTTAGAAGTGAGGGATTTCTGTTCGTCATATTTTCTTCGTCTACGGAGACATGGATGGCGAGGAAGGTCTGGATCTGGCAGCGAAGATTCGCGATTTGGACAAGCGAATCCAGGCTGAGAATCAGATGAGTGAAAATGGCACATTCACGCACAGTGGACAGAATGTCCAGAAGCCTCCGTTGAATTTCAATCTGTTGAGCCCGTCGGTGACGCGCAAAAAAGTCAAGCCCCGTAAGGCGCCATTATCTTGTTTGTATGGTGCGAGCTTGCGAGTTGCGACATGGCAGTGATGGCGATAATGATGATTTGCAGTTCTGATGACATCACACACCACCGTGGGACCTGCGCTGGGCCGCGCCATTACGCCTGATATGGAGAATGAAGCAGCCGAGCCGTCCCTGTTAGGATTTCGGGATTCCTTCCGCTTAACCAGGCAGCGCAGGCTGGAATTAGCCAGTTCTGCGCTTCCGCCTGGCGTATTCCAAAACGCAGCAATAAGTTCGGCCAAAACCGATGATCACCAGTAAGTGTTCCCTGTACAATAGTTTGTGTGTAGCAGTTTAGCATACAGGTAATTCATCCGTGCTATTTGGTTTTATTTAATTTTATACCATTTTAAATTTTTGATAATGATTTATTAACATTTTGCAGTTTGGCGCCGATTAAAACTTCACAAAATGTGGAATTTTAAAATTTAGTTTTATATCATTTTAAACTAATAACGTTTGTTAACGTTTTGCAGTTCGTTACGGGTTAAAACTTTACAAAGTTTGATATTTTTATGGCAGGATGTTATGTTTTTAAAGCTCATATATTTATTATGTTATAGAATCGAGTACGAAGAAAAATTGGGTGAAATTATGAAGAAGACAAATATAATAACCATACGTGGAATGAAATACGAATCCAAAATCGACGATTTGGAAAATTTGGGTGAACTGGGACACGGGTACGGTTGGCCGTGATGTCATTTCCATAAATCCATTTTTGCTTGTGGACTTTGTTGCAATTTTTGCTGGATTGTTGCAACAGGACATGTGGTACGGTGGTGCGGATGCGTTTCAAGAAAACCGGAGACATCCTGGCTGTCAAAGTATGTTGACTTAATGGATTTCAAATTGGATTACGGACTATTGATTCGTGTGGTGGTGGTTATGTGTGCGTGTGTGCTGCGCGACGGCTGATTTGTTTTTCTGGCATTAGATCATGCGTAAGTCCGGGAATCGGGAAGAAAATAAGCGCATTATTCGCGATTTGGACGTGGTGCTCAAAAGCCATGATTGCCCGCATATAGTGCAGTGCGTGGGATGTTTTGTGACTGACGTAAGTGGCATTATGTGTAAATGGTAAATCTAAGGTAATTAAAATATCGGAAATACGGTGTTGGCACAGACATATTATTGATTATTTTTTTCCCTGTGGAAGGCATTATAATGGCTTGTTACTTTTTTTGTAAAATTAAATTTGTCATCGATTTCATTTGACTTTGCCCTGGGAAATCATAGTTCCGGTTTGACTAAATGCTGCATGATTGTTTTGATGATAATATTTGTTTAGTCCATGAGTGAGCAAGTTGTATGAGCACCAATTAATCAAAAGAAAACGGTTGGTCAATATGCTATGTAAACGCAAAAGTTTTATCCCCTTTGGCTTCATGGATATGATTTTTGTACATGATGAGGCTTTTTTTAAGAGAAAACGGTAGATTGTAGATCTGGCATTGAAATTTCGAAATGTGGTATGTCCTCAGTCTCTCAGTTTTCATTTTGGCAAATGTAGCGAGTTTTTTCCCATATCAAGTGTCACTTTGTTAGAATAAGAAGGGGAATGATACTGCGATGATTTTCATGCGAAATTGACAGTTGGTGGGAGCGGTTGTGCTCGTTCCCAGCACTTTATGAACTGCACCCTACATCATTAAGCATTTTTTAATCTTGGGAACGCCTTGGCCGTGGCTCATGGTCGATAGTTGACAGCTACAGCTGCACTGGCCTGTAATGATCAACTAATTCACTTAAATGATAGAATAAGCATCTTTGACGAATGATCCTCCTTCAATGGCCAATTTTTACACAGGCGGAAGTCTGGATTTGCATGGAAATGATGACAACGTGCTTGGAAAAGCTAATACAGCGCACCCATGCCCCCGTTCCTGAGAAGATTCTGGGAAAGATGACTGTTTCGGTAAGAAGGCTAAACATTTTTTATCGCGGTCGTTTTACTGTATTTTTTGTGAATTAATTTATCTCTGTGTGCTGATTATTAGGTTTTGAAGGCCTTAGATTATTTAAAGGAAATCCATGGTGTGATACATCGCGATGTGAAACCGTCCAATATTTTGCTTGATTCCAAAGGTATAGAATGCAGTAGATGACTTTAATTATTACATTTCATCCAGCGGTTAATGTTTTATTGCGGTCATCTCGAAGTGAATCTGCAATTAATATTTTTAATGCGGAAATATTTTGTGAGCTATTGGCTAAATGTTTTATTTTCGCTGCAGGTACCTTTAAATTATGTGATTTCGGTATCAGTGGTCGTTTAGTGGATTCCAAAGCCAAAACGCGTTGTGCGGGCTGTGTGGCCTATATGGCGGTAAGTGGATGGCAGAATTACGATGCATCGTTCCTGTGACGATTGATTTTCTGAGACCGCATTCTCACTTCTCATTATGATTTGCATACATAGCCCGAGCGGATCTGTCCCGCTGATCCTAACCGGCCTGATTATGATATCCGTGCTGATGTATGGAGCTTTGGTATCTCTTTAGTGGAGCTGGCCACTGGGGAGCTTCCGTACAAGAATTGTAAAACGGATTTTGAAGTGTTGACTAGGATCATTGAAGATGCTCCGCCGTCCTTGCCGGCTCATCGAGGATATTCGATGGATTTTTGTGCCTTTGTCAAGGACTGGTAAGTGCTTCTGCCTGTGATGCTAAGTACAGCAAATGTCGGGAAGGGCCAGTTAATTGGTGCTTTTTCTTGCTGTTGTTTAATACGTATGCATTGGAGACGCATCTGTTCGTTGCTGGAAGCTGTTAAGGAAATCACGTCGCCACTTTTTTCTTTTGCGAATAGTTCTTCTTTTGGCGGATTTCTGTCTGCGAAGAATAATTTATGGGCGCTAATAAAGTTAAATTTGTTAGCACTGGCAGAGTAATTGCGTCCCTTTTTTTCTTTAAAGTACAACGCGTTTTTTAGCCGAGTAGAAAAGGTTTTCAAAGGGGCTTGCGTTTGCGTTCTGACGTGCCTGATACTGCAAAGTGGAATTAGAACACTTTAACTTTAATGGCGCATTTATGATCGCAGTATAGCATATTATTGTCATACGTACGAGTAAGTGATGGCTTATTACTCGTAGTTAGTGGTTTACGGCTGCCGTTTCGGCTATTAATTGCATCGTTTCACTAAAAGGTTCATCACCATGATATGCTACTGTATTGCTACTGTATTGTATATATCGATCAAATCAAATCGATATCTATTTTGAATCGGCTAAACATGCCCGTGTGCAAGAAGTTGTACACATTATACAAGTTGAATTGTCTTGTGCGATGTGCAAACGTCACCGCTTTTGGCTTTTGCGATATGTGTAGATCGATACTTACGTGTTTTGTTTTGACAGCCTGACCAAAGACTACAAACGCCGACCGAAATATCGCAAACTCCTGGATCATCCCTTCGTTGTGCGGTATGAACTGTTGAACGTGGATGTGGCGTCGTGGTTAAAGAATCTCCAGCCGCGGCTGCTGGTCCCGTTGGCGTTCCAGAACGCATTGCTGTCCTCGCCGTCCCCCACGGCCGCTCTGCCGCCGCACGCTCCGCCGAAACACACCACCACGACGACGCCCACCTCGGCCCATGTCGTCGCCGCCACGACGCCGCAGTCCGCACCGCAAACGCCACAAAAGTCCTGGTTTGTCAAGCAGGCCACCAAGTCCATTTTCCGATCCGCTGCCAACGTTCCATCCACTGCCCCGTTACCGCGCAAGCAATACAATATGGTCAATAATGCATTCTTCTAGTTCCGGTGAACTAGAGGGCTTTTGATGTTTTGTCTCTCAGGTGTAATGGAAGGTTGTTTTTCTTGTTTGATTTTTTTAATCGTTCCACAGAGATTTGGAGGGAATAGTCGGGTACTGAAAGTCTGAAAGATATTACTATGTATGTAGAATGTGTAGACGGTATGGTTTGTGGAATCTGTAGAGTAATTTGTCGTAGGTGTATATAGTGTTTAATTTGTTTTATTGGTTAGTCAAGTTGATCAGCGATTGCAGATTGTGCTGATAATGGTTTACTCTGGTTTTTGACAGTGATCGCTGGATCTGGTCCTTAACTCGTGATATTGAATAAGGGGTATTAAAGACCGCTTGGAAATTGATTTGATTACAATTCAGCACTTTTTATTGTTAGGTATACAGTACAGATACCACAAAATCGAGGTATATGATACTCGTAAACCGAAAGCAGTATATATAAGAACAGAGCCAAATTCATGTTAAAAAAGTGAATGTTGATTTGTTGACTTCCAATTAGCACAAAATTACAGTATACCAGCCACCAGGTAACTGTATTAGTAACTGAGCTACCGGCATTACGTAGTTTGTGAACTACGTAGTAGCAGTAACATTGCGTACAGACTGCAGTAGTTTCATTTTTTACGGAATATGATAGTTCTCTATATAACCAAGACACAAATGAAATATCCCATTGTCTGTTAAATTCAGGGAACATCGAATGCGCAAGTTCGTTGCTAAAAGATGTCATAAAGGTCACTCTGTGCTTACGGAGTACTGCTTTGATTTTTATGCAATATGCACACATATTGCGTATACGGCCATACGTACAGTAATTCCTTAAAAATGTTCCATTTCACACAGCAAGCAACTTAGCACTGTACATACAGTGTACACCGTAGTGTATTTTCATTTCTATCGGTGTTTTTGATTCGGTAAATGGATGTCCTAGCTATCTACCCTGGTGATTAGATTACCGAACCTGCGCCCGCTGAGTCCAGTCTGCTTTTGCATCAAAACAAACAAAAGCGCAGATTTTGCACGCTCATTTTGCAGTCGCTGATAGCACTAGCAGCATTCGGCAGTGCAGTCAAAATCACAAGATTTCCAGTAAAAATCTGACTTCCCAAACTGCTGTTTACAAAATCTGCTTTGGTTGTTGCTTGACAAAGTTACATTTTATGATGGAAAACTCTAACAATAATTCGTCACCGGTTGGCACAAATCCATCCGGGCTGACATTTCACGATTTCGTTCCATCGATGCGCCGAGCAGGCACGATCACGCATTGGCCGTCATTTGAGCGTTTCTCGTCTACCATAAAAAAAGCCAACGATTTCCTGACCGCGCATTCCACCCTGGAGATTGTCAACTGCGAAACCGTCACCTTCCATCTGACGCACGACGGCGTCAGGGATTTTAATAAGACCGATTTTGTCCTGTACGGCGAAATCCACAACGGTTTCGTCACCGGACTGCGCGTCTGGACACAACCCTGTACCGATACCAGCCGGACCACGGTCCAACAAATCGGCTGCTTCTCCATACTTCCCAGTATCGATAAAGACCGCGGCGCCGCGACGACACTCGATCATCTCACATACGAAGCCAACAATTGGCTGAAACGCAATCCCGTCCCGGGACGACTAATCAACGTGCAGACGGTGGAGATGCGGGGCTTGCGACAGGGCAAGGTTGATGTCGATGCGTCCAGTTGGACACAGGCCGCCTCCAGTAACTCCTCACAACCGCACACGGTCCTGCAGTTTTTCCGTGTATTTTATCTCATCGGTGAACCGTGTGGTGAGGAGATTGTGTTTATGGATATTTTCCCGACCATGCTGAAAAGTAAAGGCTTAGCGGATAGTGAGGCAGAATTCGAGCCGTTCAGTACGGTTTTCGACAAGGCCACTGATTGCTTGGCGACACTGCCGGACAAGTATCGCTTTCTCAACATGCAGACGCTACAGTGTCGATCTATCGGTGGTGTGCCGTTTCGGAATATCTACTCCACATTCTACCAGAGTTCTCCTTTTCACAAACATTATCTGCGCTTTCTACGTATAACGTGTGCCAAATCGATGAAAATCCCATCGTCCGTTAATGTCTCGACGATGCGCTGTCACCTGTTTGAACCGGAGCTGCTGCAAGATCCCGGCAAGTGGATACATTTGGCGAAATTCGAAAGTTTAACGCTGCTACAGAAGCGCATTGACCAGTGGGTGCGGAATAGCGGGGTGCATGTTGTCACCGCCGAAAGCGTCAGCTTGAAGACAAACAGCGGCGCAGAGCGGACACAAGGTCACGATGCAATGTACACGTGGAACGAGACGCGGGCTGATTCTCGGGGCGTGGAACAGGCGACGTTCGAACAGTATATTACATGCCTGCGGGTGTATTATACGGATGGCGGGAAAACAGCCGAGAAGCCGGTGTGGCCGCGGACGATTAGTGACTACCGACGGGAAAACGCAGACGACACGCACTGTGTAATAGTTTAACTTCTCCATGTATTTATTGTTTTAGTTATTCAGTATTCTAATCCACCGCTGCACACATTTTTTCTCCTCATCAGTAAATGACTGAAGTTTTTGCTACGATTGTAAAGGTGTAATCACATACCTTATTCGAACCTGTCGAAAATTTTGTACTTTATAGTTCTCCAGAACATTTCTGTGGTGAATAAAAAGTAAAGTCTTGCCTGGTGTCTCGTGACTTTGTAGTTTGTACGACGATAAAGCAAAAATAATCGGTCATTCAATAACAAAAATACGTGTAGGCTACAATATTTCCAATCGTTCTTCCTACAATTGCTACCATACATTATCACCAACTCATGCGCGACCATAGCATTCGTAGATTACCATAATTATTGTATTGTGCCATATGCATAATATAATGTACAATGTGCAGATACGCTGTCGCGTTAATTACTGTACTTCTTAGTAATACTTCGTGCAGCAGAAGATCACAATTTTCAATTTTTTCATCTGCTTTAATTATCAGTATTGCATTGCAATTTGTCAGCTGCAAGAAATCTGTAGAGTACAATTCTGTACACTTATACGTCTAAAACTGAATAGCTGTCGTTAAAAATAAAACCACACTCGAAACAAACTCATCCTTCTCGGTACAAAATAAGATCCAATACATAAAAATTTCCTGCCGAGTGATAAAATGACTAGAACGAAAGCGGCTCCAAAGCAAAGGATAACCAACCAATTATAAATCAAAACAGCAACCATCCCCACCCCAAAACCTATACATACAGACATACATACAGAATCATCCCAACCAAAGCTAATTTCCATCCCACCCCCCATCCCAAAAAAAACAACCACATAACTTATTAATCATTCTTGACAACATTGGCACTGAGAAACTGCGGCGTGGATACGAGCGTGGACGCTAAACAGAACCGCGCCGGACAATCTGGTCCGCCGGGCAGCTCAACGGGTAACGTGGCCACGGCCACCAATCCACCGTGTAAATACTCCACCGCCACCGGTGCATATTTGGCCACTTTAACCGCGTTCACGTCGCCGGTACCCGCTGCACCCGACGACGACGGATCACTGGGGTCGATGTGGTTGCGGCGCTTTTTCCGCAACTTCGGAACCATCTTCTTTACACCTTTGGACGTCGATGCTTCCTCATGGATTAGAGAGTCATCAGCTAATCCGTACATCGGCCTATCTGGCCGACCTTTATTCATCTAGAAATTCAAGGAATTTTTTTAACATTCGGATCAACGTATGATTAGTGCACATAAAGAGCGAAAATTCGCAAAAAGTCTCATTTCCAGTTTCTACGTGGTTGCATGATCTGTTCCAGTTAGTACAGTGTCAATCTGCATCAGTTTACTTTAATTATTAATTTAACCGCATCTATAATTTAACGCACTTACATTTACAGCGATTCACACTAAAGAGAAAATGCAGACAAAAAAGCAAATTTTGCTTGCATCTGGTTATTTTCCATTAACACTACAACTGCTGAATGCCACCGAACCGATAATTCCCTTGCCGTCACTGTTCTACGACAGACACAATACACTAAACAAATGCGTCTGGCAGACAGCGTCTGCCAAGGTTGGTGCCAAGGATCAATAAACAACATTTCTCAGATGTGCAAAACTTAAAATAAACAAAATATCTTACGTACTTTGCTTCAGTTTCATCGGTACTAAACCCTAATCATGGTGAGTCAGCAGCGACTTACCCTGTCAAAAACGAGAAACACCTTTCCAAACGGCCGTTTAGCCATCGTCTGTAGTTCAATGGCCACACGTTGTCGGTTCTGTCGTATTCCATATACATCCTTAAATTTCCATAATAAAATACAGATCGCAAGGAACAGGAAGAAGCATGAGAAGAACACAGAAAAGAAGACAAACAGATCAATGTGCGGCTGATCCTGCCGGAACAATATTCGGCCACGAGTTACATCCGATGTTGGCGATCCGATCCCATGTACCACAACATAGAATTTGGAATTCTTCAGATCATGTCCGTAATACGGAATCGTTAAGATCAGCCGGTGGCGCACATCCCGAACGATCACCACTCTATTCTGTTCCGATGCGGTCACGTATGATACGACATCCAGGGCGCGATGAAAGTCGACAACCTCGTCGATACCCCGTTGATTGTCGACGTAACGTTTGTCCACATTAACATAATGGAAACCGTTTTTCTTATCCACACTAATGGCAAACATATCATCCTGTAAAAAAAAGGTATAATTAGCATCCTATATATTAATAAAATAAGCCTTAGCGAATTCCATTTCTGTCACCCTTTTTTGAGCGATCCACTGAACCAAACTTTGATGTCTATAAGTCATTCAATAGCCGCGAGTTTGCAGATTTGCAGAAACCAGTTAGTTTTTTGAAAGTATGTGAAGTTTTAGAGAAAATCTTAAAAGAACTTAACATACAAAGTCTACGGGAAAAGTGCAGAACCCACCACTGCAAACCCACCCAAGCCACCACTGTCACGAACAGCACAGGAAAAGACATCTACACTTGATGGAACTTTGGTGTCCGTTAGTTATCGGACTGCCTTTAGTTCATAAGATTTTTATTAAGAGTTAGTTTTTTAAAATATGTAGGCTCGGAAAGTGATGTTTCTTAAAGACTGAACATGCAGAATCTCCTGGAAAGTGGGAGCGACCCAAATTCCAAAGATAAAGTAGTTGCCTTTCGCAACGGGTTGATTAGATGTATTATTAAAATTTAAAACTGCTTCCAAAGGGCGGTTGGCTTTTGCTGCCGTGCCAATAAAGTGGAATATTTTTCCTTTTTTCAAATCTCAAATAAACATCATTTTGTGAGAGACTGAAAGTCGATTTTGAGAATTTTGGTGTTCGACTGGAAATGATGTGGACTACTCGAGCAAAACAGCGAGTCCCAGTCCCACCGGGCGTACGCACTAGGATTCGAGTCTAACCGCCGCCCGGGGGGAGAAAGCGGCCCAAGGCAAATCTTTTCACGGCGACCTAAATGAGGAGCGCGCGAGCCTCCAGCAGGGGAAGGTAGAGAAGGTAAAAATATTTTTCAGAAGGGATATTTTTCCGCTAAGGAACGTAGACAAAAACGGTTTTATAAAAACAAAAACCGCATTTTTAGCATTCAAAAATTTAAAATAAACAGAAAATTTAAAAAGCGAAGCTTATCCGCATTCTAATCTATGTTTCCGCCAGCTATAAAGCATTCCGTCAGATCAGCTCCCATCAAAGGTCAAAACAAAAAAATTAGGGGAATACCCTCTCCGGTGCGCCTGGGTGCGACAAGCTACATTAATGAACCATCTGTGAGGACGTAAGCGTGAAGCGACAATGCGTTTAATGGGTTGGGGATGTTGTTGGCGTTAAATGGGTTGGGTTTGGGATGGGTTGGGGTTGGGATTGGGGAGGCGACAATGCGTTGGGGATGTACTATACAAATGCATAGATTTTTGCCAAACTTGAAACAAATTTTATAAGCACGTAACAGAAAGCGGAATCATAGGCGGCGCCTATCTGCAGCGGGGGTCGCAAGCAAGACACTGTGCTTAAGTTGTCGACGTTAATCAATAAAAAATTCACCAAAGAACACAACGAAATTTTGAAGTCTTCATCAGGTTTAAATTGTCTGTGTGTAAACAGTTGGAGGAAACTGGAAAGTATTTTTATTCTAAGTGGTCTAAAGGTTGACATCGGTGGTCGTACGGTCGCATCACTGGATTGTTTTGTCGGGACGCACTAACTAAAATTTAACGAAGCTCCGAATGGTATCTGAACCAGTAGAAGTACTGAAATACGGCTACAAAAATTTCAGTAATTATGGAGCTTTTTTTTATTTGTAGTTCTTGATAACTGACCGGCATATGCTGCTGATTGATTTGCGAGAAGCTTAAAAACTTTGTTTTATAATTGCAAACAAAAAGGACATATTCCTGGAAATTTTCTAATTTTTCGGGTCTAATTTCGGGTTAAGTCAGCGGAACGCGACAATGTTTTCTCAAAACGGCCTTAAACATTTAATTATTAAACTGTGATACATTCTAACTGCTACCAATCTGTCAGTCAACTATGGTCAAAGGCCCAAAATAAAGAATAATTTACGACATTAGTTATGATAAGCATAACCAAACAGGTATTGAGCAAATACCGTTTGTCTCTGCCAATGAAACTAATCAAACTATATTATTATTAATATTCTTATACGCTCCGCTCAATAAAACTAAATTTGCAGTCATGGGTTTGTACTTTGTAGCTTTCCATAAATAACAATTTATCGCCGATTTATTCCGCGCAGTTTGCGCGGGGTCTACTAGTACATTATTAAATTGAGAAATACTAAGTAAATTTTTGTCAAACGGAAATACTAAATAAATTTTTGTCCATTTTGTCAGATACGATTACATATCCAATGGACTTTATGTAAGAGGAGCCGCATGAAACAATCTAGGATCTCATTCAAATGTGCTAGCTTACTTGATCAGACAGAAACAGATCCACTCCTCCAGCGGTCACATCGACGTAAATCCTGTCGATCCACACAATATTAACATTTATAAACAAACATTTGTATTTGCAAACATTTTTAAGAGACTTATACCATAACTCGTAATCGACTTATACCATAACTCGTTATACCATCGGCATTATATAATTTTAAGAAAAATTCCTTACAAATCATACGACCGAATCTCTTCTAACGCACCTTATATCCACATTCAAATATTTGGGCTGAACAGCGAAAAACACCGAACGTCCCTGCCGCAGCGGTTTGGACGGGTCCCAGTTGGAGCACCGCCCCCGGGGCATTTCCGGATCAAAACAGTAATCCTCCCCGACAGACATCTGCCGGTAACACTGGTGCCCGCCCGTCGGTCGCCCAATGAAATACTCCTTGCATATTGCGCACTGCATCGTCCAGCAGGGCACACCACTAGGCATGTCTTTTTTATCCGTTCCATCGCACAACGGCTCCGTTGCCGTGTTGTTGGCGCATTTACAGCCTGTCCCGGAGAAGGCATTACACGAGTCATCGTGGCCATTGCATTCACAGGGACGACACGGATCCTGTGGTTTGGAATTGGGAGGCGGACGGAAAAAGCCAGGAAGGCAGCTTTCGCAGCGGTGCCCGGTGGTGTTGCCATCGCATTTGTAGCATATGGCGATATTATTACCCTGCACGTTATTCTGTCGATCACGATCTAAGACACCCTTCAACGAGAGGAAATCAATTCCCTGCAAAATTAACCATGTATCATGATACTATCATCGCACCAAGCCTGCAGCGATTTCACTGTACAACAAGCTTGAAAAAAAACTCACCTGGAACGGATTATCCGGCAGCATGGAATTATCACTGGTATTAAAGATTTGTGATAATGTCAGACAAATACTGGAATGCTCGTTGCAGTACGAGCTGCACGACTGACATCGTCCACCCGGCTTCGCATTTCCTACGTAGCCATCCACGCACCGCTCACATCGACTCCCCATCGTGTTGTTCATACACTGAATACAGGTGGTCAGTTCTGTGTCGCTAGGACAGTCGCTGTTTCCATTACACTGACAGGCTACCGAGCAGTCAGCTCCAACGTATCCGAAGTCGCATTTACAAGTGTCCGGTGCAATACAACGCCCCGAATGACATCCCGCACTGCAGATCGGGTTACATTGGACACCGTGGTCTGCCTCGCCGGTGAATGTAGTGGCAAATCCAGGTTTGCACGTACAGTTAAAACCCTGAAGCCAGGTGGGTAACTTTTATCTCATAAAATCAACAAAAAAAAGTATAAAATTTTCAAAATTAAACAAAAAAATTTTTCCAATAGCCTAAACACCAACGGAACGGTCACGTAACCTACGGTAATCTTTTCCCCATATGGCTCAACTAAATCAGCTGAGTGACTGCGAACTATAATCTGCCCGTATAACACCAAACGTAAACATAATCATACCGATGGAGAATCATGACATTCTTCGCTTTGCTCATCGCACGTGTGATGTCCGTTAGTGCATTCATCCTCCACTGGACACGTCAAAAAATGCCAAGTATGCCGCTGCGAGTCTTCCAAGAGTCCCACCGGCGCCGCCACTTTGGTGTTCTTAGCGTCAATCTCCACTGTCATCGAGATGATCGGCTTGGAGACATTGTTACTGGCGGCACAGAACCCTTGCAGCGGTCCACTAATTCCGCCTGACATACACGTTCCGATTCCATTACTCCCTTCCACCGCACACCATCCGGCCTTGGGAACTTTCAAGCATTCCCGACACACCGTGATACTCCGCGGTTCCCTGGGACAACGATCACGCGACCCTCCATACAATAACGCTCCACAGTTACCCAGTGGACAGCGCAGACTGACCATCGCCGGATTCAGACATTCCTCGCGGTCTTCGCTCCAAGCACACTGCTGAAACCCACCGGCCGATCCCCCAGAATTCAGACACTCGGAGCATGTTTCAAAACGGCCGCATGCCATCGGACAGTCACCCGGCGGAGACGCCTCGATATCTTCCGGTGGGGGACTCAATTTCTGCGATAATTCCACCGGAAAACAGTTCCAAGGAAACACCGGAGTCTTCCGAAACTTCTTCAATGTTTCGGTGTTCCGCTGAAAGTGTCGCGTCCAAAAACAACCCACTCTGGCTTCCGTGCATCTCTGGCAGTCCGCATAGTGACAGCGTTCGTCAGGGCAAGATCCGGGGTCTCTGATGACCGCATTGCTGCGATTACATGACAACGATGCCTCACATGTCTCATATCGTTCAATACATAGCCCGTTACCGCAGTTTGTACACCACTGACACCGGCTATCATCCTCCCCAACGCCAAACCATGGCGCTACACACGTTCGACATTCTTTCTGCTCCCGGCAGATCTTCACAACCGGCAAATTCTCATCACAGGATGTTCCTGGAAACATGCTACCCCTCACGCCGCAGTTGATGCCCGATAAAGAATTATCGAAACAGAAAGATCCATTCTCTGTCCCGCACATTCCGCATCCGTATGTCGCCAAACATAGTCGTGTATTTGCGTTCCGAGTGCAGAAATCATCCACCGGCTCGATACGGCTGAACTTAATGAATGTCTGGGGAACAAAGTTAAATCCCGATGCCAAATACAAGAAACTCTGCGAGTCGTTAGCAAAATGAACAAACCCAGGACTAAGAAATGCTGTAATATTCGGATGGGTTTCATCCAACCACTGGTTACATTTGAATCGGTAAATCAAAACTCCCTCATCAAAGACCCCGTCCGGCGTCCTGCCGCCGGCAACAATGATATAATTTCCCGAACGGACATACGTTGCTGCATGAAACATGCGAGGCACGAGTGGTCCCATGTTCTCCTGGGTTAATGTAGGCATCAAAATCCAGCGCCGTCGCCCAAGGTCCAGTACACTGAACATGCTAGACATACCCGACCGGTCAATATCGAAACGATAACCACCGAACACAAATATTGCATTGCGAAGAGGAAAATATGTGGCCGAGTGTCCATATACACCGGGCGGACGGGAACCGTTTAAAGGAAGGGCTCGCCATTGCGTATCGGTCATTTTATACGAGTAAACGATGTCACTGAAGGATTCTGCGCCTCCTCCAATTATGTAGATGGTATCTCGAACAACAGTCATCGTGTGCCCGGCAAGCCGCGGTAAATAACGCAACTGAAAAAAACAATGCAAGTTATAAACTTATAGCTTAAAATTATATTAACTGGAAACGGCAATAACACCATGGTGAAATTGTATTTATCTTTCGTATTCGTATACAAGGCGATCCTTCAGCTAACCGGCAAACAACCGGAAACAGTAACAGCAACAAAAGACGTTAATGTACACTTACAGTCAATTCCTGCCATGTTTTGCTCGTCACATTGAAGATCCATAAATCGTTGCCAACTTGCACCCGATCGGCATTCTCCACATATCCCCCATGCACAACCATCAAATCTCCCACAACGCATGAAGCATGGAAATATCGCGGTAATGGTCGCGGTCGCGGAATTTCGTCCAGCAACGTCCACCCCGCTTCGGTCAGCAAAGCATCATGAGAAATGGCCCACATATCGTTCACAATCCCTCGCAACTGATCCATTCCACTGAACAAATATGCTGTATTCTTGATAACTTCAATGCTATGCCCCACTCGAGGAGGCAACCGTATAACGGAGATACCACGTTTCCGTCTCGCATAACCTTCTTCCAATGCATATGTCGCATTGAACTTCTCCGATCGACTGGACCTGCGGAACAGTATCGTCATGATTCCCGACTTGCTGACCAGGGTCATGGGACTTTTTAGAGGACCGCATATGTTGCCTAACAATGAACTGGGTCGATTTACAGCTTCCCATAGATCAAATAAGCGGGTATCGTCTTCTGCGAGTTCAGTGGAGATGTCGGCGGTGACTAGCCAGTCGGGAAGGCCATCCGTCACGGCGATGGAATTGTTCGGGCACATCACTTCCATGGACTGGCCAATAGTTAAAGATAATGGTAAGCGATCTCCAAAGTAATCCTCCTTGCCAGAGACCAGAATCCACAGGCAAAATCCATCGAGAAGATCGTTCTCATTACCTAACCCACCACTAGTCGCATTCAGAATCAAAGTTCGCGAACGGCAACGGCTGTAGCAAATTCCTCCGCTTCTGTAACCACACAAGTTACATTACATACAAAATACCATTTTTGATTTTAACTAGCAAGAAGAAGTTTTTATTTGTGAACCACGGGATAACAGTGTGCTGACTAAATTACATCGTTAAGTTATTTCTTGTCCAGGAGAATAACGCTGCCAAGAAGAAAATAAGTTATGGTCTATGGTCTGAATTATTCATCCGTTTAACTAAATAATTTAACTACGAGTAATTTAATAAAACACAAAGTAAAGCACAGTAAGTATGTGACAGATACACATCATATAGATGCTATGCATCATATACGTACATTGGGTCGCCAAAGAAATCCGGAGGACACTTTTCACAATTCCGCCCAAAATACGGATACTCGCAATGGCAACGTCCCGTAACGCTATCGCATGGCTGGCTAATATCGGCATGGCCATTGCATGAGCATGGTAGGCATCCTTTATCGGCTGTGGCATTTCCGAATGTCCCGCGCACACATCGTTCGCAAAACTGGCCTTCCGTGTTACCAAAACACTGATCACATTGGCTAACATTTCGCGTGCACGTGCTGTGGAAATTACAGCCACAGTCGATTTCACACTGCGCTCCCGTCCTGCCACAAACAAGAAAATAAAATTCACGGCAGCAAACATTGTTTAAGGTTGCGGCTAAACTGACCATCCGAGATCGCATATGCATTTGAACGGTTCCAAATTCGGCATGAGAACATCGGAGCATTTGCCGTTTAAGCATTCCCGGTCACATGTTTTAATGCACGTTGTCCGACCGTCGCCTTTGTAGCTAAGCAGAATACACAGACAGATGAAACAAACAGCTTTTTGGATGATAGAAAAATCCATGTTGGTAGAGATGATTGGTGCACTGCAATGACAAAGTGACTTACCCAGGAGCGCATTCACACCGGTAGTCGCCTTTAACGTTAACGCATGTTGCATTCTCATGGCAGTCAGCAATTCCCAGAGCACACTAACAGTAAGAACAAAAATAACATATCACATAAACCCGTGATTATATAGGAAAACGGACTATCATTTAAAGCGCTTACAATACGTCTACGTCTAAATCAAAAACTGATATAACCGATTCAACAACAGATGCAGTCTTACGATACAAATTCATTCACAACATACAATCCCATATTCTCTCCGAGCATACCTCATCGACATCTGGGCATGTACTGTACGACCACACATGCCCCGCTGATCCATTGCCATTCCGTGGACACACTAAATCATCCGTCAAGTTCAAACCCACGGAATTTCCGGTTAGACATTCTCCTTGCCGGGGATCCTTCCCTGTCTTCGAACACCATCCACAGCTTGGCCGCGACAGACAGCTATCGCAATCTTTAATTTCTTTACAATCCGTACATGGATCCGTCACCTCGGCATTCTCCCAGAATCGACACTGCCCGAAAGCTGCCATTACACTCAGCGCACTTTTAGGCAAACACTGTCCCAGTGAATGACACCACAGACATTTTTCCGTCGCGTGGACACAGGTCGAACAGGAGGTGTGTTTCGTGCAGTCGGTTTCGATTGACAAGGCACGATCCTGCGATACTAAGCTGCTGCGGTAACAACCGTGAGCCACCGTATCCCATTTGCAGTGGCGTTCGTGGTTGCAGGATGACGCATCGTTCAGCATATGACAGGATGGACACTGGTGGACATCAACAGTCAGATAAATCGATTCACCATTGGGATCGTTGCACAATGAATAGGCATTCGGATCGGTGGGTTTTGGATAGCATTCCTGTGTTGTGCCACACCAACCGCAACTCATATCGGAAAGGCATTTCCAGCAGTTACTGTAACGAGTACAGCCGGAGCCGCCGGTGGTGAACGGCTCCAAATTTTTTGTCTCAAACGGCTAAAACCAACATAAAAAGGTTGTTTACAATAGTCCAAAAAACTCAACCTGGTAACACTTTTGCGTAAAGTAACGAAAACTGGTATACTACACTGAGTAATCTCACCTGGCTAACAATGGAATTTCCATTCCAAGATAGGTACAAATGAACCTCGAAATCCGGTGAAATTCTCTGTTTAATTACGGTCATTTGGTAAACAAATTTTACATAATACGTCCCATCCACATCCGGAAACAACGGCGATCCATCATGCCGACTGATTTCTGATTTGATGGGGAAGATACCGCGGGACTCGACTACCAACTCTGCATTCTTGGGATCGCTGTCTTTACTGAGCCATAACTGCGCAACGCCATCAAACCCGGCCGAATTCCCCATCCGTTCCCACATACGCAACTGCGCATCCCATGTGGATTTGGGATTAGCGCCGAGCGGATGCAGGAAGCCGCGCATTTCCACAATTAACGTGCCCATATCCCGGTCGGGTGGGAAACGAACGATAGGGTGGTATGACAGCGCGGAAGTTTCAATTAAGTTCACTTCATCGGGGATCTGGAGGTCCGGATCTGGTTGATAGAGAAGAAATGTCAGGCCGGATTTCGAGGGCGGTAGCTGGCACTGGTCAGTGTAGTCCACTGTTTGGGGACGAGTGTTTAGTGACCACGAAGCGGCATCTTTTACACGTTTATCCAGGCAATTATCGCGATTTGTTGGGACGTTAGCTACGCACTTTGAGGTCTGTAAAAATTTTAAAACGTATAGTAACTTCCTAGATATGTTAAAGGGTAATACAACTTGACCGGTCTATAAAATACCGCTGCATCTCAGAATAAGTGCATACAAATGATACAAGTAAGTACTTTCTGCAGTGCAGAATACAGAAAGTCCCTGCAATATGTATATCAGTATCAGAAAGCCAAAACTCATTTTGGTTTTTATATCAACGGCATGATTCTAATAATGCAGAAATTTCTGAGCTTCTTGCTGTGGTTATTAACAGTATTAACAAAAATAAATAACGAAACAATTTCCACAAAAGAAATCTCAAGGTTCACTCATGTTAGGTAATTCGAAATTTTATGAATACTGTACAGCTTGAAGGCTGAGACCGATCATATTTATAATTTATTCAACTGGCACAGGACTAAGAAAACTCCGCAATGCTAGCAGTAGTTTACTTTTGTGCTGCTATGAATTACCAAGCCTCATATGTAATAAATACAACGCCTAGAAGACGTTTAGTGCTTACATTTCAGTGTGAATTCAAAATTCTTTTTAAAAAAATACCGCGCATGAATGCAAATTACCCATAAACAGACTCCCACAACAGAGCACGAGTAACGCCAATATAAATCAGCCAACTAAATGTACACCAATCAGCACATCCATTAGCTGGATCGCTTACACAGTTATAACAACTCAATAATGATAAATATCAATCATAAAAGTTTTGATACTTCAGGCGTAACCTACGTTTATGATCATCAGTTAAAGAGTCACACTACACAACGATAAAACCAGTTCCTCCTCAAATCGCATCGAACAGGTCAACGCGACTGCACCACCATAACCAAGGTCAATCGGCAACAATCAACGCACAAGGCCGGATACCCGATCGAAAGTTATACACACTTAACAGAATTTTGTTGAGCAATCGTTCCCGACAGCAATGTCATTTCCTACTTACAACCGGCACTTCAGCCGCCAATCTAAACATTCTTACCTGTAAACACCATGAGCACTGTTTGGGCTGTTTGAATGCCAAACAGGAAGTGCAGGTGGAGAGTGCCGGACACAGACCGGGACAAGAGGGATTGCTAACAGCGCCGCAGATACTCTGCGCACCCTGTTGACCCACACAGACTCCGTGATCGTCTTCCTCGGATGATTTCACGCACCATACACACGAAAGATCGCCTTCACATGTCGCTCGATCAGGATAGTCTTTAACACAATGGTAGCCCGTCGAGGTAACCAAATCAGGAAGGGACAATTTTTCCAATTTATTGAGCATTATATCCGATAAGCCGCCGTAAATAATGAGATTATTATTGCTGAGTATTGTGGAATGGCCGAACCGATTGAGATCAGGAAATGCTAAAAATGCAAACATACTCTTAATGATCCGGTAACACAGATTCTTAACGAGTACTTTTAAACTGCCCTCACAACTAATAAGATAAATTAAATAACATTTAACTCTCTGTGTATCCTCCTCAGGACGGTGAAATGCAGTAACACATTATTTACGCAAGAAAAATAATTTTTTACAACTTACAGAGATTCTTTTCGGCAATCATGGTCTGCGTGACAAAAACCTGACAGTCCAAATGGTACAGATACACGCCGCTCTCCGTACAATAGCGAGTATTCCCCATATCATATCCACCCGTGATAACCATATAAGATCCCACTACATCTGCCTTATGAAATACCAAATGCGAATACAATGCCAGGGAATCCGGAGGAAAACGCTGTCCGACCGACGTCCAGATCTGTTCCCGCAGATGATACATGAACATCAACCCGTCGTCCAGTACCATACTGCGTATTCCACCAAAAACCACCAAACTCTGCAGTGGAGCGTAGAATACCGTCGAATGTCCGGCCATTTTCAAGTACGGACCTGGACCACTTTTCGGATATTCCACAGACCATTGATTAGCAGCCGGGGAAAATACAAACAACGTGTTGGATAAAGATCCGTTTTTCATATATCCACCAAAAATATATATGGTCTCTTCCACCACTGTCGCGCTGTGGCCTGCCAAACCAGGTATAAGAGGAGGTAAAGATTTCCAAACACCGTTCAGAAAGCTAAAAGCCCAAAAATCCTCCACTACCACATGCCGGGAATTTAATCCGCCCAAAACGAGCATAGTATTATTGAGTATTATGGCTGAGTGGAGATAGCGACCAGTGGGTTTCTCCGTGGAGAGGTTCGAGTACTGGAACGGTGCCCATTTATTGTCGGCGATGGAGTATGTATCCAGAGTATCCAGCACGGAAACAAAATCATATCCGCCAAAAATCCACATAGACTGGTTGAAAAATACAGCAGAATGGCCAGCTCGTCTTGCTCCCTTTTCCAGAAGGGTACTCGATAATACCGGTTTTATGTCGATTAAACGACATGATTCACTACAAAATGCAGAAATTAGACAAATACATTCACTGCTTAAAATTTTGAGCACATTAAGGTATTAATAAAGCACAATAGTCTGGCTTTGTGATAAACATAAAAAGAGCAAAGTAAACAGAAGATGATTTTCAAATGGAAGTACAGAACGAGTACAGACAATTATTGAGAAAATACAGTAATACTGATACAAATTACATATTATTACCCGAAAATCATTAAACAATACATCAAAAACAGTAACGAAACAAAACTTATTGTTAACAAAAACAAAGCATGTGTGAAAGTGTCGATCAACACGCACTGACCTGGTATCATCCGAACAGACACACCCGGGATCGTTGCTATCGCACGGGGTATCCTTGGCCGGCACTTCCGGACAAGCCATTGGACATTTATTATCACAGTCACTGTGTATCACACCAGGCGAGCAATCCCCATTGCAGCCAGTGCAATTAATCACCCGGAAGGTTGCATTAATTAGCAACAGACGCTGACAACCAGCTGCCACTTGGACGAATATCTTCGGTGTGCTGGAGACAATGCTCAGCAGTTCCCGCTTCGTCCCCTCCACAAACGGAGACAGGGAGGCCAGGGGAGGATCTTCCAGTGAGTCTCCATCGAACACCAACACGCAGCTTTGGAAGGAGCAGTCTCCGATGATCTGCGTTACGGAAAAATGGATGTTCGTACCGAATGCCGAGCCATCGATAAACCACTGGCACGGCAAATGTCCCGCACTAGACAGTCACAAAAACGTGGATAAAAATATCTGCGTAAACAATATTGCGTAACTTAACCCAAACAAAACACAGACAGATGCTCTTCAACATTATACCACAAAGACATGACAATGCAAATACTCGTAATTTAACAAACTTTCCGAATCGCAGGGATGAAAACAAATGTTCATCCAAACATGTGGCAAAAAAACCCAAGAATGCAAAAAATAAGCTTTTTATTTTAGATGTTGATATCAACCAGTCTAAAATTTACCAGTTCAACAGAATAACGTTAAATAAATAAAATCAACGTTTCTATCGGTTCTTTTGAAAGGATTTTTGTCTTCTGCGAGTTCAATTTGTTAATGCAAAAATATTTGTTCACACAATTATGCAACTCTGTTTTAGTGTAAAATTATCCGAACATAATTATGCGCTGCGTTTTTACCTTTTCAGATTCTTTTTCTCCTGGAACGTCAAATTCCCCGTGGGAACGGCAATTAAGTGACGGCTGGGACTTTCCCTCGTACATTCAAATTCCGCCTTGAACACAACATCCGCATCACCGATTACCAATGAGATGATGGTAAAAATCAGCAGAGTTTCCAGACAACCCATTCCCGCACCCCCGGTGGAAGGAATTAATTTTCACGGGAAGCCAGACATTTTCCAGTGGCGCTGCTCAGACTGGCAGCTGTGCACGACGTCGCAAAAGACGGTCAACTGTAGAACAATCAACTACCGACGTTGTCAATGCATGGTGCTTTCAAGTGGCGGACGCGCACACTGATCAAAAGCACCATAATCTTGATACTTTCAAGAGATCCTCAAAATGCATATGTAAAGAAATGCCGAGTAGGAATGATAAGTGGCGCGTGGAGCTACTTGGCGCAGACGACTGGCCTGCTGCTGCCATCAACATCGGCGGGCCGATATGGGGACGATAAATATTATGCCAGTGCCATGCAAAATTTTTCCACGCTGAACTGTACAATAATAAAAAACTTGCGTTTTCAAAACAGATCTCTAATAGACTGATACCAAATCATAAGGCACTTTCCGAAGCTCCTACGTTCTGTTGGTTGCAAAATGTACCACAAAACTGGATCCACGCAACATACACAATCCCTCCTTCTCCACCAGCTTCAAGCCCATGAGAAAAAAAGATGCCGTAAAATTTTGATGCAACCTTAACGAAAGTATTTTGCGCTCACATGGCTAGAATTAGTGAGGCAGTGAAAAAAATGTCAAAACAGACAATAAAATCCCCACCGACTTTCACTGGTTGAAATGATCGATAACAGCCCCGGGGCGAAATTGTCAAATTGATTAATTGATGCACAGGCAATTTGCTCTGACGCACGGTAACCGCTCCTAGTTGTTTGTCACTTCAGTTTTGCATTGTTACAGCGGGTGCCTTTTATCAATGCGAGGTCTTTATAATTAAGCAGAGATTTTATTTGTTTTGGTATTTGACAGTGATAGAAGGAAGACAACCTATACGCTAGTACCTAGACCACTCCACTATCTACCGTAAAATTAAACAAGATTTTGTCATAGGCGATTTGCGAGACTGCATTAAGGTCTTAATTTCCAAGTTGATAAAAGCGTACTTTTCAACTGATTCCGTCCATTTCCGGGCATCAACACACCGGCATATTTGATACCGCAACAAAACCGGCAAACCAAATAGGTAATTTTATTTACCAGTTAGAAGCATTTTCAACAAAATTCTGTAAGACAACAAAAATCGTAACAATTAATTGTCCATGTATTGATCCAATCTGCTCATGCCATTGTGTTGCATCATACATGCAAGACTCTCAGATATCACATTTTCCTTCCTCATAATGTCTATAAAAAATTGGCGAGCGCGCAACGTACAGTAAGTGCAGCCAGCTGCATGCGCCTAATATTCATACTTTGGCATCGATCTGAGATGCTTTATTGTGGGAAAGCGGAGCTGAATTAAAATTTGTCTCCATCTTGGGCTGGTCAGCGAGTTTGTTGATTGCTGTCATTGCGTAGCTATCCCAGTTGGACTCCGTAGGAATGGTCTGCCAGTACTTCCGTCGCAGATTGTCGGCATCGGTTCCGTTGAGATTGCTCAGGTAGCCAATGTGCCAGTAGCCGACTCCTCGTAGATCGTTACTCACGGTCCACAAATATTTCATCAGCAAACTGTATTCGTTATCGTAATGCACTTGTCGTATTCCTCCAGTGGCATTCTGCATAACACATAATGTAATCGTATAGTGCGACTTTTTTAATAATACTCGTATTAAACCCAGATGCAACAACGCCTATACAATTTCGATCAGCACACTGAGCACAGTTCCGTACAGTACGTATGTTTTAAAATTAGTTAACAATGTGCTAAATCTTTGGATTAACTTACAATGTAATTAAACTGAGGCGATTGACCGGGTTGATTCCATAAATTCTTGGTCGAATTCGGCTGGAGACTACCGACGATTAAATCAATACCAACTTGTGTGCCGACTAAATCACTGCAGGGTGCACCGTGGTATGTCGCTTTGGGAAGTTCACACACATTATCCTGAAAACTTGAACGTAGTTACGGAAGTGTGCCCTTGTGTTGTGAAAACGACTAACATGCTTGTAATCTGATATCGATGTAAATCTTTTTCATTACTATACGGATACCAGATAGATACATGTTTGCTTCTGCGGGATAATAAAAAAAAACTGAAATAGGACTATTTAAAAACGTTAGCGTACTTACATCTCCCAGTTTGTCACAAGGGTAATCGTAGCCGAACAATGGCAGTCCAAGTACTAGTTTGCTGGGAGGTATACCCAGGTTGAAAAATCCTCGAATGCCTGTAAGAAATCACATTGGGGAGTTATATATTTATGTACGTACGATTAAACGATCTTAATCAGTTCGTAAAATCGCTTAAAATTATGGTTTGAATTCCACATCACAAAGGTTACAACTCGATTTCAGAGAAACTACCGCCACAATATGTAAAATGTAGTCTCACTAACAATGTAGTATTAATCTGCGCTAACGAAAATATTTCGCCACAAGATAAAATTTTATGTGTCTCTTGCCTACCGTCAATTAAGCGGAAGTATGGCGCATTGGACATTGCAATACATGGTCCCCAAACCTGTCCTTGAAGGCAGTACGCCATGACGAATAAATAATCACTAGCATCTGCTAATCCCTTATAATCATAACAACGCTCCTGAAAAACAGTGGATTCTGCGCTATTTTTTTAGCTGGGCAGAACAATGAAAAACTAATCTTTGCATATAAAAAATAAAAAACTTAATGCACGATTTCTGCAATTTGCGCCACCTACATCCACGCAATAAGTCGCCCATGCGGTATCAAAAACCACCTGCAAACACAATGATTAATGCGTTAGCAAACTGCAATACTACTCTGTATGTATGAAAAAGGCGTAATGATTCTGCTTGAGTTATGTGCTTCACATATATATATGGGTAATTCGGCACAAAATGCAGAAATATCATGAAAGGATCTGCACGCTTTGTAAATAATGTTTCGCAATAAGTATTATAAATTTGCAGTTTAGTAAAATCGATGAGAGAGCTGAGAAATGAAACTACGCACAGAACACTTAAAAAGCAACGTAAATAATCTCAAATGCCGGCAATAATAACGCTGTATTTACGAACAAGAGGATCTGGTTAAAACAGTAACGTTATATACAGTACCCTGTTTTTACGTATTGTACCTGTGCGCCAGGAAGTTCTCGATTAAAGGCCATCTTGGTTTCATTAACCAGATCCACCAAAGCCTGACGCTGCGGACTGCCGGCGGCAATGGGATACTCTGGATCGAAATTGATACCATCCAAAAAATCATGTTTCAAGCGCTTGACAATGTCACTGATCCATTGCTGGCGATATGTTACATTCAGCAACTGTTCATAAGGATATTCTCCCACAATGCTGCGAAAACAAACAATCGGTCAGTAATACATAATTTTCCGGTTAATACAGCTGAATGGGAATTTATGACTGTGGACGTACTGCAGCTTAACACCATTTTCGTGTGCCAGACATATCAGTTCGTCCGTGAAATTCCACATTGCCAACTAAAACACAGTTAGCACATCTTGTAAAAACTAGTAAATGTCTATGCAAATTTTTGCAAGCATGAAGATATCTGACTGTGCGCTAGGAAAGCAGAGTAACGCAACCGCAAAGAATGCCTTATAAATTAACGTATAAAATACGTTATTTACTCGTTTTTAAATAAACATTTACTTATGCAGCAAATACTTTGCAAACACATCATTAGAAATTTAATGAATCTAATCCGAACTATACAATACACTCCTTTATCTATGCACTCGTTCCATGCTATTCATAGAGTAATGCAGGTATAGTTCGTAACATTTTACATAACCACCGAAATCAATAGAAGTACTGCAGCGTTCCAGAATCTCCAAGTTTTCTAACTACAGTGACAAAAGCTCCAGTACCTACCGTGGTCAACACTTTCCAGTCGTACAGTTTGTAAACACTAGGATTCATCCCGGTGCTATCAGCAAATCCATAAACTTCCTTTTTGTGCTTGGATGCCGGTATTCGTTCGCACCAAGCGGTATTGTTGCATGGACAAGGGCGTGTAACATTTGCTGCATCTTTCAACAAAACAAGAGACAAACATCTTAATTTGTTTGAATGATTGCATAGAATTTGTAATGCCATGAAATCTGTTATACTCTGAATAATAATAATAACTCTGTACTCCACGTGAACCACATTTATATTAATAGACCAGGTTGGAAATGTACATCTGTTTTCGGAAAGAAACCATTAAACTCATAGGAAATAACAAGTGTTAATTTTTGATAAATCTGGTATACCGATTTTTAACAGCTGCAAATATGTAACCTTTTTTGTTACCTGAAATATCAGCACCAAATGCTATAGCGGTAAGAGAAGAAAGAACCACTGTTAATGTGATTAACAATTTCGGATGATCCATTTTATCCGCTAGCATAAAAAACAACTTCCACACTACGCAAATGTACGAGCGAATAAAAAAAAACTGCTCTGCTTTGAAAGCTTAAATACGATCTCGAAGATCGAACAAATTGCGATCACGTTGAAAGATGCAGTAGTTTTCATTTTTTACTTCCAGGACTGGCTTCGCGCTATAAATTACGCCACCAGCAGTTTGTGACACATTTGTGATCACAAATGTGCCAGCGTCAAGCGATGCCAAAGTGATGCTGTAATTATTATAAATCAGTATTGGCGGTAAACATATGAACTCGGTACCGCGAACATCCTTAAATTTCTACGAATACTTTGATTAATGGTCATTTCCGGATCTCCGTACGGCCATTATCATCAACAAATGCCAGAAGCGAGAAACTCGCAAGAAAAAACACCTGTAAAAGGAGGAAGAACTCTGCTGGATTTGGCTAAGGCCAAAATTTATGTTAATACAGACTCAAAAAAACAAAAGAACAGCTGTCAGCTACAGTTATAAAGCCACCCAGCTAAGATTCATCGCAACAGAAAACTGTCACATAACCGCTACCGCTGAAACATTATGACGCTCCATACGACGTTTGACGGACGGTGGAATCCACTGCGGATCAGCGTTTTCTTTGTCATCCGACGTCTGATCCGCCTTTTCGTGCAGCTCCTGAATTCCACTTTTCAGGCCTTGGATATCGACTGATTCCTTCTTGCCCACGGTCGCAACTTTACTGGACTGAATATCAAATAATTCGGCGCTGGGAGCAACAAAGGGCGCATAGTGCCCAGCATACTGGACCGATGGCAACTGAGTCAAAATCAGTGCGTACCCGCTCAGCTGGCCACATTCAATTCGCTCCATCAAAACCGGCAAACGGGGATTTTTCTTTTTCTCCATCGCATCAAACAATGCCGACACACAGACCGAATCGTTGCGATAATCCGAAATGGCCACATCAAACGCCGGTGGGACGGGCGTCATGCTCTTCTCGCAACCATAAAATGCCATGTCGATGCCTTTCGGGAAAGGTCCAGCCATACCTTTGTTAGAATGGAAGTGGGGTTTTGGTATAGAATTGCTGGAAGTACTTGGTAAAGGCAAGCTGCTCTTGAGTGGACTATATTTGCTACTTCCAGCCACAGAAGCGGTGTTCGCACTCGCAGTTTTCATGTTCTCAGGCAAAGGTGGGAGCTGCAGCAAGTTGCGGGCTTTTTCCGTGTCGTTCCGCATCGACAGAGCAAAACCGCTGCAGCTGATAACTTCATCCGGTTTCGGTGCTGCGACGATGTCATCAAAAACATGACAGTTATTTCCACTGGGTGCCGGTTGCTGCTGGAAGAAACGTTTGGAAGACTGCGCACCGTATTGATGTAACGGTATCCACTGGCCACTGTAAAATCGCTGCTGTTCGCTGTAGCGCTTAAACTGATAACGAGTGGTGCGCTGGAGTTCGGAAAATACGGCATAACGAGAAACAAAATTATAAACGCGGTGCTCCATGAAAGCACGGACATCTTCCACACCCATTGGACAGTGTGACAAGGTCAACTGCAGTGTACCCTATCAAATAAACAAAATAACAATAAATCTCATAAGCTGACTGAGTTCGATGCAAATCAAGTGAGATAATGCCTGACATATACTTCTATATATAGACGGACATTTTTGCCTTTTATACTAAATAACTTTTTGCCCAGTCGAGAAACCAAGAAATTATGAAGTGTGCAAAAGAAGAGATTATAACAAAACATTAAGATGGAGGAAACAATAGCATCTCCGGTAACCGCAAATTAAATTTAGAAATTCGAACATACAAAAGATTTCTCTCCCACTTACACAATCTGCCAAAAAATACGATTCAAATGGATTTAGATCCAGGTATCTTGTGTGGCCACGCTCGAACGCTCTGGCAAAGAACCTGGCAAAGGCTCCCAGAGACAAATGGGCGGTTTGTGCGTGTCCATTTCGCCAGTCCAAATCAGCAGCGCACGCAACATCAATTTCTGATCCCAGTTCCGATCTATAGCGCAAAAGGTGTACTTGTATTACAAGAATAAACGCATTTTTTTCACGATACGTTTTATTTGTACAACGGTACACTGTACACAACTGGTGCACAACAACTGCATTAATGTTAATTATAAGTTTGCAACAATATCACTGTAATGGAGTTAAAAAGGTAAACTAGAGCAGTTTGCTTTAACATGACGTCAGTACTGACCTGAACAATTCCAGATAGCGAGATGCCTCAAATGCTGACATATAGCGAGCGTAAATGCGACTGAGACGACGCTCCATCTTATCATCGCTGACATCGCTCTGTGATGCTGACTTTTGACCACAACGCGGAAGTAGTTCGAATTCTTCCTTAAAATCGCGTTTGGCCAACTGGTACATATATCCACCACTGCAAAAAAATTGATAAACTAGGAAATTCTTGAAATTACGGAAACAACTGTTTTTTAATTTTTTTAATTTCTTATACAATTAAACAGAATTAATGTTAAAATGCCTTAAGTTGGCGGTTAATCAACAGATACGGAAATTTAATCATTTTTCGGAATCAGCAGTCTCAAAATTGACATGATGGGCCTAGATCAAAATGAGACTAGATCAATAACAACCAAACCCGACTGCGTGAAACATAGTTAGCTAAGCTAAGAGACTTACTGGTGAAAATGTCCATCAAGTTTGGGAAGCTGTCGAAAGTTCTGGATCTTCGCGCAGCGCTTGGAGAACGGAAAATATTTTTTTGCTTGAACTTTTACTTCCAGCACATACGGGCTCGATGGGATCGTAACCATTTTAACCGTATCCGTAGGCTCCGCAACAGATAATTCATTCTCGGCAAAGTCGGTTTGATCTAACTTTCTTTTTCCGCTCGACAACCCATCTCCGGTGGCGTCTTTCTCTTCCGAGATACTGAAAGATGATTCCATTTCAGCATCAGCGATGCCATGCACGACATCTGTTGGCCGAACAATAAGCGAATCCAACAAACTCGCCAGTTTTGAAAAAGAGATGGGAATCCAACAGAATAAAACAAAACAAAAAGATGGCGGAAAGCCGCGAAAATCAAGAAAAGCATCCGAAAATAAGCCAACAAAATAATGGCAGTTTGAAGAAACTCGTTCTCGAGACCAAACGGAAGACCAGATCAAAAGTGACCAAAGTCACCAAACCTGCCCCTTCATATCAGACTAAGAAGGAGAAAGTCGAATCACAGTGTGACATTCTACGAGCGGCAGCTACTTGGGTTTGTAGTGAGACATTGGTGTAAAAAAATCTTTGAAAATAAAGACGGACGTTGTCTCTTGTATTAATTTTGTTTGTATTTTACTTTTCACAATTCTGCCCGGCTTGTTACTTTTCTGCAAGCCATTCTCAATACTTTAATGCAGCATACTTTCCGGTCTGTCCAGTATGAGCGCTTCGGAAGCCCGGAACGACGCACTTGCAGACACCACCGACGTTCCTCCACTGCTGGTGCAAGAAGACTGCATTTTGGAGAAACCATTCGTTGATTTGGATGGTCCCGCGCCTGCGCATACCTCGAAGCGCCGCCTGGAACTCAAGTGGAATGGCTGGGGATATCAGGATAGTAAATTCCTTGTTAATAAGAAAGGCCAAGTGGAGTTCTCTGGCGATCGGTATGGCATTGCGGGACAAACTTTGCCTTCATTCCGACCATGGATGATCAGCACATTAAATATTGATCTCAATTTTCGGACGCCTTCCCAGGTTTGCAAGCCAACTTATTTATTCTGTTGACGATTTGAATAATTAAAAAGTAATTTATCTGGTACACTCCTTTTAAAGCAGTCTAAATGCTTGATTTGGTTTTAGACGTTTTGTGAAGATGTCATGTGTCAAATTTACTTTAAAAAATGCTTTCAAACAAATTTTACTCTATTTTTGATTCAGACAATTTGGTGAGCGATTTGCATATCGTAAACCGGATGATGCAAGATATTAGATCACATTTTGTAATTTTGTGTAGCCGAAGCCCGCGCCGAAAGATTGTGCTCCTCCTGTGCGGAACGACAAATTCTTGTCTGCTCTTGTTGAAACCGGGATTGCTTGGTCTGGAGATGGAGAAGATCGGTTAATTCGTGCACATGGTCACACCTTAACGGAGATCTTTCGATTGCGGGCGGGGAAATATGATCGCATTCCAGGTTAGTAATTCGGCAACAAAGTGTGACAAATGTACTTATTATAATACCTCTACTCGTACAGTTTTGTTTAGTTTTTGCACTGCATTATGCCAATGTTTTAAGTTTGCAAGTAAAGAGAATCATGTTTTTGTCGTTTGAAGTACTTACTAGAAAATTTAAAAAAAATATACAAAGGCCTTTCTGAATAATAGAATTTTGTCCGGCTGTATATCTTTGCGCACTAAAAAAGGTTTGGTAAGTTTTTATTATAAGTTATCGTACAATGCAAGAACGTAAAAATATGGTGTTATACCATCTGAAAAGTACTTTTTGTGTACTTTCTTCTCTTAGACTTGGTGGTTTGGCCAGCTTCCCATGCTGACGTCGTCAAATTGGTAGCGCTAGCCAATGAGCATAACGTCGTCATCATTCCTTTTGGCGGAGGTACCAGTGTCTCACAGGCGCTCGAATGCCTGTCCAGTGAAGCCCGGATGATAATTTCTCTGGACACATCTCAAATGAATCACATTCTCTGGATTGATGATAAAAATTGGACGGCTTGCGTGGAAGCCGGTAAAGTCGGGCAAGATTTGGAAGCGGAATTAGCTCAAAGTGGCTTTTGTACTGGTATGTGGGGACAAAAAATGATTTTGAGGAAGTCTTAGTAGTTACTGACCGTTATGTGTATGTATTATGATTTTCAAAAACTTGTAGGACATGAACCCGATTCAATGGAATTCAGTACAGTTGGTGGATGGGTGGCCACGCGGGCGTCCGGAATGAAGAAAAACGTATACGGCAATATCGAAGATTTGGTGGTGCATGTCAAGATGGTTACTGCACGCGGTGTCATTCAAAAAAATTGCCAAGTACCGCGAATGTCTGCGGGTCCGGACATTCACCAGTTTATTCTGGGTTCCGAAGGAACTCTGGGAGTCATAACGGAAGTGGTTTTGAAGATACGGCCGCTGCCAGAGGTTAAGCGATACGGTTCCATCGTCTTTCCATGTTTCGAAGATGGTGTGGCATGCTTGCGACAAGCAGCTAAAGAACGCTGCTGGTAGGTTCTTCATTAATGGAGAAAGTTTGTAAAAGACCGTGGGTAATTTCTTTGTCGTTAACCACATGGTACTCCAATTTGTCCATTCATTCTGTAACATCTTGGTAAAGGATCTTTTTTTGTAAAGGATCTTTTAACACAGATGTATGGTAAAGATGCACTGTGCAGCTGACTTCAGCCGTTACAGATGACCAGCAACTTTTTGAATATGTTTTTCTGTTAAATGTATTCTGTGATTCTTGTTATTTAACTACCGTATTATACGAATCCTACCGTATTATATTAACTACCGTATTATAGAGGGGCATAGTCCTTAAAGTTTAAGTTACCAGCATGATGTTTTAGGCCGGCTTCTATTCGTTTGATGGATAACCAGCAGTTTCGCTTCGGGCAGGCATTGAAGCCGGAAGCGGCCTCGGTGTTCCATAGTTTTTGGGATGGTTGCAAGAAGTTTTACGTTACCCGCGTGAAGGGCTATGATCCGGAAAAGATGTGTGTATGTACCTTGCTTTTCGAAGGATCAAGCCATGATGTTATGCACCTGGAAGAGAGGCTATACAGTATCGCAGCCGCACATGGCGGCATGCCGGCCGGTGAAGAGAATGGTTTGCGGGGATATACGCTGACATTCGTCATCGCGTACCTGCGCGACCTTGGATTTGAGGTAGCAGTGCAATAGCATTGTTTTATGAACACAATATATGAATATTGTGTTAATAAATATATGAATTTATGAATAGTTTTAAAACAGACTAATATAGACTGTCGCCAATGGACACCTGTACAGTGATATGCGAGATACTAAGATATACAGTAATATACAAGTTTATTGGTTGATTTGTTCGAATATTGGAAGCTGCATTTTTCGGTTTTGCTTATCGCTTTCCGAATTTTTAATTCTATGCCAAGTGCGAGCTATAGCGCCACGCAGCACGTAGACGTTGTCCAAAATGATTGAATGGCGAACGCTCGAAAGTGGAAAGCATATGGGAAGAAACGTGTATACATAATTTTTTATGCAGTTGTGTAGTAGGCTAGTATCAGACCTTGTATTCATTTGAATATGAGCGATCTGTTGTTATTATTGTGTTGCAGTACGGTGTTGTATCCGAGAGCTTTGAGACGTCGGTGCCATGGGATTCCGTGGTGGATTTATGCCGCAATGTCAAGTTTCGCGTGAAAAAGGAATGCGATCATCATGGCGTGAAACAACCACCACTTATCACCTGCCGTGTTACGCAGTCATACGATGCCGGTGCCTGCATTTATTTCTATTTTGCCTTCAACTATCGGGGTCTCAGTGGTGATCCCGTGCATGTCTATGAGGAAATTGAGACAGCCGCTAGGGATGAAATCCTGGCTAATGGCGGCAGTATATCACATCATCACGGTAGGTGTCGAGCAGTTAACCTGAATGCTAGCGTTTAATGGATTTTTTGAACTGTTGAGAGCGTAGATGTGTAATCGTAAACGAGCTGGGACACGCTTGGAGCAAAGCAGATTGTTTGTGAGATCCAGATAATGACGAGTTCTTTAATTTACTGGACTTTGACTCGTTTGTTTGTCTGGAATTGATTTTTCAAGAATTGATTAGCGAGAACCGCTTTCAGGGATTGATTAAAGCAAAGCATTCGGATTTTGTTATCATAAGTTTCATTAACGTTTTCTTCTTATTCCTCGTGCTGTAGCGAAGATCCACTGGAAAATATTGAATGTTATTTCTCATTTTGATGGCTTTCATAATATTTTGTCTGGCCATACTGCCACAATTTCTCACACACATTCCAGTTGAATTTTGCCTTTCTCGATTTTTCGAAAAGTATTATTTATTCTTTATGGCGCATTTATAACTTTACTTATCCTGTTTCTTGAAATGGTTATGTTATAGTGTGTTGTGGTTAATTTTTGAAATAACCAATTTCATTTATGGGGATTGCGAAAACACTTTTGGTTGTGCAAATTGCATGTTGGCGTTCTCTCGAAAGCATCCCTCAACTGCGAATTATCGAATGTAAACGGAAGTCTGCGTGCACTTGCGAGTACTTTCCTAAGTAAACAATACATTATATCGTTGTCCTGTTGAATATTTCACGTTACCTTGTTAGAGGCGGCTCGAATGGGAAAAAATATCGATTGTTAAAATTCGATAATGAGGGTTTGATATTTTGTCCCGGTTAGGTGTGGGAAAATTGCGCGATCGATGGTTGAAGCAGACAATCTCTCCCGGTGGACTGGGAATACTGCAGGCTGTTAAGGCGTACATTGATCCAAAGAATATCTTTGCGGCAGGGAATCTGGCTCTTACCCAAGAGGACCTGGTTTGCAAAATTTGAGTCTCTGCGGCTTGACGCGGTGGGTGATTGTCGTGTACACGTGATAGTTGAGCGTTTGTCTTATTTACCATTGTTCTTGACTGATGGTTTTAAATTGCCAAACGCACGGCAGCTAAACATATATATCGAAAATGGAATTAAACGTGAATACTGATTACTTTGTGGTTAGTCTGTAATGTAACTGGCGTTTTTTGTAATGATACTTAATATTGTGTCGTGCTCCATAAGAGTGCGCATAATTCGCCTTTTCTTTTAATAGTATTAGCATTTTCAACACGGTAAACTATCGGGATTAGTGCGTACAATTTTTAATGCAGTAAAGGTATTTAATAAACGTTTTTGGCAAAGATCGGCAGCAAAAAGGTTACGTAGAATCTTTTCCCATATCGATTATTCTGTATGCTGCCTCAATTTAATTGGAAGTTATAACTTGAGTTTTGTATGATGCAAATCCACTGAGCGGCGCGGACTGTGATCCAGGCGGCGGATCTCTTCATGAGCTCCTGCTAACCCAAGTAAGATGTTTCGGTAGTTTCCGGAAGTTTCTTGCTGTGAAATACGAGATTATGTAACGGCGAGGTCAAACAAATTCACTGCTTTTATGGAGATCAAAAAAACATTGACACATGCATTTTTACTGTATCTTACCGCAATAACGGATCCCAGAGGCTTGTGGTAAATATCTTCGAACTTATCTTTAGTCGTCTCTAAGTCAATTTCGGAACGCGATACGAGTGTTCGGATGACACGCTTATGGTTTGTCGTTAAACCTTTGAAGGCAGAGTGCAATAACTCCGCGAAATACGTATCTTTGTGCTTCGCAAAACTCACTACAAAAGTACATAAGTCTTACCACCCGGTGTAATACGTTGATGATACATAAAACAAACATTTACCTAGGCTAGCTAATAAATGTCCAACATCTCCATGGAGATCCCTTGCAATGACCTCACCGATTTCCACATCGGCCATTTCTTCGAAGGCGGCAATAGCCAGGCGCATATGCGTGTAACTGCGCCCGGTGAAAATAGAACGGAATGCTGTATCCGTTATCCAGTGCCGCGGACCGGCATCGTACATGGCCCGCGCATCCCAGCGAGCTTGCTCCGGATTAACATCCTCCTCGGCTTCGCGAGTCTCCTGACGAGAAATAAGCTTAATGCCACGTTTTTGAGAGACAAACAACACTTTATATTTTTGTCGTGCTAGAATTACACATGCATGTATATCTAAATATGACACAGTGAAGTGATTCGGAAGAAAACAATAGAAGACCATTACGGAATACAAAAAGGCGTTGAGTACAGTAGGTTTTACGTTTTTGCAGGTATTGCGCAAGTGCTGTATATGCGAAGTACACTTCCACATTACCGCTAATATGGCAAGCAGTAGTTCTTTAAAGCCATCGGATCCGTGGAGTTTTTCAATATCCTGCATCAAGTCTTTTCCATAACCTAGAATTATAAGCAATACGATCTAAGATTAAATTTTTACAATACAACCAGATGGTATATATTTCGTGAGTGAATTTTTAAGAATACATGCATTTTCCATAATAAACTCAATGAATGCGCGCATGCTGAGGAGCTAGCACACACAATCAAAAAAATTAAAATTAAATTGTATTGGAATGTGAAAATTAGCTGCCGTTTAAAAAATCTTACCGGACTGATAAGCTTTTCTAATGGCATCTAGTTCGGCATTGTTCCGAGTGGAAAAAATATCAATAAGAACACCGTCATCCGTCGTAAATCCCTAGAGTGATATGTTAATAATGTTAATAATCTATTTAATTTAATAACGTAATTAAACTTTTGACAACATAAAGGCAGTGCATTTAGAATGTTACTAATGGTAATGATGCAACTACGAGTATAATATAACTACAGGACTTACTGAAGAAAAAGCATGGTGAATTGATTCGGCGTCATATACTTCTGGTGTTTTCAGGAGTGCAAGGATCACGTCTTCGAAGTGGCCATTGATAATAATCTTCAGTTCTCCCTTAAAAGCTTTGATGATCTCCTGAAATATTATCAATTTAAATTTCCTGGACTAAAATCACTTTTAATCACCCCCTCACCCCTTAAAATATTTTCTTTTGCAGCATCAAAACGTTCGGAAAACAGGAGTGTTTTTTGAATGTTTGACAAATACCGCTAGGAACTACTTCGTTCATACATGCAGGAATAGGTACGGAGCATGTAGTTATTATTGATCAATGCGTATTAAAACAATTTATGACGCTGCTAAATTAATAAAGTATTACTAAACTCACGCGTTTATCTACGTTATTAATAAATAAGTACTATTCGCATTCTATAATACAAGAAACAATTTTTAAGGCAAGTCGTTGTACCATGGACTTAGTGATTAATAATAATTAATCATTTAACCAATAAAAGCTATATTAGTAGTTGTTTGCGCAGCTTCCAGACCATAACAGGTCACGATAAATACGTATCTACATCAAAACTACTTTGTATGTGAGTTTTAGTGAATTAAGTACCGCACATACCTTGCCATACATCTCTTTATAACTGGCAGCGATTTCCTGGCGCTGTTTATTGGTTCGCTGGGTTAGGATGTCGATAATTGCCTTCTCATGCGTTCCTGCCAATACGTCGAATAATATAGTAATCTTTGAAAAAATTCCCAAAGTCTTCAAGCGACAAATTTCTTATGGAACACTATAACGATGTTAACGCACCTAAACCTTTCATTGAATTAAACAGCACTTCCGCATCTGCTTTAGGATCGAAAGACATGAATTCCCGGATGGTGGGCAAATCCGTGTTTTTCTCCTGTTTCTGTCGGATGTGATTTAATAGATTCTGGTAATGCTGATTCGGAGTCGATGAGTTGGAGCGCGCTCGGGACTGTCTGATGGATTTCTCGTCCGCCATAACGATTATAATAAATCCAGGTGTACCGGAATACGCGAAATGTAGCCGGCGAAAAACTGGCGTCGTCGAATGACAAGAGCAAAATCAAAGTTTCAGTTATCCCCGTCAGACAACACGCTGAGTGTGGTATACAGATACATAACAGCGCTATTTAACTTGTGAAAGTGGCAATAGTGCGTAATCCACGATTTAGATAGAGTAAGCGTGACCTTTTACGCTTCAAGATGCGGTATATAATGGCCACTCGGATCTCACTAATTAGGGACAATATTCGCACTAAATTGCAGAATGGGAAGATAAACGAGTACAACGCAACATCAGGAATGAGTAAATAGAATTTAAAAAACAACCAAGATTTGTACAGTAAGTGTGCAGAGATATTTTATACGGAATTATCTTTGTGGTTGTGGCGTTAAAATGCAGCATGCATCTGTGCACTGCATACTCAAAAAATAAAGGTACCGTTTGGCACTGACAGGATAGTGGAACAAAAATGTAGCCGGCAGTAGCGCGTTGTGTTATGTTCTCTTACTTTGTAGTTACAATACCTGTTAGGCATCATATACGATAGGGATCGATAGAAGGGAGCGCTTTAACACAGTTCCGGTGAGCCTTTGATAAGTGTCTCACTTGTGCCGGGATAGTACTTAGACTATGTATGTCTGTTTGCCCAAAATATTGAACAAATCCCAAAGAAAGACGGGGTAATTATCCGCAATTCTCTTCCGTCGGCTAAGCAGCGGTGTTAGCTCATAAGTACGACAAGGGAGGAACTGCAAACCGGGCACTTATCGTGCAAGTGCACAAGTATGTTGGACGCTTTTTAAGTACAATATTAACGGGAAGCCAATAAATCTCCACGGGAACTTATATATGCTACGCTAACATAAGCAGGTAACACTTCCGGTTGTAGGCTGGTTTTTGAAGCAGAGCATATGAATAAATCGTGGGTATGTGCAACGGCGCAAGACTGCATTGCATCGTATACGTATTTCCCGCGTTTTGACATACAGAATTTTTATTTGACGTGTGAAAATTGTTTTGCACGCTATGTCAGCAACTCGAAGGTGCGGTTTGTTTGTTCTCTTTTGAGGTTTCGCCCCGTTTGATATGGGAGATTACCTGAAATGATTTTCCTGTATATGCAAATGATTGTCTGTATGTACAAGGTTTCTTTAAGAAATTGAAGTTGATAACTAGTGCAATATAGCAGTGCTATGTAGAGCCAATATGGGTGCGCGGATTTTGGTAGCAGTAAGACAAAACACTGCACAGAAAAAACCACAGAACCTAGAGTAATGGACGTAGAACCAAAGCATACTTTGCATGTAATTCCTTTGGTTCTGGAAGTCGTCTTTATTTTTTCATCCAAATGTTGCTTTACGCTATCAGGTGTGGTAGAAACCTTGTTATGACGTTTTATCACTTATCTCATCGTTTGTTTTCTTTCGTTTCATATTATCACATTCGTGCTATCACTGGCTAATCAATGATAATACAATTCGAGGAACTGCTCCCGCTTACACCGCACACTGCTGCAGTAAATGCGTGCATTTAATAACCGGCAACATTCTTGTTAAGGACGACGCAGAATAATAATGGTAGCAGAGTCAAGGAAAATATCTGACCAGTGTTTATCTGGCAAGCGCAAGTACAGTAACCTTTGGAATTCCGGATCGCGGAAGTTTCCTTTAAGTGTACAGTATGTACAGTATAAATGATAAAGCAAAACACCGCTCATAAAGAAATTGTGCACAGGTATTTACGAAGTCAGCACATTGTATTCGGATATGTGTTCGACGGATCTGCGATGTGCATACAACCAGTAGTGGGCTGATGACTGTTTTGCATTACAGTTAATTCCTATTTTTTTGCGAATGTTAACAGCATACAGTGTTCGGTTTGCAGTTTGCTCATAAGCACTCTCAGAATTTTACCCTGTGTTCCCAGTTTTGGACATTCGTTTGGCAATAATCTGAAAATGGCGCGATTACTTAAGGATTGCTTCTGTTGTTCTTTGAAAACGGCATGTGTATACATCGCTGCATATACGATGGTAAAGTGCCGTATACAAATCTATATCATTTGCCCAGTTTACTATACCTTGTCATTATTCTAATTCTGAGTGGCGTTTTCAGATGATTGCCTTACTTCTTCTTATTTTTAATATTAACGATGTGGTATTAGCTGGCGGAGTGCTTCTGTGGGGAAGGATTACCAGTTTAGTTTTTGCAGTACTGCTGATTCTTGCCAGTGTTTGTTTACTGCGCGGAACAGTGCGGGTAAGCTACATAATCAGCATACTAAACACACTGTAGTTTGGTATAATGTGTGATACTATGTTCTGTAAATCTGATGTGATATTATGCACTGTAAAGTTTATATTATGCGGTTTGTGTATCTGACAGGATCGTGGTGACCTTTTGGCAGTATGGTTAGTGGTGTTTTTCGTCTACACAATCTTTTCGCTTGTGACATTTATTTGGAACGTGCGGTATTATTATTACGGATGGGTAAGTTTCCCAAATTACTTAATTGTCATTTAGAATCCAACAGAAGTGCTTGAACTGTTCGCATTTTCAGTTTCCCGATTACATACACACATCCGTGCTGGCTAATATGATTATTTTCGGCGTTCTATTCTTTATTGACGTAAGTTAAAATCATAGTTTACATTTATGTAGACGACTTATACACAGAATTGTGAAAGCTTCCTGTTAAATCGAAAAATTATTAATCTGCTATCAAAACCTAAAGGGTAACAGACAAGCTGAGACACCAGTAAGTCAATAACATAAAACATTTCTTCTTTACAGCTATTCTGCTTGATGGCGGTGTATAGCCATCGACATCACATGGGGTTCGATTCGCTCCCTTAAACTTATTGTCAACAATGGACAATCTTCGGCTACTCGTGCTTCGGATTCTCTCTGGACAACAAGCAGCTCTCATTTTCTAATGCTCTGTGTTTTTTGTGCTACTTCTTTCACATTCTTTAAATAAATTACTCCGAACAGTTCTTGGCTATAATTTACAATAAATACAAATACTAATGCATATACGAGTATATCTCGTGCAACGGGAATCTGCGGCATGTAATACAAAACTAATAAATTATAATAACCGTAATTTCGCACCAACAAATCGAGCAGCATGCATCAGTATAAGTAACATTCCAAACGAAACACACGGGCAATATTGGCAATAACTACATCACTCAGAATGAAAAATAAAATCACCAAAATTAATCAAAGAGATGTAGCGCATCGATCTCATCTTGGGACGGCTGGAACTGATTCCTTAAAGCCACCAAATGCGGTACTTTTTTCTCTTTTGCCTTCTTTTTGGCATCTTCTTCCGAAGCTCCATGCTTGCCCATATAGTGCTGCACCGCGCGCTGAAAGCTGACAAAATGCCCTTTACATCGATTAACTGTGCAACGAAAGCGCAAGCGATGTCGATTCCTCGGACCAAAATCACAGCGCTTATGGTGCAGGATTATCTCTGGATACGAAGTGGCTAAAAATTCGCAACCACGATTATAACACAGTGCATAATTCAGCACTTCCAAGCTCTGCTTCCATATAAAATCCAACCGCGGAAATTTAGCACTGGGAAGAAATGTTTTGGGAGGTAAGACCTCTTTCTCTTCGGGATCAACATCGCAATCCTCGGCATCCTCATTGTCATTATCAGTGCCACTGTCGTCTTCAGATTCTTCGTCACTATTGCTATCGTAATGCTGATCTTCATCGCTATCATCCAATATAAAACCAGTGGCATATTTGCGCAATTTCTTTGCAGCTCTACAAAACAAACAAATCATACAGAAAATTGAAAGATAATGCTGAGTAAGAAGACCAGCAGAAAGACGTACGCAATGGCACATAAACGTCGTGGTCGCGCTTCGATACCAGCAGAGGTAGACGGTTGATTATCCTCGGAAGGCTCGATCTTAATCGCAGATTCTTCGGTATCCTTCTGATCCTTCTGAACGAATTCGGGGTGTCTAGACAAAAACTTCTTGCGCCGGAAAATTCCAAGCTCACGATCGTGCTCCAGTTCGTGCTGACGCATGCCGGTCGTGGGAATACATTTTTCACAGCGGGGACACACTATCCTTTCCACAGTTTTCCCACACATTTGTTCATGGTACACCATCGCTGTTACGGACTGCATAACCTTCCGGCAGGTGGGAACTTGACAGCGCAGTTTTTGCTTCTTTCTGCAGACCAACAAATACCGCTGCAAAAGCAATACAAAGACGTGAGGTCATAGGAAAAATAATTATCAATAACAGTTATAACACCCGACGACATTTTTCACAGGAGACACTCCTAAGACAAACATAAAATCACGGTAAACTACTACAGCTGTATGTAGCCTAGTGAAGCACTGCACCATAAGTACTACCGGTAGCTAGTATTACTTACTAATTCAATTATCAACAATAAATTTGTTATGTCGTCACAATCCTTTACTAAGCGAAAACGACATAATATTATAAATGACAAAAACGAAGGAAAAGTCATGATGTTATATTTTACAAACAACTACAGCACATGTATCATTATTAATGATTTACTCAAACATTTTATTATTGCGCTGCAAGAAATGCGAACAATTACCCAGCTTACCAGTCTCTTAGCAGGTAAATCAAAAGTTCTCTCTTCTTCTGCCAGCATCGCATTGTGCACGCGCAGAAAATGATCCATAGTCGCCTTGATACCGCCGCAGCGCGTGCAAATTCCCGGCTCTCCGTTGATATCGTTCTCCTTTAATTTCAGAATATTATGCTTATCCAATTTGGATACCCGGCCTCTCTTCTTTTGTAGAGTGCCTTCTCCATCTTTTTGTTCATCTTCGGGGGATTTTTTCGCAGTCTTTGTATAGTTTCGTTTTGGTTTCTCAGGTTCTTCCGCCTCGGAAGATTCTTCTGGTTCAATATCCTTAGATTTTTTCGGGTTATCACAGACCGGACCACGCTTACGCACTGAACAGCGCGTAGAATACTGCTCTGCTCCATCATCAGCTGGTAATTCGTTTGCCAGTCCGGATGTGGATAGTTCCCCGACATCGTCTATTTTTAATTTTTTTCTCGGTCGTCCTGGTCGCCTTTTCGGAATTACGGGCGCGTCGTCCTTATTCGTTTCGGTCTGGATTTTTTCGGGCTCTGACGACTCCGTTTCGTTATGCTGAGACTCTTCGGCCTTGAAGACTGTCGTCCTGGGACGTCCTCGCTTCTTTGGTGGCAGGGGAACAGATCTATCTGTAGGTTCCTCTTCCTTGTCATTGCTGACAAATTCATTAGTTACGCCATCTTTTACGGTTCCTCTCAAATTATTGAGACCGGCTCTGCCTAACAATTTGCGACTGGAGCGAGTGGAATGCATGGTAGTCCTCAGAATCGCATAAAAATGATGAAACAGAACCGAAAAAGTTGAAAAACTACAAAGTAGTAAACTTTTGCATCATCTGATCATCAACAAAGAACGAAGAAATGTGCACTGCTGTGCAGTGCTGGGATAACGAAATTTCCTTTGATAAGGAAAGTATGCAAACAAAACTCAAGAATGTAGCTCTGACGACAAGCTAGGTAAAACAAAATTGCTTAAGGTTCGTTGAAGCAACTTTTAATTTTGAAAACTAAAGAAGGATTTTGCTAGACCAGCCTAAAAAAATTTGAGTGTGACAGTGCGTGAGATGGCGTCAATGGCAGCAGTGACGTCTCATTCACAATTTAACTGCAAGGATGCGCCAATCGGCTTGCCACGATTATGAGTCATCCAGACGATAGCGGAAGTCAATGCAGTGAATGCATCGCGTGAGAAACTGATCCATTCGATCCATTTTGGAGTTTTTTTATTTGGATTGTAATCTTTGATTAGTTTGCGACTTTGCGATTATTCCTTTTTATTTTTTTGAAGATTTTTAACGTTATTAATAATCTTTTACAGATTTTATCAAGTATCTCAGGGTCTGTTTATGAGATAAAGTATTAAATTTTTCCTGGTGACTATTATAGTTTCGCAATACACGGCTGCACGTGAACTGTACTCGTATAGGTAGTTTTAATTTGCATGGATTTTTCGCTTCATTGATCCCGCAATCTGGAAGCTCTGAATGATCGTGGGGATTCGGGATTTGCTTGCGCGTGTATCGCAGCATAAAAGGAATCGAGTTTCGGTAGAGTACAGCCATCCCCGTTCCCCATAGCATCGATCTGATGGCTTTACCAGCCCGTTACGGGTGAAAAATTCAGCAGTTTTGTACTTTTGTTGTTGTTTTGCAGACATCTCCGTGTTTCTGATGCCCTTTCAGATTCCGCAAACGTGAGCAAAGATGACGGGATCGACGTCCGGATCAGCGAACGCCACTTCGCCAGCGTCCTCGGCGGACGCCTGCATCAGTATCGTGCATAATCTAATGTGCCATCGTCAAGGTGGTGAGTCGGAAAGCTTCACGAAGCGCGCCATTGAGAGTCTGGTTAAGAAGCTCAAAGATAAGCCAGACGAGCTGGACGGACTGATTATGGCCATCACCAGCAGTGGGAATCATGTTACCAAATGCGCTACCATTCCTCGTACGCTGGATGGACGACTTCAGGTAAAATGAGCAATGCCTAATGAGAAACAATAATCAGAATGTGGCAGGTTTTTCAGATCGTTTCAATTTTTGATAAAGCCTTAATTGTTTGAGATCATTTGACAAAATGCGCTGCGATAAATGAAATGTTTCTGCATGATTAAATTTAGTATTCAGTACATCCTATGATTTAATCTGGAGTACAGTATGCTGGGATACTCTGTTTTAGTACAGTTACAATAATCAGATTTATACCAAGTGTCATGCGTTTCACACAAAGTTATTAAAATCGCCAGACTTAGGTGTTGATTTACGTTTTTCGAGACTTCTTTTGGTACCAATTACCATCAACTTGATAACTTTACTAAAACACTGCTTTTTCAAATTTCAGGTGGCTGGTCGGAAGGTTTTCCCGCATGTGATCTATTCAAGGTACTGAACACAAATTTGAGAGAAGCAGTCATAAAATATGAAATTATTTTACGGGAGCCCTGTAATGACCATTGACACCAGTGTTGGCCGTACTACTTGCGCTTTAAATGCCTGTGTAAACTAAAAAGGGGGATTGTATGAGCAAGTCAGAATGATACCCTACTGGTTATACAGTCTGTACACAAATGACTATATATATATAATATATAAATATTTTTGTAGAAGTACCGTTTTTGACCTTCAGTATTGTTTGTTAGCTTCCTTTAAGAAAATTTACGCGCATGTTATTAATCTTATGAAAAATACGAGGCTCGACCCTTTTGGGGGAAATTTTTCAACTGCAGAAAGCCGTTTATATTCGATAAAAAAATTCATCTCTTCAATTTTTTTTCGGTTTACATTTACTAATTCAGTGTTTATTTAGAATTCATGGATTACTCAAGTTTTAGTCACACCATCGCATGCTTCTGCAGATTTTTCAGTAGTGCAACCAAATGCGCTGATCGGGTACGGTAGAAATTGTTTTTGTTCGATGATTAATTTGAATTTATCCAAATAACCATGTACTCCATGACGAATCTATCTCATCGTCCTATCACATTAGTCTAGTTGACTTTTCGTGGTATCATTCTGGTAGCGGCAATAGATTCTGTGATTGTTTCTAGAATGAAGTGAGATTTGAAAGTGTAGTGTGCCGGTTTCTGAGTTTAGCCAAATCAGCACATTGAAACTTATAGGCAGTTTATCGACTGATTGTATATGCTATCTCAAAAAAAAACTCAGAAAATGGGTTTGTCTGCAAAGGGTTGACGTTATATTATAATACTGCAGCATCACCAACTTTGGTCTTGTTGGAGATGTTTTTCTCTCTTTTTTTCTCCTTGTCTACTACTATAGTATTATCTCTTGTTGATGCAGGCTGGGTAAGTGCAATTGGTCATCAAGGTTTCTTAAATGCTCATTAATGGTTTTACGACAATTTTGATATTTCCCGTGGAAATTATGTGCTATGATGCTCGTATTTTTACGTTGTAGAATGTTCGAGCACAGGCGTTTTACAATAAAATAGCATTAGTATCAGTAGGTACTGGGAATACAGTTTAATTGCCTGGCACAGCTATTTATTAATAAATCATTTGTCAGTAAGCTAATAAATTGTAGCGTGCGCTCTAGTCCGCGATATTGTACTTGTTCTGGTTTGAAAATCAGTCAAAATTTAGATTCAGAACGCGCCCCAATATGTACATCTGTAGAATTTAAATGAGGATGAGAACCGTTCTGTTTTAACTCGAATAGTCTAATAGTGCCGGTAATTTATGAAAATGATCTGTGATTTACAGAATACAGATAAAGTGTGAAATATACGGATAATTAACCATTACCGTTTAAGCAAGTTTAGTACAGTAACTCAAGAATAGATAGCGTGGTAATAATACTTCATTCAGTTACTTCGAAGTACGATATTCAAAATTTCAAATTGCACTTAACATGTTTGCAGAACAAATAATTTTTTCATCCTGACGAGTCAATACGGCCCATACGGGTGACACGACCATATGTGTACCGCCACAGCTCGTTTTCCGCTCTTGACATCATCGACATCTGCATGAACAAAATTATCAAAAATCAGCGGTGTGTAATTTATAACAACGTTTCGTGTTTCAAAAAACTTTATAAAGAAAATTTAGATTTATTTCAAAGACTGATCAAAACTGCGTTTGCAGCGTACAATAAAAATGTGCTAGCAACTAGAGCGATAGCTTAACAACCATTGATTCTTGTTCATCAGTAATCCCTAAAGAGACAATAAAAACACGATAAGTTTACACTTAATAATGCGGCTCTTATTACAGATGCAGCATTCGAATACGTGTAAATTATTTTATTACTTACACAGTTAAACTAGTGGTATAAAATAATCGAAATAACTATTGTGATCGAAACGAATATCGACTGAGGCTCACGAGAAAAGTACATTCCAAAAATTTTGGCATGGTGACAGCTTTAGACGCATCGGGCGTGTAGTGCATGTTTCCGCTTTCCAGGCACCTCGAATGCCACTGTTGCAGTAACGAAAATTCCAGGAGAAATGCGTTCGTTGTACCGCAGATATTTCGCTTTCTTTCACAACGGGCTGGACTTTCTGCCGCTTGTTGCCGTAACCTTTTGATGAAAGGAAGAGTTGTTAGTGCGGCTAACGTATGCATTGTGTATAATTCAACTTATGTAGAAGCTTATAACTCAACTTATGCTTCGTATTTTAGTGAATTTTTTTAAGGGGTTTTCGTTTTAACTTTTATGACTTTGTCAGTTTTTCCATTTTGTTAGGATATGGCGGTGGCCTGATGTGCACAAGAACGAACTGAAGCATGTGCAAGGTTGCCAGTTTGCCTTCGACCTGAAACTTGATAACGTCTGCGTCAATCCGTATCACTACGAACGCGTAGTGTCTCCCGGCATTGATTTATCCTTGGGTGGTTTGGGAATGCAGCAACAGGGACAGGGTGACGATGATGGCTATGAAAGCCATGAACCACCGACGTCGGCACATGCTTCCGGATCATCGGGTCTGTTCGACCTGGCGTCTCCCACGCGTCCGAGGTCAGTACTGAATGTTGGTGGTGTTTTCTGACGAATTCCAGTGTCTCTGATAATCTGCTGGCAGTGGTTACCTTTCTGTTGGCTGTGTGATGAATTCAAAAAGCAAACTTGCGTTAGCACGCATTTGGATAATTCGCGTAAGCTCGTAAGAATTTTTCTTCCTGTACCAGTCTTACAAAATGCTGAAAATGTAAGAACGTAACCTATGCTATTATATATACTGCAGCCCAGAAACGGGCGTTGCCGGACAATCTGTCCCCAAAACTATGGATAACAATCTTAATACATAAGTTGAAAGAACGCAAAAGGAGACAAACACAGATCAACAGAGCCAAAGCGTTTTAACTGGCGGCTCTTTTATTGGAGCGGCTCGAGTGCACCACGGTACATGTGATCCTTTATGTGCAGGGAGAACTCCATCCTGTCGGTGCAGTCTAGTACGTCCGAAAGTCGCAAACCAACGGCCAATTTAGCTCCACACCCTCAATGCCCCGCTACGATCACTCTCCACACGGCCAGTCCAGCCACGCCATGTCGCCGACATCCTCTGAACAACTGTTCCCACCGAGCGGCACCGGCCTTGTTGGGCCGCCGCTCTCACCGGGCTACTGGACAGTGTCAAGCCAAAACAGTGCTGTGGCCCTGGAATTGGCCGATCCCATGATTCCGCATTTGCGTGCTCAACAACAGCAGATGTGGGAAGATGCTCGCTTCCAGAACGCCATCATGACGCAGTCAATGCCTGAGTTCTGGTGCACGATTGCCTATTTTGAAATGGATCAACAGGTTGGTGTCGCAAGGTGCTCTCACTGCTGTGCTGGTTTGCTAAAACGTATGCATTTTGGTACGTTTGGCGGTGTTGTATTGTACTAGTGTATAGTGCATTAACGGTTAACTGTAGAATGATTTGAAATTGTGAACAGTTACAGCGGCAAGGACTGACCTTTGTTGAAAATTTTTGGCTCGGGCATATGCTCTATTGTGTTGATGTCCATTGATATCCCGGTGCGAGCGTTCAGCATAATTCGAATTCAACGGCTGGACTGAGACAGTTCCAGAGTTTCATTTTGAACCTAAGAATAAACAACACGTAAAATTCATTATCCGAGTAAATTACTTACTCGAATTCAAAATCTGCTGAAATGAGCTTGCGCACCTTTTTTTTACTGTTCTCAATTTCCCAAAAAAGTGATAAAAGGCATAAATAACGTGTTTATTGTTTAGTTCGAAATCTGCAAAGTACAAGGCAACAGTTTTGAATCTGATTAGCATACCTAATTGCTATGCGTAAAAGATCATAATAGTGTGACACTACGTAATAACGTTTTGCTGAATATGGACAGTTCACATTTGCGTCGTTCAGGTGGGAGAAACATTCAAAGTGCGATCGGCATACACAACCGCATACGTTGATGGATATGTTGATCCTGGCCATCAGAATCGTTTCTGTCTGGGTCCGCTGACAAACGTCCATCGGACTCCAGTGGTGGAAAAGGCTCGCCTGCATATTGGCCGGGGAATTGAGATTGCCACCAAACCTGACGGAAGTGTGTGGTTGAGCTGTTTAGGGGACTACAGCGTCTTTGTACAGAGTTACTATTTGGATCGAGAAGCTGGCCGTGCTCCTGGCGATGCTGTACATAAAATACATCCTCATGCGCCCTTACTGAAAGTGTTTGATCTGCGCCAGTGTTATCATCAAATGCTTCAACAGGTAGCTCGTATTGTTTTACCCATCACATTGTTTTCTGTAATTCTGCTATTCCTGTGTAACTAGTTCTGGCTTAACTTGTTACGGCTACTAGTAGAGAATTACAGTATAATTTTTTGCAACTGAGTACGTATATAATGAAGGAAATAGCTATTGTCACCCCCTACACGACCTTTTGACTGTTGTCACCCCCTTTTTTCAATGAAACAGACACCCCCTTTAACTGTTGTCACGCCTTTTCACACGCCCTTTTGGCTACTGCCACCACCTTTCAATTTATTGGTTATAAATTTGCAACAGCGGCTCTTTTTCAGTTCTGTTCCTGCCACTACCGGCAGAAAAAAAAGCGCCAAGCGAAGCTTATTGGCACTTAATAGATCACTAAAATGCGGCCTTATGTTTTGATACTGAGTGGCTTCTTCAAGATTACCCCTCCCTATGTTGTTGCTGCACGCGCGGAAACTAAACTCCGGTGTCCTCGCTTCCGGTTCAGTGGTGCCGACAGAACTGGTGCCGAGTTTTACCGGCAGCGCAGAGGCATAAGCAAACGGCTGCCAGTCTTTCCGCAGTAACAGCACCCAACGGCGCCGGCACACACACTATAAAGAAACTGAATTGTTTTCAAATAAAAAAAATTTTATTATTTGTCTGAAAACGCTGATCGAGTGCTCATATTTTCGAAACATTTTTCGGTAAAAAGATGATTATCGTTGTTTTGATTTAAGGTGGGATTAGCCCAGGCTGTGGTGCAGGCTCAAACTGCCGCTGTGTCGCCCAGCGATGCCGCCGGGAATCGCACAGTGGGCGGCGGGATTGGTGCCGATGATCTCCGTCGTCTGTGCATGATTCGTCTGAGCTTCGTCAAAGGCTGGGGCCCAGATTACAATCGGAAGACTATCAAGGAGACACCCTGCTGGATCGAGATCCACCTAAACCGTGCCCTGCAGTTACTGGATGAAGTACTGCGTAATGTTCCCCTACCGGAAGCGCGGAGTGGCGAACTGTTCTAACGAAGTGTAGTACCTGGAATGTTCTGTAAATACGGTAATTAGGTGACTTGGCATGGTATAGTTGTGTTGCAGTAGCATATACTGTTGGAATGTGGTCGGTAGAATTAGTATTTACTTCTGTGGTCCATTTTTCGGTAGTTCTTTATGTGTCATTGGTCGTAAAGCGTTAGTTGTTGTCGATTGTTATTTTTGTTAGTAATCGTAGCTTCTTCTGTTTGTGTGTAGTTATGCCGCATGCTTATTGTTAGTTTTTAACTTTTACAGTAAATGTTTAACTTAGTTCATTCTTTGTCTGGTTTCAGAAAGCATGTTATAAATATAAATATTATGATTATTATAAATATAGATATGTACTTACATAAGTTATGGACGTTAACAATAAACTCCTTATCAGATTTTGTGACAACTGTTTCGGTGTAATGCCCCTAGAATACCATATTCATTTAACTGATTTAAGTACTGTATAAAGTAACACCTACTAACTCGTAATAGTACTCGTACAACTTTAAGAATCCAAATATAAACGTACAGTACTTATGGGCAATGTAAAAACAATAACGATAACATCTAAATAAAAACATCATACATGTAAAAACAATAACGATAACATCATAACAGTTGAATCACTTTTTAACACTTGTACCAAAAAGTGAAAAGTCCCCAGGTCTTTTAAACTCTTTTCTTTCTTTCTAAGAGTACTAATTAAAACTGGCGTAAAAACGAAATCTGGCAAGCTGGCATGCCGCCCTTTTCCGAAAGAAAATGGGCGAAGTATGAGTGTTTTGGTTTATTGTAATAACAACATCGAAATTAATCGCTTTATAACAGAGCCGGCAAGTGAATGCCTCCGCATTCTTCAAGTGCAACTCTACAAATGTAGTGGTACAATTAATACTGTACTCAAACTGTCTGGCATTTTATTGTTAACAAGTAAGTACTTAAAAATCGGGAGCATAAGTTCGTCTAAAAAACAGAGCGTAAGTTCGTCTGGAAGGGTCTGCAAAGCCAGTGTGAAAAAAACTTCTGTAGATACAAAGGACATTCCAAAAATAATTTTCCCTGTTTTACCTCTCCGTCAGCAGAAATGATATGTTTTTTCTTGGATAAACCATTATGTAACCTATCCGAGGAAACGACAATTAAAGGTTTCGGTGAAGAATAGGGAAAACGAAAAACCGAAATCCTTGAGGTACGTTTGCAGTTTTTTCAGGTCCTTTTTTGGAAATCATTCTTTTTATTTTCAGTTTCGTCTTTGAAATTATTTCGACGATTACTTTTAAGTATCAACTGCAAATAGTGTTAGTGTTATTACGAAGTTAGCAGAACGCTTTGAAAAGCTCCGAGTTTGAGGTAAACATTTATTTTTTGTAGGACACCAAAGTTCTCGGTTTTTAGCCTTCTCGCTTCTGTGAATACATCGTTCCATGTATTAAAAGAAAACGCATTTTATGGCCACTCGTGCGCACCTAAGATACCAAAGAAGAAGAAGTTTACTTCTCACCGGCACAAATAAATTTTTTAATGAATTTTGTCACTTTTTTACCGTAAGGAAGCTAAGAAGCTTTCTGTTTTTGGTACCTACTCCCAGACACTTTCAATTTTCCCTCAAAAGCGGATGGACCACATCATTTTATTTTAAAATTTCTTTTGTTAGAAGAAAGAATTTCTAACGTTACCACATTTTGTGTTTCTCAAAAAGTTGGCGAGGCGATTGAGAAAAATTGCAAAATTAGTCCGCGGAAATCACGGGAAAAAGTGCGTAAGACCCTTCATGGTTTTCTCCGCAGTTTTTTTCTGTTTTAGTGGAGTTTAGGTGAGTTATGTTTTGTTTCGGTTCCTTAGTGAAGGACTTTTCTAACAATATGGCTAATAAAAGCTGAATGCGTTTTTGAAGGGAGATACAAAGTAGGGAAAATCATTTTTGGAATGTCCTTTGTAATAATCACAAGTGAAGTTCGCAACGCTACTGTATGGTTACTGTGCTCGGAGCCCCTTAATCATGCAGGAATTTGCATTCCGGCCTGCACTTTGCATCTCACCCTGAGCCGTGTGGACACATAAAAGCGTACAACAATGGTAAATCCCCACATGAACGGGAGGTGGAGTTGTATGACCGGATCCAATCAAAGGCGAGCGATCCGGTTTCCGATAACAATCCCGTCCATACAGAGCTAGCCATGGGGCAAGGGCCAGTGTGCAAATTATTCCGCGTCGAACTTTTACAATTTAGTAGCAATTTAATGCTGTTTCCTGTTTCCTTGAAATTTTCACTTTTGGGATTTTCATTATTACTGTAACAGTTGTGCTACGCAAAATTCAAAGTGAGATCGTTATTTTATGAACCACTAGAACTGCATTCGTGATACCCTGAAGAATAATCTCATTCTCAAACCAATCCGCAAAAATGGGTCTGATAAAATCCTGTCTGCTGTGCTCTCTGAAGACAGGCTGCTTTTTTGCAGCATTCTACACCTTCGTAAGTATACCGACTGCGCGACTTAACCAAATGATACGGTTTGGCAAATCGTTATGCAATTTAACTACTCGAACTGACTTTATTGTGTTAAAATTAATAATTATTGAAGGAGAAATATGAAATATATTCTGCATTTTCAGGCCCTGGCCATCCTTCTGTTGGTGTTCAATGTCCATGACTATTGGGTCGTTCCCACGTACATCGCCTGGTCACGCATCATCAGCTTTATTGGAGCGGTTTTCCTGTTTATCGCGGCAATCGCTCTGATAATTGGATTGTTGAAGGTGCATGTAGTTTTAGTGAAATTAAACCGTATACGGATGTCGGCAAAATTACGTATACCGTATATAGACATTGGCAAACGAGGTAATTACGATCAGTAATTTTTCTCTGCTAGTTTGCACTCAACTTTGCAGACTGCTCGTATAAAAATGATTGCTGAATTTGTATCTGCAATTTGCAAATCCCTGCGTTTTTTGAAATGCTGTAGCTTTCATGTTATTAAGTAAGTACTAACAATTACACTGAATAGTCTAACTGGTAAACGGTAACCCGTAAGTATTACCAGTGTTCGGTAATATAAATAATAATATATTAGCGCGGCGCAATTTAATTTTGTAACACTAGAGTAGTAAAGCTTTATGTTATTTTTCAATCCAAAATGTTTCCGAAGTGGAGTAAGTAGCTTTTAAATTGAATATAGGATGACAGTAGGATACGGTAGGCAGTAGCTACTAGTTCTGTTTACAATTTTGGCAAATACGTTTTCGGGTTTCTTGTGATGTTGTTTCCTGGCAACGCTAAGGCGTGTCTGTTGTGCTGTTTTCCTCGTCTTGCGGTCTGACTTGCCTATCAGTGCTGTCAGGACTTCGCGAGTGAGTACTGTATGTTCGTATCATAGAGCTAAGCTACTCAGATGCCGGCATTCCCATAGAAATAGGGATTTTTCCTTTTGCGCAGTACACTTGAACCCTAGCTCGTATCAACTTCCGGTTCAGTTTTCACATGATTGACATTTGTGACATACTAGTGTGCGTTGACTGATCACCTCTTGGTTGTGTCAACCATGATGTAAGACCGTGAATGTTGATTTAGTATTGCATTCACGGTGGTTGTGATCTTTACAGAATAACCCGGGCTGGCTGAGCGTGTGGATCATCATCTTCCTGGTGTATATCCTGTACCAGATCGCCTTCGTGTGCTGGAACATCTACTACTACACATTGACCGAGGCCAGCTCAAGTCAGGTAAACCTGTCACATCTGCAGAATCCATGCTTCTGTCGTTTGTTAATTTCTCGCGATGACAAACTAGCATTCTTATTAAGCCAGCGCCTTATCGGTCCACGCTTTCAGTAAAAACGATTTCTTGCACTTTAAGCTGTGATGCTATCTGTCGTCACGGCACTGACTTGTGAGCACACCGTTATTAACCAATAATGAATAAACAATAAAGTACATGTTTGCCTTTTTTATTAGGTTCCAGCGGATATTCGAGCTTCGTTTCTGGCGAACATCATTGTATTCGGCATACTGATCTTCTTTAACGTAAGTTGCTATGCCGGAGTGTCTTACTAGCATTTACCGTAAAGCAAGGGCGTTGTTAATTTTGAGCTTGTTGCTACCTTTCAGATTCTTGCGCTGATTGCGGTGCACAGCGAACGCGAGCATATGGGAGGCAAAGGTCTTGTTGTTATGGCTTAACCGCCGTAACTTGTTGAAGCAGTGCAGACGGAGCGGGACGATTGAATACTCGAGAAGGAAAATGCTCCAGTAACTACGAATGGTTCTTTGAAGAGCCCGCTGAATGTTTTTACTGGTATTTCGACATGTATACGTATTTAGTAAGTATATTCCGTGCTTATTGTTAGCCTTATTTTATTGCTGCGCGTTACAAAACAAAAAAATCAAACGTGAAGTATTTGTGTAGTAAATTCTTGTGACTAGTATTAATAATGTCAGCATACTCCTTTGTTTCCGTATTATTGGTCCAATGATTTTTTGTGGGATCTGTACAGAGTACGCAATCTCATTTTGTACGTTCTTGTTTCTGTTGGATATTTTGCACAATCAGAATAAACTGTATTCTTGCTTTGTGCGCGATTATGAGCAGGATATGACTTGTGATATTTAGCGACGCGTTTCTTTTGTATTACGACGAAAACTGAATCTAAAAGATATTATTATTCAAGCCAGAAAGCCATTTTTAACAGACACGTCAACACAATGCTACCTATCTCATGTAGAATTTCGTATGAAGTACGTTATTTATGTGTAATTATTTCTCTTTTATAAAGTTTTACTTACCAACTGCGCGAAATTCAATCCAGTGTAGTCCCAGTAAAGTTTATAGATAACAGAAAATCTGGGATGAGCTCATGAACGGATACCCAAAATCAGGATGCAACTTCATTCCGAGCTGCTATGACCAAGGATAACTCAATGAACAATCAATCACCATCTACCACATCAAGTAAAAAACAAAATTGTACTATAACGTAATCAGATTCAGTACTGCGCGGTAAAGTACTTACTATACTTTGAAACAAGTAAACTAAGCCAACCGCGAGCGGTCAATATGACGATCAGAATCACAACGGAATAGTGGCTAGAAGCCGAAGAACAGTGAATATCACGTACATAATTAATAGTTAATTCCGGTTTGTCCTTTGGATCATCTTTATAACATACTGGGCAAGTTGAGGTGATAAATAATTCAAAGCGAAAATGTATCATCCAGTTCTTGAAGGGAACTATCGGTTCTTCTGAACGGTGTTAAGTGCCGAGCGGTGATAAACTGCCTTAAAAACTGCAGAATTCTGCACTTGCACTAATGGCGGCAGACAGGCAAGGTGTCGTCATCGATGAGTCACTGGGGAATTCTGGCGCTGGGCCAAAGACGAGCAGACTGGCAGTCCATTGGTCAGTGACTCATATCCTCAACTCACTTCCTTCGGCTTTCGGTCTTTTCACTCACGGTGATTAGACTGGCATCCTTATTCCTATGCCTGGTTATAATTAGCCGCTTTATTGCGGAAATCTTGGAACTTTTGCAATGAATTAAATCGCCCTTTACAAAATTTAATTATTCAAGTGTGTATGCCCTGCGGTCATGCCCTGCGTTTTAAATATATCTTATGGTTAGATTGATCCAGCCGAAGAGTAATTAATCCTAAATGGAGCGTCGAGGAGAACACCAGGTTTTTTCTGCGAAGTGCCACGACAAATCCGACAGCAGCGTGGTGAATGTTTGTCTAGACTGGAGCATCGACAACTTTCCCTTTCTGCGTAGTAAAACGACTTTCTTATCATCCCGTGGTATTTCCATGGCAGAATTGGGACTGCATGGACATGATGCTCGCTGGATTCTGATGGTCAAGCCGTGCCACATTGTCAGTGAGAATTGCGAAGGGAAGACGACTGGCCGAAAGAGCAGCACTAGCGCGAGGAAATCGACGACACCGGTGCAAGACGGTTTACAATCACATCGTGCTGCCGTTTACGTATCCCTTTTGAATTCCCCTAATCCTAATGACGACTACAGCGGTGACGACGAATTTCCAGCTGAAATAACGATAATGTAAGGATTGCGTTTATCAAGTTATCTGGATAAAAATGTGCTTTTATAATTTTCTTATTATTATTATTGTTTTCTCGAGTAGTACGATACAATGTTGTAATATTGTGCCTGCTGGTTGCAAGACACAATTACTGTAATGTCATCAGATTCTTTTGATTGAAAAAAGATTCTTTTTTCACATTCGACTCTTATTTACATTTTAGTTTGTGCATTTTAACATTCTGCGTTTATTTTAATACTTATACCGTAACTACGTTTCCTTGCAAATTCATTTTTTTGTAAACAGATTTTTAGTATGTGCTATAAGTCAGATGATATGAAGCCGGAGCCGTTCTGAACTTCTCGCCTTTTAAATTAAGCAGTAGTAAGTACTTTGAGGCAGTATATTAATAGTGTTTAATTTGGTTGGCTGTTACGTTGGATCTTTAAATTTTTTTAGAGATATTTTCTGACCATTGCTCGAAAAGTGAATTAGTTATATACGTATATGCATTATGGAAAGGCTAATCATAACAAGGTAGGTTCGTTTTAATGGAAAGACTGTTTTGAAGTTCGCTTTTGGCAACTCATAAGTGCAAGTATTAAACCGTAGTGCATATGAAGGAGACAACAGTATTCATATGCACTACGATTAAACTGGATTTCCGACTATACAGTTTTGTATAATAAGGAAATTTATCAAAATTAACTAGCTGCCTTGACCTTTTAGCGTATACGTACCTGGTCCGGTTCCATGAAAGGATGGTAATGAAGCAGTTACCCTTCATTATTGCGAGTCTGTTTAAAGCTTTAGTTTGCTTGCCTTTGAAGGGTTCTGAACAAAGCCGGGGAATGTGCCTACACCGTGGGAGAAGAGCGGCTGGGACGCACGTTCGCTGCCAACAGTGCCACCTGGGGTTTCGAAGGCAGCGGTATACCGCACACTCGTCTCTTCGGGGCCGCTCGTCATTGTCTTCTGGTCAACGGCACCCTCATCCTTCGCTGCCAGATCCGTTTCCTGATCGAACGACCGTCTCGCACTATTTCCAAAGATCTGCCCGGCAGTATGGTTCCGCATCCGCTGCACGAAGCCGCGCTGCTACGCTACCGTGACCTGTATCACTCCCGGGAATTCGCCGATTTCACCCTGTTGTCCAACGATGGTCAGGCGATTCCCGTCCACCGCGGCATTCTGAGCGCCCATTCACCCATGTTCGCGCTGATCTTCGACGAGGAGGAAGCCGATGCATCCGCCACCCGCGAGATGGCTGATTTGAACGGGGAGGTTTTGGACATTTTGCTGGAGTTCATTTATTACTCTGGTGTCGAGCGGGTGGAGCCGGTCGCTGAGCCGTTGTTGGTGGCGGCAGCCAACTATGAGATTGATGATTTGAAGGATATCTGCGAGGGCATTTGGTGAACGCGGTCAATTCGAAAAGTGCTGCACGTTTGCTGGTGCTTGCAGAGGAGTATGAACTGGAGACCTTGGAAAAGGCCTGCATGGAATTTATTACGAAAGGAGAGGAGTTTGTCTTGGAAGGGGGTGACAGAGAGAAAGTGGTCAGTACGGCGCTGGTGAAAAAGATTGTGCGTCATTGCTCGGTTCAACATGCCAAGCCGGGGAAAAGTGACAAAATCAAGGAGGAGTGGGATGAATGAGAATCCATCTTTTCAGTGATCTTTTTTTGGTGAGAGTCAGTTATTCTTACCCCAAGTTTGTACAATATATTATAAAGTTTTGAATCTTTGTGATACGCAATCTTTCAAGGGTTACATATATTATTATTGCTATATTACCTTGTCTGCTCGGCAGTCCCAGAGTTTTAAATGTTTTAGATTAATGGAAGCTGCCGTGAGATGCCGTTGGCCCCTTTTACAGTATTATACTATTTGCTTCAAGTTCAGTGGCTTTCTTTAATAAATTAAAGCATGGCATTCTGAGATGAATTATATATAGCGGTTGTCAGCTGTAAAGAACTGTAGACTGTAAAGATGCACATTCCCGTAGTATGAGTAATGACAAAGCCGGACATTTTTCATTAGACGTCCGCGATCTCTACAGCTGCAGTGTTACTTTTATTGTTTAGAAAATTTCTGACTCCGCGTTTAACAAACAACGTACAATCAGCCGATAAAGGAAGATTGGTGAATGTGTGTGCAACGAGATTTAATGCCGTACTAAACAGAGATAGAATTCGTAAAACAGGATGTCGATTCAGAGAAACAGATACTGTACCTTTCTGACCATCAGTGTCGTTTTCTTATGTTGACTGTAGTACGTGTGCGTACGGCACCGTTTCACATCAATCACATGTCGAAAACTTTTATACATGTCGAGAGAAATCGTAAATCTATGTTTTTAAGCGAAATAGTTGATTTTAATTTAATGCTGCTGTAATATACAGCCTACGTGAAAGCTCTTACACTGTGGAATCTTTCGATACTTCGTATCTGTTCTCTACGTTGATGATGATCTTATAATTGGTATTACTGTCTTTCCTTCGAATTCGTAATTTCTTACAAATTGCTCTGCCGCGCTAGTTTTTAGCGGTTAATATGGGTAACGACGACAGTGCCCAGCCTCATGTACAAGTTGACCAGTGGTATTTGGAGTACATTCAAGATGCCATTTCGACTATTAAAAAACAGGAGAAGAGCCCCAGTATTTTCCGCGTTATTCAAGAACTGCAAGCCAATGCCGATTTTAATTATGATTCTGGCATCTTCGAAAAGAATCTGGAGATTTGCGTGGCGGCTGGACATCTTTATCGACTGCCTGATCATACGGCAACCACCAACAAATTCTATTCGGACATCCTTTTTGATTGCGCCGACTACAAAAAACAGCGCCGCTTCACCATCACCAGGCCGGACGATGTTCAGAATGCGGTGTTGTGCGCAGTGAATGAGCTCATCCAGTCACAGGAATCCAATGATGTTGGCGTCAGCTTCGACGAGATTCATAACTTCATTATGCAAACTTACATGTAAGATACGAGCATTACGTGAATTACGTCTGATTACTCATTTATGTACTGTAACGCATCGACCTTTTTATAAAGTTGTCGCGAATTTTTATATCTTCATAATTTTTATGATCCAGATTAACAGCATATATATAGATATAAAGATACCGTACAATTAACTTTATTTCAGTTTCGTACTTTGTTTTAGTACTGGTTTGGTAATTACACTGAGTCTACACGTACATATGTATTGTACATGTGTTAGTTGAAATAACGTACGATATTATTGCAGAAGTAAGCAGAGTATTGTTAATGCGGGTGACGGTCCAATTACCAAAATTAATTAACAAACACAGCAGTGATATATTATACGCCATGTTGATTGCATAGAACTGATGCACAGAAAGTATGGCTATTATGGTTACGTCATTGTTGTTGCATAAGTTTGGCTTTTCTTTGCATTTCTGCCACAGTTACACTAGTATGCATACAATTTATTTTGCTTTAAGATGCTTTGTTTATTTATTTTTGATGAGCTATTTTTTTTATTGTGTTTTGTTCGTGACCTTTTGTTTCAACTGGACAGAATAGCCATACCACCGGACGATCTGCGTCGCCGAATGGAAACAGCTCTGAATAAACTGGCTATGCTGCAACAAATTATTAAGCGCAATCGACGGTACCGTCTCCCGGAACCACCTTCCGCTAAGCCTAAAAACCCGGAAAGCGAAAGTGTTGATGTGCCGGCCCCGCCAATGGTATGAGACAGAATTATGCGCAGTTATGAATAAAATATCTATATTTGCAGAAGTTCTGCCTACCGAGTTTTTTCAGTCTTTGGTGTGAAAAATTATTGCAAAAATGGCTTGGTTACAGTATTTCCCGTAATCAAAAAATTTTTTCAGGAGAATGGTCGGTCTGCGTGTGTTTCGGATACATCGATGTCATCAACATCGGACAGCAGTGACGATAGCCGGTCATCTTCGCACTCTTTCTCGTCCTCGTCACGCTCCGACGACAGTATTTCCATTGGGTCGAATAAAAAGCTGTTTCGGGCGTTCGAGCGAAGAGCCAATTCGGAGCCACGGGCAGTTCTGGATATCATTGATAAAGCTGCAGCACCGGTTACGTCAGCCCCGCTGTGTGTCGTAGTGCCGGCGAAATCTCCCGATCCGCCTGCGGAGCCGTTGTGCTGCCTGCGGTGTAATAAATCTTCGACCACAATGGATCACTTTGACCAATGCCATAATGGATTGCTGCTATCGGAACAGGAAACATTTACTCTACAGGAGCGCAAGGCGGTAAATTTTTCGGCTTTGCGGGACAACTTAAGGATTTATAAAAATAGTTTTAAAAAGGACTGCGACAAAATTTAACACATAAATAATAATAATTGTAGGGGAAAAGGATTTATAACAAATATTGATGTATATTGTATGACAAATATTATTGTACTCGTATATCGAAATTCCATCAATACTAATATCTTGTATCTACCGGTATATTCAGTGCAATACACGTTTACCCATATGCAGTATTGTTTACAAGTCCAACAATATCGTGTATTGTATATGTATTGTATGTCTTTTCAATACTTCTATCTGTAAGATATGTTTCTGCATTTTAGCGCTGGTTTGCGGTAACGAAAAAAGATTACAAGGTTCGCTGCGAAAATGCCGGATGCACCAAGCAGTTCCGGAAAAGTACAGACCTTTATCGTCATCTAAAAGTTTGCCAATTTGGTAAGGAAGTCAAAGAAAACAGAGCTGCAGAAGAGATCACCGACGACTGCCACGAAAGCGGTTTTTGCCCAAGTCCCGAGATTGCACCCAGTATCGTCCAGAATGACGAATCAGAAACCCAAATTGGTAATGCCAATGCCGACGGAAAAACAAACGGTGCCTCAAGCAACAATATACAATCGAATGATTATGCTGAAGAATCCGAGAAAGTTCCCATACAAGTTGAAAATGGTGAAAAAAAGAACAGCCACGTCCAGTTTAATGGTCGGAAGGAGATCATTAATTCATTCGAGAGTGAAGAGCGCAGCAGCCAGAGTAAGCTCAGTACTAGGAAAAGAAACGGTTCGCAGAATGGTCGTGGTAAGAGACTTCGTAAAAGCGCGGAAAAACTTGCCTCGGAGAGTGAAGAAGACGAGCAGACTCGCCGAGCCCGAGCCATGATCACATGTGACCTTTGCAACCGGATAATCCATCGCGAACATTTCCTCGAGCATGGCGAAGATCATAAGACGGCGAAAGTTACACAGCCTGAGAGTGCTCAAAACAAAACGAAAACCAAGGGAGGTCGCAAGAAAAAGTATGTATGATTTGTTTTATTCACATTCTTTACTCATTTCTGCAGATCCTTTGCAAAATATTGTTTTGGTAACAAACAAACAATGAAGAGATTGTTTTCTGAATGACGTGTTTTTCAGTCGTTTTTATATTGTGGTAAAGCTTAGTTTATTCAAGAGCAGACAAAACCTCAGGCACTCGCTAGTCAGATAGTGCTAGCGCTGTGACCTTTTCTTGGTATCTGTAGAGTGTTTTTCTTTGCAGAATACCGGCAGGTGCAAAGAAAACGGCGTCCGTGGCCGGTGGCGCTGTCACTGCCGCTAAACAAATCGATTTGCTGGAGGAAGATCGAGATGAAGCACCTGGCGCTGCAAACGAAACTGAAGGGTGAGATATCAAAATAAGTTTCGTTTCTTAAAAGCGAATTATTTCGTAATTGCTCTTTAGCAGTGCAGTAGACTGATCGGTCATTTTTAAAGTAATTATTAAGGTCATACATATGATACAATACAATTAGCTTTATTTCTACATGCAGCACAGTATACATGGTGCTTGTACTTTGCATTAGGGCGCAGCCGCTGCGAACCAGCACACCGGACGTTGTGGCCATGACCAAAACGGTCAATCGGAAGAGAGTGTTGTCAGCCTCACCCATTACATCAGCAGATGAAGCTGAAGTGGCGGAAGAAATTCCAGCAGTTATTAATACAAGATCGAGTCGCGCCAAGAAGTCTGTAAATACACGGTCAGTTGCCAACAAGAAAAAAATACCGGCATCATCGTCTACCGAAGGTACAAAGGAAAAAGCGGTTGACAGCGTGCCATCCAGTAAGTAACAGTTCCATATAAAGAGATACGAGTACAGTACTTATTTTTACTTACGTATCTATATAATTATTATACTTTATCTTATTGATCTTACGGACACAGTATTAATTAAAATGGGTGTTGTTATTGAACTTTGTTGTTTCAGAAAAACAACCTCTGCTCCCGACACCGCCACCACAGATCCCAACTAAATCGAACACTGCTGAAAAACTGCGGTGTAAGTTAGTGTTCGGTTTTAAATCGGTGTTATCAGAAGCAAAACAGCAGTTCGGACTATTATAATTAAAGCGTTCAAATGCCCAAATTTATTGCAATTTGCTACAGTTTATTTCTGAATCTGCAAAACAGCGTACGACAGCAGCAGCTCGTACAGCTTGGATTGTAAACCGTTCGATTTTATATTGTTGGTGCAGTAATGTGTTTAATTTGCAAAGGTTGTGATTTGTAGGTTAAATAAAGTGCAGACGGAGATCAAGAAGGCGACCTTTTTCCAAACCCAACTGGCCAAACGACAAGCGGCCAAGTCCCTGCAGGTGGCAGAACAGGCAACTGACAGCAGTGTTAATCCGGCTGAAATCTTACAGGAAAAATCAAAGCCAAATTGTGTAAAAAAATTGGCGCTTTAGAATGCCGTTGGGAGGAGAATTTACAGAAGTGCGCACTTTAAAATCGCCAACAATTACGCTGTGTTATCAGCTCATGTTCCGATCTCATTTTTTTTCATACCGAGCAAGTGTTATGTGGGCGACATGATTGTGATTATTGATAGCATTTAATCTTTTTTTTTAATTTTATGCATTGGGAAAGGGAGCATTTTGCTGCAGATATTTGTGAGCTTGTACACCTTTAGAACACGGAGCGTGATTTGTTTGACGTACGCAACTGCCATGTTTAAGTGCGACGTACAATACTCTGTAGATGTCGTTGTTGTTATCATCCTTATTCTTGTGCTGTAATAACAGCAGTTGGTTTGTAATGGAAATTTCCATGATTTGGCATTAAAGGTTACCCTACCTGTTTATACATGCTAAATAATGCGGTACGTAATTATATCGTTATTGATTTTGTTGTTTATCTGACCGATGTGCCTAAGCAACGCAATTGCAAGACTCGCGTGCATAGTCGTCAGCGAGACATCAAGCATTATTTGAGTGTGGTGATTCGTATTCTGGTTTTGCTCCATTCCTACACCTACCTGTGAATTTTTTGGCGATTCGTGAGATTAATCTTTTTTTGAAGAAAATGGCTATTAACTGGGGAAGTATCGATAGCAATGTTGTCAACGAAATCCGATCAGAGTACGAAAAATACGGCCGCTTCGGGGATGACTCCTTCCATGGTGACAATATTACACTGAAGAATCTGGATAAATGGCTGTCGGAAGCGGGGGTTTTAGGTGACCGACTGTCGGCTACCGATACGGGGATTGCGTTTAAACGCATACTTAGGTACTCATATATTACGTATAATATGGTTTGCACAAGTTTTTGATGTTACGTTTAATCTGTTGTTAATTATCACGCACATCATAAAATTAATTTATAACTGGTTACCCCAAGTATTTATTGCTTTTCCGGGTTGTTAACGAAAGGACTTTACAATTATTAATATGTTCTATCACTTACTAAACCATGCCATACCCGTCGCAAAATTCATAACGGTTAGTAAGTGAGAAGACGTCGTGGTCAAATGTTTCGTGACAGTGTTTGATGAACAAAACGTTTTAAATTAATCCACATTGAGTTAGTTTTTTGTAATGCGCAACAGTGGTTTTAATATGCGGTGAATTAATTTATATGGCTCTTTTAGTAACGAACAAAGAACGATGCCATTCGATAAGTTTAAGGACTTCATTTCCGATCTGGCACACAGCGCCAACCCATCGAATCCCGATGCAGCCTTCAAAGACATGGTTGCCAAGTTGCATCAGCGTCGCACGCCCAGCAAAAACAGTGTCACGGTACGGTACTGAAAAATTTGAAACAATATTTTTGAAATTTCTGGAGTTGCGGTTAAACCAAATATTCTCAACTCCCGAGTATTCATTTCTCTAACAATACCGATACGCAATTTGTTTCCGCATCTGTGGAGAATATGAGTACTTCTGTGTAATTGCTACAAATTTACAATTATAAATGTCGGAACTCGGAAAATTATAGGAGCCGGTGAAATCGGATGTGGTGGATCGGTTGACGGATCCGGCCGGTTACACCGGCACGCAGCGCTTTAGTGCGGATGGGAAAACAGTGGATGGCCGGCACAATTTACCTGATCTGGAACAAGTGCGCAACGATGGATACGTGGCCGGCTATAAGAACGCAGAAACCTACGATCGTGACCATAATGTCAATGTACGGGTATAAATACCGCATGATCAGTCTAATTGATCTGCTGTGTGTAACCCGGATTGCGTTGTAGAAAATTAATTACTCCTTGAAACACCAAACAATTTTAATTTTCAACCTTTTGAGTAACGAAGAACATTTTTGAAAATTGTACGCGTTTACGTATGCACCTCTGACTGGTGAGTTCATATTGTACAACAGTAGTACAACCGGCATTGTACAGTACGCTTTCGCCATTCCTGCTGATATTACTTCAAGTTGGGCTGTTTTCCTGTGGTGTTATACATAATTTTAACTTAATTTGTTGCAGGTGCCGAAATACGACGCCGAAGAGGAACGTAAGCGACAGGACGCCGCTCATCGCTACAACACATCCAGCGATACGACCCGCAACCGGGACCAGTCTGCTGCGGCAAGCAAACCCGCCAACTTGACGGATGACTACCGGCTGCACAACCAGTCACCGCGTACCAATCCGCAGGACACTGCCACACCCAAATATGATAACGACTTGATTATCAACAACACCACGGATGCGGCGCGCACAACCAATACCCCGGATACGGCACACGCCGCGGCGGCGGCCACTGCAGCCCGGCATGACTACGGGCAACCACCGGAGACCAACAGCAGTATTCTGCGGCGGGTGGCCAATGAGACGCATTATACCGGTGCCGACGGGAGCGGTTTTCGTCCGGAGGATGCTCATCGTAATAATACGGATACCGCCAAGACGGCGGGAAATATGGGGCGTGAACAGCGTGAGTATGATACCAACCGGGATGTAAAGGTCAGTGCACTCAACTGCCGTAATGCAACGATAATTTGACAGATAATTCATTTTCTCAAAGCAGTACATGTCAACAATAGCGCCAAATTGTATTATAAAAATGAGTATTGTATGAGTATTTCTTTTAGGGAACCACACTGCGTACAGACATTGATCGCCACAATGACCGGGAAGTGCGAAGCCCGGTGACACCAGCCGGACTGAATACCACTACGAATCTGACGTCCAACCGAGCTGCTAATGTGACTGATGCCGCTCGGGCCGAGCAAACGCGAACCAAAGATTACGCCACTAGTCCAGTTCGCAACGAGACGGTGACCGCGGAGCATCACACGGTATACTCACCGGTGTATTCTTAATAGTCGCGTAATTCTAGCAGTGGCCTACATAGTAAAGTCAGAGTTACTAGTTACAATATATTATTCAAAATTATCATAAAAATTTCAAGGGCATTATGATTGTTAGAACGCTCAGCGTGTTCCATCTGCCGATCGTCTGGCGGATCGTAACGCTCCCGCATCCTATCATCGTGACAATATTTCGGGTCAACCAGCCGATTTGTCCAACAAAGACCGGGCGCGGGAACCGGCATACAATAAAAACGCCGATGCTCAACATACGCATGCCAGGACCGATTATGTTAGTCAGAAAATCTATTTCTAAATAAATAATAGTTTATAGCACTTGTATGCATTGGACAGTTTCATATTTCAGGGCCGAACGCACACCGAACGGGACGAACGCCATGTGGAACGGCCAAACATTGCGAATGTCCGTACCGATAGCAATCAGCACCGCATCGAAGCGGACGCACGGGATAAGACCGTACGCCTCAACCACAACCTGAAACAAAGAGAATTAGTAAAAACGAGTTGTTCACTACAGGGTTATGATCGAACAGCGGAAGCGGCTAAAGGTCATACCGAGGTAGAAACACGAACGCTGCCGGCCACTAATCTGGAGCATCGAAGCGAGGGTCGGGCAACATCACCCGGTGGGCGGGAGGCCTACTCGGATGTACGCGCCAATTACCGCGAAGGTCAACCGACTTACAATGTAAGAGAACCCGCCGTCAGTTCTTTGGCGATCAGCGATTTACCATCGCAAAACCATATGCCTGTGTTGTAACAACGCCTTCTCGCGATCGTACCATATGTTTAATAGGAACTTCAATAATAAATAAACTTTTTATGATGTAGCAGTACATTATTGTGCTTATGGCTTCGAATAAACTTTTTTATGTGTAAACAGGATTTTTTTGTTCATCATTAGGAGAAACATGCTGTAGATGCTCACGCACGTTCAGCTGAACATGCCCGGGTAGTTGATGACGCCAGCAAGGTTGCCGGAAGTCGCAGTGCGGATCAACATGCTCGCACTGAGAATGTGCCAAATCCCACTTCACAGAACGCCACGCGCACCGAGACCAATGTTGACAGCTACAAGGATAGCGGAAAAATTATAATACCGTAAGAAATGCTAGCAAAATGTAATACGTACCGCAGGATCACAGACTCACAGTGACATACAGCCCAAGTATATTCAGGGTACAAGTTTGACAAACCTGACAGCGACAGTAATCTTGCTTGTGTCGCTCTACACATACTCTGAACTACAGCGCTGCCAACAACAAAAATATTTATAAACAACAAATTTTCTATTGCATCTACTCGGTAGATTTTTTCGTAAGATGCATACGTGTACAAATACTTAGCTATTTACTGCGCTAACTTGTTAGCATGAGTTGTGTCAAACAGCCAAAAGATAGTGAACCAGTGTAAGTTGCATACTGATTTACAGGAAGCGGGAACACATCAAGAAACTACGACCACCACTGCATCAAATAATTATGTGTCTGGAGACAAAGAGAAAGCATAATGAGATTATGATTCTATAATATTCACGCAGTAAACCCCGATTTAATATTCTGATAATTAACGCAGCATTGCGTGACCCGCAACTGGCACACTCTTGTTTGTTGTATTTTGCCTGCAATTTTGTGGAGCACCGTAATGACCTAAACATTTGTTAGTATTTATGATACTGCAAAATTATGCGAATCAACTTTTGCCTGCTTAAAAAATCATGTTTTTTTTTCATACTTTATAGAAGTTATCATTTAAAAATTTTGTGTATAATCAGATCAAAGCGCAAAGAATGTGAGGTACGGTAGAAGTGCAGTACTGGATACCAATGGTGTCGTTTGCCGGATAATAACACTACTATTTGATAATAAAACAGCATACCATACAATTTTCTGTTCCTCGCTGTAGAACAATGCGTTCTCTCACGATCAAACTGCACGATTTTATTAATAAAGTGGCAACCATCGGGCGACTTGTTACGTGTTGATGGGAATAACACATGTTCTCTCATCGGCCTGGCTGCTACTGCACATCTATCGACATGTTGTCAAAGGTTGCAATCATAGCGATTTATTTTGCCTGCTGTATATTATGCAAGACGATCTTAAGTAAAACCATATGAAAGCCATAATAAACACCCCAGCCGAACAAACCCAACGTAGTCCTGCCGTCTCTTTGCTGGTACTGTCCGGTCAAAGTAAACTTCCGTAAATCTTTCTACAAGACGATTATAAATATTTCCCACTTGTTTCTTGAAATAACTTTTTGGGTGGCGGCTGTCTTGGTGCTGTCTTCCAAAATTTGCTTGCACGTTATCACACATGATACCATACATACACCGCTGCGCGGCAGTAATGACATTGCTTAATTGCCGCATTTTAGCGTCCACTTGTTAAAATTTCAGTGTAATGTATTATTAGGTGTTGTTAATGTTTTATGTATCCATATTCATTCCTGTGCGGCACGCACACCTCTACCTCGTATAAAACATGTTTTTATTTATACGAATTTTATACAGTTTGCTTACATTGGTAATGGTCTGGCATTGTACAAAGTGTGTAATACATTCCAAAAGGATGTCGATGCTATTGTGGAGGCGGAAATTTCGAACTGTCAGCATAAGGCGGGACTGGGAGTGGTGGTTGTATCCAGGAACAACAATGGACGAGGGATTGCCCAAAATTTATCATACACAAAAGCCTTTGGTTTCAAGAATATAGAAGAGAAGACTCTGGCTGATGAAGATACAATGTTCTGTATTGGATCGCTAACCAAACATTTTACTACAACGCTGATCCTGCATTTGCTTGAACTTATGCAAAAGAAAGGTTACCGCCAGTAAGTAACCATACTTGCATATCATTTTCGGCATGCGACAACTTGAAAAAGCAGGATTAGCAAACAAAACCTGATGCTGATAAAAAATAATTAAGACTTATTATTAAGCGTCCATGTTTAAAAGTTTTACACAGCGTTCGGTACTGTAAAAATATAGCTACTAATGGTAAGTATGTAGATTTAGGAAGATTGTCTGCACTTCTGCAGCTTGCAAACACGGATTTGTTTAGCTTGTTTTCCTCATGCATCTCGTAATAAATGTAAAGGATAGCTTCGCTATTTATTAAACTATTTAATTTTAGTAACACTAAAAAGATGCAAAGCATCTGTACTGTCATTCTTTTCGTCGAGTGGCTGATTAAAAGCTTAAAAATTATTACAAACGACGTTGCTGTGTTTACGGCCGGTATTCTAAAGATTTACATTTTGTGATAAGGTATTCGCTACAGTCTCCCATCACGGAAATTGACCCGGCGCTAAATTTCTCTGGCTCACAATTTGTCAATACAACGTTAGAGGATATCATGTCACACCGTACTGGGATAGCAGGTATTTTGTTGATTAGGCGATTCGTTTGCGGGTGTTTTATTAATTAAAATTAAATAGATACCGTATGTGCCTATGTGGAATTGCCGTGTGGTGAGGGCATCGATTGTAGTGATAAAGTTTTGAAGCTGTATTAATCGATTATATTGTTCATTAACGTAAGTATATCACCACTTATGGTTAGCGCGATTTACCATTATTTGTAACGAATTTTTGATATTTCGCTGTGTGTTTTAGAATTTGATCTTTAATAATATTATCTTAAAACAACTGTATACCAATCAGTCTGTATTTTCTCATACGCAGACCTATCGATGTGTTGTACGATTTTCACTATAAACAGATAAACAAGCAAGGCCTCTGCGCGTTGTTTTTTTTAGAAGTCTTCGGACAGTTTTGGGTTGGATATCATAAGAATGTCAGCAGGCAGAATTTGACGGTTATTGCTGCAAAACTTCCTCGCCTGGCAGATAACAGAGCGAAATACATCTATAACAATCATGTTTTCACTGTAGCAGGTAACATAAAGCAGCATCTGTCTATTCACAGTCATGTAACCTTTGTTTTGCGAAATTTAGAGTGATAGGAATCAACTACTGTATTTTTTACATGTAGGACACGTTGCGGAGATACTAGGAGAAGTTTTGTTGAACAGACCGGTTTCGTGGGAGGAATTGGTACAAAAGTTTTTGTTTGATCCGTTGCGCATTAATTCCTTGGTGAAATTTGCCGGGAATAATTTTTCATCTGGGGAAAAATTGGCGACTCCCTATCTCACGAAAAATGGAGAGTACCACAGATTGGATGACAACGTGCTTACACTAATCGAGCCAGCCGGACCAGCGGGGTGGGTTTTATGACTGCCGGCAAAAGTGTACTTCTATACATCATAAAAAACTTCCTATGTTGAAATGCCAAGTATCTGTATTCTGTAATAGGCTTGGTGAATTTTTGTTTTGCAAACCCCACCAATTTAACAAAGTTAACCGTGTGTGGTATGCATCTGTAATCAAAATGAATTTACTACCGGCATGTGTATTACAGCAGTGCATGTAAACTTGTACGTATAGACACACACGATAATATATCAGTACTTACTTAGTAGTATTATAACTGCCGCCTTTTCGTGATCTTCTTTTTTCGGCGGTTTGATTCACTACTACTATAGAACAATAAGTGCAGTACATTTTTTCACGCTTATCCTTTTGTTGTTGTTTTTATTGTTTAGCTCTTTGTGCATGTCTCCAAAAGCAATGAAAATTTGGATGGATTTCCTTATCGAAAGAGGTTACTCTAGTGCCTACTTGCCTCCGAAGCCCTTCGCAAATTATTCACTGTATAAACGAATGCCGATTGTATCGCCGTCCTCCATCACAGAAACCTGGGAACCCAGAGTATGCTTCCCTAGTCACAAAGGTTTAAAGGCGTTTCGTGTCAGCGGGAGTCGATCATTCACCATGAACGAGTACATCAGAGAACGCAGAGAACATGCCGGCTACGGGTTAGGATGGATTGCATCTAAACACAGAGGTCGCTGTTGATTACTTAATACGCTACTGCTTTTAGCTCGTACTCCCAAGTTAAGTAAAATAATATTTTACACGTGCAGAGGTTGAAAAAATTAAGGAAGTTGTCCACGGCGTCAGTGTAAGTGCTAAGTGCCTGTCGTGTTTTAATAGGTTATCGCTCATTGGATCACAGTGGAGGATTTTACAATTATCTATCGTTGCTCTCGGTTTTTCCCGATCAGAACATCAGTATATTTACGAGCTCGGCTGGTCCTTATACAACCACTACCCGCAATCTCCTTTGGCGGGTGCATTATAATATCTTCGATCATTTAATGGGACTTCCTCCAAGTATTCCTGAAAAGTGCATCAACCACAGCTTATCACCTGTAGGTGTTTCACATACCAATAAGACTCCTGTGGTGAAAGTCGATGTTAAAAATTATGCTGGAACCTACTATCATCCCGTGCACGGGCTTTTAGCGGTCGAGACGTCGGCTGAACCGGCATCGGGCTTGAATCTGATCTGGGGGCGCTATGGAAACGCCAGTATTGAGTGCCGTACATCGAAGACTGTGTGTGAACTGCGCTTCCATGGAATTCTGTGGTGGGTGTCCGATTCGGATGCATTCCGAGGCGATAAGGGACCCAACCGGACGATCGTGTTCATCACATGTAACGGCTACGTCACGCATATCATCATGCCCTTTTACTGTGACGAAGTACCGCCTGTCTTTAAACTAGTCTCGTCACACTACATGCGGAAGCTACCGATAGACAAGAACTGTACAGATGTGAGCGGTGGAATTTCCAAGTTTCTGTCCTGCCACCTTAGCGCAGCATCAACTGGATTTTGCTTATTTTACTACTGTTACATGATTTTTAAATTATTTGATTTTTTCTGATGTGCACATAGGTTTCTTATGCTGCTTTATATGTTTTGGAACAAAAATAATTTTAGGCACAGTAGCCACATAAGTGCAGTTATGGAATACTAAGGAGCTAGCTGTCACCTTTAATAAAGCAACCAAACAAAAGGCATGCAATACATGCAGTAATTCTATGTTTTCTTTCGGCTACCAGCTAAATGCAGACATCTGAAAAATACGTTTGCCACAATTAATGCCGAAAGCGGAAATATTCTCGCCTAGAAAAAACACATTTCTAATTGCAAATTTTCTGTGTAGTAATTTCACAAGCATTGTCTCTAAAAGCTGACCCACATTAATTTTTGAGTTAACCCATAATGCAGAAGGATACATCATTGTATGTTTTACATTACGAAAACAATTATTTTTTAACAGGGAACAGTACTTGCACATGCAGGCAGTTATTAAACTTGTACCGGCACGTTAATATTGAAGACCGTATTTATTTTTAAATATTCCGATCCGTACATATACCACGCAGTGCTATGCATGCGTACCGTATTTCAAACCGCATAAAACAGCTACCAGGTAAATCGTCCTCGATCGATCTGTATACGCCACAGGATCCGCATTACACGGCATAATTGCAATCATACCGTACCTGACTGCCGCACTTTTCAACTCGTGCTCCAGATTCGCAATTTCGCAGACTCACCATTGAATCGCTCCTGCCTGTCTACCGTCGCGGTTCATTTGAGTTAACAAACTAACAAGTCTACGGAGGTGTTTCGGTTTAGTTTTTGCAAGGGGCCTTTGGACAGATAAGTTTGCTTTATGTATCCGTGTAGGTTATGGAACTTTACGAGCATTTAGTCCCACCCACATAGCGGCGAAGTGATTCAAGTTTCACACCGCGATATACAATCCCATCCCACAAAATACTATAGGCCGTTATGAATGCACCGGTAGAACATGTCTTGGTGAGTCGTTGCGCACTCTACGCAGTCATCATGTTACTCACATATTTTGGTTTGTTGTAACCGGTTTATCGGTCTTTTGTTACGATGCAAAACTGAACGGTTTTCGTTTCTACAATTCCGCGTCAGACATCGACAGCGACAAAGTTCACAAATAAGCACATCAGTAATATTATGAAAATGGATTTTACGTTCACGATGGATCTTAGCACGATTCACGATGGATCTCAGCGGTGAATAGCTGCGTTGATTTTCATTGTTGTATAATCTGTACTGATGGAAAACGGTATTGAAATGTCCCCAAAAAATTCTGCGACAGTTACCCCCGGGAATGTGGCCTTAAAGGTAAACGTGTAATGACACAAATACTGTAATTCCAAATATTTTGGGGAAATTGCTGTTTTTCTTCTGTTATGTTCCTCCGTGGATTACACAAATTTAACGTTATCTGGCGAATCCATGGTTCCAGAATTCATCACTTGATAAAATTAATGAGATCTGTAAATATTCATTACCTTAGGTTGATGAAACGCCAAAAGATGCTGACACCTTGTTTTTCACGGATGGAAAACGGCGAGTAGATTTTGTGCTGGTATACCAAACTGGATCGCGATCGATCGACAGCCGTCGCGCTTTGCGTCGGACCAATTTTGAGGAGCACATGAAGAAAGAAGGACTGGAATTGGAAATTGATACTAAACCTGTAAAAAAATTTCTAAACGCAATACTCCGAAATTCCACCGGCTTTTTTGTTTCGTTTTTGACATGCATGTTTGTCTATCGTAATTATTTTCTTAGTAATCGTCGAAAATTTACCGTTTTTGTTCAGACTACGTATATGTTGCGCTCGTATAATTGTGGAATACAGATGTTTGTATTTGTTTTTTTTAGTTTAATCGCTAAAACGGCTAAACGAATAACGATACGTATTCCCGAGCGTAATTTATTCATATGTGAATTTGCAAGGAAGCTGCTGTACTTGTGGACCTTGTGGTTAATGTTTCCCTAATTGCCTGTTAATGCGTTAGTTACCCGGCCATCTTATACCCGGACTGGACACCATAAACAGCAAACTGCACATTGACCGACTGCGAGCTGGACCAGCCGCCGAGCCGAAGCTGGATGTGCCTCCAACGCTGTGTTTTATTAAAATCCACGGAACATGGGACATGATGACGAAATATGCAGATTTTTTAAAATTAAAAATGCCTCTTATTGTACGTGTAACAAACTGGCTTCCTTTACTATAATTATGTAAATTTACAGAACGTAATTTTTTTCCAGAAAGGAAACGAGAACCTGCAAGACGATGAGCTGCTACATTATTTTCCTAATCCGTTTCGAGTTGATCGCGAGCTTCTTCCGCCCATGCAGGAACAGTTTACATCGTTCTTCTCCAAAGCCAGGATGGACCAGTAAGAAACACCATTATGTTATATTCTTTGGGAAACTGTGTGAGACATTTTTGATTAAAATTACAGATTCAACATCAGCGACGAAGATAGCTTTTTCTCAGCCGGTCAACGAAGCCGGATTGTCTGGGAATGTTTGTCAAGAATACGCTACGATGAAGGCAACCCCACAAAATTTGGTAAGAAAAAAATATAAAGCTTCCTAACAATATGGAAATTTACCTCATTTTTTATATTTATTTCTGCTTTTTAATTCTAGTCACCTCAATGCGATTTATTTATAAAAGTATTTAACTCCCATGTGTCAGGTTGAACTTCTTTTTTTGCAGGAATTCAGCGTCTCTTGGCCAACAACACATTTATCGCCGCTTTCCCACTACATGATGGACCATGGGAACGGACGCCAAAACAAAAACCCACGAATATGCGAGCGGTACAAATACACCGTGCGGTTGTTACAAAATCATACGTATTAAGTCAAATTTCTATACTTTGTCGTAGATTCTGTATGATCAGTGGGGACGCTTCACTAATTGGTTTAAAATCCAGCCTATTGATTATGTAAAAGTCTATTTCGGCGAGGTAGGTTTGCAAAAAAAAGTTTTCATGGATCATCGCGCACTGAACGAATGTTTTACTACAGAGACTGGCATTCTTTTTTGCTTGGATGGAATTCTACACCGCCATGCTCATACCTCCGTCTGTTGTGGGATTGGCATGTTTCATCTACGGAGTGGCATCTCTGTCAAATGATCCCGTCTCGTAAGAATGTGCCGTGTCATGCGTGGTCAGTGAAGTATTTCCATGAATTTTTTTTTCAGGAACTCTATTTGTTATGACCCTTTCATTGGCAATACGACAATGTGTCCACTGTGTGATAAGTAAGCTATTCGGAAACAAGTTAACAGATTCTTTAATTTGTAGCAGAAATTCAAAATATTTGAATTCAGATGGTGTCCTTTCTGGAAACTCAAGGAATCGTGCGCGCTGGCTAAAGTACGGTAGCGTAGAAGATGGTCGACTGCTTGCATGAAAACAGTTAACTGCAAACACATCATTTTGCATGTTGATACATAACACTAAATAATGTGGATATATATTTGTTATATTTATCTGATTATACATAGGCGCACTTTTCAGGCTACATATTTATTCGACAATTCGGCCACCATGTTTTTTTCGGCGTTTATGGCGCTATGGGCGATGGTGTTTCTGGAATTATGGCAGCGACGTCAGTCTGTTTTAGCGTGGAATTTTGATACACTGGATGCCTTTGAACAATACGTAAGCCCGTCAGCTGTTTTAAAAACGACTGCAGTTACAGCTTAATACAGTCGCAAAAGCGTGCACATTGCGTGTGTTATAAAATTGAACTGACTAATTACTGCTTTCGCGTGGATAACTCTTCATATTTTCCTGGAATTAAAAAAGGCCCACTTAATCATTAGGAGCCGGTTCGACCGGAACTGGGAATGCGGGTCAAACAAGTACGGCTGAACCCGGTAACGAATACGGAAGAACCGTATGTGCCACGCTGGAAGCGACTGGGCAATTGTTTCGTATCCACATCGGTCATCGCCTTTATGGTACACGATGCGTCAAATTCCTGATTGCAAAACAATTATGCCTAATTTTTGACAGTATAATGTGCAATGAATGATGTGGAATTGATGTGCAGTTGTGTTGCAGATGTTTGTTGTGTTGGCCGCGGTTTTTGGTACAGTAGTGTACCGAATGCTGGTGGTCGTCGCCCTTTACGCCACCAGCAGCACACGGCAGACCTTTGCAAGCCAGTACGCCACGTATATAACCTCCATCACGTCGGCACTTCTTAACCTTATTGTTATTCTTATTCTGGAAAAGGTGAGGAAAATAACTAAGCACTGTCATTACAATTTGGATAAGAAATCGTTTATTTTAGATTTATTATCGTCTGGCCAAGTGGTTGACCGAAAATGGTAAGAACAACCCGCCTTAGATTAATGGTAGTATTACTTTCACCTGTCTTGGAAATGACTTGCATGACGATTTCCTTGTGTTTCAGAGTGTCCAAGAACGCAAACCGAATACGAAGAGAGTCTGACGTGGAAATATTACATATTTGAATTTGTCAATTGTTACAGTTCTCTGGTTTATGTGGCGTTTTTCAAAGGCCGGTAAGCACTGGTTCTTTAATTTAGAGGTAGCATCAAACGTGTACAACATTTTGATTCTACTATTGTATATCTCTTAGCGTTCCTGCTGGAACGCCGGGTTCTAAAGGATGGTTTAACATTCCCGTCGATCAAGTAAGTTTAATTGTTGCTAAAAGTTCGAGCACGTATCAGGTTGTCCATTATATCAAATAGTTTATTCCTAATAATTATCAGTCTCTAACTGCTGTATTTTCTTAGATTTGTAAACATCCGCTTACAGTTACTTTAGTTATTAGTTACGGTAATAAAAGTATAATTCTACCTTGTGGACATGCATTAATTTAAAATGCATGCCGTTGACACTTGACATGCATCAATTTAACAAATTAGTATTATGTAAGTGTACCTGTGTACTTATCGTTTTAGCGTATTTATCGTTTTTGTAGTGTGATCAAGCAGGATGTCTGATTGAATTATGCATCCAATTAGCCGTGATCCTTTTGGGTAAACAAGTATACTCCATACTACGCGAAGCAGCATTTCCGGTCATCCACAATTGGTGGTCCAATCAGGACATCATCAAGTTTTTCTCTCATGTTCGACGGTTTTATCGATGGGAAAAAGATTTTCAGTTGCGACCTTTCCCGGCTCTCATTATGTTCAAAGAGTACACTAGGATGAGTAAGACAATATCAAAATAACCAGATGGATTGTCCCTTTCGTCTGTTTGACATACGTGTTTTTTACAGTTCTGCAATTTGGATTCATGACAACATTTGGTGTGGCGTTTCCACTGGCACCGCTCTGCGTTCTACTTATGAACCTGTTTGAAATACGTTTTGATGCCTACAAAATTCTGGTTCTGTATCGCCGTCCAGTTCCACAAATCGCCAAAAATATCGGTGCGTTACAATTTTTTCGTTATGCAGAAATTATGTGCAGCTTTAAGCATACAAATAAAATCATTCTGCTCGTTATATTCTATGGTGTTTATTACACGTCGTAATTTACTTAACGGTGAGTACCAGAGTTTTTTATTGTATTTTTCTTGCAGGCGCGTGGTTGAAAATCTTGCAACATCTTGCTCAGTTCTCCGTTGTTACCAATGTAAGTTACTATGTCTCAATACTTATAAACGTGCATAAATATTTTCAGTGTCCTTGTGGCACACGATAATCTAGGAAATGATTTAAGTAACTATATTGACAGGCCTTTGTAATTGCCTTCACTTCCGAATTCGTGCCAAAAGTTGCCTACAAGCTGGCCTATTCACCGGATGGGACAATGCGCGGTTATGTGCCATGGAGTTTGTCTGTGTTTTCCGTGGCGGATTTTCCGCCGGATGTGGGACCGCAGCCGGACATTTTGCCTGCCAATTCAACATCATTTTGTAGCTATCGGGATTTTCGCAATGGACCACAGGAGGGGGATTATCGATATTTTTATAACATGACATTTTGGCATATTTTTGCCGCCAGACTGGTGCTGGTTTTAGTATTGGAGGTGGGTGAAACTGCGTAAAATATTCGCAAAAATTCGTCAAGCGACCACGAGTTACTAATACAAATATTTTTTGATTTTGAGAGTTATTTCTGCACCCAGACATGACAACTTGCTGCTTATTCCTGCGTAACTATGGATGCCATCAGTTCGGTGTTTAGTGTTACTTATAGTTTGTTTTAAAAGAAACCGGCTTCAAGTCATCAATACATCTGTAAAACAATATCAATGAAATGTTATATATGATGTAAAGAGATTAATGATAATAATTCTCAAGTGAGATTTTAATGGTTTCTCCATTTTACGCTTATTGATTGGCTCTTGTTTTGCTTGTTGCAGCATTTTATCCTCATCATTACCAGGATAATCGCCTACATGGTACCTGATCTGCCTTCCTGGCTGCATGCCAAAATTCTCAGACAAAACTTCCTTGCCAAAGAAGCATTCTGCGAGTCGGAAGCCAGAAAGAAATACTCGCAACCCGGAATGCCCCTAAAAAATGCCGCCACTCAGGATTCACTGGGATCTTTCCAGGAAGATCATTCCCTGTATCCAAAGATGAACAACTTATCTGATGGCGCTGTGTGAATGCACTGAATGGTGTGGGGTCAGCACTCCGAATTGGCAGCTTACCTAACGAAGATTTGGAAGTCAATGATCTCATTTTGTGATTCTTTTTCCCGGCGTCTGGAGGTGTATTTGATGCAAGGACTGATTACGATTGGCAGATCTGCGGCGCTCTTGCTGACCTAACTTTTTCTGTAATCCGAATCAATTTGTACATTTTGTTTTTCCGGATTTTTGAATTTTTACTGTGTGGATTTAGGTACTTGAAATATTTAAAGTATTGCTCGTCGAAATTAAAATTTACAGCATAAAAAACTTTAAACTGTTTGAGGTACGGCATTAAATCGTCTGACCACTGACCTTGAAGTGCAGTTAAACTGCGGAGGAGGAGTTACGTACAAACTTGTACCTGTTCAATGCCACACGCACGTCCCCTGCTCCACCTGGAGCCCAATGAAAGTTGCGGTTTTTTAGTACCAAGCTGAGACAACCGTACGATTTGAACTGCTCTATTGTTAATGTTGCACCTGGAAAAATCCTCCGGTAGTACTTACAAGCTAGCTACAGTATTTTAAAAGCCAGTTAACGATGGTCACTGTTCAAGTGTACGTACGTACATACACCGATCGCATCCACATCACAGAATTCTTCTACCGGCTCACGTCATGGGCCGTCTGGATTTATAAACCAGTGATCAGAAAATCTGCAGTCCTCAGTCTGCGTTTTGCTGGCTAGTTGTCGCGACTTTATCGTGTTTCACGCCACTTTAATTTAGTTTTGCCCTTTATTGCTTCAGCTAGAAGTTTTTAGTTTTCCCCGCCATAAAGGGCATCATCACCATGAGAGTACGTCTGACCTTCGGCTTCGCGAGTGTCATCTACTTGTCTTGATATCCCTTCTCCCTTGTGCGGGTGCTAATTTACCGTATTTTGCTGCAGACAACAACCTCCCTCTGGTTCTTCCTCATACTACTGCTCGGGTTCTTGTCATTTGCGGAATGTGGATTCGGCGGTGGATGGGGTAACGGTGGATGGGGCGGAGGATGGGGCGGATGGGGCGGCGGATGGGGAGGTGGATGGGGCGGATGGGGAGGGTAAGCGAAAACTTTCAGGTTTCATAAGTTTTCAGTTGACCTTTGAAATAATCAAAGTTAGAGAAACTCTCGGTTCATATCTCAATGGTACAAAACGTATCTGTATTTGAACATCTATTTATCGGTATGAACGCTTTGTCAGGTCACGCTGATTTTATACATATTTTTTTCTTGAAAATTAAGCCACAAATGTTTTCACATTGAGAATTCAGATTATCAGCAAATCAGCTCTTAAACGTAGTACTGACCTTTGATTTCAATTCTTAAAAATTAAAATTCTGCATTTCTAACTTCCTGGTTGGTATTGCAGTTGGGGCGGACCTGGTTGGGGAGGATGGGGCGGGTAAGTATTTACGGTTAACTCGAAATATGGAAATAACGTATTTCGTTAACCGGTTAACACCGTTTTTCGGGCTTCTTTGGCAGTGATGGCTGGGGCGGATGGGGTGGATCCGGATGGGGTTGGGGAGGCGGATGGAAGAAGTGATCGCCTGATTTTCCTCCAGTTTGTTGACCCCGGTTGCAGCATTTTTACGGTGTCCATTCCTCATCGCCTGGGTCTTGTCAGTCCATTCCGCATCGCGCCCTGGATCATGTGTCATTGTCATTTCTCGCTGTCCTGTGATCATATACCATTGACCTGTGCTCATATTCAACGAAGTTTAAAGACTGTACGTGTGCGACTGTTTTGTCGGTTTTTATTTGTGATATGTTTTGTATTTATTGCGAATGTTCGAATTGTGACTGAAAATTAATAAAATGACTGTGCGATAAGCAGATGTAATTGTGTTATCTACGGACTACGGTAGAACCAAATGGACAAGAGCGTTTGACACACGAATTCAGTAGTGCTGGATGACAGACACCATTTCTTCTCGACGTTCTCGTATAGAGGTAGTAAAATGTAAACCTTGAAATAAATCTTGGGGGAATTAACAATGGATATGAGAATGTAATTCGAGAATTAAACTTTAAAATGTGGAAATAACCGCGCAGAATGATAGCACAAGCGGATTTGGTGTCCGCCCAGTGGTCACTATTCTACAATCAACGTCGAATATGTTACCGCCCTTACTAAACACATTACGGATGAGTCATGCATATGTGATTCACGCAGCCGCTAAGCGGCATATATGGCGTACCAAATACCTCACCCCCGTAAACCTTAAAACTTAAAACTCAGAACACTAGAACGTAAAACACTAAAACGTAAAACAATGTAAAACACTAAAACAGTAAAACACTAAAACGTAAAAAACACGTAAAACACTAAAACCGTAAAACGTAAAACACTAAAACCGTAAAACGTAAAACACGATACCGTAAAACTCAGAACTCAGAATCGTAAACCTCAGAACTCAGAATCATAGAACTTGAAACGGTAAACCCTGAAACATGTTTTCGTGGACATAGACGATTTTAAGCAAAAATAAACGGTAGTTCCACCAACGCCAATCCAATTCCAAAATCACCGCCTAACTCCAATAATAAAGTAGAATTCCATTAATATTATTGGAACTGGCATTGTGGAATTGGAACTCTGAAAAGTGAAAAATTGTCTAAGTCCACGAAAACCACGATTTCATGTTTCAGGGTTTACAGTTTCAAGTTCTATGATTCTGAGTTCTGAGGTTTACGATTCTGAGTTCTGAGTTTACGGTATTGTGTTCTACGTTTTACGGTTTTACGTTTTAGTGTTTTACGTTTTACGTTTGTGTTTTACGTTTTGTTGTTTTAGTGTTTTACATACGTTTTACGTTTTAGTGCTTTACGTTTTAGTGTTCTGAGTTTTAAGTTCTAAGGTTTACGGGGGGTGAGGTATTTGGTACGCCATAGGCATACGGTAGCGAATGATTACGATCGGACCAGTTAGCGCTGTCCATATGACGCTGAATGAACACAAACACTTCGTTCCATTCCGAGCGAGAAAGTCTGTTAAATTTCACATCGATGAAGACTTGGTTGACTTGTTGCGAATACCTTGCGAGTCGCTGCTGGATTGTGTAATCAGTTTCTCTGGCAATGTACTCATAAATGTAGTGCGGAAGTTATAATAAAATGGTTCATAAGCATTATAACCAAACCGCAACATTAGCCACGGATGAAGAAGCTGCTGTGCCATTGCGGAATCTGAAGCCGCGCAGTTCTGTTCAATATGTGAGTGGAATACCCGAGGGAACGAAATCGATGGATAATGAGTGATGCGTTGTTGATGTGGTGTTTGTGCGTAACCAGGGTGTGACGGGAGACGATGATACACTTTTCTTCCGCGATGGGCAACGGCGAATTGACTTTGTGCTGGTGTACCGTACTGGCGGCGTGAAAGCAGTGGATCACAAACGCGAGCAGCAACGAGCCGATTTCCAGGAGGAGATTGAACTGCAGGGAATTGACTTCGAACAGGAAGTGAAATCTGTAAGAATCGAGGAAGAATTTGGGCAGATTTACGGGATATTTGTAGAATGTTGACGTTGTTGTCCATCGTTGTTCTGGATGATGTCTAGATTCCTGGTCAACCGCCAGAAGTTAAACTCTGCTTCGTCAAATTGCATGCAACATGGGACTTACTCACGAGGTAAGTACACTGTATATTTAAAACCAAAAACTGGATAGAAGGCTTCGGGTTTTTTTAAAACTAACTTACTGAGCAGTTTTGAAGTGTTGGTGCTTGTTTACGACTACTAGTGGATCGGTTAGAAGGTGCGGTTTAGACTCTAGATTGGTGTTGTACAGGTATATTGTTCGAATGCTGATATTAAATTGTGAGCTTTTTATTCAGTTTTAGAAGCATGCTATTATTTTTGGTAAATTACTGAATTTTTTGCTGCTGCTATTCGCGATAATAGTTATTTTTTATTGATAGTCAAATTATACACTTACTGCACTTCTCGATTGTATTTTGCATAATTATTTTTTAATATTAGGCGGTATGCCTTCGATCTCGAATACCATAATATTAAACCATGGCATACTTCTAGACTCTAGTTCTGTTTATGGAATGCGCAGAAGTATGTTTGATTGGCGGTCAGACATCCGATGTAGGTCAGCTGCGGTTTCGGCAATAAGGCGCTCGTTTTTTGCAGTTGAAACAAGATACTTTGTAAATATGCTTTTTCTAACTGCAATTCGCTGGTTCTTTGTTTGGCGGTACTTCAAATGCGTCGTGTGTGAGTAAGAGGAGTTATTTGGTGTGTGTTCGGTTAAGAAAAGCTAGAATTTGCCGACGCCATCAGCATCTTTCGATTTGTTGTTGCGACTGCTTACTAGTGCTTACACTTTAAATTTATATAAAATTCATGCCAACGGCAATATGCGACTATTTTACGCATCACATTCACTCGCGTTTAGTTCAAGTGGATTGTAATCAGCTGTGAATCAGAGCTAAAAATAATTTTCTAGACGGAATTAGAATGTTAAGTAGAACTTTACTGTGACATTTTGCTTGTTTCCGGTGCGGAAATACCACAATGCCGATTGACATAGTTATGTTCTGTTTTTGCAGATATGCCGATATCATGAAAATTCGCATGCCTTTGAAGGTTGGCGCTTGTTTATTGCACTTTTTGCGATTGGATCTGGTGGGATTACTCAATATGCGTTCTTGACACTTAGACCGAATTGGAAACGTTTCCCGAAGATACGTTTTCTCGTTACTGCCCGAACCTGGTGGTTGACCGGACACTTCTTCCCAAGCTTCCCCATTATGTCACTACTGGTTTTTCCAAATCCAAGGAGGCACTGTAAGTAGATTACGTACTGTATGCATCGAATACATAATTTTTGTTCCCTGCATAGTCTAAGGACAAAAGTGCAAAAAATGCTGAATGATTTAACTTTGCGTTTGCCTGTTGTTCATTTGGTTTTCCTTCAGATTTCACATCGTGGACCAAGACACATTTTTTTCACCGTCGCAGCGAAGTCGGATAATTTGGGAATGTCTATCCCGAATAACAACAACGTCTGGCAAGCATCATATGGGTATGCTATACTAGCGTTGTACTTTAGGATTGTTTGTGAAATATAACAAAATTGATTGCAGGTATACAAAAACTTCTAGGAGACGGCACATTCCAAGCAGCATATCCACTGCACGATGGTCCATATGAAGAAAAATACAAGAGACCGTCGAACTTGCGAGCAGTAATGATTTCCTGTTACAACTCACGCCTTGAAGTTAATCCAAAAATGGTTCCGCTAATTTAACGTTGTGACAACTTTTTTGTAGATCTTGTACAATCAGTGGGGTAGATTTGCCAGATTTGTCAAGTTCCAGCCAGTCACCTACATCAAAAATTACTTTGGAGAAGTATGGATGGATGGTTGCTGTTGCTCTGTAATGTTAATGTTTGCTTTGTAAATTTTACAGCGGGTTGGGTATTATTTTGCTTGGATGGAATTTTACACATTGATGTTGATACCGGCGGTTATCGTGGGATGGATCTGCTTGTTGTATGGTGCGGCTAACGTAAAAGGCGACATCCCGGCACAAGAACTCTGTACTTCGAAGGATATGGGAATGACCGTCATGTGCCCGATTTGTGAAAGGTCGGTAATCGCTTGGCCTTGAATCCGTAAATTCATGGCTTACAGCCGGATTCTGATTGTAGGCGTTGTCCGTACTGGAGATTGAAGGACAAATGTCATTTTGCTCAGGTGAAGCTTTTCGGCAGCATCTTGTATTTTTCGTTTGATCGATTAATACCATTTTCGTTTTTTTTTATTTTTGTCGTAAATTTGCTAGTTACTAACTGAAATTTTTTTAATGGAAGTCTATTTTATTGAATTTAACCAACACGCGCTTTACAGCAATGGAACAGTTATAACATGGGCAGTAATTATCACAAATTTTTTTTTATCAAATTCAGTGGAAGGCAACAGAAGAATTTTTTGCAGGCAACATATTTGATTGATAATCCGGCGACGATCTGTTTTGCTACATTTATGGCATTGTGGTCATCGTTGTTTATAATGTTGTGGAGAAGGAAGCAAAATATTTTATCGTGGAATTTTGACACGTACGATGTGTTAGAACAAGAGGAGCCAGTCCGTCCAGAATTAGAGGCGCGTTTTCAGCCTGAGAACTGGAAAATAAATCCTATAACAGGCGTTAAGGAGCCATACATTTCACCCGTCCGTCAATTCTTTCAATCGGTTCTGTCCGGCACCGTGGTATTGTTCATGGTGAGCTTTATTTCCTACAAGTTTTTAAGTTTTCATTGTTTTCTAACTTTATTCTATTTTATGTTGCAGATATTTTTGGTTTTTGCTGCTACTTTTGGTACATATACTTCGTTGTATACTTGTATTGACAAAACCTCGTTATTCTTAGTTTTGTTGATTTTGTTTGTAGCAACAATTGTGTACCGTGTGACTTTAAACATCGCCATTTATTCCGCAACCCGAGCGAGTCAGGATATAAATGAGACCGCGGGAGATTCAACTACTCTAAAGTATTCCACATATATTGTCAGTATTACCGCCGCGTTCCTCAACTTGATCGTTATTTTAATCCTTAACGGGGTACGTGAACAAGTTAAATTTCTTTGAGCCATATACGTGTAAGATGTCTTGCTAGTTGATTATGGCAGTAGTTTACCAGTGTTCGTCCTTTTTCCAGGTTTATTTTTGGATTGCTAAATGGCTGACTGAAATGGGTACGCACACGCCGCTAATTACTAATATAAATTCTCCTGCTTTTGTTTTCTCCTGCTTTTGTTTGTTTGACTTTTTTGTTTTCAGAATATCCTAGAACGCAGACAGAATATGACAACCGTCTCACTATGAAATACTACATCTTCGAATTTGTCAACACGTATACATCGTTGTTTTATGTTGCATTTTTCAAAGGACGGTAAGTTTGCACAGCATTTCCTATTGCAGCTGTGGCCATTTGAACAACTCCATTCAAAATGTTCGAAAATCAGCTGTTCATAGCGAATTGTTTATTTATCCTATTGTCTGTTGCTGAGATGTAAATGTTGGCTGTTTCTAGTTTTCCCGCTGCAATCCCTAACAACAGAATTCTTGGTGATGTTCCAGTAGATCGGGTGAGAAACGTACTCGTACTCGTATTTTGTTACGGTTGCTGTACTTGTACACGCTTTACAATTTTTGCATGAACACTCACAATCAGTCTCATACATATGTTTCAGTGCGACAAAGCCGGATGCCTGATTGAGTTGACGATCCAGTTGGGTGTCCTCTTCCTTGGCAGCAGCTTAGCCAATATTATCAGTGAGATTCTGGTGCCATGGTGTATCCGCCGCTACCGCAACATCCAAAGTCCGAAGCTGAAATCGCAGTGGGAACAGGACCATGATTTGGCCAGCTTTCCGACAATGGGAATGTTTATGGAATATAGCCGAATGGGTAGGCAAATCTTGACGATGCGTATCTTAAGCAGAATTATATTCGTTAGTTGAATCTCTCATTCGGAATTTCGGGAAAAAAGATTCACAACTTACAAGTGCGGACAATTTAGCGTGAACAGAACGTGAACAGAACGAACAGAACGCGTGTGATGCTTATTTTGCAAACTTACTCGTATAATTCCAATTTTTTCGGTGTAGCTCATTTTGATAACTGTTGCCCGTGAGTGAACTGCATGTGTACATGTATTTTTCTGATGTTTAGTGACTCAGTTTGGATTCATCACCATGTTCGTGGCGGCATTTCCAGTAGCACCGATATTTGCCTTGGTCAACAATTTAATTGAAATTCGTTTGAATGCCTATAAATACTTAACGTTTTTTCAACGCCCCGTTGCCTTATGGGTGAGAAATATTGGTAAGCCTTTTTGTTCTGGAAACGCTACTTTGGATGTGCATTTGTAATGGTCTTAGTTGAATGCTTATTCCAGGCGCCTGGGGAAAAATTCTGGAAAACGTGGCAAGATTTTCCGTTATCACAAATGTGAGAAAAAATTCTTTGCTTCAAATTTCAAACCATAGTTCGCGATCGGAAAATTTTTGTTCGTTTCCAGGCATTTATAATTGCATTTACATCCGATTTCGTTCCGCGATTGACCTATATGTTGGCTTATTCCACGGATGGAACACTTATGGGATATAACAACTGGACTTTGTCAGCGTTTAACACAGAAGACTTTGCTTTCGACAGTAAGCCTGAGTTTCCTGGTCACGATGAATTTGACCCTTTGAATCCCCCTGGACTATGCTGGTAACCTTTTTATTAACCTAGTTCACTTTCAAAGGGTTTTTATTATATGATTTGTGCGTAGGTATTACGAATTCCGCACTCCTCCATGGGATATCAATTCAAAGCGATATGCTTTCTCGATGACATATTGGAATGTCTTGGCTGCCCGAGTGATTTTGGTTCTAGTTTTTGAGGTACGGCGATGTGATGGCGCTGACTTTTCAGTTAGTCAGAATTACTACAAGTGTCCTGCTAATAGTATTCGTAACATTGTTGTTTGCAGCACTTTGTTATGGTTGTGACGAAACTGATTTCAATTTTCGTTCCGGACATGCCGCGATCGTTGAAAATTAAGAAACTGCGTGATAATTTCGTTGCAAAGGAGGCCTTTTACGAAGCGGAATACCGCAAACAAGAACCAATGCGTCGCGCTGCTACGGCTAATCGCTCAAAGACACCGCAAACACAGCGCAGAACCGAGCTGTAAACTGTCCGTTTGTTGTCCGGTGATTTTTTTAAATTTGACTTTTTCACTGTCCAGTGTCCACTCTTATGCCATATCAGAGCGTATGTGCTGGTTTTATGATTTTAGAACTACTCAGGGACCGTTCTGTTTGTATTTTTCAAAGCAATACTGAAAATACTCGGGTATCGGAATCGATCCAAAACAATATTGAAAACGTTTACAAAATGCAGTGAAGCACAGTAACAGACCCAGAAGTACACAGTAAATGTTCAGCCTGCTCTTGTCTTGCCAGCGCGACGGCCAAATACATCTTGCAGAGCTTTCCAAGAATGCCACAACAGCAGCCCTGGAATAACCACCCAGACACCATTGAAAAAGACCAAGTACAACCACATATGCACTGGGCTAGCTGTGTTCAAGTTGGGACTTCCGGTCAACCATTCGGGAGCAAATGTCATCCAGCCTGTTATAAAATATGAAGAAATACTGTATATAAAATATTAAATTTAATCTCGTACTTTGATCCGACGCAACTGGAAATAATCAGCAAAACTTATGAAACACTTGATAATATTAATAAAAATTCATTTCCCAGGCACTGAGACAAATATAATGAAATACAGACAGGAAAATAAATATGTTTGCATAAAAATATGTAATAGCGGTTAAATGTAAATATATAGATATCATATAATATATGAGTATAAAAGTCACTAAACAAACGTGACAGCTGCCAGCGCCGGTATCTATTATCTGTAAACTTACCTCCATATAGTTCGCAGACGCTGAGTACAATCTGCACAAAATGCCGATATGATCGTCGCTTGATAATAGCATATGCCAGTATCAGCGCCAACAGTCCATCCACCACTACCGTCAGTACTTCCAAGGATACCACGTTGGGATCGGAGTGCAGCCAGCGCGTATCAGCCAGCCCATATTCCTTCCCTGATAACGTATACGTATAAGTATACCGGTTAGCAACTGGCATGGCATGGCATGCTAATTTTCGTTTGGCATTTTAAATTTTATCGAACCTTTAATTTTTCCACTTACAAACAATACTGAGAGGGTTCGTGGAGGTCGCGACGGTTCCCGTCAAGGAGATCCAGAGAAAAGCGCCCTCCTGTAGAAAACGCGGATAAAATACATATCCCGACTTCCAACACAAGGAGTGTAGTAGTAATTAGCGGATCCAGACGTGACTAAACAAGCAGATGCGATTCTTTGTCTAACTAACCATGCCTAAATGCGTGAAGGCATCGTAATAGCACCAGAAGAGGATCCATTTCTCCACCACCGGCTCCCGCAGTTTCCGCCACTGTCGACTGGCGATAGCGTAGCACAGCCATAGTACTGCGGCCACCACGCCCAGACAGACAACGGATGTAACGGAGAACGCTCCTGCAGCAGCGTCCATAGTATTAACGATAAAATTGCACGGCAGATACTAAACTGGTGTACGTGGCTGAAATAATACCAAAATTAATACTGGATGCACTTATAACATCAATAGAATAATAAATACGGCGCTTTTGAAGAATTATGAATACTGTATCACAGAAAAGTGCAGGCCAATGATATCTAAATAATCAATTTAGCCATGCAGAATGCACAGCTTAATGAGCAGCTCGTTAAGCATTATGCCCATATCTTTTTTCCATTAGCCTAATAATGCAAGGAATTATGACATGTTATTGATCGAGCAGTCAGCAATGCAGCATGAACCGGAAACACGGTTCTGAACAGCTGATCGTTTTCGTCCCGCGCGTCTGCCGGTATACCGCAAATTCTACTCTACTGCTACGGTGCTACTTATTCGTTATCAATTGCAACCACAGTCTGCCTTTATTAAATGTGAAAACGTGATGCCGTACGAAACTTACGATTAAAGCGATGCGACCGTGATAATGCCGATTTTAACAATCAGACTGATAATGTCACTTATAAACTCATCTATGTATGTATATCGTACTATTATAAAAGATAATCTGTATGTACTATGTACAATACTCTTGTCAGTTGTTAATTCTGTCAGTAGTGTACCTATAATATAAGCGCACTAGCAGATAATTATCATGATATTTATATATATGTGTATATATATGTGTGTATATGCTTGTATAATGTAAAAATAGTGTTCCAAGTTGTTTGATCTAGTTATGGATGCATAGATTTTTGTTTTTCGAAATAGTTCATACTGATCTCGTCTTAGCCGCTTTTAGATTTCCGGTACACATACTGCACTGCAGGCATTTTACTTTACAATTAGCTTTTCTTGAAGACTATGGACAATATCGTTTCTGTTTTAATTAATAAAGTATAACCTGTATTCAGAAGCTGCAGTTTCTGTCCGGTGTCCGCGCAGTTTAGGTTGTGTTAGGAAATGAGGTCAACATTACCGCTTGTTGTTGTCGCAGGTTGTTTTGTGTCGACCGACTTCCGGGCGTTGTCGCCGTTGTGGAATATTACTGCATGTGTGCTCGATAGTTAAGCTGTACAAGTTTGAAGAGGGACAACTGTAATCTGGCGGAGCGTGACTGCATGGGCATGTAGTAATGTTTGTAAAATGTGGATTTCGTACACACCGGGCATTCATCCCAAACGACAAACGTACACATTCCCCTGACGGAACCGACATCGTTTATGCAAGTATAATCCACAACGTCCCGGCATGTACTATGACTGCACTGTTGTACAATACACTGCACCCAGTGCCACCCGGCCGGAACAGGCGCCCAAGAAAGTGCCTTAACGCACTGATCAAAATGATCCTCGATTACATAAGATGCCTAGCTCGGGTTTGTCGCCATGGGCGTAAAGACAAGCGACAATTTCAGTAATGATCGGCTTTTCCTACAAGCTAGACAACCAATTCTAATGACAGCCATAGCCGGCCATTTCCTTACATTTTCTCTTTGTCCCAGTAAAATGTGCACTTTCCATCGATTAAGCAATTCAATGACAATTTTAAAATTCGCTCTTCCCTAATCAATACTCGGGACTTGCGTTCTTCGCGGGCCAGCCAAGGATGGCGAACAGCGCAGCACTCTTGCCATCCATCAGATTTTAAACGACCGGAAACCGCTAAACCTTGAAATTCGTCCAACCCGTACGCAAACACATTTGAAAACCAATTTCAACCACACAACGAAATAAGTACTAGTACTGAATATGAATTAGTCTCAACGAGAAAACGTCAGAAATCTGGAACATTTCACAAAACGAAAAATACCGTTACATTGTCTATTGTACATACATGTACACTTTATTATTTCTACATCACCAGATACTTGCATCTTAAATTAATGCAAGGATTCAAGTTTAATATTACGCGAATGCTTAATTAATCAATGTGTAATTTAAGCTCGTTACTGTAATTAATCGTTTGTCTTATTTGACTGAAATACTAACGGTCAAGTATGCCGGTGTGAAATATGACGAAGCAAGTACAATATCCCAAAATTACTGGTTATAAGGGTTGCTTCTAACCCAGTTTTTGATTTACGTAGTTACAACATTGAGTACTAGTGCCATATCATGATTTTAATAATTTAATAATAAATGTAACGATTTATAGGCGATGATTTTAATGTCTGCACAATGCCGAGCTTTAAGGTGCATGCGAATTCTCGCTGGCTGCGGATAATTACAACACTATCCAAAGAGTTAGTAATGTCTGTTGCATATTAAAAGTTAGTACCACGCTGGCTACGAAGTATGCACGCTTGTCTGGAAACCGGAACCGGCGACTGTTTATCCAGGCCATATAGTCGCTATATATTTGCTTACTCCCGATCATATTTGCTGTGCAGTGCATCTCATCTGACCAGGCAGCAACGCAACAGCAACATATTTGTTATCGATAATGAGCTTTTTCTCCATAAACCAACCTGGTGGCTAGCACGACCATTATCCAGGCAGCAAAATATGCTATTGTACGAAATTGTAAATCAGCACCCCATCTAGGTAGGCATTGAAAAAGCATCCTGTTTTAGTATGGTCAGTGGTGTACATATAAAAAAATCCCAAATCCTGACTGACATCGTTAAGCCATCCAAACATTCCCTTAAATCCTAATTGGCGCCCAATATCGATGTTTCCGGTGGCAAGTCACTCGACTCGATGTCGTCACTGCATCTTCGACTCCCACTCGAGTACAAGATGCGAGCCGAGGCTGCTGGCTGCCTGCACAGTGGTGTGTACGCTCAGCCCAGAACCGAAGATGCCGTTTACACTTTGCATATTTGCTGGTGTTGTGCCAGTTGAGCGCTATATACCGTGTTATTGCAGTCTTGCCACACACTGAATGGGAATTTATTTCTCCTCTATGGCATCCTGTTTCTTGTGTTTTTACACTGTAATTTGGATTACTTTCCATGCGGAGGATATGATCCAGAAAGGATTGCTGTGATTGTGCGCGGTGCGGTTCTTCAGTGTGCGCGGAGTGTGGAAAGAGAAGTGGTGGAGAAGAGCGTTGTTTTCTATCCAGTACGAGAGCCACTGTAGACCAGCATGGATGGAGAAGAACCAGCGCTTTTTGAGGAAGTTTACGAGCTGGGTGACTGTATTGGCAAGTAAGTGATGCTTGAAGGAGTCGCCGTTAAATTCTCATTAACGTCCGACATCTCGTGATAAGCGAGAAATGCAATGCGATGCGAAACTTTGTCGACCACTGGTCAGTCGTGCGTGGAATTTTTTCGTTCAGCCAACCGTGAATTTTACATTTGTTTTTATGATTTGGAAATTTAAAAATATCTGTAATATTTTGTGGGGTGAACCATAAAGTGTGCCACTACAGGAATGTGAATTTTCGAGTGTTTTTTTATTGTCTGTTTTGTGTTTTATTGTCTTTTTTGCGCAAAATAAATCCCTATACAATTATGCAGTCATAAATGTATGAAACGGAACTTGCAGTTGTATTGATTGCTCCGCTAGCTAAAAGTAAAATGTAAAACAGTATAAAAAACATTAAATTTGTTTTGTCTGTAAAAAATTAATTTCTGCTTCATCTGCTTACCATAAGATTGTGGTGTTCAAAATTATCATTGATAAATAGAACTTCATAAGTTCATATAGAAGGGTACACCTTATGTACATAATTAGAGGAACGACCAAATGATTACGTGAAATTTTTTAAATTGTATTTTTAAAATAAAAAATGCCCAAAGTAAATGCCCAAAGTAAAAATGCCCAACTGATTTGTTTGTTGATTGCTACTGATTTTGTTATTAAGTTTTTTGTAATTTATTTACACTCGAAAGGTGTTGGCACTCGTTAGGCACGATAAGCGTTACGGTTTTCAAAAGCTTTGTTTGTGTTATCTTTTTTTATTCGGTCGTTTCATTGTGGTTATCTCTGGTATGCTAATTAGTTACAGCTTTTTGAAGTTCGAGTTTATTAATAGTTGAATTGCGCTTATTTGTACCATCGAATACATTTTCGACACTGTCATGCTTGAAAGATTTGGCAGGCTGCGGCAAGATTTGATTCAGCTTGAATGTTTGGCAGGACTGGGATTCTGGTGTAGTTTTACTGGGTCGATTTGGCATTTCAGTTGACTTCATAATTAACTGGGTTGATGCATTTGAACTGATAATCCCCTGTGCTTTCATTAACTGTCTGCTTTCCTCCCAGTTATTTTGCAGTATTTCATAGTTTGACATTTTTGCTCTGGTTTCTAATCTCGCTGACTGGTAAAGATTGTTACGTATTGTGCCATTTATTATTTTTATAACTTCGCATCAGATTTATGAAAGGGAGGCACTTTACTTAATTTGTTTACCTTAAATGGGAACAAAGTCTTTACAATGGAGCTTTTAATTATTGTTGTTATATCTGTAATAGAATTTCAAAATGGGAAATAATTGTGAAAGCATGACAATAACGACAAAATCTTTGTTTCTCGGTTCTAAAATATACCCAGTAGATATCAGGGTTTAAGAGCGTAACGGGGTTTGGCAAGCGTTTGGTTTCTACAACATTAATTTTTTCATAAATACTGGCGTAGTAATATTAATTAAAGATGGAGATGAAGATTTTGGTATTCGTGCCAGCAATCCAGTTATAATCCCAGGAAATCGTAAAATTGGGCCACTGCAGATTTTCCAACCAGCCACTGCACAGTAAAAAGGCTTCATCCGATAATAAATTGTTATTCACAATGTTATTTTTCCTGCATGCTGCGCAAAATGAATGACGGCATAGGCGGCAGCGGAGCGAGTAGATTATTTTGGCTTGATTAAATTTTCAGTGCTAATCACAAGGTTTTATGTTTTGATGTCATTGGGCGGCGGAGATTGTGGGAGATGCTTGAGAGTCTGTTTTTATGATTTTCTATGGGATTGTGTCCCCACATATGTGCGTATACGCGATGGGCATGTGGCGGCGGCATCGGCGGCGGAACTGAGAATCCTTTTGCAAATCAAAGACGGCAAAAGGAGATTGCTCCCTTAACTCGCATATGTGACGTTGCTGTCTTATCTCTCCCATACAACGTTGAACTGTGTACGTTGGCTTGCTTTGAGTTGGCTTTGCCGGTTTGTTTGGCTGGTTTTGTGGACTAGTTTCCTTTAGCGGGATACAGATATGCAGTGCGTAGTAGCGCCGACTATAAAATAAAGACAAAATCGATGATGATGGGTACCAGCGGTTGGTGTTAGGGAAGAAGAAAAAAAGACGATTCCCGGCGAATAAACCAACCGGCACTCGGCGCCATGTACACAGTCAGACACACAGTCCCGGCCACAAGATATATATCCTGCCCATAGTTTCCTGCTCGTTTTAAATTTTAATTTGATACTGCTTGTCAAGCTGCGGGGATGTATTTTATTGCCGGATAATGCAGTAAAGGATCCCCGCTACACACTGCTCTAATTTTGTCAAGAGGCTGGCTGTGGCATGCGTGGAACGTTTGTAAAGATAGATGTCCTATGCGGGATCCCCTTTACACAAGTGCAAAAACCCCCTGCCCGCATCCAGCCGTTTTTCTGTTATTTTTTTCGCGCAATACGATCTTAGCGACAGTATGCAGGCTGGCAGGCAAATTGCGCGCCTGTGAGGAAAGTTATCAGTGGTTGTTGCAGCAGCTCCTAAGTATCCTTGTCACGCCAAGCTAATTTGGTGTGCCGCCGTGAAATTGATATACTTTAGAAGTGCCGTCATTACCCAGCGCTTATTTCATCCCCAATAAGTGGGATAAGCTCTGTAACAGAAAAACCCTGTCAGTCAGTTGGATATGGTCCGGTCATCAATATTGTACAGCGATGAAAAATCGGTTTTCTACACCTAGATTGTTATTTAATGACTGCCAAAACTATCTACAATGCGACTACACATGAACACCGTTTTCAGTCATCATCCCGAGTTTAGAATTACAGTACCGGTATTATTAGTTAGTACATTAGTCTGTGGACTGTAATGCCGTCACCATCAAATGCTTACTTACGCGTTCAGAACAAATGTCTGTCAGGGCCGTGTTTTCTTCCGGAAAAATTCTTATATGATGAAAAGTTTTCCTGTGGCTGTCGTATTTATTTATTTCTCAAATGTGATTCGTAATTGCGTACTGTTTAATGCTGATAATTGTTCCAGGAATTTACGATTCTGTTCGCGAATAGCGACTACGGATATATATGTTAACTTTGTGCTATTTGGCATTATGAACTTATGAAGCGGTGTTCTCTGACAGTTTTAAAAATAAGTCGCTTACTCCAGAGAAGGAAATTGTAAAAAAGTCGAATTGCTCATGAGGCCGATGTGCTGTACAGTGTCTGTACTTGTACAATAGTTCTGCGTTGTTGTGCTATTGGTGGTTCACATTAAAGTGTCGCTTATATAAGCGACACTTTAATTGACAATAGACAGACAGGATAATATTAATAGCAATCATCAGCCGTCCAATATAGGTTGACCGCCACATAAACCGAAAACGTTTTCCGGACGGCGCTTCGTAAGAGTTCGTCTTATTATAAAGTTTAACGGTGACGACAACGATAGATGGTAAACATGGGAAGAAGGGATCACGGCGTCGGCAGTGCTTGACATGGATCGTGGACGGGAGAATTGTTTCTTTACGCTGGATTAGGCTTGGAGTAGCTGACTAAATGCTTCCGAGTGTGCCACCTGGATGCATTAAATATGTTGACATTTATTACTCTGTGGTCACCTTTGCTTGTCAAACGGATAGCATACCCACTCATCCTCAATATACACAACGCAGTCTGGAGGGAACAATTGAGCACCCGAGGTCGATATCGAGTTTATCCCGATAATCACATATTAGCGGTGGCACTGTTTAGGGATTGTTGTGCTTTGCATTCGATTGGGTGGAAACGGGATATTTGTTTTCTTATATGGGTGCACTTAATAAGTAGTTGTGCTTCCACATGTGTCCGGCGTGTGTGCATCTTCAGCAAGCGATAATTACAGCCCGATGTGGTGAATTGGTGTCAGTGCCGGAGATGTGCGTTGCCGCTGCAGTTGTTTTTATTGTTGTTGTCTTTCTGCATCCATTTTTTGCAATGGTAATGCCTTTGCGCTATTGTTTGCTGTTCTAATTACCATAATAAAATTTGACAGGCGCTAGTTTTCTCCGAGTTTATAACAGTAGCGGTGCTGTAAGTGTACTCGCACTTTTTACATCTGGTTTTCGTTGCAGACTTGCAGTGAGTAATGATGGTAATTGTGTTCTCGTCCGTTAGATTAGCCGAATAAGTTTCAAATCACATAATCTTCGCAAAGTCTTTTCTTTCTCGCTCAGCACAAAAGACAGATGAGATTTTGATTTTGTACGTTCAAATTCCCTGTGGTAACTCGGGATACGCCCAGTGAGGTCCCTCCCATGGGCTCACGCTGGTGATGGTTAATCAGTCTTTATTAGTATTAGTCCGTTAATGGAAATCAAGCGCCCGTCTCGCGCAGTCCAGTTGGGAATTATTATACGTTCCCGGAAATCGCTGCAGACAGGCGTATGAAAATTTTATGATAGTGTCTTAAAGTTTTACGACATTAAGCTGATATGGAAATGGGAAGGAGTCCGAAGGACGGCATCCTGGATAATGGCATTCAAATCTAAACTGGATGTGTGTCGCTTACCTTGTTGATATTCCGCTGCAGTTGTCGGTTGGACTGTTTAATGTTGCATTAATGACGCGACATTTATTTGAGATTTACGAGTATGAGCGGCAGCTGGTGATTATTATTTGCACAGATACCTCTAATTACATAGAATAAATATCAACAGTTTCCAGTACAGGTCGGGAAATAGAATATGATATGGAACTCAAATGTTTAGTCAATCAAACGGTTGGTGAAAATGCGAACTTAGCATACATATGCCGGTTGGTGTCAAATGCGAATGCGCCATCGCTGGACCGATTTTGTGTGGGGCACTTAAGAGCTCTTTTTGAAATTTTGACAAGAAGCTAATTGTCGTTTTGTGATCAAAATATCATCTGTCTTGTCTGAGCGCACAGAATAGGAGAATCAGTGTGAAAACTTTGGTGTGATTTTGCATCGCGTAGTTTGTGTGGTTAAATGAGACAACGTTGGCCAATTTTAAAGTTTGTAAGTTATGAGTGTTTTTGCCACTCTTGTCATTTGCAACTTTTTAACGTGAACCATGATGGAAAAACCTAATATAAAATAAAAAGCTACATTATTACGTCGTTCATTTACTCATTATGTCATGCAGTTGTTTAATCATTAAAACGCTTGCTGATTTTGCTGATAGTATTAGGCCAAAACCGTTGCAGCTTGCTGTGGGCTGACCCATGAAATGTATTCCGCTATCAAACTTGATTTACTATGTATAATACTACTGATGCCGCTACTGTGGATTTTGGATGTACTTGATACAGTAGCTGAGAAATTTTAATTTTCATGTGCATGAATCTGATTTCGCATTGAGGCTGTGACACTGAAATTTTTTCTGTCACCGATTTTCCATCAAAGTAGGATGAGTGTACTGTGTAGTGTGCATGCTTGCATTGCCGGATTCTGTGCATGAGTATATATGACCGAGTGAAAAGGCGAGATCACCCAACGAAAAAAACAAATATCTGTATAAGTAATTATATTTCCGTTATAAGCAGATTCCACTGGCATAGCTGTTGTATACGATACAGCTTGAATAAACGGACATATACGGCTTCCGGCAAGATATGAAACATTGTACTGTTGCGCGAAGCAGAGTGCGCGGGTGCTAAATGCTTACAGATTCTATCCTATGTATGGAAAAGATCCTCTTGATGCAAAAAATACAGAATCAAATGTGATTCCAGCGTAGTACTTTAAGTAACGGGATTGAAAGCTTTCCTGCGTAAATCCAGAGTGTCGTCTAGATATTTCTGTCTGCTATGAATTGCTTGGTCTGCTCGTACGCATAATATACCGTACTTTCATACTGATACTTTGACTCATACAGCGTTCCCGACAATTTTATAGAATGCATCGTTCGATTATTTCCCGTTATCCATTAATTTGTTACATTTACGTGCTTAATAATGGAAATGCGGGCTAATGGAACAGAGTGAAATGCTGTACAGAAAGGGGAAAAATCGAAACTTTTAGTTGCATTTGCTGTTTAGGCTCTGTGCAGCTGGCAATTTGTGTGAAGTCATAAACCATTTAGTTTTTTGCAGTGATGGTTGTAAATGTGATTTTTGGGTGATCTTGTATGGGTCGTTTATCGGCATTTTACAAGATTTGCTTTATAATTAAAATTCTGTTTCCTGGTGATCTTTCAGTGAAGTTCCAGTTTTGGTGTTTTGGCTCTTGTTCGCGTTAGCGTTTACATTACATCTACGTATCATCATCATACCATGTACGATTGTTATGACTGGTCATTTGATTACGGTGGAAATGGGCAGCGTTGTTATTAATGTTTGTCTTCACTCTTTAGGGGTAGCCATACGGAAGTGTACAAGTGCTCTCTACGAGAGAATGGACGTAATTTTGCCGTGAAAATTGTGGATGTAGCCTTGTACACGACAACACCCGGGCTGAGCACGGAAGGTGGGTAATTTTTGTTTTGGATGATTTTCTTGTGCAGGCTGTAAGGCGAGTGGATGTTGAGTGGCTAGAAAAAGTTGACATGAGAATGGTGGTGAGTGGAAGATTGTCTAATTTGTTCATGTGGGGTTGTGGTATTGCAGATCTGAAGAGGGAAGCATCCATTTGCATCAAGCTCAAGCATCCTCATATTGTGGAACTGTATAATACCTACGCGAGTCGCGATGGAAAGTTGTACATGGTCTTCGAATAGTAAGTTGTTTCGGAATTCGTTTGCTAAACTTAGTGTAGTTTTTGCATAATTCGCTTCTGCGTAATAACAATGACTGTACATCTTACTTCTGAGGCGGTTTCTGCAGGAGAGGCGGTTTCTGGACAAAAGAAGGAAAAATTTTTGTTTATTTTAAAGATGCAGAAGCTTTGTTTTACGCTTTTTATTGCTGAACTATTAGCTGTAGCTGAACTTGTTGGCTCTTTTTAATTTTCAGTCTTTCAGGAAAAAAGGACGGAATAAAATTTTGAAACAAAGGATTTGGTGCAGGTTATATGGGAGAGGGTTCACGATAATAGTTTCTGAGATATTTTGATGAATTTGCGTAAATGCTGCACGTAAATGTGAATAGGTAGGGTTCACCATATATGTGTGAAATTGTGACCCGGTGGAACACAGGCTTTGCTAATGTTGCGAACAATGGCTGTATTTGGTAGCCGATCAGCTGTAAATTATGGAATTATTTGTATTACGAAAATAATACTTATTCCAGTGTTATCGCTGCTATCTGTACTAAAACAAACAGAGGTAAGCATAAAAAGATCGTTAAAATGCGCCTGCTTGAATGGTTAGCTGATTATCGTCTCCGTTAAAGACATGCGCTGTAGTCTTTGGTTATCGGGAAAACGGATCGTGGCTGGTCGCTTGTTCTGTTGGATATTTCATTTTGTGATAACACTCTGGGAAAACACAATGGTTTAAAAAATAGCTGTTACAAACAAATTGTTTTCTGCTGGCTTGCACTTTGAGGGCGTTCTTTATCACTTCAAAGTGGCGAAAACATTACTGGAAACAGTTCATGACTTTCATGAAGTAAAATGATCTTTACTTTGGATAGTCACGGTCTGTGGAAGCAACTGCTTTCCGGAAGATACAAGTGATTTAAGCAAAGAAGTTACCTTTTGCTTTTATCGCATAATTGCATTTCATTTTATTTTGTGAATTAGGAAACATGAGCTGTTATGGTTGTGTTTACATCTTTTGAAAAATATTATATTTGCCTTGTAACCATTCTGATGAACCCGCAGACTAAAATTCCCATAAATTTGCAGTATGGAAGGCGCTGATCTCTGTTATGAAATTGTCAAACGCGCCAGCGCCGGATTTGTGTACAGCGAAGCGGTGGGCAGCCATTACATTCGGCAAGTGCTGGATGCCTTGCATTACTGCCATATTAACAACATTGTCCACCGTGACTTGAAGCCCCACAGTATTGTCCTGGCATCCCGGGAAAATTCGGCACCGGTGAAAGTCGGCGGGTTCGGGCATGCTGTGGAGATGGATCGCTATGATCTGGCACCCATCCGCGGGCGGATAGGGTCGGCGCATTTCATGAGCCCCGAGATGCTGCAAGGCAAACCGTACGGAACGGCCACGGATATATGGAGCTGTGGAGTTTTGTTGTTTGTTATGCTCTCGGGTAATCTGCCTTTCCAGGGGACCAAAGAGCGATTGTTTGATGCCATTTGTAACGCCAGAGTTTCGGTAAGACGATTGGCACCCGGTGATTTGGTTGCTGATGTGGTCGATATTTGCTTCGAGCTGGATTAACAATAAAGGATAGCCTATTATATTGGGTAAAATACTGTAATTAAGAACGAGCGATGTGTGTTATTTGCTTGGTTACAACTGTTACAAGAGATTTCCCGCTAGAAAAATTAATAATAGAATTGTTTGGCAGTTAATTATGTTGTATTTCAATGTGAAATACTTCATAATTTTTGAAATACCAAATACTTTACGTCAGTAAAGCAGAAGTGATAAATCAATACAAGGCTAGCATTTCCTGGTGTGGCAATGTTCTTAACTGCATTCTGATTTTTTGACAGGCTTTTGAAAATTAAAGCTGTACAGTAGATCCAAGAGGTGGTAGTTGTGTTTGGTTGTAAGTATTTTGTTTACATTATGTTTGTGAATACCTTTCTGTTTTACGACAATGATTTCTGGTGTGTTAAGCAGAAAAAAGTTGAAGAAATAAGGATAATTTTAAGTAATCACTGGTCTGCTGTTCCTTCTTGGTCTCATAATGTTCGATTTTCCGCTTTCTCGAAATGTAACATTTTGGTTTTGGATATTTATTCATAAGTATCTTGTGATAATCAACACTACATAAAACCCTTGCATTATTTGGTGCGCTTGTTTAAGTGACAATGTCTCCCTAAGCGATCCGGTTGATCGTATTCTGCTACAAACTTCTCGATAATGTATTGTAAAAAGAGTTTTTGTGAGTGTTTATGTCCAGTCATAACCGTTTTCCGCAGCACTTTTCTGAGTGTTGACCGTAAATCCTCGATGGATAATTGGCGGCATTGTCCGGGAATGTTAAGTCTAATTGGTTTTTTATGGTTTCACTTGATCCACAGTGGCCGCAATCGGAGTCAAGTAACCGATCGAATCCTTGTTGGCTGACTTTGAGTCTGCGGCACTTGTCGAGATTTGGTTAAAAGTGCACGTCCCGTTTCTCATCGATACTCTTTGGGCCACATTATTGACTATAAATCACTTGCATACATAGTAGATTTGGAATAATGTGATTTGGACGGGATAAGATAGTTTGGGTCAGAATCAGCGCCGAAATGCTGTTGGATTTTGTGTAATATTCTGCGGCAATATTCATTTCAAAGGGGCTCTCTCTCTGTATGTAGATGCCAGGGAAAACATGGGATCATATATCCGATTATGCCAAGGATCTCGTATTGAAGATGCTAACGGTGGATGCAGCGGAGCGCATCACTGCGGCTGAATGTCTGGATCATCCGTGGTTGAGGGAAAGGGAAAAATGTGTCAAGCGCGTCCATCTGCCGGAAACTGTGGAGGAAATGAGGAAGTTCAATCAGAGACGAAAATTGAGGGTATGTGTCGGGGTTTTTTCGTTATTACTTTTTTCTTCGGTCGGGCCACGACTTAGTATTAGTTGGTATGGGTCGGAGCATGTGTATGGAAAAATTGTTGTCGAGTGATCGATGCGTTTGCTTTCTTGATCGTGGTATGCAAGCTCACAGTATTGTTGAATGACAGGGTTTTTGAGTTAGAATAAATAGTTCAGTTTGTGTTGTTTTTATGTTTCGCCGTTGATCTGCAAGATTGTGGATCAGGTGAGTTATAAACTTATAGTTATAAAAAATGAAGAACGTTTTCCTCGAAGCAAAAACAATGCTTTCTTTTGTAATGCGTTTTAGTTCTACTGAACTGGCTTACTTACCGTACCGAAATGCTTTCGTAGTATCTACCGTACCAAAAGTACTTTTCAAAGTTTTTTCGTAGTTGAAAACCAGAAAATGGTTTCGGTGCCGGATTTATTGAGATTTTCACTAATAGTATTTCCATCAAGAAAATTACTTATTTTTCTGGTATTGCGATAAGTTGTTATATCTTTTTTGGATGTTTTTTTAAGGCCCTAAATGGATGAATATGATTATGCAGTATTGAGATTCTTTGTGGGTTATAAATGCGTATACATGTTTTAGCGAATCGCATCATTACAATCTTGATAGTCCGTACTGCAGGTTTTGGACGTGTAAATTTCGATTTGTAGCAGTCAGCTGTGGCTAATTTATGCGGTTTATGTTTTTCCGCTGTCAATTATCGCGCGATTTTTAAGTGTCGGTGTAACCAGTGCGCGAAGCGTGGCTAGTAATTAAAATGTGATTGACGGCTGTGTTTGCAGTTCTTGACTTGGGGTGAAAGTATGGGCAGGCGAGATTGTTTTGGCTGGGATGTGAGCATCCAAAATAGATGTTGCTGTTGCCTGTTGGGCATTCTTGTAATTACGCTCTTCGATCGTGAACTTGTGAATTTTGCGGATTAGCGCCTTTAGAAAACTTCGAATAAGCTTGCATTAAGCGCAGTGTTGTGGGCGTTCGAAAGTAACGGTTTTTTTTCGAGTAACATAATATGATAAACGTTGTTGGAAATATTAATATTTTGTTTTTTAGTTCGCTTTCGAATGAGCACAAAACGTAAATAGGGCTTTCCTGATTATACCCGCAGCTGTTTCATTCTGTAAATTATTGACGCTGGAAGCGTTGTCCTTTTAGATCGGTATATTTATGCAAACGTTGGTTTAATTCTATATGATGACGGATTTTTTGCGTATTTATGGGAGTTACTTTTATATCGTTTGCTGCTTCCGCAGATTAATGGCGACTAAGCGCTTCTGTCGTTATTAAATTAGCTATATTTTTTAAATTTGCTGCGGAGTGTGTGGATTACATATTACGTTCTCTTTCCCTTTTTTCGTGCATCGACAGAGGAATCCGAAAGCGATTTATGAACAGGAAGTGACAGGAAAACTTGCTTTCTTACGTACATACAGCTATCGTAACTGTGTACGCTCATGTCAGCATACGCGCATTTGCTTTGACGAATAGCGTCGAGTATGTGAGAAAACGCGTCAGCAGTGGGATAAAACGCCAAAGAATCCCTGTTGATATAATTCATACTTTTTCATTTTGCCGATGCACGTTTTTAAGACCGTAGTTGACACTGGAACAGGATCGGCGAGAGCGAGAGAAGGAATGCTCGTCGATTGGTGGGCGGTGCTTTCAGTGCTCGTTTAACCGCCGGAATGCGCCGATATCGTTGCAAAGAGATAGAGAAAACAGCTTGTGTATTCCAGTACCAGCCACTATGCTACAATTTTGACGTCAAATAGTACAACTAATTGGCCTGCTGTTGCTTCCCGTTGCATTGCATTAGACCGCTTACAAACTACAGCGTCATTCGTCAGATACATTACACGATCTTACCAGCAAATTGACTTTATATGTGTGTATGTTTTCCCCATATATTTTGCCGGTGATTGAACTAGGCGGGTGATTGATAGCACGGCTTCTTTTTGTATCTGGAAGCAATTTTATGTAAAGTGCCGTCACGTTGTTTGGCTGTGTGTTGGTTTGGGCGCGAGAAGCGAGGTTTGTGTCTTGTCGGCGTGTAGTTTTTCACACCCTGTCGCTGCATTATCCTTTCACCCCCGCCGCTTCATTTGGAGAGTTTGTCTATACATTTCTGGTGTTGACTTGTAGGGAGCGGTACTGGCGGCTGTGAGTAGTCCCAAATGGAATGCCTTCTATAGTGATTCCCATACGGATAGTCCCACGTCGGCCCTGACCGAGTACGGTATGGAAATGGATGATCCGGCTACTTCCTCGGCGGCTGTGAGCCTGGTGCTGGATAGCCTGGATGAAATTCAGTGTCTGACCAATTTGCGGGATATTGAGAAGGATTTCTTGCATGATATTCTGGAGGATACGACGCTCCATACTCTGCTCAACGTAAGTTTATTTTTTTTTGCGTTTAGCCTAATGGCTTACAGGTTTCAGGGAGGTTGGCGGCATATGAGCCGTGAGGGATGTGATCGTTTTGGGAGTAGGGACAGGAGAGACGGGATAGAGATGTAATTAGAGCGAATTGTTTCAAGTGGTGTGTTTTCTTTGCCGCAGGTCACGTAGGCTTTATTTGCTGTTCGGTAATCCGCTGATGTTATCGTCGTTTAAAATCAATTCGTGTTGCGTGAGCATCACCGCCATAATTTTACAAAGCTTGCGTTTATTAGGGTTTAAACGGCTGTAAGTTATTTTGCCGAAACATTCAGACATTTACATTTGTTCAACAGGTCACGGTTTTATTTGTCACAAAACTAGAGGTGGTTTTTTTAAAGCGGTTGCAATATCCAGATATTAAGATTATCACTTCGGCAAGCTCAGTTGTTTCACTAATCATTTTTGGTCTGATAATTCTTTTATAGTGCAGATATTTGGATTATCATCGTTAGGAATGCATAAAGCTATAAAAAGGGTTAATGTTGTATTAGTTAGAGTAAACCCATTGGTCCGGAAATCACTTGGTGAAAAACAGGGTTACGGAATTTTTTCAAGGGAAATAATCACCCCGGCCCTAATTAATTAATAGCTTGTTTTTCATGGGTGAACGGGTGAAGAAAAGGGGGCCAGAATAGCAATGTCCCGTCGTCTCCGAGTCCAGTGTTGATCCGAAAATGGAAATGCCGGATTTGGGAGCTAAGTTGAAGCCGTAATTAATGGTCGGGAAAGAGGGAAGAAAGGAGACTGTGTTCCTTTTCCTCTCTTATGATATTGCACTGCACATTGACCCGCAACGGAAAGAAATCATCCACATCCGCTCTTTGCACTTGGACTGATGTAGTCGTGTGGCAGTTGGATAGTGAATTATTCAACTGCCACTTCATCGTGGGGCTGCTAGTAATTTTGCTACTGGTCGATAAAATGAAATGCAATTTATTCCTCAGAGCCGCCTAGCCGCCGCTTGATGGGCTGATCATCTCGTAAATGGACTTTGTCGAAAAAATTAGTAACATTTTCGGGATATTAGGTATTGATTTAAGGATTTGTTGGGGATGGAGAATTATGTGAATTAAATATTGATATTTTCAAACAGATTATATCCACTGAGAAGCAAATTCGATCTCTGTCTTAGGGTTTTGTAAGATTGAGTGCGTAGCATTTCCATTACGCTGAATTTCGATCCGCTTCACAAAAGGGAATTTGCGTTCTCGTAGCCTATTTTGTGGATGGGGATTTGGGCATTATCCTAGTTTATGGTTTCGTCGTAATCTGTTTTATTTTACTGAACAGCATTGCGTCCGCGATTTTGGTTTCAGTTCGGTTTGTAGATATTTCCAGAGGCTGCGGTGTTATCTAATTTAAGCCGATTCGTAGAAACAGAATTTTCTTAAACCATCTTGAAATGACGGTGTAATTGTTAAAATTGACACTTGCGGTCTTTTTCCTTGTACGTTTTCTCGCTGCATAAACGAAGGTTTCGTTTTGCATTTTTTTTTATTTTCATTCAGATTTGGTAATAAAAGTGAAGTTAATACTACTTTCTGTCGGTACCGGTCAGATTTTTATTAAAAAATCTCGATATTTGCAGGAATTGCGATTCCGTTTAATATGCCTAGGCGCTCGGCTGTATTAAAGTTCGGTTTTTCGAAACACGCCATAACCATAAGGGAAATTTGTATAAAGAATTGGAAAATGTAGAGAGCTTTTAATCGATCGATGTATTTCAAAATCGCGCATTTTGGATCTTCGTTGGGTTTTTTTTATTTTGCGAAATACTTGTGTATAACAGTCGGTATATCTGCTATACTGATACATTTAGCGGTATCAATAACGGGTTTTCCCATCTTTAAATGTGTGATACGCATTTCAAAGGACGATTAGCATAGCTTTAAACATAATCACACATGTCGGCTGAACTCACAAATATGTGTTACGTCTCAGGAGAAATCATGTTTGCCGCAGAAATTAGCATGAATACTGTTATTCCCTTGAAAGATGTGTTTACTTGCTTCGTTCTGTCAATGTTATGGATCGTTTTGACCCTTACGAAAAACCGGTGTGTTGCATATGCCATTTTCCCCACAAGTGTGTTTGTCGGTATTGACGGTTTGTTCGCCGTCTTTTTCCGATCCTTTCGATTTTCGTCTTGTTGACTCCCAGGCTTCCGACGGTTAAAAGTTCTGAAAAGAGGCTATCGACCGAGCCTGCCATCCTGTATTCCATAAGATAAAACTTTTAAATCTTTCCCGGTACAATTACCGAGTGGTCATTTCAGTACTCAGATTGCGCTTTTATTTTTATCTGTATCGATTTGTCTGTTTTGAATGGACAGTGGCGGCAATAATGCAGTGGACAACCAAAAGGGACAAGCCATCCAGCTTGCAGTTAGTCTATTAAAAACAGGATGCCCGGCGGAATGGGGCCGCATGAAATATAGGGAAGATATATTTGTTGTTTCGTGACTGCAGGGTGTAGATTAAATGCAATGAGATTACCATGTCCAGTCGAGTGGACTAAACGGATTTGTGCTGGTACATGCATTGGATACTGCGTATAGTCAATAGTGCTGTCCGATATACGATCGTGATGAACTCAACTAGTCCAAACATTCGACATGCTCTGTCTTCCGGTCAGCATGGAATGTTTACTGTATGCAGTGTCAAGTTTTTCGGCGTCTTGCCGTAAGATAGTTGTTAAGGCAGAGCGGTTAAAAAAGGTGTGCATGAGGCGTATTTTCGTTCATCTTGAGGAGTTAGCGTTCGACGATTTCAGTTCTCATGTTCCACAAAAAGATTTTCACTATATGCGTACTGGATAATGTTTGGTCAGATTTTGTAGCAATGAACTGCTTGGACGTAAAGTTACTGCAGCATTTGGATTTTCTCAAAACGATATGAGGGTTTAGTTTGTCGGTATTCGTATGTACTTAGTGCGTTTCCATTATTTTACTACGGCACTTTCTCTTATGCAGCGCACAAACAAGATTCCCACAGCCAAATGCGTGCTGGGATATACAGTATGTGTGGTTCTTACTTACATGCACGTTATGTTACTTTAAAATTAAATCTGGATTCATCCATAACATGTGTCGATAGTAACCCATATCACGTACCGTACATAATTACTAGCATGAAATGTTGTCAAGTTATTAAAATTTGAGCTCAGAAATTGTGCATTCGTGTTTACCCCCTATGTTTTAACTGCATCGCAGTTGCTGTTTAAGACCCTCTAAAATACGTAGCATTAGGTTTTTTGTGTTCTTTCGTGCGCACATTTTGCTTCAACTTTACAGCACTGAATCTGCCTGGAATAGCGTGGTATTTCGTTACCCGATACCATGATTATTACTTACCAGTATCTTCCTGCATCTTGTGTGTGATAATTTCGCTGTGAATTCGACACTAATCGCATGTTAAACTGTTCAGCGCTGAAATTAATTGTAAGACGTGTAAGATACTACTTGAGGGAACGAAATAATTATACGAATATCACTTTTGAATAATCATAAGCAATTTTCTGCAAGTTATCCTGGCGCTGCCGGAAACGGCCATGGAGATCCGTCCATATGCAGGGCGAATCGAGCTTTGTGCGCATTTCTGTATTTACTCATGACATTTTTGTATCATATTTCCCTGTTTATTTTACAGTAGTTCAACTGAGTGAACGATGTACGGGGATGCTAGTTTTGTCCTTTCCGGTCGTATCCGACTTGCTCGCTATAATTACATTGTGCGTCTAGCGACGGCTCCCATTTGGCCCTGGACACTTCACATGAATTGTAGCGAATCTCAGATTTTAACCGTACCCTAAATACAGACTGACAAAGTGGAATACTTAAGGCGTAGACAGTCAGCTTAAGCGGAAAAGATGACTTGAACGCGGTGTGACATTTTCTTGTTAGCACTAGTACAAGAATCCCGGCGAATCGCTTAATAATTCATAATATTTGATTGTTCCCGTTAGTGTGGGCACTTTTCTTCCCTTAACGGGACGAACGAGACGCTCAGTTGGGTTGAGATTTGGTCGAGGGCAACTGGGATATTTTCCTCTTCTTGGGGACAGTCACATCGTTGTTTAGCATAAAATGGCGCATGTTTTATGATCGGAAGATTGGTTGGGGTGGTATGAGTATATTTTCCTGGGAGAGGAAAGTCATCGAGTTAATCTAGTGCAGACAATTCTCATACTCCCGGGATTTCCTTAGACGAGCCCCAGAACCGGTATCGAATTTATGCCAGGGATTGAGTTGTCAAATTGCAAATGTAATCGCTGCTACTTGGGTCCGGGTCAAAGAGTTTCACACACGGTTATGTTTGGGTTCGTATCATTTTTAACTGCCTGCACGCGCGGCCAATCTTGGTACAAGGGAAGAGCGCGAGTCGGTTGGGATGATATAAGAGTGTGTGTATGTTGTATGGTATAATCGCTGCTTGTTTCCTTATGTACACAACCACTCCAGTTCCGCAGGCGTCCCGAAAACTCCACCCTGTATGGGCTGATGTTTGTGCATGTGTGTACACTTGGGCTGGCAGGCCCGAGCTTGACAAAAAATCCCTTTTTACCCATCACGATCCATGCACCGTGAGGGAGCGTATTCTTTTCTTTTTGCGCTGTATCATCCCGTTGTTCTTGTGTGGCCGGCCCGCTGACAATCTGGCTGCATAAATGTCGGCGAAGATTCATTTATGGTTAGCTGGGGAGGAAATGCCGGGGCAAATCTGATTAAAAGAATGATGGATTTGCCGCGCTGTGCGTTGTGCGCTCATCATGTCGGATTTTGGTCGTGATTTGCGTAATTTATTGCAAAATCTCAATGTAGCATCGGCGGCTGCGCTGGCCCTTACCGGGCTGAATTATTCCGAGTACCATACCCTTGTACGGGGATTACGGCAGATTCTTGTATGTGGGTGTACGTTTTACTGAGTAGGGCTAATTGAATAAATATTTCCGGCACCCCACCAGATGTAAATAAATCGGTTCCAACTGAGTGGACATTTGCAGTCATTGTGCACCGCGGCAGGAGATGGAGTTAATCAAGCCTTTTTGATCGTTGCAGTTATACGACCGGATTGGCAGTCAAGGTCAGACGGGGACTGTGCGACCACGAAGTGGGGATGCGGTGGGATTGATTGTTGATGTAAGTGCTGTTATGGGTGTACGTGTATCTCTGTGAGTGTGCTGTTTCGGTGCATTTTAACCGGGCGAAGATACCACACGGGGTCCAAATGGAGAAACATTTGACGACTGTATTTTGGCTGTCCCAACATGCACGCGCATCGTGGATACAGTATAATGCCGTGATGTCGTCCGCTTGTTCCCGCTGGCCATCGATCGCAGAGGGGTGGTTACGTCAGTGTTTAATAGCTTATGGAATGTGTAACTGTATAGTTGCCATTCCCAGCCGGAACGCTCGACGGCGGGAAGCAGGCGTCTCTAAAAAAACATTAGATGCCGTAGACAGGACTGCCAGCGGATCAGCGTTACGCTGGACGCGTGCTCGATGCTTGTTATTTAATCATTTCACTATCCAGTCATAGCGCATGTCCCCAGAAAACCGATCGAGTGCCTGTGTAAGACATTTGCGAAAGAAACGGTTGCTTTTGAGTTATTCCTTTTTTACTGTGGAATTTGGTTATTTTCATTGATTTACTTCACATAAGATTTGGTATAACGCTAGCCGCAGCTTAGCTCAGTCAAACTTAAAATTTAGTCGCATAATGTGAGAACTGAGAACATGCTTTTAACACTGTAACTTTGTATAGTTTTGAGAATCGTATCGAATTGTATGCTGTCTGCTTATTCGTATAACTACAAGTACATAAAGTTCAAATTCATAAAAAATATAACTGTACTCATGTTAAAAACAGTAGCATTAAGGATTTTCCACCGAAAATACCAATTTAAATGCATCAGCAGACCGCAGACAATTCGATAATATCTACAGAATTGTAAAAAGTTACAACACAATAATTATTTTCTCGCATGATGCGACTAAATTTTGAGCTATGACCGAAGCGAGAATTATGACAATGCTGATGTTGGGTAAATTTGTGTTGATGAAATCAGTATGCGAAATGCATTTGGTCAAGTGTGTAATATTGTTATTCACTGTCAGATAATATCGGTCCCCGTTTGTGCTTTGAATTAACTACGTACTGTACTTAATAGTGGAATCACTGCTCAGTGCTCGCTGGCTTGCGAAGTTCGCTAAGAATCACTGGTATCGTAGTCACTGGTCACATACAGTCGGTAGAAGTTTCACGAGTTGTAATTTCCAAATACGGTTTTAATTGATTGTTGATTCGGTTTCAGCCAGCTTTTTGTCGGTTTCTTTCGTTGAAAATTCTTGTATTCCTATGCGCAGAAGCGGTGTTTTCTACTTTAGCGATACAACTGAAATTGCAAACAGCAGCTGAGCAGTAAGCTGTTAACGGTGTGCAGAACTCCTCATTTCCTGTTTACACCCGTTTTGTTTACCAGGCCGCTGACTGATCGTAGTCCGTAGCTAATATTGCAAGACTTCGGTTCCGGCAACTGGAGAAGCAAATTAAATGCGATTAAAAAACCTTACCATAGCACACATATTTTCCGGAAAATTTCTGTTAAGATTGCATGCAGTTTGCAAAAGAACGGCTACGTTTCTGGGAATGCATACACTTTGCATAACTTCTCCGTTAAGAATAAACATGACGACCGCATCCATGTCCATAACGGCTGACGGATCGGTAAAAGATGATTGTACTTTCTGTTCCTCTGTACACACGTCGAATGCGTTCGATTCTGTTAACATTCCGAACGCCGATCAGCTGCGTTGTTCGCGCTGGTGCTCCAGGAAGAGGATTGTGTAATTGAAATCCCGTTGACAGGGATCGGGAGGGAGAGCAAGGAGAGAAAGGAAGAGGAAGAGGCAGTAGTATTGGTGTTAAATGAGAAGGTCCTCTATGTCTGGAAAGAAACGATCGTCGTTTTCTGGGAGGAAAGGCAAATAGGGACACACAGCCGACACGAATATATATATCTGTATGCATGTGTCGTGGTGTTGCCGGCGGGTTTTGATTGGTGATTGTTGGCAGCACAGGGGATAGAAATTGATCTGCTATTGGCGTTTGATTCGGGGTAAAAAAGGACAGTCAGTGTGCGTGTGTGTGCGGCAGTTTAGGGAGTTGAATATAATTAGCATTAATACGCGGCGCACGCGGCACGCCATTTGATGGGCCGCAGTTTTTCGGGGTTTCCAGTTGGCTGGATTGTCTGCTTGATTGGCCAACTTGATCAGGTTTTTTTGTCGGGAGAAAATTGGTCTGCTTATCCGATGTTACGGTATTCTTCCGCAACGTATGTGGCTTGGTGGGGATTATAGAGAAAATTAGCCTGCTGAAGTGCACACTGAGATTTTATATAAATATTGACCTTATTGAAGCTTATTCTCTGATTATAGTGTATATTTTTCTGGTGATCCGTGTTTTTCTTGGCTGATTTGCTCTGCCCGGCTGGGTTGTTCCCATCCTAAGTGAATCGTGATTGTATGTTTGGACATGCTGTTTCTGGACATTTATGCGTTTGTTAGAGGTTTTTTGCACTGGGAAATGTTTTTGTCAGCCGGAGTGAAGTCGTGTTTAAACCCGGCTTAAATTACGGATAAGTGCTCCATAACGATACTCTTGACTGCTTCCCATTCCCGTGGATCCTGAAAGAAACGGGAATGTTTAACACTTGTTGTATGCCTTCAGTGTATACGTATGGATGTGTGTATGTTGGGAAAAAGATATCGATTTCCCTCGTGTACCGTCGCACAAAACGCTAGTGACACTTTCGCCAAATGTAACCAAACTGCACTTTTGGACGACGTTGTCCAAATGATTCCAAATGGCGCTACTTGATTGTCAAGCCCGTTAGCTGGAAATTGTGTTCCATTAGCATATACGGGAGGGGATGTTTAGTGTTTGGCGCCTGTTTAAAGTTGTCCAGTATGGCTGATTGTTTATGACGGCTGCCCCGGTGTGTGTATAATGGATGTGTTGCGCTGGTTGAATGTGTTTGGCCTTCTAAAGAAGATGTAAACGCAGAAAAGGGCATGATTTAGACATGGTCACACAGTAGCCATGGAGTACTCGTCATCGGCCAGTCGGAATGCGCTGTATATGAATGTGTTTACGTTGTTGGCTTTACGGGTAAGTTTATAGTTTATGGCCGCTGTTTGTATAGTGCGTATGTTTGGTAGGGTTTCCTTTTGAGCGGTTACAGCAGGCTTGAGTTTCCGCGATTATGGGCTTGGTAATCGTAAACCGGGTACCTTTTTGCAGCTGTTTCATTGTTAGTTCGAAGTGAGTGCGCGCATTACTCATGGGTCCCGGTATCATAGATGATAAGAGTACGTTTTCTTAAGGATTAAATTGCCGACGCTGTATTTTTATGTAGTGCGCCAAAATTTACCGATGATGAGATGCAATGCATGCGCGTAATTGGGGATTAGAAAAATTGGGTTTTTTCTTCGTTGTCATCTGTGGCTTATGGCCATTTCTTCAGATGTACGAATAACAGACAAGACTAACAGTAGAATTTCAACTTCTCCCTCTTTGGGAAATGACAGGATTGGTTCTTTATTGTGTTGTTAATCGGCATCTCATTAGTGTATGACGTTTGCAGTTTAGGTTTGTCTAGTTGTGATTGAGTTAGCATCTGATTAATCATAACAAGCCGGTAAAAGTAGCTAGATACAAAACGGACATTGTTCATTGCCAGTTGTCATCACTACTGAAGTTCGGATTTGGAAACGCTTTGTTATTTAAAAACGGTTCGTTATTTTTTAATAAAACATGTTTTGTCTAGGCATATATTTTGTTCTTAAATCGTAACCCTTCTACCGGAAACTTTATATTCTGCTCACTTGTAAGTGGACTATCTAGCTAGCCAGAAGTTACTCATTACGTATCGCTGACCACCAGAGTGTCGACTTCAAGTGTTTTGTGCAACATCGCCGAAGTGATGTAAGGTTGTGTTCTTCTGTCTAAACTGTTCTTAACCATTACCATCTTCATAGCTAATGATATCGTTAAGAGTACGTAGAAAACCAGTCATTTGATACAAAAAAATCCTCGAATTCAGAAACCCTAAATCAAGCCGACATGTCGTTAAGCATTAAAGCGTGGGATTCCATTTATGGACTACCGGGAGCGCATCCGATCCGCTGCAGTTCCGGTGTTTTGTTGTAATGATATGTGAAGAGATTTTTGTTGACTATATACGGGGGGATAGAAGAAAATCGTTTGTCGCGTGCCAATATCCGTTGCCGACATAAAGACAGTGGGATAAAAAAGGATCCCATTGAAAAACATATAGAGAGGAGAGTATTTGGCTTTTAAACAGTCCTCGCCCTAGTCTTTTTATTGGCTGGACCGTAAGAGCGAGTGAGAGTTTATTTGTATGCTGATGATGGTGATGAGAGTATGGACTGGATGGGATAGGCCCCAGTGTGATGTGTGTTGTATATATTTGTACGCTGCTCCTCCGAGAGCTTTAGGGGAATATTCTCTCAAACGGTTTCTGCACAAGTACTCCGGCCTCTTCTCCCGCAACTGTCGTCATATAAATCGTAATCCATCGAAATGATGATATATACACAACTCTGTGGCCTGCGCGTGTGGGGAGTTTGATATTGCATTGGCGCGCGGGAATTATATAGGCCATTACGTGTGTTGTGGGAGTTGTGTGATTAATGGGCAAGAAAATAAGTGGGAGAAAATTAATCATGATATGGAAATGAATATACATTTTCGCTGACTGCGACCGGCAATTGATTTTTGTGTGTGCATGAGCGCGGGCTTCGTCAGAAATTGCGTTAGGCTACTGAATTGGAGAGCGAAAAGTGCTGGCATATGTTGGGGCTATTTGCTGCGCGGACTTTTGTTACACTGCATTGGCGTAGAAAATGCAATCGACGTACTGTCTACATTGCCGACGCTTTCAGGTTCTGGAGACGCTAGATGAAACTTCGGAAGATGCTCAACCGGACGCTGAGGAATTACGCCGGCTTCTAAATCAGCCTCATTTGAGGGTAAGTTTTTTTCCTGGAATATGTAATGCAGTAGTTGGTCTCTGGTGAAATGGATACATATTCCGTATTGATTGAAATTTGCAAGTAAATCGAAGAAAAAACTGGATTACTGCCGGCGACGAGAGACGAATGGTTTTTTTTTCTGTCGCGGGATGTCGTATTGACTTTGGCTTGGATGGTGTGGTTAAATAGTGGCTGGTGTGTTGACCATGTCTTTGTCAGTAAACAGTTGTTAACAAAAGGAACGAGGCGGTAAAAGGGAAAGATAATCTGGGAATTCTTTTGAAAAAACGCGGAAATATTGGTTTGACATTGAAAGACCTTGGATTTTATGAAACATATTCTTCGTTTTAAAATCATATTCCATTAAAAAATTTTGGAAAATTCTTTTGGTTTAGCAACTTTTCGACCCTTCGGTTTGTTGCCTCACGGATAATTTGGTTGTGATGTTGAGAATAGTAAATTTAATTTTGACGATTATATGTGTATTATTATGTTTTTAAAAGTTGTGCAAGCAGTTCCTTTTTACAGCCAATCTTTTCACGCTACAGCTGTCTTTGATTCAAAACTAACATGATGAAAAATTCATTGGAAAGGCTCGTAGGGACACTGGGCTCAAAGAAAAATTATCGGGTTTTTGTATGGAAACTTTACAGTCTGCTAGACAGTAAATTTGTGTAATGTTCGTACATTGTAGTGAAGAAATTTTCGCAACAAGCGCTTATGCAAACACTGGCCGCGGAAGTTGTTCTCAAGTGGCCTGGTCAAGATGACTTCTCTCTTTATTACGCTTATGTGGAAGAAAGCCAATCTTTTTATGTTTTAATCTTAAAGATGCCAACAACGTCCTCGTACAATTTAGCATCTGGAATGTTTCTGTGAGCTATTTCATGCAGTTTTTGAATTGATTACAAAATTGATCCCTTGGTAATTATTACTGTTTAAAAAGGTGGTGTAATTGTAAGTTGTATTTATTTGTAAGTTGCAAGTTGTAATTTAGCTTGTCTGAAAATTGCTCTAATTTTTTTAATTTTTGATAACGGAGTATTGGGCTTAGTCTTATCGAAACTTATTTAAACTTATTTACTACTATCTGTAGCGTACTTATTCAAACTCCAAAAGTAAGTTTCCCTAAACAGTAAAACCTAAATTTTGTAAAACCACAATGTTTTTCGGGCTGATTGTGCAGCGGTCGAGTTTTTGGCTAAAAAAATTTCCTTTTTCATCTACTAGACACAGCAGCCGGTGGTTCACCGTTGTAACGCTATTTGAATTTCGCAGCAATGTTTTCGATGAAATGATGGAGCACACATGTGGACACACTTACGCATTTCCTCTGTAATCGAAATTTGATGAACTTGCGGCGGATAAGACAAAATCCTCTTTGTGTCTGATATCGTAATGATATGCAATAATTCATAGAGTCATTGATGCGGCTAACGGAGCTGGACATTTAGTATGCAAGAGTGGGAGTGTTTGAGAAATCATATTCCCGTCTCCCGCTGAATGCATAATTTGTTGTGGTATTTTCCGTTTTTGATGTATGATGTCTCAAACTCGTCCTTTTTGTTTACATCCTTCCGTGCAAACCCTTGTGAATTATTTACATTATCTGGAAGCCGTATTTATGCTTTCTGTAATGCTTGTCAGGAGACATGCTTGCTATTCTTTTTACTTCGAGAAACTGATTGGGAACATTGCGTTGTTTAGGCCTTAATACAAGCTCACGATGTGATTGCCCACGAAGTGTACAGCCCGGAGGCACGGGCCCGTTCCCTCTCACCCCAATCCTTCCCAGTGAGCGCTGCCGCTCCCGGCCAAGTCAATGGACCGGGCTCCGACGGCACCGGCAGTAGTGCGGCCAACGTCTCCTTCCACAATGTGCCCAACGCGGTCTCCCCGCCGCCTTACCATTCGGCCACCACCGGCTCCCCGCCACCTTCCTCCCATCCATCACGCTCGCATTCGGCGCACAATCATGTCACGCAGGCGCAGGCCAACACCCACGGGAGTGCGCGCAGTGTACGGGACATGGTCGACGCTCAAAGCCATATGGATGCCTACTCGCCGACGCCGTCGGGTGGGCAGAGTCTGACTAAGGTCCGACTGGTGCAGCTGTACAAGAACGCCAACGAACGCTTGGTAAGACGCTGTGTTTGAGCTTTAAAACGGATCTGAGCGTACAGGATGCGTCATTTATTTCTGGGTGTAAGCTTCCGCGGCGTTGACAAAGAAAGATCGCTTCTTTTGACGATCGAACGTGGTAGAGTGGCATTTTTGAAACATTTCTTTGATGGGTATTGAGTGCGATCTCTACTGCTCATATCGGTGGTAAATCAAATAACTTGAGTGTTGCGTAAGTTAACCTTTCTATTCCTGAAGCTCATTATTTTTGTAGGGATTCACACTCAAATTGGACGAAGCTGGGCGTTGCACAGTGGCACGGATATTACATGGAGGCCTTATTCATCGCACAGGTAAAGCAGACATCCCAGTATTGAATCACTGTTATTGCTAGCTAAGATATTTTTGTGCGTGATTGTAAACTGTATTATTTACAATTCCGTTATTTACAATTCCGTTGTTTTGTTGGTGTGAATACTAACTAATTAGTTTGGGAAATAATAATAGTATTTCTACGATTTTATCCTTAGAACAGCGGGAGTGGGAAAGTTAAGTGCTGACTGCATAAATTGTTCTATATATACTTCTATGTATAAATTTTCAAAAGGAGAAATAATTGAGGTTTTTGGGCGTACGAGATGTGTGGGAATTAATTATGGTGATGCTAGGAGAGAGTGCGAAAAGATTGCGTACGGTTAGTGCCTGCCGGCCAATCTAGCGGTTTTTGTTTGTTGAACCAATAAAACGCACGCGTAAAATGATTTTATGGATTCCCATGACGCTGGGCGTTGAATCTATTTTATGCTTTATCACCATCATCCTCGGCGCTCCTTCGGCGGCAGAGGCTTATTATAAGTCGTCCGATCTAAAGTTGGGGGTTTTTCTTTTTGGGCTACAGAGACACTGCGTGTTGGCGATGAGATTAAGGAAATCAATAACATCCCCGTGGCCAACCAGAGCGTGGATAAACTGCAGCGGATGCTGGTATGTGCGGGAATGTTTTGACAAGGGCTGGCTGTTTCTTCAGCCCAGCTGTTTGTGTATCCTGTCTGTCTGGGAAGCCAGAGAAAAGCGCGCGTGTATGCAGTCAAAGACGTCGGTATTATATGTGTGTATGTGTGTGTAGAAGGATGCGGCCGGAGCCATTTCCTTCAAAATCCTCCCCAGTCGTCGGCCTCCGCCGGCTGTTTGTGAAGTACACGTCCGGGCGCAGTACGACTATAATCCCAAGGAGGATCCCATGATCCCCTGCGTGGATGCCGGATTGGCCTTCACTGTGGGCGATATTCTGCAAGTAAGCTGCGCCAATTTGTTTTTGAACGGCCCCAGTGAACGTGCCTGTAACGGTTAGGTTCGGGGCAGTCTGCAGATGCAATCGTAGTCTATTGGCGTTTTCAAACTTTTCAAGGTGATTCGGTTAAAGGCTGCACTGAACTCAAAACAGTGCTAATAATGCTCCAATTGCTTCTGTCAATTTTTATAATGGACTAACGGTTGCAGTTTTTCTTGTTTTTCGTTTTTGAAAATTAGCTTATGAAATTCGCTGAGCCAAGTGGTGAAAAATTAAAACCAGTTGAACTTTGTTTGTAAGCAGATATGTGATTCTGCCATTATTTTGGTTTACTTTGCTTTGTACAGGTTATCAGCAAAGAGGATCCCAATTACTGGCAAGCTCGGCACGTGGAACAGCCCGATTTACCGGCTGGGCTCATTCCCAGTCCAGAGCTGCAGGAATACAAAATAGCTTGTTTAACGATAGAACGCTCCCAGCAGGACAATTGTAAGTTCCCATAATGTGATGCACTCAGTGCACTGTTACTAAATAGTCACATTAACATGTTTACTGACGGCTTGAACGGTTCTTTTTACTCTAGCACATTGCGCGTGGTTTGGGAAAAGGAGGAAAAACCGTGATAAATATTTTGTAAAGAATTGTGGCCTTCTTGACCAGCTGGAAGTTGTGACCTATGAGGAGGTGGTTAAACTGCCGTATTTCGAAAGGAAAACTCTCGTCCTACTAGGTACGTTTGTCGATTTAATTTTTGTTCTGGTGCGACCGATAAATAATTAAACAGCACATAGAGTTAACTGACAGCGAAATAAGCTTACACCGAAAAGACGGTGATTTTAGCGCAGCTTCGGTTCGGGATTTACGATTATAATTTTTTTAGAAACTGTGGATATATATTGCCATTAGGCGCTCAGTTATTTGACATTGATATAAATACTTTGCACTTCCTTGGTGTCTGTGCAGGTGCCCATGGCGTCGGTCGGCGGCACATCAAAAACACGTTAATCACGAATCATCCCGACAAATATGCCTATCCTATTCCGCACACGACACGGTCGCCCAGGAAAGATGAAATTAATGGGCGAAATTATTTGTTTGTCAGTCAAAAAGAGATGTTGGCCGATATCGCCAACAACGAATATCTGGAGTACGGTACACACGAGGAAGCGATGTATGGGACCAAACTGGAGACAATCCGGCAGATTCATCGCTCCGGCAAAGTGGCCATTCTCGATGTGGAACCGCAAGCGCTCAAAGTGCTCAGAACCTCGGAATTTGCTCCCTACGTGGTATTCATTGCCGCGCCCTCGCTCAGCAACTTTCAAGATGTAAGAGCATATATTCGCGGCTGTTTTATTTTTTAAACGCAGTAAATTAAAACCGTTCAAATTTCGACTGACTTTGTATAAATTTTTATCCTCCTTTTTTGGTAATTCATAGTTTCTTTGTTGGCTGTTGTTGAATAAATTTTACACTAAGTTTTACATTTCAGACTGACGGTAGTCTGCAACGACTAGCCAACGAATCGGTGGTATTGGAAGCGACATTTGGGCATTATTTCGACCTTGTCTTGGTTAATAATGACATCGATATGACCATTCAGCGACTGGAAACGACTATGGAGGATATTCACAGTCAAGCACAATGGGTGCCCGTCAGTTGGGTATATTAATATGGAGAGAAAGAATGGGTCGCTCCTTCCGCTAAATCTCACAGTTGGGAACATTCAGCCCGTTGCAAATCCAAGTGCCATTTGTTCTTCTTTTCGTTGCGATGGATTTCAAAAATTCGTTGTTTTTCTACTACATTAACGATTTTACTGCACAGCTACAGTTGCAAAGTTTGCCGCGGTTTGGTTTTGATGCGTAAAATATGGTGGTTTCGCTGCGTGCAAAGTGGGAAATCACGCTCAAGCAGATGTTCAGTCTCCGATTCGAAAGAAATAAATTAACGAGAATAACGTTGTAGGTTTTATATACTTAGTATAGTTTTATAATAATCAGGTACGGAACACTGTTATTCCAGACTACAATGTAAGAAAATCGCAGACAGAAAAATTTCAGGTTTGATCATCAGCGCACAACTACTGCACAACTCCTTGGAATATAATATTGTAGTAAAGGCAAGCATGCAATACCACACAATATTCCTCTTTACATTTACTCATTAAACACCAGAAAACCGTAACCAATACCAATCAACATCAGAATGAAAAACATGAAGGAAGCACATTGGTAATACCAACAGAATAAGAAATTAAAATTATTATAAAAAACGACTGTCACAAAGCCAGTGCAATTTTTTCCGGATCCTTGTCGTGCTGAACCGCGATGCGTGCTTGCAGCAGAGCAATGATCATCGGTGGATGATATTCAGTGACAGTTATAAATTTATCCGACTTGGCGGATGCGCTGATCAGCTGTTCAAATATAGCATTCCAGTTTCGGTTTCCCGAATCCACCGCTTTGTCCAATGCCTCATTTCTCGTTTCACGATCATCACTGCATGGCACTGCAAGAGACTACAATTCTCCATAAACAGCTAGGTATATCACTGTATCAAGCCACAGATACAATACGTGAAAATCAAATTAAAATAATAACATTATAAACGAGATTCGAAAGGATTTGCATTTACAGTACAATGGGCACTGGATTGAAATCCCAGTCTGATTCAACAAATTTTCAAAAAAATCCGCATCCTTTTTCTATCCTTTTCTATATTTCTGTGTTTCCGAAACCAATCCTAATACGACCATCGGATATCGGACTAAATTTTTAGCATAATATCCGATTCGATACCAAACTCGACTTTTACAATAATAAAACTCATCCTCTACAACTTACGTAACTCACTTTAAGCAGCTTTATGATTTATCTATAGTAGACTTAGAGACTACATCTTCTTAACCCTACTCAAACTGTAATTAAGCTCACTCAAAGTTTACTTGAACATCCAAAAAACCACAGCCCAACGGAGAAATACAAACATTTTGCAATGGGAAGGCTATGAAACAATAACGATTTATAATCCAACGTCACAACAAGTCACAAGTGACAACAGTCACAACATGCTTACGCTGCTCGGGTTCTTCAACACTCTGTAGACAATGATTAATGGCGTGCGAGGCAGTCTCCTTCAGCTTTTGAATGTCCAGAATCTTGTTTCCAATCTGCTCCAAAACGGCCTCGAAGCCTTGTTGGTTTGTGAACTCATCGTCTGATACCGCTCGAGTTTTGTACTCCTGATCAAAAACAGGACGCAAAAATTCATACTGTTTCTCCAGAGCAGAAATCCGATGTCGCAGCAGCGCATTATCCGCACGCTGTTGATCGCGGACGGCAATCAATCCCTCCACATCTTCCTGTTTATTAGCAAGGTATTCACGAATATCATCCATAGTGAAAATGTCAAAAACTACTTTACAAGTTTAAGAACAAGATGATTAATTTTTACAAAACAAAAAGAACTTTGTCGAGACGTCAAACAACAGAAACGTTTTCGAAGTAACTGCCAACCTTCGGTGCTGGTAATACGGACGATTAGCCTAGCCCGCCTTTTGTTTGTATGTACTCGAGTCACTCGAGTGGCGCCGTTGCCTGCCAAAGAAACTTCCGCAACAAAAATGTTCCGTTACGAACTTACGGTCACGGAAGCCTCGCAAGCCGAGAAAAAGAAATCCAGACTGTATCTCGGTTTGAATGGCCGCTACATGTTGTCCCAGTCGCTTTTGAGACACTTGGACCGTGGGGCCCATCGGCCATCGTTGTCGTTACGGAACTGGGAAAAAGGCTGCAGGTGCGCACCTGAGGGTGAGAAGCACGTTGGCACGAGATTCTGTGACAGTGTTTCCCGTAGTATAATGGGAAAACACAACGTCATGGTGCTGGACACCATGGAAGGAGCGAATAAAACTGAGCGAGATTTGTTTCTGTACTGCGTGCGCAGTTTATCGGGTGTAATCAAATATAGATGCAAGTAACTACTTACTAGTGGTACTGTGTACAAGAGTACAAGAAGCTACTTATTAGCCAACTTCCGCCTCGCTAAATTGCGAGAGTCTGCTTACTTAATTAAGTTGTAACACTAATTTTCTTGCACTTTCTGTACTTTTCTTTGCATGATTTTATCGGTACCCAGTGACCTACGTGTCCAGAAGATCAGAATTTACGGTAACAAAAACTCTACAATTCTACGGTATACAGATATGGTTAGACATTTAGAGCGCATATTAATAAAGAAAGTCACAAAATTATCTTTGTCTGGGAATAAATGCATTCTCAAACGGCTTTGGCGAAAGAACAATGGAAGTGCAGTAATCCGTGTGAGAAACTGTGTTGCCGGGGAGCAGTGTAATGTCGAAGCGTTGCATTAACCGAGCAAACATCAAGAATAACTCCATTCTGGCCAGTAGTTCTCCAGGGCAAGCGCGCCTTCCTGGAGAATACAGAATACTTTCTCAATTAATACAAGTATGTAAAATTGCCGACAGTACAGAAAGTGCCGTTCAGGTGCCTAATGCATAATTTGTCTGTACCTATTCCGAATACGACAAATGTGTGCGCCTTGTCGATCACACCGTCCTTATCAAGAAACCGGTATGGGTTAAACTCTTCTGGGCTCTCCCAGTGTTTTGGATCGTGGTGAACGGAATACAAGTTGGGCAGGATCCAGGTATCTTCCGGTACAAAATACCCATCGATCAGCATATCACGCTTCGCGCGGTGCGGTACCGCTAATGCTGCAATGGTGGTCATTCGTTGTACCTCCAGAATTGTCGCTTCGGTAAGCGGAAGCACCCCTGGAAGAACCTCGTATTCAGACATTCAGACTTGATGCAAAGCATCATAAACCACATGTGCATTACCACAAAACGTAAAAAGTCATCGTGATAGTACACAAACGCTATCTTTATTTCGAGAAGCAAAATTTCTGCAGTAATGTATTAATTAATACTTATACAGTTTCCAGTGGTTAGTCAGCTGCCACTAAAGACCTCATAACCAAGACCATTTGCTGACCTTTATCACCGAAGCGAACCTCGCGCTTTTTCTCGTCCGTAAAAAGATCGATTTCTTCCTGCACTTTCTTCTTGATATTCGGATATTCCAGCATAAATAATAGACACCATACGATCGTTGTTGACGTTGTCTCCGTACCAGTAATAAAAAGATCATACATTGCCACTTCCAGTTGTTTATCTGTACGTAGAATAAGAAGGCAGTCAGAGGATTATTATGTCTTGCAGAATCATTTAAAGTATAAATTATGAAATAACTACGTAAATATGATTTTTTTATAACATATTACACACTACATACAGACGCTGTGCTCGTAGGTCAGTGATTATACACTGACCTTTAAACATCTGCTATTTAATTGTTACTGAATAATAATTTAATGGTTATTATCCATGTACTTGTGCGCGTTATAGTACAGTTACCTTACCGGAATAAAATTCCTTTCTTTCATTGTCAAGCGAACCAGCTTTCAACAAATAAGCATCGATATAATCCCGCGCTTCATGTTGTGCAACTGTCTGTCTGTGACGCTTCACAAAGTTTTCCGTAAACTTTGCAATATTTCTATAATTCTCTTGCGCTTTTCTGCAGCGGTTGCGGAAACGGCCAGGAATATATTGCAAATAAGGACAGACAAGAAATAAGAAATCATCCGATGCTTGCTCCACTTGATCGGCAACGGTTGTGGCTAACCGGGTAAAACCTTCATCATCGTGATCAAAACGTTTGCCAAAAAGCAGAGCACAAATGATATTAGCGGCACAGTGATAGATGTGCTTGGCTGGATCCATGGCCCGGGATCCGTATGATTCTAGCACGCAGCATAGGTCATCGATTTCCTCGATGATGGCATCTTCCAGCCATGTTTTGCCCATTCCAAAGTCTTTCAAGGTGGACAGCGTGAAACGGCGGTGTTCTTGCCATAATTCCCCTTCACTGTTTACCACACCTGGTGGATTGCATCGGAAATAAAATTGATACATAGCAAGTATTCTGTGTGCAATACATCTCAAATTAAATAAACAAGATACGAGTACAGTAATGTGTGAATCAATTAGGGTATTACTGTTTCATTCTAGCTGTTAAATGCTTTTGTCGACATCACCTAGCTGTGTATATTCCTGCTCGAACACCAGTGTTTTTAAAACAGAATATCCAGTTGTAGTATTTCAAATACACCAGTGGATGTTTACAGTTTAGCGTAGTAACACATTACGGCGATGTTTTACAAAATTCGGTTCTTTATTATTAGAAACATTTACAACATCCTACCATAATGCACACCATCCTGGCTTTCTAGATCTTTTGTTCCAAAAGTGATATGCGTCCGCCCGGTAGAATCTTCATCGGCGAGCGTTTTCCTGATGGTGACCAGATCGTGCAGAATGACAATATTCTGTGAGCCAAGCCGGCAACCTACGGTATCAGATCCGTATTTTCGCCTCCATTTGTCGAAGGTTACATGTGGGTTGTTGCCGAATGACGCCAGACTTCCGATAACTGGCAGCCCTGTAGTATTGATAGTATTTAGCCATTTACAGCTTATTTTAATTAGTAATTATTATGCCATAAAAAATGTATCTAATGATAAGGCAGTTTTTGTCCTCATTAACTTGCCAATAGGTCCAGGTGGGAAATGCAGCCGCCGCCTTTTGTAATCATGATAGAAAAAGTAACCTATGCCGAACAAAAAAAAGCTTAAGACAGTTTGCAGAATCAGAATCATATCCTCAAGACCCAGGTCATATAATAATTATTATATATATGGTACTCGCAATATAGATTAATCCTTATAAGTGAACATGTACAACACATTTCTAGTTAAGTTGAGCTAAAAGCCACGACGTATGTTTGAGTCTTTCTGTGTTCTCTTTGTTTACCCTGCAAGTGACGAATTTCGTCAATACATTTTGTTTCTGGTAAGAGAATGGAAACTTCCGGTGTAACTTTTTTACTACTAGAACGATGTTAATGTAGTGCAACTTTTGTTGACTCAATTTAGCCGGTGCCCGAGGCCAAGAAAGGTCTATGCTGGTCAAACCCATCACATAAAGTATGACTTACAACTACTGTACAGCCGGTTATCAAAATGCCAACTTGTATAACTACTGAGGACTGAAGAATGACGAAAAGTTTATTTTCAATCTACTAAGCTACGTAGATACACTTTAGCTAAATTTGCAAATGAATTTATTTTAGGTCGAAGTCGTTTGCCCACTTTTGTGCTAACCAGCATCCAAAACATTCAGCCACAACAATATATAACGTATCTACAGCTTGTGATGTGGTTTCGCTGATACAACACGAGAAATACTTTTAACTGTAAGAGAAATAATTTTAACTCGTATATTAACACATTTGATTTGTGAAATAATTCGAGTCTGGAAAAAAACAATTCTGCCGCAGCAAATTGTTTTATTACGTAGTATATTTGCTAGGTCTGCTCAAGATAACAAAAACCATCCATTACGTTTGATGAACCGTACACAAGTTGGCAAGTATAATTAAAATGTTTTAAAATAGTTAAAATGTAATCAAATTTAAAAGTATAGCTGAAATATACAAATTTTTTTGGCATGACACAGACTTCAGTGAATCACTGACCCCAAAATTCTTATAGAATATCGGTGTATGTACATTTCTATTTTAGCCTTTTAGGAATGTTACTCATCGATACAACTAGCTTACTTGATTTTTGTGATTTATATCGCTAGTCTATTATTATTTTGCCAAATCAGATATGCTTTAAAGAGAAATTTACAGCATTCTGAGAACGTTCAATGTGAACCATATATATTCGGTTTTGTAAACAGCTCACATAAATCGTTCTGTTTATTTCGTTTTTGTGGTCGTTGTGCAGCTGATTTCCATACTGCAGAATTCCATTATGGCGCTAAACGGCACCATAGCCTGCATTGCTTTGGCTTGTCTTGTTGTGTTCCAGTTAGCTGGTAAAACATTTTGCAGTTGAAAAGATAATATTCCTTAACATTTACACATTGTTATAGCTGTCGGTTACGGAAAGGGAGGCGGAAGGGGAAGTGGAAGCCGCCGACCACGGGCTTTTAGCTGCGACTACTATTCTGACGGAACGCGAACGTGCCGGTACGATGATGATACGTCGGGTTCCAGTATAGACGGCGTATGGGAGAACGAAGATGGTAAAATTATTAATACTGTAACACTGTAAAAATATTTCGAGTATTCTGCTCTCATTTAATACTAATGCAATAGAAATATTATACAACATATTATACTCATTTTTCTGGGCTCTGAAACACATTTGATAACGAATTTACGATACCTTATAACAGAGAGAAAACCTTGATTTATTTTAAACGGTTACAGGAATATTTACTGGATACCTCAACAAAAATATGCCAAAGATCAAGATCGGTAGCTGCAATTTTGGGGTGGAAGGTTCAGCTGGCTGCCAAGGCATGCCAACCACAACGATCGACTCCCTAGGACGAATGAGCGGAAAGGGTGGCGGCGTGTTCGTTATTTCCCATTACACCGGAAGTATCAGAGGTACAAGCGCCAAAGCTTCGCGTTAATGTATATCTATTATGCATTAATAATACAGAAAAATCGCAATCAGCTGCATAAACCCGATTCCCTCAATGTTATAAATGTTTCTTACATTATGGAGCAATAAAGTTGTTAAGATTCTTGAACTATTTAATCGGCGTTAAGTGAATTCATAGTGTCACACCTTCCTTAACGGGAAAATCCGAGAATAATTATTGACGGGGCAGGCACCTTTTACTGTGTTTCTGAAACAACCCGAATATTTGTCAGTTATTAATTAATAACTAATAAAGACGTAGGAGTAGTATTCCTTTAAAAAGGGAATACTAATTCTACATTTAGCGTCATTCCTACCTGTAGGGTAAATATTCTGTTCTCAATTGCAGGTCGGATTCGCGTTGGCGCTAAAGTCGGCGGCCCTGCAAAGGATGAGTGAACTTCCTCTGACGGAAGTCTGAAAACTAACATTAAAAACAAACAACCTCTACACAATCTATTCTATACAGAATATTATTATTGACCTCTTAATATGCAAAAACCCGTGTACAAGCTTGCAGTTTTGTACACAGGGAAAATATCGGCACTGTGCTTCCGTGGCGCTAACTATTCACTGACTATTATGTGAAAACGCGTTCTGGAGCATCGTTTCTTCGTTGTTTGATTGTTAACAACACATCCTGAATTTTAAAATGCAAAAAATTGAAAATTCAAATTCAAAATGCAATTTGAATTTTAATAAGCTTATTAAATTCCACACGGGCACAAACCGACTTCACTGCGTTTGTAGTTAAATATCTGTACGTACAGTATGTGTTACTGTTGCACATACTTTCCGCTGCGAATTGGGCATTGCATCTATTACGTTGTTTATTCGAAGTAATTTATTTGCAAATTTATGTTCATTGTAATTGGAAGTATTGTTACTGAAATGCAAAATTAATAACGTTGATGGTGTAAAACGCTTGCATAGTATACTGACGGCGGTTTTGCTGTTTAATACACATTTTATTTTCACATTCATTCTAATATTTAATATCTATCCTAACATGCATTCCCATTGCATGTATACATATTCATACATATTTTTATGCACTGTAAATGTACGCGTGCATACGGTCGGTCATTTCGATGTCGTTTTTGGTGTTAGTTCTATGCATTCCGATGCACTGCATTCCTACAGCTACCGGTATTTTCTGTTTTTTTTTTCGGATAATCAAATTAACACTTTTATTATCTCTAACTTTCAGGATAATGTTTAATTGGTGTTAATATGAAATACTGTCCGCATTAACAGACTATTCAATGTCGCTTGCAGCGTCCATGCATGTTTTGGAAACACTCCGCAAAAACAACAAACATTAGCCAAAACTATACAATTCACAGAAAACAAAGCAGTATTTGTTTCGGCCTCGCAAGGCAGTGGAGCGCCTACAATAATTATAAGCGTACCTCTAATCAGTCTGCTGTTAGCCCTTTGACCGTTCGAAGTTTTCCCTTCTGATTAATTTTATATTATGTTTTAACTAATTTTGTATGTTTGCTTAACGATCTATGTATGGTAGCGATTTAACGCGCTGGTGTTTTACATATGCCATGCTGCAGATTGATCGAAGCATTCACTGATAACTTTAATAACAGGAAATTATCACAAAACATGCAAGAAGATTGTAGATCGGATTATGGCATTTCAATTTACCGTCGGTGAAATTATCTTCTTGATACATCTTTTTGGAAAAAGATTGTAAATCGGATTATGTCTCAATAATTCCTGTACAGTTTACGGTTGGTAGTATTTAAGCATATTTGGATGATCGAAGATTCTTTAATGTGGTATCTAGATACACCTTTGCTAATCAATCTGTATAATCACTCTCGTCGATTAGCTGCGAATCCGGCACCTCCTATTTCAAAATTAATATCATTAGCCATGACGCAAACCTGATCGGAATAAGTTGCCCATCTTTAATTTACCCGGGATAATCGTCATAAATTAAACCATATTTCTGCTGAAGTTGGATATACAGCATATATAATTATAATGGTGTCGATACTGGATATCGCAATCACATTGCTCTTTCTGATCTTGGGGCAATTTGTATATGACATATACAAGCGCAAAAGACTACAATTTCCACCAGGACCGATTGGTAAGAGTTGAATATCCAAAAAAGCGTAGACATACTGCCGCGCATTACAAGCCTGAAAAGCAATAATAATAGGATCTTACTCTACTTTGTCAGGTTTACCAATCATCGGAAGCTTAGCTTCGTTCGGCAGTTATCCCCATCTCGTCTTTGATTATTGGAGAAAAAAGTATGCATCGGATACTATCTGTTACCGGCTTGGCTTCCGGAATATAGTTGTTTTGCACAATTTTGATACTATAAAAAAAACGTTAAATGATGATGCTTCAACTGGACGGGAACATATCACGTTTGGCACAACCGACTTACAGACAAACAATGGCATTCGTTACGGTGAGCTATACGCATTTCAAAACGGTGTTACGCATTTCAAAACTGACTGATTAGACACAGTTAATCAATTATTAACAAAATAAATATCGAGAGAAATCGTAAGAGGCTACAGATAGCTTATGAAAATAATACGTAATAAAATCCAAAGCAAAATATAAAGGATATCATGAAATGTGAACTAATAAACCAGGAAATGGTAATAACTTTTAAAAATAATTTATTTAACAGTCACGTTAACTACGCTGGGTCAAGAGTACAAAGTAGATGATTGTATTGCACTCCATCCATGCTCTCTAGATCTGCACTACAATATGTAGAGGTAAGTGCGTAACTATTAAAGCGTTTATTATACCTTTTTTATGGTGTGACCGTTTCTGCGTTTTTTTCTTGAAAATCCATGCATACTGCAGATAGTTGATGATTTATGTTGATGCTATGTGATTATGTATGTATACGAGTAGTTGTAGTAAACGCATTTGTTTTACACTGTTTTTGAGACAGGTGACTTTAATTACTTACAGGTTTTACCTTTTAATTAGGATTGTTAGCAAGCGAAGGAGAACTGTGGCAAGAACATCGGCGCTTTGCGATGTCAACCTTGAAGCACTTTGGCATGGGAAAGACATGGCTGGAAGATGCCATCATTGCTGAGACGGATGACCTTTGTAAACTATTCCATAAGCATCAAGGGCGACCTTTGAACCCAGCCGAGCCTATTTACCATTGTGTTTCTAATATGATGTGCAGTTTAGCTTTTGGGAAGCGGTTTGATTATAGCGACAAAAATTTTACCAATTTGGCCGTATCCATCGCAGATCAAGTTGTGCAGACAACGGACGATCTATTATTTTCCATGTGCCCGTATTTGAAATACATTCCGGGACGCTTTCGCAATCGCTATAAAAAGGGACAAGAAAATTATAAGCGTGTGGTAGCTTTTACACAGGATATTGCCAAAGAGCATAATAAAAGCGTGGCGGAAGACGAGGCACATGATTACATCGATGCATTTACCGCAAAAGCCAATTCCTCGCAAAATGGCAGCAAAGGATTTTATAACGGTAAAATTTGATATTCATTCCATTATGTCATTACTGTTAATACCACCATAATAATTTTGTGTTTATCACACTTCTCGCTAATTTTGTGCTCATTTTACTGGATGATCTTTTCTCCTAGAAAAGCAGCTGGAAGTCATGCTGTATGACCTTTTTGCTGCCGGTACGGAAACAACGTCAACAACAAATTTATGGTGCTTAGTGTTTATGTTGGAGTATCCGGATATTATGGCAAAGGTGCAGGAGGAAATTGATCATCATGTGGGCAACCAACGTCCTGTGCGCTTTAGTGATAAAGGTGCCCATTATTATTAAAACACACATATTCGTAAAGAACTATGACACAATACTGCATACATAATTGTGACACAATACTGCATACATTTTTTAACGTTAAATTTTGCAATACTTATTTGTCGATGTCAGCTGTGCTGCCGTTTACGGAAGCGACTGTCTTGGAGATGCAGCGTCTCGCCTCTATTGCACCATTTGGGATACCACACGTAACGCAAAAGGATATGTATATTGATGGCTATTTTGTACCAGAAAATTCCATACTTTTGCCAAATTTGTATTCCGTTCAACGTGATCCGAAATACTGGGATAAGCCGGATACCTTTGATCCAACCCGATTTCTCAGCCAAAACGGCACAGTCGACAAACCGGAAACGTTTAGTGTTTTTGGAATAGGTATGAAAATATCTAATTTACCATGAACATGATAACGTTATTCTTTATAGCATTAAATCGTAATACACGTATTCTATTTAAGTTTTGTGGTAAACGTAGTTTTCACTATAGTTAATAATTTTTGAAAAGCTTCGATTAATTCGTATACTACTTTTACTGGACAGATAATTTCGGTATTTCGTTTAACGCTATTTATCCGGTGTTAATACAGGAAAGCGTGCGTGTATGGGAGAATTACTGGCTAGAATGGAGGTGTTTATCATCATAGCGAACATCGTCCAACGGTTTAATCTCACCTTGCCGCCCGGATGCACTATATCTCACAAGGATTACATGGTTTCAATTGTTCTTCATCCCAAACCGTTTGATGTCATCTTCACTCCTAGAACGGAATATTCCGATATGTTAAACAAATCCGATTATCAGTGTTTATAACTTCGCTGTACTTTGAGTCTAATGGTCATACTAACTATTCCTCGCCATCTTGATCAGGATTTTAAATAGTACGAGTATGCTGTACGTATACTCGTACTAAATTTTAGTTCTTACAGTTTCAGTATGCGTCTCACACTCTGGAGAAAAAAGTGTTCATCATGATGCTGCATTCTTTAGTTTTACTGAAGCGCGTAAATGATCTAAACAAAGGAACGGTGCATCTGCAGAAAGTTTTTTTCAGTTTGCCGCGAATTATTACAGTAATTATTATTTATTGCTGACCATCACACCACGAGACAAGTTACGGTGACTGGAGATCACAGATTGAGAAAAGCCTGTATTTTGTACTTACGCCCTTGCGTATTTAATTATGGCCCGTCACTTCATATATTCTAATACAATAACTGTACAATCGCCGTATGCTACGACACTGAATGAATAATCCTTATTACAAAGTACATACAAATGAAAATTATTGCTATCATCTGTGTGTTGGTATCAGCTGTTTACTTTTCAGTCGGCGACCGGTTTAGCCGGTTCCGGTGTACGAAGTTACGAGTACACATACAAACAAGTTGAAATAACATTTTCCAAATCGATACGTCATAGCACCTGGGCACAGTACAAATACACATGGTATTGCTGTATTTGCTACAGCTTGCGGTTTGTTGTTTGTCGGAATTTCCGATCCATTTTTATCAACAGCTCTGCCAGTTTTTGCGTTGAGCTAATTGTGTAAGTTCCCGGACTGCCATAATTTGTACTTATAATTTAGTGTTACCTCCGCCATTAACAAGAATGGGGTTCGCGGGATATGTTGCCTGGTTTGTCATTTCCGGGATCGCTTTCATAGCGATCTTGCTTTTATTATTTGTGGCATTTGCTTACTGGTATGAATCGGTACAAAAGATCATTTCACCCATCAGCAAACGAAAAAAGCGCCTTCCATATCAAGAGAAGAAATGGGTGAACTCGTCTGAGATTTCATCAACTGAAGTAAAAAATTTCAAGCTTAACGTTCCTGAGGAAGTTCTGGAAGATCTTCGTTCGCGGCTGCGGAACACGCGTTATGGGCCACCCATGGAGGGTGTTAATTTCCATTTTGGCTTTCCTGCACATTATCTCAAGAAGGTAAGCGAGAAAACGCACATGCAGACTATGCGCAAGATAAAGCAGGAGCATTACAGTTTACCGCACAGTTTTTTTTGCGACAGGATTTTTAAATTGATTTTACAATTTGCATATGCTTGATAGTTGATATCACCGCATGTCGATAAAAGTGTATCAGTATTATGTAATGCAGGTGGTATCGTACTGGTTGAACAATTATGACTGGAGAAAGCAAGAAGCCTACATCAACAGTTTTCCGCAATACACCACCAATATCGAGGGTCTGACTATTCATTTTGTGCGCGCTGTCCCACCGGAAGCGGCAGGTGGCCGCGTGAAGGTCGTTCCGATTCTGGCTGTGCATGGGTGGCCCGGATCGTTCTTTGAACTGCTGAAACTGGTGCCGCTACTCAACAAGCCTAGGGAGATTTCGCATAATACATTCGTTGCCTTCGAAGTTATTATCCCATCCATTCCCGGATACGGATTTTCCGACGCCGCTGAGAAACCGGGTTCGGGAATACATACAATTTTTTATTTGCTGTATTTATTGTAAAAAGCCAGTCGGCAGTATTTTCTTGATCTGAAATATATAAAAGTATCCTAAACCCTTTTTGTACTTTGAGTTGTAATCATTCACGCAAGAAAGGACTGTCCAAGCGTTCCATAGAAGTTGTAGATATTTATATATTGTATTGTATAAAATTTTTAGTGTTCTAACCTTGTAAATGTATGCGCGCGTGATTAACAGTGATTGTAATGCTTAGCTTAATACAGTAATAGTACGTAGTCACAAACAGTTTCCTACATGCAGGTCTGGAAACCGGTAATACCGCTCGCATATTCAATACACTGATGAATCGGCTGGGCCATGAACAATACTTCATCCATGGAGGCGATTGGGGAAGTTCAGTATGTAGTTTCCTTGCAGCGATGTATCCCGAAAGGTACAAAACATTTTTAGAAAACGCGTTCCCTTAGCCGGCTTTACATAATTATGACACTAGCGAATATTGTTGCTTCTTAGTTGTGTATGATAAGTTCTTAATTAATAAGCAACAAGCACCTTTTGGTCGCATATACAGAATTGCATGCATCATATGGCCACAGGCAGTTTATCTGGCTTCTAATTGCACCTGTGTAGAATATTTTTCTCATAGATTCTTCATTTTTTTACCAAATGAACAAAATAAACGAAATTTTCACAAAATCAACGAAATTTAGGATCCTGGGAATGAACATTACAATGTACAATATCCCAATGCCTGCCAGCGGAATGAAAGGCCTACTGGCTAAGTTCTTCCCTTCACTGATGAAAATTAGTCCGGGAGATGAGAAGAAGCTGTTCTGGAACAATTTCGGCTTCACTATGCGAGAATCAGGCTATTTCCACATCAACGCTACCAAACCGGACACAGTCGGTAAATCGAAAAGTTTTATCTCGCTGTCACTATGCATGATAGCTCATACCTGAGATTTGGAATTCGAAACAGATGTTTTCCGACGTTTGCTTCATTTTCATTAACACAGTATGCGAAATAATAATTAAATTATCATAAGTAAAATGAAGGATATTTCCTGGTGATCGGCAAATATTAGTAAATTAAAGTATTATCACATATCATTTGCTATAATACATCGGGAAACATTTAATAATGCATAGGTTAAGTGAAGTAATGATGCGGGAGCAATACCAATGGGCTAGATCTTCGACCTTAAGCGTTGTAAATTAATTACAAATGGCGGTCTATGTTTTGTCCGTTTTGAAGGATATCTGTATCTCTCTTTGTCTTTGACCTAATACAGGAAGTGCGCTGACGGACTCGCCCGCGGGACTTGCGGCCTATATTCTGGAAAAATACTCCACTTGGACTAACCCTGCCAACATTGATTATCCTGAAGGAAACATCACAAAGTACTTTACACTGGACGAACTGCTGACCAACGTGATGATCTACTGGGTATCGAACTCAATAACCTCCTCCTGCCGACTATACAAGGAAGCATTTTATTCCGGTCCTGAGATTGATCTTCCGAGGTGCGCACAGCTGTGTGCAGCAATAGTAGTACTGCTCACACAAAATAATCGAATGAAGATAAATCTTACGATTAGATGCCAAGTACTCTCAATTTTGTTCCACCTGAATGAATTACGCATCTGTATTTTTTTGCTTCGGCAGATCGATACCGGCGGAGATGCCGACTGTTTTATCCGATTTCCAGAGCGAAATTGGAGGGGCTAATCCACCGGATGCGTTTGCTAAACTTTACTTCCCTAAACTGATTACGGTGTCCAAGCATGTGACCGGAGGTCACTTTCCCTCCATGGAACGACCTGACGATGTGGCTAGTGATATTTGGCTTTTGGTTTCATCCGTATTGAAGTAGCGGATTTTTGTGCCCTTGCGTAGCGTTTTTCATCTGCGTGCAATTTTCTGGTTACTGAAATACAAAAGTCCACATAGGTTTGCAGAGGTTTTTAACAATACAATATTGTACTAAACTAACAGATTTTGCCAATAATTTTAGATAATGTACTGTGAGATGTGCAGCTTCCGATGCATTATGCTGGTGGGTAGAAAATTTTTCGTGAATGCAGTATTCTTAGCATTTTTTTGCAACACCAGGAATATTCTGCAATAAATCACTTTTTACAGCTTTTTTATGGTTAGATACGGTTACATATTCACGGATGAGTAACACAATCGGTTACCGTAAAAACGAATCTGAAAGAAATTGTTATGCAGATAATACGTTATGTTTCCCTTTCGGCTAGTTGAACCATTTAATATTGCACGCTTTGGCACAGGAAATAACTGCAGATCATGGCGAAAACTCTACAGGTTTAAAGGTTTAATCAAGCCGACACTCAACAAGCTAATTGGCTATCATTCTTTAAAAATTTATACCACTGCATTTTTACCACTAAACAACCACTGTTTGTGGAAAGTGTCTGGGCGCCTGCGGTGATTAGCAGAGAGGTTTACAAGGCCCGGCAGTACGTACTTACGTACACTTTATTAAAGCCGGTATGCAAGACAGACAGTCAGGAACCGCTTTGCAGTTTGAAAACTGATTGTAACCATTTATCTGCAGTACTACTTATTGTACAAGTTACAAGTACACGTTAAAACGTAAATAAGTTTTTGAGTTGCTCTTCAGTTTGATATATTATCGAAGCCCTTTATTCCTCGTCTAATTTTATTCTTAAGAGTTCATATTGGAATGCACTAAAACTATGGGTTTCGGATGTGTTTTATCATTTTTGTTCAGCGGGATCGTATTTGTAGCGGTATTGCTGGGTGTTTTTGTCGCTTATGTATATTTTTACGAAGTGATTAAAAAGTTTACTTTATCGCCACATAAAGTGAAAGAACGTTTCCCTTATCAAGAGAAGAAATGGGTGGATTCCTCTGAGATTCCCTCCGATGAGATTAAGTCATTCAAGTTGGATGTTCCGGAGGAAGTGCTGGACGATCTGCGCTCACGTTTGAGAAATGCTCGATATGGACCGCCCATGGACGACGTGAATTTCCACTTTGGATTCCCGTCTCACTATTTGAAAAAGGTACAGCAACCGAAAAAACGTACTTTTATTTTAATTTCCATATTTGTTTTTATCGGATGTCTGCATCGAGTAATTGTATTTATTTGTAACGCTGATAAGGAGGGAGATACCATACTGCAGTAAAGTGCAGTTACAGCCTTCTGATTATAACGAAGTTGCACTTTGATACGCGTTGAGATTCCAAAATTCATTTAATCCGTGCACTCAATGCAATGCGATACTGGACGTCTTATTAACAGTAATTAATATCGAAATATTAATTACGAAGCTTCGGTTACTGTAGCTTCTGTTTCGGTATGTTGTACAGTATCCGAAGTGTTCACGTGCAGCAGAATTTTGAAACGAATACTGATAAATGATAATGATATGTCGCGTAATCCATCGCAATAATATGAGGCACAGTTTTCGTGCAGGGTATGTTCACAGCACCCAATGGTCCTCGTATTAAAAGTATTTATTGCGGCTTCAGGTTGTATCGTATTGGTTGAACGATTACGACTGGAGAAAGCAAGAGGCCTTTATCAACAGTTTTCCGCAATACACCACCAATATTGAGGGCCTGAATATTCATTTTGTGCGCGCTGTCCCTCCGGAAGCGGCAGGTGGCCGCGTGAAGGTCGTTCCGATTCTGGCTCTGCATGGGTGGCCCGGATCGTTCTTTGAACTGCTGAAACTGGTGCCGCTGCTTCACAAACCGAGGGAGATTTCACACAACACATTCGTTGCTTTCGAAGTAATTATCCCCTCCATCCCTGGATACGGATTTTCCGATACTTCCCAAAAACCAGGTTTGTAAAAGCAGGTTTCTGTGCGGCATTCCCAAAAAACGTTACTGATGCAGTCGGTATTCGACTGCTGTATTTTTCGCTGTTGTGGTGAGTAAGTATGTGAAACTTCAAAAACCGGGAATGCCGGGTGCCACGAAATTTGAGCCCACAGAATCGTTTCTATAAAGATTTGTTGCAGGATTGGAAACTGGCAACATGGCACGTATATTCAACACGCTGATGTCACGTCTTGGTCATGAGCAGTATTTTATTCACGGAGGAGATTGGGGCAGCTCCGTGTGCCGATTCCTCTCTGTGATGTATCCCGAAAGGTAGAAGTATAATATTAGCAAATAATCAAAGTCGAGATATTGCCGTTGAATTGCGTAAGGATTAGGCGTTTTTCTGCTCTGCATGAAATCTGTAGAGTCGTGCACTTTTCAGAATCCTGGGAATGAACATTACAATGTACAATATCCCTATGTCTGCCTACTGGATGAAGAGTCTACTGGGAAAATTCTTCCCTTCCCTAATGAAACTTAGTCCAGGGGACGAAAGGAAATTGTACTGGCCAAATTTTTTCTTTATTTTACGAGAATCTGGTTATTTCCATATCAACGCCACGAAGCCGGACACAGTCGGTATTTATGCACTGTACAAGAACTTACTGTACTTGTTGTGTAGTATGGGATTGGTTGAAAACCTAAAAACATTGCGTTGGATTCTTGAACGTACTAAAAAACTGTTTTATGCATAGTTGTATAATATTTACTGTTATGTTTTTGCAATAATGACTACGAAGATCTCCTTGGTGGAACAGATATGCCGATGACCTTTGCACAGGCAGCATTATTATTACTGTATAGGCAGCATAACAAAACGTAGATTTTAATGCCATCAGAATAAAATGTTAGAGTTGCCCTCTTCATTTGCAGGGAGCAGTTTGTCGGATTCGCCAGCCGGCCTTGCGGCGTATATTCTGGAAAAGTTTTCAACCTGGACTAACAAAGCCAACATAGAGTATCCCGATGGAAATATTACAAAATACTTTACTCTGGATGATCTGCTGACCAACGTTATGATCTACTGGGTATCAAATTCTATTACATCCTCGTGCCGACTGTACAAAGAGACATTTTATTCGGCTTCCGGTGTGGATCTTGCTCGGTCAGTTTCCGGATAGCAAACGAAACAGTTAACGTTTTAGACAACCGTATTTTTATGTAGCTGTATTCGGTTTTTCAATTCTCATTAATACACTGAATATGCTTCTTTGGGTTTTTTACACCAATATCCTTCCGTTCGTTTTCCGCGGCCCTACCGTGCATTCCTATTTCCTATATATGTTTATCTATATACGTATGTATAGATATTCCTATATAGTATATGGTACTTACCGTACTTTTCATTTTTTCAGTATACTCCCCGTGGAAGTCCCGTGCGTGCTATCCGATTTTCAGAACGAGATTGGAGGAACTAATCCACCGGAAGCTTTTGTCAGGCCTTATTTCCCCCAACTCATCAAGATGACCAAGCATACGACCGGAGGTCACTTTCCTGCGTTGGAACGACCCGACGATGTGGCCAACGATATATGGCTTTTGGCATCGTCTGCATTGAAATAAAACGTTTTTTAAGCAAGTTGCGCAGCTGGCGCCTATTTTTGCGATTTAACGTCTTTCTTTCAGTTCGAAAACATTTGATTGCCGATTTTTCCCTTCGCTTTCTTTGTGCATCTAGCGACATGGCGAACGGTAGCAGAGTAGTAATTATTGGCCCATGTTTTTGGTTATCATGGTTAATTAATATTCATACTCCTGTTACTTCTAATGCGCATAATTACACTGATGGTGGTTTATAACTTTATCATTTATGGTTAGGTGTGTCGAAAGTTTTAATTTATGTGTTTTAAAATTAGATGTGTCGAAAATTTTAAAAACATTAAAAAATGCATATGGCTATACGGCTGCGAGTGGGAGTGGACGCCGTGGGCCTAGATGTTCTGCTTAATTTTTCGCCCTTTTTGCTGCTTTGAATGTTTGAAACCTCTATGAATGGTAAAACAAAACATAAAAGCGCCTGCACATCTTTGCCATTTTTTAAAATCCGTTTGATGAAGTAAACATTATTAAGGAAAAGTAGGTACCGGTATGCACGAAAGCAGTGATTATAATTCACTTGGCATAGCGCGTACGGCGTACATCACAGATGTGCACAGTACGTTTGTACGAGTATGTACGTACGCATTACACTTCACCATCGTCTGTTGTAAGTTTACTGGCTGTAGCGATTACCTTCCCAGTTCTCCAGTTGTAAATGCCGTCAGTTTGCAATCTGCATTCCGATGTGCAGTTGCAGCCCGTCCACTATCAGCTTCGACAACCACAATTTTCTCAGGGCTGCGGACTTTTATGTTTGCGATTTTGTAATCGTTCTCAATTCCAAATAAGGGCAGTAAGTTTTCTTTTATGAGACATTAAAGGAAGAAAAACCAAGATGGGTTCCAGTCCATGATTCCATCATCCGCCATACGAAACTGATGTGTGCGTATGTTGCTGAAAATCTTCATGGATTTTTATTTCTCTTTGCCAGCCTGTGATTGCCTGGCCGATCCAGAATCCCGAGCTTTATCTTGATCTCTCAAAGTTTATAAAAGCAGCTATTCATGTTGCTCTGATTTTATCAGATTAATATGGCTATGGATCTTCAGGATTTGGAATTACCACCAGCGCGTAAAAAGCGGAAAATAAGCCGTTATTTTCCAGCTTTTCTCGCATGGTTCCTGATTATTGGAGCCACCGTTGTATATTTTGTCTTTCCGTATGTGAAAACATAAAACCATTTGATTTTTTCGTTAAGTTAGCTGATTTCCCTGTGTGCTACTTATATATTATGGAAGGCGTATTTGATAGGAATGTGGTCTTGTACTGTATACACAGTGGAAATGGGTTGTGTTTCAGGGGAAGTGGGTTCGCGCACCGCTATGCGCTCATTGCGCCCTACATCCTATCCGTACACGCTGTGATTGTTGTCATTCTCATTGCTAATCTGGCCATCGCTACCTACATGGATCCTGGTTTTCTGCCAAAAGGTTCGTCCAATCGTCCATTAAAATTTTCACTTTTCTTTGTAAATATTTTAAAATCCTGTAAAAATTACTTACAGACAGATTTGAAATTTTTCAACATATTAAAAAAGCAGAAGCAATATATTTTTAAATTTACTTGTAAGAATGTTTCTTTTAAAGTTTACTTAATAGAATGTTGTTGGTTTGGATTTTGGAATACGCAGTAAATTATTCATAAGAAATTTTTTTGTTTGGAGCATATTCTGATCACTTCTTAATTTTTCTTGGCAGTGAACTTATTAAGGTAACTTAATTTCGATGTCTTGCACTATTTCTAAGTTTAAACTTACTACTGTACCATAAAAAAGAGAACCCGGGCAGATTGCAGATTTTTTTGATTAAATCACTTATGTGTTGTGTGCAGGCTTACTGGTGAAAATTTTATTTATCCGCTTTTTTCTGACGCCTCATGAAAAGGCAGGACCTGTTATGAATGAATGTTTTTATGTCGAATATAAATGCCCATTTTGTTTACTTTCCGTTAGCCGGAATGGTAATGCACTCCCGCTGCGCTGTGTTCTTTTGGAATGCAAGAATAGCTCACGTCATTCGGTGTTTAAAATGATTAGACAGTCAGTTCGAGCTTGTCATACGTTTAAAGCCCGGCTTTTAATCGTCATGTTAGTAGTCGGATGCCCGTTTCAGTTTTGAAGCAAGGTTTATGATAATTTAAGTAATACTCGAGGCGGTTTAATACATTCTTATCAGCGGTTTTCAGCGACTTCGTGATTTTTGGGAGCTGACAACGAGAACAGAACAGTAAAGTTCAAGTGTACAAGCATGCCAGCGCAGTTATAAGAAATTAACAAATTTAAATCTAAATTTTTGCAATACATATTTTGTATGTCTGAATCGATGGTGTAATCCGCGGTAACTCTTTGTTGGTAAGCAGAACCGCAATGCAAAACATCAAAAAAGTTTTATGAGAAAATGCAACGTACAGACTATTGTTTTAACTTTTAAGTGATTTTATTCGTGACTACTAGTAGAATAGTAAGTAATCTTGAGTTTATTCAGGATACCTTGTGTTGATAGATTATTATGTTGCCCGCCATTTGAAAATGTTTTAATAACCCGCGAATTTCTGTTTTTGACTATTCGTACAGCACAGTTTATCAGCACAGTGCCGCAGTAGTACACAAAGTTATCGCTGATGATCCTGCAGTGAACTGTTACCATGTTTGCTGAAGTTGTTTGTGCTGTGCACTTATGTATTTACCAATTCGTTTGTTTTGGTTAATGCGCTCTAATTTTCAGCTCTTCACGACGAAGTTCCTGCGGACGACTTTCGCTCACCGTTATATAAAACGGTGGACATCAAGGGTGTCCAGATTCGGTTGAAATGGTGCGTTACCTGCAATTTATACCGGCCACCCCGGACCTCGCACTGCAGCACCTGTAATCGGTGTATTGAGGTACTGGTATCTGGGTGTTCACCGCTTGTTTTCTTTTTGTAACACGACATTTTTGTTCCAGGTGTTTGACCATCACTGTAAGTGCCACTATCGTATTACACCTTGGCGGTTTTTTTCAAGTGGTACTTGCTGTTGTATAGTAGTATTGCCACCTCTTTAAATTAATCGTGTACATCACTCTCGCATTGACAGTGCAGTTTTGTTCGGATTATTTTAAATCAGCGGGACAATTGTCGACATCGCTGATAAGTGATAACCGTGATGTGGGATCATGTGTCGAAGACGCGATAATTTCTTTACTTGGTTTGGGTTGTTCTTCGTCCTGGTAAATTTCGGAACAAAATTTGTTTCGTAAAAGCAAAAGATATTTTGTAACCTATAGAAGCATAAGAAGCATATAGCATTTTATAGCATATTCCAGAAGCATTTTATAGCATATTGCAGAAGTATTTTATAGCATATTCCTGTTTCTTCTTCAGTGTTTTAGTTGATTTTTTGACCAATTTACGAATCGATTCATTGATGCATTTCTGTTGTCCGTGTTTCGCCTTCGACATTTATCTTGTTAAGCAGATTTACTGGTTTTTATGATAATTTATTGATTGGATTTACGGTTGTGATATCTTAGTACAAAAGGATTTTAATTCGAATGGCATCATCTCCGTTTTTCTAATGCGTGGCGTATATTGATTTACCTAACTTATTGAGTCAGGGTCATGTCTTTTCTCCAGGTCCTTGGGTGGCTAATTGTGTGGGTCGACGGAACTATCGGTACTTTTTGTATTTTCTGATCTCCTTGTGCTTGCACATGATGGCCGTCTTCGGTGTGAGTCTGCATCAAGTTATACGGGAAAGCGGGAATCTTGATCATCCAACACAAATCGCCTCGTACGTATCGTTTGTTCACCTTGCATGTACATGCCTGTGAGATTGAAGAGTTACAGCGAGAAAGATAGTTTCCAAGCCGCTTGGTTGTTTGATCGATTTTTGTGGTTATTTTTACAGGATAGTGCTCATGGTACTGATTGGATTGTTAATATTCCCCATTGGTGGATTAACGTGCTTTCATTTCCATCTCGTATCCAAGGCCAACACCACTAATGAACAGGTGCGGTTTGTATTTACGGCTTGAGGAAATCAGCGGTACATGTCAGGCGTAATTAAGGGCATTATCGGCATGTGTCAGCGATCAAAATGTATTCACTGTGGATCTTATTGATTCATCTGTATCTTTAGGTGACGGCAAAATTTAAGAATTCTTTGAATCCGTACGACAGGGGATGCCCAAAGAATTGTCTTTTCACATTTTGTGGTCCGCTTTACGGAAAGTATGTATTAAATCTCCTTATGAAAATGGCTCGAACCCCCAATGAGGGAGACATTGATTTGCACTAATTTTGTCCATTCTCCAGATACACGCCTGCAGCGGATCTGAATAACGTGACTGTTCAGCGGCCCAAAGAGCGTGTGCCGTTTTCGCCTTCAGCCTCACCTACACAAATACGTGTGGAGATACCGAAATTCCCAGAACCGGAAAAGACTGATAACGTCACCGTGAAGTATAAGGTATATTTAGGCTTGATGCACAGTGGGTTTGCCAGTTATCCTTTTGGGCTGTTCTGCTTGTGACCTTGCGATGCTTGCGTATTTTGCTTCCGATAACAGACTTCAGCTTTTTCACGCTCTTGACCTTAGGTGCCGGCAGCAGCTAGACCCTCGGGTGGGGCTTATGCACTAAAACCCAGTACTGCCGATTACGATAACATTCCGCCGCGCTCACCTGATGTTCCCACGGCTGTCCCGGCGGTTAGTCCACCGCTGCCGGTGGTGGATAATGCTTTTGCTAACCATAAACCGCCCGTGACCGGCACCGGCGCTCCTCCCAGTTACGCTCAATCCAGTATTAAATCGAAGATGCAGCCTGTGATTGCAGAGCTTATCGCGCGAGCGCCCTCTTCGTCTGTCAGTAGCGCAGAGGGTTACGGCAGCATCGAGGAGCCCCTCACCGCCACGCCTTCGTTCAATAGCCACACCAGTAAAGAGTCCCATATTACCCCGTCTAGCGGCGATTCCACCGCCACCAAAATGAACCATGGAATATTGCGGGCTACGTCAAGGCAGGACTCGGTGCTGACATCTAGCGCCGCTAGTACCGTCAGTACGTTGGATCGAACATCGGCGGAACTGCAGCAGAGGATCTTTCGCGCGGTCGACGGACGGCAGATAAACAGTCCCCGACATTCCACTCGCAAGAGTAAAGCGTACGGGAATATGCTGAAGGAGGATGTGGGCGGGACGATGCGCGCGGCACGGGGCGAGGACGGGATGGGGTCGTACGAACGCGGGAAAGCCGCGCTGTCTTCCAGGGCGGTTAGCACGTCCAATTTAGTCTCGCAGGAGTTGCCGCTTGTGTCGTACAAGAAGAATCCAGCACTGACGTCACAGCCGTCGTTAGTGCACATGGAGAAACCCCGAATGCAGCCGCGTCCACCGTCTTTCGTACAGGCGCTGGAAACAACAGACTCAATTGAGCAGCTGGCGTTGTTGGGGCAGGGACCCGTTAATTTTCGGGAAAGGGATGAACTGCGGAAACAGAAATTAAAGCCAAATAGCGAACATTATGGGGAAATTTCAGTATAATTTATTCTTTAACTTAAACAGTTATTTGTTGTTGAGTTGTGCATTTTTATCACTTGGCAGCTTCTCGGCTTGAGTGAGTGAGTTGACCTAATCCTGTGTTGCGATCTCCCAGTTTAGTAACGGCTGGATTTGCAGATGATGTTGCTTTTCACCTTCGAGATTTGTACCCGAATGTGGAGTTTGTGGTGGTTTTATTTTTTTATGGATTTTAAGCTTTGTGCATATGGTGATTGTGCTAACATTAACCATTTTAAATGAAGATTGAATCTGTCCATTGGTAATTCCGTAATTTGGAATACGTTTTTGTACCGAACTTGTACGCTTATTACGGTAACTCTCGCTTTTTGTTTTCCTGGACTACGTAAATATTATACAGAAAGAAACTCGTTAAGAAAATAATAGCATACCATTTAACTGCATTAATTAATGCAGTTAAATGGTATGCTATTATTTTCTTAACGAGTTTCTTTCTGTATAATATAGTCACAGATTCAAATAGTCCTCCCATTAGTGCAAATGGTCAAAACTTCTCGTTTTGTTTTCACCCGAAGGTATACTTCTATCGAAAGGTTCTGAAGGTGTTAGAATTTAGGCTATTGATAAATCCTTATAAATGATTTCTGCGGTGTACGGTGTACGCGCGAATAACTTGCAGTTCATGTCTGTTTCGAGTCTCGACAGTCGCAAGGTTCGAAACATTCATGTACACGGAAATTCATCGTCAGATCGGCGCTACAGGCTTTCGGCACACAGCGCGTCACAGCGGACAGAAGAGTGGCAAACCGCACAGAGTGGCGGTTCAACTTGTGACTTGGGTGTTGTGACTGTTGTCTGAGCCGAAGTTTGAGCTCGTATTTTGTCTACAATAATCAAGTTTAGTTCCAAGAACTTCGTGCAATTGTTGATATTTCATACCTCCGTGGCTCCGTTAGACTGTTAATAGCACATTCTGATCATTCAACCGAATTAATTTTACGATTTAATAAGAAGAGCAATACAAGATTACTGTGCCTTCGTTTTGTAATTTTTCATACCTTACTCTAGTTTTTACATACTTATGTGACAGTCGTCGACCTGCTTTCATCGCCATCTTTGGTTAGTGGAACTCGCGTAAGATGGTGCTAAGTGCTAACGTTGTAAAAAGTAAAAACGGCGCGAAACTCATAGCAGCACGTCTGAGTCTGGCGCTTTCAGAGCAGCATTGTTAAAAAGTTATATGGTTACAAAATGATCGGTTGCTTTCGGTTCGATTTGTGAACAGTCATAATAGATCATGAATTCGTGTGTGCGCTAGGGAGCGGAATCTTAAGTAGTGTTATCCCGGAATTTGATGTGAAAACATAAAAAGATCCTACAAGTTCAATAATATGGAAAACAACAACAGCAACCTCACTGATTACGATACATCTACGATCAGTTCAAGAAATTCTCCACCACCAAGCCGAAGAAGTAAGTTATGCATTTGCATCACTTGGGAAAGATACTTACTAAATTTTAAAGATACTGCTTAACGACAACATCATCAGTCTGACGGCTCTCGAATCTCGATGCTAAGTAGTACATATATGTTACGCGCAATGCGTGTATTCGGACCAGATGTTGTTCTACAGTAGTTTTTTTAAGAAATAATTTTTGTTTGGTTGGTTTTTTATCTATCTGACATTGCCGATAGGCGATAGCGATTCAAATTACAGCATAAAGTTTGTCGACTGTAACTTCTCAATGAATTTCGCACTTCCGGTCTGACGAGTCTGTGGTCTAGCGGGTGTGCGAAGCCGTGATTGGAGGGTGGGACTGTCTGGCCCAGCCTCTTTTAGTATTGTTTACATTGTTAAAAAATTTTAATAATAATGCCTGATAATTTTCTCGTTTTCTACATTGCGGCTTGAACTTTAAAGGCACTACACTTTCTTTCTAAATATTTTTGTAAACCCACTGTGACATTGTGATGGGCATTTTTCCGCTGATTTCAGCAGAATTTTCCCTTGAAACTTTCTGATCTTGATCCACGTGTACATGTATCTAATGATGGTTAGACTACTGTTGTGTGTGGGAAAACGATAACACAGCAGGATGCATCCAAAACAGCAGCAGCGTGCTCCCTGACGTTGTGCTGGCTTTTATGCTTACGCCAGACAGAAAAAAGACACCTGTTTGCTCTTGTACATGTGCTCCAAACATCCGTAGCCGAATAAAGAACATTTTCACCGTAAATCCAGTCGGCTGGTATGACTGGAGTCACCGGACAGAGATCGATTTAATTTCGGCTGATGGCTGAATGACGACTGAGCGTCAGGCATATTCGGCGCTGGCTGTGCCAAGATCACTTTTTTGTGCTGCGTCGCTCTGATTTTGCGCTACTTACCTTCACCTCCCGCAGCGTGATTACAACTGGATGGATCCGTGTCTCTGCTGTTTATAAACGTTTTCGGTGTTGAAGTTAATCGGGTTTATCCAACGCGTCAGCCTGCATTTTTCATCTATCTGCATGCCGCTGCGATTATTGTTTTTGTGGATACCTGTCGATCAGTCATCGATATCAGCTGGTTCGGCCTTTGGAGATTCTTGTGAACAGGAACGTGGTAAACGTTGCCTGGATTTAATCGTATTCTCTGGATTAATGAGTGGCGCCGGTAAGGATTCATCGTGTCTAATTTGCCATCATAATATTTTACCACATTTTTTTTTTGTTTTGCATTTCGTAAGCCGCGAAGGTTTTCAAAACGTTTGTGATTTTATTATAGTGCTTGAATATGTGATATTTTCGAAATGCTTTTTTGAAGAGATTTATTTGAGCTAGAGCTGCATTTAGGCGATTGAAATAGTTTGTTGATTATCCTGTGTTGGCTTTTCTATGCAAGTTTTTTAATTTATTGTTTGTTCATTTTTTTGTCAACTGCCATTAATAAATAGTTTTAAGCATTACAAAAACTATTAAGTAGTTGATAATTGTTTTATGTCTATGCTGGCGCTTATGATGTTTCGGACCGTCCTACTACTCGTACAACTTTCTCTTGAGAGTGTTTGAATTTTGCCAGTCAGCCAGTTCAATTTTAACTGTGACCTTGAGTCGGGACATTGCGCTGTCGATAAAACGCTGTCGATAACACACTGACAGTACAGTTTACAGTTAGTGCGCTAACTATCAGTCTTTGTTTGCGTTTTGTCTAGCCGGAAATTAGTTACAGCAGTACTTTGAGGAATATTTTGACAACTGACGGAATAACAAAGAGCGTCCCATTCCCATGTATTGATACAGTGTAGTTAGACAGCTTTAAAGCTGGACTCGTTAATAGCTCGGTATATAAATTGTGCAAATATATCGATAATCGATGCACCTTCCGTGCAGTGCGATTACACGATTTACATCGTTCCTTAATGCTTGTCAATTTGATCAGGTTGCCGGTCCCGTATAATACGATGGATTTAGGCCCTTTGGATCCGGTTTCTGGGTCAACCTCCTCGTCGGAGCTGAAGAGTCCTACTTCCAGCGATTCAGCATCCAAACTTCCGGGTGCTGCTCCCTCTTCGCAGTATTCTTCGGCGGCTAATGACAATAAAGCCGGAAGTGCCACGTTGATCGCGCGCGGGAAACGCGGTAATCTGTCGCATCTCAGTGAATCGGATCGCCGCTCAGAAGTGTCATACCGCAGTGAGCCCAGTCTGGCCATTTCCGATGCAGCACGCAGTTCTAAGTTTAAAGTGGTCAAGTTGGGCGACAAGACACCGTATGTGCGAGGACGGTTTACCTGCTTCGACTTCCATGATTTACCGGTGAAGGATCTGATTAGATCAGACTCATCGCACACTCCGCGGATACAGACGCCGACGATTGCCACAGAAGGGCCCAGTGGGACGTTGACCGCCAGTGCGTCTTTTACGTCGAGTGGTAATAACACAGCCGACAGTTCTGCATCTGTCAGTGTTCAAGGTAAAAATAAAAATTAATGCGTATGATTTCACTGCATAAAGTTTTTAAATAAAAAACTGGGTAATTTTCGAATAAAAACTAGATGCTTTTTGGATATTGTTATTTGTTACGTGTTTACAGACAAAGGTACACAACGTTGTGACAGCAACATTGTCGTCCTTTTCGTTAGTTTTAACCCGCTGTACGTGCATTATCTACTTTGAAATACTGTTTATTAAAGCGTTATTTTTCGTACTTAAAATATTGTTGGTTGTTACTAGTTACTTATTACATTGTCGTCCTTTTCGTTAGTTTTAACCCGCTGTACGTGCATTATCTACTTTTAAATACTTACTGTTTATTAAAGCGTTATTTTTCGTACTTAAAATATTGTTGGTTGTTACTAATTTGACACTTTTGGGTAAATTTCCTGTATTACTAATCATACGATTACTTTAATAGATATTCTCGTTTTAAATCAACATCTAATTGTACAGGAAGGTCGACAATCATATTCGCATCTTTGGTCAAATTCACGAAATTGTTTATTAGATGCGCAGTGGTTGATTTGGAAGTTGAATTGTAAAATGAAATGCTACCGGGGAACTTGACAGTTAGATTTCGGATTACATAACATACCCATTCAAGTGTCGTGTTCTCCGTTTATGACATTTGCCGGTCGTTCTCTTAATTGACTCGATATATTGATTTTACTCGGCGAAAACATATAATTTTGTCATGAAAAATATTGACACTGTTCTTTTGCAGTCGATGCCGGCAGTCAGGCTCCCGCTTCAACTAGTGCCTCAGCATCCAGCAGCCGAACTGGTACGCTGATCCGTTCTCCTCTCTCCGTCCAAACGCTCCATCACAAATCTCCCTCGTCTCGCTCACCTGTTCCGCCCAATACCCCGACATCCCCGAACGTGGATTTCTCCGCTTCACTGGACGGCGCTAGCACTCCGGACCGATTTATCCCCTCTCCGGCGCCGACCACGCCCATCCCGGGCCACGCAGCTCCTGACCAGCTCATCCAGGACAGCTTAGCGAAGAAGAACCCTACCCCTTACTCGGAAAGTGTGTCCCGTGTCGCCTCGATGCCGCCGTCCGGCACCATGACGCCGGGGCGGAAAATCTCCGGCGCTACTGGTCCGGATCCCTCGAAACTCCTCCGTTTAAAAGGGGAGTCGTTTTTCGCCGAAATGATCGATCGTGTCTGGGAGGTGTCGCCCGGAAAACCGGTGGGCGGGGGATTTGACCGAATAGAGGCGAAAATCCAGCAGTGTATGTCGCTGGTCACCGAGCACGTGCTGTTAGCGGTACGGTCGGACTTGGAGGACCTGAACAAACAAGTGAAAGTACTACGGGAGCGCGCGGCATCGCTGGAGTGTGAGAATCAGGTGTTGAAGATGGAGAATACACTGCTGCGGAATGTAGTTAATAACTCGACGCAGCCGGATATCACGCCCAGTCGAAGCCGAATGAAATAAGAATCTGACAGATTCTGACACGAATTTTACCATGACAGATCATTAGAATTTAAATGTTAGATTGCGTTTTTGATCGTTTTGTGTGCCTTTTGTTTCCGGAAAATGTTGTAAAACAGCAAATCAAAATTCGATGCTGATGAATACGCAGCAAAAGAAGCGAATAAATGGCTGAATATACTTGTAAGACATTTTTCATCAACTTGGTAAAGTTAGTGCAGGGTTGTAAAGAATCGAAACGTGATGCTGTACCTCATCGACGATCCAGCTTTTACCAGTGCATTTTGGCTTCGAATTTAAGTATACGAAACTTGTTAGCTGTTGTAATTTCAGCTTCTGGAGAAAAGCCGTTGTGCACCGTTTGTGGAGATGTCGCGACCGGCTACCATTATGGGTGCATGTCTTGCGAAGGATGCAAAGTACGCACCGCTTTATTCTTACGACAAATGCACTGGTTGACGTATTTTGACTTGTTTGGGTTACCAGGGATTTTTTCGACGTTCTACGCAAAAGGACCTCCAGTACACATGCCGAGGATCGAGCGACTGTGTTATTGATAAGAAAACGCGCAATCGGTGTCCACAGTGCCGTTACGCGAAATGTGTTCAACAGGGAATGACCACTGAAAGTGAATATACTTTTCTATGCTTTTGTTGCCTCTATTGTGAGATAATTAGGTTATATATGCGCTAGTGCGGTATGCGCTGTACATTTATCTTTTGAATAGAACGTTGGTTTTGCGACTGCATTTGTCTTTGTAGTAATTATACAGTTTTTCGGTTTCTTTGTGTTAATCTATGTCTTCCCTTTTTAGTGGTCCGCAACGACCACCCGCGCACCGTCGTGCGTCAACTATCCTCCGACGAGAACCGCGAACAACGACAAAGAGAAATCATGCATCATCGGACGATCTTGGAAGCGGTGGAAAGCAAGCTAAATGACCAGGAACGCCAGCTGGTTGGTAACATCGTCGAAGCGGCTCGGCAATTTCTCAGTCCAAGCTCGTCTCCAAACGGACAAGTGGTTCGTAATATACAATATTGCTTACAAATTAAATAGCGGTATTATTGTCATAGTAGTTGCATTTGTAAATGTTTTGTCCCATTCAGTACCATTTCCTGATTTTCTTTTCGCATTTACTGAAACATTAATTTGGGCTAAACCGAGGTTTTTTATTAGAGCGTTCAAGAGTATATTCATCAGATTAAAACAGAAAAGGGTGGAATGATGCACGTTAACCAAATGGGAAAAGTGGTGCAGTTTTTGGACCTGATGGCGCCGGCCATTGCCAAGCTGACGCATTTCGCCAGAAAATTGCCGGGCTTCAACGAGGTTCGTATTATCTGTAATTCAGTAACTGATAGAGAAATTTTTTTTGCTACTGTCCTGTACAGTGACCTTTACTGCAGTTAATGCCGGGTGATCATGGTGTATTGCTGAAAGCCTCCTGCGTGGAAATTATGTTGTTTCGTACCGCTCTGCGCTACGACCGGGCCAGCGGCACGTTGGTTCTCAATAACGGCTTCCGTCTGTCCATGGCCCAATTGTCTAATGCAGCGTATCTGGAATCGGAAAGTCTTTTGCGTCCGATTTTGAATTTGTCAGCCAGCTTGGCTAATCTTACGCTGGATGATGTGGAAGTTGCGCTGTTTCTAGCTGTGCTGGTATTAAGCGGTACGAAAGGTCACCGGTGCTGAACGTCTCTAAAAAGCTTTAAACGAAAGATTTTGACTTGTAGCTTCATTCTGATGGCATTTCACAATATTTTAGCCGATCTGTTTGTCTTGTGCGTTGTTCTGGTTTTTCTTGTTTTGACGTGGTTTGTGAATTTCCAGAGCGCCCTGGAACGATCGCGAGTGTCGACATGGAAGTAAAAGAAGAGCTGTTGTGGAGCTGCTTGCGCAAACACATTGCTGAGCAACATCCATTCGACGCTAACCGTTTTGCGCAGATGATGATGCGGGCGCTGGAACTGCGCACCATTTGCTCGCAGAACGCCGAAAAGATCCTCTACATCAAGCTGGACGGAAGCAGTGGCTTGCTGGAAATGCTCGTGGCTACCATGTTCGATAACTGCACTGTCCAGATTGTTAACAATTAAACTGCACCTACCGATTATTTGCTAGCAGTTTTTTTATTCGTTGTTCTCATTGTTTTAATTGAATTTTAAAACAGATTATTCGCACATGGATAAATAAGTTGATAACTCACTTGTCAATGACTGCAAGATTTATAATCTGGCGAATTCTGCCGGGTTTATTGTTAGGGAATCGCAGTTTTCTTTAGTTTATGCCGATGCTGATCGTATTGTTGTGTTACAAGTGTTTGTTTTTATCACGCTGTGGATTAGTATGATCTGAATCTGATACTATGTAAGTATTTCAAGCAATAAATCTGAAATTTCTGGTCTTGTTGGACAGTTGGAGAAAGTGCTAAAGCCAAGCTGAGTCAGTAGAATAAACAATTCACACTATTTTTCATGACAGTAGTAATCTGACCGCCACTTTAAAAAATGGTTTTAAGCCCGTAATTAAATTAAACTTCGTAGGTAGAGATAGACCGTAAGCGAAACGAACCGAAGATTTTAGACATTTGGATGAAATAATATGGGAAGTGAACTGCACAGTGCACAGTGGTTTTGACTTTGCCGGTCCGGTAGAGGAATCAATGCAGACTACATCCCGCCATAACATTTTTTTAGGCAATATGAATACTTCGTAAACATATTTTAATAATATTATTATAAGGGATCGTTAACTGAATCAGGATCGTGTTCTATGAATATCAACGGTCATATTCAGCCAGTTAAGGTCATCAGCTCGAGTCTGCAGTCGCCAAAATACCTGTTGAGTCACTCATTGGTTCGGAAAATTCACTGACCGGGTGGAAGCGTTTAATCAGATGTGCCAATCTGCATATCATTGGCGTACGGGCCAATTGTTCTGGCTCAGTTCTGTTGTTTTCGTCTGGCTCTCTGGGTGGATTCGTACGCAACGCGTACGTACGAAATCCCTCCGAAATCTCAGCCAAGTATCGGCCTTAAGAGGCTGATCTGTTGCCTGATAATAAAAAGAACCCGGATTCTTTCGCTCCGCACTCAGCGTGCACTGCTAGTTGCCACTGGCATGAAAAGGCAAATGTTTCAGGTGAAGTCCTGTTGGCTGTTACTATGCCAGTCTGGCAACTGTCCTCAACAGATTGTGCGGCTGGCGTTGTTCTTAATTTATCTTATAACATTATTATCGTAATTTATTATACCGAAAGTGATAATTAATTTAAATGCCCATCCGTCCCGTCGCCTGTTCGAATCTGATCCATGCCAGAAAATGAGCAGTTCGTCACTGAAGAAAAAACGAAGTAAGTCCGCTATGAAAAACTAAAAATGTATCCCAAAAGCTTAAATTCTGAAAGTGGCGAAAAGATATAGTTAATTTTACGCTATTACTAATGCCGGTGAGTCAAGAAAATGCAGATTGTGTTTTGACACTTTAGGCTGTCACTTCGCAGAAATTGCATATTTTTGTCTGTGTCCCTATGCTATCAGTTGCGCTGTCTGCTAGTGCAGTTCTGCCCTGCGGCCAGCGAAATTAGGACACTGTCCAGAAGAATCAAATGGCTCAGACGTCGTTTAAGCAGCCAGAGGGTGATCTTCACTTGGTGGTAAACACTTTTGTTCCGAGTCTTTGGCGCTGCGCTCAGAGCGCCTTGTCTGTTCCTTCGGTTTCTCGGAGGTGTTTTACAGCCATGCTGGGTGAGCAAATAGTATACCTTTTCATATAAGCGATGAGTTTAAGAAATCGCAGTTGGATTTCGTGCATAATTCGCCAGAATGTGCGGTAGTGATTTGCTAAATTTTATTCTTCCAGAATTGCGTCATAGCATTTTAAGAAGGTTGCGTAATCAGTGGGGCAGGCTGCAGAAAACGGATGCGAAACGTTGCTTTACGGATCAGGACTTTGTTTTAACATAAAAGATGATAAAAAAGTGTATGTTGCTTGACCTTTACAATAACCTGTTGATTCCGCTTGTGGCGATCAGTAACAATTCTGCAGTTTTGAAAATGGTATTGGCTGAATAACGTAAATAACTGCTGAGAAGCTACTGTCGGCAATAGCATTGCATTGTTTTTGAATATTCCCATTTTGAGCGTTTTATTTTTAATTGTTCGTTATTTTATATAGAAGTATATTTAGTTCGTAATCTTTGTAAGAATATTTATATCCATTTTTCCAACTGGACGTTCCAGGGTTTCTCATCGACATATGCTCGATAATGCATAGGACATCTGTAAACAAAGTTGAATTCTGACGAATAAGATAACTGATTGTATATAAATATGACGGAAACTTCTAGTAAACATTTCTGTTTCTGATGATGTAAAGAATAGAATTAGGGCTATTTAAAGTTATTGTTATTTCTATTACTGATGGGAGTTAAAGACTAATAAGATCGCACTGCGCAGACGAGATAAGGCACGTCGTGCTCTGCGCGATTAACAGCGGATCCGTTGATTGTTGGATCTCTGCTTTGTGGGTGCAGCAGCGTTTCTGCTGTCGTTGTTCTGACAGCGAGTTCGCAGGAACTTTTTGTAAATGTTGTTCATCCGCCTAAAATCTGACAGAAGCGCAGCACTTCTAAAAAAAGAATACGTATTTTTCTCCAATGCCGGCGTAATGTTGTAATTATCTGATTCTTAATATTTAAATTGTTATGATAAGATACTTCGTATTTTTGTGATTAATTTTAGCATTCCCCGTGGGCGATTTTTTATGGCCTGGCAGACTGTTGTCTAATAAACCGCTTACCGAATTGTTAGCACATTTTTGGTTATCCGCAGGTGGACCGTATATTCCCAGCTACATGGATCTGAGCAATGGGCCGGAACCGTGCGCCGTTTGCGGAGATGCTGCCACCGGATATCATTACCGCTGCATGACATGTGAAGGCTGCAAAGTAAAAATTCGGCGATACTGCCATATCTGGCACGTTCATTCACATCGTCGATAAGCTGGACATTGGTCTCTTTTAGGGCTTCTTTCGTCGTACGACCCAAAAGAACCTGAAATACATGTGTAAGGACAGTGGCCAGTGCCCCGTTGATAAGCAATCACGCAATCAGTGTCCTCAGTGCCGCTATCAGAAGTGCCTGCAACAAGGCATGGCTATCGATTGTACGTATTGTACAATGTCCTGAGCGACTCCTAGTACACACTTGAACTACAGTTTCTTTGACTTTCGGAAATTTGGTTGATTCCTGTTGTGTTCCGGTCAAAATAGAAAATTTTCCATATTAATTCAGTTTTTTTTCAAATTCAGCTTGCCTTTGGACTTTTAGTTTAATAAAATTCTGTTTTTCTGTTCTGTTAAATTTTTGCTTTAAGTAAGTATTTGTAAATTTTTCGGTACTACTGTTGTTTCGGTTGGCACACTGCAACGTACCGTACATCGTAATGGCGATATTAATGTGATTTTTCGAAATCTTGTTAGTGGTTTTAAGCGAAAATCAGCGAGTTGCCAAACGCCAGTTGATTGAAGAAAACCGGGAACGACGCGAATTGGAGTTGTTGCGCAGTAAACTTGTACAGGAAGCCACTGAGAAGATTCTCACCGATGCAGATCGTGCTCTGATTCGGGAAATCACGGAAGCGTATCGTCAAGCCCTGATGCCGCATTATGTGACTCAAATAACGGTACGAGTTCTTACAATCTTACTGTGATGAAAATTTCAAATTAATCGACCAATTCCATTTTAATCCAACCAGAACTCTGTTTGAACTGTGCTGCTTATGCAGTGTATTAAATAGTTTAAATCTGCTCGTAGTTTGCAAACACAAATTGCAACGACATGTACAATCTGAAATTTGATGAATTCTGCGACTTGTGTTTTGAAAATCTCCCTTTTCGCTGCTGCAACTGTTTAATTGTTTAACGTTGCTAAAAACTATTGCTTGCGAATAATTATCTATTTTTGTTTCGACATTACAGCATCCTTATGGACATTTGGAGTCGTTATATGGAAACGGGAAGGTTACGGTAGCGCAAAATGGTATGCCGCTGGGCATGGTGAACGGATACCCACGCAACGGAAATGTAGTGCCGGGAAAGAGCGGTCAGTTATTAGACTTGATGGCACCGGCTATTCGACGCTTGGAATCATTTTCTTTAAAAATTCCTGGATTTTCGGAGGTAAATTGCAGACACGTGTGGTGGTGCATCAGTAAATTGTGCGGCTGTGAAGGGTTTTTTTATAACGTTTGAGGCTTTGTAGTTGACGCCAGCTGATCGACAGACACTTTTGAAATCATCCTGTGTGGAGATGATGCTGTTTCGTACTGCGCTGCGTTTTGACCGCAACTGTGGGTCAATTATTCTGAATAACGGATTTCAACTGAATTCGTACTGGCTCGCCAGTAATCACGGTACTTACGATGCGCTCCTGCGTCCTCTGTATAATTTGGGACTGAGTTTGGCGGTGTTGTTCTTGGACGAAGTTGAAGTGGCTCTACTTTTGGGATTGTTGCTGTTAAGCGGTAAGTATCGATCGCTATATTAGAACTGCATTTAAAAATAATTCTAAGTATAATTATTTCGATGGATTTGACTAATTTTGTGATATGTGATGATGTTTATTCTATAGTTGTACTAGTACTCTGTAGCGTGCATAAATTTACGATGTCAACATGATTTGATGAATATGTATTATTCAGTATAACTCTTTGGCATTATTGGCGTCTTCACTATAAAGAGATTTTTTACTGTTTTGCCCATTAGGACGTCCAGGAGTGCATGCCGCTGCCGATTTGGAGCGTCAGGAAGAGATTATGTTGACCGCTTTGCGGCGCTACCTTGCTGAGAAATCTCCCAAAGACATGGAACGCTTCACTCGCCTTCTGATGAAAGTGTTGGAGCTCAGGACGATAAGCGCACAAAATGCTGACAAGATTATGTTTGCCAAATTGGAATCCCTAACGGATGTGCCGGCCATGCTGTTCGCCACAATGTTTGAAGACACTGAAACCGAGCCGAAAATCGCCGTGGCTCCATACCCGCACACGGCTGTTTATCATGGTATCATGCCGCATCCGTCCTATCCCAGCAGTGGATTGCCGCCGTTCGCTACCTTATTCTAACTGGTCGCACAATGATAGTTGAAATGAAGTTGTTGTGGTTTAAACCTTTTAGCTCTTTTAATTCGTTTGTTTGAATGTTTTCTGGGATTGGATCTGTGACTGAAGTTGCCGAGGGTTCTTTCTAAATAATGGTTGTGATGTTTTACATTCTGGGGTTTTTATTTATTTGTTTCGGTCATTAATAATTAAAACGTTACGTAAATTGACCTGATTAAAACTGTAAAATGTATAAAAATATGTTATAAACAAATAATAAATAAACCTGCTCGTGCATCATTTTGCATTTTGCTACCGGTTTTATTCCAAAGCCGTTTTCACAGTTCATTATGTACTTATCGTTAATACAAGTAAAAAGCATAGTTCGATAGTTATTCATTCAGTTTCCACTGCAGGAACTTGTATCCATACGAAAAAACTGAGTTCCGTAGACATATTCAGAGAAGCAAAATAAATTTCTTAACATGAAGCGCCCACATGACCTCCCTAAATAATTTCAGAAAGCCCGAATTTAAAATCTTTGTCTGGCCACAGCTAACAGGTCATTTTGCTACCTTGGCGGAGTAATCTTGTAAAATATCAGCAATGTGCTCGTTGTGCTTAGGAACGAATTTTCCAGTTCTGCCCCCTTGTCGACCACGCTTTTTGGCAATCATCTAAAGCAAAAAAGCCGTTAGACTGCGGTTGAATGCCGGCTGGATTTAATTTGTGCATTACAAAAAAACTGTCAAAAATTAGTACCGGCCGCTTTTGTTCGCTCTTGATGAAAGAAAAGTTATGTTGTGCCAAGTAATCCGCGATTTTCTTTTCATCCATTCCTTCCACATTGACGGAACGCCATAACTTCACAACGTCCTCCGGAATATCAATGGAAACGGCCGGATCTTTGTAGAATACCACGAATTTCTTGTCAGCTGGCCTTTTGATCACAATGATCTGATCCTTGACTTCCTGTGATGCCAGATAAAAAAACGATGGACTATGTAATGTAAAAAATCGCGATTCTAATGCAGCACACTTTTTATGTTGAGATCTAACACCCTCTGCAGAGCCCCACAGGAAGAGCTGTATGATCTATGATACTTGAAGTATATTTCTAGATACAAAAATCCCAGTAGAGAGGTGAAAAAAACAAAGCTTTCGAAAAAACTGAAAACTATACAAAAAAATTAAAAATGTTACCAATTTAAATTTAATTACAAAATTTACGCTGTTGTACAAAGGTTAACAAAACCCACTTGCTTAGAAACAACACTACAAAACACCACCGTACATACTTCTAAAACTTCCTTGGCGTTAGCCAGAGATTCTTCGATATCATCCATATAAATTCCACCCATGCCATCTTCACTGTAACGCTGCAGTAGCTGGATAAAAGACTTCTTATCGCGAATATTGAATGACGGACGGTAACGATATTTTTCATCGGCATCGATAATTATCTTTGGATTAACCGGTAAAGCCTGGCAACAATAAGTTAATAACAGTTTAATTCAAAAATAAATGTGCAGGGATATTCCGTCATGTTCAACTTCCGTGCCACTACTACCGCCATACTTCGTTTCGCAGCCAGGCGATGATTTTTGCCGGAACATCATACTGTTTCGTTTCATCCAGAATCTCATTCAAAGCCAATCCGTAATCATCACCTTGTTGATGGCGAGTCTGTGAGGAACAGCATAAAAATTCAAACCAAAATGCTGAATCAAATCGTATGTTATTACGCAAATTATGCCATTTTGCAGGTCTATCGGAAATTCGCCCGGAATCACAACCCTCATGTATCTGTAGTCGAAAACGAAACAATTCGAAATAAGAGTGCATCTACTTCTTGTCACTGGTAGCAACTTATGGTTTTTGAATATCCTTTTTATCTTCTACTTTTCATCAACGCTATAATGCTTGATAGCATAAAAAACTTAGGCCGAACATTTACTGGTTAACGTTTAATATAAGTTCAGAATTGACGATAAACAAGCAAGAAGCAAACTCACCCTCATATACTTGACGATGTTGGTTAAAACTTTAAATTTCACGCTGGAAGCTGCCGAAGCAGTCTTATAATCGAATTTCTGTCCGCCAGGTTCTGAAAGAAATAAAAGTTATGGACACCACCGCTGTCATCACAGCGCTGACTTGTTAGAAATACTCGCACTGCATACGAAAATGATGATAAGAAATTATTTCTGACAGGATCGTCACAAAACAACTACAATCAATTGGACCAAGCTAGATCGAGGACGAGCACCTACCACTCCGTTGCGGTGCAGTTTTCTGCTTCTTGGGAGGCTCTTCCGTATATGGAGAATCCGTGGGCTTTTGTTTTCGCTTCTCCACAACAGGAAGAGCCATCGCCCGCTTTTTGAAGGCATCTCGTTCGCGTAAGAGACTTGGATCCATGGTACTGGTAGCTTGCGGTCTGCGGAGATCGTCACCCAACACCGTTTAACAAAACCAAGCACGACCAGTGTGAGTCCACACCACCTGCCCAAGCTAGGTTTGACGATAAAAAAAAGGGAACGACAAGAGTCGGCTGGGATCCACCATCTGCAGGAATTTACAATTTACAATATCGTCTGATGATCCACATCAATGACATCATTCTTAGAAGGGCGGACGCCTGCGACAGGAGAACACTGCTGATTCTATAAATGAAATTTAAATATGAATTTCTGAATTTACTGAAGATACTGAAGAAATAAAAATCTGCCGATGACGGGACTCGAACCCGTGCCAGCTGCGTCTGTAGCCGTCCGTCTTACCACTGATCTACACCGGCTGCATTATTAAATCTTCTTAAGATTTTAGCGCACTGTGCGACTGCCTATCATCCCCGCTGCAAGACAGCGAAGCCCCTTGAGCGTAGTCTGATAACAACAGTGCAACAGTGCGTGATACGTACTCCTTCGTACAAGCGCCCCCTTCTCTCCCGATAACATTGCTGTTGTACTGCAGGCTGTCCACGTATTGTCCGTTTTCTTACACGGTGCTACTGCTATCCGTTTTCTTACACGGTGCGTGTGGAGCCAAGCCTATTGCTGTACTTTAAATACACCCGGAGGGGTGAACCACGCTCTGCTACCATCTTAGAAGGGCGGACGCCTGCGACAGGAGAACACTGCTGATTCTATAAATGAAATTTAAATATGAATTTCTGAATTTACTGAAGATACTGAAGAAATAAAAATCTGCCGATGACGGGACTCGAACCCGTGCCAGCTGCGTCTGTAGCCGTCCGTCTTACCACTGATCTACACCGGCTGCATTATTAAATCTTCTTAAGATTTTAGCGCACTGTGCGACTGCCTATCATCATCACAGTTTACAATCCACGGAGTAGTGATAGACGAAGTGGAGTCTCATTCATGGTCTAATCACAAACGTCCCTACAGCGTCGAATGATTGTTTCCCAGCAGCCGTTATCAACACAATAATTTGGTCATTATTGATTTTATTAATTTAAGGCAACAAATAAACAAACTGGATCCAAGCCTCGACAATTCCCTCAATATTCCATAAACTGATAAACAATCGTTTTTGCTGGCCCAAGCAACATAAGCCAGCTGCTTCCATGAGCTGGGCTCGCAACAAATGCACGATGTAAACTGCACCCGCCCTGGGATGCCGCTGTATATTTCATTTTCATTGCGCCAGTGTCCCTGCCCCATTCATGGGGTTTGTCCAAAAAAGCTGAGATTCTAAAATTTAGAAAATGTAGGCACTCGTACATTTTTGTACAATATAATAATATTTTCAAATATTTCAGAAATTACACAGAAGAGAGATTATATTTCAGAAATTAAATGCGAAACGCGAAACTCATACTGTACTTTCCCTGGCTCTTAATACAGCAGGGGACAAGTACGGTCGGTCTAGTCCTACATTACTTTTGGGAGTCACGTCATCGCAGTCACTTAACAACTCCAACTGACCCGAATTTTGTGAAAGCTGATGTTTGAGACTTTGAGTTCGTCGAAACATAAACGAACCGCGTGCATAAGGTTAAAGACCGTTTAATTTCATAATTAACAAATATATAGATTTTTATCAGGGTACATTATCCATGTGCTCTGATTCCTAAGGAATACGTTATTATCGATCATCGCATTCGCCGATTATCCGAAGAGGTAAGTCCGAGCCCTGGCATTCCCGCAAATGCGACGTGTGCTTGCTGATTTACGTTCAGTTCGTAACTATTTTTCATCCATGGCCCATGGGATCTCGGATGTGCACACCCACTGGACCTTTCATTTATGATTTATGATAACTAGATTATTTTCGTTTTTTTTTGGAATCCGAATACGAAGGATTAGTAGTTCAACTCATGGCACGTTAATTCTTTCTTCCTATTACCTTTAGGTGCTTACAGCTTACAAAATCGAACACTCGTTTTGACTGGCTTTCTGTGGGCTTTCTCCTTACTTGTTAAACTTTGACTGGGTTTTGGATTTAAGGAAACATTTGCGAAAGCATTCTTTGGCTTGAACACAATAATCATGACGACACCGAGCGATACCCAGGACGGCAAGCAGTCCCGTCGGGAAGAGGCCCACGACGGCGCGACGAGCGGAGCGCCCTCTGTCGCCGCGGCCACCGCCACGAACGGCAGCAGCGGCGGCAGTGGTGCCGTCAAGGAAAAGGAGCCGAGCAAAGCCCCACCCGAATGGGCTAAGGAGCGCGAAGATGCCGTCAATAACAGCTCCATTACCAATAGCGAAGACAGTAAACTGCTTAGGGCCCGAATCTTTGTTGGCAATCTGCCGGCTGATCTGCGTACGGAGCGGGGCGAGCTTTTTGACAAATTTCGCAAATATGGACGCATTCTCGGTCAGTCTTATCTCTTGTCTTGCCACTCTACGTACACTTACTACCTTGTCTTAGAGCTTGTTTCTTGTTTGCCGCTTTTTCTTTGTCGGTGTATTGATTCTTGTGCGGTGTTAATAACACGGGCGTCAGAGTATTTTGCTTGTGGAACGCGATGCCACGTTGGGTGGCAAAGAGGCTTTCTTAGCGGCAGAAAGGGTTTTCTTATATCCATTTTCCAGTGAGGCTTTTGCTGTTTTGCAGGATCCTTTGCATTTAATCTTTTTGCTGTGATCCATTTTTCCCGGCTGTTTACAGATTATTTTAAGGTCTTTTGGAGGTTGTGAAGAGTGCTTTTTGGCTATTTTTTCGAGTGTTTATATTTGTGGATATTTTGGTAATTTCCAGAGAAAGGATTCAGTGAGCGGAAGGCATTGAATTGATAGCTTTGACAGGTTGCGCTTTTAAAACAATTGCTTGCATCAGATTTAGGAGAGCAGTCCTTGGCCTTGCAGTTTACAACTGAGTTCGATTTTCAAGGGATTTTGATGCATGCTTTTGCTGCAGTTTTTGCATGAGCTGATTGATCTCGTACCACTTTGCGCCTCGAATACTTTTCTGGCACTTTCAGGATTGCGCTAACAAAGTCATCTTCTTCTCGGTGAAGTAATGCGCTGTAATTGCAGGTGTTTCGATCCACAATCGATTCGCATTTGTTCAGTACGAACGGGAAGACGACGCCAAAAACGCGGTTAAAGAAGAGCATCGGACCGAACTTCGGTCCGCGCGACTTGGTAAGTTAACATGTTTCGGAACGCGGATCGTCGTGTGAAATCTTTGCATTGGCTAGATGTGAAAATGTCGATGGAGGGACGCGTAAATAACCGCGACCGGGATAGAGATCGAGACCGTGAACGTGACCGGGATCGCGATCGTGACCGCCGCCGTAGCCGAAGCCGGTCGCCCATCGATCGCCGGAGAAGTCGCAGCCGCAGTCCTCCACGTAGGAGCCGCGATCGCGATTATCGGTAATTATCATCAACTGTTGTGTGTTAGATTTTGGTGTTTACCGGCATTTGCTTAGTAACTGGCTGAACTTCGTTCAGCGGTTGCAACTATGTATAGTCAAAATAGCGAATAAATAGACAATTCTTGCAGTCGCTACTCTGCTGATCGCTACCGTGAGTCCAGAGAACGTACTCCGCCTCCCTACGTACCGATTCCCGTGGAGGAACGATTCTGTCATCCTCGCACGTATGGACCGAATGACGTGGAAATGGTTATTATTCGCAAACAGCAAGGGTATGGATGTTTTGGGATTGTTAGCATCTTGGATAAATTGCTTATGGGAGCTGTGTTTTAGGCAATACGCTGATTCGATTTTGCGTCGACTGTACGATCGACGTATTGCCGCCAATATGTTGTTCCTTGCGGAACATGCTTCTCTGGAAGGTGCGGTGACCGAATTTGGCCGGACAGGATCACATTACGTGATCATCATCATGCCCAAGCACGAAGACACCCGAGCAATCACGGTCAATATCTTCGAGACAAACGAAAAGCCGCGAGGTAAGAAAAAAGTTTCTGGTCATTTTTTTGTTAATGCTGTTTGAAGTTGCAGCAACAATCCGGTCTTTTACAACACGTGTTTTCTTCGTTTGCTGTTCAAGTAATAATAGTGGTCCTGCACCTTTGTTCGGGAGTCATTTGATTAGATTTACTCGTACATGTCTGAGGTCGACTGCAGATCTAGTCCTCGTGATGGCGTCAAGGAAGGCAGTTGCGGTTGGCGTTATGGTCGTAAGCTGTCAGGTTACGGAACTGTAGGGCTTAGCGAGTATGATTCGAATAGTGGATCCTCGGTCTGTCTTGTTCTCTACTCTGCGATTTGAGTCATTTTCCTTCTTTTAAATGGATTTATGATCGATGTAAAAGTACATGATGATGATCGATGTAAAATTTGATGATGATTGAGAGGGAATGTAGAGGAATTTCTGAGCTACAATTCGGAGATGCGCTTGCCGGCATTACTATCATTCTCAAGAAGGCTTTGAAATTTTGCCGCGGTAGAGTTAATTTCTGTATTAAGACAGATCGGAGATGTTTTCGGATTTCTTTCTCACTATCTGCACCAAGCAAATGGCAGATCTGACCGTGTTTTGTACTTCAGCTTAATTTTGGTTGCGAAGGCGACATAAAATTTCTACAGCAGTCTGTTCACCAACGGTTCCTCTCTCAGCTGATACTTGCTGGATGATGCAGTCTTTTCTCTGTTTTCCTGTGAATAAGTTGGGTATTCAATATTGCATTAAGATGAACGATCATTTCTCAACAGAATATCGCAACATCAATGTGGAAGAAGGTGTCAGTCTGATCCATCGCCATTTCCGTGATCATTATCCAGCGCTGGCTCGTGAGTTGTCAAAAAGGCCCACCCTACCATACCCAGTTGAATCGCAGTTTCGAAACATCTAATCCCTACTTATAGGTCTCCGTGAGATGGAATACCAAGGAGCCGGCTTTTATCCGACAGGTCCCAGTGAGGTGATGCGCTGTTTGGCCCGTATGGTCGAAACGTGCGCAGTGCCCACGAGCAGTCTGGATCAGACCATTCGATACTTGCAAGATATGCGTGATCGTACGGCGATCGCTGAGGGCATTCCGGTTAACACTGCAGCGGCTGCACCGCCGAGCGCCGCGCTCGTGGTGCCACAGTCGGCCGCGGCGGCAGCCGCCTATCGTGCTCCAGCTGTTGACAACGGCATAGGTAAGGAAAATCATTACTTTTGCGTTGTGGGCCAAAGAGACTGACAGACAAAACGGGCAACCATTTGGCAGGCAAACTCTTGGGGCAGCTCGACGGCCGTGGTGGTGCACCGGCCGAGGAAAGTGTCCGGGAGTCGCTGCTGGGTTTGCTGAAAGCCACGGGTCTGGTGGGGAATCTAGGAGGACAAGTACAAGCCCAGCCGCCACAGCATGCAGGGTACGCTCCGGCAACAGCAGCCACCACGGAGTACTATAATCAGCCGGCGGGGTATGCCGCCTCCAGCACGTCGTCAAGCGCACCGTATTCTGCTAATCCACAATCAGGCGGGCCAGGCACGACTTACGGACAGGCAAGCGGCGGGCAGTATAGTTCCAGTACACCTGCGGCGCCGTTTTCGTCAGGTGCAGCTGCATCGCAGTACGGTGGCGGCGGCCAAGGGGATCGTACAGCCGATGGAGCCATGCATAAGATGTACGACAACCTGGTCAGTACAGGAACGCTGCGTGCCGGGTCGGCGATGAGCGCGCATACGGCGTCGAACCCCGTGTCCACCACACAGGGACAGGGCAATCGGTTGGATCGGGGTGATGAGCGGGAACGTCAGCCGCCGCAGCAGCAGCAGCAGCCGACCACGTACCGCACGACGAAAGACACGGAAAACGGGATGGATTACGGCGGGATGCATGGCGGTGGAATGCGGTATGAACCGATGTCGCAGCAGCCGACAACCGGGCAGTATGCGCCGCAGACCGGGCGAAATGGACCTGCAGGCGGCGGGCAGGATCGTGGGGGTCCAGCAGCAGGTGGAGGGGCCAGTGCGGCCGGACAGGCAGGGGGATACGCCACAGGAGCTGGGGCGTATATGCAACGGCAGCAGCAGCCTGTTGGACAGCCGGCCATGGCGCCACAAGGACAGTACGCTACCGGACGTCGTTAGGATCTGGATCTTGGTATTTGTTATTATGCAATTAGGACCGTTATATTCGGATCTAGGTATTTATTTATTTGGGCGATTTATTTACGGGAACAGCGCGGCTGTAGGCTGAAAGCTTGTGGGTATCGTTATGGATTTTGGTGCGAACCATCATCATTTCCTCCTTATCCATCATTTTCTCCTTATTCCTTGATAATGGATACCTCGACATGAAAGAAAGGACTTCCCTTCGTTTTCTGTCTGAGATTCTCTTTTTTCAGTGGCCGTATTTCCCTGCACTTTGGCTTGGTAATCATTGCGTATCATATCAGGTTTATTAGTTGGTTTTGAGTATCTGGTGTGTTTTTTCTGAGTACTTTAGTTCTGAAATTGTTCATCTTTAGTATCGTTTCAAACTGTGTGAGGTATGTTGTTGTTATGGCTTCGCTGGTGCGTGAGGTTGTAAATATCCAAACGTTTAGTTGCGAAGTTATTCTGAATTCTGAAGAACAGTTGTTACTTGTTGCGCTGGTTGGTGCTGCTTTGTCGGAAATTGTGGAATGCGGTCATAGTCGTGCATGTGCGATTAAGGCTTGTAATTAGCAGAGCGGATGTCAGCATTGAGGCTTTAATTTCGTGCCGAATCTTGATTGCAGTAACCATGGTGGCAAAATTACGATGCGTAATTTAATGGGTTACGTCAAGTGGATGGCATTAACTTAGCAATCAGAGAAGAGATCAGGAAAAATGAAATTATCGGTTTCTTGGGCGGTCGGTGCAGTGCGACTGGTTATACTTTCAGTTCGGATTTGATAGCATATAACAGAGGATACTTCACTCCACAGTTGCCGAAAAAATCGTCAAAAGTGATATCCCATACGAAAATGCCGCCGTAGCCTTTTCCGGTAACCCATCGCACCTAATGCACGAAGCGAAAGTGACCTTTTTCTCCATAAATCCGAAGGCTGCATGGTGTACTTACTTTTGTGCGAAGACTGTTCTCGTCTTCGTAACTGATCCACCATTTGCCGTTGGCGGAATGGGCGTAGGGTGTCTGGATATCGGGCGGGGTTATGGCCAAGAGCTCTCCTGAACGGATTTTTTCGCAGATTTCGTAGTAGGCCAGATAACCGGGGCTGCGCGTGTAAAAGCCCAACGGTCCATGACCGGCAGCCGGCGCTCCCAGTCCAAATGAACCGGGCGAGGTGAGGTTCCATGTGTCGCCGTACGTGGCCAGGCCCACGACGATTTTGCTCTTTGGAGCACCGGCTTTCTCCCATCCCTCCACCACATCTTTCTGCAGAAGTGCACATTGTTATATAGTCTAATTTAGAATATATAGAATTAATTTTATATATAGAATTAATTTTATCTTATGGTTATGTAGTCTAACTGTGTGTTATCGCAATTACAGTACCTAGATGCGAAAACAGTATTTTTTACGTGTTGTATGTATGCACTATTAGCACCATCTAAGCAAACCTTGCCAAAAATTGAAGTACTATTAATTTTGCAAGTTTTTACTAACAACGTTTGTGGAGGATGTATTGGATAAAGGCGGAAACAGTTGGCTGTGATGTCCGGTTTCTGTGGGTTCCATTAATGGGTTATGCAGATCATACGCCATAATGTTGATCAGATCCAGATTTCTGTGAAAGTCAATTTTTATGCACTATATTGATTTAAAAGTTTGCGGAAATACCTACTTACTTAATCATTTCTGCTACGTTGTATCCTTCTATGCTGGTGTTTGTAACAGCCGCTGTGAAAATCAGTCGCGGCTTCCCGCTGTTCTGTGCTTCGATGTTTAACTGTTCGCGGATCTCCTGCAGTGCAAAATCGTTTCAGAAATTGCAGAATTAAAATCATCCTAAAAACAGTCTTGTTGAAATACCTAGTTTTTTCCTTCACAAGACTCGGAAGTCGGAATACAACAAATCACAACGTTAAAATGATGAATCTGCATTACACGGTTTGAACTACTGGTCGTTTTAGTTTTATTAAGAATAAATGCAGTACTTACCGAAAATAACAGCGTAGCGTATTGGAGATCCTTTTTGGCTGGATATTCCCAGCTTATATCCAGTCCGTCATAACCGATCTGTCGTACGACAGAAATCATGGATGATATGAAAAATTTACGTAATTCCGAGGAAGCCGCAATGGCATTAAAAGAATTGACAGTGCCCCAGCCGCCAACGCTCAAAACGAGTTTGATATTGGGATAGCTTCGCCTAACATAACGGATCTCCATAGCGCTATCCATCACCGATAGAGATGCATTGAAATACGGCGACGCGCCGGCTTTGGTCAGGAAACCGAAAGTTGGTTTGGGAGTAGTTTGGACTAAACACCACACATAATAGCATAATTATATTATAGCACTGTACATGCGAAAAAGCAGAACTGCTTAAAATGACAGTCAAAGAACAAAAATACCTTTAAAACAGCCAAATAACCAAAACAATTTAGAAACAAGATAACCAGAACAATATAGAAACAATAATACAAATTAACAAATGGTATCATTAATGACAATACCGCTAGGAATGGCATTTGCACTTCCGACTGTGTCCAAATGAATATCACCGAATGCGTAATAGATAATTGTGCATAACGATGCATCAATATGTCGAGGAAGAAATCGGGCTTTCCCAACACGATACGTTGACCATGCCGCATAATAACAGCCGCGATGTGGTAGCGTGAATGTAGGTTCTATGTAAAAAGGTCAATATTTAAGTTCCTCTTTTACGTATGTCTTATATATTATGCCTCACCGGCTCTTATCTGGCTAGCTAGTTTTAAATTTTAGCTAGAAAAAATGCTTAAAATTTCTATCATAATTCCGTCCTTTTTACCTGTGACGCTTTGCACTCCTGATAAGCACAGGAACATTAAAAACAAGCAAATGGCATTAACCACCACAGCAGGTGCGAAATGTTTGGGGAAATGAGTTTGGTCACTTTTGTGTAGCATCATGGAAAGTGGGAAGTGGAGTTTTTGAATAATTTCAGAAACTGCGCTATACAAAAACGCAAAATGAGTGGCCAAAACAGTGCTCGTAATCGAAATGATGGTACGGCACGTTTTGCCGGTATGTCTCATGCTCCGGTAATTAAGGCGGTCATTAGCAAAATGTTATACAACTAGGAATCGGTTACATCTTGGCTCTGAAAGGTGCTTCAAGCATTTTGGCGCCAAATATAGGTTTCTTGGCTTATTCATAACCGGCGCATTTTACACGGATTACCAGCGTAAAAAACTGGAATTTTTTCCCCGGAAATTTCTACGGTATCTGCATTGGCAATATTCGGTATGTGTTAATCACATTTAATTCGTGTATGGCGGACTACTACTGCAGACGGTCTGTTAATAACAACGTATTATTTTTATTTACATAACGGCACAATTTAAATCGGTTAACGATGGAGACAACTGGCAAACGATCAAAACTTACCAACGTTTACATAAATGTAAAACTGATACTATAATTAAATAACCGCAAACAAATGATCCGTCAATAAACGGCAAGCGGTAAAGGGGAAAAAGGGTCAAACGACCCAAAAATTAATACATAATATACATTAGGGTTTAAAAGGCTAAAAACAAACAAGACCGGTATGGAAAAGTGAGAATAACATACAAACAGAGGTAACAAACGATTGAAAACCAGTGACAACACGCTGCTGACTACGTCACTGCCGCATAGGGGCGTGGGGATGCTGGGCACCAGGAGCATAATAGGCATAACCCGGATACATGGACTGGGCTTGGTTGGGACCCACCGGTCGGTATTGGCCGGGCGGCATCTGCACTTGACCGGGCATGGGCACGCCTTGTCCATGGAAGAACGACTGCGGATACGCTGCAACGGCCAGAAGCAATCGGGCTTAGTTTACAACTGACAGAAACGCTTGCAGTTTATAGTTATTTGTAATTAACTGCAGAATCCAAGTCTAGTCGAGAAAAATTTGCATTCAAAAAATTTAAGGTAGCAATGTCCTGTTAAACCAGAAACAAAATTAGATAAACAAATGAAGAACTAAAAACGAATAAAATCATAATACCTGCACCACTACTAAACAGCACAATAAATACACAAGGAATTAAATATCATCAAGGTTCAAAAAGAATATTATTTACCCACATTCAACAGATTTATGGCAAACGAATCTTGTCAGATTACCAGTAAAAGCAATACATGTATTATACAACAATGATGAAATAAACTTAAACACTGCTGATACCACACTAAACTTAAAACAGCGCGATGCATAAACATCATCAAATTACCAATGTATCATAAGACTATACTCATATTCCGGATTTTGCGTGATAGTAATACCGCGAATACAATAAAATTTTCTGACCACAAAGCGAAACTTTTATTACTGCATCTCGTAAGTAACTCAACTTACATGCCGTCATAACTGGCTGCTGGCCCGGATAGGTCTGCATGGTCTTCTGCAGATACGAATGATACTGCATGGCAGGGGCGCCGGGCATCTGCATGGGCCCAGCCGGTGCCGGCATCTGGTGTTGGGGATGCTGTGACTGGCGCGACGCCTGACTGCTCTGACCACGCTGATTGGATCCCGCCGCCATGGCAGCCGCCCCGACATTGTACGAGTGGATGCCCATGTGGGGATGCTGGGCGGCGGACAAGCCATGGGTCAGCTGGGCCAGCTTGGCGATGCTGGGCGTATCGGCCGGCGGCTGCATGCCCATACTGTAACCGGAATACTGGTCTTGCATGCCGGGAAACGGCATCATCATGCCGGACGCCGGATGCCCGTATACTGACGACGAGGGGTGGAACATGATGGGCGACTGAGGCACTTGCTGATGGTTGACCTGCAAATGATCGAATTCAAAGATATAAAAAAACTGAATCAAAAAAATATAAAAAAAATTAAACTGAAAAGTATGATAAAAAATTATCAAATTTTATTCGCTTAAATATGTAAAGGCGAAATTCGCTCAGCACCTTAACTCAAAATAAATATTTTTAATATATAAAATATAAAATAATTTCATTATATACAAATAGTAGAATACTCGTGCAAGATAAAAACATTCACTATTATTTCAGTATCGACAAGTGCGCGATCATTTTATCAACATTTAATAATAAACGTAATTTTTGTTCAACGTACCTGAGGATAATTCGTTGAAGGAGCGGGTTGTTCATTGGCTCGTTGCTTTGTTTTCCGCGACGGCTGATGGTGCGTGGTTTGCTGGCGTTGTTGTTGTTGTTGCTGCTGCTGCTGTTGTGAATGCATATGGTGCTGCATCGGCGGCTGTTGTTGCTGCTGCTGCTGCATGACCTTCTGATTATACACAGGGAACGATTCCTGCGCCTGTGCGCAATCCGGATACGCCTGTTGCTGCACCCGCCCATGTCCACTCCCGTGTACAGCGCGTGTTTGCTGCTCAAATCCCACAACCGACGCGACCGGTGTGCCGTACGGGTCCTGGTACGGCATCGGTGTCTGCAGCATGCGCGGCGGTGCATGCGGACTGCTGACGTTCTCCGTGAAGGCCACGGTGGGCCGCGGCGATGGATTCATGTACACGGACGCCGCGGCGGCGGCCACCGGGGTGGTGGGGGTGTGGGGCGGCCGCAGGATATCATGATAGGGGGTGGGCGGCTGCTGGGAGCGCGGGGATTCCTGGTAGGTGGAGACGTAGGAGGCCGGTGGCTGGGCGGCCACCGGGGAGGCCTGCTGGTGCTGATGCTGGAAGCCCTGTGGGGAAGTGGCCGACAAGCCCGGCGTGTGCTGGGGAGTGGCGTACTGGTCGTATGGGGGCTCATATTGCGGTTGACTCATGATCATTTCTGCAAAACAGTTTTTTTACGGTGACTATGCAGTATCAGTTTGCGAATAACTGTGACGCTGCGTTTACAAGACTTAAATAATTTTTCCTAAATTGTTTAATATCTGCATTTATTTTAAACTTCTTCACGAGATTTATTTTTCGTAAATTATTTTAAACCTGCATTTATCAACCTACCTTTTTGAATTTACTAATCGGATATTTTAATTAACAATGAAATTTTGTTATTACACATTTCAATAGATTTAAGGCGTATGAAGAACACTGTATTGAGTCTAACGGCAGAGTTTTGGATTCGTTTATACGAGCGTACCGGTATCTTGCATCTGGTCGTGCATACTCAGCACACTGGCCGGCTTGTTAACAGACGGTATGGATCCGACCATTGGACTGGCTTGTTGATGACGGTACGGTGTATGCGGCTGCTGCAAATGCATAGAGGGACTGAGTGGCATACTCTGTCCCATGGCCACGGTTTGTGACGCTTGTGGCATGTCTCCCGTCGGCATATGCCCCATCACCTGGCTGTTTAAGGCCTCCGACTGGATCTCCGCCACCCGGGAATATTCTGGATGGAGATGGCTTGGCGTCTCCGGGACAGTCTCCACCGGCACCGACAGGACAGGCGCCGGCATCGGAGTCAGCTCCACGGGTTCCGTCTGGATGCAGATCTCGGCGACACGGTGCTGGGGCGCCGCCGACGCTGCCGAAGCCGACAGCGGATGATGCCGGGTTGGTGGTTCAATCGCCAACGGGGGGCTATCGGTGGAGATGCCCTGGTCCATGGTGTCGACCGGCTCCGGGGGATGGGGGGCCCGGGGCGGTTGATCGAGATGCGATAGTGAACGGGATGATGATACCTCCGAAGCGGAGGATGACGATTCGTGACCTGCAACGGGACAGTGGTGGATAATGTCATGCGTACGGGAATAATGCTGGGACTGACCGGTATCTTTATGGACAAACTGCTTGGAGCCCCTCGAGAATGTACGAGTAGGTTCACTAGCCAGAGATTCATCAGCAGATGACTCGCTCGACATGCTGGAACGACGAAAGTGAGCGCCGGTATAACAGCTGGATATATCCGACTCCTGACAAAACACCAATATTTCAAAAGCACTCACACCGGTCTAATGCGGATCATAAACGAAACTGCATACAAATCAACTACTAATAATGTAAATTAGAGTGATCAATTATTATTTACAAATTATTATCGCAAAACAGGAAGTTGAATAGTAACTAACACTGACCTCTCCTGAATCATCGTGATCAGCCGGACGCCCGTGGTGTTGTTTGCGCCGCTTATCACTGCCAGCCCTCAACTCCTCCCTCCTCCCTTTATAGTTTTTTGGCTGGCTAGATGTTGCAGTGGATGATGTTGGCTAAATTAGAGAGCAAATCTCAATAAACACATGAACAGCGGAGCTACGCTACCTATAAAACTTTACCTCTCCACTTACTCTAGATCTGAATTTTCCGCGCCGTTTCCTCCGCCGTCCCCCAAAGACATCCCGCGTACGACCTCGCCGGCGTGGATAAGTGGAAGCCGCGCTAGATTTACGCCGTGTGGGACTGAGTGCACTCGGCGGAGGACTGGGTGTGGGTCGGGGTGAGCGTTCCCGGCTGGAGCTTTTGTGGGAACTCTGCTGCCGTCCGGCACGGGGAGTACGACTGCGCTGCGCCGGTTTTGGGGGTGTTTTACTCTTGCTTTTTTGTTTTGAATGTGGAGGTGGCGATGTATGTTTCGCCTGCAGCAATTGTTTGCCATTTATAAGAGTCCTTTAAATTCTCGTATTCATCTTAAATCTCTGGCTGCCTCTACCAGACTGCGTTATAATGCTCCACGTTATTTTGTTCTAACTGCAAGAACATCGTCGCTATTTGAATCCAGTCATCAGTTGCGCAGGCGCAATTACAGCCACAGATTAAAAATATATACTCAATTCTAAAGACACAATGTACTTATACGGCACCCGCGGCCGGTAGTATCTGTATTTCCTCTATTTCTCTCTTGTTTATTTTTATTCCATCTACTGGTAAAAAATGTCTCTGGAGACAACGTACGAGTATGTTGATAAAATTGCTGTGAACCGAAATTATGCACAGATAGCTAATAAATAAGCTCAAATAAACTGATCAAAAGTACAGTACGAGTGTACCATCCATCCGATTCTTTATCGTTGTTGTATTGTTTCGAAATTCAACTAACTCTCTAGTCCCTCAATAACTGACATCAGATTGACTCAATTTGGTGTAAAACGATTTTTATTGTGTATATTTAACAGCGCTCGGCAGCTCATGCAGAAGATGACGACTCACAAATTTCAGCACAAACAACAAAAGAATATGCACTTTATTTCCCTATTTCCATCAGAGTTTTGAACGGAAAAATCATAAATATCACATGCTCTGAGAGGTAAAAAGATAAAAACCAAGCATCACAGAAAGCGAGAAACCCTCAACAATATGCTGATTAAAAAAGTCACAGATAAAATTTTTTTTTAAAAAAGCCCATACTCGATCCGTAACAAACAACAACGATAAAGAACCGAACAAATCAAAAAGTTATCATACTTTCAAAAACACCACATTATCGTCAAGACCAACCTGGTCAGTTTCCTCCGACTCCGACGACGCACTGGTACGTTTATCCGCCTAAAAATCCATCCATAAATTACGAGAGTGTTTAAAATTCTTGCATTAATAAAAATTTAGTGTCAAAAAGGACAAAGTAATACGATTATATTTTAGTGCCACACGCATAAATTCTGAGTTCTTCAAAATACGAGCAACCATACGATGGACAGCAAAATTGCTTTCCATATTTTAGCTACTCAGTAGCCGAAGGAGCATCAAACTATGCTTACGAGTACTTATAGATATGTAAAAATATACTGACCTTTTGATCATCGCCGGTATCCACTAGCTGGTCAGCGTGATGACTGCCACTATGATCGCTTTCCGTGGTTGTCACGCCAGGCACGTCCCCTTTCCAGGGATCCCAACGCAACTTATCGGCATGCAGTGGAATACGCTTTTTGCCACCTGTTTTCTTCTCCTGATACGAATCCAGGACGTCTTGTACTAAATTAAACTCCCATGCTAGCGTATCTTCGTTCTTTGTGATAAAATTCAAGCCTTGCAGCGTATCGGCTACATCCTGCGGCCACATGCCCGTTGCGTCGCAAATGGCTAAAACAAGAGTAAAAGATGATTATGGAGAGCACTTCCAAGGCAAAACCATCACCACTATGGAAAAAAATGGAATGCATTGACTATACAGTTAAAATATTTTCATCAGGCGACAGACAGTCTACAGGACAACAAAATAGCAGCCGCGATAATTTTACAGAAAAAAAATATACAATAGTACTAAAATTATTCCTGAAAGAAGGAATTGTATAGCACTGTAAAACTGAATCCCTATTCGCGGACCGCAGTCATTACCTTTGCCTATTATTAGTACGTTGTACGTGCGACGAATTAAATATCTCTAACAATGTGGGAGTTGATTTTTAAAAAATCTTAAGTAAACAAAATTATGAACCAGTTAAATGCAACAAATTTGTCGGAATGCATCTATTTGTCCGCTGAGGGATCCAACAACAAAAAAAAACAGCGGAACCGACCTTTAATAGAGGTTGTCGCTGACGATTTATTGCGCTGTTCCAGAAAGAAATCCAACACAGCACTCCGCCAATAAGCATTATAACTCCACTGTCCCATTTCTGACAAAGGCTTTTCAGGTGTACCGTGCTGCGCTTCCACCCGCGACAATAAATAACCTAAGTAAAATAAATGAAATCTTTGAGGGAGCCAGAATTCGAGTTACTAAACGGATGTATACTTACTGAAATCAATTAGAAAACGTCCATAACCATCGCCTTGAAAGGGTGGAAGCACCATAATACAGCTGACGTTGTAACGTTGGGGACTGTTTTTTTCCTGCAGTAAATGTTATTTTTAGATAAAGACGATAAAGACAAACAACCAGGTGCAAATACTGCAATTACCACAACTCGTATTCAATATACCGCAAAGTTATACAGACAGCAAATTAGCAGTACTGTTCGAAAGCAGTACCAATTGTACAGATCACGGCACAAGAAAAGTACGAGACTCTTTGTACAAATTATGGAGTACCTTGGAAAAATAGCCAATAAGATGGTCTCCCAATTTATCTCGACGACACAAGACATAAAACAGGAACGGTTCGACATCATAGTACAATGTCTTATGGTCCAAGTACAATTTCGCCAACAGGCAAATATTCTGACAGTATTCTTTCCAATCATTGCCATCTGTTTCGTAGATAACCAATTCCTGGGCCGTTTCCGTGCTGCTGACATCCACCGTATCATGATAAATCTCCGCACCCGGCGGTCGATGCCAGGGACATTTCTCCTACAATTTGTACGTCTAAACACTGCGTTCCATAATGCACGAAATGTCATCTTCTTACATAGTGGCTTTTCAGCACTCCCAAGGTTTTCATGTATTGCAAACAAAATTCGCACATGTACAGACATTTACATCTGAAATGGACAATTCAAAGTCAGAAATAATGTATTCCTACGGTTTCTCCGAATGCACTCAATGAAAACGTTTCACTTTATTACCGGATATATTCTTCCGGAAACGGAGAAGTATACCATGTCTTGATTTTCTTATCACCCAGCTGAATTCGCGGTGGCAACGGTCCATCGTAGCCCTCAGCAACCGTAGGAATCTTCTACGAAATAATTCAAACATGGGAGATAAATAAATGCACTTTAAATACGTACTTCCCTATAATGGAGTGCAAGTCAAAACAATTTGGTCTCCAAATAAGTCGCCATTAATATTACTTTTAAAGCCCGATCCCGAGCTTTTCGAAAGAGTTCTTCCAAATTGGTGGGAATCACGTCTGGCACTTTAAACTTGGATGTAGTAGATCCAGTCGGCGAAATGACATCTGCAAAGAAACTCGTTTGAACAATGCACGAAGTACTACAGAAGGCAATCATACGGCAGCATACTGCATAAATGTATGAACGCGCAATACCTTCAGAACGCTGCTTCGAACGTGGCTTGCTTGGCGGACCTTTACTACTATCCGAGTGGCTTCTTTCCGATGCACCCTTACTATCAACCGCTTCCCGTCGACGTCGATACACCGGCCCCACGTAACTAGGCGGCGGACGGCGCTTCCGATCACCCGTTACCGTGAAGAATTTCGTTAACCCATCCTGAAGACTCTTCAGTTGTGTGCTACCGCATTTTTTGCCCCGCTTCTTCTCCGGTTTCATCTGAGCGGCAGATGAAGATGAGGCACGACGCGGCTTTTCCACCGGCTCTTCACTCTCCCAATCTGACGATTCTTCCACTTTCACAATTTTTTTCTCTTTTGGTCGGCTCGTAGTGGCGGTTTTCTTACTGAGTGCCGGTGGTCTGCGTGCATCGTCTTCGGTTGTTTCGCTGTCCGTTGTCTTTTTCGAACTGCGGGATCGTGCCTTGGGTGTGGTCGTACCCGCAGTACTGCTTAGAAGGGTATTGATGGCCACGCGTGATTTCCGCTTGAGACTCGGAGTGAAATATTTCGTCAAACCGTCGCGTAGTTCTTTGGGAATGGACTCTTCGAAACCGGGATCCAGAATACCGTCGGGAACTTCTTCATCACTGGATTTAATGGCCCGGCTTGATGATCGGCTTCCGCTTTTCTTGCGCGGCTCCTCTAGTGGTTTTCTGGAATTCAGAAGTACAGCCGATTCAGCATAGATACTTTTAAAAGTACCGCTAACGCTTCCCCAAATGCGCATCGAACGCTCTTCAGTTATGTAATGTAACATTATATGTATCGATTTTATATTAACACCGATCCAATTTCAGTAATTAGCGCAATGGCTATGCGTGCGTGTGTTCCGAGTCAACTTCCGACTCATACAGTTGTTATACAGACTACAGTCAGAGCTTTTATCACTGCAGGAAAAGCTTAAACCAGTGACTACCTAACACTTGTCAACACCGTTGACAACGACTTGAACAGCAACACGACAGCAGATTTGAGATTCTGAGATTCCGTACTAATGCAGTGTACCACATATCAGCGAAGACACTCAAAGCAGGTCACTAATTATTTGAATTCATTGCGCTCATGGCTTTGTGACTTTTTAACTTTTAAGCTAAAAAAACGTAAACGCAAGTGTAGAAAACGCAAAACCAAGAAATCACCTCACTTAAACGAATAGAAGTACTTAAATTTGATCGGCTGTATACCAGTATTAAACTTACTTCTTAAATGGTCGTCCGCGTTTTTTCTTTGGTGGATCATCCACCTTCTTCGCTTCCTCTTCCGTTTTCTGCACCCCCATTCCACTCGATGTTGAGGGCATAGGCTCGTCGCGGTCCATACTCAGGTTAAGCGGCTTCTGCCGAATGAGCTCGTTCAACTTCGTCGCCTTCTGGAAGCTCTTCTTTGTTCTGCTGTTTGAATTAATGGTCGATGGCGGGCCCATTGTTTTCTCTATCTTTTCCATTTCTCTGAATTCACGCTGCAAACTCAGGTCTTTGGCTTTTTCATCGGAAATACTCCGCTTCCTTATAGGACTTCTCAGTAGAACATCCGGAGAGCGAACTGCTGAACGTCGATCTTCCAGCAAAGCCACAAGTTTAGGCGTTCTTTCATCCGATCCAAACCGTAACTTTGGCGATGGTGATATCGACGTCTGTTTATCCTTTTCGCTCTTCTCAGTGGAACTTTTCTTACTCCATTTGTCATCGGAAACATTCTTCTTCGGGGTTGCACTGCGTGCGTCGACTGGTTCATCCTTGATCGGGGTTTTCATTTCCTGAACAGCTGAACCAGCCTTGGAAGAGGATTTTTTCTCGGGAGACTTCGAAGTGGAAAGTCGTCTTTCCGGTGTTTTATCGCGAACCTTCTCAGTGGAGTTCGGCTGTATTTTGGATTTCTTTTCTTTCTTTTCCTTCTTTTTCTCCACTGGTTTTACCTTGGATGTTGAGGGGAGCAGGATATCTTCCGAATTAATTGACGGGGATCCGTCGTGGACATCCATCTTTTTCTTTTTCTTCTTCTTCTTCGTTACTACGACCTCGCTAACAGATGCATCATCAGAGTTCATACTGGATCGTGCTCGAGCGTTCTGCAAATAAGCACAGATCCAGATTCACTATTCCTGCTACGCAAAGGCAGACAGAGTAATTAAACGCGCGTGCATTCATCCCCTTTACTTTCGGTGGAGCTTCCCACAGGTCAATAAAGCAGTGAATTTCTGCACCGACGCCACAAAACCAACGCATGCGCACTAATAATCGAGCACACCTTCCTCGTTAGTCCCTACGGTAATTCCAGAGCGTACAGTAAAGGCACTACCATTCAACTGAGCCATGCCAGGCGGGCATTCCGCAAGCCTCACCGTCTAATCAATTTACCAGGTCAATCAAGATGCTGCACAAAATTACTTAATGTCCTAGTGCATTTTCATTCACTCGAATGTGTGCCGTAAGCTGTCAGATGCCCGGCTTCGACAGGAGTAACCCGATGATTATCCCGTTATTGAACCGGCACAAAATACTGTATCATCAACACTGACTGTGCGGCTGCTGCAGATACTCCGTATTAACTGCTCCGCTGGCCATTAAAGATACGCGCACTCGCAGGCAATGGGGCACCTATGTATGATATTGTCGCATAAAATCTCCTACAATTTTGCCGTTGCTTCTCAGTTCTCACTACCCAGTTCTGGCTATTTTATTTAACGGGAATTTGAAGATATCGAACAATGGTCAATAAGGAAATGGATCGATTATCTCTCAGGCACGCACGCCCAGTGTTATTAAGTAATAATGTATTCAAAACAAGAAATCCAGGTACAGTATGTATTCAGAGCAGGAAGTCAAGTCATATAACCAAATGGACTATTATTAATGGACTGTAAGTCGATCAACAGTAGCCGTAAATAATACAAAAGGATTTAAGGTGCCTAGCAGCTGATAGGGGTTTGCACATTGTATTGTCTGCAAATAACTGGACAAAAATGCCAGAAACCAAATGCCGAGCGTTGCAGATGCTTATTTCAGCTGAGAACTTAACAACCGAAGGCAGTCCATACGCACTACAAGGTCCACAAATACACTGCGAGAGTACGAGTACACATAAGCTAGGAATTTCCTAATAATTTCAAGTCTGACTTCAAATATTTCGCGCAAAGGTAACAGATTCTCATCACCTGATAGCACAAATCGGACAAATGATATGCCCAACCATGTACCCACCATCGAGGGGTCACACACAATTCCTTTATCTGCTATCTCTCTACCGAAGCCAGCACAATACTCCAACGTTTTACAACATCAAGTATTCATGAAAGGAACGCTTGATAAAGCACGATGTTGCTGTTTGTTTTCTCTTCAAATGCGCCATAAATATCAACAGATGCATTTAATACTACGGCCAGCACATACTCGAGTTTGGTCGCGCTTTTCTACCCTGTCGGGAGAGATACGACGTTGTGTTTCTACTTTCTAGTCGAGATCTGACAGTTAAAGTTATGTATCCAGCACAACGAATAAACGCCTGCCCAGTGCTTGCTGGCATCAGAGCAAATGCTTATATGGAGCCATTTTTAAAACTGAGTATTCAGATGTGGCGATTTTCAAGGTTTCACTTCGACTGGAATTGGTTGCAACTTGTAAGCAATCAAATGTACTTGTCCCCATTTTAATCCAGAGAGTTGGGAATAGAGTCCCTTATTACCATTCCCGAAGCCCTGCTGCTAAATACAGCATCACGGCATCACCGGAAACTTATTCTAGGGATATACGTACCTTTTCTTTCTCATCTACCAACTCCTTTGCGAGAATATAACGGTTATTTTTCTTCTCCAGATCACTTTTGGCTAGAAGATGGTTGATAGCTTTGGTGACAGCAGCTGGAAGACCCTCGGGATTCTCAACTCTACAAATAAATTTGGGAATATAGATTACAGAGTCGAAAAGAGCTATGCCAGTAGCAGCACAAAGTACGTAGTAAACGAACGTAAATTGCATTTTATGGATAAATGCTCACAACTGAATACGCACTCCTAACGCTGAGCGACCGTATGATCCAAGCTAACCACGAATTAATTATCACGATGCTATTACTTTAAGTTTAAATTGCTTTTTAACTCTCGAAGAATTTCTTGTAAAAGATACACCGTTAATTTATGCAGTTATTTGTTGAATCTACCAAAAATGAGCAATACACAGTACTCGTGTCAAGTCAAATAACAGTCATTATGTCTTACGGTTACATTTACAGGTATTACAGAACTCACTTGAACGTGCACTCGATGTATCGTGTAATGAGTTCCTCCGTGATACCAGCTTCATTTGGAGCATCTCCCACTTCCCTGATGGCAAACTTCACCGCTCGACGCACTTCAGAATCGCTCTTAACCGTGAATTTACGCAGCTTACGGAGATTCTCCGTATCTTTGTAGGACTCTTTACCGTTACTGTACACCATGAACATGTGTCCATCCCGGATGGCATACTGCAGCTGCTGTTGGACGAAGCCAGATCTGGTCCCCTTCCGGACATGTTTGAGTGCCTGGCAGAGACGGTCGAAACTGGGCCGTTGTTTCTGGCCTTTAATCTTGCCAATGGCTTCTTTGAAGAGCGCCAGGAACTCGTGATCGACATGTCCGTCGCCTATGCCCTCCTCCGATATGACAATGGAGCTCCCCGATGCAGCTGCTGATGCAGGTGACGGAATAGGCGAGGGGGATGGTGAACGGGATGAGGATGATTCGGAAGAAGTCATCGCATTGTTCACCACATACGCGAGCAGCGCTGTGGAGCAGTCCGTATCGACATTGCCCCCGCGGATAGCTGTCTGCGCTGTCCTCACGGATTACTTTCAAGTTCACCAAAGGGATAACTACTTATTGAGTGTCTATGAAGTTTCCTCTTTTAGGGCAATCACAACATAATCAACAATCTCACGTTCAGCAGTTCGTGATTATCCTCAGTTATGTGCAAAAGAAAGACCCATCATCAAGTTGTATCTTGAATAAAGGCAAAGGCCCCGAAATAGGAATACTTCACTTTACAAATTCAACCCATTTCTATAAACGTAGAGAAACAGTTTTTTAAAAGAAAGAATCGATAATCTGTTTAAAAAACTTAAGATTCTAATAAATTTATTTAAACAAAAGTTACTAAACAAAGAATAAACTGTCTTTCAGACTCTTTCTCCATGAATTCTGGACGCCAAGTATAGCAAATTTTAGGCTTGCTGCGTCAGCGTTTCTGATTCGTGAGTTGTGAGACTCATGACGAAGTAATTTCAGAGGTGTACATAAAGAGTACTCAGTCCAGAAGCATGAGCAGCATCATGAGATCTAGAGCCAAAGGGTGTGAAAGCTTGGGTTTTGGCGTAATAACGCGAGGCGATGTCTTCACCGTCGCAAATGGAGAATTGCATCTTGAAACTGACCATCAAGTGGACGGAACGAATAATAAAATTCTTGTTATGGTTGCTTATCTTAATTTGTAATGTCCAAAAAAATTATGCGTTGCCTGTAGCTTACGCCTTACGGGCCGGGTATTCATGCTTTTCTCATTTCTTTAGCCAGAAGTAAGTGACTGACGATGAATGCTTGATGTAGTACTACATATAGAGTACCTTTATTTCTCATAGTCAAAATATGTACAAGGCGAGCTTCGCTCAACAAATATCTACTATATATGATCAAATGAAAAATTTTTCCCAGTTAAAATGGGAAGGGACTGTGGACAATACGATATCAATCATATAATTACCGTATGTGAAAGGATACAGTTACGTGGTGGTATTAATATCGATTATCAAAGAACAAGCAGTATTACTTCTGCTCTGACTAACAATAAGTTTTGTATTTTAGCTATGCCGACTAAATTCGGCTATCTGTATGTTATAACGAATGATTTGTATACAACGGCTTGCTCTGTATAACGGCGACGACTTTATAACGATCGCGACTTGCTCTGTATAATTATACAGAGCCAGTCAAACCCGGCGGAAATTCAGAGCAAACTATAGATATTTTACTTTGTGAATTGTGATAAATTTTTTGGCAGAGGCAAAGGAGAACCAAAAGCACGAATTTTTATGTGACTACTCTGCTCTGGCTTTTGAAACAATGGGCTTTTTCGGTTAATACCTTAACCGGATAGTGTAAGATCACTGCTCTCGGTAATATGCATTTTGAGAGGACCCAGGAGAAACGGTCCACTTAGTTTCTGACGGAGAGAATCAACGTTGTTGTAAATGCAGCGTACTGCTGCTTCCGGAAGCGTTCTGGCGCTTGAATAACTCAATATAATCATTCTTTTGCGTTTCATATTTTTTTGGTGGCTTATTAAACAGCAGAATTTAACGCATAGTACTTGACTTTGGTTTTCTTCGCCAACAAGAAGTTCTGAAAGGACAACAGGTCTTGCAACGAACGATGGGATATGTAGAATACCAGTAACAATGGCACTCCTAGTACTGAAGTACACCAAGCGTTGAAGCCTACTCGTATACAGTATAAACCACGCAAAATAGGTAAATACAGAGTTGATGCTATACATTAACAAACCAAATACAGCAAGATATAAAAAATTAAAACCGTTCAGTGGTTTTTGACATTAATTTTGAGTTTGACCAGCGCATGTGCCATTATCACCAGGACGCTGAACATACGCGTATCGTATATTTATACAGTGGATGCGACACCGGTGAGTAAGTAATTAAATCTGCCATTGCTGTCTAACTGCTACTTATGCACTGCCAAAATCACAACTAACAGCATTTGGCTTTATTTTCTTCACTTTCAAAATAATGCGCTTTTTTGTTGCGTCGTGTTGTGGAGCGTATAATGGAGTGGTTGGTTTTGGCAAGTTTATACTGGAATACTGTCCGTGACCAGGGGGAAGCTCGGGCGCACTTTTTTCGCTCTCTGTGACCGACGAATTCGAAGCAGGAGCGGGGCTTACAGAATCGACATGGTCGTTTATAGTCAGCCCACACGATTTATAAAACTGTAAATATATAAGCAAGTTCCGTTAAATTTGTGTTTGTTTTGCGTTTGCGCCTTGGAGAATTAACAAAGTTTTAAGCTGTATATAAATACACATAATAAAGTAGAGCGCAAATAAAGCATTAATTTTTGTTTTCTTGTAAAGTTACGTTTAGCGTACCGGCATCTCATCCGATAAATCGTCAGTTTCTGCATCTGTCTCTTTTATACTGGCTTGCTGCTTCAGTAGACGCGATGGATCCTCACCGTCGAATTGGTGATCAATTTCCAGAGGGGTTGCAGCTTGTTTCTCTAGGTTTATCCGTAAATCAGTAGCCAAAGGCAGACAACCAGCGCGTCCATTTTCGTGTTGTGTGTGAGACTGGTATTGATTCGGGAATGCGGTCGCTAATTTCTGCGAAGCTGCCGGATCAAAAAAATTCTGATAACCAGGCGCAAACAGATCAAGAAACGGACTAAAGGATGTTTCCGGAACAGGAGCTTTGCGACTGAATGACGCGGGTGGCGCTAGATAATTGCGGGTGTTGTTTCGAGGGTAATTATCGTGATTAACGGGAAAAGGCTTTTTTGGTCGTGCAGACATCGACGTCATCCTACAAAATTCGCACACTGGGGTACCACATAAGCAAATACCTACAGGCTGCACTATTTTATATAGATATCTATAATAGTATACACACCACATATATTTTCAGTAAAATCAAGTATAACTTTCTAGTAATTTTTTTCCACAGTGAAACAAGATTACTAGGGTAGCTTTGCTCTAATTCTACAAGTAAAGGTACGAGAATAGTCTGCAGGTACGGGAATAGTCTGCACAACCTCTGTTAATGCGTGAAAATTGATACTTCTATAGCAAAATATTCATCATTCACCACTATGCAATACCATTTAATATTCACCATTATGCAATAAATTTTTCGTGTGTTTTCGAGTCTAGCACCTGATTCGGTCACACTCACAGATCAGTAGACATTCCTTTACTCCAGTTTCTAGCATACTCACATTGCTCTTGCAACAGCACGTTTCTGAGCAAGAATATTTGAAAACGGTGTCGGAAATCTGAGCATTTCCGAGCTGCGACTGATTTTGGATTTGTTGGCCGGTGCACCACTAACATTGCCGATATGCTGCTGTATTCCCGAATGGTTTGTTGTAGCAGTGTTAGCAAAATATGCATTGCCGGCATTCTTTCGAATTACATCATTTACAGCAGGTATACTGAAGTAATTCTTTAGACCATCACTTCCGAGTGGGTTTTCAGGCAGGTTACGGCTCACATTTCCCATCTGTATGGGTACCGGTACTCTCTGCAACGGTGAGCCAGATGATGTTGGCCCAGTTGGCACAAACGTCGGACGTATCCCACAACTAGATGCTTCCCCTGTTCGCTTATAACCGTTAGACTGCATTGCGGATGCCGCGAATAAAGCGCTGTTGTTACCAGGAGAACTCTCATAATTTTGGGCACTTCCGTTGGCTGGTAGAGATTGTAGGCCGCCATTAAACTGTGGCACCAAATTTGTGTAGTTGTGAGAAGGAACATGTTTGGCTTTGACTGTCACTTTCTCCACCTGACGCATAAAAGCAAAAAAAGACACTAAAAATAAGTAACAACACAACTTGACTGTTACTTTAACGTTATCCTGTTAATTCAACTTAATTGTCAGAAGTTTGAAAAGATTTTACTTGGTTGACAAATTTTACAGTCAATCGAGAAACTTTGTATGCTAATGTACAACAGCATGTACCAATATGCATGCATATTGCAATCATAATAATAATAACACCTGTTAACGTAACAGTTATTAATTTCCCCGTTCGATTTTCTTATGCAGGCATGCGATCGATTTAGAGTCACCAGTTTTACTGTTACCGGCAATTCCGTATATTTTTGTGGTTTGGTAAAGGCGGTCGCAGGGGCATTACCACAGGGAACAGCAAGTGTGTACAGTCCTTCAGGTGTTGTGCGAGCGATTCCAGTCGTAACAAATTCCTCTAAAACTCTCCCAACGGAATTGAGTAAGCCGGCGGTAGTAGTTTCCAGAAATCTGCATACGGGATATGTTAGCTTAAAATGGCAATATTATAAAGAAACTTCCTGATAAAACGCTGGCTCTTAATACGGCCTTATTCCGGTAAGTACTTTCAAAACTAGTAACACTACTGCTCTTCATGATCGGCATCGTTAATTTTAACTGCCTAAAAGTATTGCCATTTTTCCATAAACGCATAAAAAATGTACGTACACTTAAGAATTACTTAAAAATGTACATGTATAACATTTACGAGTATTTTGCACTGGATACAACAATGTATAATTTAATGGTAGAACAAGACCGGAACCGAGTTATGATGGATTAGCTTTTGAATCCACTAAAACTTAATCAGCCGAATATTGTCAGCTCGCCGTCCACAGGCTTTGCGCTGTTGTTCACGATTGGCATCCGTACTCGTATTTTATATTATTTCAGTTTATATTATCAATTATGCAACGCAGCCAATGATATTAACTTAATATCTCTATCAAAAAGCAATCGTGGCCGCATGATTTGCGATTTACGTAGTTGTCATGCATATGTACGCCGCTTCATGCATAATAATAATAATTATTATCCTACTTTGCAGTTATAGTGAGCCTGTCTAAAATTAAACTGGAAATACACATACTTCTATAGATATAAGTTACATACGTCGGCAAGACGAGAACGTCAGCCTTTAATTATGGTTTAATATGTATGTCACACAGTATGTGTACCCGCATGTTTCGTAATTATGTATACCTTACTTGCATTTGACACGGACAAAGCTGACCATTGTATGTCCACCCAGTGGCTGTTTCACGTCGCGCAAGACAACGTAAATGGCTTCATATAGCAACCGCTTTTGAGGAGGAAAATTGCAGATCAAATTGGCCAGCAAGGCTTCGCTGAGATCCTGGTATTGATTGGAGTCTGCTCCCGACTGTTCGCTTCCGCCGCTTTTATCGCTACGTGCATGCGGAGTATCAGCTTTCTCAGACGATGTATTACTAGAATACTGCTGTTCGCGAACATCAGAAGAGTACTGCAATCCAGGGGTCCCGTTGTTGTGGTATTCTGTACTTGGGAAAATTGCCGGCTGACCATCTTGCACATGCATCGGTGAAACAATGTTGCCGTTAATAAACCCGTTTACATTACTCACGCTTTGGTTGTTTTGAGGCGACAAACAATTAGTCTGTAACTGATTAGTAGTGAAATTACAAAACGTATTCTGTGTATTGCTAAATCCCGTTCTGGATGCTGTGAAGTCTAAAAGGTCTCCTAATTTAACGTTCGACGAATAAATATTCTGATCGAAGTGGTTGTTATCAGGCGCAGGGAAATGCTGATCGTAATTAAACTGAGTAGCAGGATTATAAGAGACTGGCGAAGACTTCGGTTCGGTTTTGATGCCAGTATTTTCCACAGCATCGTCACGAAGCATATTGTACTGATTAAGCAGTCCAAAATAGTCAATATTTTCCTTTTCCTGCTTGACCACTGATGAGTGTTGGGATATATCATGATCCAACGTGTTTAGGGCATCCATGACAATATTATCGTTAAATGCGAAGGGGTTATACTGTGAGCTTATATCCACTTCATGATCACCAGGAGCCAAATAAGTATCATAATTAAATTCACAAGTTGCGGTTGACGACACTGCAAAGAAGGATTCAGCACCACTGACAACATCACCGCCATATTGCAGCGCCATTTCGGGAACAGGTGCACCCGTGTAATCCGCAGCGCCCTGACAGGCTAACACACCACCGGAAGTAGTAGAATAAAACGTCTCCGTTTGCGGAGGAGTCTTAGGTGTCAGACGCGCGATTAAATCATCCAGCTGTTCAACCGCAGTATTATTACCGGGACTGGGAGTCGATCGGCATAATGAGGATGGACTACTAAATGCCAAGTGTGTTTCGCGCTGATTAGCGGCATCATCACTATTGACGGCTTCGATGATTTGCTGTACGAGATAACCATCACGTACGGCTGCGTAGAGGCTGGCGCGTACCGATTTGAAAAACACCGTCTCCGCCGATTGATGGGATGCCAATAAGGCATGATAGATGTTGGTAAGTGTCGGCAGTGTACCGTTGGTTTTCAGCACGCCGATGATGTTTTTTATTACATCAATCGGGCACAGTGCATCATCGGAGCTGGTGCGTTCCACATCCTCATCCACTGCAGTGTCGATGTTATCGAAGGGAACATCGAGGAGCATCGTGTTACAATATTATATGGATATGCACCAATGTAGTCAACGGGATGCTTTGCAAATGCGATTCGTGTTCGGATCATCACATGAGCGAGCACATGAAATTATATGACTCAACGATCCCGTTTTTGGTAAAAACCACATGCCCATTCCGCAATATGGCCACTTCGGTGTTGAAGTCGCAGAATCTGTTAGTCCGTTTGCGTGCGCGATTAACAGATATATTGCATGAGCTGAGATCCATGAATGCGTAGATCTGACAAGAGATTAATAATATGCCTAATAGGGAAATGATCTCACAGTTTTGAGCTGGCTAGCAAATGTCATCCCGCACGGCATATTATAGGGTCATTTGCACGACTTGATATTGTCGTTAATCAACAATAATGCTGGCATGATACGCAGCCGTATTATTTATTATCTAACCGGAAACTGGTCCACAGCCCTGACCTTTACAAAAATCCCGTATTAATTACATATAGATATAACGGAAGATGATCGATTAGCTGTACGTATGCACTAGAAGTGCTACAGTCGAAAAGATAAAGTATTATATATATAACAAAAATTCACAATACCATGCCGTTAACGGTTCAACGCATTAGCAGTTAGCACGATACTTAATTAAATTAATACCACTATATAATTAACGGATCAGATACATTGAAGCAGAGGTTGCAAGTAGGAATCTACAATTTTGATTACGCAGATCCATCGTAACTTAGAGCACTAACTTTCATAAAGGTGCTTTAAGACTGTGCACATTGCAGCGCACATGCATGTAGTACACAACCAGTGCATGCTTCTGTGTGGATTGTAAAACTGGATCCTTGGGGAGTACGTAGGCGACTTGCGCCGCGTAGTCTCTGCAGTCCACTGCACGAGCCTTCCTGTAATATTGTGGGATAAGCTGCTCATTGATAAACAGCGGACTGTTGAAAGGCGCACTGCGCGCGGCATCACCACTGAACGACCCTGAATATACTGGGTATGGGAAGAAACCGGAAGATTGCGCAACTAAAGTGTTCGTATTACGATATTTATCAGCTGCAGCATAGCTGTGCAGTAAGTACAACATCTGTGACATGAGAATCCTGATGGGGCAACGTTTGGCGAACTGAGTGTACGTACAGAACGCAGATACATATACAGTACAACCCTTGCATTAATTTTACAAGTAGTCCGTAGAATGTAGATGCACCACAATAAAATACGCGGCACATCACTCTGTTTTCCAGTCCGTGCACGAACTTAGGTTAAAATTTGATCGATAAATCAAAGAGCCGGCCGGCAACTACAGCGCAGACGCTCCCATCCTACTCGTAGATCGATTTTTTACTTTTTTGTGTTGCGAATGTACGAATGCACCGTGGCAAATAATTGCCCAATAAAAAAATTACAAATTTTTTCAGTCCGCGTTAATTGTGACGGTGTAGATGTTGCATCAGATTTAATTTGATAACGGTTACAAAGAAACTTTACTTTTTCTTCGGATGGCGATGAATCAGATTTACCTCTTTCTGGGCCCCGTACGTTGAAGACTCAGGCACTTTCAGCGAACTTCTCGCATAACGCATCAATCTCAATCGTCTACCGTCCGGAACCGTCTAAATGGGCCGGCGATTCATGTCATTCCATATTACGGGTCACTTCCGCGTGGAATTCAGAAATTTCAACGTTCGGCTTCGAAACAGCAAGAATGATTACGCAGAGCTTTAGCGACTGTAGTGTGCCGATCGGTAGTTATTCAGCACTGTGCTTTTGTACATTTTTGTATTCATAAAATTAATGCAGGTGACTGAGTACTAATTCTACAACATCGATAATGATCTCCGTAGAAACACGCGGGCAGGTTCTTATCGCGACATCATAATGGACACATACCAAAACGGTGGCAGGAACGTGGTATACCTTCCATGGTGAGATAAGTTGGCGAAACGGTGGTTCATGTCATTCAGACCGTTACCCCACAAGCCAGATCCGATTTCCGCCATTGCAATGTGAACAAGACCAAGTAACGTAACTGATCAGGTATAAAAAAATCTAGGTACTGTATAGTGTATAAGTATAGATAGAGAGCGGATGCCGCTCTGACAGTACTCTCCAAATTGCCTTCGGATTCTAAACCAAAATTTACCATATATTACGTTTGATAACTTTGATTTTGTGGTCTCTACGGAATGGCATCATGAAAAAGCACAGCATTGGCAAGTGTCTGGATCACATATCTACAGTTCGACGGGTCAACAATTTTCGACACAATTATTTTTAGAACGCTACCAGAAATTAGAAATATCTATACCAAAAAGTTTTAGTGCAACGACCAAATCATAGCTTTTCAAATACGAGTACAACAAATTAGCCATTTTGTTTGCCACCTTTCTGCCTATCAAGCCTTTTACACACGGCCTTCTTAATCCGTTTCTGCGCCGAATTTTTCTTCTCTTCCAGTAAAGCCATTTCTCTCTTGTACGCTTCCTTCTTTTGCTGTGCATCCAAACGATGTTTTCTGGCTTTGTCTTTATGGATTGCTTCCATGTCTCGCAGCATCTGTCCAATCGAACGTTCCTTTGGTTCCAGAATGACTGCCACACGTTGCATATCTGGATGCTTCCTCTTTGCGCCCTTGTTCTTCGGTTTATCTTTGTAAGGTAAACTTTCTTGTAAATCTTTCGGTATTACCAGCGGCTTAAGCCGACGCTCTCTCCGTACGATAGGCTTATACAGAGAATCAGGATTCAACGGTGCTATATCACCCATTTCCTTTCGGATTTCACCAACTCTCCGCATACCCTGCCATTCCAGCTTTTCTCCCCTCGGCAACAGTAAGTTCGGCAACGGATTGTACAGCTGAGGAACGTCTATTTTGAACCAAGTCCGCACAAAAACAATATCACTGGGCAGGATTTTATCTTCGAAAGTCGCACGGAAAGCACCTTCCGGTTCTTTTAGAGCGCGCTTAATCTGACCACGAATACCACTAACGGTGCGGATGGCAGCACCTTCAAATCGACTGACTTCCAAGGTGGAATTGAACATTCCTTTGATAAAAGCTGTTTTTCGGAAAATTTTCAATGGTTCACCAATCAGTTTGAGCTTTTTCACAATGTCCACAGATTTATTCAAGTCCAAAACAACTCCTGTCGAAGTGATTCGGAAAGATGTATCCTGACCTGCGGTTTTCACACTTTCGACGGACAGCATGCCTATAATAATAAAAAATGAACGAAAATAAGTAACAAATAAACTACAGTGCTTCATAGTTAAACTGGTGAGAGAAGAATTGACAACCTAGCGAATGTCAAGCAGAAACGCAATTCCGGCCAAAATTTTACCTACATATTCACTGTGATCTGCTAAAGCAATGGTACAATGGCAAAGCACCTGTCAATTCTTACCGGTTCCCTGTGGCGTAATCGGACCCCAAAATGTGGCTAAACAGTGCAGATGTTGAGGCGTATATTTGAGCATACGATTTCGCATGTTGTGGTCCTGGGTAGAGAATACCGGGCGCGTTTGGAATCTTCTCCATCCCAATGAGACGATGATCGGGTCCAAATTCTTCAAGATTTTCGGATACCATCTGTGTTTTTTAATGCGCACCTGCACGTAACCGATATTCTGCTCTTGACTCAACAATCCGCCAACAAGGTAGGGGTAGGAAGGATCGAAATTCGTCACCACTTCACACGGCACTTTGGTAAACTGCATTCGGACATACAGACCAGGACGATATCCTTCGTACTGAATACGCTGGGCTTCGTCCAGACCGGCGAATTCCGTACGATTCAACTGAGCTTGCTGCTCTAATTCTTCTTTCAAAGAATCATAATGCGTCTTCTTGCCCACGGTTTTCTCTTCGTCGAATTCGGTATCAAAAGCTTCTTTCAGTTTCCGTTTCTTTTCCAGCAGACGGTCTGCTTCATCCTTCTCATCTATCGGCTCTTTAGTACTTTCACCCATTTCATCGTCGTCGTCATCGTCGCCGAAGTCTCCATCAACCTAAATCCAAAGCCTTCTAATTATAATAGAGCAATAAATAATTAGTATATCGAATTTTACATCATCGTCCTCCTCATCTCCTTCAGGCTCAGAACTCTTGAAGATTTCACCCTTTTCGAGATCTTCGTAATCTCCGAATACTTCCTCATCACCATCAACAGTCTTCGTTCCTTTACCGGTGTCACTGGTTTTCTTCTCGACAAAATGACCTCGTAACTTGTTCCGTAATTCCTCTTCCGTCCAGTTCCGATTTTCGTTTGGTATATATTTCGTAGACTCCACAACGTTAATCCTCTTTTTAGTCGGAGCGCCTTCGTTATACTTCTGTACCGTTCTAAACAACCCCCCAACTGTCTCTTCGTCGCTCTCATCCACGTCATCCGACTGGTTATAGATAAGACGTTTCAAGTTCGTCACTGTTGATAATTTTCCGAAATACATGTCAGAGGCTTTTTCGGCGAGATTAGACTTCCATTTCATGCTGCCATCGGGAAAATTGTCAGTGGATACATCATCGTCATCGTCGAAAGCCAACTCCTCTTCACCATCAGCGTCAGAGTCTAAAAGAAAACCTTGGTATAGTTGAGAAAAATGCTACACAAAATCCCAAACAGCTTTATCGGTAGCTCAGGCTGTCAGGCAATAAACAATACAGCATCTCAGATACAGTTAAGTGATCCAAACAATACGCATGCACTTCAAACAGTAAGACAAAGAAAATGAAATGATTTTCAAAACAGTTCAGCACTTTTTATGTTCAGCATAATAAATCAGGTAGGATGCAATCACTGACGTAATTTCATTTCGTACTTACCATTTTCTAGCATTCGACCAACTCGTGCTTCTTCCATATCAGAACCAGATTCGTCTTGCTCATCGTCGTCACTACCCACATCATTCATCGCAAGCGGTTCTTCATCGAATAAAACCTTGCGACGACTCCGTCCAGAATCCTGAACCACTTCGTGACGCTTCCCCATATTTTTCTTCCCGGCTTCGTACTCTTTACCGGTCACTCCTTTGGCGCCAGAAATCAGAGTGAATTCGGCATTCTGTAGCTTTTCATCAATCATCTCATTGGACTCTTTAAAAGTATTTAGCAGCTGCTCGAAAGCCGTAGGTTTTCGATCGCGCTGTACGGATTGATCAACAGGTCGGTGTGAGTGACTTCCGCCGATGTCGATATAAACCGCATCTTTATCGTACAGGACACCTCCCATTCCCGAAAGCGGCGCATACACAAGCTTTTCTTTTTCGTTAAGTGAACGCTTCCGTTCTTTATCAGGCAGTGCACACGGATCAGGAAGGACGGAAACTTCAGCAATTTCAAAGTCACCGCAACCTACAAAGAATATGGCCCAAAATTATTTAAACGTGGTGCAGCGCGCAAACTTTTGTCACAAGAAGCAGACACGTAGAAGGACCAAATAATGTTACAATGAAACCAATGAATGTGACAATGCCAAAAATTTTTTTAAGCGCAGCAAGAACAGCTAATTCAATCAGAAAAATCAAACACCGGCACTTATGTGTTTAATTCGCTGTGACAATCACCACCCTTAACAATGCACTGTTTACTAAAACAACTCTGATCCACACTGACTCAAGAATGACCAAGCTAAGGCCACTTTTCTGTACTTATTACTTTTTACTTCAAACATTTTTTGATACACGTATACTGTGTATTCATAAAGAAATAATACGCAAATGCAATAACTGAACAAGTTTTTTTAGTAATTAAAACAATCAGCATATGTAAACTAAGGATCAGGCGTATATCAAAAACAGATGCAGCAAGACAAAAAATTAACAAGTCAAAGTTATCAAAAATTGAACTTACCAGCAATATGTGCCCACGATTTGCTCCTGAGATGCGTTCCGCGAACATAACCGTAAAGGCACACCGTCCGATCCTCTTTCGGGGTGGTCCGAATTACCTCCGGATCCGTAATATCCTCCATTCTATCCACCAGCACATAGGGATGCGAACTCCGCCACTGCAGCGGTCGGAATTTCTGAATACTGATAAACCGACCAAGATTCTTCACGTCCCTGCGCATGTACTCGCCATTTTTCAATCCGGATATGTAAAACAGCTTTGCACCCTGATAAATCTCCGTCCAGAAACGCTGCTTCAGGCGCTTCTTCGTCTTCTGCATGGCCTTACTTTCCCGAAACATATCCAAATGTGTCAACACACCCATGATCTTCGGGAATCCATGCACCTGACAAATATTCAGGAATTCAAAGGTTTCCATTTCAAAGCCAAATTTAGCGTCGATCAGGAGCAAAACCAAATCAGCGACTTTTGCCACATCAATCATGGCATTAATATCGTTGTTGCATTCAATCAATGTGATTCTGCGCTTCTTTCCCGAGACGATGGTAACGGGTCCTTGAATGTTGTTGATATTATTGCGCGTAAAGCTCTTGATCAAACACTGCATCAGTGTGGTTTTCCCGACTTTCGGCGGCCCCACGATGGCGACAATATATGGAGGCGGCAGCTGCGGAGTGCGGTCGATTTCCGGGATACGCGTGCGTTTCTCGCTGATATCAGCCGTCCGGCGGAATGTACGCTCGGCACGGACCACTGACTGAAAGGCGAAGGCCTTGGGATTCCTTTGCTTGGCCGATTCGGCTTTCTTCTGCTTTTGAAGTGGAATATCATCTTTCAGCTTGCTTTCTTTCTTCTTCGCGAGTTTTCGTCCAGCATGCGTTTTACGATGCGTTTTATGGCTTTCGATAGACTCCATCGGACTCGGAATTTAAAAAAAATGCACTATCAATAATCTAAAACTTCCGAACTAAAAATCAATAGAAGTGCACTGTGGAAGACTTGTTGTCACTTCGTCATTCACCGGCAGGTAGGCGCTTACCTAAACAGTAGAATTGAGCACCTGGTAAATCGCAATCTTGAAATTAATCTCTTTCTATTTCAATTTCAAGAATAACATAATATTGTACTATCGAAATCCGTTTTTTCGTTACTTATTATTCTGCTTTAAAGCCGCTAAGTTACCGCAATGACCGCAACATTATCGCAGGAAAAACCATTACTCAGTAATTTTAGGAGTGAGGATTTTTATTTTTTTTTCGAAATATCGATCGATGCGTCTCGCTCTGCAATTTAATACGCACTTAAAAAAATAATATCACTAGTTTTATTTCATGTAGCCGTCATGGAAAAGAACCAAAAAAGAAAAACACGCATTTCTGCATACATACGTCTGGCAGCTTGCCCATTTAAACTTCAAAGAAATTTATTACCGACTTTCAGGTTTCCAAAAATATATCCAACAGCTGAAAAAGCATGTTCACAGCAAGTTGAAACCAAAAATACGCTTGAAGCCTTCACCGCATTTCTCCAGATGACTACGTTCAAAATTTCAAAACCGGTCACGTACCCAAGTAAACAACAAAAAGTTTACTAAACACACAAAAAAGAACTACTCGTGGCTCTCACAGAAACCGAACAAAGAACGATATACAGAAAACGTCTAACAATTGGAATCAACAAACGTACAAAGCACAAACAAACTCCTTTAACTACAGTGAGTCCTCCTCAGGCATTAGTATACGGCTGCGGGCACTGCAAACGGCACTGATCCATATCCGTGAGCCATCGCGGCACAAGACAATCCACCGGCCATCCCAGCCGGGCCACACACCGAAGGACCGTAGCCGGATCCAACACCCGGATAATACCCAGCGCCAGGATATCCAGGATTAGGATGATATGCATACCCCGGCATCTACAGAGCAAAATTGTGGTCGCGAGCGAACTGTCTAATATAAAGAAAACTCGTAAAATTAAATAACCTGAAATTACTCATAATAGCCAACTAAGAGAGGTAGCGTCAAAAACATGAATCTTGCGTAAAGCTTGCTGCTACCGAGACAACTGCTGTAACTTTCAAGTTTCGACATTTTCAATGCAGCGTCCAATGTGCTGAGTACCTTATAGGTAATCTGGCATACTCTACTGTAAACCGGAGCAGATTAAATCCATTTCCTCTTGCAGTAACTCGAGCAAAATTGATAAAGTACTGTATTTCGTTTATTAAAAGCAAGTACTGGTCAAAAAACACAGCCGTACTTTGCGATTGCTTTATTCGGCTACCCGCAGTGCTTTCGAAAACGGCTCGGTTTACATACTCAGCAAATTATTAATGTAAGTAATCAGATGACACTACGGATGATAAGCTGATTAAGCTCAACCGTTTACTGAAGGTTAGCTCTACAGTTTACTGACCGGCTGGTAGAATCCGCCGTAGTATACCGGTGCTCCATGCCCATACATCAGAGGGATAGGAAATGCCGCTGTCCACATGCCGTAGTTCTAAACAAATATAGCGGTTCTATAGTTATCCGCCACGGCGGATGTGTATTACATTTTAAAATGTCATCAGAACGTGAGATGCATACCTGAAAAGCATGCACAGGCGGAGACGAAAAGCAACTAGCCGCAACTGGACTCGGTCCCATCACGTACGGCACACCATCCGTTCCGTAGGCTACCTGAATCAGTTCGGGCTTTCCCTTCGCAGGGTAATTTGAATGAGCGATGCTTATGGTTTTCTCCAAAGCGAATGCCGGCTTCTCGGAGTGAGAGCGTGGCGTTTCGGCCCTTTCGGGGAGCGTTGCCTTTTCAATACGGGCTGATTCATTTGACACGTTCAATGCTGTTACCAAACATGCATACAATTGATAGGGTAATCAAATATTCAAAAACTTTACGATCAATTCCTAATTCCTAATTGGTACGTCACCATCTCGTACCTATTCTGGAGTGTATATGTATCCTGGCCGCAAGTACAAATTACTTTACAATACAATCTCGTTTTTATTGTGCATAAAACATACCAGAGAACAAATATTGGTATACAGAATATTCTAAACCCGTGAATACAAAGATCAGCTATAAATTTGTTATCGATACCGACAGGTTACTGCGCATTCTCTGCTTTTCAAGATAGAGGCAAACTAATAATAATTTGCAAAAACAAGTTATTTCAATAGACATACCAGCGCTAAATGGCTTTTTATAAGCGGGGCCGATGTTCAGATGACGAGCTCCGTTAATCAGGAGATCCACACGAGACGTCTGCATGAAAACGTAACACAAAATGGTAAGACCCAACACAAAATGGTAACATTTTAACGTTACACAAAATGGTAACAAATTTTACCGACCTTACTATTAGCACACATTTTAACGACCTTACTATTACTAGGGTAGCTATCTTATATGGACACCTACATACAGTACTTCCCGAACATGCTCATTATGGCAGCTCGCTACTTACATGTAGTTAATCTTATGAGTCAGTAAGCGTGGAAATGTAAAAGAAAATGTAAAATCGTACAATAATACTACTAATAAGTATCAGGGTAGTAAATTCTAAAATTTAGTACTGGTTGACGTGCCCGGCGAATAGACCGGAAGCATTGCAGCAGTGCAGCTACACGTTTTCTTAAACAGATGATAATCTAACCAATGAGCATGCTGGATAACAGAAAAAAAACAAAAGCAACAGTCAAAAATGCGACGAATCGCACGATAGAGCGCGCGAAAAAACCAAAATTATGCCAATGATTAACATAATAAAAATTAAGTAGATAATTACAACCATCCGCATTTCAGGTCACTGGCAAAGCTATAATGCGCAATTGCGCATATGGTATTCAGTATCTACGTTGCATAGCTGTACTTTCGTCGTGGTTTGCCGTCGGCTTTAATTTAGCATAAAACGCTACCGTACTACTCATACGTAGCATAAATATGTAGCACAATCACATCCGCACTTACCGTTTTCAACAAATCCTGGGTTTCTTTCTCGGAGGCTAATTTCACAACAGCATGGCGCAGATAAACTGAATTCTTTCGATCTTTTGGCATCACGTTCCGGAAGATGCTCACGTTTACCGGCTCCACATACGGACGGAGAGCATCGATTACATCCTGCTTTAATGTCTAAAGAAAAATTAAAATCAATGTTTGTAAATTACTGGCTTGCAACATTCTGAAAACCTGGAATTTCACTGACTGCTCTACCGTATTGGCGTATTCTTTGACGTGCTGGCGTTATAGAGCAAAAAGCGTACGCCAACCTTGGCAATAATCAACCTGTCTAAAGCCGCAAAGATACTGTATTCCATCCAAATCCTTACTCTATTGTAACCATCAGTTTTAATAATCAGCCTAACGCCTGCAATATATTTTGTAGCAACTTTTTACAGCAGCATTCAGATTTTTAACGTCGAATAAGATCGGAATAGTTAGAGTTACCGCGTCGGTGATGTGCGATATGGTTCTCACCGGTGCGGTGCCGGTGTCCTATGCAGCGTACTGAAAGAACCCGCAGATCTCACTGACCTCATCACAGAATGACGTCATACTGACAAGCAATCATCTCGCGATGTACTGTACAACAACCTCGCTAGGCGATATCTATTCTGTAGCGGCTAACAGCGTCTTTTAATACCAATGTTCTTCGATCATCATACTGTACTATTCTGGTAATTTGGCGAAACTGAAACGATCGTTCTCATGGTCAGAGTAACGCAAAGCCACTTACGTCATGTGGAAGGCCTCCAATGAAGATGCTCGTAGGCATCAGAGTGCCCTGGAAGGGACGCCTGGATTCTTCCTCGTGGATAGTCCGCAAATACTTTTCTTTCGTCCACATCACCGACATCGCCGCATTTGAAGAATACCCCTGAAAAGAACCCGAAATGAGAAGCAACAAGTGGATAAGTTCACTGACTTGAAAAAAATATCGCCAAGAAGTTCCTGTAGCAGACACTGCTTTAGTTTTAAGACTGAACAGAGAATTACCCATCGCGCTCAAGTTACATGTACCTGCGTTAAGGGACGTGTAATGCAGCGCAAGCGCTTAGAACAACTGTCACACGACAGATACGAAGCCATCTGGTACAAGAAAACTCGCAGCAGCGCTCCATTTAGTACTTACATATCGAAGGTTTGTGATCGGACCCAGTTCTTCTGGATTAGACTGGCACGAATACGAGCTCTGTCCTTTCGACTGCTCTGTGCAAACCATTTTAGTACTGTACTGTATTAACAAGATTGAACTTAAATACAACAAAATTTAAGAAAATTAAAAACTTAAAAGACAAAATGTAAGATTGTAAGACGACTGAAATTAACAGAACCAAACAAAGATGATCGAAAACCAAAAATTTAGTGAAAAAGTGTCATGCGCTGTGAAATAAAAATGCTGGACAGAGAAAGTGGCCGACTCGCGAACTGTGGATAAGCAGAAGGGCGGAGTTGATGCAGTTTGCGCTTGTTTGATTATTGGTAAAAGAAAATGTGCATTATTTTGTTATTCGCCGTGCCATGTGCGAGTTTTTATAATGGAAGTAATCGTAAGTACAGTATATAATATAAAAGTACACCAATGAAGTTGGTGCTGTAAAATTTCTTCGGCGGAATTTCCGCAGTTCATTTGTTTTGAATCTACAGTAACGTGCCTCTTCATACCACTACAGTGTCTTACGGGAATAAAATCCCGTGAGTAACTGGCAGCGAATTCTACTGTTTAACTGAAAGTGATTTTCATTTTTTTCTTTTAGCATTTCCAAGGTGTTTCACGACTATACTGAATAAGTTGTAGCCAGTCGCAAACTTTTGTTATTTACAGTGGTAGATGGTGAAGATGAATAGCCTTACGGGACTGACCATATCATAATGGATATCTCATTACCTTTATTATTTGCACACCATAAAGGCATAAACATAACAACTGAATTAAAGAAGCATAAAATTTGATTTTTACACGCTGTATCCAGACACAAAACATACTTCCTTATCGCTTTCCGCGTCAAGGATGTGATCCAGGAAACGCAGGAGTGCAGCAAGAACAAAACACATATTACAGTAATATTGCGCTATATCGAACAGCTACTAGCCTACTGCACTCGCAATTCTGTTTCATTCGCATTCGACCTTCGGTTGTTACTGCTCCCCGTCCCCTTTTACTATTCAGGCTTGTTCTTTTTCAGAAGGCCATCAAACATCAATTTCATTATCGTCCAGAATTGCTTCTTTGTCCGACGCTCTCCTAGCGGTTTTGCGTCTGTATACATAGGCTGTGGAACAGAAGGCGCCTAACGGCAGCAGCAACACGACGGACTGGATGGCAAAAATAAAACCTGGCCACCAAGCAGCCGTCGCCCCGAAAACTTTGACAAATGCACCGGAACTCAACACTAGACAAACGGCTTGAATTATTCCAACCAGTGAGCCCATCTTGCCGGTTTCTGACTGAGTGACCAATCCCAGCAGAGCGGACTGGAGGTAAATTGTCATTAAGGGGCGAAAAACGCCGACACCCAGAGCCAGAAACATTATCCAACTGTACACCGCCTGGGAGTAACAGAGGGCGCAGCCAGCAGCGGACACCGATGCGATAATCCCGATTGTTGTCTCTTTGAACTTAACAACGTGCTTCAGTACCGGGATGGCTGCGGTTAAAATTATGCACATCACGATGCCCTGAATTGTTTGGAAATTCCCATACTGCTGCACGCTCCAGCTCAACGGTGGAAAGGTCACAAATAGTTGAAGAATTGTGCCTTCCGCTGCAAACAATTAGAAAGCGTCCTTTAAACAAAATGGCTACTTATTTCTGTAGTAGTATTATTGTACTGTTATTATTACGTAGTAGTATTACTATTAGTAGTATTACAGCACACCTTGCAGATGTGTTAAACCAACATTTCCATATCATGTGCCACACTGAACTTTCAGATTGCACTGTAATTGCACCTTTCGGAATAGTATGCTTAAAAAGTTAATTTTCTCTAAACGTGCTCCAAATATACTACCGATTATGTTTCTTCCAATACCTGTTAAAAATTGTCATATACAGATATGCAGCACACGGCAGCGCAAAATTCGTGTGTACTTCGTATTCCAAAAGTCTCTATGTCTCGATTAGCATTTACGGCATTGTTATATAACATCGCTGCCGGTATGATGATGAGTCTCCAAATTAATGTATTTTATATTATATCTATTAACGATAAGTTTGCATGAATACTCGTTTTATTTTGTTATACGGCACGTAGTACGTACTATCAAGGCACATTGTTGCGGCACTGTATCCGACAAGCGTGACAATAATCAGCAGTCGTCCTCGGTTTGGCCGATTTTGCCGCAACATATGCCAAACATCCACTAATCCTTGGATATCAAATACTCGCATGAGCCGCTTGGATAATTTGTTTTCTGATGATCCCGGATCATTATTGGTCTTGCTTACAAAATTTTCATGATCCTTTACTCGAAAATATGTGAAAACTAATCCGGTAAGATGAACAGCCAGAAAAACATAGAATGGGGCAGAAAAACCATAGACGAGCAGATTCGTGCCAATCATCGGTCCCAGAGCATTTCCTAATCCCATGAATCCCGCGGAGATGGCAATCAGTATTGCTCTCGTATGAACGGAAGTGAGTAGTAGAGGCGTTTATTCGTATACAGGTTTGTGAGTGATAGGCTAACCTAGCCAAGTTTTTAATGAGGAGGGTAACCTTTACACTTTAATTGAGAGGAGTCTAAGTGGAACGAGTTTGCTTAATATATGGGTGTAGCGTATGGGAACAGCTAGATAGCTGTGATAGTGCTAACCGCCTAATGGTGGCAGTTGCTAGGTGGTGTAAAAAAATGTAACCTTGCGGTATAATATTGCAGGTAGTAAAATGCAACTGCAAGTATTTCAAAATACCGAATATAATAGCAGTCTGATTTGTACTTTACAAAAATTTTATCGCTAAAATGAATACAGACGATTTAACGTGTACTTTATGTAAAACCGTTTATAAACGCAAAGACGACCGCGACCGCCATGTATTGGAAACCCATTACAAGGTACGCAATTCTGTATGTCCGCATTGCTTCTTATCTATTCGTCAGCGATCTCTGCCGCGGCACCTACGGACAGCATGCCCAGTATTACATCCACGAGCACCGAAGCCAGTCAAGCCAACCACAACCAAGCCGGCTAAGAAAATTCCTAAGCCACCCGTCGAGCCCGTGAAAACGACGTATACGAATTACTCAAGAATTTTAAAATGTGGTTGCGGGAAAACCGCCGATGTTGTTGTTTCTGTTGCCAGTAAAAGTAAAAATGCAATTTTCTGGGAGTGTTCTGACTGCCGCCACACTGCGGCGGAGCTGTTGCTCGACATGAGTGAGTTCCAATTCCAATAAAATTAGCTGACTGTGGAATGGGGGGGTTTGTTCGACTTAATCATAGTACAGAGACGACACGAGACAAAGAAATTCACACGGCACACAAGCACATATTCACGCAAACAACGGTTGTTGATTTGATCATTTTTAATTTTAATGTTTGTTTGGTTTTGTTTTCTTTTGATTATAGCCTGATACAAAGTAAGTACATCTAAATTTTAGTAAAAATAGTTATTTAATTAGAAAATTAATTCAGTAATATCTCTAGATGAATTTACTGATGCGTTACTTTCGCCTGCGATGGCAGAACCGTGCGCTGGAGGAGAAACTCGACGAGCGCGACGAGCTCATCCATTCTTTGGAGCAGCAGCTCCAGGTAAAATCGTTGTGATTTTTTAAGTACCGATACACAGTTTCGTAAAAACTAAAATCTTGTTGTAACGCATATGTGCAGCTAAATGTGTTCGAACCCAGTGCTTGTGTTTTATGCTTAACAAAACTGTTTGTTAGCAATTACGGGTCGCTGATTTTGTTATTCGATTTATGGGCAGCGACTCGTACTTATATATTTCTGTTTGCCACTGTTTGTTGATTTTATTATTCAACTTTTGAAAAATCGGGGAGAGGTTGGCCGATTTCCTTTTTATTCCAGTATGAAGGATTTGTTTTTGTTTAAGATGCGTGAACGGGAAACGGATGCACTGCGGGCTGATGCGGAGGCCTTCCGCAATGGAGAAATTAATCCCCACCCGTGGTGAGCGCTAATTGAAAAAAAAAATGCATATTAATATTAACGTTTCATTTAAAATAAATAAAATAATTCCACACTTTTCAAAAAGAATTGTTGTTAATTTAGGGGGCACTGGCACGTGCCGGACATCGTGGGCGCGCACGGAGCTGTTGCAGGAAAAGCCTAACTTACTTTTCATCGAGAAATACAGTGTTGTTTCTCAGTACATTTAACGACATGGTTGAGAAGGAGAATGTGAATGTTGCTTCCAAGTGAGTTGAACGTAAGCGATGTCATTATGAATTAATTTCCGTTTATAATTACATCAATAAAGCTGCGTGTCGCACTGTGCACAGTAAAGAAGTGACAAGTACGATAGAAATAATAACGTAACGAGTAACATCAATCCTACCGACCTCTGATATCTCATTGTGGTAGAACTAAATAATATGCCTAAATTGCGAACTACGTGAAGCAAAAAAAAATACGACTGCATTTCGACGGTAAACTTAGTGGTAAACTCCGACGCTGCCAAAATTCAGAATGCCAGAGCTATGGCAAAAATACTGCAATCCATGGATTTATATAGGCGCGAAGTGCATCCGGTGTTCAAAACCAAAACTAAATCGAAAACAAACGAAAAACTGCTAGAAAACTCAAAGTACCAGTATCTAAGTAAAAACGCATACACAACCGCGATCCTGAGCGGTTGCCGATTAAAAGCATCTTTTAATCGGAAAAACCCAACCGCGATCCTGGGCGGTTGCCGATTAAAAGCAGCTTTAATCAGATAAACACAACCGCGATCCTGGGCGGTTGCCGATTAAAAGCAGCTTTTAATCGGAAAAACACAACCGCGATCCTGTGCGGTTGCCGATTAAAAGCAGCTTTTATTCGGAAAAACGCTATACTGCCCTCGTACGGCTGCCACATTTCGTCAATGGGGTGGTGGTGATCACCTCTTGTAAAACCATACTGTATGACTAATCCACCCTCTTAACAAGCATGTCTCGCTACTGGTACTGAAAACCTACCGAGCCATCGCAAAATTCAATCATGTCCGCTGCGATCTCTTAGATTGCTTGCGACATATAGAACGACTTAATTTTTTTTATTTTACGTGATGGGTTTTTGCGGATGATAGATTTAAAATGTGTACGTAGTCTGAGCAGTAGTCGTGGTTGATGTGCTGTTGTACCATGGTTGATGTGCTGGGGGTGTTGACATTGTGTACTCGTTAATCTGCATTGAAAAGGAAAGTAAAAACCCTGGCTGGGTGCCCGTGAATGGGTAGAATGGTGCAGAAAACCCTGGAGTCTAATTACCACATCGGACGACTCGGAGTTCCAGTGTGACGTAGCTAAGCTTAAAAAACTATGTAAACGGGAATCCAGTTCACAAAAACTGTCCAGTTCAAAGGTAAATGAAAAATGAATCCAGTTCAAAGGTAAATGAAAAAACAAAGCAGAAACTGACAAAAAGCACAAAGTTTAAGTATAAAAGTAAAAGTACACACACAACCGCAGCCTTGAGCGGATGGCGATTAAAAGCAGCTTTTAATCGAAAATGTGCTAGACCGCCCTCATACGGCAACCATATACCGTCACCACCCTGTAAAAGGCAAAAGTAGCGTAATGACTGATCGACACAAGCAGCTGCGTTTTCAGCGTGAGGTAATTGACAGATTACGTTGCATTGTGAGTTTAAAACGTAATTTAGCGCAAATTTTTTATAGTTAAATTTTTGGTGGCGATGATGAACCGGCGATTTCCGATAACACTTGATATTAGGATACTGTTTTGGTAAATTCGAAGGAACCTGGCTGCTACTTTTTTTTCTCTTTTAATTTGTTTGCTGAAGGGAAGGGTGGTTCGCTCGCACTCGGATATCGCAGTGTAAAATTATAGTTTCTTTTTGCATCGTTTAAATGTTGAAAATTTTAAGCCAGAAGCACAGGTATAATATTTACACTAGTACGTACATACACCACATCAATAGTGCAGATCGTTCAGTCTAATTGCACAGTTGCTTGGTGAAACTGGTTGGATGCAAAAAGTAAAGATTTTATCTCCTATTCTAATTATGCTGCTGGTTTGATACCAGTTTATTGATTGATTGTGTCATTCATTCATTCATTTGTTGCGTACTGTTTGAATCCACTAAGGGCGGAACCAAGGCATAGCTCTCTCAATTAATAAAAGTTCACTAAAAATATAAATAATAAAACAAATTTTTCTATTGGTCTAGCAAATAAATAATGAATTATATACCTATAATCGGGTTGAAAAATCGAACACCATCCACACGGCTCGCTTCGGGAATCGCGTGGATGGTTGATCCAGGGATAATTTAATTAAACGATCATCGAAATCGAATTTGATTTTTATTTTCCATTAATATAAAGTCGCTTTAAACCTTAACCATGGACTCTCTCGCTTCGGTCAACGACGTCACCGCACCGATCCCCGTCGCCGCTGCCGTTCACCATGACGCCGCTGCCGTCCACCATGCCGCCGCTGCTGTCCATCACGCCGCCGCGGCCGTCCACCACGCTGTCGCTCCACTACCCGACGTCGCTGCCGTCCAGCACGCCCACGCCGCTGCTGCCGTCCATCACGACGCCGCTGCCGTTCACCACGCTGCCGCTGCCGTTCATCACGCCGCCGCTGCAGCCCAGCAGGCAGCCGCTCCGGTTCTTGACGCCGACGATGCTGTGGAGGAGTTTCCAGCCGACGCTGTCATCGCGGCCAAGGTGGACGCGTACCTGCTGACCAAGTCGACGGATGCGGCGATCCTGGAATTCGATGGGATCAAGATGCCGGCAATCCCCATTACCGAACTGCTGCTGCAGTTCACCAACATCCGGTAAGATTTTTAGCTAATTATTTTATTAATAATGCAATACTAAATTGTACTATTTATTGTACGGATTCAGAAATGAATATCAATATTAAAATGCTTATAAATTGAAAATTTAATTAAAATAAATTACCACTGTCTTTAGTTCGATTTCCGCCGAGAACTGCGGCCTGCGCTCGTTGGATACGTTGCCGTGCAAGGACCTCCTGGAAACCTTGCACCTGGATGACAACGAGCTCGCCGGCAACGCCCTCCTGGCGCTGCATCCGTGTATCAAGTTGACGGAAATCCATCTGAAGGGGAACGGCTTTACCAGCGCGGAGCAATTCGCTCCTGTGCGCAAGTTGCCGCTGGAGTAGGTCGACGTCAGCTTTAATCCGGTGACTCACTGCTCCTCGCTGCAGGAGGCGATGGAGCTACTGTTCCCCCGGGCCCACACCGTAGTCGTCACCAGTATCCTGGACCTGATGGCAGACGAGAGCGCACTGGAGGAAAGCGACGACGAGGACGAAGAAGAAATGGATACCGACAGCGGTATATTTTTTCTGTATTTTGTCTATTGTTTGTGTGATAGTAGTATG